TTGCAATGTTACTTATGCTTGTGAGGGTCTCGGGATGCTCCTTGCCTAGCACCTTCTCTTTCAACTCCAGGGCCTGCCGATGCATCTGCTCGGCCTTTTTATACTTCCCCTGGCCCCAAAGCGCGGTTGCAAGGCTGCCCATGCTTGTGAGGGTGTTGGGATGCTCCTTGCCTAGCACCTTCTCCGTCAACTCCAGGGCCTGCCGAAACATTTGACTCGCATCTTGATATTTTCCTAACATATAAAAGCTCCCACCCACATTAGACAGAAGATCTGCCGGTGCCTCCTTGTCATTTGTACTCTTCCGCAACTCAAGAGCATGTTGCGTATGCGGAAGATATCTCAGCCACAGGTCTCTGTTTTCGTGTTTCGGAGAGGGAAACACATCTGTGAGATGTTGTAACACTCTGCCGATCCATTCTTTTTGCTTCCCGTTTTGTGCTAACCAGCTTAGCATCGATATCCGAACCAACCTGTGGATGTCGTATGTATCTGATTCTTCACGTTGTGTGACGAATGCGTACGCCTTTAGAGTCCCGATCGCTTCAACCGTCTTTAGCGGCCCAGCCGGCGGCAGCAAAGATTGTGGAATTTCCTTCTCGGATAGGAAGCACATAAATCTGAGGTAGTCGGCCGCTAGCGGATTGTGATCTGAGATATGCTGGAACGAAATCAGCCAAGTTGTGGCAACGGGATTTTGAATGCTCTTATATCGATGTCGGTCGCCGAAGCCCTCGTTCAACAGCTTGATCATATTCTCGTCACTAGACTTGAACAACTCAAGGTATTGTGTCGTCGAGATCTGCATCTTTGCGATATAAGCAGACGCCTGCCGTATCGCCAGAGGGAGATTGGCAAGAAATCCCAGCAATGCTGTCGTGCTTGTGATATCGCGGATCTGCTCTTCCTTCAAGCTTGTCTTCAACAGCTCAAGAGCTTCGTCTCTACTCATCTCTTCAACTGGGATGGCACGCCTCTCGGATTCGACTAGATTTAGCGCGACTTCGTGATTCCGCGTGGTGAATAAAATAGATCCACTCCGGCTGAATGGAAGATAGTCGGCGAGGGCAGTGTCGCCGAAGAGAAGGTCTGTGTCGTCGGCATTGTCGACGATCAAAAGCCAGCTGCCCATACTTTCGCGGCTCAAGGCTGTCTTGACAAGTGCCTTGACGTCTGCTTTCTCTTCGTCGATCCCCTGTACCCTGAGCTGCTGGCCGATTGTGCGGCATGCGTTCTCAAAGCTGGTGCCATCCACGGCCGGAACCCAGAAGACCGAGCAGTCCGGATGCGCATCGCGGACGCGAAAGGCGGCCTCGAGGGCGATCTGCGTCTTTCCAACCCCTCCCAAGCCTTCGATGGCGGTCCGCTGGCAGTCATCCTTATCTACGGTAGGAGGGACCCTGGCGAGAAGGTCCTTGAGAATCGGTTCACGGCCGACGAATTCCTTGTTACGTCCGAACGGGACGATCCAGTGCTGGTCCGGGGCGGCTTAACAATGTTAGCAGGATCCAGATAGGGGGACGTACCAGTCCGCTGAGAGGAAATGGTCAACTTACAGGTCTTCCGGCGTCCCAAAACAGCCGATGCGTTGTCAGCGAACTGTCTGAGAGCATCTTTGACGAGTTTAAAGTTGGGGCAATCTGGCCCCTGGAATTTGTTCATGAGCGAATGGTTTGCATCTAGCCCCTGGCGAGGAAAGCCATGAAGGCAGGCCGAAGAGTCCGTCACAAGCTTTCCCGGTTAGCTGCATCATGTATAGCGATGAAAGTAACATACCATCCTGTGGGTCACTCCAGTAGAGAGCCGCTTGGCCCAACCACGCGATAGGATGCGGTTTAACATCTCCGTCTTCCTGGTTTCGAAAAAACAATGCAGAGGCAGCCGCACCGCCTCGGCGTTCACGATCTCCGTGAATTTCTGAACCCGTTGGAGAACGAAGTCGTGTCTCTGCTCGAGGTCTTGTATGAGACGGTCAGAGGCCTGGTTTCCCATAATGCCGGTAACAAGCACCTGCCACCGAGCCTGCTTGGCGGCATCGCTGCCTTGGAACGGAGTGGCGAGAAACACAATTCCGACAGTGGAAAGCAAAACACGTCCGTACGCGCTGCCTGTCTGGGCCGCTCGATTGATAGCCTTGGGATGTTAATCGCTGTCCGCCGTCCACGTATCTAGGGACATACCTCGGCCAAGATAAGCCCCCCAAAACAGGAGGCGATGAAGATGATCGGTCGCGTTTGCAAACCTCGACCTTCGGCGACGAGACCGAGCAGCGTGTCGGCATGGCCGAGTAGCGTTTGCACCGGCGCATCTTTGAAGTAATTTGCGTTCCAGTCGTAGGTGAATATGCGGGCCTCTGGTAGGGCCGCCGGCAGCATGTCGCGGTCCGACAGCCAGTTCACAACCCGGCCCCCTCCTTTGTTCTTGAACTCCCATGTCCGCGGAGACTCGGTGTCCAAGCCGTGAATGGCGATGATACTGTGGGTTTCTAGATGTTAGAGTGTGTCTGGTTGTTAAACCCCGTGGGAACGTACTCAATGGTCGTGTCAACCGGGGCGTCGCCGACTGGTGCGATCTGGCAGAGTCCCCTGGGAGTCTGGGCGAATTGGCTGCAGTCAGCGTCCGGGCACGCCCTTTTCAGCGTGGGACGGGAAGGCCCTGCCTCCATGGCGGTGGTCTCGGAAATATTCTGAGGGAGCTTAAGTCGATCCCGCTTGCGGGGTATTGGGGCACGCCAGCAAGGATCGGGTTTCTAGTGCAGCGCGGACTGCTATGAAGCTTACCGCTGAAAACAGGATGGATGAGGGGGGAGTGTTGAGCCAAGTAGGACTCGAGCGCAGGCTAGTTCGCACTCTTCGCCTTCTATGGGGCAGGTGAAGAGCGTTTGACGCCGATCGCTTCTCGGGACGAAGGCGTAAAGGCCTGGTGTCAGAAATTGCGCTGCTGGCGGTTCTCGCTCAGCCGCACGGAGAAGCAAGCTCGAAACGACGTGGGTCGTCCACGTCCAATCATTTGATCCGCGGCGCCAGACAGCCGCTGTACAGCCCTACGAAATGTCTCCTGGATGGAATGCGTCCACATTTGAATTCGGCTCGTTCCCCTGCAGAATTGCCGCGGGGAATTGACAAGCTTGCAACGTGGGACTCTGTCGGCCGAGAAGCTGGAGGTGCAGGTGATGGAGGAGAGCAAGACGAAGCTCGGGGCGACCATCCCGACACGCTGATGAGCACGAATAACCCTGTCTTCACATGGAAAGGGCAGGGCTAATATGCAAAGGCCGTTGGATGAATGGAGGCATGTATGTACACAGGGGCGAACCAGAGTCTTACGTATTAATCACTCATATACGCTAGGTTCATCTACAACATTAACTGAATGGCGGAACGAGAAACTGGATACTGGTGCTGTGCATATGGCGAGCCATGGCATAGCCAATGGATAGGACATGCGAGGCATGGGATGCGGTTTCAGCAGGAGAGGTAGAAAGAGGAGCAGGTCCAATTAACTGCATTGATTTTGGGAGACTGATGAGGTAGCGCGAATTTCAAGGGCCCCCATACCTACCTAGCGCAATTTAGATAGGCGGTATATAGATCTTACATCCAGCTGCATATCTTACTTTTATACCTCTACCGGGTCCCAAGTGTTGGTTTGGCAAGGGGGTAGGTGCAAAAATAGTAGCAGTGGCTGTATAGACACAGTTGAAACCCCGGTGGGGGTAGGCTAGTGTGGCCTATCTGACCCGCCTGCAGGAAGTCCCTGAACCAGGAACTCAAACTTTAAAAAATCAAAAACACCACCATTCGTGACCTCAAAAAGCCGACGTCACCACAACAGCCCAAAAATTAAGATGCCCGGCCGACCATGACTGGCAGCGACGCCAGCGGCCAAGACACCGTCAATGGTGGCCAAGCCCAAGCCCAACCCCTCCTCGGCCCGGGCCTCCTGCCCGTGGTCGTCATCCCCTCGGGCGACGGCGCGGACGGGGGGACTGGCCTGAAGCCGGCCCCGGCGGGCAGCGCCGCGACGACGGGCGCGTCGGCGGCGTCGGTGCGCGCCCTCACCTCCCAGGCCGTGGCGTTCTACTTCCGCGCCCCCGTCAAGGCCTTCTTCCGCACCCGCGTCGACTACCTCGCCTACGCGCGCACCCTCCAGGAGCAGCACCACCAGGCCGCGATGGCGGCGGCGCGCGCGTCGGGGGCCGGGATCGGTGCAGCCGCGACTGGGGCGACTTCCGGGATGCCGCAGGCGTCATCGACGTCGTCGTCGTCGTCGTCGTCGTCCTCCCGCACGGGCGCAGTCGCGGGCGCGCTGCGGTGGATCAAGTCGCGGGCGCGGGCGACGACGCCGGGGGTGCTGGCCTCGGCGGTGCGGCACTACGGGTGGCGGGTGGTCCCGGACCAGGTGCTGCCGCCGCTGGTGGCCAACGTCGGGGTCGGGGCGGTGCTGTACACGTCGTACCTGCAAATCCTGGGCCAGCTGCACGAGGAGAGCGGCCCGGCCAGCAGGCGCGTGTACCCGCCGCCGCAGCCGCTCGACGTGCTGGCGGCCGGGTTCCTGGCGGGGGGAATCCAGAGCGTCGTCGCGGCGCCGCTGGACGCCGTGCAGGCCAGGTACGACCTCGGGAGCAGCGCGGCGGGGATGACGGGGAGCGGGAACCCGGCTTCTGGGGCTGTCGGTGCGAACGGGAACGGGATCGGGCGGCCGCAGAGCATGTGGGCGTTCAGTTACGCCAAGCTGCGTGAGATCGGTGTGCGGGGAATCTTTGCCGGCTGGGGGCTGTCGTTCCTCAAGGACAGTATGGGGAGTGCCGTTTTCTTCTGCACGTTCGAGTACATGAAGGCGCAGTCATACTACCGCTTTGTGACGTGGTACTACGGCTCGCTGAACGAGGACACCATCGTCCTCCTGTCGCGGAAGCGGCCGTCGAAACAACCAGACAGGGAGTCGATACAGGATGATTCCGGCACCGGCACCGGCATGCCCACACTCATCAAGCCGCACTACGCCATCGAGCCGGCCTTCCTGCTACTGGCCGGCGTCAGCGCTTCGTTTGCCCAACAGGTCGCCATCCACCCGCTCTCCCACGTCCAGGTCGAGCACTGGGAGCGCCTCGAGGTGCTCGACGCGCAGGTCCGGAAGCTCAGCCGCGAGCACGGGTCGGACGCGCCGAGGCAGAGGCTCAGGTGGCGCATGGTCAGGGCATATTATAACGCGTACCGGGAGACGTGGGCGCAGTGTGCGTCCGAGGCAGAGGCTGCGGGCATCGGGCTGCGGAGGTGGCTATACAGGGGGTTCTGGTGGAACACGATCAGGCAGGTGCCCAGCACGAGCGCGGGGTTGATCATCTTTGAGCTGGTGCGGCGGAAGTATGGGTTTGGAGGGGATCAGGTTAGGATCAACAGGGATGGATATGATATTCTGCTTCACTAGATCGTTCGACAGGGTCTGTCTGTCTGTCCGTCTGTTTGTCTACAAACGGGGGATTGGCGTCTCGGCGTGCATGGGCTGGCATTTGGATTGATTGGTATTTCTGATCTGTATAACCGTGTAGAATTGCATCTCATTCCTCGAGATAAATAAATATAATGGCCTTGTCAAATACAGGGCATGGCGGTTGGAGATCCATCCGGCGCGACAACTGAGGTGTTGCATGGCTGTCTTGACCACGGCAGTCTCTGGTCTGCAATTGCTCTCATTTGCAGAGAAGAGAACACTGAAATGGTCACATTATCTCCCCCGGTCTCTTGATTCGCTGTTTTGTTGTTATCGAATGTAATCTGTACTCCGTGATCGCAATACCACCCCGCAGTCGATTGCAGTTGCACAAGTCCGATTATTTGCAAGATTACCCCGCTATTACGCCGATCCGGCAAACCCGGTCCCTCGCCGGATTGCATGCTATTCTACAAGCGGAAGCTGCCAACTCTCAGCGCTGCACCACGCTGTGGGGTCATTGCCGAGCGCAGGAAACTAGCCGCCGATGACTGCAACGGCGGGCCGGCAGGACGTATCCGTCCCCTTGGTAAAATCTTTTTCGACCCTATTCTCTCGCCTTCAATTGTCGCGAGATTTGTCTCCCCTTGCTCTCCCCACCTATCAGCCATGACGGCGGACGAGACAACGCCCCTCATCAGCAATGGGGATGCGAGCACGAGCAAGAAGAATAGCCTGGGTCCGATATCGCGGTGGCGTGCTGCCCTCAACGTCGAGCATCGTATCCTGCTGGCCGGATTTCTGATCACGCTCTCCTTCAGCTTCACGCAGGTCCCGTGAGAACGGCCAATATCCCCCGTAAACGATGACGCACTCGAACACTGACAATTTCGGCCTTGTAGCATATTCTATGTGTTCCACCTTATGGTTTGCGATGACTACTACAGCAAGCATCCGCCATTTGACGGGATCGGCGATCGCTGCGGTCTGAACCAGATAGCCGCCGGGACGGCAGCCCAGTTCAGCATACTTGGCATGAGCACGACCCTCTGTGGTACGCTTAGCGTGAATGCTGAAAGTCCACCTCTCGATGCACAGTACATGCTAATTGACCCCTCTTCCCGGCCCACTAGGCACGCTGAACCTCTTCATCACGGGCATGGTGGTCAAGAAATACGGCCCACGCTTCGCCCTCATCCTCCAGACTGTCGTCCCCGCGATCCGGGTGGTCGCCCAGATCATCGGCGTCGCGGTCGGCGGCCGAACCGGGATCATCATCATCCAGGCGACGCAGGTGGTCACCATCTTGGGTGGGCCGTCGGGCTACATGTGATCAGCTCCCCGTCCATCCTAACCCTCCCCTCCTCATCCATACTGACGGCCATTTTACAGACTTGTGGTGAACATCATCGCCGGCGAGGTCGTCGAACCCGCCCGCCGAACCAGCGTCTTTGGGAAGCTGCAGGGGACCCTCATGGTGGCCCAGGGCATTGGGTTTCTGAGCACGTATCCCCCTTCCTCGTCTTTCCCAATCTCCAAGTTCTAACGATCCCACAGCTGGTGGCATGATTGGTGACGCCTTTGGCGTCCAGCGGCCGTTCGATGTCGCCTTCTTCTCCTTCTTTGTTGCGGCCAATTACGTCCGAGTTTCACTGCCGTATATCTCGCCCGAGTCCATGTCCGACGGCAAGAACCCCGCAAGAGGAGGCATCTCGGGCTTCTTGGCTCCGCTGAAGGTGCTCGGGCCCCAGAAGCTGCGCCTTCGGAGTGGTGCGCTCAAAAATCACTATGGGGTTTTGTTTCTCTGCTGCGGCGTCTTTCTCGGTGTGGTAAGTGACAAGTTTTCAAGCTAAAGGGGTCCTGATATGAGTCGCTCACACGCCCCTTCCTAGCTGGCGACGGACTACGTGGCGCTCCTGATTCAGATGTACGCGACGGCGTCGTTCGGATTCACCCAGGGCGACAACGGCTGGCTCATGTCCGAGTTCGCGTTCATGCGCGGCCTGTTCCTGATAGGCATCTTCCCGCCGGTGATTTCCTGGGGTCGGAAGTGGTTCCAGTCGAGGGGATCAGGGAAAGATATCAAGGAACCGGAGCCCGAAAATCCGGCGACGGCGATTCCGACTTCTCCACAGCAGCTCGACGTGCCGACGGTGTCCCAGATCGAAGGGGAACCGGTGACGCTCGAGTCTGCGCATGATCGGGAATCCTGCGCCTTTGACCTCTTCTTCCTCCGCTGGAGTCTCTTTGTGGACGGGGCCCTAACGACAATAGCGGCCTTTGCTACTACCAAGTGGCATATCTATCTTGGTAGAGTGCAATCCATCGGCTTGTGGTTCCTGAAGAGACATTACTGACGTGCATCTAGCTGCGTTCTTGCTGCCGTTTGGGTCCGGCTCCGCGCCTGCTGCGAAGGGAGTCATCACCGAGATGTGCCCGTCGTCGCAGCGGGCCGACGCGCTCAACGCCATCACGCTCGTCGAGAATATTGCCAGGTTGATGACCATGGGTCTCTTCGGCTTCATCTTTGCGGCCCTGGCAGACATAGGGAAGGCTTACATCACCTTCTTTTGCAATGCTGTGAGTTGTTTTCTTCCCCCCCTCCGGGCAACTTTGTTACGTCACCGGGCTCTAACGGCCATAGGCGGTTGCTGTCTTGGGAATGGGTGTTCTCCTGTTCTCCCATTTCCCGCCCCATGGGAGCTCTCTGGTTGAAGAAGCTGCGGAAGGGAGTGGCGAGACAGTGGATTCTGAGTCTAGCGGCGAATGAGGGTTGTCACTGGCCGATGAGATAGAAAAGTATTATACCATGTACATAGCCGTGAATGCAACAAACATCTTTCTACACTCCTCCTGTAATACTGTTAGGTAGGGGGTTTAAGGTGGCACGGGTGGGTATTGGCCAGGCTGCAATGACGCATAGACCCATGCGGATATCCAGATTCGGGCATGACTCACTGCCCGAACCTTTTGCAGTTTGTGGCTGCGCCGCCAGCTGAACCACTCCTGCAAGTGCTTCCTCGAAAGTAAAAGGCGGTCTGTTTGCCATGGTTTCCCTTTCCTTAAGTACTCGCCTCAAGCCTGGCATCTATTGAGCTGTACAGTACATCATACAAGACGTACAGCGGCACGTCGTCCTTCATTTGCAAGTCTAGTAATTTGGGACTACTGCACCATACCCGAGCGTTCAATGATGGAGGTGCACACCGCCGTAGGCGAGGATCCCTGGTTCCTTAAGTCCAAATCCCCCGCCTTCTGGCCGGCCAACGAGGCCCTGACTCTGCCGGAAGGCGAGTTCCAGTCCTACCTGGCGCGCTTGAAGGAACCCAAGGAGGGATGCGATACCGGCGAACTGGGCGGTGACGGGGATGACACTGAGACGTTCACCCTCGTCAGTGCTGCAGAAAAATCCACTACGGCTGACATCCGAGAGGCCTTGGCCGAGATGGATGTCAACGCCTCGAAGCCCGACAGGGAAGAGGTAGTGGACAACGACCACCCGTTCATGAAGGGGTTGCTGTCCTACGAACAAAACGCCAGTGTCCCTCCGAACATGGAGAACAAGATGCTCACCCAGAATGGTGACGTTACCTTTCGATCCACCAACGACGCCCTGGTCGACCTGTTTGCCGAGCTGGAGGACGTTGTCTCCGGCCCTCGTCTGTTTGAGCTCCTCAATGCCGCCTGGCAGAGCGACCCCCTCGCCACGCTGAAGATCATATTCAACGCCCGTTCAATCCATCTCGGCAAGGCCTCCCGGCCCGCCTTTTATCGGTCCGCCGGCTGGCTGGCCCAGTACCATCCTCTGACTCTAGCCGCCAACCTCAGATGGCTCAGCCGCCCAGTCATCGAGACGAAGGCAGAGAGTAAGGGGGATGAGGGCGGTAACGACGGGACGGTGCTCGTCGAACCCGAGAAGGACGAGCACGACATCGCCCGCTTTGACGTCAAGCACGGCGTCGCCCACGGCTACTGGAAGGACCTCCTGAACCTCCTCGCCCTCTCGGCCAACGGGAAACTCGACGTCCTCGCCAACGCCACCGACATCCTCAACGTCGAGCGCGTGCGCAAGGGCCGCCACCTAGACGAGAGGGCCGCGAAGGAGAGGCGGGGCCGGCTCCGGCACAACCGGCACGCCGCCGCCCTCGCCGCCTGGGAGGAGCGCCCCGTGCACCGCGCGCTCCACCTGACCGTGGCCCGCCTCTTCGCCGAGCAGCTGCGGGCGGACCTTGCGCTCCTGCGCGGCGACGACGCGCGGGCGAGGGGGCGCATCTCCCTCTGCGCAAAGTGGGCGCCGTCGCTGGGCGGGTTCCACGACAAGCACACGTTCGTCGCGTCGTCCATCGCCGAGATCCTGCACCCGGAGGCGTCGCTCCCGGACCTCGAGCTGCCGAAGACGGGGGACGAGAGGGCCGATCGAGAGCTGTACCTCCGGTATGCCCGCGAGGCGTACCGCAAGGACGTGTCGGCGCTCAGGGCCTACCTGGAAGTCGTGGAGCGCGACATCACGGCCGAATCGTTCGCCAAGATCAAATACGAGCGCGTGCCCTCGGTCGCGATGAAGAACTACCAAGCCCTCTTCGCGAAGAAGGACATCGACCGCTTCGAGGCCTACCTCGAGAAAGTCGCCACAGGAGAAACCCACATCAGCGGCGCGACCCTCATGCCTAGCACGCTGGTCAGCAAGGCCGTGGCCCTGTCTACATCTAGGTCTGGCGGAGCCATGTCGGCCCGCCTGAAGGCCATCGGGGAGAAGGCGGTGGACGGGCAGTGGCGGTCGCTGGTGGAGCGCGTCCGCGCCAGCGGCTCGCTCGAGTCGTGCCTCGCCGTGTGCGACGTGTCGGGCAGCATGCAGCACCCGGTCTTCCGGGACGGCACGTGCCCGCAGGAGAGCGCCGTCGGCCTGTCGCTGCTCGTCGCCGAGGTGGCCGCGCCGCCTTTCGGGGGCGCCTTCGTCACCTTCAGCTCCAGGCCTACGGTCCAGCGCGTCAACCTTGCCCAATCGTTTGTGGAAAAGGTCAATGATATGCGCCGCGCCGACTGGGATATGAACACGGACTTTGTGGCCGTGTTCGAGGACCTGATTTTGCCCATGGCGGTCACGGAGGGCCTGACGCCGGAGCAGATGGTTAAGCGGGTGCTGGTGTTTAGCGATATGCAATTCGACAAGGCCGAGGTGGGAGTCGAGGGCAGGGGGTGGGCGTCGTCGTTTGAGCGCGTCAGCAAGGCTTACCGCAAGGCTGGGTACGAGATGCCGCAGCTCGTGTTCTGGAACCTGGCCGGTGGGAGCGGCGGGGAGGTGGCGCCGAAGCCGGTCACGGCGGACCAGCAGGGGACGGCGCTCGTGAGCGGATACTCGCAGGGGATGCTGAAGGTGTTTATGGATAAGGGGCTGGATGGGATCGCGGAGGAGACCGCGGAGGAGGGGGAGGGTGGTGATGATGAAGATGATGATGGCTTCGCTGTCGTGGGCTTTTCGAATAAGAGGCAGAAGCTGGACCCTATCACGTTGGTTAGGAAAGCGATCGGGCATAAGGCGTATGATATGCTGAAGGTGGTGGACTGAGAGGCTCGCGCTAGGAGCTGAGCTGCTGTTTGTGTTTGATACCCCGAGACTCAGAAACGCAGGTGCCTTTGCCTCATTTAGTTAGGTATTTGACTGAGGTTACAAAAGCGTTTGACTACAACCCAATCGGTGCCCGGTGCGAGCGGTGTCGAGCTCCACGAGGAGTTCGCGCCCGATGATGCGATATCGTCGCTCATATGGCTGGCTCTTCCCCTGCATTGTTTGTCTGTCATTTTTATTTAATTTATTTCTTCGTTTCCCTATTTTGGTTGGACCAAATCGTCTCCCGCGTCTGCCTTGCCGCCTTGTTATTTGAGGTGTGGTCGACGGGCATGATGGCCGAAGAAAGGGTGGCTTGGCTCTTGCTTCCCCAGTTCCCACAATTTAGGTACTTTACGTGTAGCGTAGCTCAGCGGGGTCGGACGGCGATAATGCATGCCTAGCGTCTTCAGCTGCAGGCCTCAGACCTGCGGCTGACGCTGGCGAGATCACCTCAACCTTGAGGGCGGGTTTATTTATTCCACGGATTTCGCCACGTTGAACATTAGATGGTCTAGACTTCAGAATCGATCGCCCAAGCGCCTTGGTCGTTGTTGAGATTGATTAGGAGTGCAAAATCATGGCTGCTTCGATGACGCCGTCTTCGTCTTCGACATCGGTGAATGCTTCGCTGAGACCCATTGCGTGAGACTCCCACCCCCCACCCCCCGGCTGTCCACGTGGCGCCCCTGCTTATCTCGGATCCGCTAGGTGTCTGCGCTGCCGCTCTCGCCGGGCTTCCTGTTCGAAAGATCGGCCCAAGTGCACGAGATGTCGAGCCCGTGGCTGGGAGTGCATCTACGAGGAGACAAGGAAGATCATCGTGAATGAGTCGTATGTACCCCTCATTTGGCATGATTCGAGCAGATTCCTCTGACGCGAACACAGTTACCTGAGGCTGCTCGAGGAGAAGGCCAAAGCTTACGAGGGGCGACAAGGTACGCCGTTGTTATTGTCATTTCGGTTGAGACCGGGGACATTGCAATTTAACCATGTCGCAACAGACACATTCTCTCGGAAAGGAAGCACCGAGAAGCCCCCCGAGCCCCTCCCTCGGCGGAAAGATTCCTCGGGAGACAGCCTGGATGAAGACGAATTTGAAGATGGGCACCCTCTTCTTGAACCGTTTAACAGATTAAGCGTGGATAGACTGTCAACCAGTATGCACCCCTTCCCCGAGCATGGCTCGGCCTCGCATAGTGTGTCGGCCTTCTGCCGGCCTTCATCGGCCAGCTGCTAACGTGTGCAATCCCCGATGCGACAAGGCTTCAAGGGCCCGGCTGCTGCGGACAACTTTCTACGCATATTGAGAAACATTTCCGGCTTGTGCGATGACGACGGCCGCCTTGACCTCAACCCTAATTTCTACGAGCCTGGCGCGCTGCCTTCTCGGCGCGAGTATGTGTGGAGCTATACTCGTCTCCCTCCGATCGACATCTGCCGCCGTCTGTTCGCCGCCCAGTACTCGTACCTCGGCACCATCTTTGCCTTTGCTGACCCTCCAACGTTCGATCGGCTGCTGATGGAAGCCCACTGCGGCACGCCGAATCTCGCAGACAAAGATGCCTGTCTTAACTACGCCAAGGTGCTCGTTATCTTGGCCTTTGGCCAGCTGTACTCGGTCAACCAGTGGATCGACTTCAAGGGCCCCCCCGGCTTCGAGTACTTTACCCACGCCCTCCAGCTCCTCCCCGACGCCCACGAGGAGGGCTCCATCAACTGCGTCGAGACCCTGGCGCTCATCGGCTACTTCATGCAGAACATGAATCGCCGCGATGCCGCGTTCCTGTACATCGGCATGGCCATGCGCATGGCAATATCGCTTGGCTTGCACCAGGAAGTCAGCTCGTCCCAGACTTTCGACTTTGGCTTCCCACAGCTAGACGAGGCCACCCGTGAGCACCGTCGCCGCGTCTGGTGGAGCGTCTACAGCCTGGACCGCATCGTCTCCGTCAAGTCCGGGAACCCCATCACCATCCAGGATGAAGACATCGGGGTCAGCCTCCCGTCTCGGCTCCCCGGCGAGCCCGAGTACTGCCCGGCCGTGGTGCTGCGGCACTATACCGAGCTGTCCCGCATCCTCGGCGAGGTGACGACGTCCATCTACCGCAAGACGGGAGCGGGCGAGCCAAAGTCCGGCAGGCGGCTCATGGCGTCGGTGCAGAGCATCATCCTCTCGCTGTCCAACTGGAATCGCGACCTGCCGGACGAGCTCCGGTTCGTCCCGGCGAGGCTCAGCATCAGCCGCGAGAGCGTGAGCACCTTCTCGCACTACTACCAGTGCATCAACATGACGGCGCGCCCGCTCCTGTTCCACGTCGTAGGCAAGCGCCTGAAGGGGATACGCGACGATCCCACGGTGAAGGAGCGCGACTGGACCGAAGGCCTGTCGCAGACGACGGTGCGGGTCATCGAGATGTGCGTCAGCGCAGCGCAAGACACCATCAACATGATGACCATTGCGAGGCAGCGGGACCTCGTTGGTGAGTGCCCCCATACCAACTAGCAGCTCGGAGAGGATGGCGTCCACCTTGCTAACCACCACACACAGCAACATACGGCTACATGGACGGCGAGCATGTCTTCTCCGCCGCCATCGTCCTCGTCATGGTCTGCGTCGCCCTGCCCACCAACCCCGCCAACACGGCCGCCATGAACGCCGGCCTCGACCTTCTCCGCGCCATGGCCGAGCGCGGCAACAGCCACATCGCCGCCCGCTACGAGCTCCTCGCCCACCTCCGCGCCGCAGCCACGAATAACACCGCCGGGATGGACGGCCGCCCGCCCAATCAGCCCCCCATGCCGCCGTTGTTCCCCGCCGACAACAGCAATAACACCGGCGACGCCTTCCTGCCCCCGTTGCCGGATACCCTCGGGCAGGCAATGTTCCCGCCGGCCTCGGTCTCGACCGGTCTGGCGGCGGCGATCGGGGGGCCGGTGCCGCCGTCGCTCACGCTGTCGATCGCGGACCCGGGCGCGCTGCAGGGGGTGTTTTACAACAACAACAACAACGGCGACGAGGACGCCGCAGCCGCCGCCGCCGCCGGGAGTGCTGGGGAGGGGGAGGGGGCGGACTTGGGCCTGTGGGAGGAGGGGTTCGCGGACCCGGCCGTGATGGATGCGGGCTCGGACCTGACGCAGTGGACGAGGGCGGCGCAGATGGTTGTCGATCATGGGATGGGGTTGTGAGCTTTTTTCTTGTCCCTCTCCCCGTGTCTGTTTTTCTGTCGTTTTTGCTCCGGTATTTCTCCCGCGGTGTTGGTGCTTTCTACGCGGTACCTGCGAACGATGATATGATGATGGTTATGATAATGGCTTGATGGAATTGGTGTCTCGGTACTTTCAGAGTGTTTATTCTTTCCTTAGACCCTTGAATGCCTACTTTTCACCTTGGTTCTTCTTGCCTTGCGCTGAACAGCCTGACTGGCGATATCTAGTGCCACTAGAACCACCCCGGGCGGCGGCCTCGCTCCACTTGCCGCTCCGCGATTCCCTCCGGGTTTCGCCTCCGTTCGTACTTGTCATGATTGGTCGCCCGTTCTCAATGCCCCCAAGATTCTGTAAATCCAATGACGATTCCATTACTTCCTCCAACTCCGCGCATTGTCTTTTAATCATGGAAAGCCACATCACTCCATAGAGTGAGATGTGCGGATCAACCAGTTCCGACACCCCCTTCGATGCAACCAGATCACACGCGCCAGAGCCCTCCAACAAGCCCTCCCCCGCCGTTCTAATATTCCACATCTCTAAGGATACGGTGGTTCAAACTCCTTCGAGTCCCCCCAGCGCGTCTGCATCCACTCTCTAAAAGCCTCATACGATCGGTATTCCTCGGGGATCCAGGGCAGCCACTCGTTGTCCCAAGCGCCGTTGAAGAGGTCAATCGGGTTGAGGGGACGTTCCCGGTCTGTGCGCAGGGGACCGACCGAGTTTGGCAGGCCGAGGACGTGGGCATGGCTGGGGTCAATGAGAGTAACTTGTAATAGGTCCTTGCTAATCATGATATTGCGCGGCGCAAGGTTATGTTGGAACACCCCATAGAGCGTAAGCCAGGTGTATTTCTCCATGGCTTTGCCAAGAATCTCCACTCTAAGGCTGGATTCAAAGTTCTTGACGCAGCCCTTGGTTATCAGGGACTCCATAGTCGTGCCAGGGACTTGGTCGATGAGAATCATTCGCACTTCGCGCATCCTGGGTGGCAAGTCTGGTTGGACAGCTGGAGGCATTTCGAAAGTCCAAGAGCCATGGTACTTGGAAAGGTACTTGCCGTCAATTCCAGCCCTTTAAACTTGCTCATATGCAGCAGCCTCACGACTGTAATGAAGGTCAGCCAAAAAGGCGACATCATCTGGGCGCCAGGTGTAATAGAGAGGGTCGAAGATCTTGGCCACAAAATATCTCTGCGGCTTGTCCCTGAATTGGCAACACACGATTTGTGGTCCCCGGCCATCCCCTGTGGCAATCTCGTTCAAGATCTCGAGGGCATGCTTTGATGCGTCTAGATGGGGGTTTGTTACTGGCGGGGGTGTTTGGAGGCAGTATTGGGTGACTGTAAAGTTGCGGAGCTGGTCTGGAGGGATCATCTCATGGCGAAGAGGGCGTTGATAGGACCGGCCGAAAGGCGCAGGTGGAATGTGACGTCGAATCTGTAACTCCTTCCCATTCCGGTAAGGGAGCTCCGGCTTCAATGGATCATAAGGAGGTTTCCAGTCAGCCCCGTTGGACATTGTGGGTTAATCGAATCGAGGCTTTGCTGGGACAGTGACGATGTATTAAATGAAGATAAGTAATGGAAAGTGGTAATAACCTGGAAGCGGGGACAGTGACAGATGGGGGAAGTCGGTTGGCGGGGTTACGGACGTGACCACATGGTCCTTGCCAGGTTTCCAAGTTCCAACTTCTAATATTAACTGGAACACGGGGGAAGACTGTCTATTCAGGCTGCACATTGTTGCTGCCTTTCTCAGATATGACCATAGGCGAGAGCTCTTGCAGAGGGTTCTACCTACGACTATCCATAATATGACTCGTCTAGAGCGATGCGTTATCTATTCTTTCCTCTAAACCCTGCAAGTTTTTCACCCCTAAGTCTATGTCATCGAGCCAATTCCGAATTCTGCGTATCAAGAAGGAGTCATCACAGCTAGCGACGGCAAGATCAAAATCCCTCTGCCGCTGACTTGACTCGAAGATCTCAACCCATGTAGGTTGCAACCTTCGCATCTCTTCCAGGAATAGTCGACGAAGCTGTGTTAGCTCATAATTCTCCAAATGCTCTCAAAAGAGCTCAGCAACCTTCCCATTCTCGTCATGGTGATATCTGCTTTTGATTGGCCTCTCATCGAGTGGTTTCCCCTGCAGAATTGAGGGGAACTGGCAAGCGATCCAGAGCGGCAGAGCTGAGATGCACTCCCAGTCAACCACGCCGGTCAGCATTCCGTCTTCGTTGACAAGGATGTTATGGCGAGATAAATCGTCATGCAAGATCATTGTTGGCTCCGGCTCCGGACTTTTAGTGGGAAAGAACTCGTCCAAGCGACTTCTAAGCCGTGAAATGATGTCCATGGTATGCTCGAGTTCTTCAAGGTTATCCTCTTCTTCCTCTTCCTCGTCCTCCGTTTCCTCCTCTGGCATTCCTTCTGTCTTAGCACCTTCATGGCTGGCGTCCCGTTTGTCCTCTTGGAAGCGACTCAAGCGTTTGCGACAGTCATTTTGCGCGAGTGTTAGCCTAGCCGATAGCCAGTCTTTGCTGGACTCAAAGGGGCCGCGAGGAATATCTTGATGAATGTGATCATCCCAGATAAACGCTGCCGAGACGATTCTCTGGGCGCGGGCTAAGGTAGACCCTGGCACTGTTGAATCTGGAAAGAGATTCCCAATGCCACGCACCTGTGTCCGAAAATATCGGAGCAGAACAAGGCGAGCTGGCGGACAATTTCTTCCTTGGCCGGAAAGCTGATATCCCACCATCGCTCGGCCAGCGGCTTGCCAGGCATTTTTGTCATGGCAATCCACTCAAATCCGATGGCGCTGGCTCGGTCTGCTTGGTACGCTAGGACTTCGGGAACTGGTAGGCTTGCGTTCTCGCGGACCCATTTCAGAGTCGCCACCTCGCTTAGAGTCTTCCAGATTGGGTCGGCTGGCAGCGTCACTCGGGCCACGACCTCCTTTCCGGTAGATTTGATGGTGTAGAGCTTGTTGAATGCACCCTGTGCAAGGAACTCGATATCGCAGGGGGCAGGAAGCTCGAGTGCGGACTGAACAGTCTGCTTGATAGCTTCCTCGTCCAGATTGACCGCCCAGCGAGGCTTGGAACCCCAGAGGTTCCGCACCCACTCTAGGCCATTGAAGTCGGATGGTTGCGTATTTCTAACCAATGCCATGGTGGTCAGACAGACGGTTGTTGGGAAGAGCAAGTATCAGCTCTCCGCACCCAGAATGTGAAGGGCTCGAGGCAGAGAAATGCAGAGGCGATTCCAGGAAGTTCTAATTCGACATGTGAGAGAGAAATTCAGGGACACCAATTCTCCAAAACCATTTCGATAGAGTCTGTATCACTGGAGATAAGTGCACCAGGATCTGGAGATGCCACCTGCTAGAAATCCTGCCGGCCTGGCAATAACTGTGATGCACAGACCCCAGTCGTGAGAAGCAAACTGCCCAGGCCCGCGCAGCAAGGCTCGTTTCATTGGCCACACTCCCTAAAAATAGGTGTTGCCTCCAACACTCCATGCTTGTGTTCATTACTACCTAGGGAGGTAGCCAATTATTATTCCCTTCTTGCATATTTGGGGCCTGGTACACACTCCGAACATGCATCTCGGGCGCTTGGATGCAAGGAAAGGAGATCTGACTCCAAGCCGTCAGCACAGGTTTCTATTTTAATGACTTGGCTGCGAACCCACCTAAGGTGTTCTATGGCTCTTAAGGACTACCTCAGCTACCTACTGAGTACGCGCGCCACTCATTATATGCCCAGATACATGAAACTGAGCCACTTCAACAAGCATTTCCATTGGGAAGCGCCTACCTGTGAGGGTCACGTCTTGCGATTTTGAACCCCCCTCCTCCCCGGGCACAACTGGTCTTGGTCATTGTCAGTCGGCTGGTCCAGCCACATACTCTGATGGCATCCAGTTGAAACACGTAGACCCGGGTAGAAGTGTTAATATCGTGTCTATAAATATGACCCGTCCGCTACACTTGCCAGCCGATCCATGACCTAATTACATACCTCCCGATTGCCAAGAAGCATAGCCAAGTGTCCACTGGTAGTTTGGAAGTCTTCGAAACTTCCTCTCCCCACGCCAAACTACACCATTGCGTCTCGAAACAATGGGCAAGGCTTCTGCTGCAATCATCGACTTCATCGAGAGCATCCCTGATGAAAAATTGACCGGATTCTCGGATACAAACCCGTCGTATACCGTCTATGATACCACAGACTTTCGTCTCGATGTTCAAAACGTAAGTGAAAGTCAGAGCCGCAGAGTATCCTACACATTGAAGCACCACTGTAACCGAAAGTTGTACAAGAGACGGCTGGCGATCCAGCAATGTACAATCTTCAAGTTCAAGTCAACAAGCAAACGAGAATGAAACGGAAATCGAAGAATAGGGGTATCGCAGTAGCAAAGGCTCTTGTTCCCACCGACGAATCGTGGGATGCTGCAACTGTCCGGAAGAGATTGCTCGACGGCAGGCTCGTGTAGTACTATGTCGGAAGTCTGTTTCGGTTGATGGATTTTCCGCTTGATATCTCAGTTTGGATACCCACCAGCACTGCAGGCCCGAGTCGTGCTGTGCAGTGACAGAGCCGAGGCATCTGCTGAGTTAGGTCAGGGCGTCCTGGGCTCCATCGTTGTGTCAGGTAGCCGCCGGATCATTGTGCGCTGGTCTTGGGTTTTGCTTTCTCCCGCCCCCCCCTTCTTTCCTCCCAAGTACTCTGCCTAGGTAGCGCTATTGGTATCGTTTGATTGTTCGCCCGACATGCTCGCCCTTCGTACCTAACAGCCCTTCTTGCGGCGGATAGCTGGAGTCGGACGCGCGCGGCCTGCCGAATCATTTGCGCGCTCGTTCGGCGCGGGCTTGCCCTGCCTGTCGGTAGTTGGCTGTCGCTGTTCAGTAGCTCAGAGTCGAGACTGACAATGCGAGTGGAGGGCTCGGGAAACTGTACCAGGGATATGGTACTGGTATATTCTGGGGCCATAGCCTGAAAATGTAGCCAGTACATCATGTACTAGTGCATTCCGGGGGGTGGTGCATTATATATCAGCCCAAGTTCCAGGCCAGTACGTACTGGGTACGCGATTCACAGCTTCGAACTTATGCTATCCCGTGACAGGAAGAGGCTTATGTAGTCCAGACCTGGTGTTGACGTAGACATGGATGATGTTGTCTGTTTGTGGTGGGTCGAAGGGCCCGAGGAAGTCCAGAACTTGGGATCGACATCTACATACTTGCCAGAGATATCATCGGCACTTTCAAATGCCTTTGTGAAATCGGGTCACCAAGATCTATCTCATTGGCGACAAGCGAGGGCACTCCCTGCGCCGCTCTCCTGCGCCTCACTCTGTCGACTGTGCGACATGGCCTAGCGAGATGCGGCTGCCCCAATCGGAACCGAAATGACGGAATGGGCTGAGATATCATACTATATAATTCGGCAGATTCGGCAGACCAAGTCTTCCTGCCGTTTGGTTTGGCTTGGGGGCCAAAGGCAGCCAAGCAAATTGCCGTTATTGCAATTTAGATCCCGCTAGCCCCGGCAGTAATTCGACGTGGATGGACCTTGTAGTTGTATATGCTTTGCATAGATACGTATGATGAGACTGAGAGGAGGAAGGGGCACAGCCGGAGTGTCCTATCCGTTCGTTCTCGAACTGATTCCTCGATGACGGCGTAAGATTGCTTGTATCAAAATATTGGACATCTACCGACGGTCATTTCCGTTCGCCTCTCTAGTATCTCCGAAGCCCCCAACTGTTTGCCAACAAACCAATCACGAGCCTAGACTTAACGGCTACGACCATGGTAATCCACACATTGGAGTCGAGATATATCCACTTAAAAATAAGGCTCCCCGCAAATGAAACTGCGGGGAGGGGGCCTGAGGGGGGGTACCCCAAGTTCGGCAATTGCAATGGCAAGCTGACAATGCTTCTAGTCAGCTTTCTGGTCTGAGAGTCTGAGAGGTCTGAGAGCCGACTGGTTGGGGTGCTGGGCATTGCGGGACGGCTTCCTCAAGACAAGCTTTTTACTTTGCCCGGAGCATTTCCGCCCTCTATTAACCCACACTTTCATTCACCTTCATCCTCGGTTTCCAATGTCCCGCGCGTAACCTTGTGGAGTGAATTGTTTATCAGGGATTGACTAGCACCCCTGTGGTCCTTGATAAGGACGATCAACCTTGTTGAGAGAGAAAAAATATCTGCACCCAAGCATCCCACCTCCAACACGCGATCGCGATCCTAACCTGTCACATTTTGACTTGGATATTTCCGTGATTGAAAACAGCTCGGCATCGAAAATGGCGAACATCGACGCGGCGGATGGCTCCCAGGCTGGAGACAGCAACACCGAGAAGCAGATCGAGAAGCAGAACGAGACCCAGGTCGAGGTCCCCACGAAGGCCAGCCGTCTGCACGAGTACCGTGAGGATGAGGGGTACATCATCGACAGCGAGGTGGCCGGCTCAGGCGCGAAGCTCGCCAAAGATGGTCGGACGGTGCTGATCCCCGAGCCGAGCGACGACCCCAACGACCCGCTCAACTGGTCGTGGAAGCAGAAGCACATCATTCTGCTGATCATCGCCTTCGCGTCGTTTCTGCCCGACTATGGCAGTGCCACCGGCGCTGTCACGCTGATTCCCCAGGCTGCGTGCGTAGCCGTGATCCCTTTGGCATGCTTTCTAGGCTGGTATGGAACCTGTCACTGATCGGATTTCACAGGCAATGGAACATGACGCCGGACGAGGTCAATCATTCCCAAGTCGGGAATGTCTTCATGCTCGGTGCCGGGGGCATCTTCGGTATGTGCTTCACCTTTTTTCGCGATGTTGTGGCCGAGTGATCACGTAAAAAGGCTAACCCAGGTGTCTCTGCACAGTCGTCATGGCCAGCGCCTACTTTGGGCGCCTTCCCGTCGTATTCTGGTTCCTCATTATGAATCTCGCCACGGCGGCATGGTGCGCCGGCGCGACCAGCTTCAAGTCCTTCATGACGGCTCGGATTCTCAACGGGTTTTTCTCGACCGTCTCCCAATCCGGCGGGCTCATGTTCATCCAGGACCTGTTCTTCTTCCACGAGCGGGCGAGAAAGATCAATATTTGGGCGTAAGATTCCACCCGGCCCCCCACGCAAAAAAAAACCTTACTAGTTGTGTGACTCACTCACTGACGGCGGTGGTTGCAGGTCCTTCATCATCATGAGCCCCTATCTCGGACCCCTTCTCGGCGCCTTCATGACTGAAACGAAGCCGTGGCCAACGCCGTTCTGGGTGTTCACTGCCCTGTCGGCATTGGCGCTGATCCTCACGGTGCTCTTCGTCCAGGAGACCTACTACGACCGAAGCATCCCCGCCTCCGAGCAGCCGCCCAAGGGCAGTCGCGTCGCGAGGTTGACTGGAGTTGCGCAGTGGAGGTCCAGACATCTCAGGAACTCGCTCGGCCAGGCGGTTTGGCGTGTCGTCAGCGTGATCTTGAAGCCGACCGTTTTCCTGGCTAACCTGTACTACATGTTGGTACGTGAGAGGGCCTCCACCCTTCCCCACCTTCCTCACCCTTCCCCCACCTTAGCCACCCCCCTTCCCCACCCTCCCCCAGGATCCACCTCATCGCCCAGAAACTGACCTCGATAACCCGCCAACTTAATCAGACCTTCGCCTGGGCCGTGGGCATCAACACGACGCTGGCCATCTTCCTCACGCCACTGTACGGCTTCGGGCTCAAGCAGGTCGGCTTCTTCTACTTCACGCCCATTGTGGCGGTCCTCCTGGGCGAGATCACGGGCCACTGGCTGCACGACCTCCTTGCGCGGCAGTACATCCGGTCGCACGGCGGGCGGTTCGAGCCCGAGGTGCGCCTGCGGGCGCTCTTCGTGGCGCTGCCGTTCACGGTGGCGGGCCTGGTGCTGGTGGGCCAGGCCCTGGAGAACGCGTGGCACTTCATGGCGACCAGCGTCAGCTGGGGCCTGTACGTGTTCGGCACCATGATCATGACCGTGGGCCTCAGCAGCTACTGCCTCGACAGCTACCCCGAGGCCTCGGGCGAGGCCTCGGCCTGGCTCAACTTCTCGCGCACCCTCGGCGGCTTCATCGTCAGCTACTTCCAGGTCACCTGGGCCGACGCCCAGGGCACGCGCCTCAGCTTCGGCATCCAGGGCGCCATCTGCGCCGGCGGGTTTGTCTTCATATTGGTGCTGCTCAAGTGGGGCAAGGCTCTCAGGGTCTGGGCTGGTCCGCTCAACTTTTCTACGTCTTAGGCGCGTCCTGCTGTGCTTGGTCCGGCTCGAGATGCTCCCCCGTTATGGAGCGAAGGACATGTTCCCTGGCTTTTAGCTGCTGACTCTGCGGTAGCTCTCCGGATGGCCTGTAAAATAGCAATAATGATAATAGCCACGGTTAGCACACGGGAAGAGATGCCCAGAGCAAGCTGTCAACGGTCGGGAAGGAAAAGGTCTGGGGTGAACTCCTTCAAATGCAGGTATTCGGTATTTCAACACGGCGAGACTTGGAAGACTTGATGCTTCTCGGCAGACTAAAGCTAAGGCAGAATACCCTGAAAAGATAATGAAAGGTTCAGTTCCCCTCTTCGTATTTATAAGCTCCATTACATTGCGCCCCCCCTCGGCAAAAACTTCGACGCACAACCAGTATCAGGGGGGGGCCTAAATCATCGGCACCTGAGTCAACGCCGTTATGAGGCAGAGCACCAAATTCCGACCGGTGGTGATGGGCGCAGCCAGACAAGTCGCTGCGTCGGGCGTGAGATAGACGCCAATTGAGGCCTGGCAAGCGGGGAGGTCGGCGAGGATGGTGGCCGGGTCGGTGACATCGGCCAGGTCCAGGCAGGCGGCGGGCAGCGTGGTGAGGCACGTGTCCGCGACCTGCGTGTTGAGGCAGGTCAGGATCTGGTCGCCGCTGAACCCCACGATGTTGGTGGCGCAGGTGACGAAAGCGCCGATCGGCGCAATCCCGTCCGCGGTCAGGTCCGTGATGCAGTTCACCGAGACCGTGCCGAGGTCCAAGATGTCGCCGAGGGGGATGCCCGCGAACGCTTGGCACGACGCCGGCAGCGTCAGGCAGTCGAAGATGGCCCCGGTGATGTCCGCCGGGCAGGCGGCGAGCTCGGTGTCGATGGGTGCGAGGTTCAGGCTGGCGGCGACGCAGGCTAGGGCGCCGGGGCCCGAGGTTGGACCGACGATGTTCAGGCAGTCGGTGACGGTGACGGTGGCGAATGGGATGATTGAGTCGAGGCATGCGTCCAATTCCGATGCGACTGGGAGGAGGATGGTGTTGAGGACTAGGCACGCCTCCGGCAGGACTTGGATGCAGATGCCTTCGACGGCTTCGAGGAGACAAGTTTCGACCTCAGCCCCCGACAGCAGACCCGGGACAAGGCAGGCTGCGAGTGCAGGAATGGCGTCAAACGTGCCCAAGGCGGTTCCGCACGCCGTAAGGTCAGCCGCGAGGGGGGTTGGGGGGAGGGTCAGGCAGGCTGCGGGAAGTTGCGTTCCGCATACTAGAGGCAGCGTGTCCAGAGGAATGCAGGAGGGGGTGCTTGACGCTGTCGTGGTGCTGGATACCACGGTGGTGGTTACCGGTAACTCGGTGCTGGATGACACCACACTGGATGGTCCGACAGCGGTTGTGCTTCCACCTTCGGAGGTAGACACAGCTCCCGTGGAAGTAGCAGCGCTGGCTCCAGTTACAATTGAACTGCCACCCTCAGAGGTCGTGGCACCCGATGTGGCGGCGGTGAACGAGCTTTCAATGCTCGACAGTGTAGACACGACGATAGTGCTGGAACCACTGGTGGAGCAAAGTCGATAGTCGGAAACTACAGTGCTGTGGAGAGTTAGGTCACGACACATAATCAGACTTCGAACGATGGGATGCCTACCTGCTAACCGAGACGGTTGTCGAGGTGCGGAGAGCGATGACCTCAGTCACAAGGTGCGTCGGCGCGTCGGTGACGGGAATAGTCAAGCCGTCGTTGATGACAATGTCGGTGTTGGCGGGAATGAAGGCATCGATGAGGACCGGGGTTGCAAAGACTTGCGTGACAGTCTGCGTCACGTAAATGTTGACGCCGGTAGTGCAACAGTAGATCGAAGTCTGGCCCAAGGCCGAGCTAATGAGCGTCGCGGTGAGGCCGAGGCCAACACCAACCAAGTTGGAAGTGCGCATGGCGTAAGGAGCGACAGTACGGTTGGTGTATAATTCAGTTAATGAGCGAATGGAAGTAGTTGGTGTTGTTCAACGAGTGTGGTGATCGAGTTGGTCTGCAGCTGCGAGTGAAGAGTAGCAGGTATATAACTGCCACGATCCAAGGGGAGGATCAGGAGATGGGTTTCCCCGCAAGCTGTGGTGGCTTGCCCAGACTTTGAGTTGGAATGAGAGAGAGTCCATTCTGTCTTCAACAACACGGCTCGTAAGGCGCGACTCCTCTGCTGTCAGCCTACGATATTCAACGCGTCTCGGCCGTTCTGGTCGCGCTCATTAGAAGATCGCCGTAAGGGGCAAAAAGGGGCGTCGCTTGTGCACGTCCAGAGCGGACTTTCTGCTCCGCTACAATGGAATGTCTCAGTCCTTGGAGTTGAATGTAGAGCCGCGTAGCGATTGTTGTGACACCGCGTAGAGAGAACGCGACTAGCCTCCCCAGGGAGGATTTTAAACTTCACCTTAAAGCTGAGCAAGGCATCCGTTAGCTGGCCGAGCCGGGTTCCGCGCGTCTTCTTATTGGCCATTTGGGGGGTTAGATTCCAAACCAAGTCACGTCTCAGATCGTACCTAAATTCTTACTGGCAGATCTTGAGATTCCAGCCTGGGAATGTGAACGGCTTTTTAGCTATTCCTCTTCTCCAACAATTGCCCGACATGGAGTTGGGGTAAGGTGATCGCCCGCCCTCCTGCGTTCGTGGATATAGATATATATATATTAGGTATCTGGGGAGGGAACTAGTTTGGCGACTGTACTAAACTACCTGCTTCGTACACTTGTCAATCTTGACATCCTCCACACTCGTTAATAGTTCAACTTGCAATCTTCGTTCGTTACCTGCCCACCATGTCGCTCTTTTCAATTCTGATGCTGCCACTCGCAGTTGGGCTTGCCGGCGCCCAAGCCGTCCTCCCCCGCCAGGCACCCGGCGGTTGTACCTCATCCGTCACTCTCCCTGGCACGGTGGTCTACGTGTATGAGCCCCTCTCCACCTGGGTCCCCGGCGCAGCAACAACCACCAACCCAGGGCCCATCTCCGAGACCACGACCGTCTACGAGACCGTCTATTCCACCTTCTGCCCCGCCTGCACCCACGGCCTCGGCCCCAGCACCTACACCCTCACCCAAGTCTGCCCCGGCGGCCCCGGCTCCCCCTGCCGGCCCCGTGGCGACAACTGCCCCCCGGGCTTCCACGTGGTCGTCTCCGTCTGCCACCACTGCGGCGACGAGCCCCTCACCGCAACGCTCACCCTCCCGCTCCCGGAGAAGACGGCCACCTACGAGGCAGCCTACCCGTACTTCTGCCCCACGGGCCTCGAGACGAAGACCTACACCGTCGCCCAGGTGTGCCGCGACGACGACCCCTGCGACCACCCCGGCGACGGCCGCCTGCCGCCGGGCTTCACCGAGAGCGTGGGCGTGTGCGCCACGTGCGGCCCGAATCCCATCACCGCCACCCTGACCGTCCCCGCCGGCGGCGTGCCGACTGGGGGCGCCGCCGTAACTGTTACGAAGCCGCTTGGCCCCGCTACCGAGACTGGCGCGGGGGATCACCCGGTGTATGTTGCGGGCGCTGTTGGTTCGCCTGCGTGGGGGTTCCCGGCCTTGGTACTGGTGCTTGCCGTCCCGGTTGTCCTGTTTCGGTTCGGGCTTTAGTTGGGGTTGGGGTGCTGGGTGGTAGTTAGTTATCGACGGTGGTATTGGGGACAGGTACTAGGTATTAAATATATGAGAGTGTGGCTGTGAGTATTACAGGTTAAAATGCTCCCAGGATCATGCCCTTGATCATTTCCATCTTTGTGAGTAGACTGGTACTGCTGCCGCTTTAACCTGTGCAGTGGGTGCGTGGATGATATTTCAACGATTGGTTCGTCTTGACTCGTTTTATCTTGGCTCAATTCATCTCGTCTTGGTTCGTGATTATGTTGAGAACGATTACCTTGTTCCGTGCCTATCCACCTTTTTTGCTCACTTTGGTTACCTACCGTTAGTTACCTAGGTAATTACCTAGGTACTGTACTGTACCCTCATGCTTACTCCTAGGCAGTTAGTTGAATCACTTCCACTCAACATGTCATCCGCGCAGAACGGCAAATTTGTTTACTTTCACAGACTGCAAGGCGACAACATTCGGCTGCTCTCATTGCTCCCCGGCACGTTCAAGGACGACATCCAATTGGAACTCTGGGAAACCCCGCTTCCCAAGAACCATGAGACGGCCGAGGCTCAAGTAGCCTACAAGCTAGAGGACATCCGCGAGACTCTACCGCCCGGATGGCTTGTCGAGGTCAACCTGGAGGGGGGTTTGTTTTATGCGAGAAATAAGCCTGAAGAAGAGATTGCGGAAACGACCTACCACATCCCGTTCCGACTTTCCGACTTTCCGACTTTGTCTCCGCGCCGACAGAGCAGCCACTAAAACGTCAGATCCCCCCGTTTGAGGCTCTTTCCTACGTCTGGGGAACCAATAGCGATGGCGGACTCGCTCACGTCACCGAGCGTGCCGTCACAGAATGCACCGCTCTCTCGTCCAGCGCCGGTACTCTCTGCATCGGCAAGAATCTTGCGGAAGCACTACGACACTTGCGACAAACCAACAGTGCAAGAACCCTCTGGATCGACGCCGTATGCATCGACCAGTCGTCCACAGAAGAGAGGAGCGACCAGGTCACGAGGATGGGCTCCATCTACAAGTCGGCCACCAGGGTCGTTGTCTGGCTTGGACCACCGGGTCCCGATGCCAGCTGGCACATAATCAACAGGTTCACGTCTAACGGGGGAGATGTCGAGGTATCCAAGGACGGCATTCTGTATTCGCACCCGAACAACACGCGGTGGATGCAAGGATTGATGGCGAACCACATGATGCGGATGGACGCGTCGGAGCGCGGGGGGCTGGAATCCTTCGTCTTTTGCGAGTGGTTCAGCAGGGTTTGGACACTGCAGGCACCTTCCGGGACATGATCGAGACGATCCGGGCTAGGCAATGCGCAGACCCGAGAGACAAGCTCTACGGGGGTCAAAGGGCTCATGCACCCGAGAATAGCAGAACACATCACCGTCGACTACGCCAAGCCCTGGCAAGAGGTGTACCGAAACGTCTTCCTAGCACACGCTGGCTTGACGAGATCCTTCTCGCTATGGCACGGCTGCAGTGCTGCCACGAATCTGGCAGGCTTTGCCTTCTGGGTGCCGGACTGGTCGACCAGTCTGGGATCCGACACGTACTTCATCGGAAATGACGCGCGGGCGAGCCACTTCACCATCGGCCATTTTACCTACGAGCCGCCAGACAGGTTGACGGTGGCGGCTGTCCATGTCGGAACAGTCGTCGATGGATCGGTGGAAGAGGTCAGAAACGAGCGGGATTTGCGGCGAATTACCGAACAGACACTGTCTTTCAGAGATCGTTTGCGTGCTCTTCCCGAAGTCCTGTGCCTGGGAAGCTCCCGAACCGAGTTTAGGGCCCATGTCGAAGCCATGCGCCGTTTTCTGCAGGTTTCCGCCATGGACGACCTCCATCCTAACGAGAGGGCTTTGCTCAGGGGGCTTCTTCAATCGCAGCAGGATCGGGCGCTTGCCACACTCACCATGTCGCCGGGAAATTTATTTGCTTCTGTTAGAGGTGACAAGACTGCAATTCAAGGAGGTAAGTAAACACACACACCCCTTAAAACTTGGTGAATACAAATCCTAATTTCTCTGCAAGGGATGCAGCGTATGTCGTACTTGGCTGCCCTGTCCCGCTGTTACTGCGCCCAATGGGAAATAATGCCTTTCAAATGGTCGGAGATTGCTACGTGGAGAGTTATATGAACGGCGAGGCCGCTGTTCAACGGCTGCCCGCCCCATGGTCAGCGGCTGAAAGCGACGAAGGCGCCTTCGCCCAAATCCCACGCTACAAAAACAGCGAGACTGGTGAACTGTCGACCGACGACCCTCGACTGGATAGCTTGCTTGACGACTGGGAAGTGGCCGGCGCCGTGTTCGACGATGGTGCTTCGGCCATATACCAGCGTCTCCGACACCAGCCACAAATTGTCAAGGGGGTGCGCGACAGAAGAATTCAAGAAACGACCGAGCGGGGAAAGCGTTTGTTCAAGCAGTACCGCAACAGAGTCACCGGAGAGGAAGTTCTACGAGATCCCCGTTTGACTATCAACAGCCTTGAGCGACGGGGTGTCAACGTACAGCATATCACGCTGGTCTAGTACACTTATGGGCTCCATATAAACAATGTAAAGTTGCCATGTATAACGGGCTCAGGCCCGAATAGAACGATCTGGCGCATAGCCTGCAGCCACTTACAATACCAAAGAACCTAGGTAGCTACGGACGTTCACCAACGGCAACGTTATGGCTACCTTACCTTTTCAGACGACTGCCTCTGTGCTTGCCTTGCTTAGCGCTGGTTTTTTTGGAAAGTAACATTCATTGTTTTGCCCATTCCCTCAACGGGGATGTTGTAACTTTGACATTGGAAGTCCAGCTGCATCCCCAAAAGAGTATTTCAGTCACAACCATTGGTGGCAGTCCACAAATCCCATTTCCATATTGGCAACCTGGATATAATTGGAAATGTTTCTCGATGCTCGGAAACCTGCCCTATTGGCCCATTGACGAGACCGGAACCGCCAGATGCGTCAGCTTCATTTGGTCCAAGCAGCAGGAACTCCGTTTCCCGTTTGGGGAACCGGAGTAACAGTACCACCCTATTTACGCCTCCCAGGAAAATGAAAAGAGAGAAATCCCGGCTACAGTATCATTGCCCTACGTATACAATGCAGGGGGTCTTTACCCGCTTCCCGGTAATTATGAATGGACAATTTAAAGAGCGGGATGTTCGCTGCCCCACGATAAAATGTCTTGGGGTTCCCGCTCCTTGTACGACCAAACAACACTGAAAATGGTGTACATTCAACCGCAGCCCGCCCTGGAAATTCTCTGGGGAGGTCTTGTTAGTCTGTTGATACTGTAAGTCGTTCCTCAATTGACCGAGCCGCTTTGTGAGACCCAGCACCCTCACACCGCCACCAACCAGTTCGCCATCCCTTTCGACGGCGTCTCCCACGGCAGGAAAGTGCTCCAAAACATGGACACCGGTCAACGCGACCGACTATGTGAACCAGATGAATCCCGGGTGGAATCTCGGAAACACTCTCGACGCGATCCCCAACGAGGGTTCTTGGAACAACGCTCCCGTTGTTGGCGAGACATTTGATGTTGTCAAGAAGGCCGGCTTCAAGTCGGTGCGGATTCCAGGTGCGGCTGATTCGTATCTCCGAAACTATGGCCTCAGTCTGACACTGAGCCCAAGTCACCTATGCCGATCATTATATCAGTGGTTCTCCCGACTGGACCATTGATCCCGCCTGGCTCCAGCGAGTGTCTGATGTTATCGACATGGCCACATCGAGGGGGTTTTATGTCATGACGAATATCCACCACGGTAAGCGGCACTAAGACATAGAAGAGATCTGGAGGCACCACGAGTCTCGCTAACCTGGACGAGACTCTTGGGAGTGGGCGGATGTCAGCCAACCGGGAGCCAACTGGACCATGATCGAGGAGAAGCTGCGCGCCTCCTGGGTGCAGATCGGCAAGAAGCTTGCCTGGAAGTCCGAGCTGGTGTCCTTCGAGCCCATCAATGAGGCTCCCGCTTCCACTGCTGAACACGGCGCCGAGATCAACAAGATCAACCAACTCTTCCTCGATGCCCTTGCTGAATCCGGCGGCTTTAATTCGCAACGCTTGGTCACGCTGGTCAGCGGCAACATGGATCCCATAAAGACGAGTGAATGGTTCGTCCCGCCGAAGAACATCTCCAATCCGTGGGCGCTGCAGTTCCATTACTACAACCCCTGTAAGACCTTCCAGAGCCCGACCGCGCAACAGTTGATGCTGACAGAGTGGATAGATGATTTCATCTTCAGCGCCTGGTGAGTGAAAATAATTCAAATGCTAACAACAGCGGAGTTTGCTCTCTGTTCTGACACCCAACAGGGGTAAAACGACATGGGGATCCGACAGCGACAAGGCCGCGCTAACCGACGAGTTCGCCATCGTGCGAAACAACTTCACCGACGTGCCCCTCATCATTGGCGAATGGGACGCAAGCCCGACCAACACGGAAACCGGGGCTCGGTATCGGTACTTTGACTACTTCATCCGCCAAGCCAGCGCCATCGGGGCCGCCACCATGGTCTGGGACAACGGCGACGACCACCTGGACCGAAATACCGGCCTGTGGCGAGACCCGGTGGCCATCGACATCCTGATGAATGCCGCAAAGGGGGTCCCAAATTCCCTGCCCGACGGAACGACCAACCTCGACGCGACGACCCAGCAGAGCTCGGCCTACATCTATCACAGGTTCGGGGACGACGTGACCGACCAAGCTCTCCCGTTTCTCCTGAACGGCAACACCCTAGAGTCCATCAAAGTGTCGGGGGGCTCAACCGCGCGCCCGTCAACAGATTACTCCATCGACGGTTCGACAGTGACCTTCAAGGCAGCCTTCCTCTCGACGCTGATATCGCCCACCGCCGAGCCGGGAAGCAAAGCCAACCTGACGCTGAACTTCTCCGCCGGCGCGGACCTGAACGTCGAGGTTGTGCAATGGGACACGCCCGTCCTGGCCACGACGTCCTCGAAGGCGGTCGCGGGCGCCGACCTGCACATCCCGATCGACTACAAGGGCCTGAAGACGGTCGCCGCGGTCAAGGTCCTCCGGATCGACGGCACCATCCCCTTCGACGACTGGACGGTGTGGCTCGGGCCGTTGCAGCAGGGGCGAGCGGTAAGTTGAGCCAAGAAAAATCCTGGGTTTGAAAAGGGGGAAACTAACCCGTGTCATAGACGTATGGTAAGCAGTATAGCTGGGATGGTAAGAGCGTGGTTATCACGGCCGATGCTGTTAATGACGTCATTACATCGGGGCTGACGACGGGTTATATGTTTGAGTTCTACCCGAGGATAGTCCCGCTGAACGCCGTCAACTACACTCTCGAGGCTTGAGGCAAGTGGCTGACCAGACTGCTGGGATGGCGGCTGATCGGAGGGCCGCGAGTTGTATGGATTCGCTTCGTCGAGCAGCAGTTTTGGGAATTTTATGATGACTGCATTGTATATATTTAGTTTGCCCAAAACAAGTTGTGTATCTCTTGTCATAACTGTTCTGAATATAGTTAAATTGAATTGAGGAAATTCCACCAAGTAGTTAACACTAAGAATTAGCACGGCTGGTTGTCCTATATTATATTAGCCTTTTCTTCAACATTTAAATGTCGGCTATCGAGAATAGGTTGTCTAAGCTTAGGAAATGCAAGACCAAGGCTGGGTGACAGCAGTGAACGACCGTGTCCAACTCTCCGTCGACACTATACCGTGCAGAGAAAAAAGGGGAAGCTAAGAAGCGGGAAGTGTCAAATATTGGCCCAAAAATCACGACAGGCTCTAATTAGCACCGCAATTTTTAATACTGTACCATGAAATTAGTTCAGTTCGAGGCAGCGTTTGATATGACACCTTATGACGACGTGTTAGAAAGGCCTGTCTCTTTGCCGTGGATCCGTGTCGTTCTTTATCCTCCGCCAACGAGTCTTATACCGGCCCTTCTTCATTGGCTCAATGCGCCTCTCCTTCTCCCTGACAACCTCGTTCCACAATCTCCTAAAATCGACGTTGACATTGAACTCGCCCAAATCCCTGGTCTGTAGCTCCACATTCTGAGCCTTCATAAACTCGATCCCCTTTGGCTGCAAGTCGTCGAAATCGATGTTTTCTTCTCCCCACGCCTCATCCAAGTTCATGCCGTCAATGAAGTCGGCCAGGTTGCTGCCGTTCTGCAACACCAGCAGAGACCGGCCAAACTGCGGCATCTGCGGGTAGGGGATGCCTTTCCTGCTGAGCTCGCAGTACTCGGGTCGGGGATCGATGAAGCACCGCGAGGACGGAGTGAGGATGAAGAAGAACCCGGCACCCTTCAGCTTGAAAATGGGGTTCAGGTGACGGAAGGACTTCATCAGTGGCGGAGGTGGCTTGGCAGGTTCGTAGTCATCGTTCTCCTTGAAAATCCGCTCGGCATCTCCAAGCTGGTGGGCCGGGACGCAAATATCCCACTCCTAATAGAATATCAGTCAGTGCCTAGCAACTACACAAGTGAGGGCACGGGGATCAATAACGGCGGGCCCACCCATGTAACTCGTCCGGCCCCATAGTAGCGCAGCGCATTTACGTCGACGACGCAGGCTGGGATGTCGGCGGCGTTGAGTAGCCTGATGACCTCCCTTACATCATCTACTCCAATGCTGGCACGACCTTCGAAGATTCTCAGGCCTGGTAGCACATCCTCGGCCTTGGGGACAGGAACGGAGCCTTGTTGCTTGCTCACGTCTGTGTCGTCTGTGTTCGCATCTGCCTGTCTGTCCGTGGGTGCGTCCCGCTCCACGCAATCATTCGTTTCTGTGACTGTTTCTGTGGCTGCACTCGGGTTGATATCGCTTGCGGTGGCAGAGCTGTCCATGATTCCTGGTGTAGCCCGGCGTACTGAGTTGGACGCAACCACAAGCGTCATACAGAGCACAGTTGTGAGAAATGGTGGGGTAAAGCAGGACGCTATGATTGATTATAAGGTTGGGCGGGGCGGTAGGCGGTATGGAGGCGCTCGTAAAATAGACCAAAAATAAGTCCCAATACTCCATTTGGCCAATCGGGGCCGATAAACCCTCCGTGAAAGTGGGCACTTATACGCCACATCTGACAGTCTGGTAGCCTGTTCTGTTAGGCGCCCTGAGGGTCGCTAATTTTCCAGGGGGTTTCTAGCCCGTTACAGGCCCCGCTCCACATCTTCCCGTTGGCCGCTCCGTCCTCGTCGTGCGACTAGATCCGGGCGCGACCGGTATCTTGTCGACGCCGTCTGTCTGTTGATAGCGGCCATGGCAAGGGACCACCCCCCCCGCCCCCCCCCCGGCCCCCCTCCTCGGATAACTTCCTCGAGTTTCTGAGGCCCGCTTGGCGGTCGGTGTCGAGAACAGGTCCTTCTCCCCATGTCGGACGAGAACGGTACAAACAAACGTGTGTCATGAGACGTTATTGCCGCTGGGGTGCATACAGTGGTCAACAACCAGCCTAAGACAAGGCCATTTTTTGGAAAGGAATACTTCGTTTTACTTTGGTAATAGAGGTGAGGGAGGCCCGGGGAGCCCCCGGCCGCGGCTCTGGTCGTGAGCCGCCGAGCCCTATAAATACACCCCGAGACAGGACGACGGGCTTGCCGCGCTTCTACCAGCCGGCGGCAAAAGAATGCGGCCCCTCATAACCAATTACCCGCATTTCGAGAGGACCGGGCCACGCCCAACGTCGCCGCTTTCGACCTGTTTCGATGCATAAGCATGTAATACTTGCGCAACCTTGTTGTATTGGAGAAAGGGCTGAATCTGGGTTGCAAAGCTGCCGAACAGGTATAAAGAACCATGATTATCTCCTTCGGCTGACAGTAGACACCGTGGTATCCACATGTTCCGCTGAACTACACAATCCCTTCTTCTCCGCCCGATATGGCATATCTTCTCTAGAAGCTTGACTCCAATTCGATTTCCCCTTCTACCTTTTTCTTTTCTTTCGCACTTCTATTCAACATGCCTACATACACGGAAGATGACCTCGATGGTCTCGAGGAGGCTGCTGAGAACGCAAGCCCAGATCAACAGTCGATAGGCCTGGAATTTGTGGCCGGGGTTCTTGAAGGGAACTCCATTACCTACGGTGTCATGGGAGGAATGAACTTCTATCTGCCTGGTTCGGGCCGCGCGACCGGAGATGTTGACATTGCCGTGGACAATCCGCCCCGGATGGGTGACCTGCTGACTGTCTTTGACAACCAAGAGAGGTTAGTACCGAAGGGTTCTCCGAGCTATATAATTCATTCTCTCCTCACTGTATTGCCTCTTACCTACTATCTAAGGCCATGTCGTCTCATGAAAAGACTGCCTTTCGCTAAATAGAGTTGTCAACAGGGTTTTCAGGCCGGCCAACAGGATGCAGTGGGTTTCTGGCGTCGCTAGGATCTTCGTCAGTGTCCAAAGTCAGCTCGTACAGCTCGATCTCAAGCCCAAGGGAGCTGAGGGCCATCTCATCCCCAGTAATATTGCGGGATCCGTCGACAGGATGAGCTTCAGAACTACCCAGGGTCCCTTCGACTGCTACCTGTTGGCAATCGGGCCACTCGTGGCAGCCAAAATCGCCATGCCCCGCACCCCCTCTCCCCCGGCCAGCCAGGCACCCGGGCTCGGCCCTGGAGGCAACGGCCGAGGAAGCAGCGGCGGGGCCGTCTACGGCGGCTACCAGGGGCGGTGTCCAGTCAAGCACTAGGGGACGAGGGGGCGGTGCCGGTTACGGCAATGGTGGCCAGGGCTCTTCTTCCTCAACGTCTTCCAGGCACAAGGCCTTGGCATCATCCTCCAGTGCCGGTCAATCCTCTTCCAGCCGTGCACCGCAGGACGGTGACAAGTCCAAGGACGGGTATTGGAAGTACAGCACCAAGCACAAAGACTGGTACCACAAGCACAGCAACGGGGAGTATTCGTGGACATCTAAGAAATAGTTGTCCAGGCAGGTTATCACGTTAGTAGGAGGTTTAAGGGGCAACTCGAAGAGAACTTGGGTAATGTAACGGCTTTGTACTCCTGCCTTCTTGTCTTGAGATTTGAAATTGGCGTTTAATTGGTTGGTATTACTTAGTTTACATGATCAAACTCGACATCTGGACAAAACATGAACTAGATTTTGTTCTACTTGTGGTATTAAGGCGCCCTTTCTTAGTCCCTGACTCAGACGCGGTGTTGAAGTTTGAAGCCCAGTCGACAAGGTTGAAGGGGGATAAAAGAGAGAATGGAAGAGAACGGGAGAGACAGAGAGAGGGGGAGAGCGGGAAACGTACGTCGGCTCACTCTCCCAAGGGGACTTGCTGTACAGGCTCAAGCTCTGGATACTCTGGCACTTTCCAGCCGCCCTTATTCTCAGATGAGAACATCACCAAGAGACCAGGAACGCAAAGGAAGCAGAGCAGTTGGAAGAAGCAGTGGAGAATAGCAATTCTCCACGCCGTCTCGGAGATGCCAACCGTAGCATAGCTAGGTTAATCTTCTAGATCTCGTTGATGAACAGTCGCAGCGTCTTGTCGCAGTTGGCAAGGCTTCGGCAGATTCTCGGTGCTCTGCTGGATCTCGCCGGGCAGTTTGGGTCCAACACTGTGGGCTTGACACTTCTCCCTGAAATCATTGGTGTCTCTCATCGCGGCGTCCATTAGTCACACCGACTGCATAATGGCTAGCGACCCACGATGGCAGCTAGGAGTTTCTGACCGTCACTCAGAGACACACATGTAATTTGAAGCGATCCAGCCGATGTCGGTAATTCAAGCTCTCCGGGAGGGCAGGTTCAATTCCGGTGATGCCTCGATCATGCATCGTCACTGGCTAAGCCTGCCTTAAGGCTCAGCCTCCCAAGAAACGGGTTGGCAGCCTGAGTAATGCACACAGCAAGTATGAGATTCTGATGAGTTGAGACACTTGAAGGTAACTGGACGGACAGTTTCTGCCAAGAACATATCTGCCACCCCCTTCTAGGAGATGCGCATTCTCAGTCCTGGCTGGCCTCATCCAAACATTAGCGAGAATTAGGGCTGTGTCGAGTATCTTTGTTGTCGTGTTCAATTTCCAGCCTCAGGTGTATCAAGCATCGTCGCTTACTCAGAGCCTAACAATATTATGCACCATGTTGTGCAGGTGGCTGCATCAACTCTGCTGGCTCTTTACCATTTACGGCTTCCAAACTTACTCATCTGGCATTTACCCCCTGAACGACGCCATGGAGCCATGACTAATTAAACTGCTACCCCAAAAGGACCGACCTGCCTTCCATTTTGCTGGTAAAATAACACCCAAAGTTACCCAGCTCCGTTGCCCGATTTTAGTGTGAAATGGCGACCTTCCGCTTTTGTAGTTGTTCCCGTTTGTAGTTGTGGCTGGAGTTTGATTTCTAACTCGTTGGCCAGCTGAATTGGGCGGTTTGACGAGAGCTGAGCGGCATCCTGACGGTCAAGGCACAGGGCCATCTTGGACCCTCAGGCCGCTTACCTTGGTCCTCATAATTATTATACGGATAGAGGGTCTCAACTTAACCTTGATGTTATCTCGGCATGGCCCGTGAACCACTTCGGCGTAGATGTTCCCTTCGGCGCCGACACCGGCACAATGCAACAGTATTTATTAGTGGTTGCAAGTTGCAATGCATCTGGCTGCCACTGCCACTGCTACTCTGCAACCTTTTGGTGGTAGCTAAACCCCCACGGGGTTGCGCCAAGAAGCGACTCTACCACACTCCATAGAAGCCTGCGCCCTCGGCAAAGCGCGCCAAATATCCTTAGTAAACCAGAACGCAGCACCGATGCAACGCTGATGTGCTTACTCACTTACTGTGCTTGACGCTATTGCTGTAGCCAACTCTAGATATGGCCTTCTAGATGGTTTTCATTTCCACTTTATGCTACGCGATACGCGCTGTCCTCGCAGATTGTGCCCGAAATGAGGCCCCTCGTTGGCGACCGGCCTGCACGACCCTTGCATATCGGAGCCGTGCTGCCTTGGATGAGCCTTACTACGTTGCAGAAGTGGGCAGTGAGGACAGTATAGGGTGGTGAGGGTGAAAGCCGGTTTCTAGTAAGGCAAGACCTAGGAAGAGTATAAAGAGACAGGCTCTATCCTGAAGAGCTTTCACGATCGCAATACTCAAGCACCGAGATCAGCAGCCAGCCCAGATACCTCCAGCCCAATATTCTAGACGGTCAAAAGACTTGAGTCAAGTCACAATGGCAAAGCTCGTAAGAAACTCCCCAACTACTCCGTCCCGCCCACAGAAACTAACACCATTAGTCCTTCTTCACTGCAATCCTAATGGCAGCAGCTGCTATTGCGGATCCGGCTCCCTACCCACCATTTGTCACCGAGAGTCCCTCTCCAGTCAGTGTCAAGAAGCTGCCCTTCTTCGGCCACAAGAGCGGCAACTACCAGCCCAACACGCACAACTCCAACGCCACCAAGACGCACAAGCCAGGCAAGCGTGAGACTGGCGAGTGGGTGCAGATCCCTGCTGATGCCCGCTGGGACAACACCAACATCCAGGACGGCATCGGCAACGGCTGGGACGGCTACACCATGCACTGGGGCAGTGGTGGGAGCTGGGACGGTTGGCCGACCCGAAACAACTGGGTCAGCTTCCAGAACATGTAAGGCCCCTGGCCCTCTTTTCTCCCTCTCTCACACAGGGGGGAGAGAAGCATGGCCATATAGGTGGGATCTGACCGCCGACCCAGGTTCGACAACAACAAGGACTTTATGTTCTCGTCGTGCTCCCAATTCGGCCAGGCCAACAACGACGGTCCTGAAATTGTAAGCCAGCTTGCACAAGCCCCACACCATTTCTCAAGCATGCCGTGCGGTTTCAACTAACGACCGTCCACAAAGGGGGCAATCTGGGACTCGATTCAGCAAGTAGCAGCCGAGACCGGGGTTGACCACCGCCTGATCCTCGCCGTGATCCTGCAGGAGTCAGGCGGGTGCGTGCGGGCGCCGACGTCCAACTACGGGGTCCGCAATCCGGGGCTGATGCAGTGCCACAACGGCGACGGCACGTGCAACTCGGACCTGACGGGCCAGGTGCAGCACCCGTGCCCGACGGGGGTCATCACGCAGATGGTGCGCGAGGGCACCGCCGGCACCAACTCGGGCGACGGCCTCGCCAACTGCATCAACCAGTCGGGCTGGTCCAACGACGCCGACTTCTACCGCGCCGCGAGGATCTACAACAGCGGCGAGGTCGACGCCAGCGGCCGCCTCGAGTGCGGCATCGCGACGCGCTGCTACGCTAGTGACATCGCCAAGTGAGTTCGAGGCTTGGCCCCAACCCCCCCTTTTTTTTTGCCCGAGCCAAGACTTTTTTCCAAGTGCTAACGAGAAATATGTAGTCGTCTCACTGGATGGGTCTGGGCTCCCCATGGGTGTACCTGCGACTCGAACCCGGCTTCGTGCGGTTGCTGATTCGGCACTGAGGTTGTGAGGTTGTTTACGCTGTCGGCCATGGGTTCCCAATAACTCTTTCAGCAAGTAGAAACACAATAAAACCTTGATATGCATTTCTTTTTCCATACCACAATACAACCTTATTTGGAACTAACTTCCCTCATAGCGGACTTTGTTTTAGAAAAGGCCAAGTCTGAGGGTGGATACCCCGTAACCTCAGAGTATCGATTTAATTTTTCCATCCCAAAGTATGATCATCAGGTTGTTGGTTATGCTGTGCCACATCTCCGCATACTCAGAGGGCCTGAATGGGCTCCAATGCGACACTGAGAGCTGTACACTCCAATGTCTCCAGGGATCCTATTCGTCTTTCCACGTCCCGCCCCTATATACTCACTGACGCGCAAGCTCACACTGGTATATCCACATAGAAGAAGCCTTGGCAAAGGGGGTGATGACACGAGTTAACCCTGCAGCGTACGGGGCTATGCACTTGGCATGGTGGATCGACCTAGACCACTCCTCGCCCATGTGGAATCCCTCAGATAATTGATTTGATTTATACTTGAAACAAACAACACGTCTATTCTACGAGTACGATTTGGTGTGCTCTCCACACAGACAGGGCCAAGCCGTCCCCTTTGCTTCGAACGGCACCTTCTCGCATCTCGTACTCTTACTACAACTCTACGAGGCAGCGCTCTCCTCGAGGTCCCATGTCCGACAATGTGGAAACCGCGACTTCAGGGGATCGGTCCAGCCGCGGGATCGGCCGGAGGCGCTGTGCTATGCACGGTATTGACTCAACACCTGTCCTCCAGACAATCCGAGGTCTGCTCCGAGACGCTCTGCTGGATGATGCTGCCGGTCCTGTTCACGGTTGCAAGACGTTGGGATATCAGCACAGTCTCGAGAGCGACTCTTTCTAGCGACCCTGGATCTCACGCTGCATCCTCAACATCATTATGGCTAGTTGCGGCAGGAATTGCTACCGCCTGTTGCTATAAAGCCGAGATGGGCATGATTGGATTTCTTGTAGGTAGTCCACGTTGGCTGAAAAAAAGAGGCACTCTAACTAAAGACCTGGCAGCCAGCGTTGACTCCGCTTCTTCTGGTAGCTGAGAAGCATCTTCGGCCCGAGTTGCAAGGTCCGAGAATGTTTGATCCTCCCTGGCTCTTCTCCCCTCTCGTCAACACGGTCTGGGGCACAGCCTTGGTTGCTTCATTTGTGGTGCTCACCCTGTCAGATTGGGATATCCTAGGATATGCCCTATCAGCTATTCCGGTTGCTGCTCTGTTAGTTGTCTATGTCGCCCTCATACCCAGGACCGAAGACACTCGCTTTCTTCCGCGTATTGATATCGAGGAAGCTATTGTTCCTCTTTCGTTGCGGGTTGTGGTCATCTTAGCTGCTGCCTTGGGCATGCAAACTGTTGCATTCGGTTTACCCAGCAATGGTATTACACTCATGTTGTCATTGGGCATGGCCAAAGCTCTGTCTTGGTATTTTACGACTCAAACGGTTTGTAGCGCTCTACCTATAGAAAGGAACCGAGCTTCAAGGATAATCACTTACACATTTTCCAGACTCGATACACTTCTTGGTTAATTGCCACTGCGATAGCAACATTCAGCATCATGTCCACCCGTGGCGACCAATCTTCCGAATTTCAGGCTTTTTCCCACGTCGTGGCTTCTTTACTTGCCCTCAGCCAGATTATCCACATGCTTCCAGCAAAAGGCAGATCGACCCTGTGGGGGTTTGCTCTTGTCCCTCTCGTCCCATACATGGCAAACGTCGTCGCCATCAGAATCGCACAATCCTCAGTACCACCGGGTTTTGGCCACTCTCGGGAGCATCCTGTTGAAGCTCTAGCCCACATCGGAAAGTTCGAGTTCGAGGACCTATTGCAAAGGCAGTCCCAAAACTACACAACTGCTCATGAGGAATATCGACGTCGGTACAGCATAGAGCCGCCACCAGGCTTCAAAGCCTGGTATGAGTTTGCGGCAGCGAATCAGTCACCCATCATTGACGACTTTGACGCCATTTTCGACGCCATCTCACCATTCTGGAGACTTGGCGGTAAAGAGGTCGCTGAAATAATGAGTAAGGCGCAAAATACCCCGGATAGCAATCTGTGGCTCTGTGCTTTCTCTGGCGATCGTGCCACGACGCAGTGTAGCCACCCTCATCGCACTTTCGACAGGCATATCTCACTCTTATTCGACCACTTGCTGATAGATCTGCATGGAACCCTTCCCGATCTCAAATTTCTCGTGAATCACCTCGATGAACCAAGGGTCCTGATTCCGCCGCCGTCGTTGCAAGGAGGAGACAACTCCTATGGTAAACGACAGTTCAAAGTGACGGACGTGTCAAGACGGCCTAGTTGGGATGCAATCACAAAGTTCTGTGGGTCTCAGCAGAGGGATAGAAGTGCCCGAACTAAACACACAGTGGAAACCTTTGGTCTTCCGTTTGTCACAGATCCCTTCTCAGCTAAGGACCTGTGTCGGCATCCCGAGTACAGCAACATGCACGGCCTCGTCATGAGCCCTACGTCTTTTAGCCTGATTAAAGGGTTATTACCAGTACTCTCAACGGGTTCCCTTTCAACAATGGGCGATGTATTGTTTCCAAGCCCAGCCTACATCGAGTCTGAATTTCGGTACGACGAGACACAAGACGTCGACTGGGACAAGAAGCACAACAATCTTTACTGGGCCGGCTCTACTACTGGTGGCTTTGCTTTGGACGACCAGTGGAGATATTACCACCGACAGAGATTTGTGAAGCTGGCACAAAATTTGGGAAAACAGCAACATTATTACCTACGAGAAACAGGCGGTGTGGTCAGCCGCATGCAATCTTCATTTCTAAACAGCAGGTTATTCGATGTAGCCTTTACCAAAATCTTCCAATGCGAGAGGAAGTACTGCAGAGACCAAAGTGCCTACTTCAACATCAAGTCTTGGGCTGATAAGGACCAAGCACTTCGCTCACGACTGGTGTTCGATATTGATGGAAACGGTATCAGCGGCCGGTACTACAAGCTACTTGCTTCGAAATCGGTTCCGCTGAAGCAGACACTCTTCCGGGAATGGCATGACGAGCGCCTCGTGCCGTGGGTTCATTACATACCGGTTAGCCAGGGCATGGAAGAGATTCCCGAGCTGGTCTTTTACCTCACATCAACTGAGGCTGGGCAGCAAAGGGCGAAGGAGATCGCGGAAAGGGGTCGGGAGTGGTTTTCTAAGGCATTTCGAGATGTTGATCTGAGCATCTATACTTACCGGCTGCTGTTGGAACTGGCGAGACTGCAAGACCCGGAAAGGGCAGCAAGCTGATGTGAGGACGCCCAGGTTTACTACTCGGATTTTGGATTTTACGGGCCCATTATATCGGTGTTTGGCTTACGGTGGATACCTGATTCTAGATGTAATATAGGGGGCGTTTGGTTAGAGGTATAATATAGGGAGAGAAGGTGGAAAAGGTGGAGGGGTTTATTGTAAAATGATTGGGAAGAGCCCCTTCAGTCTACGTCTTAGAGTTCTTCGTATAAGTGGGATCAAACTCTTTAATAAGTCTTTCTCCAATTATTACCGCCTTCTAACCAAACAGATGGGTGTTGCAAATGCTGGCGGGCCGGTCCATCGAGCGGCGAACGCTGACCTCATTACTGCCCGTTAATGACATCAGCGACAACAAAACCACTCGGCCAAGTTTGACCACGGAAAATATATCAAACGGAAGAGAGGCCTTGAATCGCCCTCGAACCTATAAATTTATATTACAGAAAAAGAAGCTCTATTATTATTATCTTACCATCACTTCACCACTATCATGACTATCGCGACTTCTTCCCTCGTCTTCCAGTTGAGCGGCACATGCAACAATTACCCCTGGGGCAAGAAGGGGACGCAGTCTCTCGCTGCTCGGCTCTGCGCCAACACACTGGGCGACAAATTTGAGATCGACGATGACCAGTTCTACTCGGAGATGTGGTTCGGGGATTATCCCAAGTTTCCGGCCCGCGTGCTGGAGACCGGCGAACTGCTCAAGGACGTCCTCGACAGAAACAAGGAGAAGCTGCTCGGGAAGAAGGTGATTGAGAATCTGGATGGCCAACTGCCATTCCTGCCCAAAGTTAGTCCCGAGGATCCCTCCTTAATTATCCTGTCGCAAGGGTAACTGACTCCTCTCCAGATCCTCTCAATCAACAAAGCCCTCCCTCTCCAACTCCATCCCAAGAAGGAGCTCGCAACCAAACTGCACGCGGAAAACCCCGAAGATTTCAGCGATCCCAACCACAAGCCCGAGATCGCCGTAGCCCTCACCAAGTTCGAGCTCTTCTCGGGCTTCAAGCCCCTCCCCGAGCTCGAATCCCTCTTCACCCTCCCCCCGCTCACCCAATTCCTCCCCGCCTCCACAACAACCTGGACGCCGACCACCCTCCGCGAAACAACCCGCACCATCCTCAAATCCCCGCCCGCCACAATCCACCAAGCCCTAACCGCCCTCTCCCACCTCCCCGCCTCCGCCTTCCCCAAATCCGCAGCCCACATCCCCTCCCTGCTCCCCCGCCTGGCCGCCCAGCACGGCCTCTCCGACCCCGCCGTGCTCGTCGCCCTGGCCTGCACAAACTTCCTCGTCCTCGGCCCGGGAGACGCAGTCTTCGTGCCCGCCGGCGGCGTCCACGCGTACCTGTCCGGCGACATCGTCGAGTGCATGGCGCGCAGCGACAACGTGCTCAACGCGGGGCTGTGCGCGGCCGAGGAGCGGCATGATGCGGATGTGTTTGCTGATGCGATGGTGACGGGGTACGGGGAGGTGGCGGAGGACGTGAGGTTGTGGAGTGGCGACAGTGCGAGGAGTAGGTCGGGGATGACGGTGGTGTATAGTCCGCCGATGGGGGAGTTTGACATGCTGAGGGCGGAGCTGGGGGTTGGGGACGGGGATGAGATCGTGGCGAGTGAGGGGCCTGGGGTGTTGATTGTGACGAAGGGGAGTGGAATAATGAAGGCTGATGGGAGGCAGTTTGATCTGTCCGAGGGGTTTATCTTTTTTGTGGCTCCGGGAGTTAAGCTTGTGTGGGAAACGGTTAATGGGATGGAGATTCACATGGCGTATGTGTGATTGTTGGATTTAGAATGGGGTTAGATGGTATTAAAACTAGACGGTACAAACAGACACTAGTCCTATCCATGGCGTTGCTCACATCTTGCGATAAATAAAAAAGGGGTAACGAAAGACAACTTCGGTAACCTACCCTACTCCTCATCCCAGGCAATCTTCATCGTAACAGGGAACGGCCAAAGCGACCCCCAGTCCTCGCGCATGTAGACGTAGAACCCTCCGGGCCTCGCCACCTTCTTGAGCTCGCCCTGCGGGCCCGCCACCCGCCGCACGTTGCGCCGCCGGAACAGCGCCCGGAACATCTCCGCCAGCGCCACCTGGCTCGCCTCCCGGCCCAGGCACGCGTGCGGGCCCAGCCCGTAGTGGATGTAGTTTTCGCCGGGCCGGCGCGGGTCCACGCGCTCCGGGTCGGGGAAGTGGGTTGGGTCGCGGGCTGCGGAGACCTGTGGAAGGTTGTTAGTTGGGGTTTTCCGATGGAAGTGGGTTAAGGAGGTCAGGCCGGGGAAGTTGTGTCTGTTGGCAAGGGAACGGCTTACAAAGCTGACAAACACGCGGTCCTTCGGCTTGACGGGCACCTCGCGCCCGTCGTCCTCGCGGATCGTGTCCGCCACCGCAACCTCGCGGTAGGACCCGAACGTGCCGGCGAGCCGAATCCCCTCCATGGCGTAGCCGAGGAGTAGCGCGTCCGTTTCCTCGGACGAGGGCTCTTTGGCCACTCGGTGGATGTCCGGGAGGTATGGCGCCCCCTTTGGCGAGAGGTAGAAGTCGACGGCTTGGGCAAACTGTTATCCCGGGGAGGGCATTGTCAGCTGGCACGATCGGGGAATCTGGGAGGGGATGGGGAGGTAGGGTTGAGGGGATGGGAGGGGGAGAGCTGGTATCACATACCACCTCGGCCTGGTTGGGCACCATGGCCCCCGCCGTCGGCACGATCTGGCTCCAGGCAATGTCGTAGGTGCTGAGCCCCGACTTCGCCAGGCCCTTGATCATGTTGATGCCGTACGAGGCGAGCGGGTCGTCCTTCTTGGCCGACCCGGAGAACAGGCCGCGGGTCCCGAACCCCCTCGTGATCTTGACGTTGGCCTCGACCAGCTTGCCCAGCTGCTGCGCGACCGTCCGGGCGGCCTGCCTCAGCGGGAACGACTTGACCGGGTCGATGTCGAAGAAGATGCACACAAAGATGACGGCCAGGACCATGTACAGCTCCTGCTCCGTGTAGATGCCCTTGGGATTGGCGGCCGTCTTGAGCGGCAGGTTGAAGACGCGCGACGCGAAGTGCACGTGGGCGATGTTGCCCACGTCGCGGATGATGTCGACGTGCCGCTGGCCCGCCACCACGTAGCTCTTCTCCGCGAGCAGCTGCTCCGTGATTTGTCGGTAGAAGGCCTTGATGTGCGCGTGCCAGCTGTCGCGGTACAGCTGCGCGTGCATGCACTTGCGCTGCTCGGCGTGGAAGGCGCTGTCGCCCGAGAGCATGAACTTGGCGCCTCCGGAGCCCAAGAGGAAGGTCATGCCTTCGTGCCATGTCACCTTGTACTTGTCTGGGTTCTCGAGTATGTACTTCGCTCCCCCGTACGATGTGATGTTGACGCGGAGGGGTGTGAATGTCGGGCGGCTGAAATCGAACTGATCGACCTTCCCCAAGTCTGTCAGGATCTTGTGGTTCTCCGAAGGGATGACCATTGGATAGTGAGCATAGACGGAGTTGCTCTTGAAGTGGTTGGGGAAGGCCCGGATGAACAGCTTGTAGAAGATACATCCGTTGTTAACGCTCTTGTCGTACTGCACCTCGTTGTATCCCCAGTTGGTCAAGTGGCGCGGGCTGTAGTCGGTGGTGTAGTGCCGGTCACCCCTGACGAGACAAACGGCATCCGAGAGAACGACCCTGGAGATGGTGTACGTAGGCGCAATACCGACGCCGGGGACCATCGGCTTCTTCGCCTCCTCGGCGACCAGGCCGGGATAGAGCTCAACGAAGTCGGGATGCTCGTACAGGTGCCGCAACTGGTCCGAAACTTCCGGGTCGGAGTTGATGTCTTCGAAGCGCTCGTACGGCTTGAGCCCAAAGTGCTTTCTGAACTCGTTCAGTCCGGCAACGTTCCACTTGCGGCCCTGGATGATGCCGAGGACCTCGATCGCTCGCATTGATGCGGGGACGTTTCGGGCGCCAAAGGCACCGGCACAGTCCTCGACCGCCGAGGAGATGCAGTCGACGAGATCATTGTCGTCGAATTTGCCATCCGCACCTCGCTGGAAGCCCCCGAACACTCTCTGGGCCGGGTCCTCGGGGACCAGACTCTCGAATTTAGAGAATCCCATGACGAGTTCCGGTACGGACAGCTGGTCTCCTGGCTTGCCGAAGAGGTCCTGGTAGAAGTCCTGGATCCACTTGTCATCCTTCTCGGATATACACGAGTGCCACCGGTAGCAGAGGTTGAACTCGGCGGACACGACGTTGCCATTCCCGCTCTCGGCGGCCTTTTGGGTCCCGACGTCAACTCCGGACTCTTGACGCGGGTCGAGTGTCCAGGTCGTATCGGATCGATTCAGCTATTTATTTTCCTCCGGATTAGCGTCACGAACAACTACGCACGCAGGACTCAAGGGCATCAACGGACATTAACAATATTCCTGACGTAGTCAACCAGGGTGATGTTGATGTAGAGACCCGAGGTGACCAATCGAGCCGTCTGGAAGAGGTCATTGTCGTGCTTCTTCCACGCCGCCGCCTTTGCCGCCTCGTCCAAGTGCTCGGCTGGCGGAGTGAATCGGCCGCCCTCGTTAATCGCGGCGAGATTGTCGGCAACGTAGTTGTGGAAGCGGTTGAACATGATCAGCAGCACGCTGACGCCCGGCGGCATGCCGAGCAACCGTTTGTCAGCGTATGCGTCCGGCTTCAGTTTGCCTCCCGTGAACGTCCTGATCGTGTCCTGCATCTCCTGGTTGCTTCCATAGAGAGGCGATAGGTCGAGGTACGACGATGTCTTGGACTTTGACATGTCTCTGTAGTCGGTCCAGAACAGATCTAATTACTCAAATGTCAGAAGCGCCCCTTTTTACTGGTGGAAAGCCTCCTGACCATGGATGATGATGGCAGCCCAGTACCAAAGGATGCTGGACACGTTGTTTGGGTGCTTGCGATACTCGGTCCTCTTCATCACCGAGTCGAAGATCAGATTAGGATCCGGCATTGCCCCGAGAGGGACAATGCTTGGCCGGACAGACCGAGCGTAGGTCGTTCCCGCAGCACCAAGCTGCGGATAGAGGATGTTCTGGGCAGGGTCAGCATACACTAATCACCCATTTAGAGTCCCACATGTTCCAGGCTCACGTTGTACGATCCATCGGCCATTCGGTATTGGAACTTCTCGCCGACGTAGTTCAGGGGCGGGTGGTCGAGGGAGTCCCAAAGCTCTTGAATGAGTTTGTCCGTGAGCACTACCCTGGCCTTGGAGTCGCGAGGAAGACGGGCAACAAGCTGGATGGTCCGTTCCATGATCATGGTCTTGTCATCGATGATCTGCTGCCCCTTGAGCTTGCTCTTGACAACTTCCACCAGGGTTTTGATGTCTGGAGAGTCAGTTAGACTGTTGCGTACCGTGCAATTGATCGCTCTTTACCTTTCCACCGCATGTGTTTGAGGTCCTGCCTCAGTCCCGTCTTCTTCTTGACTTCACTGTACGTGCCATCACCCATCTGGGTGGGCAGTGGCCTCCTCGACGCATGTATGAGCTGCCCAAACTCGCCGAATGCCTCTGTCACTCCTTGCCGGTTGGCTTTGGGACTAGGAGTTTTGCGAGCATTGTCCTTGGCGGGCGCCGCGCTCTTGTATTCGCCATGCGTCGCGGATGTGCCATTGGCATAGTTCCCGTTAGCAAAGCTGGTCCCTTGACTGATATTTCCGTCTGGGACGGACTCTTTGGTCGTTGCGGGTGTCATTGGGACGATGGTTGGGAAATAGCAGGTCAGGATGCTGTGCGCCTCGAGGATGGTTTTCGGGCGGGCGTGTGTTTTGCGTCGAGATTCGGCTATGAAGGGGGAATGTCGAGGGTATCACGTTGTCAAAGACCCAGGCCTTGCAAGGTAGTAAGAAGTGATCGAGAGGGAGCAGAGCTCACGTCATATCCCGCAGCTAGCCACGGGAGTGTCTTGGTCAAGCTGGAAGCTATGATCATCTCGGACTAGATAGGTCTGCGTAATTAGGATCGTCTCCCTTCGCATTGGACCATCATTTTTATGAGCTTATCATGAGGGCCTTGGCAGCAGCCAATGGTTCGGCGCTGAAGGCTCATGACCAATCTTGCCGTTCGAGGGACCGAGAGACGAAAATACTCTTTGTTTGCTTGCTTGGTCCGGTACACTAGTCTGAAGGTAGTGTACTGAACATACCGTCCCATTGGTCTAGTCGATCCTTGTCCTGCAAGCCATCTTTGTCCGATGTAGGACTACTGCGTAGTAGCAAGCTCGCAGGGTCCTTGGGAGTGGGTGATTCTCTCTTGCCGGGCCGCCATCCTCTGACCGTCCATCGCTCGGTCGCGATCGCTGGAACACCATTGGTCGATCAAGAAGATATCTTGGTTACTCACGAGGATCTCATCTATTACGCAGTAACATGGCGTAGATGCAGGCATTTTCAGCTCGCCGCCACCGCGGTGTATCGCGTTGAAAGAGGAAATCTGACTTGTTGATCGTGTGAACGTGGCTGGCTCAAAGTGGAGACACTAGCCCTAGCAGATCTAATGGCATGTAGTCCGTCGGGGAAGAGACATGCATGTTACCAGGCCCCCCTCTGCCGTGTTGCTAGGACCGGCCCGGCATTTAGCGGCGATTGTTCCACTCCCCCTGCCAATAACCTTGAGCCTCTCCACCCTGAACCCATAGTAGCAAAGCACCACTATCAACTATTGCAGCTCGTGGCTTTCCTGGGCTCTGGAGTAGTCCAAGATCGTCCCGGGATTGGACGAGCCGATGTCTGCTGCATGCTCTAGTCTTGCAAGTGATCGTCTCTTCGGCTACTTTTCCGTTAAGTTTGTTTACGGCGACCACCCCCTGTCAATACGACACCCCCCAAAGGCCGACGACGATAGGATGGATCGTGAGGAATGCTCTGACCCGAATCCCCCCGCCCTCCTCTAGCCGCCCCTGCCCGAGATATGCATTCCCACCGCCATTGATCGGCCCCCAAACCTGCTTGACCGGTTGCTCTGGGCAAGCCGGGCCCGAGGTGAATGGCTGCTCGTGGACGCCACCCCTGATGCATTCATTACGGAGTAGTCGGAGTTGTCAAGTGAGACATCGTCCCAAGGGCTGTATGACAGGGATAAATGAAGACCCAGGGGCTAGTCAAGGAGGCTGCTGACTCGGCATCCGTAGTTTGTGACTGGTTACCTCGCACTAGCCGTCCTACAACCCCCATGATTCTCTGAGAGGCTCACAGCCTTTCACAGCCGGCTTGGGCGCACAGCTTGCAACGATGGATCCAACTCATCTGGGACCGGATACGGCTGAGATTCCTCACCATCAGCACCATCATCATCATATAGAGTCGACCCAAGAGCCGGCGTTTGAGGAGGAGTACTCGACACCAGTTCCGTCGCGTCCGGCAACTCCGTCCATCATGGGAGACGCCAACGCCGGGTATGAGCCGCGACGGAGGCCGCGAAAGCTGATTCTGTGCTTTGACGGGACGGGGAACAAGTTCCGAGGAGACGACAGTGACAGCAATATCCTGAAGATCTATCGCATGCTCGACAGAACCACTGATGACCAATGTGAGTAAGATCGGGCCATGATCTCAAGGCAGTAACTGCTGCTAACCGAGTTAGATCACTACTACCAGCGTAAGATTCCGCCTCAGAACTGATGCAAAAAGAAACAGGAACAAAAACGGGGCATCCAATGCTAACATTCCCATCTCCTTGAAGCTGGGATCGGGACATATGTCGTCTCCAAGAGCCTCTCGCACACGGGCATCCGTGCCCGGATCAAGTCGTGGTACAAGAAAGCCAAGGACTCAGCCGTCGGCTCGTCGTTCGACGAGCACGTAGTCGGAGGCTACCGGTTCCTGATGCGCTTCTACTCCCCCGGCGACGAGATCTACATCTTCGGCTTCTCGCGCGGCTCGTACATCGCGCGCTTCCTGGCCGAGATGCTCGACCATGTCGGCCTCCTCTCGCACGGCAACGAGGAGATGGTCTCGTTCGCCTGGAAGGCCTTCTCGCAGTGGCAGCGGCGCCGGAGCGTGTCGGACGGCGACCCGCGCGCCCGCCAGAAGCGCCGCGACATGTACAACTTCCTCCGCGGCTTCCGCGAGACCTTCTCTCGGCCCGTGCGCCGCATCCGCTTCCTGGGCTTGTTCGACACCGTCAACAGCGTCCCCCAGTTCGAGACCGCCTGGATGGAGCGCAGCAAGTTCCCCTACACGGCCCGCAGCTCCGCCCGCGTCATCCGCCACGCCGTCAGCATCGACGAGCGCCGCGCAAAGTTCCGCCAGGACCTCATGTACCAGAGCGCCGCCGCCGCCGCCGCCGCCAGGCGCCAAAAGGCCAAGGGCAAGAGGCGCGGCAAGCTCACGCAGCACATGCACCACCACCACGACGACCAACAGCGACAACAACAACACAACGGCCACGACAACCACGACGGCGGCTCCAGCAGCACCACCACCGCCAAGCCGTCCGGCAAGCACCACGACCACCCGCCCCGCGGCCGCGCCACGCTCGCCGTCCCGGGCGGCGACTCCGACTCGGACGACTGCGACCACCCAGCGCGCTACACAGCGACGCGGTCGCGGTCGCGCCAAACCCGCTCCCGCTCGCGCCGCGGCCCCAGCAGCGACGGCGGGCGATCGCAGATCTCGCAGCCCGCCGCACCACCCTCCGACGCCTCCTCCGACTGTAACTCGGACGCCGAGTCGGCCCAGGACATGGACGAGGTGTGGTTCGCGGGCGGGCACGGCGACGTGGGCGGCGGGTGGGAGATACCGCCCGACGGCAAGAGCGCCAGCCACGTGCCTCTGGCGTGGATGGTGCGCGAGGCCGTGCGCGCGGGCCTGTCGTTCGACATGGACAAGGTGCGGGCCATGGGGTGCGCCGACTGCGCCGACGAGCTGGTGCGCGAGGACGTCGAGGCCGGGGTCGGCGAGGCGGAGAAACAGAAGCATGCTGCGGCGGCTGCGGCGGCGATCATCCCGGACATCAAGGTCCGCAGCCCCGGCGGGGGCGGCGCGTCGCCGACCGAGGAGGAGGCGGCTCAACCACCAGCAGTAGACGACCCGACGCCGCCCTCGGCCTTCCACGGGCTGATGCACCAGGCGCACACGGCGCGGATCCACGACTCGCTGTGCTTCGACGGCGGGCTGGGGGCCGTCGCGGTGCTGAGCTGGAAGGTGATGGAGTACCTGCCGTTCCGGCGCATGGACCTGCAGGGCGACGGGTCGTGGCGGCCGATCCGGTGGCCGCTGCCGTGCGGCGAGGTGCGCGACATACCGCGCGACGCGCGCGTCCACGGCAGCGTCGTCAGGCGCATGCGCGCCGACGACAAGTACCGGCCGGGGAACCTCATCATAGGCGGCGGCGGGAGGGGGTGCAGGGTCGCGCCGCCGGAGCACGGGATGGGGGAGTGGGTTTGTGTTGCTGAGGAGGGGGATCCCATTGGGGAGGTGTGGATGAGGAAGAGCGCGGTTGACTTGACGAGTATTAAGGAGTAAGGGGGAAGGGAGGGGGGAGGGAGTGGATGGCAAGGCAACGTATGCTGGGTGGCCAAATAAAATGCTGGCTGTCTGTTTGTTTGTCCGTCTGTCTGTTTATCGGCTCTATGGTTAGTTGTTCATCATTTGATAGCACACCTGATATTCCACCTCTCTCCTCGCCAATTCACCCACCAGCTCCCAACCCATTGTACTGTACCATTATCAGACCCAATCTATGAACGCTTAGCACATCGAGTACCACACAGATCGATTGGTTGAATGATTGATTTGAACAGCGCTTAATCATAGCCCCCGTATCTCGATTGAACAAAACGCATCTGCGGTCTCTCCTCGGATCCGCGACTCCGGGATATTCCTCTAATTGACACAAGACACGCAGATAGTTGGATGCGCCCGAATCTCGCCGTCCCATGCTGCCTGGATCGATGCAGTGTTGATACACCAAAAAGAGAAAAAAGAAAAAAAAGGAATTGAGTAAAAGTAAGACAGAGGCAAGAAAAGAGGGAAAAAAAAGGTGAAAAACAAAGCCTTCAACCCCCAATCACTCACTACCTACTCACACATCCATCCCAGGCGGACCCCCCTCCCGTCACCGCCCCTGCCGCCTCTTCTCCCTCTCCAGGTTATCCCGCAGCACCTGGTTCTCGTTCTCCGACGCGCTGATCCGCTTCATCGCCTCCGCCCGGTCCAGCACGCGCGCCTCCCTCTCGGCCTTGATCTTGTACTCGAGGTCCTTGAGCCGTATCATCCACTTGGTCTCCATGCTCCCTCCCCCTCCTGCATTCTGGCCCTCATCCCCCGCCTCGGCGAGCCCCAGCTCCTCTGCCGCAAGGTTCACCCCGCCGTGGCTGCTCGTCGCCCTCGACATCGTCCCGGGCCGGCTGTTGTTGCCGCCGCGGCTGCCCGACTTGGGGATGCGGCTCGCCCCCCCGACGCGGTCCCGCCCACGGTCGCGCGGCCCCGTCGGGATCGACGGCGACGGGCTCCCGGCTACGATCTCGTCGTTGAGGTCGCCGCCGCCGCCGGCCGTACCGTAGCCCGACCGAGCCCGGACGTCGGCCGCCGTGCGGAGGGTGTGGTTCTCGATCTTGAGCCGGCGGTACTCCTCCTCCAGGCGGGCCAGTTTTGCGAGCTGGTCGCCGCCGAGGCCGAGGGCGCCGGCTGCGACGCCGTTGCGGACGATGGCCTCGAGCCGGTCCAGCTTCTTCGTCCGCATCTCCAGGTGGCTCTCGAGGGTTTGGTATTCCCTCCAGAGATCCTTCTCGACGTTCTTGATCTTGCCCTGGAACCCGCCCATCATGGCCTCGATCGTCCTGATGGCGGCCATGAGGTTCTTGCTGAAGCCCGGCAGCATCGTCGTGACCGCCTCGAGCGACGGCAGTGCTCGGCCGTTAATCAGGCTGTTGCCGTGGGCCCAGTCCGTGCCGCAGAGCGACGAGAGCCTCGTCCAGAGGAGAAGCAACAGATTGTTCCGCTCGGTGAGCTGCTCCTTGAAATCGGTCTCGAGCTGCGCGATCCTCTTCTTATCGTGCACCTTTGCGTTCTCGAGCTCCATAATGCGAGAGTCCTGGGAGCTGACCGTGCGCGTGACGTGCTGGTGCGTCTTTTGGAAGGTCTCGAATTGGTGCTTCGTGTTGCGGTGCGCCTGGCGCTCCTTATCGAGCATCTCGGCGAGCTTGCGAGACTCGAGGCCGTGGGTTTCGAGCAGGGAATCGCGCTGCTTGATGATGCGATCTTTCTCCATGAGCGAGGCCTTTGTGGAATCCAGCTCTCTGACCGTATCCTCGAGTTCCCTTTGGAGTTTGGCGATAGACTAGATACGACGTTAGCAAAGTGGCCAAACAACACACGCTTGTCCCGGACTGATGAATAGTAGGTCCGTATATATACCTTGAGAAGACTCGACCTCGTGCCATTGAGGTCTCCCAGCGCCTCGCGCAGGTTGTTTTCCAGCTCCATGAGCCTTTCCTTCCACTCCGTAGCCTCGACCTCGCGGCTCCGCAGGTTCTTGCGCAGCTTCCTGACCTCGTCCTTGGCCCCCGAAGCCTCGCGGTTGAGCTCGTTGACGAACTGCTGCACCTCCTCCTTCTCGCGTGTCGCCACGATCTCCCGCTGCCGCCGCTCGGTGGCAAGACGCTGGTCGAGCTCCCTGGTGCGATCCTTCTCCTCGCGCAGGCTCTGCTCGGCATTGGCGATGGCCGCCTCGAGATCGCCGATGCGGATCTTGTCGCCCTCCTGCTCCTCTCGCAAGAATGCAATTTCGCCCTGGCTCGATTCCTGTTGCACCGACAGGCGGTTGGCCTTGTCGTTTGACTCCAGGAGCTTGGTCTCCAATTCCTCGAGCTCCTTGTTCGCCTCGCCCAGCTCGTGTTCCAGCTGCTGGATGCGTCGTAGCTTGTTGTCTTGTTCGTCCTCGAGCCGCACGAGTGCCTCGCTCATCCTCCGCATCTCCTCCTGTAAGGCATCGAAGTTTTCAGACCGGTCATTCAGCTCGAGCTGCAGGCGTTGAATTTCGTCCGTGCGCTGATCGGCCTCGCCCTCAAGTGCGTCGATCTCCTCCTGTGCCTCCTTTCGCAGGGCCTCAAATTCAGCCTCGAGATTCGCGTGCTCCTGTAGGGCCTCGTCCCGCTCGGCCTGCAGGGCCACTAGGTCGTTCATGGCTGTGTCGATATCCTCCTGCAACGCGCCAACCAGCTCCTCCGCCTGCTTTTTCCCCTCGATCGCAGCCTCGAAATCGTCCATGCACGCATCGAGTTCCCTCTGCAGATCCTGGTTGTGTAGCTTGAGCTCGTTATTCTTGTCTCGCATCTCGGCCATCTTGCCCTCCAGCTCATCGCGCTCGGCATCGTCAAGTGCGGTGCCGGTTGCCCTTGTCCCGGCACTGGTGCGAGAGTGAGACCTTTCATGCGCCCCGGCTCGAGACGCTGAACGTTCTAGGATGCTGTCGACTGTTGATGGCGCGGCCCCGCCACGCCTCTGCGCCATCTTGAGGTCTTCTATCTCCTGATACAGACGCTCCTTTTCTCTGTTTCTCGATGTCAGCATCGAAGTCTGAGCACCCACTTCGCGGCGGAGCTCGGCGTTCTCGTGGCGAAGCTGCTCGCTCTCCCTGCGGAGCTCTTCGACGAGGGTGCTTGTGGCGCTGAGGGCGACGCCATTGGAATCCATCTCCCCAGAGAAGGACGAGACTGGCCGGCTTGGCGACGCTGGCCTGTCTCGTTTCTTGGTGATGTTGTAGATGTTGGTGGTGTGGTGTAGCCCACCCGTCAGGCTGCTCATCTCCTGCTTGAGCCGGAAGACCTCGTCACGCAGCCGGCGGTTGTCATCGTCGGCCTGTTCCCTCCTCGCGGTCTCCTGCTCGAGGAGATCTTTCCAGACGTCTGTTTCCTCCTGCCGGCCGAGGCTCTCACCCGTCTTGTCGCCCATGGATTTGACAAACTCGGCCATGCGTCGCTTCTCATTTTCCTTGGTCAGGTTCTCGGCCCTCAGCCTCTCGATCTCGGTCACGTATTCCTCCATTCGCTCCCTGAGGAACACGACTTCTTCTTCCCTTTCTTGCGCCTCTGGGTCGTAGGTTGGCCCGCTCTGGTCGTCCTCGGAGAAGCCGCTTCTGGCAGTCCCAGGCCGCTCGTCCTCGTCCTTGGCCTGCCTCTCGAGCTCCTTGACCCTGCGGCGCAAGACCTTGTTGTCCCTCTGGAGCACTGCAAGTCCCGTCTTGAGTTCGACATTCTCCGAGATCATCTCCTTAACACCTTCTTCAGAGAGCTTGTCGAGTCGATCGCTAAGGAACATGACCTTGAGCTTCAGGTCAAAGTTCTCCTTGCTGAGCCGCTCAATCGTGCTGCTCTGTTCCTTCAGCGTCAAGTTCTTCCCGCCGTGGCGGCTGGTAGTGGGCGGGCCGGCGCCACTGACTGTGCTAAAGTCGGATGGCTTCCGAACAGGGGTGATAAGGCCGTTTTTGGTCTTGTATTCCCTCGCAAGTGACTCGGGAACATGCACATTCTTGACGTGCCGGGCGATCACCGTGTCGGTCGGCGCCGTCAACGAGGCAGGGTTACGCTCTGCCTTTGGAGTGTGGAGATTGTCCTCGTCAGGTCGGTGGGCAGTCGGCCGTCGAGGGGACTCGTCGAGTGTCTCGAGGTGGCCAAAACCTAGGTTCGGGCCAGATGAGTCGTGGAAGTCGTCGATTCCGCTCGCCATGCTCCCCATGCTGACAGTTCTGGAGAGTACGTTGCTCGTGCTACGCGATAGGCCCAGGGTGGGCAGAGCGCCACCGGACTGGAGAGCATAGTCGGTACCCAATCCAACCGTGACATCGCTCTCGGGGTCGGTATTGAACGAGGACACGGACGAGCGTTGGCTACCGTTCCGGCTACGCAAGTATTTTGGCCGTTTCCCGGCCCGCAGTGCATGACCAGGTGTGCTCCCCGCGTCAAGGCCGGCCTTGCGCAAGCTCTGATCGGAGCTCATGTGCCTCATAGTTCTAGGAGCACCGGACGATGGGTGGAGGTACGACAGGTCCTCGTCGAAGGCTGCCTGGTATGATTTCCGGTCGTTCCCCCAGCTCGACTCCTCTGCCGCATCCCCCGCATCCCTGGCATCGTTCTCGTCGTCCTCATTGTCGCTCCGTTTTGCACTGGCTCGGGATAGAGCTCTCGAAACGGTCCGTGCTGTGGCCGTAGCAGTGGGTGAGGACGAAAAGGCTTCTAGGGCAGAAGTGTTGCTGCTGTTGGTACTTGTGGTGTCATGGTCAGGGGCGGGTGGGACGGCCGGCCGTGGGCAAGGAGTTTGACTTGCAGCCGAAGGTGTCCTGTTCGGGGCGGGCAACTCTTGTGACTCGTCTTGCGAATCGAGGGATATGGATGGCGTTTGGCTTGTTGCGGCGGGCTGTGGTTTCTTGGATGGAGAGTCGAAGAGGTACGTATCGTCTATGCCATTTGCGGACGTGGGTATTGGTGAGGGTGGGGCGGCAAAGCTGGACTCGAAGTCTTGGAGGTGCTGCCGAACCGCTATCTCGGCTTGGGAATCCGAGTGCCTGAGGTCATCGAGACTTGTGTTCTCGGCAAAACTGACATCAGCGGCGGTCGAGGGAGGTGGTTGTTGGAGAGGGGGGAGCATGGTTTCGGGCTTCAAGGCGGTCGCGTTCGCTGAAGGCTGGGTGGGCTGATAATGGATGTCGAAGTCCTCCTTCATAGGGGAGATACCGGCGTCGTCAAAGCTTCCGGGTACTCTTCGGAAGACGGTGTGCGCAGTCGAGGGCCGCGACTCGGAGTCGGAGCCCGGGTTGTTCTTGCCGTCATCCATGTTGTGAGAGGCAGGTAGGTGTCGCGACAGAGGATGGCATTCGCGGGGTCAAGCCGGACTACCTCAGCGGGGTTCGAGGCGTGTCGCTTGGTACCACTAGACGCGCACGGCTGGCCGTATTTGACCAGATCTGGTTGAGAAGGCAGAGTTGCAGTCGGGACCCGACGAGAAGGCCAGCAGTTGGGAATCCCATGGGCTTGTAATACGCTCGGTCCCTCTTCGTTTGCTTCCCCTGGGCGAATGGTCTTTGCGCGTTGCTATGACAGCAAACTGTCGTCGGCCAATGGAAACCTTGTATGGAGATTTTAGGTGCGAAAAGGGACACGGAGTGGGGCATCACCATGCACGAAGCTAACAACCCTGTACGGAGTATGCCGTTTTTATTCCGGGCCCGTGCAGTGCAGCCGGATTAACTTCCCGATAAAGGTCCAGTCGGGTCACTCCAATGTCGATTACGGAGTACCGGCCGCGGATTAACTGCTCAAGGGTCCCGACGGCAACTCGCAATCCTTTGATGCTCCTCACGAGAATCAAAAGTGGTTCTCAGCATTTCAGGGTCTTCCAGTCTTCGAAAGATAATGCTTATTTCCTGTCCAACTCCTCTCGTGGAACGAAGGCATTGTCAGGTGCTACCAGGTGGCTTCAGGTGCTGCCAGATGTCAATCTCGTCTTGACGGCGCCAAGCTGCTTTGCTTGGACCAATTCTGCTTCTTAATTCTAACCAAGAAAAACGATGGAGATATTCAGGGTCCCCTCCATCTATCCCCTATCACAGTTTAATCCAAGGATCGAGATCTACACTAGATAAGCATACGCCGTCCCTTGGTCACTTATTCTTAAGAGGCACAGAGGGTAGATTTGGCCTCTGAATGACAGCGTTCTTCAACCCGAGGTAACCCCGGAACGCATGTTCAGCTGCTATGATCAGCAGTTGCGTCATGGGCAACTTGAATAGCATCGACAATCTAGACTATATAGAAATAGCCGGGCTGCTTGACTAAACGGCGATCTTCCCGATGCCTGCGTCACATCGTAGCGATCCATTTTCATGTGCCATTCGCATTCGACTGTTCGGAGGCAAGAGGTGTGCCGCATTATGACGTAGTACCTCAGCTCCGCCCCCCGATCTGCGAGCCAATTCTTGGCAGGCCATGACGAAAGCCAAAACCTTAAGATTCACCACCACTTAGGGCAAGGGACAGGACAGGAACAACGAGACGGAAGAGGTACGGGAGGAGACATGTTTATAGCAAAGAATAGGTAGGTATATTAGTGGAAGTGCGGATCAGCTAGGGTACTTCCCCGAAGAGTATAAGACGTAGGACAGTCCTCTGTGGGATCATCCTCTTTCATACCCTCGTCTCTTGTCATACGAAAATAACAACCCACCTACATCCTCCAACTTCAATCCAAAACCCAAACCCAATCAATCATCATGGACTCCATCACCAACAAGCTGGGCGGTCAGGGCGGCCAACACTCCGGTCAGGGCGTCGGCGGCGTCGGCGGCGTCGGCGGAGCCGGCCAAGCAGGCGGTGCCGCCGGAAATCAAGACTACGGTGACAAGGGTGAGCTCCCAACTCCCAATGCTCCCTTCCACAGAGGACCTTCCCCCTTGGGATCCAAGGCGCGCTGACATTGGCTCTCTTTCGACAACAGCCTTCGACATGCTTGCCAAGAAGTCGGGCCACAATGTCAACCGCAACACGGGTGAGAAGATCACCGACGGTGCTCGGGGTCTGTTCGAGAAGGCGACTGGGTACGCATTTCACTCTTTTTCTCTCCCACTTCTGGCCAGCTGCTAACATGGTATTTCTATCACAACAGTAAGAAGGTCAACCCCAAGATCTCCAACTAGGGAAGGGAGACCAAACCGAGGATCGGGAGCGAATATGTGTTTCCAAGAAGATAGACAATAGCAACCGACAATCCTCCTTGTACAGTATATATACTATGTGAGACCTATCGTACTGTGACTATATCCTCGGTCGTATATTCATGTCCACATTCCATGGAACAGGTATCCGTCAAGCCCATCCTTACAGGATGAGTCCCAACATCCGCTGCTGTAAAGTTCCCGCTCCCAAGTCAAAAACCCATACACCGGCCAAAGCACCCAAGCTTCTACCCAAACGCCAGTCCTTTCCATGCACAATTATGCGCAAACAGGTGAGGGCGCTCCCTGGGTAGTCAAGCCACACTCAAAACAGATATAACGCCATGCCCATTCTTCCAATACCCTGCCGTAGGGCTCACCCTTTGGAAGACGAACGAACACGTCCACCCAACGACCACCCCCTCCCCTCCTCTTCACGCATCCTCCGCAAACACCTGATAAGCCATAACCATGATCCACAGCAAGAATATGCCCCCCACCAGACCAAGCGAGAACACGGCCTGCCAGCTCTGGCAGATGGACCTCTGCGCGAGCCACGCGAGGGTTTCGAGTTCCTGGCCCTTTGGGTGGTGGTTGAACACGGCGAGGTTGCAGCTGCTCGACACGGAGCCCGACGGTCCCCAGAGCTGGATCGACACCACGATCAGCCCCACCAGCCAGAGCACGAACATGACGAACCCGCCGATCATGACGATGGACGGGAGGAGCCGACGTTGGAAGATGAGCCAGAGGAGGAGGAGCACGAAGCCCACCGACAGGCAGCCGACCGTTATGAAGTAGGGGAAGTACCTGTGCGGAGAGAGCGCGTCAGCGGTCTTGTGTGTGTGTGTGTGTGTGTGTGTGTGCATGTTTGGGACGAAGGTGGGGGGAGAACAAGTCCAACTTACCATGGTATTGGCAACAGCAGGGTCTGCTGGATCTGGATGAAATTCGCAAAGATGCCGATGATGGTACACGCGGCGATGAGCATGATCAGCATCCAGAAATTGAGCTGGATGGCCGGCCAGTGGTATTTGTGGATGTGCCCGATGCGCCGCTCCACCACGATCGAGTCGGACGTAACCGTCGACGCCATCGCGGGAGCTGGGAGACAGTCGGGGTGGGGGTTGTCGGCGTCGATCTAACCCGGGGGGGTTCCGACCGCTTGGTTCGGGGCGGGAGCTTGCAGCTTTCGTGCACGACGATGCGCCGGTGCGCCGGTTCCACGGGCGAGATTCGAAGGTCTTTGGTCGCGTTCGCAATTGGTTCCTGCCCCAAAAACCCAATTCCGGTAGCCGTTCCTTGCTAAGTCGCGCAAGGGCGCCCGCACGGTATTTAAAGCCGACCGAGTTGAGCGACTGGGACGACGACGTGTAATCGACGGTGAAGACGGTTGTATGCAAGACGAATGCGCCCAACGTTCCTTGCTTCCCGCTAATTATTCGTAATGCCTCAAGGCGACGACTCGGAGCACAAGCCCGGTTGGAATCGTCTCAATATCTCCACTTGAGCGCGGCACTTTTTGCCAAGCAGTGTCCGTGTTCAGTCAGGATGGCTGCCACGTCGCGGTGGATCGCGGTGGAGCTTGTCGCGGCGGAGTTGCGACCGATTGGGCTGCAACTGGCGGTGCCTGTCGCTCAAAGGTGGGAGGTGTGCTTGAGCTGGTGACGATTCTCCTGCCACAGCATGTTGTGATGCCTGAAATGCTCGACAGCAGCAACCCGAGGAAAAAAGAGACGAGGGTTGGCAATGACAAGGGTCCGGTTAGGCAGTTAGGTTGGGATTTTGTACGAGGCCAGCTCCCCACCCAACCTCCAACCCCTCGGAACGCGATATTAATTCAGTGGCTGGCATGAACGTTGACAGAAAAAGTGGCGTATCCCGGTAATAATCATGACAAGGTCCGTGCACACTATGTGGTCTGTGCAGGATCTGACCAACGAAATTTGACTGTTGTCGAACATCGATCTTCTCTTTTACTTGTAACCCATATCTTATAAGTGATCATTTGGCAAGACTGCATCATCTTCCGATCTCCATTAAATAGCCTTGACAATTCCAAGATCGGGCTTCACCCAGAACCGGAATCATCTCTCAATGCTCCAGGAATGGAATCGAGGGATTCTTATTGTATCTAAGCCAGTCGGCCAACGCCAGACGACCATCAGAATATATATCAGCCAAGGGAGCAGACTAAGCGGGGAGGGCGCGCCTACGCATATGGCCAGACCGAAGTGCAAATTGAGCAACAGCCATCTTCCTTCCCTTGCAGAGACAATATTTTATGATGAAGGATTCGAAATCAGCTCCTGGCCAGACCCAGACCAAGCCAGCAGAGGTGGATTCCCCCAGGTCACAGCCAGCAGGGAACCTCGCATCAAGATGCGCTGATCCATCCCATTCAATCTAGCCCCATCGCAGGCTAATTGACATTTGTCCAGCCCTTGGGACAACTTCAAATGTCATCTCTGCCCTGCTGCTCATCCTCTCTGCTTTTCACTTGCATAGCACCTTGACACGCCTATATAAGTCTATTACATATTAGAAACCTCGTATAGGGAACATCGTAAGTCTACACCCTTAAAATCACGGTGGTGGTCTTCTGAGCTCTCTCGCGCAACACTCTCTCTAATATTAGAAACCCCATATGAGGAATATCGGAAGTCTACCCCATCACTTGAACCCCGTCATTTGAACCACATGAAACACAGGGAGCTCGTCACCCTCGTCAAGTTTGTCACCCTTGGTAAATGCTCCCACGACTGCAGAGACGAGTGACATTGTCGGTACCAGGAACGAATAAGGTGTTCTTCAAGTCTGTCATAAGAGTTCATACTCATATTACATGTTCTCGTTTTACAGTACCAACACGTTTCCCCTCCAGTAGCGACGCAATAAACCGACCTATATCTCGTTGCTCAAGATTTTTTCGTTCACTTATCGTCTTTCTTACTCAAAGGTTCCCAATATGGCGGATACTCCTGCAGCTCGCAGTCGATAAGAAGCCTCGGGTAATTACAGAATCTTGACGCTTCATTAGATATCCATCACTTAATGTCCACCCGTCGGCGCCCCTTTAGTTGGGTGTCGTCCCTCCTTGTCCACCACACGTTCTTAGGAAATCTCCGGGTCATCAAATCTTGCGAGAAGGCTGCAAACTGACAAGTAACAAGAAGGAAATTGTCATGAGGCCAACGCTAGGTGGTAGGAAATGAAGACGTTGTTGTGCCAAGGAAGGAAGAAGCTAGCTAAGGGAGGCGAAACGAGCGCATAAATTATTCAGGGGTTCGGCCATAGATCAGCCTGCGGTTGGCTAGGCAACGCCGACTTATACGTTTGGCCACCTGGTGCCGTGACAGAAATGGAAACCAAGATGGCAATAGATGGAGTAGGAAATCGGAGTCCTAATCAAATCCTTCTTTCGGTCTGCCTGAGGGGCGGCGGACCGCAAACAACAAATTTGCCTCGGCCGAAAAGCTCTAGAAGCTCTGGGACACAATACTCCCGCTTGTCGAGCAAGTGGCCGCCTCGTACGGCACTCTACGTCCCGCCTCATCCACCTCACAACCGCCCTTGGCATATACGTCAGGCTCCTTGTGCTTACCGGTACCAACACCGACATCCAGCAGGCCCTCAATGATTCGTCCCAGATCAGAGCATTGGTGGTAAGGCACAGGACTGGAAGAGAGTCGAATTTTGACCAATCTTCTTGAAACCCGTTCTGAATTGCCAGTTCGATCAGTTCGTCCGTCTCTATCGCTTTCGTCTAACTCGCTTCGTTTTGGTGACCGTCGGGTTAACCGCCGTAGTGACTGTCGTATCGAATACTGAAAGGAGGGTCTTTGTTGCTCGAAAAGAATCATTATGTGGAGGAAAGAGATTGAAATGTTACTGGACTTCGTGCCACTTCGGTCTTCGTTTTGGTGGGGGGAAGGGGATGATGTTTTTAATCCCCGTGGATTAACAGCAACGCCACTGTACCAGCTACCTAGCTTTACAGCCCACAGCAGCGCATGCCGAACGGAAAGATCCGTGCACCAGTCGAGATCAGGTACTAGCAGGTACTCGCTACCTACACTGGAAGCAGGTCTCACGGGAGCCTCGCAGCAGGCTCTCTTCTTTGGGTCGCCAGTTGGGGCCTGACCCCTCAGACTGATGGTGTTGCTTGCTCAATCACTACTCCTGCGCTCTTCTAACCACCCATTTCTTCCGAATCTCTTAACTTACACCGCTCTAAGGAGGCCACGAATCTCCCCCGTTGCGGGCAATCTAAGTAATCTTGAGCGATGAGAATACAAAGGAACTCCTGGGAAACAAGGGCAGCTGAGAAGCGGGCCAGTACCCTTGGCAAAATCCCCCCGGAATGGAGGCTGGACCCTGCAGATCTCGGGAGGGCGAAGAAGCAGCGCGACCTCACTGGCCCATTCATCCAACAATTCCTGGAACCGGGCGAAATCGCCATTGTTTCCAGAGATAGCGTCGAAATTACCGACGCCATCAGGGAAGGGACGCTCACCGCCGTCGCGGTCACCACTGCATTCTGCAAGACTGCAGCCATCGCGCACCAACTCGTGAGTTGGTTCTCCTGATATCCTTGGAGAGCCACATCTGACCGGAACACTCTTCCAGGGTAACTGCCTCCATGAGATCTTCTTCGACCAAGCGCTCGAGCGGGCAAGGCACCTTGATGCCTACTATGCCGCCGAGAAAACGACCATTGGCCCACTGCATGGCCTCCCCGTGAGCTTGAAAGACCAGTTCCACGTGAGAGGCAATGATACCACGATGGGATATATTGGTTGGATTGGGAGCAATGTGGGCATCAAGCACCCCAGCCAGGCACATGAGGTGGAGAGCCAGATCACAAAAGAGCTCTTGTCGCTGGGAGCAGTGCTGTACTGCAAGACGAGCCTGCCTCAGACCCTCCTCTTTGGGGAGACGAAGAACAACATCATAGGGCAGACGCTCAACCCCAACAACCAGAATCTCTCGTGTGGCGGTTCGTCCGGGGGAGAAGGGGCGCTGCAGGCGCTCCATGGCAGCACACTCGGGGTCGGCACAGATATCGCAGGCTCTGTCCGCATCCCTGCCGCTTTCAACGGCATCTTCGCCCTCAAGCCGACCCCGGAGAGGGTTTCCTACCGGGAAGTGGCAAACACGAACCCGGGCCAAAACACGTACCGCTCGACTATTGGCTTCCTGAGTACCTCCCTTGGTGGGTTGGAGCTCATACTGCGCTCCGTTCTTTCGACTAAACCCTGGCTCAATGACCCGGCTGTTGTTCCGATACCCTTCCGTCACGAGATTGTGGACGAGTACCTTTCTCGAGCCGAGCCCGACGGGACCGCGAAACCATCGGGTTCGCCGCTGAAACTAGGCGTCTTGTGGACCGACAGCATTGTGGGGCCTCAGCCGCCCATTATTCGAGGCCTTCACATGGTAGCGGTTGCCATGAGACGGGCCGGACACAAGGTACAGCACTGTGTTCATCGACCACTGGTTGGTTCAAGTAGACCTCTCTATCTATGATACTAACCCTTGTTCTTAGGTGGTAAACTGGGAACCGCCGTCGCAATTGACAGCAGACAGGGTCCATGTAAGTCCTGCCTCGTCGTGGGAAGTTGGGCATCTCCTTAGATGGACGGATGAGACGGCTCTTTCTCTGCCCGCCATGTACAGTACATACCTAGGTAGCTAACCTGTATGTCCAATAGCTAGCATTTCTGAAGGCTGACGGGGCCCACGATATCCATGCCCAGCTCGACCTCTCGGGCGAGCCACTCATCCCGGACCTCGAAGAGAATTTCCACCTGCGGCCGCCATTGGGACTGTTGGAATACCAGGACCTTACCCTCCAAGGCCTCGAATACGAGGCCCAATACTCCGACTACTGGAACTCGACAGCGGAGGATGACGGTAAGCCCGCACGTCTTCTGTGCTTTAGAAGAGAGGGCTCACACACATGCTTTACTTGAGCAGGCCAGATTGTAGACGCCGTCATCATGCCCGTGGCGCCACACGCGGCCGTGATTCCCGGGAAGTACTACCACAACGGTAAGTGCGATGTCGGCCTGCTCTCGCCTCCATTTTCCACGCAAGACAAGACGGTTTCTGACGTAGCCGGTAGGCTACACCGAAGCAATCAACCTGATGAACTATAGCGCCGTGGTCATCCCCGTCACCAAAGCCGACAAGAACCTCGACACGGTGGACGAGTCATACCAGCCCCTGAACGCGAAGGATAAGTTGAACTGGGAAGCATGTAAGATTTTTTCTTTTTTTTTTCCTTTGCGGGATTCCCCTGATATCGCAGTGTTTAGTGCTGACCTTGGTTTCAGACGACCCGGCCATCTACCATGGAGGCCCCGTTGGCGTCCAGCTTGTGGCGCGGCAGTTCGAAGAAGAGAAGATTTGGGCCATCGCCAAAATCGTCGTTGCCGCGTTGGACAAAATGAAGGCCGAGACGGCAGTGTATTGAGTTTCCTGAAGCGCCTTTGTGCTGGGAGAAAGGGATTTGTCAACATGAACTAGGCTCCATACTGCTTGGTTGCGCGTCATTCCTAACCCTGCCTATTACCCTAAGCCCTCTGCTTTTCACAGGGCTTCGTAGTGTTGTTATTCACGCCTCACAGCCATTGCTATCACGTCTCCAGACCTCCATGCCCTTCTTCCTAGTCGTGTATCCAAGGTATTTTGTTTGCCTCTCTCATTCTGTTTCACTACTGAGGGTTCTTCCTCACTGGAGCATAAATAGGGTGGCCTAAGACTACCCAGCTTTTATAATGGAACTTAACCGTCTTTTCCTCTTGCCACTACCTAGTTAATTACACATGGAATAGCCACGCCTCGGTCCCGTGATATTATAATGTTAGACACTATGTGCGTGTAACATTAACACCGTCGAGACTTAGAAGACTATGACAACCTTGATGACTTTCCCTAGCACGGAAACGAAAAGAAATCGGCGACGAGAGCTGTCATCTTTCGGGGTTGTCATTAGCTAACTGCTCGATTAGGAATTTAGTTGCATCAATATTAGGCAACAAGGATGTAAAGACGATGCCAAAACAGCTGCATAATGCAGAAGGAAGAACTTCTTCAGGGTTGCAGTGCAGACGACTGCTCACGATATATATTTACTGATGATATTGAATTTGGCTCTTTTCTTCAAATTTGCTCCCTTCGAGATTGTCCTTCAAGTTTCGGTAAGACGACGATGGGGCGCACTGAGGATGGATTGGGGACATCCTGGGCTGTTATCGTCGTAGGAGGTGTTATCGTCGTAGGAGGTGTTATCGTCGTAGGAGGTGTTATCGTCGTAGGAGGTGTTATCGTCGTAGGAGGTGTTATCGTCGTAGGAGGTGCCATGGCAGTGGCGAAGGTTGGATCATGGAAATATGGCTAGGTCTTATCCCTCAGCAGAAGACGGGGATCGGGAGTCCTGCGAGATCTTCACAATAAACGGCACAACCCGACCTGACCATGATGCTTTATCTCCCCAGGTGACCTCGTTCCACGTGGATACGTATATTTTCCGTTACCATCTATGTAAGAAGCTAATAACCCCAACCGCGCTCCCGGCTCCCCAAGCCCCATCTTCGCGCCTCCAGGCCACCCACCCCCAAGAAAGGAACCTCACAGCAAGCTCTCACCCAGTGCGCACCGGACGATGGAGCAGCCGGCCCTGACGGTCTCGTGGGCGCCCACGTCGTTGGCCGAGGCGAGGCTGGGGTTGACCTCGACGAGGTCGACGGCGACGAGGCTGCCCGTCTGGTGGGCGCACTCGCAGATGTAGTCGCCCTCGCGCAGCGTCAGGCCGCCCCTCACGGGCGTCCCCGTCGACGGCGCCCACATCGGGTCCAGCGCGTCCACGTCGAACGACAGGTGGATCGGCGTGTCGCTGCCGATGTGCGCCAGCGCCATCTCCATCACCCGCCCGATGCCGTGTCTGTGTCCCCGCGGTCCTGTTAGTCAAGAGAAAGGGAAATGGAGATGGGAAGAAATAAGAAGAAAAGAGGTCGCAGGACCCGAGAAGTGGAAATCGAGGTGGTGGTGGTGGCGGTGGTAGCTTACCGGTCAATGTCAAACATGCTAAACGCCTTGATGCCATTCTCCCTTAGGATCCTCTTCTCGGCCGCATCGACGTCCCTCAGGCCGATGTACACCAGCTTCCTGACGCTGACGCGGTTCTCGTCGCCGAGCCATCCAAAGAACTCCTCCTTGTCCTCCCTCGCCAGCCCCGTCAGGAAGCTGACGGGCATGCCGTGCACGTTTCCGCTCCCGCTCGTCTCGGGCGTGTTGATGTCTGCGTGCGCGTCGACCCACACGACCGCCACCTCCCTGCCGAGCCGCTCGCGCACCGCCCTCGCCGTGCCGGCCACCGTGCCGATGGCGATGCTGTGGTCGCCGCCCAGCGTCAGCACCATGCGGCCCTCGCGCGCGTGCTCGTACACCTGCCCCGCGATCCGCCGCGTCACCGCCGACACGGCCCGCGGGTTCTTCATCCCCCGGTACGGCGGGTCCGACGCCGGCACCGAGTCCGCGTACAGGTGCACCGTGTCGTGCCCGTGCAGCTTGTAGCCCAGCTCGTCGCGGAGCTGCGTCAGGAGGCCCGACTCGATCAGGGCCGAGGGGGCGGCGTCGACGCCTGGTTTGCACTGTTTGGTCGAGGAAACCGGCAGTTAGTGACTTGTTCCCGAGTCGGTGTTGATGGGCGGCAGGGAATGCAGAGGGGCAGGGACGCCGACATATATGTAGATCAAGGACGGCGAGAGGGTTTTGGAAAGGACCAAGAGCTTACCTGGCCCCCAGAGAACCCGACGGCGACCACGCCGAGGTCTTCAGGGTGCGAGAGGAACTTGGACTTGACCATGGATGTGTTCATGTTGCCAGAGCCCGAGTCGCTTCCGTTTCCGGTGAGCTTCTCTGCTGACTGCCCAACAGATTCAACAAGATCTGCGATAATTGACGGTGCCATTGATGACAAAACTCAAAAACTCGGTGGAGATAACAAAGTGTGGTCGTGGATTGTGCCTGTCTTGAATGCAGGGAGGAAGGGAAGGTGCGAAGTTTTGCTTTCAAGGGAGGGAGGCAAAAACTTGATCAACTCCGAGTCGTTGTAAGTAGGATGAAGGGGCCGAGTATTGTCGGGGGATAAAGAAAGAACCCATCTCCTTTTATGTTCCTGCCTAGGCAAGCCGGACCTGGTTGTTGAAGCTAAGATCGTGTCGCGTCAAACTGCCATTAGGGGTCTTTGGCCATGACAATGTTCGATGGTCAAACTTTATCACTTATCGATCGTCCGTGGCCAGGCCCGCCGCCCAAGGCAACGCAACGTCACGGGAAAGATCGGGAGAGGACACCTTATCGCCCGAGAAGATAATCGCCACAAGGCATCTAATCTCCAACTCCATTCCAGCCTTCCCTAAGCCTTTCAGCCCGGGACTGGCCGTATCTCTTTGGCTGATTCGACAATCCGTCATCTGGTGGGATGTACGGATACGTCACTCCTGTTTTGGGGGGGCAGGTGACCTGCCAACCTTAATCGACCCCTAATGGCAGGCTGACCCGAACTGGTGGGAAGCGCGAATAACCGAATCTATCCACAACGGCCACTTATTAGGTAACAAAAATGCTCCCGCTCGGCGAATCTCCTTGCGAGTTCACATGTCTCCGTCCCTGAGTGTAACTGCTTCTGATTCATGATGGTGATTTTAGTCAAGGCGCGGGTTGCTAACTAGACTAGCTCACCGACTTTGATCCGTACCCTGCCCCTGCTAGCCGTCAGGAACGTGGACCCAGTGTTGGAACATCCTCAGAGTTGGAATTCTGCACAGATTTCCGAGTGAGAATTAGCATGATTAATTGGTTACTTAGGTAGGTAGTTTAAGCTGCGCAAGGCAGGTGACAGTTATGTGTGCCAACTAACCGCGCCAAGGGCACATCCATCTCCTTTCGTGACACCTTCCCTCCCGTTCCCTGCTTCCGCCAAAGCCAAGAGCCGGCCATGTGATATCTACACATCCTCAAAAAAGATATCCCAAGAAAAAAGATACGCCGAATGTGCGTGAGTGGGTACATGTGTGTGTTAGTGTGTTTGGTTCGGTGCATTTGCCATTAATTAGAAAGACAAATAAGTTCAGAAGCGTCAGCAAAATGCCGTCAAATGTCAACGCCGACAACTCCAGTGCCAAATATTTCCATCCCACCGCCTCCACCTGGTATTCGTACAGGCCTAGACAGAGCAGGCAGTCCCACATACTTGAGGGTTCTGATCCTGGCCGCCGTCCGAGGGAGGAAACGAGCCCCATTACTGTCCCCGGTGCGATTGCATCAGATCCTCAACCCAGCCCATGCTCTCGCGCCTCTCATCCGAGATGCGCGCATACTCCAGCAGGAGCCGCAGGACATAGACCTGCATGTCCTCCTTCCTCAGGACCTTCTCGGCCCAGTCCTTCCCGGCCGAGGCGATCCGCTCGGCGGCGGCGTCGTGGGCGGGGGCCTCGTCGCCGTAGCCGAGGAAGTACTCCATGATGCCGTACCACTCGCTGTAGCGGTTGTCCATGGGCACGAAGTGCTTCCACGCCACCAGTCGGCTGTCGTGCCATTCGCGCCAGAGGGTCGCCTTGATGGGCAGGCTGGTGCTGCGTAGGAAGCCCAGGTAGCGCCCGCTAAAGCTGTTGCCGTCGATGTCGGGCAGGTACTTGTAGGCGAACTGTGTCTTCATCTTCAGGCCCTTGCCGACCGCGAAGTACTTGTCCGTGTAGGGGCAGGAGAGATCATCGTGCTTCGGGGTGCACATCAGGTCGACAAAGCTGACGTTCGCCCAAGTGTCGACCCACTCGCCTAGCCGACCCTTCTCCTGTGACTTGAGCCCGTACGCGCTGTCTGGCAGAGCAAAGTTCGTGGGAACTTCGGTCCACTGCTCGGCACTGGCTAGCGTCGTACCGTTGTTCATGGCAACGAACCGGTGCCGTTGGAAGGCACGCCAGTTGGTCTCACGATTCCTGCCGCCTGTAGCCACCCCGCGCCAGACGGCCCCGTCTTTCTTCTCGTCCCACGGATCGCCGTGGAACTCACCGCCGGTAAAGCGCTCTTCTTCGTTCCAGTACATGGGCGCCGGGAGCAGGATCTCGTTGTTCACGGCCAGCTTGCTGCCGCCGAACATGGGGAAGAGAACCTTTGTTGCCTTGGTAGAGAGCGGCTCGACGAATATACCGTTAAGGCCCTGGAGGTCGGGCTGGTGGCAGAATTCGGTTGACTTTGTATAGTTTGAGACGTATCCGTTCTGCATGTGCGAACTGGCTAGCGTCGAATCGATGAGTGGGACGTGGTCAAAGTCGGTCATGATGCCGGCCTTGCGTGTTGGGCTGTCGGGAGCACACCCGCGACGAGCGATCTTCCAGTACGGCGCTGTAGAGCACTAGATGTCAGCAGCTGTTCAGAATGACCCCTGGTGCCCGAGATAAGAGTGGGGGTACACTTACTCGCTTTCTCCCAGTTCTTCTGCCGTGTCTCTTCCTGCGTATCACTATCCTCTCCCAGCTTCGGCAGCTTTTGGAACTGGGATACCACAGACTTGGCGTCCGTCAGCACCCGGGTCTTCGCTGCCGTGTCCATATACTCGTTCACCTGCTCCCAGGGAACGACCAGGCGCGGCTCGTCCATTGCATTCAGCGCGATATCCATATCCGGGACGAGGTGCTCGATAGTCTTAATCAGGTTGAGCCAGATCTTGGTCCAGAACCAGGTGCTCCCTGCCGTGGCGTTGCCGTTGCGGATATTGATCGTCATCTCGAAGTCCCGGGCCTCCTTGCGGAGGAGAGGAGCGGGTAGTGCCCAGAACGGCTCCAGGTCGTGGTAGATCTGGTCCCAGAAATCTTCAACCATCACGGCGTTTTGTTCCGTGGCAAACTGGTACCATTCTTTGAACCCCGGGGGCGGGTGCCGGCCGCGGCGTTTGCGATAGGCTGCGGCTGCTTCGCCGAGCGACTGCGACTCCTTGGATAGCAGGTTAGAGAACTCGGTCTCGGCGGTTTCGATGAGAGTGTCGATCGGGTGGGAAACTCGTGACTGTGCTCCTGCTTGTTTGTGCCCTGGAACGTATGTCTCTATCTTCGACGGGCCGGATAGCTGGTAGAAACATAGCAGCAGGAATGCGGCGGGTATAAGATATCGGAGGAAGGCCGACGGGCGGCGCGGGGGGAATGCGGAAGCAAACATGCTGGATAGTGGCGAAGTCGATTCCGCGGATCCCATTTGATCTGTGATCCGAGGTGCACAATGCTTGGATGATCGCAGGACCAAGATGTAGTAGTGGCTGGCCTGACCAGTCGGTCTGGCCTCGAGCTCTCCCCCTAGGTTGGAGCGTTAAGAATTGTCCCTAAATGCGAATCGACGGAATGCAGACGGCCAGCGATTCGCTGTTCCCAGAAGTCTGTTCCACCAAGAAAACCAGCATTTACTCCGTCCCGATACAGCGCCTTGTCCAATTGAACTACCTAGTCGATATGAGGAATGGAAGGAACGATGGACAGGGCTTTGCCGGGCGGGCGACTCGGGTTGGAAGCGGGGAGGGAATAGAGGGAATGAACGACAGCAGGCGATGGCAGAATGAAAGTCAATGAGGTGCCCGTCCTGGGGTGATTGCGCAGGGAGGCAAAGTCAGGGACGGACTAATTAACAGCCCTGCCGATGGCGTACAGAAAAGTAATCAAAGTAACCGAAAATAGCGAAAATAGGGGAATAAGGGATGTGCATCTCTCTAACCGGGAATGGAATAATTCAGGTGCCACATGGAGCGCATCTAGCCAAGCACGTGTCAGGGCCTTCTCGCGAGGATGCGTCTAGCCTGACTTGGCATAACGCGGGGTCCCAATTCGAACTTTTACCAGGGGCTGCTCCACATCGAGTAGAGCGAGTCCGTATGTACTCTGTACCTATTGATGCTGTTCAAGATTGATGATGGAGGCGTTAGGACTCGTTTAAATTCCATTCTATAGACCGCGCTCGCTGTGGGATTGCGGTTTGGATCGCTTCGGTTGGGTACCTAGGAAGTACTGTGGTAGTGTTCCATACTCAAGGCACCCCTATTCAGCCCCGAGTCTACGTGCTTCCAGGATCGAAAAACGCCACGATATCCCGCTTCATTGTTCGCAGCGTCGGGCCGCTGGTTCGCTCCCGCCCCGTCTCAGGGGGCCAAAATCTTAAGACCAAGACAGCAAATGTCGTCATTTCATGTGTCTGCAATAAGGCTGATATTCAGATCGACCAAAGTCCGTTTCCTGCTCAGTTTGACCCCAGTAACAGATCGCAGGATGGACAAGCGATGCAACCCCATCTCTTGGAATTTTTGCGTTTCAGCAGCTCTTGACGACCATCTCGTCGGGTATCATTTCAGGAGCGATCTAGATCTATATATGCCGAGCCCGCAGGTGGAAGCTGTAGTGTACAATCAATCAAACATACAACGTAGATCATACAGACAGATCGCGCCGATCCCTTCCCTTCCCGCCCCAAAAACACCAAATCCCCCGCGAGTCTCTCACATGAAATCCACCGAGCCCAAGACGTTGCCCTCCTCGTCGGACGACTGGTCCTGGTCATCGACGGCTCGCCCCACCAGCTCGGCGTACGACGGTGCGAACGGCCACTTCATCCACGCCTCCAGGATCTCGACGAGCTGGCGCTCGTTGAGCACGCGCGGCGACACCTCAGCGTAACCGCCCAGGGCCGAACCCCCCGCCTCCGGGTCGCGCAGCCCGGGACAGTGCGGGAGGATGCCCTCCGCGGCGCCGGTGTAGACGGACTCGAGGACCTTGCTGACGGGGCTCTTGGGCGCCTGCAGGAGGCTTCGGAGCACGAGCTCGAACACGTCGCCGCTGTGGTTGGAGCCGGGCCCCATCTCGCGGAAGAGCGGGTGCATCGTCTTGGGCTGGATGTCGAGCAGCGAGCACGGCACGTTGGGAAAGAACTCGGTGTTCTTGACCACCAGCGGCTCCAGTTCCCGCCGGTCCCAGCTCATCACCGGCGGGTCCTGCCGGAAGACGTGCAGGTTGTCGCGCGCGAGGAGGAACTGCAGCTGCAGCGCCCGGTTGAGCTCGTTGACGCTGGCGTTCCATGCGACTTCGCGCTGTTTCCGCTCCTCGACCCCGGCCGCGTCCGCGGGCATAGCCGCGATGGCATCTCGCTCCGCCAGGAGATCCATGATGCTGTTGCTGCGCTTGGCATACCAGTTGTGCAGATAGCGCAGGTATTTGAGGCGGTCATACTTGGGCGTCTTGGTGGCGAATTCCTTCCGCGCAAACGCCTCCTCCATGGCCTTGAGCTCGACAAGGTACGGCCGCTCAAAGAAGGCCGCCTTCTCGCCCGCAGCAGACCACGCGTCCTCGCCGCACGCGCGGAGGTCCTTGACGATCTGCGTCTCGCGGCCGGGCGGTATCTCGGCGCCGCGCTCCCTCATCCTGTCCAGGACCTGGCGCCCGCTCTCCTGGTCGATGGCGCGGTCTCGCACGAACCACACCTGCTGCTCGTCGGCGTCCGCGCCGGCCAACTCGACGAGCCACTCGGTGCTGAGCTCGGCGTCCATGGCCGACCGCCGGCGCCGCTGCACAGCCCGCGGCAGGAGGCCGTACTTCTCGTCGTCGCCCGCCCAAATCAGCATCCTGACGAGGCCGTACTTTTGGAACAGCGAGCCCGTGCGGATGGCGCTGACGAACTGGTACAGCACGAGGTCCGCGACGCTCTCGAAGCCGCGGAACCGCTTCTTGGGGAAGAAGGCGAGGTTGGCCGTCACGAGGAGCGTGTCGTTGCGCTGCGGGGTTTCGTGGCGGGGGTGCTCCGTCTGGTGCGGGAGGTAGGTTTTGCAGAGCACCTCGTTGAGGTCCTTCCAGATGATGCCGCTCTTGGGGACCAGCGTCGTGTTGGGCCGCGAGAGGAGGGGTTCGAGGAAGGGGGCGTACAGCTTGTCGTCCGGCTCCATCAGGATGTGCGAGCGTGGCTGTAGGACCTCGTGGAGCTTGCGGCTCCATAGGCCCGCGCCAGGGTAGAGGTCGATGAGATCGCAGCCGGCATGGCGTGTCAGGGAGGGCTTGATGTAGTTCAGGATGTCGTCTGCGGGAACGGCCCGTGTCAGCTGGATAGTGAGAACGACGGGAAGGAGTTTGCATACCGCAGAGCTTCTCATCGATGATATTGACCCTTGCCTTGTCGCCCTTCGGCTTCTCTTTCATTTCGCTCTTTTTCCATCGCCCCGAATGCCAGAGTTTCGTTGCTAGAAGCTGCTCGGCAACCGGCGTCGGGGTCTGAAGGAGGTCTGCCTTTACGTTGGCGACATGTCTTCTAGGCTGGAACCAAGCGGGAGACGTCGCTTGATTACGTAGGGTCACTCGCAAGTTGCTGCGAGCTCGAAACATGTAGAGCGATAGGAAGGCGACAGCATTCCGGGGAGGGTCCAATTGGCGCTGATGCACACTCCAGACGCCAAAAACGGCGCCCAGGGAAGCATCAAAGAATAAATTATTCTGCCCCGCGTCACCGCCTGATGTCCGGCAGGCAAAGCATCTTCAAGCGGTGCAGAAGGTACGGACACCGGATATTACATCGGTTGTAGAATTAAGAGAGATGGTCGAAATTGCCTGCATAGGCAAATCCGGGAAGAGAGAGAACATTTTCTCCCCTGACTACATGCAATTGACCCTTGGTCTCGTTCAGCTACCAGCCGTCCCTAACCCTAACCCTGTTTCGCCCATGCCAGTTCCAGGTATTGCTGTTCCATGTCGGCGAAGACACTGCGAGAACATGGGGAGGCAAGCCAATCTTGCAGTTTGCAGACTTGTTAGGTATCTACCTAGTGTATTTTTTATAAATAATCCAGTGCTACCATCCCCTAGAAGCACAATACAAGACCAGTATATACAATCCACCCCCCTACCTGTACCAACCACCATGGATATCTGTACATATTTCACAGCCAGCCCCAACTCAACAGCCAACCCATCCCCGCCGCGCCGTCCCGACATAAAACTGGCTCCCCAACCCCTTGACGCCCGACCTCGACAGCGGCGAGAGCGGCGACAGCGGGCCGCCCTTTGACGCCGGCGACCTCGGCGACCACAGGGTCCTCTCCGACGAAGCCGACAACGGCGCCGGGGAAAACAGCGGCGACAAGACGCCCTGCCCCTGCATCGTCTGGCCCTCGGCGGCCACGGCGGCGGCCATCCTCGCCAGGCGGCGAAAGATGCGGCGCAGGCGGAAGCGGGAGCCGAAGACGGGGCTGAGCAGGCGGGCGGCGGGGCCGGCGGGGTCCGCGTCCTCGTGGGCGGCGAGGACGGCGTCCGGGTCGGCGGGGCTGGCGACGCCGAGCAGGGCGGTCCAGCGGCGCCACAGGCGGCAGCGGTCGGCCGACAGGAGGCGCAGGACGTCGTTCTGCGGCAGGAAGTAGCGGAAGTGCTGCGGCGCCAGCATGTGGAAGAGCAGGTTGCGCACGGCGTACTGCAGGAACGGGTAGCTGGACACAATCAGCCGCCGCTGGTCGTGCACGCTGCGCTGCCAGTGCCGGGACTCCTCGTACGAGACGGGCACCGAGCCGAAGCCGGAGCCGGAGCCGCCGCCGCCGGCGTGCCCGAGGTGCTCAAAGTCGCGCATGTTGAGGTACGAGAGGCACGCGTGAAGGAGCGAGTAGTGTGCCCGGTCGATGTGCTCCCCCGTCTTGCACGACGCGGGCCACGACGCGGGCGCGAGGCACGCGAACCCCTGGCCCGAGAGGAAGAATGTCCGGACAGAGTCGTGCGTTGCCTGCACCATCTGAAGGCCCCATGGCTCCTTGGGGACGCCGTCGCGACTCTCCGACCTCAGCTCGAGGAGGCCGATCGAGCGGCTGCGGATCCAGCGGTGCAACTGGTAGGGCGCGTCCGAGGTGACCTCCGAGTTCCTTATCTTTTTCAGGTCCCTCATGGACAAGGGTGTTCCGTGTTGCAGCGCCATGTACGGCCTGAACTCTTCGTAGGGCCACGTCTTCGTGAGGCGAACGGCGATCAGGAGGTCGTTGAGCCGCATCGGCTCCGCCGCCAGGATAACCCACTGGAAGAGGACTAAGGCCTCCTCCTTTTCGCTCTCGTTCAGCGTACCCAACATCCATTCATAGAGGCCGTGGAGCTCCTCGGGCATCTCCTCCAGAGTATACTCGATCAGATCTTGGGATGCGCCCTCCCCTATCGCCGCGTTCAGTATGTTGACGACGATTTCTGCCCATAAGAAGACTCCGCCAGCCTTCTGCCCGATCCGCACCACTGTCCGATTCCGCTCCTCCCACTCGGCCACGAGGTTGAGGTTGACATACCGCAGGATGTCGTCGGAATTTCGTGGGTGCATGGGAATGTTAATCGCACCGTCTGCGATCACGCCCTGGGGCTGGCCGCTAGCAACGCAAATACTAAAGTCTGAATTTCTCGCGAGCTGGGACAGAGATGCCAACAAATCTCTCAGATAAGACGGCCCGCAGTCGTCGGAAAGGTCGACAAAGATGAAGGTCCGCCTCGTCGGCGTTTCGACCTTCTGGTCGATGTAATCGTCCACGAAAAACGAGACAACTTGGGCGTCGTCAAATGTGTGCGGGGCATCGCGATGTTTCTCGTATAGGGTAATCAGCGCTTTCCGGAGGTGCGGATCCTGGAGAAATAGCTGGGTCAGCAGGCTGCGGTAGACTCTGCTGGGGTTCGGTTCGTTGTATCGGCGGCACGAGCCGGGGAAGAAGATGCTACTGGTGTCTTGCCCTCCGGCTCTGGCCCAGATGATGGAGCCACCAGCAGGTCTCCATCGCGTCTCGATCCGGTGCCGAAGCGACCTCAGAAGTACCGACTTCCCAGACCCAGATTGGCCTTTGAGCCAGAGGATCCTGTTTCTGTTTCCGGTGCTGCGACGGTACCAGGCTTGGAATTCGGGAAGATCGTACAACCAGAGGCACGTCCCGGGGTAAGTGGTGATCGGATGCGTTTCGTAGAGGGTCCGGACCTGTGGCTGGGACAAAGCAGCGAAACACTCTGTATGTAGCGTGTCAGTATCCAACTCTCCATTTCCCCAGGGATCCGGAAATGCTATACCAAGTTCCCTCTCATCTATCGTCCTCCTCTGGATGACACCCAGTATGTCAGCTCATTGTAGGCCTGCATCAGAAGACCTCTATATAAAGCTTACCCGGCTTGACTCGTTGCGGATATACCTCCCGAGGGTGTTTATGAGCAACCTATACCCGCTGTTCTCTGCCGAGTGAAACCTGCACATGTCAAGATGGCTTGCCTGTATCGTCTCGGCGGACTCTTTGGGGTTTCCGAAAAAGCTCGCTTGGCGCCGAAGGAACTGAAAATGTCAGCTCGGACTCGGGCACGATGGGTTGGTGTGCCACCTACAGCAGCTGGCCTTGCAGTACTGCTTTCCATGGACTCCTGAAACGTCTTGACCTTGAAGTTGTAATCGTTCCACAGCCTGACAAACTCCCGACGGCTAAGCTCTAGTTCGACACTGTTCGCTCCAGTGAGCTCTTGGAGAACAATGTCCTCCGCGTCCACCCGAAGCGTGAGGTTGGCCATGCTTCTGACAACATCACCGAGTCGGGCATGTTCGCTATTACGATGGGGTGATCCCAGGAAGATCGTGGCCGAGGTTGACAGCAGCACCTGCCTGAACGGGCCTTCGCTTTCCGCCTCAGCTAGACGCAGGGCCTACGGGAATGAGTGTTAGCTTCGAATAAACAATCGAGGGGGGTGGAGTTCGCTTGGGAGGGAGGGAGGAAGGGAGGGAGGGAGGGAGAGAAGCGGTGGGTTGCATCACCTCCTTGACAACGACCCCGCCAGTCGAGTGGGCAATGAAGATGATGGATCGGTTATTAGTATTACTGGCATTCCGAGCGCTCGCCAGATCCCACAGGAGATCCCTAGCATGCGCGAAGATGTCATTCTGAAGGCGCAAAGGTTTTCCGTCCACCACAAGCGTATGATACCCCCAGACCAGGACTCTCGCGGCGGGACAGGATGCCGGAAGAAGCGCCAGCGGCCAGTAGAGCTCGGCGTCCTTCCTCCTCGGCGGATCCCTGCCACCGTCGACAATATTGAGTTTTAACTGCGAGGATGACTTGAACGAGTTTTTCCGGAGGACGTTCCTGCTGCGGCCCGACGAGTCCTGTTTGAGGCCGAGCAATGGATCCGAGTTTGACCGTCGCAAGGGCGTGTTGTTCATCCTCAGCAGCTTCTTAAACGAACCCGTCCCGACCGACGACTTTGCCGATTTGGCCGTGGGCGGAGGGTCATGGGTTCTGTGCCATTTCCAAGACCTGACCGGGTGGCCCCCGATCCCGTGCACCAAGACAATGCTGCGATACGCGTCGGTCAGAGACGGAGCGCGCGTAAGCCACAAGGGGCGAGGCAGAAAGGGTCGACTCACTCAACGACTGGGTCAACGGGCTCGTCGGGCTCGTATAGTATGGTAAGGCCGACAGACTTGATCTCGTTTTCCGTCGCCTTCATCGTGTTCGGGGCCTGACGACATCATCGTCTTCTGGGGGTTTGGATGCAGAGAGACATGCGTATGCAGGGAGACGTGCACAGAGACGTGTCCCGGCCCCGGGTGATATGTCGCCCAACTATGCGGCGCAACGCGCGTGGCGTTAGGTGGTGTGGGCGGAAAGGCAATGCGCTGCAATGCGCCGGGAGGAACGAACCCTCAGGTGAGTGCGGCAAACCAAGCCGGCCTCCCGCCTCACTGGCCGATAGGACCATTATCAGGCTGTCGTATGGGGCGAACACAGTCATATGGCCCTCTATCGACGGTCTGAAACCGAGTCTTGACACAGTGGGACAATTTGCCTGTCTCTGACAGGCCCATCTATGTCCCGCTTGGGGTTCAACCGTGCCGTGTGTTGCCACCCCAAGGCAGTTCGTGAATACCCGAACCGGCTGTTTCGCGCTTCCACTAACGGCCTACGCATCTGCTGAATCGCCAGAAGTGGAAGGAAAGCGCGTCAAGGGATCGGAAGAACAGGGATGAGTCCCGGGCAGTTTCTCTTGCTGGATATTGCCATGCATCCTTGGTTCTGGTCAAGCTCGGTCAAGCTCGGTCAAGGCATCAGGTGTGGGCTGTTGCGATGGTCAGCAGCCAGTCGCGGGAAACCTAGGGGAACCCATCAGCCATCCTTCACAAAAAGACGAGCAAGTCCGGACAGCAAGTGATGGTCATCTCTCACCCAGGCCTCCCTTATCCTCGACGCCTCATAGCTATTTTCAGGGGTTTGTTCTCTACGTGCCACGGACTGGACGAGCCTGAACGCGATAAAGCCTGGGACTGTCGAAGACAAATATTTGAGTGCGGACCAATCTGTGCCATGACGGTTGCCCCGCACAAAGCATGTGCTAATTAATATCTGTTTGGGAACAGTAACCACGGATCGTGATGTTGGATCCCTTGACATCCCCGCCCAAGCGCCGTAGTTCGGAGCCGAGCTCCGTGACATGACTAATCACGGAAATCGGGAACGACCACGCACGGTGTGGCGTCGACGACGGCGAGTTGAATCTCGAAAACCCAAGGTTGCCAGCAACACACAATTATTATCAAACGGTAGTGCCACGCATCATGGCTCCATGGGGAATGTTAATCCGAGCCATCCTCGTGCTGGAGGTAAGCATTTCCAGTCTCTGCAGTCGAACACTCTCCAAGCTAACCCGACACTCCTCAATAGGATGCAATCGTCTCCCAAGTAAGGATGATCGCCTCTTGTTTCGAAACCATCCCCCCCAAATGCTGACTGCCCGTCCAGATCCTCCGAAGCCCCCGATTTCACCACGGCGTTCGTCGCATCCATCGAACCGTCGAAGACTACCGACACGGCCGAGATCCAAACGAGCCTTTGCGCCCCGGAGAAGCAACCGGTTAGTACAAAACAACGCCGCATACTTGCAATGTCAACTTCGCTGACGTTTTTGTTGTGGCAGAGGACCCAAATCTCCAGAAACGATCCTTCTTCGGGTACTTCGCCGACGAGATTCGGAATCAGATTCGAGGGACGCCGACAAATCCGCCGGGAAATCCGCCTCCAGGTCCCCCGTCGGCGCCCAAGAAATGAAGACCCAGATCCACGGATAAAGAGACCACCCGGCGTACGTCATACCTACCGGGATAATACAAACGGCTTGGTTATTGCCGAGCTCGCTGCGGCGGATGCAAGTGCCGCGTCGAGGGGACCGCCCCGACGACGAACAACTCGAGCCCACCGGCGTCGCACGCTCGATTTTCGAGGTGGACATGCAACATACCAATGGCAAGGACCACGCAGCATTTCAAGTGCTCAGACCAGATAGGCCAAAGGTCCGGATTCTCTCAGATGCTGGGTTAGCGATGCTCGCGGTCTTCCGCTCATCTCTTGCAAGACCCTGACAACATACGGCCCCCGCCGTCGAGTCTCCCTCAACCGGAGCATCTCTCAGTCGGAGGACAGAACACGGCGACTTTCACAGTCATACCGGCATCCAGCCTTGGATGGGGAGCGACTAACGACTACGTCCAGACTGTATAGTACAGAACCCGTCACGAGCACTTCAAACGCTGTTTCCCTCTCTTCCCCATCTATGAGCCTCCCATCCCGTCACACCTAGCTTGTCCCTGTAAATATCGTGCTCTGCTCTCGTCTACCCTTCCCAAATTCAACAGCAGTTCAACCGACGATGGGCCCACTTGCATCCCAATTCCCTCCCCTCACCAGGTTACTGCGGGTTTCAACGAGCATGGACTCGTCCAGCCGAATCTCGCGGGGCATCGGACCAGGCAGCGGGATACAATCCCGGAAGCTCGACTCGGAGGACCAAAGGCCATGGAGATGCCTGTAACCCCCGAGCTTCCCCACAGCGCGGCTAGATGGTTCTTGACGTCGGGCCCGGGTAGTGGGATTTGTCCGCCTACCAGCCATATGGGTCGTTTGCTGCCCGGACGCGGGTACCCGGTCGGGTCACAGCGCAAGAGGGGCCTGCGTTACGTTACGCCACTGCCTTGGTTTGACCTCCTGTGATCTGCGTCGTGCTCGACTCGCTAGGTTGTTAGTCTATCTACATGTGTACTTTGATCCTTCAGGGACGATCTAGGGGAGATCAGTAAATTGTAAGCGGACTTATCTCGGTGTATTACACATCATTGTCATTACACGACAGCTTCGGTTTGCAGCAGCGTGCTGCGCGCGGCTTTCCTATCAACCATGACAGGCAGAACACCTCCCTCGCTGTATCCCATTACTCGCGGTGTAGCTCACTTCATCTCCGATCCCTGTGGTATGAAACCTCTCCTATGCAGTTGTACGGTTAGATGCTTGTGGGCCCTAAGCGTGTCGACTATGTGAACAGTGCAATAAACCAGTAGTAATAGAACCTAGAGCCTAGCCAACTGTCAAGTGTGTACCCACCCCTGTGTCTCGCTTCTCTACTACGAAACACCAACCTCCCTATAATTTTTCACGGACCAAACACCCCATGTTTCTATAGGACAAAATGGATACGCGACGGCAAGACAGACCGCCCATCGTGGCGAGGAAGGATAATAAGCCCACCGCAGTTCCGTTGGGTCGGTGGGCTGATCAGCTACTATAACGAACCACAAAGTCCTCATAGCCGCATGCTACTCACGGTTATAAACCCTGAGATTCCGAGATTTACTCCGCGGTATCTCCTCCGCTTATTAAACCTCATGAAGCATGGTTATCGCCAAAGTTCAAGAGACGCATCGACACTCTCTCTCTCTCAGTCAACCTGTTACTAGGCCGTTGACGTACTTCCCACTCCAGGCTCTGAATATCTCAAGCTCATGTCTTGCATGAGCCTTCTTCTCTCCCTTGAGCACTTCACGGGCTGGAGGTAAGTTAGCTCCATTTCGGCATATGCTGAAAGCGATACAAGATGCTGACTAGAATCAATATCTATTTGCCTCCTGTATAGGTACAGAGCTTACCTGCAGCCCAATTATTTACCTGGCTTCTAGCTTTTCCGGGTCTTTGGTGATAACAAGGTGAGGAGTTATGAAGTTATTATCATCATCATGCCACGCCGATCTGGTTAATTTGGATACCTCATGGGATACAGAGGACTCTGGAAGGTGCATGTCCGGTCCGGTTTCACCGTTTCAAATGGAGACCTCCCTCTTCTCTGAACGGCTTCGACGGATATAAGGCATCCATCAACGCAGCCGCTCCATATCGGAATTGTTTGGTGAGCTTGATACCTCTATTCCATTAACTGGTCTAATAATAACTACCAGGCAATCGTATTACCAATGTTGCTGCCTCAGTAGCACCCCCGACCGTTCCCGACGCCAAAAAGGTAGAGCAAGAAAAGGAGAGGCAGTAAGGGATCGCCAGCCCTCTCTCTACCAACAGAAAGGGATTCTCGCAACTTTTTCCCTCTAACATTAAGAATAAGGATTATGCGGCTCAGATGCCGCCAGCCTGCGGCCTGGCAGTCATAAACGCCACAGTGAGCATTGCCAGCGCCGTGACGCACGAGACGATCATGGCCATAACCGCGACGACCTCGGCCCTAGACTGGTCCGACTCCCTAGACCGGCGCCGAACCCGGCGGCCGCCGCCCTGACTCCTCCCCAGATGATCCCAGTGGTGGTGAGGGTCTCCGCCGGGAACATGATCGAGGCCATTCCCGCCGCCCACGGCGAGTGCCTCGTCTAGCGTGGCGACGCTACCGGCGACGCTGCAGACCTCGTCGTCGCTTATGATCTTGCCGAGCCTGGCCGGGACCCCATACGCCAGAGTCTTGGGCGGGACGTCCCGGGTGACCAGGGAGCCGGCACCGATGACGGCGCCGTTGCCGATGGTGACTCCGCCCCTGGATATTCGTGGAAAGTTAGAGCAGTTCCACTCTCTCTCCCCCCCCCCTGAGACAAGTCGACAAAGAGTAGGCAGGGCGAAGGGTCATCACCAGGGGAAGGGAGGGCCCGAAGGGACTGGACTCACATGATTATAACCCCGGCGCCGATCCACACGCCGTCCCCGATGCGGACCTCCTTCCCCGTGCTGCTCCGCTTCGTGTTCCGCTCCACCTCGCCGAGCGGGTGCCCGACCGACACGATGGAGCAGTGGGGGCCGATGCTGCAGTGCTCGCCGATGATCACGTCGGCCACGGGCGTGTCCATGATCATGCAGTATCGGTTGATGAAGGTGGTGCTGCCGATGCGGACCCGCAGCCCGTAGTCCATGTAGATGGGCGGCTTGACGAACGGCGCCTGCGGCTTGCACGTCGGGTCCCGGAAGGTCATCTCGCCGGTCACGGCTCCGTCCTGGTTGGTCCGGCTGCGGTTTGGGCCGCGGACGATGCTGGGATTGAGGTCAGACGTGGTGGGATGGAGGCGACAGGGGATCAGGGTGGACAGTCGGGGCGGAGTCACCGGTGCGTGCGTGTCTCTCTGTGTGTGTGTGTGTATGTGTGTGTGCGGGAAGGGGTAGGAGGGATAGGACGGCACGGCACGGAAGACACTTACTCTAGCCAGCGGCTGACTCGGAGCTCGGGAGGGGCATCTTCGGGGGTGTCGTTGAACTGACGGCAGGCTCGGGCACAGGTGTTTCTGGCCTCGCGGAAGTCGTCGTTCCCGGCCGGGAATGAGATGGCGCCCCGGCCGTCATCAGACTCGTCAGAGCTGTCCATGACGGACAGGAAGAGAGAGATATGTCTTTGCAGACGAGAGAGGCGAGACAAGACGAGGTGAAAAGAGACCTGTCAAACAAGTGTGTGGTGCGTAGACCCGGAGTCTAGGTACTATCGTGAAGAGAGCGTGGGAGGTCGGGTCGGGGCGAGATGAGTTCGCCGGTCTGACTGAACCTGAGCAATGGAGGACTGAGGGTGGAAGGATTTGGGAAGGTGCCGTGCGCCTGCAGGTAGTTGTTCTTGCCCGAGTGGTCAAGCAAGTTCATTGCACACGAGCAGGCAGGTAGGTACCCAGTGATGGGAGGGAATGGGTGGTCCAAAGGAAGGCCAGTCGACCTGCCCACTTGCAGCTCGACTACTAACAGCTGAGCTTGCCCTGCAGAAGGGTAAGGGCAGTCCTGGGAGACGACGTCGGACCTATTAGGCAATGAATGTTGAGGTTGGTGTCTTCCTGTAGTCTTCCTGTCGTCGGGGACTGGGGCCATCGAATGGGCAGATTCCAGGCGTATTCTGAGCGTTTCCGCCTTGGTTCAGTGGTCATGTTCGTCAGCGAACTGGAGACGGGTGTACGGCTGGCGCTCAATTGAAGGCTGCGAAACAGTTCGAATTCGCTCGAGAGGCCCGTTGGGAAAAGGAAAACAAGAGGGGAGACAGGCCAATCCGTCAGAATTTCAGGATTCCAGGATTCCAGGGAGCATTTGTCTTGTATTTTGATTCAGCAAGACGCCGGACCGGACCGTGCAAGGCCGTTGCGCGCAGCTTAACAAATGGGGGCAGAAGTTTCCAGGTTGGAGCAGTTGGGAAGTACGGCACCGAATGGGGCAATGGTCAACATGTGTCGAGAGGTGAGTGGACACGGCGGCCAATCTCTCTGCATCTGTCATGCACATGCAAGAGTACATGCGAGAGTCCCGAACCGGGGGGTTGGCAGTGCTACACAATAGCTTCGAATGTGGGCTGTGATGGCCCTTTCCTCTGATCTGTCAAAACTTCAAAACCGTCAACAGGACATCAAGTTACACAGCCCTGCGCGGCCATTCCCCCAACAAGCCAGCCATAGGTTGGGAGGCCGCAGAGCTGAGTAACACAGGGGGGGAACCCCGGCCTGCATGCGCCCAGAACTGGACTAGCCCGGTATTTCTGTCACAAAAATCACACAAAATCACAAAACTTGGCAGGCACTCGGGGGCGGGGGAGATGACGGAAACGGAAAGATCCACCCTGCCTTATTGTCTGTCTGTAGGTCGTCTGGCTCGCACCCTCCCGCTCCCGCCCAGAGTGGCCTCCCGTCAATTCGAGGGTATTTCATCGCCCGGCCAATGCAGGCAGCTTCGATATCCCAAACCCTACCAGGGGCGTCGGCGGATGCAGCGTCATGGCTGCCTATCCTTGTCCTTGTGGACGGAAGAGCAGCCGATTGGGGCAGCATGTTTCTCTATGTGACGAGTGGGAGCGGAGCCGCATGCTGTGCGTTGCAGGGCTTGGTCATTCCCGCAAGCCGGTCGCATTAGCATCGATTGTGGGGGCCCTATTCGTACCTGCTATTTGTTCTCGCCGCGGCCTGATCACCAGGCACCCGTCCCGCCCCGCCCGTGCCGGTGAATCGTTGCGTTGACTGCCGTTAGACCGCCTAGCCCGCCAGAGGACCGTTCAACTTCGCAGTAGCTCCTGCGCTAAAATTAAATTAGGTCCCCTGCCATTTGTCGTCCTCCTTTCCCCGTGAGCCAAGAGCCTCCCCCAGTTAGTTTACCGAGACCCTGAATATCTGGCGGGAAAGCCCCTGAAATAATTACACCGCCTGCAAAACTGTCTGTTTCCACCCCGCCCCGCGCGTCCCCCCCTTTGCCCCCCTGACACGGGGGAAACTGACGATAAAGAGAGGAAACATCCCTACCGAGACCCGGGTCCAAATCATGTGGTCTTCAGCATGGCATCATTGCAAGCACGGAGCATCGGCTCTCGGTCTTGCTCACAGCCATCTATGCGCTGATCCCCACCAGTCGTACGACGTCATCTTCCTGGCTCCTTGTCAAGTTGGAGTGGGGGGACTGAGATGATATTGGGCGGTGTCTTAGAGGTGGTTCATCAAAACTGGAACCAGCCTCGGTTGCATTCCATTCTGCTACTTCCGCTCTATCCGCCTTTACACCCCGCCGCGACCTCTCCGTCTCATCTTCGCCGACCGTCCCCATTGTTATCCGGAGCACGTGCATTCCTCTGGTTATTCCCAGTCCGTTGATGACTTCCGTTGCCTCGACTACTTCCACTATTCTGGTTGCTCACAGGAAGGCTGTTTCCCATATTGCGAGAATACCCAGTAAGTGGACTGGGAGGAAGGTTCAGGGACAGCATGCCTTGGAACAGTTGTATGCCCGCAGCCCATGGGACTGCGTCCGCTCGGCTCTGCTCGCCGCCGCTGTTGGGGTTCCACTGGCGATCGAAGGTTATATTCATGGTCTCCTCCAAGTCTCCGTTTCGGCGGTGATATGAAAAGGTCATATGTTCTGTCGGGCCATCGTTAGAACTGCAGCTTCGTGATGGGAACGCAAAGAGGTGGGGTATGACTCGGCTTACCTCCGCTGTTCTGGGATGGAGTTGCCTCAGTCGGGGTTTCGTTTCCTTCTGCTGCCGTAGCTCCCCCCGGTGTCTGGCTGTGAGCCGCCGGATCAGGGCAGTAGGCGACTGGCGACCAAACACAAGCGGGGGTGAGGCAGGCATATGGCCCTCTGTATAGAGAATAGCCTGCGGCGGGCCAGCTTACTCCACAGCCACCGCACGTAAACACGAGAGGTTGGGACATTTTAGAAGAGGTCAGCCGGCGGGTTGCAAAGCAACGACGGAAGGGTGTTTTAAGTCTCGGGGATTTGAGGGCGGCCACCGAGTGGCTGCCGCAAGATGGTGGTCAAAGGGGGGGACCTGGGGATGGGAAAGGGTCTTTGGAAGCTCGATGATGAAGTTAGCGGAGTATCTACTGCTGGAGATGACTCACTGGAGACATGGTAGCGTCATCAGCTTCGCTCAAGATTCATTGTCTTAAACCGCAGACACTATGTCCAGTGATTAGTTGCCTTGTCGGATCACCAACAAGAGTTTCCGACTCAGTATTGAGGGCCACTCACTCTATCGTATCACACCATTAGTTATTCATGCGATGTTGAGTATGCGAGACAATGTTTCCGGGAGTAGCCGCACGGATGTGGGTGAGGCGAATCTGGATCAAGTCAACCATCATCGTTTGTTTCACTTGTTCTGCTATTGATCTCCGTTAAAGTGAGACATCGGTGGGCTGCAATGACCGGATCTTCCATTGGGAGTCTGGAATTCCGACAGGATCTAGGCATCAACTGTCCCGGCTTTTTGTTCCCCTGCCACTGCTGACGACGAAGAAGCTTGGCTCGTGAAAAGTTCATCTGGAACCCATTCAACGTCGGACTTGCTAATACATGGGATCTGGCTTTGAATGATACCAGCCACTTTGCCGGCCTTCCTCCCAGGTAGCAGTGACGCCACTCGCGTGCCTAGCAAGTAAGGGATATGACTCCGAGCGAGCCAAGGAGATCTAACGAGAGTGTATCAATATCCGCTCAGGCACCATCAGTGCCACAACTGACCTCTAGCGCCCAAAAGAGGCTCTATAATATTTTGCACACTTCAAACAATTTTTGAATATATTAACTTTTGTTATTCCTTCTTTTTCCTCGAGTGAAGTTTGAGATGTTATTCTGAAAATTGCAAATGTATGGAGGCCTTAGACGCGAGCAGAGCCTTAGCTCAACCGTTGGAACGGCTTTGAGTTGTCAGGGGCATCATGAACAGCAACATGACTTTCGTTCAGTCCAATCTCAATGTATACCAGGTGTAAATAGGTTTATGAGAGATGGTGACGCGATGTTCGCTCTTAAGCCTGGTACCCAGAGATATGAGAAAGCTCCAGAGACACATATAAGCAGAAACTGAGGACGGAAAAACTACGGAAGGAACAGCAAAAGGTACCTTGAACTTAGGTAGGTACCTATATACTACTAATTTAAACCCTCCGTTAGTTCTGGCTCAAAAGGTGGGCCTAGCCGTATCCGTATTGCACCATTCGTATAGATGTCATTGCGATTGGCTCCAAGTGGGCAGCATTAGGACCAAGACCATCCTAGAGACAGTTAGCCAATGGCGTTTTTTCAGGTACGACTCGTACACGATCTGACTTGCCAGGACAGGGGTGTTTACGACGCAACCAAGAGTCTAGGACCTACAACGACTCGGTAAGTGAGTGCTCTGATGAGTGCTCTGACAGATCCTGCTTCGGGAACGAGAAGCCCTGAAGAATCCGAGCAGCTTTTTGTTGTTCTCTTGTTCCTACTTAAAGACTGCCACGTTCTTAAGGATGCCGCCTCCTCTTCACTCGTTGGGAAACCAAAGACGAAGCGCCCCAGCCTGCCTTCCCCATCTATCCTGAACACGAGCATCCGCCTCTCGGCGCCCTCTTCAAAATGGCGAAATCGGAGCCCTGCAGCGGAGACTACTACCTCTGGAAATAACTTCCTTCTATCCCAGCGGCCGTCGTACTTCTGGCACTCTCCTCATCGCAACAGTGGCGGTCTCATGGAGCATTTGGAGAACCCGGACTTGGTTCTGCACCGTCTTTGCCGTGGGAGGCCCATGTAAGGATCCCAGAGAGCACTTACCCCGATTCCCGTCCGGAAGCTTGCTGACGGCAAACAAAACACAGTCCAGGTCATCGACTGCGCTACTCGAATCGCGTCTCACAACAACACAGCCAAGCTCATGCCATACGCCATCCGGAGCGCATTTAACCTCCTTACCCCGGTGCCTTTTGCAACTTCCATCTATATGACACACTCTCGAGTGATCCGTAGTGTCGACGGAGAAAAAGATTCTTTCTTTAGGCGGCGCTGGCTGACAAGAATCTTCGTCACCAGCGACGTCCTCGCGTTGACTATCCAAGGGAGCGCTGCGGGCCTGATGGCCGAATTAAACCTGGACTCAACCAGGCGGCGAATGTAGCTACCTACCACCCTATTTACGATAGAAGGTGATAGGCGGGAGCTTTGGGCTTCAGGGGGGTACCTTGGTACGGACCCTGACACTGCCCCACGTCTAAGCCACTGCACTAGCGGTTTTCCCAGTGATAATCAGGACCTTCCAAGTTCTATTAGTAGCTAGTCTTGCCTCGAGTCCTTTTCCATCATTCATCCCTCGTCATTGATCACTTTCAACCTCCAATCAAGACATGGACGAACCGTCGGCCAGTGCGACGGAGAGTGCCACAGACGGAGGATCCCGTCGAACGCACAGAAAATCCAGATTTGGCTGCAAGGTCTGCAAACAACGGCGCGTCAAGTGCGACGAGCGTCGTCCATCATGCGGTAACTGCATCAAATCCCATCGCCAGTGTTCATACCTCGCCGAAGTTGCGGCCTTGCCATCACCAGCCTCGGCACCTGCATCGGCACCAGCACCGTCCGTCGGTCCGTCGCCATCACAATCTCCCTCATCGCGGCATCGATGTCCTCGTCCGTCCCCGAGCGACTTCCCGCACGTTCACCTTCCTTGCCTGACTGGCGAGTCTTACAGCCTTTGCCACCTGGAGCTGATGCACCATTTCACGCACAGAATGGGCGATGCATTCCATGATAGCCAGTGGGTGGGCCGTGACTACTTGGGGCTGGCTGTCAACCTGGGGTTTGCTGCCCCTTATCTGATGGACGTGATCCTCGCCGTGGCAGCCGCCCACAAGAGCACGACACTCCAGGGTGCTACACAGGATTTCTACCGCCGAGAGGCAACTCGGCTTCAAACACGAGCATTGGCGCAGTTCAACGCCATCCAGCCTGACATTGAGGAGAAGGACTCCCTCTCCATTTTTATATTTTCCTCTTTGCTCGGCCAGCACGTCCTCTTCGATACCTTCTCCTCTCAAACTGACTTTCCCACCGTTCTCGATCGATTCGTCCACTGTCTGGGTCTGCACCGCGGCATCCGAACCATTGTGACCCGGTCTCATCCCTCCATCTTGGCGCAGCTCCGCGAACACCAAGGTCCAGACTCGGTGATGGCGCAGGAAATGGGGCCTCCATATGTCACGAGTGACCGAGGAGACGATTGTGCTGCCCTCACTGAGCTGATTCAGCGGAGTGATCTCGGACCTATGGAGACCGAAGTGTACAGTCGCGCAGTTGATACGCTGCAGCAGATGTTTGACAACCAGCGTAACCTTCATCTGTCTTCGTATCGGCGGGTCAGAGTCGTCCAGGAGTGGCCGGTCCGCGTATCGGTAGACTACGTCAACCTCCTGGCCCAACGAAGGCCAGAAGCTCTCATTATACTGGCGTACTACGCCATGCTATTGCACAATGCGAGATTCTACTGGTCCGTTGTTGGGGCGGGACGCTTCCTCATCGAATCCATTACTGCGCACCTCGGGTCGTATTGGGCTGAGTGGCTTGACGCGCCAAACAAGATGCTGGAATCCTCTGATCAATATGACACTTGAATCAGACGACGTTTAGAACCAGACAATGATGAGATAATATCTTCTCTGGTCGTTATCACCCGATCATTATCGGCAACTCATCTACAGTTCTTCGCTCAATAACCTGTTTGCGAAATAACCTGTTTCGCAAACCCGGCTTCGTCGAGGAAGACCAACACTTTACCGCTGTCGCGTCTCCACAGCCCTCTTCCAATCGAGCCTTCTGCAGGAAAGGACACAAGACGTGGTTCCTGTTTGTCCCTTTAGAGTCGGTAAAGCTAATGGGCGAGCTATCCCGTGCGGTCCCATTCTCTACCCACGTGCGCAGCTGCTCGAACATGGCAGTGGGCTGGTCCCCGCCACCGCCGAAGCAATGGGCGAGGCCAGGGACCTCGAATTACCGGTATAAGCTGTGAACATCGGGGCAGGAGCGACATGACGGCCTCGTAGTAGACCTCGGTGCTTTTGGCCGGGATGGCATTATCGTCCCAGGGTGAAGAGTGTCGGGAAATGGACTGCCAAACGGACTCTGATGGGTTACTTGCCAGACCGTGGAATGTCAGCATCTTGCCTCCCGCGCCCCGAAACTTCGACAGGTCGGCATCGTTCGTACTGACGGGGAACTCGTACTGTTGAATCCCGGCGTGAACCAGAGAATCAAATTCCTCGTGCGGGAGATTCCTGATCTCGAAGCTCGGGTCCTTTGCCACGAACAACCGCAGCCACTGTGTTACCGAGGACGTTCGGCTGGCCGACACAATCGCCGCTGCTGGAGCAGTTAGCGGCCGCAATGCCATCCGGTACAACCAGACTCCTGTGAGGTCCGAGCCAGGACCGAAGCCGTGCCAGACTTGCCTTCCCGCCCCAGCCACGACGCCTCTTCACGTCGCATTCACCACGGTCGCCGCGGCGACGCTGATTTGCACCGGTTTGCGGGCAATCGGCGGTCGTGCCGACTAGCCGGAACGGGTCGAAGCTGGCTGGCACGGTAGGTAGGCGTCCACGTCTGCCACGACGCCGTCAACCACACCGTCTGGCTTGTCGCAGGTGGCTGTGGCGGCCTGGGTGATGGCATCCAACTCGCCACATGTCCGGGTACTCGCCCATCATGTTCATCGGCTACTGGCGGCCAGCTCGGGCATCTCGAGAGCCGGCGCCCCGGCGGCGATGCCGTTGTACGCAGTGGGAATATTGCTACGCGAGCCTCAGGCCCTGGCGTCCGCCTTGGGGGCACCCGTTCCAGTAGGAATAGATCGGGGCTACACGGTAAATGGTGGTGATTATGCCCTTGCTGATGATGGCCTTTTTGCCTCCGTCAACCGGGGTTCGAATATGCAGTCAGAATGGACGGACTCAGCGCAGCTTAACCTGCTCGTTCAGCGACACGAATCCCAAGTTTCGAGCCGGTGTAGATCTGCATTCCCGTGGCTCAGGGGAACCCACCAACTCGCATCATCCGGGTCCGCGCCTAACCTGAGCCCGGCGTCCGTGGCGTACCCCTCCGCGACGTCGCCGGTCATGGTGGTGTAACGGAGGTAGAAGCGGCCGGCGAAGAACCGCCCGTTCTAGTCGTCATCGTCGTGCCCGGCCGGCAGCTAGGTCTCGACGTGGACTCGGTCGTCGGTGCCGGGTGGGTGTACGTGACGGTGACGTTGCAGAAGGATAGATTCCCCGCGGCGATGGAGGGCTGGATGAATCTGAGTGCTGAGTGGACGCTCGCGGTCAGGTTCGTCACCGGCGCGGCGGAGACGGAGAGGATCTCGGCGCCGAAGACTGAGGGCGGGGCTGCGAACGTGGCTCCATGGTTGCAGGGTGTTGTCTTGTGTTAGCGATTGACTGGCTAGATATAGATATTGCATGACATGATCCTTTTATGGACGGGGTTGGGGTTAGAGAGAATTGAGGATGTTAAAATAATTTCATTGGAAACCACGGGCCCCCGAGGTAAGTGAAACAGGCGTACACGAACCGACGTCGTTGCGATGGAACTGGAAGTGCTGGATTCGATCTAGGGTTCGAAATGGGCCTCGGAACGAGTGTTTGGCAAACCGAGTGCGACCGTAATCAAGCCGATGCGATTGGACCCGGATTCTTTCACGCGGCCGGAGTCGGTGGGCCCCGGCATTGTGGGGTCTCGGCCCGGACAGACGGTAAAGCGATTGGCCCATTTTCCTGGGCCGGGAGGCCAGCCGGATCCCTCCCGCAAAGCGACCGCTGCGAGGTGGCAAATGCATGGTTTCTTCTAGTTAACTGCAACCCCCAAGGATGCCGCCCTGACCAATAAATGCACCGCCGCGCCATCAACAAGTGGCCCGACCGTGTCCTCCGTCCGCCCCGGCAGCCTTCGTAGGTATGTACAGCAAGATGCTGTCAGTCAATAAGCACAAAAAGAGCTTCAAATCGAGCCTTAGGTAGATAGCGAGAAGTAATACGCGTCACGTGGTTCTGATATTACCTTCACACCACCGTGCTTCGAGAGAGAGAGCCACATATCCATAAATCCATACAATGGGACCTAAAAGCAAAACGCAGGATGATTAGCAGGGAGTGGAAGAGGAAAAAGAAAGAAAGAAAGAAAGAAAGAAAGAAACAAACTTGGTGTGTACAACAGTACATACCTGATAATTACCAGTACACTTCAAGTATCTCAGTCTAGGTACCACCTCCCCAAGCCTCAACCAAACCACTCACTCCTAAATATCTGGGCGATGTTAAATCCTCCAGATTCCAAGTGGGGTTTCTTCTTTTGGCACAACTCAACTGTCTAGATAACTCAGAATGAGCTAAGATCCAAGCACAACGAGGTTAATTCTACGGTGATGTTAGGGACATACCTCCTCAATCGAACGACTCATGATGAAGCGAATGATTTTCACCTCTTTCTTCTGGTCTAGGCGTAAGATTCTGCCAATGGCTTGTCGTTCAACTGACGGGTTCCAATGCGGTTCGAGAAGATAGATGCGACTCGCAACGGAAAGGTTGTTGAGTCTATATCGACACTGATAAGTGGTGAAGGTACCGACCGACTGGTCAATTTCTTCTATCCAATTTGCCAGCAGAACTGGCAGGATACATTAGCGTGGCTGCCGATGCACTGTAAATTGAGCCCAACCATTCGAGTTTCTGACCCGAGAGGTTCCCAAAGACTACAACTCTCCGGAGTATTGAGTGTCTCTCGTCTCATTAAAAAGTCGAGTCCTTCTTTCTGGTGGCTGCAGCTAGCTTAGTCAATCGGTCCCATAGGGTCCCTGCGGGGGGCTTAATAAACGTTTTGACTGAGAAGCTACTTGAGACAGTTCCCTACCCAATTCCTTAGCGATTCTGTCGCGACCGCACTCTCTGTCGGAACCTGTGCCAATTAGCCACCTCGTATAAGTCAGTAGGACTGATCACCGCCGTGCCTCCGTCCCGCTGCCGACCTGGGTCCTACAACCCGTTACACTTAGGTCCATTGCTTCGCGATTACACAAGACTTTATTGTACCAATACCTGTACCTGCTTCTAAACATGATCATAAGTTACGTATACGCTCTGAGTGCCTTATGTCTGCCGTCCCCGAGGCAGTCAGCGAGCATCATCATCATGGGTCCCTTTCTCTACATGGAGAAACTCATCATCGCCGCCTCAAAGCTTCCTGTAGATTCACCCCGGAAAGCTGGGTTGGCGTCAGTCCGTTCAAGCGGAAATAGCAGCCTTCACCATGCGCGTTCTGGTTGTGATGGCCGGCCCGCGGAGCAATGAGGTTCCAATCTGCCAGGCATTCCCAGCAAAACTCGAAATGGCAGCTTGAGCCTATTGCGTCGTGAGTGACAAGCCAACCACGGCTTACTGGTGTCTCTGGCACTTACACGTCATGTGGAAGCAGTACTCGCCCTTCTGGATGTTTTCCTTGCAGTTCGGACATGGCTTGGTGTTCTGCGCAATCCAGTCTCGCGTCTGTTGGAATTCTGGATCGCCATGCTGTCTCACGCTGTCGAACTGATCGCAGGTCTGACCCTCATGCCACGGCATCGAATGGCGGTAGCACATCTCGAAGGCGCACTCCTCGCAGTGAATCCGCGGGTCGGGCGGTCCATCGTCGTCATAGAGCTGGCCGCTCGAGCAGTCCGGCCGAAGGCACCATCGGAAGCTGGGCAACTGACTCAGCGCGTTGAGTTTCAGATACCGGTCGTATCTGTCATCTGTGTTAGGTCCCCAACGACATGTCGGTCAGCGTAAACATCACTCACTTTTTAAACGTGCTCGGTTTGGCGTATAGTCGGACTTCGTCATACGACAGTCGACGACCGCACCTATCCGAGAGACAAGCGAGTTGGTCGCATCTGCTCCTTCCAAATTGCTCAAGCTGCGAATCTATATGCTTCTCGAGGCAGCCGGTGCAGAAGTCGATTTCGTGGCTGCACTCCAGCCCCAGCTTCGCCGGGAATCGCAGGATGTGCCACATCCACTGACCATGGAAACCCGCACAGAGGTCCAGCCATTCCTCTACTGAGCCGAACTCAACGTCAAAGATCTCGTCGGTACAGACCGTACACTCTTTGCCCGTTCTCTGTCGCCGAAAGAATCGCACGAACAGTGGGACTCGGATGCTACCGCCGCCGTGGTCCACACTAATCATCCAGATCTTTCCGGGCCTGAAAGCGGGAACCCGGCCGGTCTCGTCGGGCTCCGTGTCCCTAAACGCAGGTTCGAATAACGAGTGCATCGGCCCGAGAGAGGCGAGTTGGGTGTGCAAGGCGGATGCAATTCCCAACGCCTCGTCGCTCGGCCGAGGATTCAGCTGGCTCAAGGCAGCCCGGAAAGCCAGGATGCGATCATACCTATACGCCGTCAGCAAGTTACGCAATTCCTATCGGCCCAGGCACTCACATGGCCATGTTATTCTCCGTATCCCTGTCGCCCAATTGTCGAAGCAAGTTCTCGAGGCCGCCTCGGTGGCTGGCTGGGAGAGGCTGGTTGCAGCTCGGCGTTGGGCAAACCATCCAATTCTCCATGCCCAAGTGTGTCCACCAGTCCGTGACCAGCGACTTCGTAAGCGCGTCCAGGTAGCACTTTGTGCAAATGGACTTTGAGCAGCAACTAGTCCGCTGTGACGGCCTGGCAAACTCGTTGACACGGAGCCGGGGCTGGGCGCCGGGCTTCGGAGCGAACCTAGGCAGCTGGCATAGGTCGCAGGGAAGGACTGTGAGTCCGTCGGCAGCGACGCTCTCAGCGAAGCGTCGAGCTTGCTGAGTATCAAATCGGATGTCGAGGAGTTGGTTCGTCAGCATTGCCGGAGAGCACGACTGCAGAAACGAGGCTGCGTTCGCCCGATCACCAACCGTAGCGGCCTGGAAGCTCTGAGAGAATATTTTGTGGACCAAGATTATTCGAGGTGTCAGCTCGTTTCCCAGGCCTCGAGACGCTTCCTCCCTTTCTATATCATGCCTCTGCTGCTGTTCCTCGAGACGCTGTGCCATCCGCGTCAGTTTCGAGTCCGAATCAGCCTTGACAACTTCCAACTCCTGGTTGACGAGTGCCGCACTTTCCATCAGCTCCTTGTTCTGATCTTCTGCTATGACTATGCGGTTTTGCAAGGCGGCAACAGCTCGCTTTTCTTCCCTGCGCTCGGATCGCCCCAAGGCAATTTCTGCCTCCAGAGCCTTCGTCTTTTTCTCCAGTTTTATCTTCTCTTGTTGTACCTCGACGATAGGGCGATCGGCGGATTGCAGGATGGCAAGGTTCTCGGCCTCGAGCGTCTTGGCCCTCTCTTGCACTTGAGCGTGGGTCTCGGCCATCTTGACGGACAAAACCTGATACTCCTTCAGCCTTTCCTGGAGTTCGGCAACCCTCTGGGCATGTCTCTCCTCTAGGTTTTTCTTCATTTGTCCTAGATTTTCTATTGTCACCTCCAATTGCCGCACTTTAGCGTTGTCATGCTGGAGGTTGGCGAGACTTCGCTGTAGGCTCTGGAGTTCTTCGGATTTCACACGCAGCTGCTCTTTCAGGTGCAAGACCGCGGTTTGCGAGTTTTGTTGCGAGTTTCGTTCTTGTTCGAGAGTCATGTTTCGGTCGCGGAGAGACTGGATTACAGCTTGCTGGACCTGCTGATCGTGCAGAGCATCTTCGTGGGCCAACGTCGAAATCACGGTTTCGTCTTCTGCGTCTTCCCAGAGAGGACCAAGGCTGCCCGACGCCGACGGTTCTGCCTTCTTTCCCCGGAAGACGCTTGAAATGCTTCGCCTCAATCTCGACATGACGGTCGGTGGCTCGAAACAACGGCACAATCTTGGACGAGGAAGATGGGAAACTTCCCCTCGGCTTTGACGACCGAAGTCAAGGTCGAAGTTTCAGCTGTCAGGGATTCGCAAAGAGAAACGAGGCTCCGGACACGTATGTCTAGCCCAACTCAGGGCGCCTGCATAGACACATAGCTCCCTGTTCGCAGCATGACATATAACAGGCTGTGGTTGACCGCCAAGCCAGCCTCATCGTCTTGGGCATATTGTAGCCATAGGAAACGGACCGTCAACTGTCGGTTGGTCACACCGGAGTGTTCGCCGACAAGGCTCTGAAATCAAGTCGCGCGATTGGGAGAAAAAATACGTTGTCTGAGGTCTGCGCCTGAGGCGCTGCTTAAGTAAAGGGCCACCATCCCGACCAACCATCCCCCTGGCCAGGTCGTTGCCAAAACAGCCATAGGATTGAGCTTGAGCAAGAACAAGCCACGTCTAGCCTTGTTTCTTTCTCTGCGTTTTTAGTGCATCGTAGGAAACGAATTATCTGCAGACCCTCTAGCATGCTCTAGGAATAAACTCCTTACAAATCCCCCAAAGGTTCAGCAACGAAACCCGGATAACGGTACCTTCCATTCAAATACTCTCAGAAGTCCTCCAGCTTGATCACGTGGTACGCCGGCTCCTCGTAGGGATGAGCACTAACAGGGACCCTACTCAGCGACAAGCTCGATTACGCGTGCCACGCAAAGGGGCATCTCTACCCTCCCTCCCTCCGGGCAAATACAATTGGGGGAAAAAAAAAAAAAGGAACTCACGTCTTCAGCGCAGCGACGGCCCGCCTCGCAACATCCTCGCCCACGCACAGCGTCTCGATGCGGACCTCGGGGGTCTCCTCGAGCTCGCCGGGCCTGCCGATGTGCGGGTTCGCCGCGTCGCCGGGCCGGAACTGGCCCGTCCCCGTCGCCGACCAGCAGCACTCGGTGTAGTTTCCCGTCCCCGGGTAGCGGCCCGCGCCGGCACCGAAGATGGCCGCCTTGCAGGCCTGCACGGCGGCCGGGGGCGCGTAGAAGATGAGGCTGAAGCGCGCGATGGCGGCGGATGCCATGCTTGGGGGGTGCTGGGCTTGGGGATTTGGGATGGTGGTTATGGTGGTGGTGAAACTTGGTGAACACAGACTGGGAGTTGATGAAGCGTTGAGGTGATGTCGGGTTGTAAGGGTGGCCCAGGCATATGTTATTAACGCAAGTCCAGTAAAATATACCGATAGATGTAATTATGCAAATTGCCTCAGTGCGACACCTACTTGCGCCTGGGGTCTGTGCGCTGCAGGTGGGACCCTGGCGGCACTGAGTCAGGGCTGGGATGCCAGGGTTTGAACTGCAGCGACTTCTTCCGGACAAACATGTGCTGCAGAATGAACCTGAAATAATGGCAGCCAACCAAAGCTGAGGGTATTATAATGCTTGCGCGGTCCAAATATCTAGGTCGTGTGACTGGCGCCCATACGCACCCTCCAGACTTGCTCCAGCGGATGCAGCGCCGGCATAACTGCTCGCCTATCCAACGGGACAACTAATACCACTGATGAATGCCTAGCCTAATGCGGTAGATGGCGGCAAGCGCGAGCTCATCTATGCGGAATGAACATCTCGCTCGACTACTTCCAACGACTGGAATCCCGCCAGTCGGCGAGTCTGGCCCTGCCGGACCTGCTGACGACATAATCCATAACCAAAAAGCGTTCCGCCTGCTGAAACCCATGTTCAGTGCTGGGCCGCCGCTGGGCCGCCCCGGCGCCAGGCCGCAGTCCTCTCCCGCGCCCAGCACCCAAAACTCGACAGCATTGCCTAACTGTGGCCTGGCTCGCGTCCGCCTTGTCCATCACCGGCGCCCTCGCATTTGTCATCTGTACCGTCGCGTTTATCGTCGGGAGGATCGGCCGCTTGGCTCGGGGAAGGAGGTCTAGAGGGTCGGCTGGACCGCTGCGGATCGGTGGAACTGGAATGACCAGAATGGTCAGGAGTGCGGTGCGATTGATCGGGCCCCTGGCCCTTTGCCTTCTTGGAAGGCTCAGAGTGCTTGTCGGTTCCTGCTGCCGGGGCCGCCGACTCTGGCGCGGGCGGATAAGGCAAAGGCAACGGCGTGAACTTCAACAACGGCACCGGCTTGAATGTCGCCGGCGGCCAGGGCGTGAACGACGCCGGTGCTAACCGAGGGATCGCTGACTCGCCAGACTCGGGCTGGGGAGCTGAAGTCGGCGACGCCGGCTGCGCTTGCGTCTCCGTCTGCGTCTGCGTCTGCGACTGCAGCTGCACGGCGCACTCGAAGGCGTGCCGCAGAAGGCGCGTTCGGGACTTGAACCTGTGATCGCATCCGGGGCAGTTGAATTGCTTCCGCGTCCGCGTCCGCGTCTGTGCTTGCGTCTGCGGCTGCGCCTGGGTCTGCGCCTGCGGACGAGGCGAGGTCGACTTCATCGCTAACGTTGACTGCGCAGTCAACTCGCTGGGGGGGCGCTTCAAGCGGACGAAAGTGTTGCCGTCGATGATGCTGGGCCTCGACATGGTCAGGACGTTGATAAAATTTGTCCTGAGGCTCTAGTTTTTGTCGTCGGGTTGCACTCGGGCTTTGCCAGCTGTCAGCGTTGCTTGGACTGGACCCAATTTTTGAGCCGACAGGCGGCATCTTGGCGGCCCGGCCCGGCCCGAATATTCATTTCCTGGCCTCGTGGGACGGTGGTGAGGATTGTATTCTGGAAGGCCGATCTGCTCAAACACAAGGAGAAACAGAGACAAGTTACATTCCCCACGGTCCATCATAGACGATCGTCAAGTAATATCAGCAACGCCAAAAATAACAGCAGACAGCCCACCGCCCACTACTTCAACCCCCTCAACTCCTCATATTCACTCTCAAGCATCCCCATCTCAATCAGGTCGTACCACTTCCGGTTTACATAGAGAAAATCACGCCGTCTACCCTCAATCTTGAACCCCAGCCTCTGGTACAAGTGTGCGGCCCGTTCGTTGAATGCACTCGTGCCAATCTCGAGCTTGTGGATGTTGGCAAAGTTGAAGGCCCAGTCCATGGCCCAGTCGACAGCCTCGCCACCGTATCCCTTGTTCTGGTACTTTTCGTGGATTTGGATTCCCAGGCTGGGATTCCGCCTGTGGATGGAATTGTCGCTGACCTTGCCTAGCAGAAGGTACCCAATAGGGGTAGCCTTTGCCGACTCTGCCACAATCTTCTCCCCAGGCAGCATCGCCGCAGTCTTGAGGACCTCTTCGTCGGTTTCCTCGGCCGGAAGACATATCATGGCTTTCAGCATGGCGCCCTCGACCCACTTGTCGAAATTGGCAAGGAAGTCTTTCTTGCTAGCAAAGTTGAACATTTGAGGGCTGGCTAGGGCCATGTTAATAGGGTCGAGAAACAGGCTGTGGATGAAATCCTTGTCGGCATCGTTGCTCTCGATCGCCCGGTAGATGAGTCGTCTCGAGCGAAAGCCGTTTGCGAAGACGGATTCAAGCTCCATAGTCAGAAGAGTTATGAGGCAATTGGAGGCCTTGTGCAAGTTGTGTGGGAAAGGAAGGAATTAAGGGAATACGGTATGGCAGCGTCTGCCCCGTGTGATATGCAAATTTGGCGACCAAATATACTGCCGTCGTAGGATCGCAATGCGTCCACTGATCTTACTCATAATTAGTAGCCGCGTATTCCAAACAATATCATTGGCCATCTCAGTTGGCCGTGTGAGTCACAATCACGTCGGAAAACCATTGCCATATTGCCTTTCGGGAAAGTCTCCAATTACACAGTTGCTGCTGGCTCCTTATCCTAGCGATGATGTGATTCCTTTGCAGCCTTGAAAGGCCTGGAAGAGCGCGTTACGTTTGATAGGATCCTTTGAAATCTGCACGATTGACACTAGATATCAATTATCCACCTGCCGAGTCATCCAAGCAAGGGGGCCACTCTACTAAGTTGGCTGCAGACGATCATCCGCCTCCCAGGGTCGGACCTAATTAGTCCCCCCTTTGGGAAAAAAATGCGATCACAACTGCGAAATCAGCACAGCCTTGCGCAGCGACGCTCGGATATTGTCAAGCATTATGCATTGATTACTAGGGACATTCCTCCGATGGCCCGGAGGCGGGCACGGCTCATTCATTTATAGACATAAAACGACAGGTCCTCCCCCTTCTCCTCCCTCACTGTCATGCCGTTGCCCATGAACCTGAACCGGTTCCGGCTGTTGTACTCAAAATCAAAGTCCTCGGTCCTGAAGCTCTCCAGGATCTCCTTGTAATGGAGGATGCTACCCGCGTACATGGCCGTCACCTTGCCATCCACCTTGTTGTTCTTATACCACGACCGGCAGCCGCTCGTCCAGACGGTGCGCTTGAGGAACTCGTGCGTGTACGTATTGTAGTCGGCCGTTGCCTCGGCGTCGACAGTGACGGACCTGAATTTGGAGTCGGGTTAGAAAACCAGAGCTGTGCAGGGGAGAGGGGAGAGTGAATGGTTACTTAATATCCTCGGCCGCGATCTTCCTGCACCACCTCAGGATATACTCAGCCGTCCACTCCATGACAGCCAACAAGCTGCCATGACCCACGGGGCAATTGGGCCCGTTGAAGATGAAGTAGTTTGGCATGTTGGGCGCGCATATGCCGAAATACGCAGCCGGGTCCTCGCGCCACTGGTCCGCCAGCCGGACGCCGCCCCTGCCGACGAGGTCCCAGTACGGCGTGAAGCTGACGTCGAACCCGGTGGCGCAGACGATGATATCGAACTCGTCGACGGACCCGGCGGCGGTCTCGATGCCGCTCTCGGTGACGGCGGCGATGTCGGCAAACTCGATGCGCACGTTGGGCGCCTGCAGGGCCTCCAGGTATCCCTCGCCGGGGGTGAGCCTGCGGCAGCCGACCTTCCACTCGGGGATGAGGCGCGCGCAGAGGTCGCGGTCGCCGTTGAGGCGCTCCTCCATGGTGCGCGTGAAGGCCTCCGTCACGGCCTTCTGCTGCGGGGTGCCGAGGAGGAGCGCGTAGAAGAACTGGTTGAAGTGGTGCTCGATCTGGCGGCGCATGGCCAGCAGCTTCTCCGGCTGCTCGCGGAACTCGCGCTTCTGCTCCTCCGTGTACCGGAAGTTCTTGCCTTCGGGCGTCAGCTCCGCCGAGTAGTTGGCCGAGATCCACGTCGGCGTCCGGATGTAGTTGACGATCTTGGCCGCCTTGGGCTGCATCTGGGGCAGGATCTGGATCGCCGACGACCCGTTCCCGATGAGGGCTACGCGCTTGCCCGTCCAGTCTATTGTCTGGTCCCACCGCGCACTGTGCAGGAGCTTGCCCCCGAAGGAATGAAGGCCCTTGATGTCGGGCCACCGCCACTTGTTGAGGATGCCGGACCCGTTTATCAACACGTCGGCCTCGTCCTTAATGACTGTGCCGTTCTGCTCGATCTCGAGTAGCCACTTGCCCTTCTCGTCGTCCCATACGCTCGAGATGACCTTGCTGTTGAACTGGACGCGTTCGTCGAGGTTGTACTTCTGCGTGGTCCGCTTGATATACTCCCAGATCTCCGGCCCCGAAGCATAGAACGAACTCCAGTCGGGATTCGGCTCGAACGAAAAGGTGTAGATGTGAGCTGGGACCTAGGTAGGATCCCTATCAGTATCATTATCTCGTCCGGCAGGGAGGCGTCTGCACTCACATCGCAGGCCACGCCCGGATACCTGTTTTCCAGCCAGGTGCCGCCGACGTCGGAATTCTTCTCGTAGATGGCGAGGTCGACGAAGTCATCCATCGGCGTCTGGTGCTTCCACTTGTACGCCAGCATCAGACCGGAGTAGCCAGCGCCGACGCAGACGACACGGAGCTTCCGGGGCTTGTACACGGGCTTCTCCAGGATTGGCACCCAGTTGGGCGGATTTGCGTTGGTTGGCCCATTCATGACGCTTTGGGATTCGATTTGGGAAACTCCGGCTGGGATATCATGGGCTGTCATACTGGCGGATCTCTCGGAGGAAAAGTATGTTGTGTGGCAAAAGGGAGAATGTCATGCAGAGCTACAGAGAGTCCGGATGGGCCCTTCGATGGCTTTTAAAGGCCACACAGCTCAAGCATGGTGAAAGTCTAAGAGGGCAGTCGGAATCTTCCGCCAGCTACTTTATTCGGGATTATTAATTCATGTTGCGTATGCGCACAAAAGGAGCCGATGGTTCTGGCCTGGCCAGGCCTGCGAGTCTGAGATGCAGCCGAACCGGATCCCAAAGACCGGAACGGGTCCAAGCCACCGGAAAGGTTCCGGGACCTAGCCGGTGACACCGGCAAGGGAGGCTCCACGCGGGCAGGTGAGCACATTGAAGCATCGGATACGAACATAATCCGATAGCACCGGGCCAGTGGACGGGAAGCATGAAACAATGTTGACTGATGCGGGGAAGAGCAAGTAAATACTGGAGCCGAATCTACATCCCGAAACATTGCACTCCGATGCCAAGTCGATCTCGAGATAGTGTTGCGATGCTCGACCCCATGGGGAAACTTAGCGCATGTCGCAAGCTGGGTCAATTGGTCAGGTAACCCTCCGTATTGTTTGCCCAGATTCTGAGAATTCGACACAAAGATGCAACGCCCGAACAAGACATGGATGAGGTGATTGCTCTCTTCTTCCTTACCGAGGTAGCTGTTGATTACAACAAGTTGCCACTTGATTCTACACTTTCCCCACTTTGGCTTGGAATCCCAGGTTGGTTGTTTCTCCTATTAAGATCTGATCAAGATGCAAAGGGGTTGATGCAAAGGGATTCTCAGTGGGAACTGCATAATTTAGAAGGGCTCCCTGCCACGTCTCTATGCTCTGATGCTTAACTACATCACATCTGATTGATAACCCATTTCACGCCATCCACGGCGTTCTTCATGAAAACCTCGGTCTCAGGCAGAGAAGGAAACAGCCAGAAACAATGAGGCAGCCCGTCATAGTGATCCGCCTTTACTGGAACGCCCGCCGCCTTCAGAGATTGGGCCATGACTAGTCCATCGTCCCGTAGGGGGTCGAACTCGCAAGTGACAATGTATGTCGGGGGGAAATGCTTGTGGTGCCCCTGATCCAGCGCCGGAAAGTAATCCCTGTCCTCGGGACTAAGACCAGCGAGCTCGAAAAACTGCCGCATCGTAGTCGCGTCTATGACCGGGACGTTCTCGCCGTTCTCCTCATGGGACGTGTAAGTCGACTTGTACGCCTGCGGGATGTTGTCCTGATGCAGAGTGTAAGGGCCGAAGGAGACTATGCCCTTAACTGCATCCCGGCTCGCAGTAGACTGGCCCAGAGTAACTTTACGCGCGACGGCAAGGGCGAGTCCGGCCCCCGCCGAGACGCCGATGGTGTACATCTTGTTTGGATCACCGCCAAATTTGGTGGCATTTTCGTTGGCCTGGACAATGGAATAATAGGTTAGGAGTGTCCACTCGGGAACCTTGGAAAGGAGGCATGACTTACCCACTCAAACGCCTTCATCGTGTCCTGAAGATGGGCAGGCGCCTTATGTTCTGGAGACAGTCTGTATTGCACACTGAAAATGATGCTCTTGGTATTCTCAGCAATGTGACGACAGAGAACTTCGTCGGCTTCGGATTGCCCCAGGACGAAACCGCCGGGGTGGTAATACACGCCGACGGGAAGCCCTCCGCCGTCGCCCAGCCCAGTTGGGATATAGATGCGATACTTGATGGCGTCGAGAGTGCCGTCTTCCGTCTTGACGGAGCCGGATGGCTGAGGATACCCGGGCGCCAGTGCAGCAAGGAGACCGCCGAATTGGGCTCGCAGCTCGTCAGCACTCCCTTTCAGAACGGGCCGGACGCCACCCAAGCCCTCCTCGACCTGTAGGATTCCTGTCAGTGTTACCGCAGCTCGTCACTCCTCATTCCACTTGCCTTGAGCCAAGAATCTGCGTATGTTCTCATGTCTTCGTTGGGTACTTGGTAAGGTACGGTTGTACGGTTGTGGTATGAATCGTGGGCGAACACCTAAGGCTAATTACTCCTCGGACTGGGTCACTTGGATATACTCTTCTACAACCCATGACGGAGACGACCGTCTAATATCTCTATTCGCCTTAGGAGTCTTTTGCCCAGCTGGTTACCTCTTACTGTCGGCTAGCCATCCTAACCTGCATCATGCATGGCTCCGAACCCAAGGCTCCGGGACCTTGGCTCGCTTGGGTGTCCTGGCTGGCCCGTATCCGAGCGCTAGTGCTATTCCTGCCAATGAGAATGGATTCATTCCCGATCCGGCACCTGCAGGCTTCCCCACCATCGGATAACACTGGTTCCCCACGAGGTTCCAGTGCCCAGGAACGCCAGGCTGCGGGGAACTTGGGATCCTGGAAGCCTCGGTCTCAACCAAGTCAAATATCCGTCTGTCCGACGACCACGGTGCGTCAGATGTAAGACTGCTGGAGAGAAATGGCATCGTAGGTTGAGGAGGCCGCAGACTTGGCCTTTGAACCTCGGTTGTTCTCACCGATGATCCCCAATCTAGCCCCTCGATGCATATCCTCTGGAGTAGCGGTGGCCAAGAATGGTCGCCAAGATGGCGTATGCGACCTCCTGAAGCTAAGGTCAAAAGTACGGAGTAGGATGACGGCACCCGCTGAATCCCAGTAACCCCGCAAACCCCCCGTTCCCACTTCTTTTCTGTCGCCACTATTTTCGACCTCGTTCGATCCTGGCATGTCCACCTCTTGTAAGCCTATGTAGCCAAACAGAGAATGCCCGTCAGAAAAACCAGAAGCGGCGAGCGTCGTCGGTGCGCCAAGGCGTGCAGGAGCTGCAAGCGGCGGAAAGAAAAGTGCGATGGCGTCCGGCCCTGCGGACGGTGCATACGCCGCGGCGTCGGCCACGATTGCAGCTTCTCGCGGGGCCCGTCGTCGGCCCGGAACTCCCCCGTGATGAGTGCCTTCCACGACTTCAACGATCAGAACCACAGCCAGAACCAGAATCGGTTCGGCCAAGACGCTCCGTTCAGACTCGCGCCCGCCCCGCCCGGTCAGCTATCCATCGACCTCCTGGACTACGCCACATTGCCAAAGCCGCGGCCGTCGCGGCAGGGCCAACGCTGCTCCCGGACCGCCCCGGTCCCGCAACTGTCCCGGCTGATCCAGGACGGTCGGGGCAAGTTCATGTTCATCGGCGACTCGGCCAACCTGTCCTTCCTCCAGTCCATCCGTCGCCTTGTCCGCGATTCCCTGGGACCGTGCGCGTTCGCCGATGACCCACTGCGGCACCTCCTAGTGGAGGCGACCCCTGAAGGCCGGGGGAACTGGATAAGCGAAATCGTCAAGCGGCCGACCCCGAGGCCCGACCCGGAGCGCGCCAGATATCTTGTGCGGTGGTACATGCGCGCGACAAGCTGTGTACTGAACCTGTCTGATGAATTTGAGATCCAAGCGTCGCTCTCTCGGTGGCTGCAGAGCTCACATGATGGGCCTGAACAGGATGCCAACAGTGCCATCTTCTTCCTGATATTGGCTATCGGTGCCCAGACCTGTCCCGAGCATCTCGACGACCTTGCCGAGCAGTACTTCAATTACGGGCAGTTCCTGACAGTGTCGGGCATAATGGAGGACCCAAGCATCGCCACCATACAGGCGTACGTTCTCATCACCATGTACCTCCTAGGGGCATCGCGTCGGAACGCAGCATTCATGCATCTGGGCATCGCAGTGCGGGCAGCCTACGCCCTGGGCATCCACCGCGACGACATCAACGCGCTCTTCGACAGGCCCGAGTACGTCGTGCGGGAGCGGCTGTGGAACGTCCTGCGCGTGCTCGACCTCTTCATGAGCGCGTCCCTCGGCCGGCCGCCGGCGACGTGCGAGACGCGGGACACCAAGGCCCACGCCAACTACTCCGCGTCGAACGACCTGTGCGCCATCTTCGAGGCCGTGCTCACTCAGGTCTACTCGAAGCGCATGGTCGTGCCGCAGGCGCTGGAGCGCATCAGCGAACACCACCGCCAGTGGGCCGTGAAGTTCATGTCCGGGCTCGCCGTCGACAACATCCGGCCGAGCGAGTACATCGACACCGACCAGGGTGAGCGGGAGCCCAACATCGGCCTCTACCACCTCAAGGAGGCCTACTACTGGACGATAATGCTCCTCGCGCGCCCCTTCCTAATCGAGAGCGTCTCCCGGCACGTCTCGCAGACCACCACCGCCGCCTCGGCAGGCACCTCCACGCCGCCAACCACCTCGTCCCCCTCGGACCACCTCCTCGCCTACGCCTGCGTCGACTCAGCAATCCGCACCGTCGACCTCCTCCGCGGCCTCGTGACGTCGCGCTCCCCCGTGCCCAAGCGCCTCCCCTTCGTGGTCAACTCTCTCTTCGTCGCCGCCCTCGTCCTCGGCCTCGCCCAGTTCGCCGACATGGACCGCGCCTTCCCGCTCGAGCGCGGCCTCGCGGGGGCGCGCGCCCTGCTCGCCGTCTTCGGCCGCCACGACGCCGTCGCCCGCAGGGCCCGCCACATCGCCGACGACCTGCACGCCGCGTGCGGCGCGTACCGCGACGGCCGCGCGAGAAGGAAGATGGAGCGCCAGAGCCTGCTTATCGGCGGCTTGTTTGGGAGCGTGCATGGCCGCGGCGCCGAGGCGTCGCCGTCGCTGTCGCCGCCTGCGGACGCGGGCGGGGGGCGTCACCACCACCGGCACCGGCAGGCGGCGACGCATGGTGGTGCTGCTTTGGGTTCCGAGATTGGGGATGGCGAGGCGGATGCGCACCACGGGAACGGGAACGGGCACCGGGGCAGCTTTGGGGCGGGCACGCAGCCGTTCGTCGGGATGGCTGACCACGAGAGCTTGCTGATGCTGCCTGATTTGGCTGGCATGGCGGACATGGCGGACATGGCGCTGCCGCTGTCGCCGCAGACGCTCGTATTTGACTCGTTTGATGATGACATACCCCTGGCCTCGGCCGTGGACCCCAATTTGCTCCAGGAGGAGGGCCATGGCGTGCTTGGTGAGGGGTTTCGGAGTGGGTTCTTTGGGCTGGGTGGTGTTGACTGCTGATGATTCTGGGACTCCCCTGCTGGGGTTTACCCTGCCTGCTGTGCTTTTCTTTTAGGATTTAACATGATCATGTAGCGTGAGGTGACGTAGGATGGCGTTTTCGTTCGTTTTGTACAAATAGGATTGACCTCTTGCATCCAGGAAGGCAGAAGAGTACGGGAGATCTTGCCTCTTCACTAGGCTTGGTGTTGAAGAGCTTACTGATCTGCTCGATCGCGGCGTTGACATGGCATGGTCTATTGCCCTAATAACTGTTGGTTTCAGTCAGAAAATGTTGAGCATGGAAATATAGTCGAGTAAACAGGGGGCCTAACCCAATGGTATTTCTATGCTCCCCGGTATCCCAAGCCGTATGCAGTCAAAGTGTTTCAGTAGCTATGCAAGCAGGCTTGAACCTTTTTTCTCTCTGTCTCAAACGTGACAGCAAATCGTCCGTCCTTGCGAGCGTCTTTGCCCCAGACATTGCGGCCGCAGAAGGGAATGGTTGTAGGAGCGGGAGCTTGGCTACTCGGCGCGGGTCTCGAAAAGAATGATGGCGAATCGCTCGCTGCTATCCCGTAACAAGGACCTGCGCAGAAGGGTGTACACCTCGGCCGTGTAGAATCTGTGTAGTTGGAGTAAAGAATCGCCACTGCTCCAACACACAGCAGGTCGCTTACATGCAAGAGCTGTATAAGGTCAGCCAACTTCTTTACGTGGATCCTCCAGCACTCTCTCTAGCCATTGCCACAGTCTCCTGTCTGCCATAATCATCCACCGCATTCAATGTCCCAAAGCTGGCCAGCTCCTCCTTCGCAACGTACTCGGCCGTGGAGTCCTCGGCCGCCAGTTCCTCCAGCAGCTTCTTACTTCCACGCTCCTGGGCCCGTTGCTGAAACAGAAAAGGAATGTCGACCGCCTCCTCACACAGCGCGGCAAAGTGGTAGTAGTCCCGGGTCGATAGTAGACGGACCACGCGCTGGAAACTCCATATCCTGTCGACCCGCCCCCACATTTGCCGGTCCGCCACCACGCCGCACCGGAAGGACCCTACCAACCCCGCCTCCGGTTCCCACAGCGGCGGCGTTGCCAGCAGTTCGCTCGCCGGGACGGCCGACGCGAAGCCCCAGTCGATGAGGCACGACACGTTCAGCTCCGAGTCCACAAACACGTTACCTGTATGCAGATCCGGGTGCGCCAGGGGGAAGCCCTCCCCGCCAGCAGCCGCGTCGCCGCTCAGCCGTGGCACCATCTCGCCCAGTAGCTGGCCTGAGATGCAGTAGGCAAGCCGGTTCCGGCTGTGGTCTATCTTCTGGCCCACCGCCACAAAGTCATTCCACCAGCCAACGGCCGCCCGGTAGCTAGCTACGCTAGTATACTCGGTCGGGTCGGGAATCGGAGCGAAGAAGGCGTGGTACGATAACGAGAGCTCCTGCGCGTGCGATACATAAGCCGCCACAAGCGCCTCCAGGTACGCACTCTCTCTATCGAAAGGCCCACGGTCCAGCTGTTCGAGCAAGTCTCTCCTCCCCCCATATTAGCGCTGGCGCGAGGCACTCCCCGATGGTATAGTTGCCGTCGCTGTCCTGGAAGAGCGATCCGATCTTGGGTTGACGTAGGTGCGATAGCTGCGAGGTGATGGCGCCAAGCTGGCGCATGATCGTCATCCGATCATCGTCCATGAGCTCGGGAACTCCCTTCACCTGCCGTAATTCGTAGTCGACAAGGCGACGCCCGGGCGCCTGGCTCATGAGGATATAGGGGACACCGAGATCGTTTTGGCGCGAGGCACTGCGGGGGGGTCAGCCATCACCATATCCACGGAAAGAGAATGCCGGCACCCAGCCCCCTCCCTCACCTGTAGGCGAAGACCTCGGGCACGGGTACCGAGCTGTGGGTACTGATGTAGTTGAGCGTGGCGACCTCGCTGGCTAGTACTCTGGCGGCATACTCGTCGCTAAGGGCACCGGGACGAGGCGAGCGAAAGATCCACTCAACACCGTCGTTAAACGCCACAACGACTGCCCAATTCATGCTGCCCGACATGGGTGGCGCTGTCGTGTCGCAATGGCATGGCCTGTTGCGCAGCTTCTCTGCCAAGGTTAGAAGGGCGTCGAGGTCGAATTTGGCGTACCGGAAGATCTTGGGTCAGTCCATACTGCTGATGTAAACAGCAGATAGATTCGTAACGCAGCCTCGAACATTGGGTCTTTTTTGCATTTGTGGTTCGGTGCCAGGCACGTGGCCATCAGGCCCCGCCAGGACTGCCCCCCCATTCCCTCGGGTGCAAGAAAGAAGTCGTATTACGTTGCTGGCGATAGGGTCTGATTTATAATGGTAAGGCATTGCACGCTAGGGATGGAGGCCGCTCTGAGCACGGAAATAAGTCGAGTAAACAGGGGGCCAAACCCCCAATGGAATTTATTTCTATGCTTCCCCGATGTCCAAGGCCGTATAACAGCCGTGACGTTTCAGGTTAGTTGTGCAAGCAAGCTTCAAAATCTCCCAGGAAATGAACCCGAACGGTACCGGCGCCGGCTTGAGGGCACTCCGGTCCAGAATCGGGAACTGGAGTTTGTCACAGAATCTAGTTCAGTGATATTGCACGCGATGCCGAAAGCTGCGCCCCGTCCCGGCCTACACCGGATCAAACCCTGGCATGGAACCGGATCAGGCCTGTTGCTCCCAGGTTACTGCCGAACCCGTCCACCAATGCCCGGACAACTTTCTGGTCTTGGATTGGGGTCCCCAACCGTTGCTCGCTGCCGCGATGCAAACGGTGTGTGAAGATGACTCGGTCCAGCTCAGAACAACATGTCTAGTCGTGGCAGGGAGTTGGACGAGCGGGGGAGCGCCGAAGACTACATCCGGTCTTCCGATATAGTGGGTCATGTGCCGGAGATCTGAGGAAAGTGGATTGGCATTACAGATACACGTCAAGAGCAAGCTTTCGGGAGGAGACGTGGGTCAAGTTCCGATACTTGCCTGGACCGTCGGATCAAAGACACATGCCGTTAGTAACCACGCGGTTTGGGCTTACCCCAGAAGACACCATGGGGGAAATCGCGTGGTACCATTCCGGAGTCTGTGAATCTAGACCTGCGATGCCGAGACTTGCTGCCGATGGTGGACCCGATATTCCGGCAGCAAAAGCTTGGCTAGGACTATCCTCCCCATACAATCTAGTAGAGATACTACCCCATTCTCCACCTCCCACACCATTTCCTAGTTGCCGTCTTCCAACTCCCCGGAATCTTTACTAAGTGGGACAACCCCTGATCAACACAAAGAGCAGGGCCAGCCTACAAGTCTCCTCTCCTAGACACTTCGATTAGGCCGAGACTTGCGGTTCATCCCAAAGACTCGCCAGGAGTTTTCTATGCCTGGGAAAGATAAGCATGACGAAGTAAATCACGACGCAGGTTTGAACACTTACCCAGTCCAGGGTTCCCTTGCATGCTGAACCGAGTGGTTCTGTTTTGTTTCCATTCGAGGTCAGCACCTGACCTCATGGGAATAATCATGAGTGACTCAAAAGATTCTCACATCTAACAGAAGAACATCACCCTCCTTCCAGGTCACCAGCGACCGGGTCTCTTGTATGATCTCCACCGCCGTCTCGAGGTACTCCCTCGGGATCAACGAGTCGTCGCCATACTAACAAACAGTCATCAGCGGGGGGGATCTCCACTTTCCACAGCCAAAAAAAAAGTACTTACAAACGCAGGAGGCTGGTATCTCCCCTGTTCATTGAGATGCGGCGGCTCAAGCGTGCCAGCATCAATAGCATTCAGGAACCTCGACACGGCGTTGTTGAAGAACGCCGGCTCCCCAGTCCGGGGATGTGCTCTCACGGCTAGCGCGCCATTGTCAGCCACGGGGCGAATTAACTGATTAACAACGGGCGAGACTCACCAGGCAGGTGTTGCCAGACGCGGAGGTCGCCCAGCGGGTTCGTCTCGGACTGGTTCTCCCAGACCCACGTCGCCGTGGGCAGGCGGCGGACCTCGTCCTCGACTTTTTGCCGCGCTGTTGCGGTGTCGTCGGTGTCGAGGACGTGGATCCCGTAGGACTGAAGGAGAGTGGTCCCTGCTGAGGAGATCTGGTCTCTTGGTCCGTTTGGGTAGAAGAGCTGGTATTTCACTCCCTGGTTGTTGGTTAGGTCAGTATTCGGGATCAGTGCGACTTGGGGTCAAGGACCTAGTTGGTCTTGCCTTCTGTTCGATTTCCTTGATGAACTCCGGGACCCTCTCCTTGAGTCTATGGTACAGCACGATGGAATTGTTGATGGGAGTTTCCCCACCTATGATTATATCACGTAAGTCAGCGACTCTCATCATCCCTATCTCTTCTGGACTTCTGAGACGACTTACCAGTCTCTGGTGCCGAAACACAATAGAAAAGCACATAGGCAGGGTAGTGCGGGCTGAGGCCGAACTCGTTGTGAGGATACACGGGCTGCGTGTTTGGCCCCTCGTTCGCCGTTGCCACGTTCTTCGCCAGGATTGTCCTCCGCACGGGATTCCCGATGGCCTCGTGCGGGAGCCAGCCGAAGGCGTGAGCAAATTCGGAGAATTCGTCCGCGTCTTTGAGTCCCAGGCCCTGGAAATAGATGGCTCCATGTTCTTCCAGTATGCGTTGAAGCCGACCTGTCTCGGTGAGCTCCCTTACGGCATCGATTATAGCTTCTTTGGATGCCTCAGCAGGTTTGGGGGCCAATGACAGTGGAAAACTTGTCCCCTCGGGGTACGGCGGTTGGAGGTCGACGGATGGGCCGTACGGCACGCGATGCAGTGTCTCGACTGCCATCTTAGAGGTCGCTATATTTCCCAATACGTTTCGCAATCAGAGGGCTCTCAAGCGGGAAGGCGGGTAACCTGTACGAGATTGTATAGGTGCTTGGCCGGGCTAAGTCAGCGAGGACGGCAATGCCAGTCTGCATCTTATTATAATCACGTTGTCTCTTATCATTCAAGTTTGGCCATTGCCGATCACCGAACTCAGTCTAAGAGTGGAGATACCATGGCCAAGCCCCCGTCCCCGACATTGCGCAACCTGATCCTTCAAGCACGCTTCCGTCCCGGACAATTAACGGCGAGCTCCCCCCTTGTCGCATTATACGGCTGCGAGCGACGGCAGCTCTCTGGCGAGATCCGAGTTCGTTACCCGACAACCGGTAGTTTAAGTTGGTTAAACTGCAGCCGAGTATGGTAGTGACTCTCCCTATATATCTTTCTAAGAATAGCCCCGTGCCTTCCATACAGTTCGGTCTAGTTGCAAGGCCATGTGCTGTAAGCAATTCCCACCCCTCTCTAGCATCAATAATATAGAAGGATCCTAAGGACCTAGCTTTTCCTCAACGAAGCCTGCGATATTCGGCCTAACACCCTCAGTTGCAACTTGCCAAATCCACATGCCTAACCCCCCAAGAAGACTAGTGAGATTGAAAACCCGTAGGGCTAACAGAGTCGCGGTGAATACGCAGCTAGCGGAGTCCATTTGCGCCCCAGTCACTCATAATCGAGCATTGGCTCATTGCATCCTAGCATCACGACATGATCGCGACATGGCCGCCAAACCGCAACACGACAACAACGCCAGCCATGCCCGTTGCTGATCCCGGCTGGCCCTGCATGAGATTTCTCTGCCAAGTCCTTAGGCCAGGGTGCGACATTCAAGTTCGTGGAGAGAGAGAGAGAGAGAGAGAGAAAGAAGAAGAGGGTTGCAAACCGCTGGATTATTGGTTTGTTTCGTCCTTTTTGTCTTCCCGCCGCAAATATGTCGGACCACCAAACCATCGTACCAGACCGTAGCGTGGAGAGTGAAGAGCGCGAGTATCAGACCAAGCCGGTGTCTCGCTTCACGAGATGGTATCGAAGCCCGCTGTTTAACGTGTTCCTGGTGGGGATGATATCGTTCACCCAACCCGGGATCTGGAATGTTCTCAACAGTGAGTTGTATCCCCATCCTCATTGACCAATGTTCCATGTCCCGTGCTTCATTGCCCCTCTCTTCTTTTTGCTGCCATCGGATGTTGGCTGACGGCAGACACAGCGGCATCTGGCTCGGTCTCCGCGAGCTGGGCCAGCTCATCGGCGCGTCGATCCAGCTCTCTCTCAACGTCCACGACGGCCAGCGCGGCAAGGTGTCGTACACGAAGTACCTGGTCCTGATCGGGCTGCAGTGCCTGGGGCTGCCGCTGGCGCTGCTGGTCTCGTCGCCGCAGAAGGTGATCCGGCCGGACAGGAAGAGGATGCCCGACCCGACCAAGAACAAGGCGGTGTTGGGCGAGGTCCGCAAGTTGTGGGGCCCTGCTCAAGAGGAGGGAGATGTTTCTCTTGATACCCGTACTCCTGGGGTTCGCTTGGAATGGAACGTATCTGGGGATCTACCTCACGAAATAGTTAGTGTCTAAGAGCACCGGGTGCGGAAAATCAGAGCTAACCAGCCGACAGCTTCTCCGTCCGATCTAGAACGCTTGGATCTTTGACATCGGGCATTGCGTCGACTTTCGCTAATATATTCTGGGGCTGGTTCTACGACCGAAAGAGCATCAGCAGGCCAACTCTGGCGAAAGTTACTTGGTTCCTGTTTTCGATCTCTATGCTCGGTCTTCTAGGCTGGCAGGTGGCCAACGAGAGGCTATACTCAGAAACAGTCCCAAAAGTGACGCTGGACTGGGCAAACCCTGGGTTTGGCAGGGGATTCGCAGTCATGGTTCTCCTGAGGTCAGCTGCGTCGATGAAACACTTGCCCAAAAGAGAAGAAGCTAACTCTCCAGGGAGGTTCCTCAACGAATCGCACTACATGTTCGTGTACTGGATCGTGGGCGCCTTCTTCGACGACCTGGAGACGCTGACCCTTGCGGTCGGCATCATCCGCTCCTTCGAGTCCGTCGGCTCGTGTCTCGCCTTCGGCATCGGCGCCGCCCAGGTTGCCCCCATGGTGAACCTCGTCATCGCCTTCATCATGTTCGGCATCACCATCCCGACGACGTCGTACGTCGTCTTCCTCGTTCCGGAGAGGCCCGTCGATAGCAGGAAAATCGAGTATGACGATGATGGTGCGTCGTCCTCGAGCCTCGACGCCGCCGATTCTACGGCGGTCGGCAAGGTCGCTGACGCTATTGATGGGCCACGTGCATTATATACGGAGGTCAAGTGTTGTTGTTTTGCAATAAATATAGCAAGCATGTATATATGTATATCCAACAACTCTTGGCATAATAATAGCACCAACAGCATTTTCGTCCTAACTAAACAAAAAACGCCATGAACACCACCCTGGTATCATTTCCGCAACCAATGCGACTCTAAACGGGCTCTTTCCTATCTGCCATAACCGCCCTTGAGGGACTAGAAACCGGATTAATCTCCCCGGAAGCCTTCTCCGTCTCCGTCACCGTCAGGGGCGGCTCGACGCTCGATCGACGGCGTGTGCTGATATGGGCCAGCTCGGGGATGCGGTGGACCGTCCGGTCCGGGTCGGCCGGGAACCGCTTGCGGTACCACATGGTGAACAGCATGTATATCCTCGGGAGGCAGGCGCAGATCACGCTGGCGTATACCTCGCAGGCGGACCAGAAGGTGGCGTAGAAGACGTGCCCTGTTGGAAAATCAAGTGTTAGCTCGCATGGGTGGATGGATCACGGAGGCTGGCTGCTTGCTTACAGGTCGGGTTCTTCGATTCGTAGAATTGCTTCATCCAAACCATCCGGGGAATGCTGACGGCCATTACGCTGTGGTGCCATGGTCAGCTGGTGTCGCTCAAACTCGACTATAGTCGGGGCCGGGGGGGATCTACTTACCCTCCCCAGGCGATGAACACGAGAATGACGCCGAGCTTCTGTTTCAGCGGTAGCCGTAGCTTCCTTATCTCGGGCAGGGGGATGAGCATGATCCAGATGTCCAGGACAATGCCGATGGCTCCGCTGCTGTAGCCGACCGCCTTGAGCTCGAGGCAGTGCCCGTGAGACCCTTCCTCCCACCAATCCCAGTTGTACGAAATCGGCAGGCATTGGAGGGCCAATGCCATTATGATCGCTATCCCGGTCGCGAGGGATGCTGCCAGGGCGGCGTATATGACGCGTTTGAGGACCGGGACGACGGTGAAGGGGAATACCCGGAGGTAGAACAACAGGATCGATATCCGCGTCAGCATGATCGAGACCGAGTATGTGACTTCGTGTGCGTATAGAAGCTAGCACACATGGAATGTCAGATCATATTTTCCGGAAAATTGGCCATCAGTCGACGGACCTTTTGGGAAACAGTAATTTCTCGGAGCTTGAGGGTGTGCAAGTCCTTGCCGAATCCTTCCTCGTGAACTTTTGTCGATTGAGTCAGTGGTTAATATCAACTTGGCGGTTGTCTCTAATACTCACGAAGCACTCCAATAACAGTGAATCCCCCGACGACGACCTAGACAGAGTCAGTAAGCTCTCATGTCCATGGCGACACGACCTGAGAGGGGCGGAGAGTTGTGCTGCTTGCTGCCTTACTCCGTTTAAGACCATGACCCAGTCATCAGCCATCTCCGTCCACTTCTTCCGCGCTGGCGGACGGGCCATCAACCTCAAGCCAATACATGTCAGAGACACCGATCCGAGAACGATGGACGCAGTGCTTAATAACGCTGACGGCCTTTCACGCAGGGGTACATCGCAAGCTCTAACCGTCTGGTTCTTCGTTACTAATTAATTCCCATCTGGTTAGCGAGTTCCCGATAATTCCGGGACAGAGAGACGATCTCAAGGGATGGGGCGTCATACTCAATCCATTTTTAAACGAGCATGATTTCTTCAGGCATTCCGCCATCTCCTGAGAGAGTACCGCCTGGCAGATGCAGCCTTGGTCGTCGTCTGAGCAGCCCATGTCCTGGATAGACTGTTCCGCGCACGGGTGCTAGAAGAACAATTGGTCAGTAAATCCAATGCTTGGCAGGCACACACAACCGTGTGTCTCGTTCCTGTTGCTAGGGCCACCCACCGCACAGCCGGGGAACTGGTCGTAGATCGAAGTCGCCGTAGTCCTGTTCTGCGTTGGGACTTCTGCTAAGCTCGCACCTCCCACAACAGTCAAAAGGGCAACGGCGCTGAACCACGTCGACGCCTTCATCGCGGCTGGGATCGCTTGGTGTTTCGCCAGTCAAGTCACCCCAATCGCCGTCGTCGGCTCCATCCTTTGCAGACGCGCGCGTGTTTTATATCTTTGAGTTCGGTTGACAAATGGTCTCGAAATTGGGAGAATGAACGGCACGCCACGCGGTAATTGTGATGGTTCAGACAGAATAGTTTAGTTGTATTGCTTTGATTCCATCCGGGGACCACTGAGGGGGGAACGAAAAAGCTGCTCCTTTAAGGTTTGCTTGCCCCAGATATGTCGAGAACGGTTCTGACTGGGCCAGGCTTGGCGCTAGAATATATTGAGTTGAGCTTTGTTCTTTTTTGCCTCGATCTTATTCGAGGAGCTCCGAGGAAAAAGAATACACCGAATTGGCTTAGGGCGAGGGTCTAGGCAAAGTTTGAAGGACATGACCACACTCTGTCATCATTGTGGCGACGGCCCGGCGGGAACGGAACCTCGCCATGCTCCCCTTTTCAGCCCTGAACGCAAAAAAAAAGGGGAAGAAAGAAAAGGTATGAAGGGGATAAATAAAGCTCAACCGAAGCGAGCACATAAGGGTCGAACCCATCAAGACTTTCGATGCCGTGTAGGTAGTTGAGACACGTCCTCGAGCATGCCATACAGAAACCCCATATTAACGAGGAGATAATTACCTGAGAGCGTGTAGCTTCGTCCTAGTTCAAGGCGGGATCACGAATAGAGGGGCTAGAAAAGTTCGGCAGTCGTATGTTCTTGGGCCTAGAACCACGAGACAGAACAAGCCACGTGGGGTTACAGACCCGCTGACAGACTTGCATCCCGCATCTTGGCTGCATCGTTTTAGCTGCCCTGCAGAACCTTGGATTGATTCCATGCAATTGAGTTATCCACGAGGCCGGACGATATAAGTCTGCCCTTACTCATCTGTCTTCCCTGCCGACCTCCTTTCCGAGTAGAAGCTCTCCACCCACCCCTTGATCACGGCGACTTCTTCATTAATGACCTTCTGGACCCCAGCATTCACCATCCCGTTCGCAGCGATCAGGTCACTACAGTGGATCCCCCCAGGGATGACGTAGACCGGTGCCCGGGTGGTGCTCTCGAGAGGCCCGCCGGGGCGGAAAACGCTGCTGACGGTGGCGTCCCTCCAGGGGTCGAATTCGCCATTGACCCAGAGGAGGCGTGTCGTGTTGTCGACGCGAGTCCACCCGCCGGTGGCCTCGTTGACCTCGTCGACATCGCGGCCCTCGCCGATGCCGTACGTGAAGCCGTCCTCGGGAGGGAAGAAGAGCGCGCACTGCCGCTCCCAGTACGCCTCGTCTATAAGCCGGGACACGAGCGTCGGGACCCCGGCCGGCGCCCCGTCTTGCCAGTACTTGAAGCTACAGATTGTTAGCTCGAACGAGGTGGGAGGAGGGGGTGGGCCAGTGGGCCATTGGGGGGGGCCCACGGTTCGTTGCAGAGGAACCAGTTCCACTGACGGTCGATGACGTTGTCTAGAGCGATGTCGGAAAAGAACGGGCTGGAGGCGTTGTACGTGTCGAAGCAGCCCACGTCGTCTGGATATCTCCAGTAACCGTAGTTTGCGCAGTCTTAGTCGCGAGATCGAACCGTTAGCTACCCCTTTGTCGTTCGTCACGGTAGGTGGGTGGCTTGGTAATTACTCACAGCCTGGAACCAGGACCTCTGAGGTCCATTTCGCGTATCCCTCGAGAGCCTTAGATAATCCAACTCCATCGGGGCCTGGGGCCGTGGTGTTGCTGCCAAACCACATATTCTGCGTCACAATGAGTCAGCGGCTAAAATTTTGAGGTGTGGTTGGCTCTGAATACCTCGACATAATTGCAGAACTCAAAGAACCCACTGTAGCCCGAGTCAAAATCATGGCTCTGCCACAACCACGGCCCGTTCTCCAGCGCACCCGCAAAGTCATCGTCATGAACGACGTCCCCCAACCCGAACCTCTCCTTCAGCGCCTGCTTCTCCTCCTCCGACCCCGTCTTCAGGACTGAATCGACGTGCTCGATGACCGCCGACACGTCGGCACTGCAGTTCTGCGGCATCCCTTGCTGGATGGGGTGGAAGTAGTGCCAGAAATCGCCCACGGCCTCGACGACGGCGCTGGAGGCGTGGTGCGCCCAGAACGTCCCCGGCGCGCGCGCGTGCGTCCACGCAGAGAGCGCGCCACTGTACGACCCGCCAGAGAAGACCCACGGAGCCTTCGACGCCGCGCTGGTGCCGTTCCGGTCAAAGGGCAGCGGGGCGTTGTTGGCAAAGTTGGTGGTGTCGAGGATGGAGTTCTCGAGGGTCAGGTACTGCAGGTTCTTGGTCGTCAGGCGGTCGTACGGCGAGCTGGTGCCCCAGTAACGGTGCTCGAGCATGACGACGGCGCCGCCGACGGCCTGCGCGAAGAGGCCCGTGATGGTCCGGTTCGTCAGGTAGCCCGTGTACTGGTCGGCCGCCGACTCCCCCGGCGTGAAGAAGATGACGGGCGACCCGGACCCGGCGTAGAACTCGTCGCTCCACCAGAACCGCTGGGGGAACGTGCCCAGTTCCGGGTGCGCGTGGTCGATGAGCTGCTGGAATTCGCCCTGGCCGGTGAGGCGCTTTCTCAGCCCGCTGCCCCGGTCGTCCGTCAACGGCGGAGGGACCATCCTGTAACCGGTGCCGAGCACATTGGCGCTGACAGTGCCAGTGAGGAAGCCCACGGCTGCTAGGGCGGACAGGAGGATCATCTTGTCTTTTCTGGTTGGTAGGTGGCCAGCGACAAGGATACGGCTCAGTCGGGGGCTGTAGAATAGAGGTATAGCCAGGGAGGGTTCTGATTAAGGGGCAGACGGCTCCCCCTTATACCGCCCCATCGATATAATTAGACTCCTGCCAGGAGTCATGGCTTTCCAATGTGATGGGGCTGCAACCCCCAAGGATGGTCGAAGACTAACCAACACCACCTTCTTATATGGTAAGAATGTTCCGATACCGTGGCCGCATCCCTTGGAATCAGATCTGCAGAGCGCGCAGCAGGGCAATCCTGATGACCGGCTCCCTCCTGACGATAACGGGAGGTAAAATTAAGTTTGTGTCCTGATTCGAGAACCAGTGTGTACAAATGCAAGATTCCGTGCGTGGTCACAAGAATTGGCGGGGATGCCCCCCAATTTTCCCCAACCTTCCTTCCCTTTCTGGTTACGCATTTCCACCTTCTAGTTCGAGCATCCACACGATGGTCCAGGCTCTGATGATCAGCGGATGGAGGGGCCAGGTGGGTGGAGAGCGGCGCTGGATTTAGGTATGTTACACTGATGGATGTGAAACCTCGATTATGAGAGGGGGTTGGTTGTCTAGAATTCCTTCTTTTGACTTATTACCCAGACGCACACTGGCTCACCCAACCTCACTCAACCATTCGGAAATCCTGTGGGAACGATACAATCAATTCTGTCAGACATGCATGGGAAAGTTGACCGCATGATAAGATTGAACAATCGAACTTGTAATTACCTAAACAGCCACAGTTGCACTTTTGAGAACTAGGTAGCTAGGTTATACACCCCTAGTTTCATTCAATCTTGACCTGAAAGTGTCCTCTCTCCACGTTATCGTATGGCAGCCTACATACGCTTTGATACACAAACTTGACCTGCACATTACCGAGCCTAAGGAGAGGCGTACTACAGATAGTTGCGCTCAGCCCAGAAGGCTCCCCGAAACATTCATGTCTGTGTCACCTCTTACTGACGTCTCTTACCGAGACTAGGAGGTCAATCCAGGGACAGCATGAGGCGTGCCGACTGACAAGTGACTTTCTCGGGACAGTTCAGAGTCGATCAGACCTAAGCAACCGACTCATCCTCGATGCGCATATAGACTAGACGGCAACCTAACGTAGGCGCGAAAAAGATTTGCAGAGGAGCCAGTCACAACTCTAACGTGAGAGGACCCTGCTCTTTGATCGCTGTGCAGGCAGGAGAATCGTCCTGTGTTTACCATGCAGCAACTCAAAAGTCTGCAGACGCACGTGAGCAAGGAAAGTTGATCCATCGAGTGAGGTACTCGGATAAGAAGCCGATTCAAGAGTTCTATGCCGGGTTGCTTTACCTTGAAATTATCATCCAGAAGGGGATCAAGTTGATGAGGGGAGGGGCGGTTGCCATTCATAGAGCGTCCGATTTACCAAGAGAGAAAAATGTGCGTGGCAACGTTTGGAAAACCGCATAAACTGGACCGCTCAAGAAACGAATCTCTTCGATATTGCCATGCCAGGTTGGGTTGCCATGATATTGATCAAAAGCTTATATTTAGGGGGTCAGGCAAACAATCACAGACAAGACGCCTGGGCAGGTGCAACCAGGTGCCAACAACTGAAAATCTTGGATTTGGTGACGAGAGCGCCTCCGAGTGGCTAGGGATAGGGTCATTTTCCAGAATAACCTAGGGGTTGAGGAAACAGTTCAAGCACTTCCAAATCACGGTCTCGGATGGAGAGTCTCAGGGCTTGAGGATCGTTCTCCATCCCATCTTGAAGTTAAGACGGTGTGTCGAGGCCAAGCTGAACAGCTGGTCAAAGGTGGGGCACTTGACGCTAAGAATTTATCTCACCAGATTCTCAGCCACAAAGATTAGCCACGCACATAGTAGAAAGCCACACCCGCTTAAGTGGAGTCCGGGCAGACCACAGGATCCGGCATAAAGTTATTCCTAGTCTTTTAGGGCTAAACTTTCGGATCCGTTTCGAGGCGGTGCACTACCCAAAAAAATTCCCAATTTTCAATTGCAAAACCCCAACGACAACAAACCCGACCGACACTCGATCAACGTCACCAAACCACACGAGCCATCATGTCGAACCGCGTGGTCTATCGTCGGCGGAACCCGTACGTTTTATCGCCTCGCGGATACCCATTGCACTGATTAACCTGGAGCAGGTACAACACCAAGAGCCAGCGCACCCGCATGGTGCGCACTCCTGGCGGCGACCTCCGACTCCTCCACATCAGCAAGAAGGCCAGCCGTCCGAAGTGCGGCGACTGCGGCTCTGCCCTCCCCGGCGTAAGTTTTGGATCAATTCGGGTTTGGAAAAGAAGGACGATAGCGACGGGCGGGCTAACATATGACCTCCCCACGCGATAGATCCCGGCCAAGCGCCCCCGCGAATACGCCCAACTCTCGAAGCCCAAGAAGACAGTGTCAAGAGCGTACGGTGGCTCCCGGTGTGGCGGATGCACGCGCGATCGGATTGTGCGCGCCTTCCTTATCTGCGAACAGAAGATCGTCAAGGCGGTGTTGAAGGAACAGCAATCGAAATAGGCACTGGTCGAGGGTTATTACGATGGGGGATCACGATGGGGAATAACGTCTGGAGGGCTCGGATTGAGAGACCTGACATGTTCATGGATTCCATAGGCAAAGGCTTGGGAAACGGGAGGCCCGACCTGGAGTTTTCTTCTGCAAACGCCCTGCAATAAGACACAAATAAAACCCACCAACCACTGTCCCCTTCGACAAAATGACCTGTCGCTGTTTCCACATCCGAACTTTGCTGTGGTGGGTTCGAGGCTAGTAGGCCAAAGGACCAAGTGTGCAGCCGGTACACCCATGGCTCACATTAGTCGTGAAGCGCTCAACATGGCAAACCCAGCCTGGGTGAGCCGAGGTATCCACAGTCTCTGGCGGGCAGGTAACACGACCGAACTGCTGTGGGCACCGTCCGGGCCTGCCAAATGTCTTGATCTAGCCCCCACTTGATCCTGCGCATCGTTGGATGGCCGAGTCCAGCGGACTCACGACATGTTTGACCAAAGCCTCAGTTTGAGGTGAACCTGGATGACAACACACATTGTGTGGAAGATTCTTTGAACAAGAGCGTCAAGGCTCGCATGTTTAACTTCATAACTGAGTTTACCGACAACAGACACGCTGCCCAACAGCCCCCCGCCCCCAGACCGATATAATTCCCAACGCCATCCCCTACCCTTCCCTTCCAACCTATCCTAGCCCCCCTGGGCCCCAAATATCCCCCATTTAGAAACCCTGCTTCTGGACCTGCGCCTTGGCGGCGGCGATGGTCGCGGCGGCCTTGGGGTCGACGAAGCCGCAGCCCAGCTTGCCGTTCTGGAGCGCTGCGGCCTCGTTGGAGCAGACGCCCTGGCCGGAGCCGTTGTCGGCGCAGCACGCCGACCCGCAGTCGGCGTTGTTGACGCACCCGCCCGTGATGAACTGCTCGCCGCTGCCGGTCCCCACGTTCTTGGCGCCGGCGTTGTTGGGCGTCACGGCCGCGAGCGCGGTGATGGCGACTTGGGAAAGGGAGGGATTAGCAAACCTGGGTCATGATTGGGACTTTGGGGGGTGAATCGCTTACAGGCCAGGACGGTTGTGATGCTGATGCGGACCATTTTGATGCTTGGGTGGAAGAGAGGGCTATCCTGAGCACTGGCTGGGTATGATTAAAAAGTTGTTTTTAAAACAAGACGACGCCTGGCCGTTTCTGAAAGGTACGAATGGTAGAGAATGGTAAAATGGTGAACCGGTGAGCTGGAGAGAGGATGTGCCATGATTGCCGGGAGTCGGATGGCTTCCACTTTATAGAAAGCCTGGTTTGTTTGGACGAATGTTACCGCATGGCGGGATCTCAGGCGAAGCTCGTCGCAGATCATGGCCCGCAAGACCGGACGACAGGAGCAACTTCAGGTGAGCCCAGGGCGTTTCTGCAGGCTCGTCCTTCATTGATCTGAGACAGAAAATGCTTGGCGCTCGCAGCGCCAGCTTGCAACTTTCCCTTGTCTCTTAGTTATGCCTCATAACGTCCTCAGCCGCAACCTGGTTAATGCCACTTGATCTCCAAGAAAGTAACGTGGGTGATCAAAGTCATGGACATCGGCACCAAAGACAACATGACGAGAGTTGGGTTTCTGAAGCCAGCAAGACAGCGCTCTGGTGCAGCTAGGCTTACACAAAACCAAGCCGAGAACAAGTCAAATAGTAATGAAAAGTAATGGTGACGAATGGAGGCCTCTGCGGCCGCTTTAGCTTGGCGACCAAAGCAGTTCCGTCTTCCCAAGCCGTGTCGCGATCTACTGGCAGATCCACAGTGAGACGTCCCAGACGGGAGGAGGCACACTGGGGACCCTATGCCAAGCATAAGGGCTCAAACAGTGGTTGATTCGCCCTGGACTTGGCCTAACACGCTTGACCTCGGACAAAATTAGGATCACCCTAAGAGGTAGGTTGACTGAAAAGTGATTTCATATATAAACTATCGCCCTGTTTCCCTGTGCTAAGAATAGTACCCAGGAATTACAGCACAAGACTCTAGCCACCAGCATCCCATCTTCAGCCCGCCGGGAGTGCATCCAATTTCCCCGAGGAGTGGGCGGTGGATGAGAGACGAGTGACGTGGGCAAGATACCTGAACTGAATCTACTGTGGGATGATACTAGAAACTTGGCCCTCGGACTATCTCTACAATAGAATAGTATTACCAAAAGCTCTTCCAACCCTCATGGGGGAATGAATTAGCCGAAGCCGAGGGAGTTCTGAGCAGAGACCAGCCCGGAGACCATTGTCGTTGGATCGAGATTGTCGATCCGGATTGGGATTCCATCAGATAAAGCTCAGAGCCCCATTAATGTGAATATCTGGAGGTCTTGTTACTCCTGCTGTGTCCATTTTAAGTGAAGAACAAAGCCATGATATTAATACCCGCATTCACAAATACCAAAATTAAACAGACCGAGGGGCTGCAATAAGAGGTCCAGGAGTATGTTTCCAGAGCCATAAAATAGTATCTCCAAGGTGCAAGAAGGAAGGATATCCAAGGATTCATTCCTAGCCAGTTGCCCTGTGTCGAGTGCCCACCTCGACCCACTGCCCAAGCACATTCAAGTAAATAGAACGGGATAATCCGATGTACGAGTCGCTCTGCGCTCTAAGTCTCGGTCAGATGCTGTTGCTACGACTCGCGACGGCCAAATGCATAGGCCATTGCGAACACAAAGGGGCCGCTTTACTCGAGCACAACAATGGCAAGCTTTGATATGGAGGTTGAAAGACAACAGGGAATCTGTAATGCGTTCTTTGTGGTCTCTTAAAGAAATAGGTTCCATTGTGACTACACTTGCGACATCCAGAAACGGTATTCCTGTTCCCACCTATAGACAAAGACTCATCGAACCCAACAAGCTGATTGTTTGAACTCGGACGAGAAGCACAAGAGTACCCTTACACTATAAATACGACACCCCGACCGAGTCCTATATCACATCCATCCTAACGGAAATCTTCCAAACCGCACAGGCAAAGCTAGCCAGCTCCCTTCCACTTCGCCAGCATGACAGACGAGCAAACCCCCCCAACCTCGCCGACCTCCCCCTTCCCCTCTCCCCAGAGTCCTCCTCCGCCGCAGCTCCCGGGCCCCCTCGCCTCCCTCCCGCGACGCAAGACAAAGGTCTACACGGGCTGGAACTGCTGCGAGTGCTACACCAACAACGACGACCGCCACCACCCGTCCAACTGCCACCGCGTGCACTGCGGGCACGCCCGGTGCAGCGCGTGCATCGACTACCGGACCGTGTTCAACTGACTGGCTGGTTGGCTGGCTGACTGAATTGTAGACGCTTCCCCTGCCGAAAGAGAAAAAAAAAAAACAATGTTGTTGTTGAGTTGCCCCTCCCCCCTATTCTTGGGAAGGTGAGTGATATGGATGGGGTTGGCTTGGTGGACAAAGAAACCACTTACCGTCGTTAGCAATATGGAAAGGTTTGTTTCCCGCAAGGGATTAGTTATGCCTTTAAATACGCTTTAAATACGCTCTCGCTTTCTGTGAGCTGATACCAACCTACCTGCTCGAAATCGGGATGCCCGACCTCCTGCCTTGATATAACGTACTTGTAGCCATCTCTGTAAGTCAACAAGGTGATTCCCTATTCGCCCGTATCAATATCGTCCCAGCAGTGAGAGCTGCCCTTCCGTTGACTCTTGGTCCATCTGGCTCCCAAGTCGAAAAAAGGTTCTCGGCGCGTTGATGGTGGCATTTCTTGGCCATGATAACGTGCCTATAATTAACGTATCCGACCTCGCATAAGCATCAAGCCCTTACTTCACTTGCGGGGGATAGCACGATAGCCTGAAAGATCCAGAGAGAGAAGATAGATTCATTATAAACAGCTGTCGGGTATCAAGAAAAAGCAAGGCAACGCGTGCAAGTCCGCTCCAGCTCGTATAAAAACAACCAATAATCTACACCGTCATGTGCGTGTGTGTACGCGTGCATGGGTGCGTGCGAGCGTGTATGTGTGCGCCTGTGACTGTAGTGTGCGTGTGTTTGTTGCGCGTCGAAGCAAACGCCTCTTGCCAGTTTCACCCGCCCATGCACCAACTCCCATGACATGGTTTCCCCTCCTCCCGTACTTTGATCGCCTCGCCGTCCACGTCGATCGATGACCAGAAAAGTTGTGCCGACAAAAGTTTGTTACATGGAAAGAGAGAAAAGAATCACGACCAGAGTCACTACTGGGGTCGGAGAGTCTCGTCGCCTTCGGTGCCCTCACCATCACCCGCGTCCGCATCCGCGTTCGCCTCGCCCCCGTCCAAGCTACTGCGGTCGCTGGCGAGGGTGGCCACCTCCTCGCCCCTGGCGGCGCGCCTCGCCGTCTCCCTCTCGTGGTAGATCTCCGTCTTGCGGCCGTCGGCGGCCCGTAGCGCGTCGACGTAGGTCCTGAACTTGACGATCTCGCGGAGCAGATACTCGCTCTTGCGCTGCCAGTTGGCCATGGCCTTGCCGTGGTTGGCGCTCCGCGGCGTGAAGGCGAGGAGCATGGGGCTGCGCAGCGCGTTGTGCGCCTGCAGCTCCTCCTCTATGCCCCTGACGTAGCCCATCAGCGTCTCGAGCTGCTCGCGCTCCCCCAGGTTGCTGGGCCGCATGCTCTGCGTCGGCGGCGCCCACTCGGCGATGTGCACCCTGTCGCCGGGGAGCTTGGCGTGCCGCGACCCCGACCCGGGCGCCATCCCCATGCTGCCCAGCGCCCCGCTGCTGCCGCTGCTCGGCCGCCCAAAGTCGAAGCTGCCCGACCGGATGCTTCCGCGGCTCTGGAGCGACGTCCTGATGGCCATCCCCACCGAGCCCGCGTTTGTCGCGCTGCCCGATCGCGAGTGGCCCTTCAGGCTGCTCCTTCCGGTCTCCGGCCGCCCGCTGAGATTTCCCGAGCTCTCATTGATCGCCGCCACGAGCGCGTTGTTGACGATGGCCTCGCTCCACCCGTATTCGATGTTGGAGATGCCCCCAACGAGCGGGTGCGTGCTCAGCCGAGCGCTCCAATAATTCGCCGTGCTGACGAACTCCTTGCTGATCTCCGGCGTGCCGACCTGGAAGAGGTGGACAGCTCCGGTCGGCAGGGAGAGAGCCCAGACATGAGGCCGCTGCCGAGAATAACCGGGCGTCGGCAGGGCGGAGGCCAGTGCCTGGCGCAGAGAGAAGGTGCCCAGATTGGTGGCATTCTCCTGCCAATTACCGCCGCCCACGACAGCACCCTTGGGTAGTGCCCCACCATGCAGTCGCGACCGGCTCTTGTTGCGAAGAGACTTGTTGGGCGTGAATGAGAAGAGGCCCATCTGTCCCTTTTGGACAACAGCGAAGACCTCAGACCAGTTGCGGTCCTTTGCTTTCCTATCCATGCCGTCGAGGTGGTGCTTATGGATGATCATGCCTTCCTTGACCCACGGCGGCCCCGCGAGTTCGAGCGACTCGTCCTCCAACAACTGGACGGCCTTGACCTCGTCGGAAAGGACGGAGGACGAGCCGGCAGGGTTGTCTTCGCGGATGATTGCCTGGCTGAGAGCATTGGCGAAGCCGATGGATTGCTGGTAATCGCCGCGGGGATGTGCAGAGCCGAACGAGTCCATCGACATGGACGTGTGAGTCCGCCCGAGAGATGCGCGACTCCAGGTTGCCGAGGACTCGGTCGGGCTCCAGATCGACCCGCCGTCGTCGAAGCTGGTTCGGCTTGACGAGAACCCGTTGCCCCCAAAAGCTCGATGTCGGGAACGACTCTTGGAGAACCTGGACGTGCTTGCCCGGGCGCTCTCGGATACCCTTCCACGCGTTGATGACACGCCCTCGGACGGCGCTTTGCTCAGCACACTCGGGGTGCGCTTGAGCATGCCCATGACTGACAAGCCTCCCGGCGTGGGGAGCGGGCTCGACTCTGCGCCAAACAGCGGTAGACGTTCGTCGCGAATCGAGACATAAATATCCTTCAGCACAATCTCGACCTGTACCTCCCAGCCGCGCAAGGGGCCGTCATACGGCCCGTTGACCAGGGGCTGGCAGCTTGTCCCATTCGCCTGGGTGGATGCGTCACCCAGGGAGGAGTCAGGGCGAGGTGGGGGCTTGAATGAAGATCGGAAGCTGCTGTGTCGGTCGTGGTCAGCAGAAGTACGGGGATCGCCTTCCACGCCCAGGTTCTGTCCCTTGGGCGTCAAAATGGAGGGCCGATCCAGGGCATGGGGAGCCGACTCGTCGAGCGAGTGCCTGATCGACGTCATCGTGTTCTTCACGAACTGGCCCCTGGTCATCTTGTGCTCGATATCGGCCATGTGTAGGTCAGTATTCAGGAGCATGATCGAGTAGCAGATGGTGTGGATGATGTCTGCAATTACGGGTTAGCGACGTCCACCAAACAAATGGTGAGGCAGGGAAGCACAAACCTGTCGTTTTGAAGCCGTGGTTGGGATTGCAGTCACACCATTGCGTGGCAAATGCAACCAGGATCCGATCGACCTGTTGGGTCTCTGCCCGGAGAACCAAACGTGCACAAACAAGCCTCAGACTGTCGACGATGCTCTTGTTCTTGAAGTCATACAGATCCATGTAGGCCCGTAGGGTTCGTTGGCGAATGGGCCCTTCTTCGCCCATCCATGCCGCCGCCTTCTCCTTCTGTATGAAGTCCTCGTTTCCGTCATAGATCCTTTGCGCTTTCTGACGGTCATCCTCGGTCGGGTCACCAACGACAAAGTCGGGCTCGTCAATGGATTTGGATGTCTTGAGTTCTCCTGCAGTCCTGGGGGTTGAATCGCAGTCGGCAGGCTTGGAGCTGGAGACGCTTTGACTGTCATCGGCCATGATGCCCTCGATTGGGAGGGCAAGGGTTGAGCCTCTTCGACGGCCCGTGTCACTCTGGTCCGGCGGTGCTTGGGTCTCAGTCTTTGCCACTGTTACCTTCGCCTCAGTTTGATCCATTGGAGCCTTCGCGCCTCTCATTGACGCAGATGAAGCCCTCTTATCTAGCATATTGACTGGACGCAGCTCCCGGCCATCCGACTCGTCTCGACTCTCCTTGACCTGTTGGCGTTGGGGACTTGACTCGCTGTCGCTGTTGTCGTTGAAGAATGAGCCGCTGCGACCCATACCAGGGGGGTCGGGGGGGTGTCGAGTCGGCGTGTCCACAGGCTGTTGACCAGGGGTGGTTTCGATGGGACCGTCTGCCTCCACTGCCCGTATCACCGCCTTGGGGCTTGGCTCATAGTCAGGGGAGAAGCCTCGAACGTTACGCTGATCCTCGTCGCCCTTCCGCTGGCTCTCCCTGGGGGAAGGCGCTTGAGTCGTGGGCTCACGCGTGAGTGGCAAAGGAGCGAAGCCCGGAGAAAGGGCATTGGGGCTCGTCGGGCTGCCTTTCAAGAAAGGGTCCATGGCGCGGCGCAGGCTCGTGATGGGGCTGGGGTCGGGCTTGGGGGAGAGCATCTCGTTCGACTGTGGGAATGTGACAGGAGGTATTATAACCGGGGGCGGGGGGAGAGGCGGTTCGGGCTCGGTGAGCGAGTATTTCCGCCGGCGAAAGAAGGACGATGTCTTCTTCTGCAAAACATGGGGGGTGGTCGGATGGTGCGAATCGCGCGAGGGCGGTGCGGAGGGCGATTTCATCTGGGAGGGTATGTGTTGCTGCGACCTGCTGGCCGAGCCATCCCTAGACGGCGAGGAGACATAGGGCGAAGAGGAGGACTGGGGCAGCGGACTGGTCGAGTTAGATTTCGAAGAGCCAAACATTCTCCTGAAGAAGCTGGGCTTTTCCCTTAGCGTATGATGAGACGCGCTGTTTGGCGAGGCGGGCACAGGCTCTTTGGACTTCTCGTATCCCACATGTGGCGCAGGAGCTGAGTCCAGGTCAAAGGTCGGGAGGGGAGGTACATCGCGGGTGATGTTCTTTGACTCGTGCTTCCGCCCGACAGTCGCACTCCTCGAGGATCTTGTACTGCGTTTCCGCTCGAGACCGGGCCCTTTGCCAGGAGATGGCTGTGGTGGCTCTGGGGGCGGCGGGAGGACCGGGAGCGACGGGACGGTTGCAAGCCTCCTCGGCCCGCCGGGGACCGTTGGTGTTGGAGCAGCATCGTATTCGTCGTTCAGGAAGGAGTTTGAGAATTCAAGTTGCCAGGGCGACTGCGTGTTGGGCGAAGGCTTGTTGGGCGAGGGCTTGTTCGGTACACGGTCGAAGCTCGATGACCTACCAAAGCCCTGGGCCGCCCAGCGCTGACTGCCCAAGACCTGGGCGTAACCGGCGTCTATGCTGTTGGTGCTGCTGCTCTTGCTCCCCTTGCCTCCTCCCCGAGAGTGCAGGGGCCTGGGGGTGCCAGGTATGCTTCGTTGATGCGAGGGCTCGCGCAGGCTATTGATCCGACCCAAGCTTGACTGGAAGCCAGAACTGCTGTTGCTTCTTCGACCGCGAGACTGCTGGCTAGACATCCTACTCGAATCGTCTGCTGCCTCCAGGTCGGAGCTGTATGTGTAGCCGTGGCCATTGTTCCGGCCGGATTTTGAATTGTACGTCATTGAGGTGGAAAAGTCATCGCCTCCAAACGAGGAATAGCCGGAGGGGTCGTCGTATGTGGGCCTGGATGATCCCCCAAACTGCAACTGGTCCATTGAGAACTGGTCCAGCGAGAGAAGCATGTTTGCTACGAGCGAGTCTCGGGTGACTTGTCGAGGCGGCAGGGAGAGGTCGTGCGAGTCTCGAGAATTGGGAAGGCACGGTTCGGGACGGTCATTTTCTTTGTTGGAGAGATCGACGGGGGTAATGCTGTCGAGAAAGGATTCTATGTCTGGGCCATCTCTCGTCGCCTGGGAGGCCGTCCTAAGCGCCCGGGCGGAGGCGGTCGGCTTTAGCTTGCCAGACACGGGCGGCTTGCGAGATGGAGGCGTCTGCGGGATGACGTCCCGGTGGTGCCTGTTGGATTGGGGGGACGTGTTGATGTTCAGCTCTGGCCGCCGCCTCGAGTTTCGACGTGGTGTGTCGGCGGAATACATGGTCAAGCAGAGGGAGAATCGGGTAAATCGGGGGAGCGGCAGAACCGACGAGTCGACGCCATCCACGGGCCCGAGTGAGACCTCGAGGCTGCAACAGACGACTTTAGGCAGAGGAGAGGAAGGAAGGAAAAAGCAAGCGGATCAATTTTGACAGTCGGTCCGGCTTCAGGTACGTGGCTTTCTGGTGCTTTAGCGCCGCCTTAAGGGGGAAAGAGGGGATATAGCTGGGGTTAGAAATAAGTTAGACAGTAATCGTCTTATTAGCACCTTAGCACCTGGCGAAATTCTAGCTCGAGGCCCAGGAACTAGGTACCTAAGGCAGCGGGAACTGAAACTTATGAATCGGTGACGTCTGGCGGCATCGGAGAAAAGTACAGAAACTAAAAAACCAAAACAAAAGAAAAAGGGTTTCCTGTTGCGCAACCCGGATATGGGCGCTTTGTTTCACTGATCATGGCACTTTTGATCAAATTCCACTTTCCTGCTTTTGGTGTTTCCGCCCATCCAACCACGAGGCACCACCTCCCCTGGCTTGGTGGCGCCGAAGCTGGGAACGCACCCACTCAAAAAGCCAAAGCAGGTGGTCTGTGTGTCTGAGAAAAAGCAAGCAGCCAATGACAACCTGCAGCCCACCCTCCAGATGGGTCCACCATCACGTAAGTTCAATATTCAGGGGTATTAATGGCTTCGCGCAAAGCTCTTCCCCCCGTTTGACGCGTGAAAGGAAAACATTTGATAAGACTGATAAGAGCCGCGTTTTGGCGAGGGTACGTATCCGTATTCTGGAAGAAGCAACTCCCAGCTGCCATTTTCCCCGTCACCCCTGCACTTGGCAGGCGTTGTGCACACCGCCAGTCAATTGCATTTTGGCCTGCCAACAGCACTCGTGCAACCTCTTGCCAGAAAAATCAGCCGCTATCCAACACTAGCTGATCCTTCTCATCTTGCTCCTTTTCGCGGCCTGCATTGGGCAATGCAGGGTGCTGGCATCTAGTGTAGGTACCTGTGAGCTAAGACAGGTATGTCTCGAATTGGCCACTGGTGAGACAGAGCAATGCGCGCAGTTGCAGCTGGCAGAGGGGGGATTTGGGAGGGGACTGCAGCTCAGCCCCACCATTGGACGTCTGTTTCCTGCAAACCCCCTATCGGTGCAGCCCTTTCGGCTCACCACAATGCACCTCGGGCAAGTTGGCTTTGACGATTTGAGCCAACGGAGGCCAAATCCGCTGGGTATTGACTTGTTTGTGCAACCAACCGACCAGCGGCTTCTGCAAACTGCATCCGAGCTCTGGAAGATGAGATGATTTAAATTGTCTTTAGCCCTGGGACATTCCAACAAGCCAACGGCTTCTTCCGCTCTGGTCGTGTGTCCGATCAGCCACACCGCAACGACAAATCACCTTGCTTAACGCCGGTGATTTACAAATCCCAAGCCACTTATGCACATGCTTTGCGTAACTCCAACTCTGTCATATCTTGAATCCCGCCTGGTGCCTGTTGCTGGGCATATGGAATCAGGCTTACAGTCCAACCGAAAGAACCAAGAACACCAGCGAGTCCACTCTGATTAGTCGCGCCAAACTCTACTATTCTAGAGCGCGAGACCTAAGGCGCTGAAATGATGGGGCCCCTCATGACATCGCACTTGAGGGTGCTCACAGCACTTGGAGTTAGCAACGACAATATCGTAGAAACATTTCTAAGCATATTACTCTATGTGAGAAGCTTTCAGAAATACTTGCCCCCCTTTCACCCCTAAATCCAGGGCCCGTGATCTCAGGACTTGATAGTCGACTTACCTCAACCTTGCGGAGGATTCCGAACTCGGATAATTCTTCGTAACTAAGTCCCATCTCGCTTTTGCCTCTGCGCCGTGCGGGATTATGGCTAGCAATCACCACATTATGGAAGCTTCCAGCCTGTCATAGCAGCAACACTGAGAGGCAACTTACCATCTTGGTCGTCAGCCGAGAGGGGGAGCAGCTCGGCAGTGGCTGTTGCCTCAAGGGACTCCTGCAACTGGATGAGCAATTGTAATGGAAAATACAGGTGTTTGATTTCACATACCCTCAAAATAAAGGGGCCCCACGCAACTTGCGCCCATCTTGATTAGCAACTTGTTCTACAGTACCAGGGATCAAGCTACTACCTCTGAAATCTTTCGACGTCGTTCTTGGAGATAATTAGATCCTAACGCAGCGAGATCTCCACTGAGGCCACGAGTCAGCGTATTTCCGAGATTGCTTCTCTCTCAAGATTTGCAGCGTGTTCGAGAGGAATATCTCGTTGGTCAGCCAAGATAGTCGCAGGTCGCACTCAGCGCGAGGATAATCCGGCTGAGCCAGGGTTGTACATTTCGTGAGACGGATGACCTATGGGAGCCCTGACCGGGTTGAGGTCCGAGGCTACAAGTCGCCAACCGGGAAGACAGCAGTACCTACGTAGTCATAACTGGGCTATATGTTTAGAATTCACAACACAGATTTCCAATCCGGAGAGACAATAAGTCCGTTGTGTCTCAACTCTCGGCAGGGAGGCTGGATCAGAGCCGGTGCGGCTTGGAGAAATAATTATACTGACCCATACCATGGTTAAAGATATATCTCATGAGGAGGAAAACCAGAGTGCGCCGAGAAATCGTCCAAGGGGACTTAACGCATCCCATACGCCACAAATTACCTTCTATATTTTCAATATACATCCGAAACCAGTTCTTTTTAGGCGGACATGGCCAACAACCTACACATTCCCTTCCGACGCCACCCTCCACTCATGCTTGACGACGATATTCCTCTCCGTGCTCCCGACCATGAACTCGGGCCTGTCATCGGAGTCGCTGCCGCTGCCGCTGCTCGCGGCGGCCCTCGCCTCGACGTCATGTCTGGGCCCGACGGGCCGCAGCTGGTACTGCGACGAGTCATCGTTGTCGAGCGGCTCGAAGGTGCCGTTCTTGGAGTTCAGCTTGGCGGAGCCGCCGCCGAGGGCGGTGCCCGTGGCCGAGTGGCCGCCCTTGCCGAGGAGGGGCAGCAGGACGGGGATGCAGGCCAGCGTGACCGCGATGCAGGGCTCGAGGGCGCTGAAAATGAGCGCGTGCGGGATGTTGAAGGTGATGTCGGAGTAGTCAATGGAGGAGAGGGCGGCGAGTCGGAGGATGCTAACCACGCAGGTGCTGGTGCGACGTATCAGTCAGCCGGAAAAGGGATTGGGTTTTGGAGGTGTTTGGGGGGGGGGGTGGGGGGAGTGGGAGGGAGGCTGTATTTGTGTGGGAATCGACTTACAACAGACCAACAGCAAATGTGGCGATCAGAACCAGCTTCTTATAGAAGGCCAAGTTCAAACTATAGAGATACGGCATGGGAAGGAGAAGGACGATGACGTCGGTGATGAGGTTCAGAGATCCTGTGATCCGGTAGGAGAGCAACTGGTTTCCACAGTGACCCTTGATGTTCTGATTCCAGTTGTACTCGAAGGGTTGGCAGAGGAAGAAGCCCATCAGGATGGTCGCCAGCGCCCACATGATGATGACGGCACCCGTGACCTGGGCTGTCCACACAAAAGCCTGGACAGTGAAGACTCTGCAGTACAAGATCAAGATGGATATCTTGCAAAGGCTTAGGCTCAGGGCCCAGAGGAGCTGGATGGCAATAAGAAGCTGTGAGGAATCCCAATATTAATATGTCAATAATCAACCCGAATGATTTCTCAAGGATGTCATCCATGAATTTGCTTGCCTTGAGGAAAATCGTGATCGGGCCCATTCCGTACATGTCCATGATTTCAGAGAAATGGAATCCCACACCGCCGACCAAGACCCCTAGTCAGGTGAAGCTGCTGTCAGTCGAGTTGCGTCCGGTAAAGAGATGCCGGCAAAGGGTATGACAGGAGGAGACAAACCTGCAAGGTTAACGCCCTGATATACAACGGCGACGAACTAGAGAAGCTGTCAGTGGCTCAGTGCAACTCGAAGTCTTGACCTATGTTGCCGAGTGGACTGACACATGCTGCGAAGAGACACCAATCACTTGCATCCAGAGACCTGTTTGCGATTCGGCGGGATAGAGCACGCAGGACGCATGCCAAGATGGGCAGGATGCTGAACACAACCCCGACCGCAATGACCGAGCTCTGGGCCTGCCTCTCGATGGGGAAAATAACCGCCATGGTGGGAATCTGTCAATAGAATGGAAGGTGACTTGACTTGGAGCTGGAGACGAGAACCTCGGGGGTTCCTCGCTATTATTCTCCCCTCCCTGACTCGATTGTCGTCACATCTACACGTTTCTTTTTCTTGGCCTCGAGGATAACGCAATTTGTCACGTAAGCCTCCAAATGTTCAACTCGTTGCAAGTCACCCTCCCCCCTCCTCTGGCCCCCCTACTCCACATGGCACTCGTTGGCACTTGAGGGGCAACATCCAGGGTGTTGACTGGTCGAGGCGCTGGTTGTTCGTTTTGTTGTTGTGCCGTCCAATGGTTGAGACCAGACAGAGGTGACAGAGTGGGGCAACAATCCACTAGTGAAACTGCGGAAGGCGCCCGCCCCTTAGTGGACTCGATAACCAGGAAAGCTGGGCCCTTCCCGCTGCGGGCGGATATAGCGTCGGCACTAGAACGTTAGCTAGGGCAAAGATCCAGAATGTCGGGTTCAGACACGATATCGGATCAAGGCTACTTGCAGGAGGCAATTACTCTGCATTGGCCTACCAAAATAGTAAAATCGTGATGAGACCTGTCAAGAATACCCGCACGACTCTTCCCGATCCTACCTGAAGCCTCGCTGTAACCTCGACGCAATTCCACCAGTCTGACTTGTCACTTTTCGCCATTCAAATAATCCACGCATGTAGGACAAGGGGTGCTATTAGTCACACCAACTGCCACAACGGGGAACTGTTAACAGTCCACACTCGCCGATCATTAATAAACCCATTGTTCTGCTTGGACAGTCCCCCACCCGCCGTTGAGGAGATGCCGGGTTCTCGATGCGTCGCCGAAACCCAGAACCTGGTCCTGGTCGTGGTCCGTGGTCCTCCCGGACCTTGCGAGTCGCAGAAAACATGGAGGAACACTGATTTCACGTTCAAATATCAAATCCGGCAGCCCATCATGGCTATGCGGCTCGCTCCCCTTTCTTGCGTAACCCCTAGGTCCCGTCTTGTGTAACGGGCGACAGATAATCCCCCAAACTTGGAGTCTCATGTGACCGTGACGATGGATTCGTTGCTCAGTGGAAGTTTCTTTTCCTGGCCTTCCATCCTGGCCCAGATCCTGATCGCCCTCGTCAGCCTATTCGCGTGGCGTCGCTACTTGTCTCCCCTCGCTGATATCCCCGGCCCATTCGTCGCCTCCTTCACTCGGTTCTGGCACATTCGTCGCATCTGGATTGGGGACCAGAATCTCCAGCTCGTACAACTTCACGAGAAACTCGGTGGGTACTTATTGTGGCTCCTTGGGGCTTTGGACTTGCGATTCGGACTCGGGCTGACAAAAAGGCCTGCGGCTTGACCACAGGACATTTCGTCCGCATCGCCCCCAATGAGGTCAGCGTCAGTCACCCAGATGGAATCAAGAAGATTCTCCTCACGCCGCTTTGGAAGGTAAGAAAGACCCGGGGAATGCTCTAGATAAGCCCCCATTCTGATATCTCCATCCCTCTAACAGCATAACTCAAGGGCAAATGGTACGAGTTGCTGGCGTTCCCGGATTACCGGTACCAGACGCCCATGTCGACCACCGACCCCAAGAAGAAGGTCGAGCGATCAAGGAACCTGGCATCGGGATACACGCTATCCAATGTGATCAAGTCAGAGGACGCCATCACCCACACCATCGAGATGCTCCTAGATTGGATGGACAAGTACGCCGAGAACCAACAGCCAATGGAACTGGACAAGTTCTTCACCTTCACAGCCTTCGACGTGGTCGGCGAGGTCGTCTTCTCCAAGCAATTCGGCTTCCTGCGCTCGGGCACCGACATCGGCGACGCCATCTCTAACTCCCTCGCCCTCAACGCCTTCGCCGCCATCGGCGGCTTCCTCCAGCCGGCCAACCTGCTGGTAGCCAACCCGCTGGTCACCCGCCTGCAGGTCATGCCCATGGGCCACCTCTTCAACACCACCCTGCGCGCCATCACGTCCCGCCGGCGCAACCAGGACGCCCGCTTCGACATCGCCGCGCACTGGTTCCGCACCCACGCCGCGCACCCGGACCGCCTATCCCTGCGCGACATCCACGCCCAGGCCACGACCAACGTCGGTGCCGGCGCCGACACCGTGTCGTGCGCCCTGCAGTCCTTCGTCTACCACATGATCCGGCACCGCGACGCGTGGCGGCGCGCCCGCGCCGAGATCGACTCCGTCGCCCACATCAACCGCGTCGTGTCCTTCGAGGACGCCCAAGGCCTGCCCTTCCTGCAGGCCTGCATCCGGGAGGCGCTGCGCGTCTTCGGGCCCGTGCCCATGGGTCTGCCGCGCGTGGCGCCGGCGGAGGGCGTCACGGTCGGCGAGCGGACTTTCCCCGAGGGGACTGTACTCTCTATCAACCCCTGGACTATGCACCACTCCAAGGAGATATGGGGGGATGATGCGCACGAGTTCAACCCGGATCGGTGGTTCGACGAGTCTGTGGCCGCTGCGGAGAAGTACTGGATGCCGGTAGGTGGCTCCCGTAACCGTCTGCTTAGCAGATGGTTTTCTCTTTGTTCTATCAGAGTGGGTGTTAGATGGTTGCTAACGATGACCCAACCTCGTACAGTTCGGCATGGGATACAACTCCTGCCCCGGCCAGAACGTGGCCAAGATAGAGCTGTCCAAGATCGCGGCCACCCTTGTTCGCGATTACGACATCCGCCAGGTCGACGAGGACCAGGAGTGGAAGTGGAAGGCGTATTTCACCGTCGTGCCGCATTCCTGGCCCTGCTACATTAAGAAAAGAGAGAGAGCCGACATGGACTGATCGAGGGGGTAGGTGTGGCTCAAATGTTGAATCGTAGGACCAGACGTTTTGCAACCCAGTCTAACGAGACGTAATGTTGTTTATGACGGTTGCGTCGGGATGCCCTCGGAGTCAGTGAGCCCTAGGTGGGTGATTCGTGAAATCTGGTGTCTCAGCAGAGCATCAGGGTAAAAGCAGAGTTGCCCCCTTTTCAGTATCGTGACTGAACTCCACTTTAGGGGCATTGTATGTACCCCTGAATGGCAGAACAGCCGAGCCATACCTCCGTAATGTCCACCTCTGCATCTTCCCACACCTCCAGAGTGTACAGCACGAGACAAGCACTGATGCCCGACAGATCGACTGCATCGAAAATAATGATGACCTCTGAAAGATTCCGTAGATTAAATCAGCCAGACTCTACCAACACCACAAATCAGGGTATCAACATCGAAGTGATCCAACACTCGCCTCCCCCAAGTCCCAACTATTATAGACACGACGCAAAAACAAATAAACATCCCTCCAGACGATGAAACTTGAACGCCATCGCATAAGACGCCAAAAAAAACACAGCAAAACAACCACATCCGAATCATATCCCAACCCCAACCCCCCTACACCCGAACAGCCCCCCCCAAAGAAATCCCCAGCACCCCCGCCGCCGCCGCCCGGTGCTCCAGCCCGGCCACCAGCACCGTCAGCAGCGCCAGGACCCCCACGCAGCCCGCAACGCCGCCGATGGCGCGGGACGCCCCCAGGAGCGGGACCGCCGCAGGCACCGCCACCGCCACCGCCACCGCCGCCGCGGCGACCATGGCCATCTGCAACGTGTGTGAAGACGACGGCGGCGGCGGTGGTGGTTCTTCCCGGGCGCTGCTGCCCTGTCGTGGTCGGGGTGGTGCTGCTGCTGCTGTTGGGGCGGTGCCGTCCTTGTTGGTGGTGGTGGTGGTGGTCGTCGTCGTGGTCGTCCGTTCGCCGCCGCCGCGCGTGTCTGGTCGCTGGTACGGGGATCGTGACGTCCATGCGGAGGAGGGCGGGTCCGCGGGGTCGGCGCTGTTGGGGTTGCCGAAATGCGGGGTCGTCTTGCTGGGGATGGGGGTGACGGCGCCGTCCGAGAACGGGGAGTAGTCCGCGCTGCTGCTGTCTGTGTCGGAGAATGAGGTCGGCTGGTGATTGCTCCGGCGGGGAGCTAGCGAGACGAGGTCCTCGACGGGGTCGAGGAAGCGAGTCTCGATCTCGGCGATGGGGTTGTGCGTCGCGAGGTAGGTGCGGTAGGATTGCACGTCGGGCATGGATGGGGTCGGGAGGTTCTGCGTTGATGTGAAGGAGGAGAGGACGTGGTCTAGATGACGGGGTGAGTTACGAACAAACAGGCAGGGGGGGGGGGGGGGGGGATGGACAGGGTAAGCTTACTGTACTGGCCCAGCTTGAATCCGATCTTCCCCAAAATATCCGTCTTGTGCCATTGCAACTCCCCTCCAGCCATATACTCGGCCCTCCTCGAGGCAGGCAGGATGCAGTTCTGGAGCCGCCTGGTCTGGGTATCGGCCGTGTCTAGGCGGTGAAGCTGCTCCTCCAGCTCGCTCAGCTCATCTTGGAGGTGCAACAATAGTCGGTGGTTAAGGGCCTCGAATCGACGATAGATGGGCGGGAGGGCAGGTGGAGTACTCGTCTCCTCGTCTCCGCTCAGCTTGGAGGATGGCGATCGGGATTCTTCAAGATTCTCCTGGTTTGCATGACGCGCTCCACGTCGACGATTACGTGACTGCCGGGTATTCGCATGCGATGAGAGCCGCTCTGCCAAGAGTTCGTAACCTGTGAGCGGCAGCTTCTCGGCCCGCGGCAGGTGTTTGACATGGCCATGACCGACTCGCGGTGTTAGGGCGTTGGGTGGCAGGTGTGGAAGATTGGCGTTTCCCCGCGGCATCTCGGGCGTTCCATAACGATGCGCCTTTGCCTCTGCCTGTACTTGGGAAAAGCCGCGCTGCTGTCGCCTTCGTACACCCCTCATGTTGGCAACCAACTGTGCCCTGTCCAGCGGACTGGCGCAGTCTTGGGGCGACGACGCCACCTGGGTGAACGTCGTCGAGACAATGTCGCCGTTCACGCTCTGTTCCGGGCTGGTGCTGGGCTCGGTGTCTTGTTCGGAGCCACCATCGCTCCTGAGGCTGTCCAGGTTCGTGCTAGAGGCAGATGACGATGACGAGGCACTCTGTGGGGATGTGGGCATGTCCGATTCATGCCAGTGGGTTGCCGCTTCTGCGACTGTGCGTTGGATGCTCTCGTCAGTCACTGCGGGCGAGTCCGGGTCCAAGAAGCTGAGAGCGTCTGGCTTGTCTCCTCGAGGGGGTTCCTCCTCCCCACTATGCATGTACGATGCGGGTGTGACGGTTGACCCGCTTCCGCTTGAGCTACCAGATCTGGTATCCGTGGGACCCAGTAAACTCAAAGCGGCCGGGTTGAACATGGTCGGTGAGGCGGCATGTCTCGGCCGTGAGGATTCCGCTGATTCTTCCCCGCTTTCGCCGTCGGGGCGGTGCTCGTCGTCACGCTCCGAGAAGAGCGGTTCCGAGTTTGAAGGATCCCGCGGCTCGCCAGGTCGTTTGGCAGGTTTCGTTGGCCGCCGTGAGGACCGTTCGGATCTGGGGCGAGATATCCGAGACGCAGCAACCCGCCGTTCAGGCCGCCTTGTAAATGCGACAGGCAGGCGATGATGCTTGAAATCGCGACCCGGTGTGTCTTGACAGGGCAGCCCTTGGGCGGCAGGTATGCCGAGTCCTTCTTCCGGAGCGCTCACTGGCAGCACTTCGGCTGGCTTCGGCTCAAGCACTTCGTCCATCAGTTCTGGGACGGTCTCGACGGTCGGTGGTTGGTATCGTGGTGACATGGCAGGTTGGATAATGCGATGGGACGAGAGAGCTGATATCCATTAGGGCCGCCTCGCCAAGCGCCTCGGACCAACCTAGGTACTTACCTCGGACGTGTTTCTATCAGATCGGGGCCACAAGAGCCTCGGGCTATCGTACGAGACCCTTGACGGCTGTCGGTTGAGCTTATGCAGGAATATCAGAGGGTTGCTGAGAGTAGATGGTTGGGCCAGCAAGGCGATAATAATTCAACAATCACGACAGAATCGCGACGGCGACAGAGCAGCGCGAAGGAAACAGGCAGTCCAGATATCACAATTGCCCATGTTAGGATATGCGAGAAATTGAATTCGAGGCGCACTGAGGATGATCTACAATCGACGCCATGATTGTGGGCTGATTATTCTGTCATAGCTGTTTTATGTTGCTCGTCTAAGACCGACAGGGGGTTGGGCTGGGGGTGCGGGACTGAGGGGACGAGGGTCTATTTTTGTATAGGGAATGGGCGGGCATATATAATCTGCACTTGTACGTCTTGGTGACCGCGTGTGTCAGCTCTCCGCCCGAGGCGTTTCAGATGTTACACATGCAGTGAGCGGGCGGGTGGAGCGGGGCGGAAATCAGCTGAGAAAGGAGGAGCGACGGGATGGAGGAGGGGTCAGCGCGGCATGCATCGGGGCCCCAGCAATTGACCGGATTCTGCAAGAAGCCGATCAGCAAATCAGGACATTGGCCCACGATGAGCATTGGTTTCGACCTGGTGTGACGCCTGCCTGCTTCCTATTGGCCTAGTCAAGTCCAGAATCTCCTTCCGTTATCCCGTTGCCGCGGTCGGTTCAAACTGCCGAGAAGGTCTGTCTTGGCGGCTCTTGTCCTTGCCTTGAAGAACGATGGCTGCGTCGAGCAGCAACAAGAGGAGGGAAATGTCCTACTTGGGAGGCTGAGAGAATGCGATCTCTGCCAAGAAGTAGTGATATCGCTTACTCACTATTACTTCCCTCGGAAACCCTTAGCACGGGGCTCCCCGTCAGGACACAGTCTCAAAGGCGCACAGCCCACCGGTAATTTGCTCGAGAATAGCTCTCTTGATGTCCGCCGGAACCCGGACAGTCCCCCGAAAACTTGACACTCGTTCCTACTCTCGCTGTTTCTCGTGGTAGGGGGGAGAGTTGGACCCTGCTGCGCTGTCAATAACATCGTCAACTGAAACTGTTATCAAGCCAACGGTCGAGACTAAACGAGACGTTACTTTCTTCCGCCACGGCAGCTTTCCCAAGACTATCACTCTCCGACCAAGATAGGAGACTAGACTTAACGCGGCGTATTGATAGAAATGCGTGAGCTGACAGGCAGAGATTAAATATGTTCTAATATCTACCTAATGAACGGATTTCCAGAAACAAAAAGGGCTCAAGTATTGAGTGAGTAAATACTTTCCTGGTCTATTCTGCTCAATGAGAAAAGACTACTAACTCAGTACTAGGGAAGAGGTCTTGGCGCATAGGATCTAAGGCATTCAACACGACTATGAAATAGTCACGGTACTGTAATGAACGTCTCAGTCAAGCTCCAGATAGATGGGCAGGACATATTCCACCCCAGCGATTCTCAGATTGCAACCTGAACTGAGGTGATGGTAACCAAAGATATAGCTAATAAGGCCGTTGATGAAGAAAAAGGCAATGGTCGAGTCCAATATGGTGGCCGAGACCGAACAGCGCATGAGTTTCACAAGACACAACCTCTCTCTCTCTCTCTCTCTCTCTCTCTCTTGGAATTGGATCTGAAAGAGGTGAAAAAAGCGCTAGCGAGCGTCAGCCCAGGCAAGAGATGTCGTGAGGATTTCACCTTTTCCTCGCCTTCAGTCCCCACATGCACTTACCGATCTCCCAAAGAGCAAGAGTCGGGCAAAATCCATGGCATCGTGGTTGAGTGTGATATAAGATGTCATTCGTCCGGAAGGGATCCCGGTGCAGGACCAAGGCGTTTAGGGAATGCTGGTTTGAGTGGCTAGCCAATTGATCGGCCAACCAGCCATTATATCATGCGAGATTCGGGCACAATTCCTGAGAAGCCCCGCTCTCTCGCAAATAAAGCTCCAAATGCCCTCACCGTTCTGGCCTGTTCCTGATTCCCAGAATTATTACTTGACCCATTTCACGGATTCTGTTCCCATGTCTGATGACAGAGCCACCGAGACGGCCGCCGCCAGCGGCGAGCCATCGGCTTCCATACACCCGACCACAGAGGCCGCAGCGCCAGCAGAAGATCCAGCGGGAGTCATTACCCCAGCGCAAGCAGCCCAGGTGAGCAAATCCTCGTCTTGCTTGTCGTAATAAACGTGAATTAATGGCTGTCCAGGAAGGCACTATCGATGACGATGCAGACTCGGCGCTTGGCAGCGATGCGGCCAGTTCAACCGCATCTGTCACCTCCAGCATCCGTGAATATCGAACTATTCATGGAAGGACCTACCATAGCAAATTCGGTGATACCGACTATTGGTAAGTCAGCCCTTGCCAGGCCTGTCGTCAGGGGTGATCAGTGGCTGATATGTTGGCAGGGCGTCGAACGATGAGAGACAGACGGAGGCGATGGATATCAAGTGAGAGGGCATCATCTGGAAATGTGCAAGGTTTAGTTGGTTAACAGAAACAGCCATCATGCCCTCACCCTCTCTATCGGCGACAAGCTCCATCTTGCCCCCTTGAAGAAAGATATTAAGGTTGAACCCCAACCATATCTACCTAAGTTGAAGCAGATTCATCAGCCGGCTGACCTCTGATCGTAGAGAGCACTCGATGTTGGGACTGGGACAGGTTCGAGAAACCTACAAGTCCCATAACACTCGAGGCTGATGCTAACCAATTGTCGTTATTTTCAGGGATCTGGGCGATGTGAGTCCCCCTCCTGTGCTTTCTAAACATGGACAGTCTTACTTATCGAGATTGGAAGTGATTTCGCCGACGAATTTCCCGACACTGAGGTCGTTGGTACCGATCTTTCACCCATCCAACCATCATGGGTCCCACCAAACTTGAAGTTGTGAGTAACTAGTAATTAGCAGCCAGCCCTGCACCTGTTGTTCGAATGACTCACACCCTCCCTCCCCCACCCCTCTTAGCGAAATCGACGACTGCACGAAGAATTGGACCTTTCCGCGAGACTCGTTCGACTACATCCACATACGCTGGCTAGTCGGAAGCATCCCCGACTGGAACGAGCTGTTCAAGCAGGCCTACAAGTGCTGCAAGCCAGGCGGGTACCTGGAGAGCTACGAGGGATCTGCGACGATGGAGAGCGACGACGGGACCGTCCTGAAGACGAGCGCGATGGGCCAGTGGGCCAGCTTCTTTGTCGAAGGCGGGAAGAAGCTGGGGCAGACGTTCCTGGTCGTCGATGAGGGTATTCAGAGGAAGGCTATGGAAGCGGCTGGGTTTGTCGATATCCAGGAGAGGAACATCAAGGTGGGGGGTCCCCCCTTTCCCTCCCTCCCTCGCATTGTGTTGGTTTGGCTAATAAACTGTACGTCCCAGACCCCTGTCGGTGGGTGGCCTGATGATCCAAAGATGAGGGAGATAGGGCAGTATGCGCAGTTGGTTCTTGAGGAGGATTCCGAGGGCTATGTCCTTTTCCTGGCCAACGCCCAGGGCTGGTCGAAAGAGGAGGTAATAGTGTACCTCGCCCAGCTGCGGCGCGAGATTCGGTCCAAAAGCACCATGGATACTACCGGCAAAAGGTTGTCTGGGGTCGGAAGCCGGATTCGTCCTGATTTTGCGTTCTGCATATCCCTGCCGAAGCAAGAACCTCTCACCAGATCCGTAGAGGAGGCGTTAAAATGTTTAGCGACTAAAAACACAAGGAAAATCAATATTAATGGCTCGAAACCAAGGCCGCGGCCTTGCTTTACTCTTGAAGTGCTCACTCCAGTAGGCCCGCGCTGGCGTGCTGTCCGGCGAGGGCAACGATGGTCAGCAGGGTACTGGTCGTAATTAGATGCTGTCCATCCGTGGGACGTAATAGTCACGCTGCTCAGGCGGTACAGGGGCTCGGTGGAGTCGGACTTGGACGGGGTGCACTTCACCGCGTGGTGATTCCCACAGTCCTCCAGCCGGTTCCTTACAATCGGACAGCCCAGTTGTTGGTTGTTCCTACACAAGGCGAGCTTGTCGACCCATCAGCAGAGTCCTGCCAGTACTACATCCGTATGCGCTGCGCAAATAGCTGTTGTGCTGCCCAGGGACAGAATTTCGCCTAGCGCGGTGGAGTAACCCCCTATCCATTCCGTCCTGGGCGGGTCTTGGGCGCGTGGCTGGGAACCATACTTCCAGCCCGGCGCGGATTCGCCGTAGTACCTATCTCTCAAGAAAATAAGCCACGAAGGGGTACTTCTCCGGCTGCCAGTACTCCTTTGAATGGACGCTGATGTGCTCGGGTGACGAGCCTGTATAACGGGCAGTTCTTGTTCGCTAGGATGTCTTTGAAAGGGGCCGAGCTTCAAAGTGCCAGGATAATTACCTAGTTGGTTGGTGGCTTGTCGGTACTTGGCAATATCGATTGTCTCACACAGACTTTGTCGGGCTGGATGAGAGCATCCACGGGAAACCAGATGTCCCGTTCATGCTGGGCCCTGCGCGGCCAAGCTTGGACGGTATCACTCCGGAAGCGAAGAAGTATTCGCAGCCCTTCTTATAATCTTGCAAGAACGTGGATACCTCCACCACTTGCCTGCCGCGTCGTCGCCAGGCAACCAGTCCCTGCATAGAAGGTGGAAGGGGAGTGGATACTTGCATATGACCCGAGTAATCCGTGCATGTATTTACTAAATATCTGTTACTGCAAGCTGTCAGCTATAGAAATGTACATACACTTGCTTCGTCCTTAGCCCTGGGTTTTAAGAAGGACGCTGCCGAATTTTCTGCTGTGGCTGGCTAACAATTTAAGAAAACCAATTTTGGGCAAATCTTAATCGATGGCCGTTTGCCTGTAAAAAGAGGATTAATTTATGAAATAAAAACAGTCTGGGCATTAGAACCTTACCTTACAGACTTAGGGAAGCTGATAAATAGTAGTTAGGTGTGTAGCATCGAACCAGTACCGACTTAGATCGCTGGAAGCGAAGCGTGCAGGTCGGCACTGATATTCCGTGTTTCGAGCAGCAGAACTAAGTGCGGCCAACAAGAACAGGGGTATAGCCGAGCGCTATACACAGCAGGAAGGGTCCAAAACCAGCAATTCCTGCTCACACACAGTGATCGGGGACTGCTCATGACAGCAAAGTACCCGCCCGTCAACACAGGTCCCCTGTAGTGTCGGACAAGGCGGAATAAGACGACAAGACATCGGCTCCGTGGGGGTCCGCTATGTGTATGATAAGGTATATTGTTAGTGAATGGTTCATGTAGTAAAGATTGCCGCCATCGCGGGGAACATTGGGCGGAAAATGTAAAAATCCCCCACCCCCTTTAGATATTGGGCGCTCCTGCTCGGTCCGACCCACATCGTACCTGCAAACCGCTCCCTATCCTGCGCACGTGGATTTCCATCGGACAGGATACCTAGAACACGCGAAGAATCTCCTACTATAGTAGTGGGAATGATTCTGACTGAGGAGACCCTATTTCGGAGATGGTTCCGACTCCGCGCAGAATCCCTAGCCGGAGACGAGCCCGCCTCCGCGGAATATCTGGGTCGCCTCCACAAAAAAGTGTTTTGGACCACTCTCTGTCCACGGAGCCGTGATGGCCAGCCTTGCCACCCTTATTGGCGACATGTCTGATAGGATATAAAGCTCTTGGGAGGAACCATAGAAGCGCCGGACATCCTACGTGCTTTTCTAACTCCATCTTGGGTGGATGACCGAAGGCAAAATCTTCAATCTAGGCCGCCGAGAAGGGGGTCAGGGGGTCGTCAGCACAAGTCGGAGGGGTTCAGTCTGGGGCGACTATAATAGGGTCGGGTCAACCCTGTTGAAGGCTATGTGACTTCCGCACACCTTGTCTCCCAAGGAACGTAGATCGAGCTTATCGAATTCTATACAACCAACCTATGCGCCTGGGTCTCGCCACCCCTGGCCCACTCGTATATAAACGAACGATGAACAGCACCTCCTCAAACCCCCCAGCGTCAGTCTCAGCAACGAATGGGGATGTTCTGGGCATGGAGGGTGGGACTTACCTCAGTAACCTTTGGACATAGTCAACGGGGGACATCACGCCACCCATTGTCCATAAAAGAGACGAACCACCACCACTACACTCCCTCCCGTCCCCCCCTCCATCCACCTACCCTCCCTCACCTCATCCCCTCCTCCCAAACCCACCAGCAGCAGCATGACAACCAGCAACATGCCCATCCCCATCCACATCGCCATCCACATCCCCATCCCCATCCCCATCCCCATCCTCACCACCACCACCATCACCACCACCCGCCGCCGCCGCCACCGCCGCCGCCACCCTCTCCGTATTCCTCAGATACTGCCGTATAAGCACACAGTCGCAACCGACGTGCAAGCCCAGCATCCCGCGCAGCTCGCTCGCCTCGCCCCGCAGGCGCGCCGCCTGCGCCGCCAGCTCGTCGCGCCGCTCCGTCGCCGCCGCGCCCTCGCGCTCCAGGCGTTCCGCAGACTCCCTCTCGCGCTGCCGGCACCGGCTGGCGGCGGCGCGGTTGCGCTCCCGCAGGTCCGCTTCGCTCAACGGCGGCGGCGGCGGCGGCGGGGCCGGTGGCGAATCGGGGGAGGCGAAGGTGGCGAGGGCGCGGGAGCGGTAGTGCTGGCGGCTGCTGCCGCCGCCGGTGCGGTGGGTGGCGGATGTGTGGGTTGGGGGGTTGGGCGACTGGGGGAAGGGTTGGTATCCGTCCATGTCGTTGGAGTATCCATCGACATCGTTAGAGTATCCGTCGACTCCATCGACATCGTTAGAGTATCCGTCGACGTCGTTGGAGTATCCGTCGACATCGTTGGGGTATCCGTCGACGTCGTTGGGTGAGAGGTAGGCATCGATCGGGGAGCGGTAGGCGTCGTTGGGGGGGAGGTAGGCGTCGTCGTAGCCGGCGGCGGGGTCGGGGTAGGTCTCGCCATGGACGCCGCGCCTGTGGTTGGGCTGTGGGTGGCCGTCGGTGGTGGCGGTCGAGGACGGCTGCCGGTGAGGCTTCGGCATGATCAGTCGGGGTGATGGGTTGGTTATCCGTTTATCGACAGCTGTCGACTTCGTCGACTTCGATGACTTCGATGATCGGGACGACGATGCGTGAGGTCGCGAGGGTGTAGGGGCAGGCCCGCTTGGTCCGGCCGGTTGGGCGGCACTCGATGGTCGTGGTCGTTGTTTATCCCCTGACGGTCGGCCATCACGCTTCTTGCTGACGTGCTTCTCCGTTCCCCCCTCTTGCCTTTTCGGATGCTTGGTGCTAACCTTTGCGTCGTGTCTGTTGCTCTTTGATTTTGTTGTCGCCACTACATCTCTGGATGTAGTGTTAAAGCTAACGTATTCTTCATCCTCTTGTGTCGACTGCGCGTGCGTCTGGCTCGGTGGCTGATAGTATGAGTTAGGTATCATTGCGGCCGGATCTGATGGCATGGAGCCTGGCAGATGGGAGCCGTCGACTCGGGGGTAGTGGTGCCATAGCGGCGGTTGGGATTCTATCCGGGATTGATGGAATCCCACATCGGGGCCGTCGGTTACGATCTCCCCTGGGGGAAGCGAAAAGGGGTTCGGCGGGAGCCCGGCTAGCTGTTGGTGCTCATCCCCTAGGAGTGCGGTCGAGACATCTGCTCGGTTGATGGATGCCGATGCTTGGTGGTATGGGTGGCCCGATGGATTGTCGGCGGCGGCGACTGGGTCGAGGAAGGGGTTCCAGGACAGTGGTGGCTGAGGGTCATCGCTGTAGTAGTACTCGAGGGGCGATGGGGCGATAATCGAGGTCTCTGGGTAACCGGTCGTAGGATTCATGATGGATGATGGACAGCCTCTGCGAGTACTGAACTTGGGTTTGGCGTGTTCGATCTAAAGGTCGTGGTGGGTGGGCTTGGGTACCGATTTTCGACGAAGGGAGAACATGCAAGTTCGGCGGCAAGACAAGCGACGCACGCATCAGCAATCGCTGTCTCTGTTCCTCCAACGCTTGGGCGGGGCATCTTGTCGAAGACTGCCTTCGAATGCATAATACTAGCAAGATAAGTACCCCGATTCTCGATCCTGACGCCTCCCATCTGGCTTGCGCGGTCCTACCTTGGAGCAGCCATCTAATAAATACTCGCTAAACCCTACCGACCTAGGCGGCGAGGCGGGACCCGGGGGCGGCTTAGGGTTTTTGTAAGGAGGCCTGGGTGCTAGTACGCCTCCAACAACCCAGCCCTACTCCGCTCTTTTACCAACAGACAACGGAACCCATCCGTCATGGAAAGATCATGGAAAGAGCTAGAAAGAGCTTTGGATACAAGTGTCTTCCTGGAGAAGTATCATCCAGGAGAAAGCCAACGTTTCCACTGGTCAACTAACGCCTGTCTATATATGTAGATGGACGAGTCGCTCAACTGGGACAAGCTCGTTACCAGAAACCGCACACTCAAAAGATCTCCTGTTCGGAGGTGTTCGACTGGCGTGATTGGACACGGCTGTTCATACTCTCCGCTACCCGCAGAAAAGCCACATGTGGTATTCGCTGCCGGAATGTTCGTCTCTCAGGGGGTTAAGCACTCCAAGTCGATTCGAGGAGCACATATATATCAAGTCGGAACTATGGCTCCCTACCAGATCCGGAGAGACTATAATCTCAGGCCAGAGGCGGACAACTCCAAGGTCAACAAATATGTGATTCCAATTGCCCTTGGCGGCCATCCTGCTTTCCGCAAACATTGCGTCGAGAGAGAGTCGAACAGAACAACTACAAACTGCTATATATATATGTGTGCCTGCATGTATGGAGAAACCGGGGTATTGTGTCTAAAGAGGTTTTCAGGGGCACTAGAGAAACATGATCCACGGAGACTAGGCTGTGATTGGTCAACCAGGCGGGCAGCAATCGCCTCTCGCAGTCCCAATCGACATAAGGGGGGTTCATCGACGCTATTGCACTCACACCTGATGACCAACGCAACTCCCAAGGTGTGTCGCACACAACGTGTCTTAGACCCTTCTCGAGCGGCAATAGCTCAAGAGTTGGGCCAACGAGGACTTCAGCCGCCCACTTTTTGTGATATGTTTACAGCACATTGTTCAGCCCCTGATTCTACGCGGGCCCATTAGTGGCGATCGCCCCCTTATGACGCGCATTCGAGTCGGCGGCATTTCTAAAATCCCCATTCATTTTTGCGGCAATGCTGATATTCTGCTTGCAAGGCGATATTTCCGCGCGGCGGCCCTAGTAATTAGACTTATCGATCACCCGATAGACAAATTCGCCATTCAGTTGATGATGACAAGCGGAAATATTTTCCTATCGAGTTCTAGAGCGCACTATATATGACTCTCGCCCTCCCAGGCCGAACCACACAAACTTCGAGCGTGCTACGTGACGACGAATGAGGCGGCTAACCTCGGTCTGTTCCCGGGGTTGCCACCTGGCCATCGAGGAGATGACGACCATGGCAGTCGGGTTTAACAATCGACAAAGTTAATCACTGATACTGGCCTTTTGCCTTTGCCATGCCGAGGACATCACAATCCACTCCGGCCTGTGATAACCCCGTCCATCGAGCCGGTGAAAGGGTAGGAACGCCAGGTGCCCCAACTTTCTCAAATGGTCGGCGAATTGCGAGAGAGTCACGGGTTGGCCTGTCCCGAGCTGGCCTGCCTTCCAAATTCATCCTTCCCCCGGCGGTCAACCTTCCCCCTTTATGCCTTGACCGGCTGTTTCCCGGCGGGCGGTCCCTGCGCCGCCGCCGCCTGGGTCTGGATGATCTCTCCCTTCTTCTTCTCGATCTTTTCTTGGGTGTCCTTGATCTGCTTCTCCAACCGTGATCTTTGTCCAACGTGGATTAGTTGACGGACAACACAACTCTTCCTCCTGAAAAGGGGCAGGGGGTAGCTAGACCTACATCTCCTTGCCAATGAATTCTATCCGACCGTTAACGGTGCTCTCTGCCTCTGTCTTGTCCTGTTCCAGCAGGACGGGGCCGATGAGTTTGTAAATGGTCTCGTCATTCTTGAGCTTGCCGAATTCCTTTTGTCCCAAATGTTTAGTTAGACACCCGCGCCCTGCCAAACGGAAAGTGAAGCGTCCAAACGTACTTTCTGGACGCCAAGGTTCTCGTTTTTTTGAGCTTCGAGCCTCTGCCGCGAGTCGACTACATCTTGGAGCTCTGTAGTAGCGGTTACCAACAGCCAAAATCAAAGATGTCGCCCCCGTCATGATATACCTTTTTGAAGGTCTGTGAACTCCTCTGAGAGTTTCTGCAGCCGGGCTTGAGCGTCTGCCATCTTTCGTGATAATTTCCGGATTCCGATAAAATCAATTCTTCCTTGAATGACTTGAAAACGGTATGTATCAAGACTGTTGGTCACTCGCCACACTGAGTGAGGAGTAGCTGAGATATGGAAGAGGCTGAGGTTATCGCAAATGTCGGATTTTCCAAGGATGCCAGACTAAAATGTTAGCGTTTATGCACCAGTTGCCGCAGCATCACTAACGCTTGGCAGCCCCGCCAAGATGCATGGCACCCCGCCGCGCTAGGGTTGCGGCTTCCGGGTCAACCAGGCGACGGGACGACATAGAAAACCACCTACGTAGGTACCTACCATAACCGCCTTTTGCTGCAGCGCTGGTGTCAACACACTTGGCTCGGGCTCAACGCACCAGCTCAACGTACCTCTGTCGACAACGCGGGCAGAGCAAAAATCGACAACACACACACACCCACGCACGAAAATCCCGCCGTCGCTGATCCCCTTTCCAATACCCTACCCAACCCACCACAGGGCTCCGAACACCAATCCTCGAAAAGCCACAACCCACTCCTCCCCCCAAGGCAAACAAAAACAGGGGCACCCACCATGTCCAACACCGATTTCCTCGGTCGGGCCATCGAGCAGGTGCGCAAGGCCATCGAGGCCGACAACGATGCGCAGTACGAGCGGGCGTACCAGATGTACTACCAGTCGCTCGAGCTGTTCATGCTGGCGCTCAAGTGGGAGAAGAACCCCAAGTCCAAGGAGATGATCCGGGCCAAGACGGGCGAGTACATGGACCGGGCCGAGAAGCTCAAGGCGCACCTCGCCGACGCCGAGGGCAAGCGTAAGAAGCCCGGCATGCTGGGCGCTAACGGCAGCTCCACCGGCGGCGCGGGCAAGGGCGAGGACGGTGCAGGAGGGCCGGGGGCTGGCGGCGGAGAGCCGATAGACGAGGACAGTAAGAAGCTCAGGAACGCTCTCGCGGGTGCCATCCTGCAGGACAGGCCCGACGTCAAGTGGGACGACGTCGCCGGCCTCGAGGGCGCCAAGGAGGCCCTCAAGGAGGCCGTGCTGCTGCCCATCAAGTTCCCGCACCTGTTTGTTGGGAAGAGGCAGCCGTGGAAGGGGATCTTGCTGTACGGTCCGCCGGGGACGGGAAAGAGTTTTCTGGCCAAGGCGGTGGCTACGGAGGCTAAGAGCACGTTCTTCAGCGTCAGCAGTTCGGACTTGGTCAGCAAGTGGATGGGCGAGAGTGAAAGGTACAGGCTAATACCTCCCCCTCTCCCCTCCCCTCCCCTTACGCACCCCATTCCAAATTACCCAAGAAGAGTCCCATACTGACACCCTATTCCCCCTCCGCCAGGTTAGTCAAGCAGCTCTTCGCCATGGCGCGCGAAAACAAGCCCTCCATCATCTTCATCGACGAGGTCGACGCGCTCTGTGGGCCGCGGGGCGAGGGCGAGTCGGAGGCGTCGCGGAGGATAAAGACGGAGATGCTGGTGCAGATGGACGGCGTGGGCAAGGACAGCAAGGGCGTGCTCGTCCTGGGCGCCACAAACATCCCCTGGCAGCTCGACGCCGCCATCCGCCGCCGCTTCCAGCGCCGCGTGCACATCAGCCTGCCCGACCTGGCCGCCCGCACCACCATGTTCAAGCTCGCCATCGGCGACACCCCGACCGCCCTCAAATCGGAGGACTTCCGCGAGCTGGCCTTGTCGGCCGAGGGCTACTCGGGCTCCGACATCAGCATCGCCGTGCAGGACGCGCTCATGCAGCCCGTCCGGAAGATCCAGCAGGCGACACACTTCAAGAAGGTACGTAATTATCTTTTCCTCCCCCTTCGCTCTCCCCTTTCCCGCACTCCCACTCCCCTGTCCACACTCCCTGCCACGCGTCCCCAAACTGACGAACTCCCCGCAAGGTCACCGTCGACGGCGTCCCCAGGGTCACGCCCTGCTCGCCCGGCGACCCGGACGCGGAGGAGATGACGTGGGAGAAGGTCCCGTCGGCCGAGCTGCTGGAGCCGCAGGTCGAGAAGAAGGACTTCATCAAGGCCATCAAGGCGAGCCGGCCGACCGTCTCCGACGTCGACCTCAAGCGCAACGAGGAGTGGACCCGCGAGTTCGGAAGCGAGGGTGCGTGAAGTGGGCCCCCGCCCTGGTGTTTTATTTTCACTTTTATTTTTATTCTACTTTTTGAGCCAAGATGTTGTGGGAATGGGGGACAAGGGAAAGGGGGCGGCATTGGCAGGATTTAGGCGTCTTGCGGCGTTTTGACAAAAGCCGGCTCAGCTTTCAGCATTGGTGGCTACGATAACTAGCTACCTACGTTACTTCAATGGGCAACAAGATATCGATGCCTGATATATACTGTACACCTGGCAAGCGAGGAGGCCTGCCTTCGCACAATGATATAAACGAAGAAGTGACGATGTTGCGAACATTGACTTGCTTGCACCCCCCTGGGAAACGTATCCGAGCTGTTACACACAAGACATCACGGTTCATTTTGTACGATCTAACCTGTTTATTCCATCTCAATCTTGTAGCGATGGACATGAGGGTATGATACACTCAAAACCAGATACGAATTACCAACAAAATCCAGTGAACTCCTTGTACGCACATCCAGCCAATGCCAAAAAAAGAAACTCCCAAGAAAAAGCCAGCCAAGGGGTAGGTGATCAGTCGAGCAAGGACTGGGTTTTAAAGCAAGCCGACCGACCAACCAAACTATTCAGCCGAGGTCGACTTCCTCTTCTTTTTCTTCTTACGCTCGCCATCTGCGTCGGCATCGACCATCTCCACGTCTCCCAAGCTCTTGCGCTTCTTGTCCTTCTTTTCCTTCTTCTCCTTCTTGTCCTTCTTGTCCTTCTTCTCCTTGGCCGGCGTCGAGGCAGCCGCGGGGCGATCGATCATGTCCTCGTCGATACCGACGTCGCCGACGTCGCCAATGACCTTCTTCATCGCCGCGTCCATGGCATCTATGTTCTTGACCGGCTTGGCGCCGGTGGCGTAGAACTGCAGACGCTGCTCCACCTGGTCCCGCAGCGCCTGTCCGAACCGGTTGGTCGGCTCCTCGGAGAAGCTGTCGATCCGGCTGGCGATGCTGCACTTGTTGGCGAGGTAGCGGGAGATGCGGCCCTTGACCTTGGGCCCCGCACGGCCGATGAAGGAGCTCTGGTAGAGGAGGCCGTACTTGGGAGTCGCGCTCTTGGTCTTGAGGGCGCGGAAAAGGGCCTTCTCGGCACCCAGGATCTGGAGAGTAGAGGCGGGGTACTTGGCCAAGTTGGTCAGGGAACCGGCGTGGGAGATCAGGCGAGCTGCGACGGCTGTGCCGAGAACAACCTGGAGGTTGGGAGCAACAGAGCCCATCTTCTTATCCAAAGACTCGGCAAGGATTCGTCTGTATTCGGCCATCTTGGAGACGTTGTTCGCAAGATCAAGCACGACCACAAGATCCTCTTCCGTAATATCCTGACCCATCGACATCTTGGCCGCATTGACAATCGCTTCTGCCTTGTCCTTGTCCTGGTCCAACAGGTTTGCAAGGTCATCCACGCTGTCATCGGTAAGGGACTTCTTGTTGCCAACGGCCAGAACCAGCTTCGCGTATGTGCCATTGTCGGAGACGATCTTAACGAGTTCGGGGAAATGCCATCCATACCACTCCCGCACACGCATTGCGCCTTGGTTGACACCCTTATCCAGGGCATCGAGCGTCGCAATGCCCTGAATGATGTGGTTATCATTCTTGTGGACGTTGAACTTGACCTTGGACCGCGAATAGGCATGGCCAAGACCAAGCTGTGCCCGATTGATGTCGCCCTCTCGCAGATCCTTGACCAACTTTGCCGTGTGGACTCGAATGCCCCGGAGCAGTGCGGCGGCGACCGGAGAAGAGTCGACAGACTCGCATTGAACGCCGGGGAAGATACTGCTGATCTCGCCCGCAAGCTTCTTGTCAGAGACAGCAAGGACGACCTTGCTCTTCTTGCCGCTCGTCTTCGGGAGGTTGAGTTCGAGAATATTCTTCAGGTCGTCGCTGACAATGCCCTCGGAAACCAGGTTGATGTTCTCCAGACCAGAGGCAGCATTTCTGGAAAAATGCCAATCAGTATTTTGTTCCAAGGAGATATTGGGTAGCGACATCTTCGGGATTATCGAAGACCTCCTCGAGAAGAGACATACTGCCATGGATTGAAGCTGACAAGTCGGACCAACTTGGAGAACTTGGAAACATCACTCATCGACTCCTTGACCTCGGGGAGGTTCACCCCAATGCTGTCAGCCTGTCGGACCACTTCATAAATGGAGTAGCCGACGGCCGACTCGTGAAGCACGTAATTGACAGCCATTGTGCTGAATCTGGGGGGTTGGCTTGGGCTGTGCTTCTTCCTCCTGGTGTTTTGTGGATTTTACCTACACGGATCTGAATTTTTTTTTTCCCCTGCTGAAAGCTTCAACGAACCATCTTGGCAGAGTTTGGCGCACTGACCAAGTGGGGCACAGGGTCACGTGTAAGCGCATGTGGCTGGTTGCGCGGCTGGCCCACGATTGGATGGGGTCAACGATTGATGGAGCTCCAATACACCAACCAAGTTTGTGTCATAGTGCATTGCAGCATGTGGCGGTGCCTTCGCTGCTTGACCTCTTATAATAAGAGGAGTCGGGAGAAGCAACTGCGCCCAACCCAAGATAGCATAGCCTTCAACGTAAACACTCCTCTCTTCAGCTGGCCTGTTCCTTCTCGGCGCCCAAATCCGATGCTTACTCATCTGCCCAACGAGGTACAAAAGACTCATGCCTGCTGTTAGACAAACGTTCATCGCGGTTATCTCTTTCCTTCCTCTGTCCTTCGTGTTTTTGACTGCCTTCTCGCCCATTTTCAGGACCCAATTCCCATTCCTGACCTCACAGCAAGCCAGCATGGGAGGAGAAAACCTGGAGGGCTACCGAACGGTGGCCTATTATGTCAACTGGGCTATTTACGCCCGAAAACATCGTCCCCAGGACTTGCCCGTAGAAAACCTGACCCACATACTCTATGCCTTCGCAAACGTCCGTCCAGAATCGGGCGAGGTGTAAGTGGGAGAGAGACAGAATCACATGGCCAGAGCCATCATCGTAACTGACTTGATCCCGGCAGCCACCTCACCGATAGCTGGGCCGACACGGACATACACTGGGAGGGTGACAGCTGGAACGACGTCGGCACCAACCTGTACGGCTGCCTCAAGCAGCTGAACCTCCTGAAGAGGAGAAACCGCAACCTCAAGGTCCTCCTCTCCATCGGCGGCTGGACCTACTCCAGCAACTTCAAGGGCCCGGCATCGACCGCCGCCGGCCGCAGCACCTTCGCCAAGTCCGCAGTCGAGCTAGTCAAGAACCTCGGCTTCGACGGCCTCGACATCGACTGGGAGTACCCGGCGTCGGCCTCCGAGGCCGCCGACTTCGTCTCCCTGCTGCAAGAGTGCCGCGCTGCGCTCGACGGCCACGCCGCGTCGACGCCGGGGACGCCGCACCTGGAGCTGACGGTCGCCTGCCCGGCGGGTGCGCAGAACTACGAGAAGCTCGACCTGCCGGCCATGGACCGGCTGCTCGACTTCTGGAACCTGATGGCCTACGACTACGCCGGCAGCTGGGATGCCGCGGCGGGCCATCAGGCCAACCTGTTCCCGTCGGGATCGAACCCCGCCAGCACGCCGTTCAGCACCGCAGCGGCCCTCGACTACTACGCCAGCCGCGGCGTGCCGGCCCGCAAGATCGTCCTGGGCATGCCGCTGTATGGCCGCGCCTTCGAGCGCACCGACGGGCCCGGGAAGCCATACAGCGGGGTCGGCGAGGGGACGTGGGAGAGGGGCGTGTACGACTACAAGAAGCTGCCGCTCGAGGGGGCGGCGGAGCACGAGGACGGCGAGGTGGGCGCGAGTTACTGCTACGACGCTGGGAAGCGGACCATGGTGACCTATGACACGGTGGGCATGGCCCGTCGGAAAGCAGAGTTCATCAAGGAGAGGGGGCTGGGCGGTGCCATGTGGTGGGAGAGCAGCGCCGACAAGCCGGCCGAGGCGAGTCTTATTGGCAATGTGGTGGAGGTGCTTGGAGGGCCCGCGGGGCTTCAGCAGGCGGAGAATTGCATCTCGTATCCGGAGAGCAAGTACGACAACCTCAAGCAAGGTTTTCCCAATAACTAGGCAGGGAGGGAAGGGATAGGGCGGTTAAACATGTCACAGTACTCGAGGAATTCGGACAAGATGTTTGTTCATGACCAGTTGCCTGCATTTCCTCGCCAGCCAGAGCCAGTATGTCCATTCTATGGTACATACATCAACGCCGTGAATGTCACCAGCTCAATGCATTTTAAAAAACCATCCATATCCGACTCATCCAACCATCCCTCCAAAACCCGCTCAGCTGGTCTTGTCGAAGACGTAGGTTAGGTGGCAACGTCCGCAGTACTGTCGGTCCTGCATGGCCGCCATGAAGACACCGGCACCGCACTAGAATCAGAATGTTAGCATCGTTTGAACTGCTTGTTGGTCGTCTGTCCCGGAAGCGCAACTCACTGTCTCGTGCGGGCACTCGCGCCTCAGCCGCTCGATCTTGCCATCGCTGTCGACCTTGTAGTACTTGAGGACGGCCAATTTGGTCTTCTTGCGCTTGTGCTTGATCTTCTTGGGGGTGGTGTAGACCTTCTTCTTGCGCTTCTTGCCGCCACCACGGAGCCGGAGCACCAGATGGAGGGTGCTCTCCTTCTGGATGTTGTAGTCGGAGAGGGTGCGGCCATCCTCGAGCTGCTTGCCGGCGAAGATCAACCGTTGCTGGTCCGGAGGGATGCCCTCCTTGTCCTGGATCTTGGACTTGACATTGTCAATGGTGTCGGAAGACTCCACCTCAAGGGTGATAGTCTTCCCCGTTAGGGTCTTGACGAAGATCTGCATGACTGCCTACTGAAGGGTGGTGAGAGGTTAGAGGATTGATCTCAAGATGCAGAGGCTATGTGTTGAGGCGCCATGAGAGCTGCTGCTGAATCCAGCCTGGCGCCGGAAGCAGAGCGAAGACAAGACTTGGGCATCATTGAAAAGGGGATCGACGGGAGGAAATCAAATGTTGTGGTCGCGCATCAACATCATCAGACGTACCTAGACAATATCGCTATTGCCGTCCTAAGCAATCTTGAAGATGTTGGGGGGTTGATGAGAAAGAGTCTCTTTTTTTTCCCGTGAGCTCGCCAAAATCTAGAAAATAGGTCGGGGCTCCGCAGGGCTTGGAAAAAGCGGGCGGGTCACCTGATTCCTAGGGTTTCCCCAAACTGTTGCCCTTCGTTTTGGTGTGCAGCCCTGGCTGTGGTAAGGTGGGTCTAGAGAAGTCTTGGCACTCGAAATCAGCCCCTCAAAGAGAAATTCAAAAACTCGCTTGACACCAACCTCTCCCAAGCCCCGACAACGTCTTGAGAACTATCGACGACAGCATCTCAAGAATTCGCCAAAATGGTCAAGAAGAGAAAGAACAACGGCCGCAACAAGAAGGGCCGCGGCCACACCAAGCCCATCCGGTGCTCCAACTGCTCGCGATGCACCCCCAAGGATAAGGCCATCAAACGGTTCACCATCCGCAACATGGTCGAGTCTGCTGCGATCCGTACGTACCTATGATCATTCATATTGCTCAACCTACTGCTGTGTATTCTCGGAATGGAATTGGCCAGCTTTGCTAACTTTTGCGTCTCCCCACCAGGTGATATCTCGGAGGCCTCTGTCTTCGCCGAGTACACGGTTCCCAAGATGTACCTCAAGCTGCAGTACTGCGTCTCTTGCGCCATTCATGGCAAGATTGTCCGGTACGTTTGTCCGCCACGGCGGGGACAACCACGCTCCAGCCAATTCGGCGACGTGGGCGGCTGAGAAGATCCTTGGTTGAACTTCGAAATCCGCCTATGTCCCTGATCCCCGGAACACACGAGGACATCTCCGGCTGACGTGCTCTCACAGTGTCCGATCCCGCGAGGGCCGCCGCAACCGCGCCCCCCCGCCGCGCGTCAGGTACAACAAGGATGGCAAGAAGGTGACGCCCACTCAGGGAGCCAAGACCTCGTAGGATGAGGTCTGATGCAGTCATGCTGGCACACCACCTTCTGGGGGACTTCGGTGGGGGATAATCTGTTGGTGGACTAACAATTGGCTTTGCATGGCACTCTGGGTTCCACGGAAAACGGACTGGCGTTAAAAGAGTTAGTTCCCTTGGTTTGGGAATGGCCGGGCCATAGCCACGAAATTACTACAGAGCTTTCCTCCTCCGGATGCTACGCAAGCCTTGCCGCTTTCTCTCCGTGTCTTGTCCCGTCCATCTACCTCTTTTCGATCTCGAAAAGCAGCCTTCTTGTCTTGGGGTCATCCCAAGTACGCTTCCCGTCAAATATGCTCAGGCCTTCGTCAAGCGAAGCCTTCACGTCCCATTCTGTCCCCGTCTTAGCCGACACCTCGTCGATCAACTTGGTGAATGTGGCGGCGTTATGCCTGAATGTGCTCTTATCCCACGATGGCCCGGGAAGCCCATCAACATTCCCCGTTGCCTGCCCGATGATGGCCGCTCCCTTCGTATCCGATTTGAGGACCCTGATAGCATGCTCAAACACCTTGACCTGCTCATCCCAGCTGAACAAATGCAGTATCATGCCCAGCTGCACCACATCCATCTGCCCCTCGAATCCCCTCCATGCCCCTTCCCCATCCAAGATATCGGCAGTAACAAACCTAGCCCCGAGCGTGTCCCTATCCCGGAACAGCTCATAGCCCAGATCAATAAACCCCCCATTCAGCTCCGCGCCAACCAGGTTCTCCCCGGGCACGCCGTCGTGCACCAGCTTCCGGATGTCCTGCCCGAGACAGCACCCCACGTCGAGGAACCGGTCCCCGCCCCTGAGGCGAGCCACCAGCCGGGGATAGAGGTCCGCCCTGCCCGCCAGGTTCAGCTCCAGGAAGCGGAACTGCCCGAGGCACGGGTACGGCCACACCTCCCATGCCTTGTCTCGCTAGGCTGACCGTGAGTTTTGGAGCGGACGGGTATGTAAATGTATGTATGTATGTAAAGGAAAGGGGGGTTGCCTACGAGGGCTATCACATGGTTCTCAACGTCCTCCGCGGAGACGCGGCTATAGTTCTCCAGCAGATCGCGCGCCTGCGGGGGGACCGTGACGGTCTTGTCGAACCATTTCACCGTCTGGTCGCGCGATCCTACTCGGGGGACATTGGCGGTCATTTCTGCTTTGAAGTTTAGAGGAGAGGCCTAGATTGGTATTCCCGGCGGGTTATGATGCCCTTTGATCGGATTCTACAGCGGTCGAGGGCACCGGGAGGTATTGGGAAGCTGAGAGGGGGCGTTTTCTGCCCCGCGCCGTTGTTCGGAGGCGAAACGAACAGGGCCGATCACATCATTCGCAGCATGCCTGACTGATCCGGACCTCTTCGAGCCAGGCGCTTTTGACCTTTTTTTACGCTATCTCTCTCACTTACTTGTGCCACAGGAACTCGGTCTTGGAGTGGGCATTTGCTTGCAACTAAATACTGATAGGAGATGGTTCTTCCGTTATTCCCAGACGACAGAGACGGCCTCTGCTACCCTTTTTCGATTATCAATCCACATTGCCCACCGTGAAACAAATCCCCCGTGCAACAAATCCCAATATGTACACCCGGAAGACCCCTAGAACGTCACCGGCAGGTCCACAACGCCGACATCCCGATCCAGCGGCGTGAAGTTGACCTTCTCGACCGGCACCGCGAGCCGCAGATCAGGCACCTTCTTGAACAGCGTGGCTATACCCAATTTTCCAGTCAGCACCACTTCTTAAACTTCTTGGCATTCCCCCCGGGAGGAAATAAAGTAAAAGGGTTTGTCGTAAGTGAAAGGGGAAAGACTTACAAAACACGGTGATCAGCTCCGCCTTGGCGAGGTGCTCGGCGATGCAGCGGTGCGGCCCGAAGCCGTAGCCGAGCGGGTCGTTCTTGGCCGGCCACTTGCGGTGCATGTCGAAGGTATCTGGGTCAACGAACACGTCCTCGTCCCGGTTGGCTGACTGGTTGGACGCGATGATGCCCTCGCCGGCCTTGATGTGCTGTTGTTTGCTGAGTTAGAACTGATTCCCCTAGTCAGGAGGGAGGGGAGGAAGGGGAGAGGGCTTAAGCAACATACCTTCCCGCCTATCTCGACATCAACCTTGGCCGTCCGCTTCATGGCCATGGCCGACGCGGTGTGGTACCGGCAGAGCTCCTCCACGAATGCAGGGGCGAGCGACGGGTTGGCCTTCAGCTCGGCCAGCTGGGCTGGGTGCTGGAACAGCGTCACTACACCCTTTAACCATTTACATGTCAGCAGCTGGCATGACGAAAATAAACTCCTCCGCCCCCGACTCGGTGGTAGGGGTAGGCAGGCTATACACGTACCAGGGCAATCATGTTCACCATGGTGGCGTTCCCAGCGACGAGGAGCAGGAACGCAATCTGCACCGCGTCGTCCTTCTGGATGTGTCCGGGCTTGACCTGCTCGACGACCAGCTTGCTGATGAGGTCGTCCGTCGGCTGCTTGGACCGCTTTTCCACGAGGTCCGCGAGATACTTGAGCAGCTCCCTGTTTTGACGCACACGTCAGTTCATCCTCGCCTCGTGCACCCAGGAAAAGGGGAAAGCGGATACATACGTGCTCGCAGAGGACGCCTCTCGCGCTGTCGCGCTGCCGTTTGTGCGGATGGAGTTCTGCTGGGTGAGGAATTCCAGGTCGTTGAAGGGGACGCCCAGGATGGTGTAGATGATCTATTGCGCAAGGGGATGTCAGTTGACCTGCACGTCTGCTGTGCCCTGGCGCGCTCGTCTCGACTTACATAGGACGGGACAGGGAGTGCAAATTCCTTGACCAGATCGACCGGTCCGTTGGCGCAGCCCTTGGCCTTCATGGCGTCCAGGAGGTCGTCGACCGTCTTCTGGATATATGGCTGCAACTTCTTGACGTGTTCGGGGACGAAGAACATCTCTACCATGCTCCTGTATGAAGACGTTAGCCACACGTACTCGACAGCAAACGGGACTGCGGAATTGGCTCGCCTCTGGCGCATATGATCTGGAGCATCCATATCAACGAAAGTCGGCTTGGCCTTGGCGGCCAGCTTGCCACCCGCATTCAGTTCCGGGAAGCCTGGGCGGGTTCGTTCCTGTTCGGAATACGTCAGCCTATATGATACGACACTGTCCTAAACACGCTACATGATATGGTGCCGCACTTTGGAGAGCCTGGTGTCCGTTGCCACGGCGGTGACGTCCTTGTACTTGGTCATGAGCCAGGCGAGGCTGCCGTCGAACAGCTTGATCCTCGCCACCGGGTCGGTAGCCCGGAGTCGAGCAAACTCGGCCGGCGGCTCCATGCCGGAGGCCCGCTTGAACGGGAAGCTGGGCGGATCGACGGTCATCCTGGCGGCGGTGATGCTGAAGAGTCTGGCTGGCTGGCAGCGCAGTATTGAGGGGTTGAGCGAGGTGGTCAGAACTGGTCGCATGTTGCCTGTCAGTATGGGATCAACGTTATTTATTTATATAATTATTTTTCTGCTGTGCCTGAGCGGATCTGGCGATTCATATAGGTACTGCATTGTCGATGGCCTTATATCATCATGAGATCTAGACTCTCCATCTCGGTCTTCGGGGACGGGACATGACATGCTGTTCGAACGGTTCTGCAGCACCGTTGCGCCAGGGGCGGGCTGACCATTTCCTGTCGTGTCAATGGACGCTATCCCTGCACGTTCGAGACCAATTTATTGTCTTTGACCCGCGATTTCAGCAACTATGACGAGTGTCTCTCCTGAACCTTCGCCGAGGCGGGGTACTGGTCTACCATTCAGAGTGTGCTCCGCGTCAGGTCCCCCCTCATGACAACTCCCAGTATTGTTAACAAACTACATCGGAAATGTCATGCAGTTTTATCTGCCTCCGTGGAAATTCACCACGGCCGCGGAGTTGTCAATTTCTCGTTTGGAAGAGTATGACAAGTCCGACGGACAACGTACGACCCAAAAGCTACGGCTCCCGTGTTTCCCGGGTATTGTCCAACCACAGCTCCAGCAGCGGAGCTCCTTTTGACTTCCCAGCTTCCTTGGCCTAGAGATGACAAATGCATCTCCCATCTTCGCTCCTTTTCCAGCACGAGGCCGTTCGGCACGATGCCGGAAGCTACCCGACGCTCGCACCCCCATTGCCAATCAGCGGGAAGAGCCGGGAGGTGGGCGATTTCAGGGACGATGTCGGGCCCTGATGCACTGACGCCACCGTCATACAGCATGCATTAGCTGCCGAGCAATTAACGCCACACCCGAGGAATTAGAAAATACGGGGTATCGTTGCTAAGTTTGGCAAATACACATGTCTCAGGGGGGAAAGAGGAAGGGGGCTGAACACTTTAACCCATCGGTGTTTGATTCGGTGTTTGAACTATTTACTCATCGTGATACGTCTTCACCTGAGTACCTACCCATGTAAGCAATCTGTTTTTTTTTGCATCCCTGCCCTCAGTCATGTCCCAATGTTCCATGCTATTCTCGATATTGTCCCCCGTTACCACCAAGTCACCAACACCCCCACACCAAGATCCCTACCGCACCGATTCAAGCCTACCCATCAGTCACTTGTAACGTAAAGGTAAACAACCGGCTTCTGCCCAGGCAACCCAGTGCGCGACTTATCCCAGCCCACCTCCTTGAGCGTCCTCTTCATATCCTTGGCGCTATCCTCACCAAACGACACCCCCTTATACCACTTCCCGTTCCCGCCCTGCACGACCTCGGCGACGCGGTTCTTCTTGGGCACCCTGTTGGTGGCGCCCAGGCCCTCGAGCAGCTCGGCCAGCGTCGTCGACACGGGCGCGTGCACGGCGTAGAACGGGATCGACGTGTGCGCGGGCAGCTGCCACGGCGGCGAGTCCGGGCTGCGCAGCACGTGCAGCTTGGTGTGCTCCGCGGGGAAGAAGTAGTTGTAGCCCGGCTCGCACCCCACCCCGCCCGTGCTGTTGGTCATGTTGGCCGCCGGCAGCTCCGGATTGATGATCGGCTGCGCCTGCGGGTGCCGGCTGCCGCCCCCGAGCCCGGACACGTACGCGTACCCGCGCTGCTGCGGGGGCGGCGGCGGCGTGGGGAGGGCGACGCCCGGCCCGTGGGGGCCGTAGTAGTGCTGCTGGCCGTATGCCGCCTGCTGTTGGTAGTGCGCGTATTGGAAGGGGTGGAGGGGTAGCCCTTGGGGCATGCCGCCGTAGCCGTAGCCGTAGTTCCCGCGGCCCATCGTCGGGGTCGAGCCCCCATCGCGGCCCCATCTGGGATTATTGCCGCTTGAAGGAGGGACAAAGTGCGTCATTCTGGCAGTTGGTGGTGGTTGAATGTATTGACCCAGCCAAAATGTGGATGCCAACGAGGAGCCCAGTATCCGTATGTTCCCACTACTGGAAGAGGATGATGAGGCCAAGCAGGGTATGGATAACCGTGTTGCTCAGGGGTAAGGCGGGAGGTATGATTGTGGCGAGAGTGGCTGACAGGAAGAGAGATTCCTTGTGTGCTTGATGGAGGGATAAAGGGTGGATTATAACCGTATAATTCGTTGGAAATGTTTTCGTAGGCTTGGGTGTTGAATACCGTAATATCGTTGCTTGGGCCGGTGGTATTTCCTGGAGTGAGAGAAATTAGACAAGGCAAACCAACGGGGAGTATTTATAGGAGTAACACGGGGGGATTCGTGGGTGATAAGCCTCCCTCCCACTACTGCAAGGGAATTGCAAGCATAGAATCCTGTGACTTCACTCCCCAGCGGGCTCAACTCACCGGTGAGAGCAAACTGGCCCTGACTCAGACGGTTGTCTAGGAGGACAGACTCAAGACCGTACTCTCTGCTGTCACGGTGAGTTAGGAATATCTCGGTGTGCCAGAGCTCGTTGCCCGCTATGTCATAGAAGGCGCCAACAATATACCAGGCCCAGAAACGGGGGTAAACGGAAAAGTAGAAGTGTTGGCCAACGATGGCCCTAACGGCAGGGTATGGAAGATCGACTGAATGATAAATAGGGCCAGGGAGAGTCTGATTCTGGGCAGCCACTTTAAGACCCAAGCTTTCGCGAGCACTCCCAAGGGGGGAGTACAAGCGACTGGAAGTATCGTTTGTCAGAGCCTTACTCAGGAGCTTCGTGTCCTTCTTCCGGGAACAGGTCAATCCCGGAAGCTTGGAGAGTATGGCCAGGGGTCGGGGGTGGATGCTTGAGGTATGGGAGCTTGATAAAAGGAGAGGACTTACCAGACGAAAGAACGCGGCTTCAACGGCGAAGTAGAGGTCTGTCTTGCTCGATTAAGAGTCACGATGTTGAACCTTGCATTTAACTTGAAACTAAGTTTGAAAGTCCAAGGTCTGGCGAGGAGCGGACATTTATCGTCGAGGGGGTGGCAAAATTTCCCCTGTCATGCGGCGTGTAAGTGAATTCTGCCCCCCTTGGTATTGGCCATAATGGCATCCAGTTGGTTGCCACCAGAACAATTAGATTCAGTGATGAGATGAGATGAGTTATGAATCATGGGGTGTGAGGTCGGCCAAATTTTCAGGGGCTGAATGGCAGCAGATGAGTCGAGGCCATGGTCTGTCAGCCAACCCGGTGAGCCTGGTGTATGAATGGATTGTCTGACTGCTGTGGTTCCTATGACGCAGAACACATGAACTACAGATATAACAGCCCAGGCCATGTGTCTGTCCGCTCTGGACTGAAACGGATTCATCAGTCCTTCCGCAATGGCCACGAGGAAGATCGATATCCACCTTGGACAGTCAAAACGACACCAAAAGCGGGATGGTACTGGAGACCTGAGTCTGACAGCAATGTCACAAGCACTTGCAGGACACGTTCTACTTGATGGTTATAGGTAGAACTAGCCGTTCCGACATTCCGTGGCTCTTCCTGGATAAAGTTGCCTGGAAGTAAACGCTGGGAAGCACAACCGACTCCTTGTGAGGCTGAGCAGAAATGAATTAAGGACGGAGTCATCAAGCCAAACGCACCTGTCCATGGACTCGGCCCTCGTCTCTGAGCATTCGGGGTACCGACTGAGTGCCCGTGTAGTAACAGGAGGCATGGATTGAGTGTTGAGGTGAATGGAATCCCCAGGTCACACTTGCTTCAGCACGCATGGGCGCAAAGGTACTGGTAGAGTTGCCGGGTATCATTGACTAATAAAAAACCACCTCCCAGTACGCCGGGCCCGTTTCCGCATAAGCCATAGAGCATCAGTCGTAATTTCGTTCTTTTTTTGGTGAGACAACACCGCGAGTCGATCTTGCTGATTGGGACGTAAGAGCGCCACCCCCCGGTTCAGTGGTGGGAAGGCGCAAGCATTGGAAGTGTGGCCAACCAGCTCAGTCGGCGACGTCGGTTCCTCCCTCGACCATCCTCAGGCCAGTGCCCCTCCGCAAGTCCCCCAGGCGACTCCTACCCTGGAGACGCTTCTCCACCTCGGCCACCAAGCTCTTGAGATACACCTCGGCCTGCACGGTCGCACTGTAGGCCACGGCGGTCCAGCTCCAGATGTTCTTGCGGCCGGCGTCTGCGCCGGCGGCTAGCAGGGTGCGCAGCACCAGCAGGTGGCCGTTGCTGCTCGCAAAGTGCAGGGCCGTGTTCCCGTCCATGTCGGCGTGCTGGACGGCCTCGGTGGCGCCGCCGGGCACGTAGGTCAGCAGGATCTGCAGCACCGTGTCGTGGCCGCCCAGGCTGGCCTCCATGATGGCGTCGCGGAGGCGGGCGTCGCGGCGGGATATGGTGGAGGGGTATCGCTCGCAGAGGAGGTGCACGACTTCGGTGTGGCCGGCGGCCGAGGCCAGCATTAGCGCCGTCTGGTGGTTGTCGTTGAGGGCCGGGTAGGGGTCCTCGTGGCCCAACGATACGAGAAGCTTGGAGATCTGGAGGTGGCCAAGAGAGGCGGCGAGGTGCAGGTTCGAGTTGGAGAGGCCGGCGACCGAGTGGTCGGGGTTGTGGAGGAGGCCCGGGTGGGACTTGAGGATGCGCTTGACCAGGAGGGGGTCATTGGCGTGGATGGCGCGCCGCAGCCGAACGGAGGGCTCGATCCTAGACATGTGAGGGTTGGAATACGTACATATCAGACGGTGGCGTGGAAGGAAAGCTTACATGTTGAGTCCAACTTTGCCCGTTGTCGACGTTTCATGATGTTATGGTGAGGTGCCCTGCCCCTCCAGATGCGGATACGGGGTATATCATGGCACTGTGCTATCAACAATTGACACGGAGATCTAGGATCAAAAAGAGCCCTGCTCCTCGATCGGCTACGTTCAATGACTAGATTTGACATGCAGGCCAAGGCTGTATTGATTTCAAATGCTTCCACAGCTAATTCTAGAGGATAAGAGAACGAGATGCTTCCCGGAGATATCTATAGTGAATTTATAACCATCAAAACCGGCTGTCGAGCGTCCCCCCCAACTAACAATATTAAGTGTCCTTTACCAAGAAAACTGTTAGTATATAATGGAACGCCGTCCAAGCTTTCCCTGCCCCCGCCATTGTATCCGCCTTATCGGGCTTCGGAAGCACAGGCCTGCTGTCAAAGCTCCTTTAGGGTACTCCCCCTCCAAGCCGACGCCAACCTTCTCGCCACAAGACGTGACGGTGCTGTTCGTTCTGGGCGGCCCAGGCGCTGGCAAGGGCTGACTAAATAGCTCTAGGTGTGTATGAGTGATTCTCCTGTTGGTGGTTTGTTGCTTCCCCCTCCCCCTGAGTCCATGGGTAGGGTGCCGGGAGAACGGATCTCCAATCAGAATGGCGGCACTATCCAGATCTAGTCAATGCTAAGCCCTGCCGATGCGAGGAACCGGACACTAGCTAGAGGTATAATATACCTCAACTTGTCCTACGTACCTCCGTAGGGATGTGGTATAATTATAGGTGTAAGGAAGCCTAAAGAAGTTGAATTGAATTGCCCACCACCAGGTCTGGCCTGGTTTGTATTCAGTACTGACTGTCTCTGCCCTGGGAAACGGGGGTGCAAAACACAAATCAGCAAACAACAAACAATACACGCCAACGTAGCTTCTGCTTCTTGATGTAGGTATCTTAACTGATACTCAAAAGTCAATCAGTCACAATTCTAGGTGCCCTATCCATGAGTCGTCCCCGACTGACAAAGCGCCCTCGAGAAACCGCTTGTCCAACTCCATAGATGCAGTCTCATTGTTGACTTTCAGTCGTAGCCAATGTTGGTCTTTTCGAGTTTCGTCGAACACCCATGCATTCGAACCGTTTGTCGAAACGTGGTTGTATCCGAACCCATTCCCGAACTCGAAAAGGTCGCCTAGGCCATCAATGGCGTATAATACCGTTAGGGGATCCCATGAGAATCGCGGGATATGATACGTGTAATAGATATAAGCAGCCCTGACAGGGTCCGTTGCCGGCCCCTTCTTCATAAGCCGGCCTCCAGACATGACATTGCCGCCCAGTTCGGAACCAGAAAAGACGAGAGGTCCTGGCCAATTGTTGACCACGTGGGCTGCGAGCGAAGAATTGCCTCCCCAGAAGTTGTACTCGTACCCAGAAGGATACCCGCCGCCCATGACGACCAGCTCGGAGACTTTCCGGGAGATCATCTCGGGGCCATCCATGGCCGAGTGGCCGTCGCTGGTGGAGTTGAGCAGTCCGGAGAGCTTCGGTGACCCGTCAGATATTAGGTGTAATAATATATATCTACCTACCAATACGGGAGGATCTTCTCACATTATCAAAGAACCCGATGGAAGCAATTGTGACACTACCATCGTTTGCCTCCGCCAGCGTCTTGCGGTAGAGGTCAACGGGATCCCAGGCGTCCTCGGCGCGTCCCCAGGCCAAAGTACCGCTGGACCAGTGATAGGCAACTTTACTTGCGAACTCGCCGAGCTCAAAGAACCAGCCATCGAAGAAGGTGTCGTTCGTCAGTGGACGTACGATCCCAATGGGTGTCTCGGGGTGGCCATAATGCGCGAGTATGGCCGAGGCGGCCAGAGCCGAGTATGATGAGGGGTGATTGACGTTTACGGCTAGGAGGTTCACCTTCGGAGAGGTCGCCGCAAGAAGCAGTGCCCCTGCGTCGCTGTTTGTTGTCCCTGGTTAGCGCCGACGCAGCAACGCCAATAATGGATGATGGTTGAGGGAATCTGTATTACTCGACATCGCTGAACAAGTCGGTATCAATGATCAGGTTCTTCTTGACCGAGGGTGACCAGATCGCTTGCACAACTTTCACCGAGGCGAGGGCGGCAACTAAACAGCCCGTATAGCTCGGCCGCATCCTTTCCAACCGTCATCTGCATTCATCTCCACCAAGTTTAAGCCGTTCTGCCGCGGCATCTTATGACAACAGCTACATTTGCTTACATAAGTTTTGAAGCACGGTCCACCCGCCCTCCCTTGCCCGTCCTCCAATACCTATGTAAAAAGCGAAGTGCGTTGATACATTTATTAGATGGCTTGTCAATATCTGTAGTGTAGCTAGCTGCCCAAGCATGCCCGATTGAACCCGGAGAGACCCCAAGCATTCAGCCTACGACTTTCAAGATGCTTCGACCACAAATACTGCTCGCCTCGAGGCATCTGGGACCCTGTGTTGGCCCTCGCACGGGCGCCTCACAGCTTTCGCGACAGCTTCCTATCCTTGCGCGACGAGCATACTCCGACTCTCAGCCCCCCGCTCCCTCTACCACCCCTGCCGGAGACACGAACAGCCCGTCCGCTAGAGTGATCCCCAACAGGACAACCGGTCAGAATGCCTCGGGCAGCCCAAACAAGTCTCGCGGCCTCTTCCGCAAAGTGCGAAACAAGGCCCCCAGCCCGCCCCCGGCGGTACTAGACCGGACCAGGCTGCCCAGCAGCCTGCACTCTCAGATGCCGAACGCGAACCTGCTCCGGCTCCGCGACGCCTGCCAGTGCAGTCTGTGCGTAGACCCGGACTCGGGCCAGAAGACCTTCGCGACCACCCACCTGCCCAACAAGCCGGAGCTGCAGAGCGCCGAGCTCGACGGGGGGGGGTCCCTGACGGTCGTGTGGGAGAACGACCCCCTGAGCGGCGGCGGCACCCACGAGTCCGTCTACACGCCTGAGTTCATCGAGCGCTGGAAGGAGACGTCGCAGCGCAAGCTCATATCGCGCGTGCTCTGGGACCGGGCCATGTTGGAGGAGGAGCTGGACAGCTGCCGCGTCTCGTACGACGACTGGATGGCAGGCGGGGACAAGTTCCGGGACGCGTTCATCGCCCTGCACAAGACGGGCCTCATATTCGTGAACGGGGTGCCCGAGTCCGAGACCTCGGTCGAGGAGATCGGCCGGCAGATCGGCCGGCTGCAGGACACCTTCTACGGCCTCACGTGGGACGTCATCTCGAAGCCGCAGGCCGAGAACGTGGCGTACACGAACCAGTTCCTCGGCCTGCACCAGGACCTGCTCTACTACTTCGACTGCCCGCGCATCCAGCTCCTGCACTGCATCGCCAACGACTGCGACGGCGGCGAGTCGCTGTTCAGCGACGGCGTCCGGACGGCCATGCAGCTGCAGCTGCAGAGCCCGGAACAGTACGCCACGCTGACCAGTGAGAACGTCAGCTACCACTACGACCGCAACGGCCACCTGTACGGCAACTCGCGGCCGACGATCCGCGACAGCGGCGCGGGCTTCGTGCCCTCGGTGTGGTGGTCGCCGCCCTTCCAGGACGTCTTCTCGTCGAGGACCAAGGTGAACCGCTGGCACCGCGCCGCCGCCCTGTTCCAGCGCACGCTCGAGGCGCCCGAGAACCTTTTCGAGTACAAAATGCGGCCCGGCGAGTGCGTCGTCTTCGACAACTGGCGCGTCCTCCACGGCCGTCGCCACTTCAACACGGCGCAGGGCAAGCGCTGGCTCAAGGGCACCTACGTCAACAACCAGGTCTTCCAGGGGAGGACGTCGAAGCTCCTGGCCGAGTTTGACAGCCATCAGGTGAAGGAGAGTTCGCATGACATGTGGGTTGCCGAGAAGGAGGCACTGGATGCCCAGCTGGGTGGGTCGAGGGAGAAGGGACCGGCATCCGAGGAGGCCACGATATCCGAGCAGGCTCCGGCTGCTGGCCAATAACTCCGACGGGTGGTATTCTCTGGGTGTTCCAGAACGGGGTCGTAAAGCTGGCGCCGGGAATATACCATGCCTTGTAAATACCATGACTTCGCATTCATAAAGCCGCTTAGCCGCGCCCCATGATTGTGATTTGATCAGCCTTCGTCGCAGCTATCCATCCATCCGTGTATCTACCTCATCCCGGGAACCCTCCCCTCGCCATCTTCTTCGCCCTCTGGTCTCGCCTATTATGATTAGCCCTAGACCCCTTATTCGCCTCCTTCCGCCTCCTCGCCACCTCCGTCTCCTTCTCCCCAGTCGGCCCAGCAACATTACCTCCACGCCCGCCACGACCACCACCACCCCTCCCACGGCCCCGTCCCCGCCCCCTCCCACCCCGCGACGAAGCCTCCCCCTCCCCTTGCTCCCCCTCCCCCTCCTCCTCCCCCCCAGCCCGCCAAGCCGTCCCCCGCAGCTCGTTCTGCACGCCCCCAAACTCGCCATACCGCGCCTCGAGCCGTCTCCGCAGTCGCGCGTCCCGCCCCAGCACGACGGCCCACCCCTCGACAGCCTCGTCGGTGAGCCCCGTCTCGGCCCTCAGGCGCGCCCTGGCCGCGCCCCTCCTCGTGGCCGCGTCGCGGCCGAACAGCGCCGGGTCGGCGCGCAGCGCGCGGAAGAGGACCTCGTCCATCGCGTCGTCCGCCGCCGTCTGGTCCGGATCGCCGGCGGCGGCATCGACGGTGCCGCCCACGTCGGCGGCGTCGTACGTGTCGTCGCGCTCGTCGTCGTCCGAGTCGAACGTCGCCAGCGCAGACAGGATGGCGGCCTTGTCGGCGCCCCCGCCGCTGCGGTCGCCGAGCACGTCGTCGGCCGTTCGCCCCGGGTGCCGCTTGCCGATGTGCAGCCTCGAGGCGTCGACCTCGAGGCGGTCTAGCTCGTCCTCGTCGAAGACGTTGTGGCGCGTGGGGAGCTGGGGCGGGGGCGTGGGGCGCGGTGCGAGGTCTGGGGCGGTATTGGGGAGGGGTGTTCTAGGAGGGGGGGTTAGTGTCCGGGTTCGTATAAGTGTATATACTTGTAAGGGGAGGGCTCGGCCATACAGTTCTTCGCTGCGGTCGGCGTCTTGGAGGTGTGCGGGTAAGGAGCCGTCGAGCATGTGCGCAATGACTTGCTCCGAATCTTCGCCGTACTCGTCCAGGAGCTTCGAGATAAACCCAGACCCGAGCTCGGGGAAGAGGTCCTGAATCTGAGAGATCTGGCTCAGGCGGTGGATGTGTATCTCCTGCTGGACCATGACGAGGTCGGACCCGGCGCGCCCCTTTCCTTTATCGATCTTTCTCCGGATCAGCCGCTTCGGGCGCACCAGGCCACCGGCCTTCCGGAAGGACGCCAGCTCGGCCAGTACCGACTTTGCCCGGCTGGTTGCAGACCCTGATGCTTCCAGCTTGTTCTGAACTTGCTGCAGGAGCGGGGTAGCAGTGACGAGCTCAGGGACAAGAGAGTCGTTGGCATTTACAGGGCCTGCCTTGTGCGCATCTGCCGCGACCCTCAGAGCATACAGCTGATCCGTCAGCATGGAAGTCTTTGGAGACTCGCCTTCGACGAGGCCAGTAAGACAGAGATAGGTAGTCGTGATTATGACTCTCCGAAGCGGCGGGTTCATAATTTTGTAGCAGCCGATGAGGCCGTCCAAGAAATCGCTCCCCGCCAGGAAGAATGATGCCACATATGGCGAGGCGTAGACCAGAGGATTTACTCGGCTCAAGCGCTCCTCGACTGACTTTAGGTCACCGTTTATGCCCTGGTCCAAGTTTTTGATCAGGAACTTCTTCAGGCCCGACAGCGAGGCGTCCAAGAGTCCCTGGGCCGGTTCCGACAGACCTGCTAGAAGGGGCCCCGCCCTCTTCCGTCCATAAACACGGCTGACATCCGCGAGGAAGTCCCACTGCGCCATGCCGCCAGGCGGAACGGAAGACCGGAGGATTTTGGACGTCAATAGGAAACACCCCTTAAGCAGCGTCTTGGCCGACGGCCCGCCGCCCAGGATGCCCGATCCGGCAGCGGCAGCCTCGGCCATGAACGAGGCCAGAAACCGGGAGACAGACTCGTCCTTGCATGAGATTCGCAAAGTCTCCGCCTCCGTGAACGCCAGGTGCGCTTCGACGAGTGCCACCCAGGCGTCAAGGCATGCCGCCCACTCGCTGGGGACGATCGAGGCCCGCCAAGCCGCGGTGGGAAAGGGCACGAAGGAGGGTAGAGAAGTCGCCATTATGAGAGCCTCTGAAGTTTTTGGAATCGAGCGACTGGGGGTGGTTAGCGACATAGGTGTTTTATGAGATCGTTGGATCTCACAAAAAATATTTGTGTATGCCCTTTGGTGATTCTCAAGTACTCAATTCCGTTCCTGGGCCTTCAACAGATAAACGTCTCGCCGGATGATTCATCAAATGGCCCACTAATCGCATTTCAGCCCCACTAGGCACACTCTACAACCTATCATGTGGCGCACTCCACTCTGCAATACACCAAAGAGGATGCCATTTCGTTCCAAGGGGCCCTCTGAGCTGCCAAACGGCCGCGAAAGCAAGTGGTAAATCACAGATGACTGGAGAACTTCGCCATTAACGTGTTACGTGGTCGAACAATGTCTTCCTCGGCTGCCGAGGATCATTCATGCTCATTCCATAGGTAGCTATTCTACAAGTCCCTACCACATCAGTGACGATCCTAGTTCAAAGCCTGCAAAAAGGCACCACCCCTGAGGAAAATCCCATGATTTTCAGCAAGTGCCATCCATGACCCCAGTAAAACGCCCACGCGATGCGAAATGGTATACACACGGAGAGGGACACACACAACTCTCCCCATACCCCAGGACCACGAATCCCACCTAGAAGTCCCAGGAACAGAACTCCCTCTTCGGGGGCACCTCAGGCATGACCCCATCAGCGAACCTCCCCGTCTGCACAAACGCCCTCCACGGCGCCATGACCTCCTCGGAATCGTACTTGCCCCCCTCGGCCTCCGTGTCCGCGCTGTACGGCGGCGCCCCGTTGGGGAACCAGATCCTCGTCACGCTGCCGTCGAAGCCCCGCAGCACCGGCTCCAGCTTGTCCCCGCCCCCCGCCTTGTTCGGCTGGTACGTCACCGCCTTGCCCTTGAACATACGCAGCCGCCCGTCCGCCTCCCGCGAGCTGTAGCTCTCGATCGCCGGGTGCTGCCGCGTCGCCCCCGGGCCGTACGGCCCCTGCCCCTGACTAGGTGCCGCCCCGGCCGCCGGCGTCGCGGATCCGGACGTGCTTGCGAATCCCGCCGTCGCAGAGCCCTGTGCCGCCTGCTGGAAAGGGTTACTCGACGTGTTGCCCGCCGCCGCGGAGGGAGCCCCGAACGGCGATGGGGCTGGTCCCGTACCGTTGGTCGCCGTGTCCATGGCATTGGCGAAAGCGCCGCCGGCACTTGGCCCAGGGCCGAAGGGGTTGGGTTTCGGTTGCTGCGGCTGACCGAACGGGTTCGCGGCCGCTGGTGGTGGGTTCGCAACCCCGCTTGACGTCGATGGTTGGCCGAAGGGGTTGCTGGCGGCCTGGCTTTGCTGCCCGCCAAAGGGGTTTGCACTCGGCGGTTGTTGCGGTTGCGACGGCTGCCCAAATGGGCTCTGCGAAGGAGCGGCGGCGGCTCCTGCGCTGGCAAACGCGCTTTGGTTTGAGGACGGCGCTCCGAAGGGGTTCGGTTTCTGTCCGAGGCCTGATGGCTGCCCAAAGGCGCTAGATGGTTGCGACGGCTGCCCAAAGGCGGGTGCGCTTCCTGGCAGCGATGGTTGGCCAAACGCTGAGGTGGTGCCTGGCTGTGACGGTTGACCAAACGCTGAGGTGGTGCCTGGCTGTGACGGTTGACCAAATGCCGAGGTGGTGCCTGGCTGTGACGGTTGACCAAATGCCGAGGTGGTGCCTGGCTGCGACGGCTGACCGAACGCCGGTGCACCTGCTGGCTGAGAGGGCTGACCAAACGCCGGCGCTCCGAAAGGGCTGGGCTTTGCGCCCAGGGTAGAGGGCTGGCCGAATGGCTGACCAAATGCAGAAGCAGGTTGCGACGGCTTTCCGAATGCTGACGTTGACGATCCGGGCTGTGCCGGCTGTGATGGCTGACCAAAAGCCGGCGCGCCGAAAGCACTGGGTCGCTGGCCTAGCCCTGAAGGCTGCCCGAACCCGCTCGATGTCTGTGCCGAGGGCGCGCCAAATGGACTGGACTGCTGGGCTGCGCCTTGCAATGCGTTGGCAGGGGCTCCGAAGGCAGTCGATGGTGCTCCAAATGCGGTCGATGGTCCTCCAAAAGCGCTAGGCTGCTGCCGTCCGACGGCAAAGACCCCTGTTGTTCCGCCCGGGATCGTGTTCTGTTTGCAGATGTCTATCCGGTTCGGGTGATTGTTCCCAGAATCCACAATGTACTGCAGTGCGCCGTCGAGGTTTTCGATGGCGGCCTGGATTTGTTGCTGAGAGGACTGATAGAGCGCCGCGATCTCGTTGATCTGCTTGCATATTAGCGACGCTGTGCGCTGAATCCCCGGATACTAAACTCACAACTCCTTGCTCGTTGCCTGCCAGTACACCCTGCATGTAATGTAGCCTGATCTCTTCGAAGCTCTGTTCGCGCGGGTAGCCACCGAAGAGCTGTTCCGGCGCATCTCTACCGGGGCCGTAGCACGAGAGGGGCCATGATGATCGATCCTCGGTCAAATCTCGCCGGAGCACTTCCTTGCTGAGACTGTACGGCAGTTCTGTCGAAGCCTGTTGTTAGGAGTGAGTGCGCACAATACACGGGGGAGGAATAGGGTGCAGTACCTGGTCCTCTCTGGCTACCCATTTGAGTTTGGTTTCCACCACTCAGAGCGGCGAAGCGGTTGGAGGTTGGCTGCTGCTGCCCCCTCGATGGATGCTCGAATTTGCAATTCCCTACAGTTCAGAGAGTAGTTGTCAGGTTTAAGTTCACAATGCGAGTGCGCGAGGGGCGTGCATATCAGCCGTTAGGGCAGCTGCGGGAGGCCGTGTTTGCGTCAGATTGGATGGATGGATTGGATGCGCGTACCTCCAAATTTGCAGTACCCCGACTGCCAGAAACGGCAGATATTTCTCGACATTTCAACTGAAAATCAGGGCTGAGGATGGTTGCATGACTGTATCCAAGCGATTGTTGCGGTACGTGAGAAATCACAAGGGCAGACACAAAGTATGAAGTTTGAAGGCTGGGATTCGAGTTCCCGAGGACTACAGCCTTTCAGCCTCGCAGGCGCCCCGCGCACAGACCATCTCAAGGACAGGGGCCATTCACTTGACCACAGCAAGTGAACGGAGGGTTAGGGTTACACTAGATGTCAAGATAAGGGGAGGATGGATATCCACTTCGCCCTGAACAACCTCCATTTTCCTGACGACCCAACAACTTATCAGTCCCGTCTCGCAGATACAACACGATATGCGCTAGGTGAGCGTATCCTTAACCATCTTCAACAGCATGCCGTCGACATACGACGGCGACCGCCAAGCCGACCAGTCATGCGACAACAAGCCCCACGTCTCCTCATAGTCCTGTGTCCCCGACCTGATGTAGTAGCTCCCAGCCAACACCCAGAGGAACCAGCCCGCCTTGTGCGCGCCAAAGTAGCTAGCAAGACAGCTGCTGTAGACGCCCTTCCACGTCGTCGCGTCCATCTGGAAGCCGAACTCGGTCAGGAGGACCGGGAACTTGTTGGCGGCGCAGTCGCCCATGGCCGAGAAGCCGTTGCGGTCCAGGTTTCCCTGCAGGCTTGAGCAGCTGGACGCGCTGTTATCGTAGTTGTGCAGCTCGAGCACCAGCTTGTCGGCGTACCCCGGGAAGTCGGCCAGGCTGAACTTGCCCGAGCCCGGCGTCAGCGCGGAGCCCTGGACGACGGGCGTGAGGGTGGTGTCGAAGCCCAGCCCCGAGAGGAAGATCAGCACGTCTGGGTTGGAGGCGTGGATGGCGTCCGAGCCCTGCTTTATGTACTTGTACCAGTCTTGCCAGTTGTAGCTCGCCTGGGACAGTGCCTTGTTGTTCGGCTCCCGCGGCTCGTTTCGCAGGGCCATCGACATGAGATTGGGCCAGGATTTCCCCTTGTCCATGAAGTTAATATGCGTGGGGGTGGACAGGCAGGCTCATGCGAGACTTACGTGATTAGCCATATACGACAGACCTCGGGTCCAGTTGGCGATGGAAAAGTACGTGTCTCCCCACCAGGAATTCCCATCGTCGGTGGAGCAGCACCACATGCCCTTGGAGATGTGGTTGTCCAAGTGGACATATATTTCCTGCTTTGCGCATTCCGCGACAACGGCATCGAACACCTACAGTGGTGAGTCTCGGTCGTCTCTCCGGTTTAGCAGCTGGGGGCTACGACTTACCTGCAGTCTCGTGGTCGAGGCATTGAACTGCGGGTTCTTCGCCGTGATCTGGCCGTACACCTTGTTGCCATTGGCGGTCCCAAGAGCCTTCGTGAGCGCGGTCTGGATCGGGACGTCCGCCCCGCCGTTCCCGTAGATCTGGTCGATCATCTCGATGGCGTAGGTCAATCGGATGGCGTTCATCCCGAGGCTCTTGATCTTGGTGACAATGGTCTCTACCGATTGATACTGCAGGCCTTCCGGGATCATCACGTCCGCGGCGCCCGGCCAGTTGACGCCCGCGTACGTGACGTTGGTGCCCGAAGCATCGCGGATCCAGCGGCCGGACGTCACGAAAGGCCCGTTGGGCCACGCCGCTCTCCCGGCATGCGGCGCCGCTTGGACGAGGCGGGTGAGTGCGAGGAACGAAGAGACAACACCAAGGATCCTGAAGCTCAACATTTTGTGCCCGCTGTTGATAGATACGGTAAACCAGGAAAAGATCTTGAGGGTTCCGTTCCCTTGCATAAAGCACCGCTGCCCGGGGCGGGAGTGCAGGCATTTATTAAAGTTCGTGCCGCCATATTGAGGGGCTGTGGTTAATACCGGATAGCCTTGATATTACTTCCATTACCACGTCGAGAAGACCTTGCGAGAGTTCGCCCAGGGACCCGATGCGCCTAGCAAAATGGCTAACCAAGACCATCATCGCAAACATCTAATTCACGGACACGTATCTCCGGTCAACAAGTAATCTCTCTTCTTCTGCCCGCGTGGTGTGGTAGTCGCGGGGAAATAAGATCTCTGAGCCTCAAGGAGAGCGGCTAGGGGGACGCCCGGCTCCGACTTCCCCGGCCTAGAAGACTTCGAGGCTCGGTGCTATTGGCCAATGCGACGCAACTAACCAGGAGAACAGAGCATGAGCCGACAGCAAGGGGGGAAAGCTGGGGAATAAGAGTGGGATTCTGCCGAGATTTACGATTCCCCGCATCCTCCCGCGCGTTCTGCAGGCCGATATGCACGAGCATGGGAAACGACGCTGTTGGAACCCCACCGTTTACCCCAACTCCTGCTTGAGGTGTTCGTGGTTGATGTTGTTTGGGGAAGCCAATATCGGACGACATCGCTTCAATACCAAGAGCTGACCAAATTTGTCTAGTTGAATGGCCTAGACCGGTTGCTGTATGTACAAATCCGTTATGAAACAAGGCACCCGAGCCTTCCCCCCCAAGCGCACCTATGAACGCCTTCTAAACTCCACCATCGGGCCATCCTTGAGGCTCGTAAAAGTGTCCACCAGCTGGAACTCGCCCGCGCGATGCCTCCCCCACTCGGCGTCCTCGCTCCCCTCCCCGGGGTCGACAACCCCCGCCGCCCGCCGCAGGTCGTACATGAATAGCACGCGCGCGATCGTCGTCGTCATCTCCAGGTACGCCAGGCCCTTGCCGATGCACCCGCGCGGCCCGATGGAGAAGGGGCAGAAGGCACTCTGGGCGCGCGCGACGTCGTCCTCGCCGACGGCGCGTCCCCCCTTTCCGAACGAGGATCCCGCGATCCACCGCTCGGGCACGAACGAGAACGGCTCCGGGTAGTAGTCCGGGTTGTGGTGGATCGCGTAGTGCGGCGTCCCGACCACCGTGCCGGCCGGGACGTGCTCCCCGTCGATGGTCATGCCGCCTGTCAGGACCTCGCGCGGAAGCAGGCCCCCAACGGACGGGGAAAGCCTCATGGCCTCGTCGATGCAGGCGCGAAGGTAGGTGCATGACGCCAGCTGCGCGCCCTGGTGGATGTCCTCGACGTCGTCGAACTTGGATCGCACCTCCTCTGCGACCTTGGCGAGGGCCGAGGGGGTCCGCACGAGGTAGAAGAGCGTCGCCGCCATGGCGGTGGAGGTCGTGTCGGAACCGGCGATGATGCTGCGTGTTGTCAGCCGGCTGCCTGCCGAGGTTGCCCTACCGTAAGCGGAAAGTCGGACGGAAGGTACTCACAGCAAATTGGATTCTCCCCACAGCTCCGGGGTGCTGAACCCCTGTCCGGTCTCAGGATCGCGGGCCTTGAGCAGGTGGTAGAAGAAGTCGCGACGGTCGGTCTCGTCGCCCAGCTTGGTCCGCTCGACCAGCTGCGCCCGGCTGTAGTTCATGTACCGAGCCCTGCCGGCCGCGATCTTGCGGAACAGGATCTTGTCCAGGCTGAGCTTGTTGACGATGGTCATAGTGCCGCACTGGGAGGAGGGCAAATACGTGTGAGCCCCTTACTTCCCATAAACCATCGCAGGGGGGGATATGCAATACTCACGATCAAATGCCTTCGCGCGGCCACGCCTACGAGATCGATGGCATACCTGTTGTCTGGGCGCTCGAGCATGTGGAACGCCTTCCCGAAGCACAGATCGCCCAGGATGTCCATGGCCAGCCAGTTGCACCAGTCAGACATGTTTCTAGGCGTGGACCAACCCTTCCGCTCAACCTCAGACCCGGCCGCGACTGCTCCGGTAGACCCGGCTCCTCCGACGAGGTCACAGAATGTCCTAATGTTGGCAAGGATGTACTTCTCGACCTCCTTAACGGCGCCGTCGGAGAAGGCCTGCGAGAGCACGCGGCGCTTGCGGGCGTGGACGTCCCTGTCGCGCGAATTGTGGGTGTTTGGCGCCGGGTGGACGAAGGCGTCGTAGAACTCGGCCTTTCGCACGTTTGCGCGGAAGCCGTAGACCTCGCGCAGGGCGCCGGAGCTGTTGACCGAGAGCGCGTTGGGGCCGAACCGCACGCAGCGCCCGTACCGCTCGTGCATGCGCCAGAACTCGAGGTGCCGGTCACCCTTCCACGCGTGGTACAGCATGTAGCCGTCCGTCAGCTTGGCAAGGAAGGGGCCCGGGTACTTGGCCAGCGGGTGGAAGAAGAGCCGGTAGATGACGAGACATGTCGTCTTTTTTTGGGGGGTTGTGTCAGCTTGTTTCTATCTCTCTTCCATGACAAAGCCTGTGACAGAACTTACATAAATGAAGCCGGACACGGCTATGGCGCCGAGCCAGAACCACAGATGGCTCATATGGAATTCCATGGTTACCTAACTGGGGGACCAGATATCAGAGTCGAGGAGGATGTAGAGGGCTTCGATTTGCTCCAATTCCCTTCTCTCTTATTAACAACTGGGAAGAATCAGGAAACTCCATCATGAACTTGAGAAATAGGATACACGCTTCCCTCCTGACCCTTTCCGTCCATTCCATTGACGTCGATGGCCGAGCGAGTGCCTATTCAAGCCGCTGTAATGCGTGTCTCTCGGCTTTTCGCGGCCTAAATTGGACGTAGCCAATGGGGGCCCACCATTTATCAGCTTATCGGCGGCTTTGTGCCGAGGGGTGATGATGTCGATACCTACACGGGTTTAAGCTTCACCCAAACGGTCCAAAGGGGAAAGAGACAGGGTAGAAAGTCGCGGAGAGATCGCGGGGAAGCTCGTAGGGTCGCACTATTATTAATAGCCCCGCTTGATTGAGCGGAATAGAAGCCGTTCTGCGTGCTCCTGATTGATGAAGGAAGGTCATCAGAAATGCCCGGAAGGTATGTGTGGGCAATATCGTCATACGCTCAATTGACGATCTCTATGGGAGCAGCCAAGCATTACCTCGCTCATTGAACCCTTCTACTTAACAAGACTGTCATTGAAAGGGGACTTGCTTCGCTAACATACCTATACCTTCCCCGCGAACCTCGTCTTCGTCGTCATCAATCTAGCTATCCAACCTAGTCTGTCTTCTTCACCGGCCCGTACGGGATTACTCCCAGGGCGAATTAACCTCTGATTCTAGAATGCCTTCTCTGTAGAGGACGTTTTGAACGATATGACAGGGCCTGGTAGCGCAACACACTCACCTGATCGCAAGGCAGGTTGGACATACGAATAATGATGGGTCAGGTATATTATGCTCGTCGCAGTTTCGTGATTACGCACCGGCCCAAGGGCATCGTACATATACATAAGGAAACCGTCCGCCAACCCCGGGATCAGCGGGAGAGGGCCAAGAAACAAAGGGAAACAGTTTCACATCCATCCCTCGTACCACATTACCCACCGTCACACTAAGAACCGGTTCCAATCCGGCGCACCCCAATCACCCCTCCCCCCACCGTAGACGTTACCCTCCCACCTCAGTAATTATAATACCTCGGCTCATCAAAGACATGATACCGATGCCCCCTGACGCCCTCTCCCCTGAACATGGCCGGGAACCTCCAACCAGGCGGCACCTCCGGCTCGCCGACCCTCCTATTGCGGGCGTCGGCGTCGGCGGCCCACGCGGCGGCGCCGTCCTCCTCGGTGGCGGGCACGACGAACTTTGCGACCTGGAGCTCCGTGTCGGTGATTGTGCTCCTGCTGACGCGCGCGTAGCCCGTGCGCCGCAGGCCCTTGAAGAGGATGTACTCGCACCAGCGGTCCCAGTCGGACGGGTCGACGTCGTGCATGCCCGACGTGGCCGACGAGTACGTGTTGTAGTTGCCCTCGAGCGGCCGCGTGACAAGGTAGCTGAGCAGGATGCTCGGCCGGGTGCTGCTCCCCATCAGCTTGGCGAGGTACTCGCTCTGGAGCCGGCGGTCCTCGGGGTCCTCCTCCTGGCCCGAGTGGAAGACGAAGACGTCCACCAGGCTGCCGTAGACGTCGAGCGTCGCGTGGATGGCGGGTGCCAGCTCGCCCACGGGGCTAGGTAGAAGGTGGTGAGTCGAGTTGAGGATGGGGAATTTGGACAGCAGCGCGGCACCCCACGTGTGCTTGTTCGGGCCCGGCCCGTAGTCGACGTACATGCCAAGGTCCTCGGCGAGGAACTGCGTCGTGTCCCGGTTGCCCATGATGATGCGCTGCAGGTCGCTCTCCAAGAGGCCGATCACGTCGACCTCGAGCTCCTTGATGAGGTCACGCATCCGGTATTCGGAGCTCCACATGTCGTTGTCGAGTGAGAAGTGGATGGTCCAGATACCCGCGGTGATGAGGCGATCCTCGGCGTGGTACGGCTTGTAGTCGTTGGTGGGGAAGCGGATGAAGGCGGCGGAGAGGAAGAAGACATTGAGGACGCCGAGAGTGCCGAAATGGTACTTTCGGTGCGGGGAAGACGTCGGCCGGCGGCGACTGGACTTCTTGCCGCTGCTGCGGGACGTCAGGTTAAACACGCCCGCGCCAATGAAGAGCATCATGGTAATCATGACCCAGTCCGTGTGTTCGCGAACAAGAGGGCCGCCGGGGACGAAAGCGTAGGCGACCACCCAGACATGGAAAAGAACCAGCAGGTTGTAGATGAAGAAGCCCAGGCCGAATGTCAGAGCAGGACTCTTCTTGGAAGCGTTGGCGACCAACGGGACTGAGATGCCCATCAGGTAAGCGGCTGTGATCAAGGCCCCAAGGTAGCCGAACCATCGGCTGTATAGGGTGAGCAGGGTGGCGCCAAGGCAGGCAACACCATATGCAGTCCAACTAGTGATGAGATTTGGCTTGAGGAGACCCAGGAGGAGTCCGGCAGTCATCGCAGCGATGGTATACCAAGCATGGACGTTTGAGACGGGGCCGCGAATCGGATATCCATCCCACACCCAAAGGATCATGGTACTGGTGTCAGAAAGGAGGGAGTGTAGGCCGAAGAAGAGGCCGCCAATGCTGACTGCAGACAGCAAAGAAGAGCCGCTCTTGGTCTCGGGCGCATCACCACTCTGGAGGGGTGCCCTGCGCGTAAATCTCAACGCAGCCAATACAGCGAGGGCAAGGCCGGTGCCGTTGTAACCACCGTTTGCCGCATGCATAATTGGCCAGATAGGGTTGTTTGTATGCCAAGCGAACTTGACAACCGCCGACATGAGGAGGCCCACCGTCCATGCCAGAATCCGCGATTCAAGTCGAGGCCCGTGGACGGACTCGGAATAAAAGGTCGCAGCCCAGGCAAGGCACCCCATCATGACACCAAAACCAACTGTGAACAGGCGGTATAACGGGTCCCTAACCAGGTATGCCACCAGCGCGGAAAGGGAGAGAAGGTGGGCGATCCGGAGATTCCTGACGATCAGAGACCGCAGCGGCTTAATGCTGAGTAGTGCAGGAGAAATGGTGGACATGACGAGGGCTTCGTATCCAGAAATGCCCATATGCCAGAGCGGGAAGTCTAAGATCGGAGATCAGTGTGGGCACTCTTTTAGGGGGAGACGGTGCGGGTGGTTGGTTTACTTACACCAGATGGTGACTCCCAGACTGGTCAGCATGGACCAGAAGACGAACTACAAACCGGTCAGCCTCCCAAGATTCAGCACGTCTTGGTTGCGGTGTGCGCGCATACTCCATGATAGACATCGGCAGCGATGTCCAGCGCCTCGCCCATAGCAAAGTTGGCAGCAAACACGCCCCCTGTTGCCTTCTCCTTTCTGTCACAACTTGTTAGCTACAGACATTCGAGGAAGCAATATCGACTATCGGTAGCTGCTTACTCCTTCTCCAGTACGGCAGTCGGGACAGACGACGTGTTGACACTAGAATAACCTTAGAACTCGTTTCACATTTCCTCATTGCGCATGACAGCACAGTATGTACAAGCCCTCTGCGGAGGCCTACTTTGGAAGCCATTGCACGTACCCCTTGCTCGTTCCCTTGACATCCTTGACCACCAGCTCGAAAGTGTTAAAGTCCAAAGCCGTCACTGCGTCGAAGCCAACGTCGAAGAGGATGAGGGACCATTCGAAGAATGCATAGGTGGTATAAGCTACCAAAATAATTCAGTCAGCAAAAGGGCAAGACTGAGGGAGAGAGAGAAGCACTGTGGGGGGCATACCTCCTGCGACTCTGTGCACCTTGTGCTGGATGAAGAAGTAGATCAAGGGCACGAGAGAGCCATAGAAGGCTCCAGCAAGGTATTTCCGCAGCTTGATCGCTCTCGGGTTGGGGGGGCTCAACGCGAGACAGCCAAATGTCCAGGGGATGGTGGCGACGAGGTACGAGATCATGAAAATGTCGTGCCAGTCGTGGTCATCGGTCGACGTGATGTATGTCCACCCTCCGCATGTAAGTGTCCTGAAAACACCGAAGAAGGCGATCACTTTCGGGAGTGTGCGCCCAGGTCGCGCTGTAAGCAGATACCACAGTCCAACCAGGGCAAACCTCGGACCTGGTGGGAATTAGCTTTGACGGAACCTCCGGAAGGGCCGGAATTGATGTTTACCGGAGGTGATTGCAATCAAGACCATGAAAACAGATCGCTCGGGGTACCGGTCGCCAATCGTCGCGGACACTGATGGGAACCACTCATCGGGGTATCCGTAGAATTCATTTTGGACGATCTTGTGGTAGTGGAGGGAGACGCCGACAACGAGGGCACCTAGGAAAGCGGCTATGACGAGGACAGTCAGAGGAATGTATATTAACGACAAGACAGATCAAATGCTTGACTAGACCGACCGTAGGCAACGATGGTGTGCGCCCAACTAACCCATTGGCCGTTGAACGAGACCACGACGCCGGCGTCCTTGTCCTTATACTTGGAAACCATTGCGTCTCTCCCGCCGTTGAAGGGAGGTTCAAGCTGACTTGGCTTCCGCAGACTCTGGTTACACACCAGTAACAGCAACTGGCAACAAGGGAAAAGGAAAAGGAAAAGGAAAGGAAACGGGGCTGCTAAAGAGCGAACGAAGAGTTGACAAAGGAAGGGAGGGCAAGTTTGACCTCGGCGCCATCCGCTGCGTCCGAACCTGGAAATTTCCAAGCGTGGCGCCAAGCCCGGTGTAACCCCTGACTAGACTGGTTACGTAGCTCAAGATGCGGGGACACAGGTGTGGCACGAGAATGGGCGCTAGGACAAGATCAGCCAGCGGTGAGCGACCTGCGGTGAGGGCCCCACTAAAAAGTTTCAATCCCACTCTCACAAGGCGAGAACTTCCCAACGATCCATCCCATTCTCAGCCTCTTATAGCAGAACCCCATAACAGAACCTCATACCGTCGACCATTAGCTTATATCTTACCCACACAAGGGATCTATAGACACGGCATAAATAATGGCTGGAGTAGCCGACAAGGCCCGCTTCTACTTGGAGCGGGCAGTCCCCCAGCTCCGCGAGTTTGAAGAGAAAGAGATCTTCACCAAGGTAAGCGCACGCCGCCAAAGATCCCTCCCCCTCCCCCTCTCCCTCTCCCACGCCCACCAGCTAACACCCCCACCCCTACAGGACGAGATCCGCACCCTCGTCACCAAGCGCACCGACTTCGAGCACCGCGTCCTCTCCCCCGGCGCCACGGCCTCCGACTTCCTCGCCTACGCGACCTGGGAGCAGTCCCTGGAGGCGCTGCGCTCCCGCCGGTGCCGGCGGCTCGGCGTCCGCGGCTCGACGTCGCACGCCGGCCAGGCGCGCTGCCTGTCCGTGTTCGAGCGCGCCGTGGCCCGGCACCCGGCCAGCGTCCCCCTGTGGCGCGCGTACCTCGACCTGGCGGCGCGCGCGCGCGCCTCCAAGCGCTGGCGCAAGGTCGCCACGCGCGCGTTGCGCATGCACCCGCGCGAGCCCGGGCTGTGGATCCTCGCGGGCCGGAGGGCTGCCCGTAACGGGGATATGGACGGCGCTAGGGCGTATTTTATGCGCGGGTGTCGGTTCTGCGCGGCGGACGGGGCGGTGTGGGTCGAGTATGCGAGGTCCGAGATGGAGTGGCTCGCCCGGGTGGAGGCGAAGATTGCTGCTCCGGCTGCGAAGGTGGTCCCCGAGGAGAAGGCCAAGATCGTGGGCGGGATGGACGAGGATGGGAATATGCAGTTCAGCGAGGATAGCGATGACGGCGGGGAGGACGATGAGGGGCTGGTGCTCCCGGATCCAGACGCAGAGTTCAAGAAGAAGGGCAAGCGGAAAGTGTTCAGCGAGGAGGCGGTGGGGAAGCTGGCGGGCAACCCGGCGCTGGGCGGGGCGATCCCGCTGGCTATCTTCGACATCGCCAAGAAACAGCCGTTCTTTGGCGCCCCGGCGGCGGAGGCCTTCTTCGATGTGTTCGTGCCGTACACGGCTGTTTCGTCGCTGCAGAAGATTCTCCAGCATGTGCTGGACTGCATGGTCACGTCGTACCCAAATCACCCGTCTACGTTCAACTGCCTCGTCAGGCAGCCGCTGGTTGGGGTGGACCCTCACACTTCAACGTATCCCAAGGCATTGCGAGAAGCGCTGGCAAGGCTGAAGGACGGCTTGGAGAAGACGGAGGATAGGGCTGGCCTTGTGGCCAAGACAATGGCCTGGATCGAGCCGATCCTTGCAGTGGAAGATCTCGATAGCGGCATTAGAATAGTCTTGGAGCATACCAAGCGGAAGCTGGGAAACCCCTGATATGCCTGTCTAGAAGGCGGACACAATAATGATGCAAGATACCAGGTTCACAAGTTGATCACGCCCTGAAGACATGCTCTAAAATCCTCCCCCTGTGATAACATCCCCTACTCGACGTACTGACTATCCATCCTTCTTCTCCTGCGCAAGATTATTCAAGAACTCCCACTCGCCCGGACTGACCTTGCTGACGCTCAACCTCGACTGCTTCAGCATCTGCATGTTCTCCAACGGCTTGCCGGGGGTCCCCAGCGTCCGCAGCTCCTTCAGCCCGATGGGCACGGCGAACTTGCTCCGGAACTCGACGTGGACGACGCTCCATTTGGGGTCGGACGGCTTGGACGACGGGTCGTAGTACGGGGCCTTGGGGTCATGGGCGGTCACTGGCAAATAGGTTAGTGACCGGAAGACAACGGTAGGTGGGAAATACGAGAAGCTGGGACGACGCACAATCGGGAGAGTGCTCCTGAACGACCTCCATTGTGCCGACGATGGCGGGCTCCTTGCAGTTCGAGTGGTAGAAGAAGGCGAGATCGCCCTTCTTCATGGCGCGGAGGTTGTTCCGGGCCGCGTATGCCCGAATACCTGCGTCAGCAGTGTCAGTTTGCCCGTGGCCGTGCCGCGACGAGAATCCTGGGGGGTGAGGGTGCTTACCATCCCATGGCTCTGGTTCTGTCCTGGCGGCGAGATCGTCGATGGAGAACCTCACGTCCACGCCTTTCTCCATCCTGGTCTCCGGCTCGGCCTTCATGAGCCAGTACTGCTTGCCGCCTGGTGCCGACGACGAGCCGTTGGGTCCCGTCGCCTGGGCTGTGTCTTTTTTCTCTGCTGCTTTCTTGGTCGCGGCAGACTTCTTATTTCCGCGTGGCTTCTTAGCTGATGATTCCTGGGGAGTCTTGGTTGCGCGTGGGGGTGATTTGAGTGGACTGCGGGTGGCGATGGGTTCTGTGTGCTCTGGGATGGACGAGAGATCCCCTCCAGCCTCCTCGGCCAAGAGCGTAAACTGTCCGCCAGCCCCAACCCACACAAATTCCTTTTCACGAAGGGAGGGATGGTCAAGAAGGGTGGGCGTTTTTATGGCGTCGTCCCCCTCGTGTCCAGTCTGATGACTGTTATTGGAACCCCAGCTAAAGACTCTGTGATCCGGGGTGATCGCAATGCTATGATCGCCACCTGAAGCAGTCAAGGTTGCCTTGAGCTCCGGGATGCGAGTTGGCTTGGCAAGGGTTCGGCCATTGTTCCGGATTACGCGGTCGGATGGGAGGTTATCCAGCTTGAGTCCGGTAGCAAAATCGCTGGCGTCGCCCCAGGCAAAGCAATCGCCATCGCTCGTAGTAGCAACGGTGTGCTTGTTCCCTCCAGCAATGTGGACAAATTTGCCAAGGTCCTTCAGGCTTTCCACGAGAGTGCTGTTGAAAATGTAACCCAAGCGACCCGCGGCGTCGTTGTCGATGCCGATGCCGGTCTGACCAAAGCTGTTATCGCCCCAGCTGTACACGCTGCCATCCTTGCCAATGGCAAACGAATAGTCAGCGCCTACACCGATGTCAACTATATCTTTGAGGCTAAGCTTGTGGGGAACGAGACTGGAAACAAGGTCGGCATCGATACTGGGGTCAAGTTTGGGAACGAGCCTTCCGCTTTTCCTGCGTCCCTGAAGGTGTCGCCCCAACTGGCCTCGCTCGCCAGAACCCCAGGTGTAGACAGTCCCAGCAGCGGTGAGTGCCAGGACGTGATTATCAGCAGCGGCAATCTTTATGACTCGCTCCAATGCGGGGACAAGGGTAGGCATCCTTTGGACTTGCCCGTTTTCGGCAAAGCCGGCGATGCCTTCCAACGACTGCGACTGTTAAGGTCTGACGGGGGCTGGTATGGCAACGGAGCTGATGGTGACTTACTCTCATAGCTCCCCAACCGTAGACCAAGCCTTGGCTGGTCAGCGCAAATGTTGCGTTGTCGCTAGCAGCGACCTGCGTGAAGACTGTGCCCTGTGGAACGCCGCTCATATCCACCTCACCGGGCGTCGACTGTTTAGGATTCACCTTAGCATTGATGCCATCTTTGGCATCGCTGACGCCCCCCATTCCCCCATCCCAGGCTGTGTCCCGGCCAAGAGCTTCGAGATCGTTGGCCCCCCACGTCAAGACTCGATTGTCGTGTGTGAGCGCGGCACAATGCTTCCCGCCGACATCGAGCTGAACAATGCCAACGGACTCGGCAGCAAGGTTAGGGTTTGGCAGGGGATGGGCCACATCATCAGTTCCGGCAGATGGCCCGAGTCCCAGCTCGCCGCTCGCGTTCCGTCCGAAAACATAGATGTTTAACCGTTGAGCAGGAGCGCGATTGAGCGTCTCAGTAGCATTGAGTCGCTTTGGCTGGCGCCCTCCAGTCGTGGGGGAACCTGCCCGTGTCCTTTTGCTGGTTTTGCTGGAACGCGACATGTTTGCAGCTTCTTCGCCCTCGCGTGAACGTGGACGCGAACGCGAAGGGTCCTGGGAAGCCTGTGTGGCTTTGGTGGAAGACCTGGCCCTCTTCGAAGCGTTGCGCGCGGTGACCCCTTTCGACGCGTTTGCTGGCCGTTTTGGGGGCATCTTGCCAATTGAAAGTCGCAAGGTAGATAGATGTGTGATGAATTTGTTCGAGAATTTCAAATTTCAGCACAACACATTTCGCGTGGAACTTTATCAGGCTTCTCCGCTGTAACGCATCAGTCTAGATCACGTTTATTTCAACTTAGTTGAAGTGATACAGCTCTTTGGAAGTCGTGATTCCCCGGGGCATGAGCCACCCGCACGGGCCCCTCTGAAGTTCAGCTTGGTTGGAGCCACAGCATCCTCGGCTTGATCCAGTCTAGGTTATTGTTCACTACGTTGTACAATTCAGAAGACATCCATGAACGAGGGAACTGGATTACAATCCTCCCGCTTGAATGGAGACCATCGACATTGATGATTGGCATCGGAGGCGCAACTCCACAGCCAACCTCCTGATACTGTGATTTCACAGAGCTAAAAAGAAAGGTTGGAAGGTAATGACATGTACTTCTCGTCTTCTGAGCCAGTCAGCTTCTTGCTTGCCGCCTCTTTAGAGCTCGACAGAAGACCTGATAAACAAAATGGAATATTGTGGCCGGATCCCTGTTGTCTCTACGCCTGTTCGATCCCATATCATGGGGTGCCACTGCCCTACTGCTGTGTGTTTCAGGGGTAGTTGGTACTTCCCTCAGGGCTTCGTCCGGCCTCGCAGCTCCGGCCATGCTTGGGCAATTATTGGGCAATTGGGATTGTCTCTGAATGTCAGCAAACAGATGACGCTCGCGTTGGGGGGTTCTTCCACATTGTAAAAGCCCGAACCCAGATCCGAGGCAGTCATCATGGACCCTCAACATCACCAGTGATTCACAAGACGAAATATGGGGTAAATAGGTGCTTTCCTATGGTAGAGGTAGCTGCATATGCCCAACTCGGAGTCCACCGGTCTCTCAAGAAGCAGGCCGAGCCGTGATATTCTTAATGAACCCCCTGAGACCTGCCGGCCTGATCGCTCCTTCGCTCGGGCGGCGAGGATGGTCCACTCTGTTGGTGACTTCACATCCTCCCGTAGAGGGATGGCGAGTTGTGCCAAATCTGTTTGTACAGGCTTGTCCCGAGTGAGTACGCTGGCGACGGTGAGTCTCCATCCTGTCTTAGAGCGAACTTACTTGTGTAGTTGCTCTCGGCGTTGATAACTGCCTGGTACTTCTCCTTTGCTTTCTCTATTGCGGTCGGCATTTTCAAGGGTGTTTCGATACAGATGATCTTTCCCGTTATCTTGCCCTGGTTCGTTGAAGGGGAATGGGATGAGAGAGCCAGTGGCGAGGGCTTGATATATATCTGCCATTCCCCAACCCTCGGACCCCTCACGATGATATCACACCTACGGAAGATCAGTTGGTATAGTCAGGGTCGAGGCTGATTGGTTGTATAATGTTGACTAACACCCATAGTCTAGTTCAATTCGACATCGAGTCATGGGAACAACCTAACTACCTAGGTTGGAAGATAGGTAATCTCGGGGGGTATGTAAATAAACAACACCAAGCTCTCCTGTTTCAACCGCATCAATTCTGTGATGTGGTGGATCATCATTATTGACATTGCAAGAGTTTTGTCATTCCTTCTCGAAGTGAGCGTCGATCCTGAAGAGTCAGCGATTACGGATACAGGTCATCTAAATCCTGCCCATCGAGGGAACACTGCATTTACTACGCCTTACTTGCCAGACTTTGCTAGGTTGACATGCGATATATATACTGCCCTTGGATAAGGATCGGGTTAATTATTGGTCGCCCTGGAGCCCGTATACGCCCGGGATCAAACCTGGATGCATCCCAGGTGTATCCAATAAGATTTACGAATCATAAAGTGGAGCGAATTGGTCTGACAAGATCGTCCCTTATTTACCAATATTTACGGATTACCTGCCTAGGATCTAACAGCGCAGGTCCCCCGCAAGGATGGATGGATCCTTCGATCCCGGGCGTAGGACAGGAGTTTCTTCCTCTCCTCCCCCCCCACAAAAGAATGCCGAGCTCACGAGTGGCGACGCGACAGGAGAAGCTACCATCACCCGAAACCACCGTATTTTAGACCTCTTTTAGACTCTCAGAGATGTCGATCTCCGGGTTCGCCCTCCGAAATAACGGCTCGTGCGCCGACAATGAGGTCGATTGCGGCCAGACGGCCGCTCCGTACCACGCGTGCTGCCCCAAGTCGGCCTTCTGTCCGAGGCAGTATAACGTAGACGTAAGTCCGTCGCCCAGCACCACGGAGGAGTGTGAGATGGAGAAAAGTAGAGAGAAGAGGAAAGCCTTTGCTGAGAACCGCGACTCCTCTAGTGCTGTCCCTCGGCCGAGAACTGCACTACAACGCTGCTGCGGGATCCGCAGTGCGCGAACCGGTCGTGGGACCTCTACGACAACGGCGGATACTTCTGCTGCGAGAGGGGCTTCGTGGGCTATGCCACGCCGGGGAACAGCGACGGGTGCGCCGCCCCGGGATACGCGTTCCGGAGCGGCGAGAAGCTGCTCCCCATAATCTCCTCAGCAACACCGTCGTCCACCACATCTCCGATATCGACGACTCCCTCCTCCAGCCCGTCGGCCTCAGCCACGACGCCGGCGGACTCATCGGGGGGCGGAGGCGGGTCGGATAAGGGCGCCATAATCGGCGGTGTCGTGGGAGGCGTCGTGGGCGTGCTCGTGCTGGTGGCTCTGTCGATATTTTTCTGGAGGAGGCAGAAACGGTCGAGGGGCAACCCGCAGGACAGCACGGCTTATAAAGGGGGCATCGGAGGGGTTCCGGAACTCGCGGGCTCTGACCTGACGCCGGAACAGAGAAGCGCGCACGAGATGGACGGCTACGACGGTCGGGGGAAGGTCGCCGGCCCGGCGCAGCTCCCCGAACGGCATGAATATAATGAGCTTCAGGCCTGAGCGAGTTAACGATGTCTTGGCTGGGAAACAAGAATCAATTGCGACCTGTGTTGGGCAACACGGTAGCGGCCATCTTAAGTTGCACCCTGATAATACGCCCCAGTCTGCCTGCGAATTGAGAGGGCCGGCTAGTACCACGTGATATTCCAGATTGCGGCCACACTAGGAATATTTAACCTTATTCCCCGTGGAGACTGGTATGTGATATTCCCCTCATGTGCCTGCCGTGAGTGTAGCACAGTGGAGGGATAGAGAAGTTATGTTTTAAAGTACCTCCGCAGTACCTACATTTTTGCATTTGGCAATGAGGGGGACAATTGGTTGGATGGACCGTCCTGGCTGTCCTGACGTGTCATGAAAGCGTGCATGTCACGATGGCGGGCCGGTCGCTTGACCCCACCACCATAGCTGCAGCGAAGGTAGGTATTCGTTCGACGCAAATAGGTAAACCTTGTAAACCTAGGTACTTTTGGGGAAATCGAACAACCTCAGGGCTTGTGGCGAGTAGTATGCGCAGCAGGCCGAAGTGGCTAAAGTCAAATGGTCTATGGGCGATCTTGGGATGGCAGAATTCCGAGAAAGAGAGAGATAGTGGTGGCTGGTCGTCCGTCCCCGGAAGCACACAATCAATGGCGCAGATCGGACCAACCAGCTGTGGCACGCCCGGCCCTTGAATGTCTCGACGGGAAATAAAATGAGGGACAAGTTATACACAGTACTTCGGCGACCGAGTACCATCCATGGGGATGGTGCTCCACGATCTCTGTCGCTTGCCGACTAGGGTTTCTTGGCGGATAACCTGGATATCGAGAGATTTGAGATACCGAGACGGAGATGGGGCTGCCGGCAAGAGAGAAAGATCTCGAACCCACTCCACAGTCCACACTTCCATACAGCTATCCGCTTTTAGCCCGAATGCTGATGGGCATGTCGATTCCCTCCTGGCTAGGTGGTCTTTGTGTGACGCTGAATCCACGCTCGGCTGATACTCCCCCCTTCGGAGGGGGGAAGGACGAAGCCTCTTCTTGGGTGGTGGAATGGGGAGAGATTGGGGGTTTGATGCCGCAGCACAGACCTGCCCTGCTGCCCAAGAACCTAAACAGCCCCAGCAGACAAAGAACGGTGTGAGAGGGCAAACAGAGTTGGACAGTTTTATTAGACCCCAGAGAACGGAAGCTTATCCGATTTCATCATCTTAGCCTGTGTCTTGTGGCATCTGCAATCCTGAATGCTAGTTGGCTGCGGAGAATTTTCCTATTTTCTAGGTTTCTTCGGCTCGCCTGGTGGTGGTCTGTATGAACAGCCGGGATGGGGGTGGGAGGATGGGGAGTGACTTCGCTGGCAAGCCATGCTTGCTTCACTTTAAAATGGCCCAACTGCCCACGTCCCCCGGCCTCTGTCTCCCCTTTACATTTTCCCACTCTCTACTTCCCCTCTCTGTCCTCCTTTCATCCATCTGCTTCCCATTTTCGTGTCCCTCTTTTGTGGTTCTCGTTGGATCGTTGAACCTTGAAGCTCCTGTCGTCTGCACCTCCTAGGTTCCCCTCCAGTTCTGTCTGAACAGGGATTTTCAACTCCCGCTATAAGTGCAGAACAGCAGTCCAAAGTCGCAAGCATGATGGCCAGCAACAGAGCTGCGAGAAGGGAAAATGACGAGAGGGCATTATGGATGGGCACACGGCAGACCGACGAAGGATGAGAAAGGGCCAGCCATGGAGGCAAGCAATCGAGCGAGTCTTGTCAAACTTCGGGTGGCGACGACCAGGATGCCTGTCACGACCAACACGGCCACGACAACCTGAACTTTAGCACACCAGCCAAAACGTCAAACCGCCAAAACGAGGAATGAGTCTCAACGAAACCCACCCACCACGGCCCACGTCTGGCCGCAGGGACTCTCCGAGACCAGCCCTTGAGGACACGGTCCCAAATTGCAATTATTGCCAGTCGCAGCATGAAAAATGAACGGCAGAGAGCGACGTTTCGTCGGTCGGCTCGGCTTTGTGAGCTGAGCTGCCCGCTGAGCTGCCGGGACTGCTGATTTGGGATGACTGTACGCATTATGGTGGGGCGCAACTGCCCAACGAGGCAGCTTGCAGCGGTCAAGCGACCGCACCGAAGAATGGGAAGAAGCAGCAGCAGCTGCTGCTGCTCGATCTATCAAATCTTTTCATTCTTGGCTTTCCTGGACCAATAAGCCATGGCGGTGGCCCTTTTGGTCTTTTATGCCTCTGTTTAAGTTTGCAGAAGCTGCACCCCCTTGGAGGTCGAGATCTGCAAGTCCTGCCAGCGACTCTCGAACCACATCCACAAGTACGAGGACCCAGAACAACCATGGGAGAGGAGTTTATTCAGTTCTAATGGCCAAATGGATGCACGACCTTGGAAGCTGGCTCCTGGCTCTGGTAGGCAACAGAGCAGCGATAATGGCTTGAGAAGTTTAACTGCCTCTTGATTCTGGCTCTCTTGGGAGGATTTTGGTCACTCAGTCAAGCCAAGCAGTCATTTGGACTGCAAAGTGGACTGGAAGTGGGAAGCAGCTTGAGCGCAGGGCAGGTGGGGCTGTGAGAGACACAGACAACAGATAAGAGCAGGAACTTGATTTGGCAGGTGAGAGGTGGCTGGGCCAGGTACTGCACTAGCAGACCATATGGTTGGACAAGCTTGGTGTCTGACCCACTCTGGCACTAATCCCCTTTCAGGCTCGGGCGATGGGGTAATCTGGCCGGGTGATGGCTGAAAACAAGCAGACCTTGCAAACTCAGCGACAAATTTCGAAGCGACCGCTCACATCGACCAGCAAAGCGCGACTTAGGTAAGACCTGCGTTCTTTTCCCTCCCATTATCTCCCCATCCACCCCGGTTTGCCGGTCTTGGACGCTATATTATGATTTGCCTCGTGATCGCTCGATGGCTGAGCTGCATGGCTTGATGGATTTGTCGATGCGCGAGTGCTGATTGTTGGTTCCTGTTGCGACCCTTCCCCAGCCTGCTGCACACGGCCTTTCTGCCCTTGCCTGTCGCCGAAAATTTCTCCTCTCGCTCATTCACTGGGTGGTGTTCACTGGCCACACTGTGCCTGGCACCCTCTGCACTCAACTGCACCACTCTGGTACCACCTTATTCCCTCCATTCCCCCAGCTCCCAGCACAGTCCACCACACAGTCCACATCCCACAGTCCCAAGTCCCCAAGTCCCCAGTTTCCCACCGCATACCACACACAGCCCAGCCAGAACTGGCTTTGCCCCATAACCTACACACCCGCGACGCGACTTCTCCATCGCGATAAGCCTCTGCCGTGTCACTTCCCATCTCCTGTATATTGATTCCCATCTCTTCAGATGTTTGTGCAGACTTTTTTCACTATCGCTGTCACTTGTCGCTGACGCTGTCTCCAGGAAGTAGCCAGATGGGTTCGACCATTGCCGCCCTCCCTCCCCGACAGTCATGAGCTCCTGGACCAACGAGGCCGCTGTCGCAAACCACAATGGCAACAACGGCTTCACACACCTCACCGACCCCACAACCATCCCCATCCCCGGAGCCATGATGGATCCATCCGGCTTCATGGCCAATCAGGGCCAATTCAATCCTCAGTATGCCAATCCCCAGCAGATGGCCGCCATGCAGAACGGCCAGCTTCGCAATGCCTCGCCGTCTTTCCCCAACAACCCCATGTACCAGACCAACTCGGTCGTCCCGACAAAACGTCCCCGCCCACGAGAGGACAGCATGGGCCAGTCTCCGCGACAGGTCCCCGGCATGCTCCCGACCTCGCGCGCTGAGACTCCGCAACAGTCTTCCTTCCCCGGCTTCCAGCAACCTCCGATGCCTCAACAGGCCGGCCAGCCATCGCAATATCCGCACCTGCAACCTAATGGGTCTGCAAATGCCACACCGTCGCCCATCATGGGTAGCCAGATGCGCCCCGGCAGTGTCCCTCAGCGGGTCTCGACAACCTCTCCCCACCCCTTCTCTCCCGCTGCGCAGCAGTTCCCCCAGGCATCGCCCATCCCTTCCGACCATGGCGGCACACCCCAACCGAACCCATACATGCCGCAGAACAATTTTGCCCAGGGTTTCAATCAGCAGTTCGCCCCAAACCAATCCCAATCCCGGCCCTCCCCAACGCCCAACGTTGCTGCCGGGCAGATGATGCCGCAACAGGTGGGCCAGTTCCCCCCACACATGGCAGCACAGATGGCAGGGCAACTTCCCCACCAGATGTACTCTCAGCAGATGCCGCAACCGCGAAATGCTTTGGAGCAGCAGAAGTTGCTATACCAGATACAGCTCCAGCAACACCTGCAGCGGAGCAACGGGCAGATGATGATCCCCCCCGAGGCTCGGGCTCAACAAGCTCAACTTTTAGCTCAGTCTCAGGCCAAGGCCCAAGCCCTAGCCGAGCTCTCTCACGACCAGGAGGCTCAAAATCAGCTCCGGATGAACCTCATGATGGCTGCCAGGCACGAAAGGGCCAATGGACAGGTGCCGGCGAATGCGAATGCGACTGCGAATCCTATGGGCCCGCACCGGGGTGTCCCTCAGCAACAAGGCCAAGCCCGGGGACAGAGCCGCGAACAATTTATGAAGAATCTGACCCAGTTCATGAACTCGAAGCAACTGCCTCTCGACCCCAACCCCAATGTTGACGGCGTATCGGTTAACCTGATGAACCTCTTCATGGTCGTGTCTGGACTCGGCGGCTATCACGGTACCTCGAATGCGAACCAATGGCCCCAAGTATCTCATACCCTTGGATTCCATCCGCAACGGGTCCCAACCGGACCGCTGCAGTTGAAGGCCATGTACGAGCGCAACCTCTTGGAGTTTGAGATGGCTATAGGTCAGCAGAACAGACAAAGGGCGCAGCAGCAGGGCATGGCCAGAATGGCCCGCATGCAGCAGGTTGCTTCCGTGGCCAACGGCGGCGCCTCTTCTCCCATGATGATGCAGCCGGGCCAGATGATGCAGCCGGGACAGCAGCCGCACCTCCAGCAGGCCCAGGCGCAGACTCCAACCAAGCCATCCGTCCCCCGGTCACCCGCCGTCAACGGGTTCCCCGAGACTCAGCAGCACCAACTCCAGCAGCAAGGCGCCATCGCCCCGGGCCACTCACGCAACAGCCTGTCGAGGAGCGTCCAAGCTACCCCAACGGGGGAGGAATTTGCCGCTGCGTCTCCCGTTCAAGGCAAGACTGGCAGCGCGTCGTTGGCCGGAGCAACACACCCCGACGGCGCTGCTGAGACGGCCACGTTACGATTCCCGGCGCCTTTCAATTCCGAACCCGGAGAGTACTTCCCTTGTTCGCGCGAGATCGTGACACATGGTGGTGTCGACATTCAGACGCTCAGCAAGCTGGGCGCCGAGTTGGAGAAGGTCAAGCCAGACGTTCCACACCCTGCCGAGATGGGAAGAATGGATATACACGCGCTTACCAAGAGCATCCAAAGCGGAATACATGGGGAGGTCAGACTTGCCCTCGACTTCTTGACCCGGCTGAGCATGGCCGGGCAACCGAATAATTGGCTGGATCTCCGGCACTGTGATGACCTGGTTGAGACCCTGATAGAGTGCGCCGAGGACCAGGTCGAAATACTCGTGGAAGACAATCCCGAAGTCTCGGACGAAATCCTGATCAACTCGTATGAGGAGGTTGTGCGTTCGTGCCGACTGGAGAAGATGGCGGTTCGCAACGTTCCCGTCTTTGGCTCCGAGGACTACAACCTCGACCGAGCTGTCGACCGGTTGATATGCATTACCACCATCATCCGCAACCAGACCTTCAACCCGGACAACCAGAAGTTGCTGGCCGACGAAACAGTCATCAACTTCCTCTGCGTCGTAATTAGATATCTCGGCACACGCAACATGCTTCTGCGGACTCATGAGAATACCCTAGACTTCATGAAGGATGTGATCATCATCCTGTCGAACGTGGCTACCGAGATAGAGATTCCTGAGAAGGAGCAGGCGTTATGTCTCCTCCAGTTCTTGTTGGCATTTGCCCCGTCTCCGGGGCCGTCGATATCCAACGACAGGCTTTTCTTCACTCCCTACGACCCGGCCCTGCATCCCTACCTCCCCCCTGCGGTCGACTCCCTCGCGAAGCTGCTCGCTCGCGACGAACCGAACCGGACACACTATAAAGCAATCCTGACCACCGACGCGTCAGCGACTTCGACCATACCGCACGAATTGCTCACGCGGACATTTGCTCTGGCCACATCCGTCATCCCAGACCACAGTCGCGACAAGCGTTCCGACAATCTGCCCACACTGGTCGAGGCTCGCAAGGCTATCCTCATGCAGGGACTCTTGTCCGCCGATATCCTGGCTTCCCTCGCGCCCGGTTACGAAAGCGGCGTCACCCGCGCGTGGCTCACGTCGGGCAATGGCTTCCCGCCCAACCTGTTCTGGCACATCCGCAACCTCAGCATGCACTTCGACACGCAGCGGCCGCGGGTTAGGGCCATGGCAGGCCAGCAGCAGCCCAAAAAGGATACCGAGCTCGTCTACATTGTCGGTCTTGCCGTGAGCATGCTCAAGAAGCTGTGCGAGAAGGCGCGCGACCCCAACGACCCGGCTGGCGAGAACAGCATCCCGCCTAACGTCCTACCAAGCAGGGAGAGTGTCTTTGGCGCCCTGCAGATGACGGCCCCTGAGTGGACGGAGCAGGGCATGCTTGGTGATTTGGTGGCTTATGCTGCCCTCGAGAATTGAGCTCGCTCCTGATGGCGCTCTTGTTTATCTGACTGTCGACTGACCGGGGCTTCTTCTCCCCCGGTGCTTAATATTGGAAGTTAGATACATATGACGGGGCTTGAATTTTATGGCCCTATGGATCCGCATTGGAAAATGCGAGGCGCAGGGAAGGCGGGCGATAACGATATGTTCTTGCCCGACCTGAGCAAAATGGATATGGACTGGACTGGAATGAAATGGAATGGAATGGCGCGAGGTTGTTGGTCACGTTTACCGGCTACATAGCATGCAACCGTACAGGCGCTGGGGGAAGGTCTTAGCTTTGCCTGCGATTCATTGTCATTATTACTGTTTCTACAACGCGGTATTACAAACTTTTGAGGCGTCCCAAGATCTTTCCATATGAGACATTGCCCAGTGTGTGTGATATGATTTAGAGCCCGAATGACATGTCTGATCAGCCACACAATGAGGCTCACCTGGGCGTGTATTCCTTCCGAATTCCCGTCGTCGCCGTCGGCGAGACGCTCCCCTGTAGTCGAAACAACCCTCGCAGCATCTAGTTAGGCGCGTCCCGCGGCATCTTTCCCCCGCTGTTCATACAGTATATTTACAGATGTATAGCCCGCGCCAGAACAGAACCTCGCCGACGGTACGTCCCAGCGATTCGACGCTTTCCCACTCTCCCTCCCCCCTCTTCCCCCCCCGGCCAACGTTGCCTCAATCAAAACCCCTGCTCCGTTAGATACGTTGCGACCTTGTCCTTGAAATGGCCCTGCAAATATCCCTTGTCAGTCACAGTCACACAACCACATTCACGCAGCCTCCGGGTGGGAGAGGGGAGCAGAGGAGGTTGTTTGGGCACGTACGGATATCTGGATGTGGCCCGTCACGGGGTTCAGGCGGATCTGGTCCGGCCGCAGGGACAGCTGCTCGGCCAGGTTCTGCTTCAGAGCCTGGGCGTCGCCCTCGACCTTCTTGAGGTACGTCATCTTCAGGTTGCCACCGCGCTTGGCGTCCTGGTAGACGGGGAGGTTCTTGGATGGGGTGCGGGAGACGAAGTAGGGGCGGCTGACGGGGGCTGTTGTTGTTGTTGTTGTTGCTGCTGCTGCTGGTGTTGCTGTTGCTGTAGTTGTAGTTGTTGTAGATGTGAATGGCTCTGTGACTGTCCGTGTGGGAGCCGGGGAAGGGGCGGCGTCTGTGGGTTGCGCCGGGGAGGCGGTGGTTAGGAGTCGGGGAGAGGCGAGGCGGGGGGGTAGGAGGCGCCGGGTGGGTGCCGTGGCCCGAAGGAGGAAGCTTGGGCGAAGCATTGGGGCTGTCCGAGGTCTCGGGGGCCTGCTTGGTCGAGCACGGGTGTTGTCAATTGGACTGCGACTAGGGAGAGACCAAGTCGCTAGATCAAGACCCTTTCATGGTGTAGCCGGAGCTCTTCCATATGAAAAATTCTCGGCATTCGGCGAAATAATTTGCCGTGCTTTGCTCGGCTCAAGCTCAGACCTCTCACCCCTGCCCTTCGTACTAGAACACACTTTCGAAATTTTGATCAAATCACAGAAAGCCCCACCAAGACTTTTGACTTCGCGAAACCTGAATCCCACCCTCACCTCCGTCTCCCACCCACACTCCTCATCACCACCCGATATTAGCACCCTACGAAAATGGCGGATTCGGCAGTCGCCAACGGCGACGCTCCGGCCATGTCCGAGTACAACCTGATCCCGAAGCTCGTGGGCCGCCTGGACCGGCACATGATCTTCCCGCTGCTCGAGTTCGTCAACAGCCTGCTCGAGGACGAGGAGGGCAACATCAAGGACGCGACCAAGGCGCGCGAGGTCACCAAGGCCAAGTTCGAGCTGCTGAGGAAGACCAACATGACCGACTATGTCGCCAACCTGTACTGCGAGCTCGAGGATCTTGACGAGCCGCCCGCCGAGTTCGCTGAGAAGAGGCAGGGTGTGCTGGCAAGGCTGGGCCAGCTGGAGGAGGAGACGAGCAAGATCCGGGGCCTACTTGAGAGGGACGATGTCGTCTCCAACCTTAGGAGTGACAAGGTGGCTAATCTGGAGTTCTTGAAGCGGGATCACGAGGTATGTGAAGCAAAGCCTGTGCGTGATGTTTGAAAAGAGGCTGACAGAGCGCGCCAATCCAGGTCACCCCCGAGATGGTGGACGCTCTTTACGACTTTGGAAACTTCCAATATAGCTGCGGCAGCTACGCCTCTGCCGCTGATCTCCTGTATCAGTTCCGCGTCCTGTCCACGGATAACGACAAGGTCTCCGCCGCCACGTGGGGAAAGCTTGCGTCCGAGATCCTGACTGCGAATTGGGAGTCCGCCATGGAGGAGCTGCAAAAAGTCAAGGAGTTGATCGACACCAAGCTCTTCAGCAACCCGCTCGCCCAGCTCCAGCACCGCACCTGGCTCATCCACTGGGCTCTGTTCCCGCTCTTCAACTACGAGGGCGGCCGCGATACCCTGCTCGATCTCTTCTTCTCTGCGGGATACATCAACACCATCCAGACTTCGTGCCCCTGGATTCTCCGCTACCTGACCGCGGCCGTTATCACGAGCCGTGGCCGCGCACGCACCTTTAACACGTACCAGAAGCAGCTCAAGGACATTGTACGCATCGTTAAGCAGGAGGCATACGAGTACACGGACCCGGTGACCGAGTTCGTGCGGACCCTGTACGTGGACTTCGACTTTGAGGAAGCGCAACGGCAGCTGGTGCGGGCCGAGGAGGTCCTGCAGTCCGACTTCTTCCTCGTCGCGTCTGGCGACGCCTTCGTGGACTCAGCGCGGCACCTTATCTCGGAGTCGTACTGCAAGATCCACGCGCGCATCGACATCAAGGACCTGAGCGCGCGGCTCGGGCTCAACCAGGACGAGGGCGAGAAGTGGATCGTCAACCTGATCCGGGACACGAGGGTCGACGCCAAGATCGACTACAAGGAGGGCACCGTCGTCATGAACCACCCTCCCAGCTCCGTGTACCAGCAGGTCATCGAGAGGACCAAGGGTGGCTTCTTCCGGACCCAGGTGCTCAGTGCTGCGGTTGCCAGGTAGAAAGGGGCGCCCGCTAATGCCAAGCGTTGGAGTTGGTTGCTGGGCGCGGAAGTGGAAGTAGAAGAGGGGATGCAGACAGGCGATGTCTAGGCACTTTAGGCTTGAAGAAGCAAGCAAGGCTGCGAGCTTTTCCCCACAAGTTCCAGTTTGCCGGCTTGTTTTCTTTTGAAGGGGGAACGAGACGGCCCCCCAACCATTTTCTTACGAGTAGTAACTAGTCCCCCGGTGCCCTGGTTGGAATCAGAGAAAGACAGCCGCCGTCTTTGCTGCAGTGCATACATGGCGTTTACGGGGGATGGATTCTGGGGCTTGCGGGCAGCTAGAAAATTCGCGAAGGGCAATTGTTCACCCTTATTATATGAGTAGTGATCGCTTTTATCCAAGTTACATGTGCTGATATCGCGAGTCTGCATCGGATCTGTTACTGTAGTTCGCTCCGTCGTCAGCTTGGAACATCCCATGTGCCCGTTGTCTTTCTCAAGTGGAGTGTACGAGTGCAGTGTGGGTCTGGAGGCCAAGCATCCTTCTCCCTCTCTTCCGACGACCTCCGTGATGCAACTGGGAGATGTAAAGATGGATACCACTAGTAATTATCAAACTAAATATTCTCGGTTCTTTCCTTTTGTTAGGTCCTTGATCCCAAAGTTCTGTGAGAGTCCCTAGTATTCGTCTCGAGCCTCTGGATATTACCCCTGATATGTCCCCCAGGCCACCTCCCTCGTTGCGTACTTTCTCTTCTGCATCAGGGCGCTTGAGACTGGCTAGATCCTCCCCGTGGAATCATAGCCGACGCAAAATAAAGCACGATATTGGACATTAGGCCCAGACAATGCCTTGCTATATTCACGTCAAGGGCAAACGCTGCATAAGATGTCTTTTTCAGGGGCAGTGACTCGGCCTTAGTAACTGAGCTTTGTGATTATGCTGCGGCATACACTGGGTGATTATGTTCCATTGTACCCTACAACCTGTGAACGTCGACAACTCATCGAAGGGATCAGCAGGTAATCCCATCCAACACAGGCGGTTCAAATCCCAAGTGAAGTTGATTTCAAGTCAGACCACCACCCAAGATCAGATCTAGCAAGCCATCAGACTGGCCAGAGGCCATCTTGAAACCCCTGATGCTCAGATACATATATCTTAGACTATCTGAATGAAGGTGATACGGTCCTGACTGATACTTGAGACTCGCCATCGGCGCCATGTGAATACACACCCTGGACTTTCTTGCTAGGAAAACGATAAAATATCCTCACCAAGAAGACCACTGTGTATATGTATTCCTCCACGGGCGACCTCCTTCTCCCGATCGTTAGATCCACGACCAACGCATCCACGACCAGAGCAAGATCGCAAGATACCTGGATAACCATTCAGGCTGTCAGCCCTCACCCCTGAATAACCACCAAAACAGACCAAGGATCACATCTACAAAATGTGCAACTACGTAAGGAACCTCTGAATCTTTACTCCCAGGTCATCACAACCCCCGCAGCTACACCCTCTTAAACAACCCCCCTTCCCATTTCTTTCACCACCTCTATCCAGAAACAGACAACAACTAGCTAACGCCCACAAAACAGATGGCCTACAAGCAGAAGTGCATCTTCTGCCACGTCCCAATGCAAGAGCTCAAGTGCCAGGTCATAAAGTGCAAGCACGTGCAGCCGGGCGGCGACCCGACGCAGTGCCGCGTGACGGAGCGCGGCAAGCTGGACGCCGACTACGGCGTGCACTACCTGTGCCGGATGAGGGCGGAGGCCAAGCTCGAGGAGGAGGAGGAGCTGAGGAAGGAGGGGTTCCGGAAGATGTGGGGGGAGGGGGCGCCTAAGAAGAAGAAGAAGGTAGCTCTCAAGAAGGAAGACCTCAAGAATAATGCCGGGGTCGAAGGGAATGCGGTCGGTGAGGAGGGTGCGGTCCCTGAGGAGGAGGATACGACGCCCGTGAAGGAGGTCATCGAGGTGGCTACTGGGGCTCCGAAGGTGGTGGCTCGTCTGGAGGATGCCATGGAGGAGGATGCTATGGACGAGGATCCCAAATAACTTGGTACCTGAATCTGAACTCGAGTGGCATTTCGATTATTGCAAACGTATCAAGGCTTGACGTGGTTTTCACTACCCCTGCGTCAAACCCTCTCTGCAAGGACTTCCTTGGGCATGCAGAGATATAAATGTGTACTTGCGGTAGTAATACCTGGCCACACACAGACACCTAACCCTGGTGTTGGAGTCCCCAAGATAGGAGAGTAAGGCAGCCGGGAAGAAGGTTTAGAAGGAACTTTCCAATAAACCTGTGCCACAGGGATAAGGAGGGAGGAACACAGACCGCATAGCTGGCCATTCTAGAGGCATATCGTTAACAAGGGATAGTTACCTGCTGACGCGTCCGAGACCCGGCTCTGAGTTCTTCCATCCTATGAGGTTTCCACTGATCTTTTTTGGGCTCAGGAGTTACGCTTGCGGTCCTTCGGGTATGTGAACCCCGAGCGGACAACCTTAAGATCAAACAACCTTTCGGTGCATACGCTTGAACGTGGATCCATACGGAAAATGAATCCACTGAGAACCCTCAAGGTGCATCGAGATGCGTCCGAACATGCAATGGTACTGCAACGGAGGCGGCGGAATTGGTCCTGGAAAGCTTTGCCCAGGTCATGCTGGCCCCTTACCCCTATTCCAGCAGGTTAGATGGGCTGATTACTCAAAGCTTATTACGCCGCCTAAAACAATCATGTTTTCCCGGCGGACTAAGGCCGTCATTTTGTGCCCAAATGTTAGGGTCTTGTTAGGGCTTCGATGGTTCGTCGTGTTCTCACCGGGATCGAGCCTCGAGGAACTTTCTAGTCTGAGAGGTCGAAATGGGGTGCCCTTAATGATTGGCGGAAGGGACTTTCACGATAATCCAACGGACGCATGAATTTAAGTTTGTTTCGGGATGTTGTTGAAAGTGGTAGGTAACCGGGCGTCAAGGATCACAAGAAGAAGCTTGTCTTGTGAGGTAAGATAGAAGTCCTCGGACGACTCGAGGTTCCGGGGATGATATTAATAGAGCTCGCAGCAAGGAGTTACCAATAGGGGTTCAACCCACAAGATTGCTAGAACCTGGTTAGGTTCTTAACACACCCGTCTGCGCAAAACCGCAATATCATTTGCCAGGGACAGTTCTTACGTCGATCTTCTCATACTCTCGGCCCCGAGCCTTCACAACTCGGTCCGGCACCATGGGTACTCGATGCAGCCTCTCTGCGAGTCTATTACTCAATGCCATGTCAGACGGACAACGGGTTTAGGTTTGAAGGAGCGAGGGCGCCCCCTCCCGTTTGTCGAGTCTCGTTCTCTCTATAAGACTGCTCGAACCTCGACGTTCTCTGCTTCCCTTTCCCTCCACTACTCTCCCAGCCTAGACTTGTCTTCCCGTCTCAGACTTGTTCCCACATCACTCTCAACCTAAACACAATGCATCTCTCCATCGGAAACGTCGTCGCAACCGGCCTGGCACTAGCCAGCACCGCCAGCGCCGCTGGAATCAACATCCACAACTGGTCAGCCCCTCATCAACAATACGGAACCCCATGCTAACCCCATCAACAGGTGCAACCAGCCAATCTACTTCTACCAATCGACCAACGGCGGCTGCGACGCCGGCGCCTCGGGCCAATGCCACTCCAACCCCTACACCGTGCAGCCCGGCGCGACGCTCACGCAGCTCTGGGTCAACAGCGGCTCTGGGACGAGCCTGAAGCTAGCCAAGGACGCGTCGTTCCAGGCCGGGATCCTGCAGTTCGAGTACGCGCGCCCGCCAGACGGCCTGTACTGGGACCTGAGCGACCTGGACGGGGCCGGCGCCGGCGTCGTGGGGTCGCCGTTCCGCGACGACAACGTCAAGGTGTCGCCGACGGGGGCCGGGGCCGGGCAGGGGAACTGCACGCCGCTGCGCTGCCAGGGCGGGCAGACCTGCCGCGAGTCGTTCCAGAGTCCCGATGATGTCAATACGCGCTGGTGCCCGGCGGATATAGGGGACTTCTGGATCGATCTTTGCCAGCCTGATGGTTCGTTCTGGAACTAAGGGGTCGCGCCGGGGGTGGATGATGGGCCGGCTGGAGGTCTCTGGCTAAGGCGGGCTGTTAGTCGGCGATTTTTGCGTTGTGTGACGAGATCTAACCCTAAGTCGTTCATTTTGGTGTCGGGGGCCCTTGGTGGTGGGTTTGATGTATCGTGATATTTCCTCTTTCTAGACGATTGGGTTTCGATTTTGGTTCGCATTGTACTTGTACACGGATGTGCGTTCCAGATAAAAAGTCGACAAGGGATCCAGTGTGTTTCTCTAGAAAAATCGTCTTAGGTTCGAGAGTCAGTTCCAATAACACCTCTTCGGGTATACTCACAAGTTGTAACACAGTGATCCATCTCCTAGTGTATGTTCGCTCCTGATTCCTAGCATGAAAATTAACTGGCAGTACGGAACAAATTCCCCAAAAGACCGCCAAAACTCGACGTAGGTAACTAAGTATGTGCACCTTCCCGGTGACCTTTTCTCTAGCCCATCCACCTACTCCGTTACATAGAAATGCCATAATCGTCGCTATGCTGTTCCGCCGCCCGCCGTTATTTTCCCATACGCCATGTACAGATGCAAACGCCAGTGGACCCGTGTTACCAGCCTACTACTACTCATCCCTCCCGGCAAGCCACGCCCTCCCCTTCAGCATCTCGATAACGCTATCCCGCATCCACCACCTACTCTCCCCCACAGAAGCAACCTCCATCTCGGCTCCGACTCCCCTCGTCTCCTCGCCCTCCTCAACCCCAACCTCAACCCTCTTCTTCCCCTTCCCCTTTCGACTTCCCCCCTTGACCGCCCCACCTTCAGTCCCCCCTCTCAGCCGCAAGGCCCGCGTATCAGCCCACTCAAACAGCAACCTAAGCCCGAGCAACCTATCCCTGGACCAACCCCCCAACCCATCCTCAAGTACAAGCCTCGCGTCCACAGCCGTCGACGCCGCGTCCCCCTCCCCGACACCACCCCCGCCCGACAGCCGATCCAGTACAAGCGCCCTCTCGGCATGCGCCAGGCCCGCCAGCGCCGGCAGCCGGAACACCCACTCGAGCGGGTCATCATGGCGGCCGCGGCCGCCTCCTCCCTCGGCGTCAGCGGAGATGGGGCGGCCGAGGGCCCGCAGCGTCGCCTGGAAGGGGCTATCGTGCGCGGGCCTGCGGCGGAGGAGCAGCGACTGGTTCGTGCGGAACGCGTCGACGAGCCCGGGCCTACGCGCAAAGTCCATGTCCAGGTCCCAGTAGCCCTGCGCCGAGGCGTCGGTGCGCACCGATGCCACGTCCTCGAGCGGCGGGAGGAGGCAGGGGGTCTGCCGGCGGAGCACGCTGCTGCTGCTGCTGCTGCTGATGTCCGCCTTTGCTCCGGCCATGGTGGACGTCGCCGACGGGGAGTCGGGCTTGAGGCGGATTAGGATGGGCACGCTGATGGGCTCGCCGGTGGCGAAGTCCTTGGTGACGAGGCAGCGCGGGTCGGTGGCGAGCACCCAGAAGTGCCGGAACGCCTGCAGGTGCGAGCGGTTGTCCTGGATGCTTGCGGGGAAGATGGGATAGAAGGCGACGAGGAGCGACGCGATGGCCAGGTTGCTCGTCCCAAAGGTCATGGTGCCACAGCCGAGAAAGAGGGCCCCGATGGCTATGTGGGCCGCGAAATGGCTGCCGTACGTAGTGGTCGCATCGTCGCGGCCGTGCAGAGCCCGAAGCCTCCGGAGGACGACCAGGTCGCCCGTCCCTGCCATCACGGTGGCGCAGGAGAGCGCCAGCAGGTCCATACACATGCGCACGTTGCTCCTCGCCATCTCGACGTCGAAATTGCTGGATGGCAGCCGAGCTAGTCGCATGAACTCGTCGAGGTAGTGGACTAGCAGGTCCCGGACTTTGATGTTGGCCGATCCGGCAAAGCGGAGGGCGATGGCAAAGCAGAGGCCGGCAAGGATGGAGAAGAAAGCCAAGTCCTTGCTCTCGAGCTTAGCCACGTTCTTGAGACGATGGCGCCAACGGTACTCGCGCGGGAGATTATCTCTGATCCATCCAAACTCGGGCTCGATCATGCTCCACAAGACTAGGTTCTTTGCCACCGTCCTCAGCAGGAGGATGTCCGGCCGGACGTAGTCGAACTGCTGTATCGAATCCGGCACGTCGACCTTGCGGGCAACGATGTGGTCTTCTGACTTCATGAAGATCAGGGCAATCGCCACCACTGCCCCCGCCGCGGATCTATCGAGGACGTGGACGAGCTCGACCTTCTTAGTCGAGGTGGCGATGGTGAGTAGCTTCTCGGTTAGCCGCATGTCGTGTAGGCCCTTTAGGTCTGTTCCCTTGCCGAGGTTGATGAAGCCCAGGGCGAAGCCGGAAGCCAGCCTGTAGCCCTCGTCGCGCAGGGGGTCCTCCTCCTCCTCGTCATCGACATGATCGATTTCCGACATCATAATCTCGCTCATGCGCCGGTGCTGACTGTTGCAGTAGACCAGACCGATCCCCATGATGCCCGTTGTCTGGGTATGCTTGGAGAGGTTGAGCTCCGCGGCGCCCCTGGGGAGCATTCGGGTGACGTGGACAGAAAGCAGGCGCGTGATCAACGAGTCCATGGTGCCGATATACGAGGCTGCCAAGCCCAAAAGCAGCCCGATGGAGGTCATGGTGTGCTTCGGTGTGAGATACTTGAAAGCAACCCACTTAGCAACAGACTTCAGATGGCCGTTCAAGCCCAGGGCGAGAAGAAAGCCCGCATGCCGGTGACTTAGATCCTGTCCAGGCTTGTTGTACAGAATCCACGACGTATCGATGCCCTTGGCATGTGGGGAGATGGCCAGCCCGCCCGCGACTCCCTGGTGGAAGAAGGCCCAGTTGATCTTCTCCTCGGTGCAGAGCGACTTGTCGACGCCGACCGTCACATTCGTCGGCTTGACAATGCATGTCAAGTTGAACCCTCCAATGTGGAACTTCTGCGTCAGCAGTGGGAACTTGAGGCCGTAGTATAGCAAGCCACGGCCAGGCGGGATTGCAAGCGTGCTCGTAGCCATTGTTACTGCCAGCTCCTTCTGCTTCTCCAAATACTCGGACTCTGACCAGCCCGGCTGTGCATTTAACCGCACAATACGTGACTTGTGAGTTCCCAATAGGTTCTGTGCCTCGCTGAGTCTCCGGTCATCCTTGAACAGCGCCAGGATGACAGCCTGCCGTGCTGTTCCTCCGCTCTCATCAAATCCCGTGCTGGTATAATCGTCCACGGTCTGGCACAGTACGCGGAAATCCCACGTGGCCTGGTGCGTCGGGGTCTGTCCTCTTGTCAGGGAGAACTAAAAAAAAAGAAAAAAAAAGAAAACATGGTAAGGTGGAGATGCCTGCGATGACTTACAAGAACGTTCACCGTCTTCACACGATTGCTGGGCTCAAGAATTGAGCTTATATCGGTTCGGTTGACAAGCTTCAGGAGATGTTCCGGCCACGTCGAAGGCGGATTCGGCTGGCACATGAACACGGCATCTTGCAGCGGGGTGAGGACAGCCTCGGGAAGCGACTCGAGGATGCGAGGCGTGAAGCCGCACTCGTATATGGCTTCCACGATTTCGCGGTGGGTGCTTGCCGGAGTAAGACTCTTGAACAGCTTCGCAAACATGAGCGTCCGTGGAGTAATAGAGTCCCACACATGCGACCGTGGATTGTTTTCAGTCGTGATACCCGTTGCTGCCTCATACACCTCTGCTAAGGTCATGAAGTCGCTGCCTTGTTCCGTGGTGAGCTGAGCCTGAATCCAGTTGTAAATACAATACTTGACAGGTGGCTCCGGGAGAGGAGGGCTGAGGCCGAGGTCTACAGAGTGAATCAGCATGAATAGTAGGGATAGACGCTGACGCTGATATCTTACCGAACTGGGTGGGAGGTAGCTCTGCCTGGAGGCCGAGATCATACAGCGCCGCATACTCCCTCCACCCCAGCCACCGGGCAATCTGAGAAAGAATGGTCCGCAAGTCGGGCTGGCCGGGAGACAAGTCTTCCGAGGACATGATATTAAGCTTCTGCTCTTCAAGATGGAGGTGGAGTGCCAGCATAATGCTCCAGGCTGCACTTCTCTGCTCCCCTGGAGACCTGCCAGCCGCCGTGGCAAGGGTTCCTTGAAGCCCTAGGGCCGACTGGCCGGGAGGGGAAGCGAGGAATTGCTGCGCAAGCTTGACGTGGACCGAGATGAAATCATTACCGCTGACGCTCGGGTCGCCCGGGGCGACTCTCGGCTCAAGCAGACCTTCGTCGAGCGCCCATTGCCAACCCTTGGTGCGCACCCACACCGGGCTTGCTGCCGAGTTTGGAGTCTCATGGGCCTGCATGGCTGCCCAGTTGCTGGACGGGGTCGTATGAGTGGTATCGGGCACCGGGTTGGCGACCGGGACTAATTTCTGGGGATCCCCAAGTGACAGGAAACTCGCAAATAGCAAGATCACGATAGATGACCACTCCAAAGAGGTGGCGGCGGGCTCGGCCCCTTTCCGCCACTGCATGACATGCCACCAGCCGGCGACCATCTTCTCTCCAAATGCGGCTGGCAGTATGCTCCGGCAGACATCCAGTACCATCTTGGCCTGCAAAGACCTTGGCCGGAGCTGGATCCTGATCCTATGGGACCTCTCCTCTCGGTCAAGGACATCGACAACACCGCCGGTCTTGGGATGCAAGAGCGCCTTGATCTGAGCGCCGGGAATTCCGACCCCAATCGACCTTCGACTCTTAGCTTCCTTGTTGACGTGTCTGCCAGAGTAATCGAGGCTGTCAATGTTGTCGTTGAACAGTAGCGGCAGTACTATTGTCGTCAGGGGGCTCCAAGGTGCTTGGAGGCTGAGTTCCCGCTGGCCGCTCTTGTCTTCCGATAGGATGAGTATCATCGACCCATTACCGTCAACAATCTTGCAGGAATCAACCACGCTCTGTGCCCTCCTCAGCTCACCCCAACTGACAGCAAGGCGATCGGGTTTCGCTTTTCGAGTGCTAGGGCGGGCCGGGGGATCGCCTTGTTTACTGGTCTCGACGGTAAAGGTGAGCAGCTGGAGTCTCTTGTCTAGAGGGTCTTGGATCCCGACGAGAAGCTGACTTCTTCCCTGCTCGTCTGTCGCACATGGGCCTCCGAGCATGACAAAGACCTTGCACTGCTCTCTGGCAGGCTTATTGGACATCGAGTACCTGACATTCGTGTTGTCCATGGCAACACTGTGTATTTTGGTCAGGAGAATCTCGTGGGCGAGGCCATCAAAGTCATGATCATCCAAGTCCATGCTGTGAAAGCCCTCAAAATCCCCTCCTGCGCGGAGCTCGCCCAACAGCGTGTCCACGGGGGCCTCGGCTAGGCTGTTAAGGCTGTGGTTGAAGGCGCCACCAAAGTTTCCTCCGTAGCCGCCACTGGGACGACCACGTTGGCTACTTTGAGAGTCGACTCTTCGCCCGTGGGCCGATATCGCCGGCTGATCGACGAAAGTTGACCTGTCCTGGGAGGCGGATAAATCGGCTCTCGCAAGAAGGGAGCTGACCCTACGGGATTGCCGACGAGTGACCTCGCCTCCCTTCTCGGGGTCCAACGAGCTTAGAGCCGTGTCCAAGGGCTTGTCTGCCTTGTCATTCTTCCTCTGCCTCTTCCCGGGCAGAGGCGCCCCAAAGCTCTCCCTGAAACTCGGCTGCGTGGGGGCACCGCTGGCGAGTCCAGGGGGCATTGAGCTCCGTCGCCGAGCAGCCCGACGCTTGGCATCCTTCTGCCTCGCAGTGAAGATGTCTTCTCTAGGAAGATAGGCCATTCTCCAGACACTGTACATGCTCGTCTCTCGGTTGACAGTCACGGCCAGTATTAGACCATCTTCCTCCCCCTTCTTGCTTCGTGGAGGCAGCTTGATGGATTCAATATGGAGTATTTCCTCGGCCGGGTCGAGGAATGGCGACCTCGCAGAGCTTTTCCGCCGGCCAGCGACGTTCAGTTTGTCAGGCTGTGTAACGACCAATCCAAGCTCCAGTAGCGGATCCGTCAAGCACACTATTCGCGGCCAGTGGGAATCAGTCGACTCAAGTGGTGCCTGCCACATATTCTCGAGAGTGGAAGTCAGCCTCAGCGGCAAGGTCCTGGGCTTGCCCAGCCCTTCCGTCGAAAATGTCCCGATCTGGGAGCCAGGCTGGGAGAACAGCGAGGGCTGTGACGAGACAAAGGAATTGGGAGGAACTCGGGGGAACTTGAGGGAGACGGCCGACATGTTGTCCGTTTTCGACTTGCGCTGTATGAGAACACCACAGGGGGCAGCACAGGCAGCCTCAACCTCAAATGGCATGTGCACGATATGGTTGGTTCCCGAGAGGAAATAGATGTGGGCTTGGGTCTTCAGGAACACTACCAATGCCCTGGAGAGCAGGTGGCGGTCACTGGGGACCTCTGTGTTCTTCCCATCCATCCCACTCTTCCTATCGTGGGAGGCATCGCGAGTATTGGGGCTATTAATCGGGTTCTCGTCCGAGGTTGGGAAGTATGTCAGCAGCGCCTGAGTGATGGGCTCTTTCTCGAGATCGAACTTGAAGGCCTTGCGAAAGACCCCGCCTCGGGACCAGATGACGCATGTTTTGGTTGTCAATAGCTCGTCCTCATAGACTTCTTCGTTCCGACCGTCAACATCGACACCAACACCAACGTCGATTTCCCAGGTATAAGAGGACGGCGATGGATCGGATGGGAGGATCTGCTCCTCAATTGCATAGGCCAGGCCAGTGGGCTGGTGAACCCCAAGGGAAGTCACCGAAGCCATCAATGGCTATGTGATCCATAAGAGATCTTAGCCAGGAGTTTCGGCATGAGGAGGAGCAGAGTAATGGTTGTGGCAATGTCTAAGCTGCGAAAGCTACTGTCGAAATTTACTCCAGGGGTTGCGCGTGTGGACGCGTTGATCACAAGGCTGTACGTACTTTCCCCAAGAAAATGGCGGGGCAGGCTCTCATTGGTGGAAGCTAAGCAACCTACCCCTGCAAGGCTTCGGTAGGATCTATGCGTAGCGTCAATGCGCTAGGGCCACGGCGGCCAAAGCTCTGACGTAGCTTCATCACACGACAAGGTTGCAAACTATCCCTGAAGATTCCCCTGTTAGTCGCGGCAACATGTCCCCTATGTGGACATTCTCATCAAGATGACAACAGTGTCGCCGGAAGCTGGCGACAGCGACGAAAGTCTGGAATCGACGCCAACAACGCCAGCTGCGGATGCGTCTGCCTCTGGCCCTACACGAACAGAGCTCGATACTGAGAGTCGATCCCAAGAAGGGCATGGTGACGCTGGAGAATCGAATGAGGAGGCAGGGGAGAGCGCCGAAGAGGAAGAGGAGGATGAGGAAGAAGGAGATGGGGATGGAGATGGGGATGGAGATATGGATGAAGGCGAGGAGGACGAGGGAGACGACGATGATGAAGACGACGAAGAGGAAGAGCCGCAGCTCAAGTACGCCAGACTGACCCAGAACCTAAGTGCTGTCTACCGGAATGGCGATGCGACGAGCTCTTTCTTGGTTGCAGGCGACAAGATGGTAAACCACGTTGCTTCCACGTGTGGGGTGCCCAATTGCTGATGAAGTCGCAGATCATCGGAACCCATAATGGGAATATCGTAAGCCTTGTGAAGCCCCATCTCAGTATTCTTCTGCTAACTCCAACTAGAATGTCCTACAACTCCCGCTATTCCAATCCTTGAGAGTCTATCACGCGCACTCTGCCTCGGTTACCTCAGTCTCGATATCCCCCTACCCCCCGCCGCTCCCTAAGCTCAAGCCTGATGCCGCCGCCCGAGTGGTGTCGCAGGCGACGAATAGCCCTCTTCGACCCGCAACTCGGGGATCCGAAGCTCAACCGTCGCCAGTGGCAGCAAGTAGGAAGCCGAAAGGACCGCCCGCAGTTCCAAATATCCCGTCAAACAACATATATGTGGCGACATCGTCGATGGATGGCAACGTATGCGTGCAATCCCTAATAGACATAAAGGATGTCTCGCTTCGGAATTTTGCAAGACCAGTCCAGGCTGTGGCTCTCTCGCCGGACTATAAAAATGACAGGTCCTACCTCTCTGGTGGCCTGGCCGGGCAATTGGTGTTGACCACTGCTGCGCCGCCGGGACGGAGTACGTCCACAACGACCGGGACCGCCGCGGCCGCCGCTGGTTGGCTTGGCAGCGTCGGGCTGGGTTCGAACACGGGGAAGGACACCGTGCTTCACTCTGGCGAGGGGACTGTATCCACCATCAAGTGGTCGCTGTCCGGAAAATACGTTGCTTTCGCCAACGAGCATGGAGTCTGGATATGGAGAACGGGGCTCCACCTCGAGAGCTTTGAGGCTGAGGACTCGTGGACAAGAATCGAGTACGGCCACGTTGATCGGCCACAGACGGCAGAATGGGACACCATGGCTAGCGTCTGGAAGGCGAGACTCGAGTGGATCGACGAGACTGCCGTCGAGTCTGAGGACCGTGACGAGCCGACGGATCCTCCAGCAAGCTCCCCGGCTGCTCTGAGACTCAGGCAGCAGCACGTTCAAGGCAGCAGGAGGAACGAGAGACTCCTGATTGGGTGGGGAGGGATCCTTTGGTTAGTCAATGTCAAGCCGGGCGGCATTGGGGTTGGGACGAACGTGGGCGAAAGGTCCCGCGCCAGTGCTCAAGTAATTCGAAAGTATGTGCCGTCTTGCTCCTTTAATGTCACCCAACTGACCACAAGTCCAGACTCCGCATGGATTGCATCATATCCGGCATCTCGTTATATACCCAGAATCTTTTGTTAGTCCTTGCTTACTGTTTGCCCGAGGAGGAGGAGGAGGAGGAGGAGGAGGAGGAGGAGGAGGAAGAGAGAAGGCCGCGTGGGCACAAGCACACCTCATCTACTGCTTCAGCGGGAAGTGAGCCCGCGGGCGGCATACGGCGGTCACAGAACAACCTGCGGCCTGAACTACGGCTCATCGACTTGACGTCAGAGACCGAGACAGCCATGGAAAGCCTTACCGTTAGCCGTTTTGAGCGCCTCAGCGCGGGAGATTACCATCTCGGGGTCCTGCCTGCTCAAAACGTTGCCTCGTCGGTTGTGACAACGCGTGGGGCACTGGAGACGCTTGCTGGTTTCGGCACGGACATGTGGAATGTTGCCATCAACCCCAAGTCTCTCTTCAACTCGGGTGCGAGCATCAAGAGTAGAGACAGCAACGACGGGGGGTCAAGTTCGAGGGTCGCCAGTACCGCTGGGAGCATGCTGGCTTCCCAACGATCTGGAAAGAACTCTGTCCATCCGAATCTCCTCAAACCCGGCATCAAGATCTTCATTCACAGTCCCTACGATTGCATACTCGCCACCAAAAGAGATCTGGCTGACCATTACGTCTGGTTACTGGAGCGCGAACAATACCAGCAAGCGTGGGAGCTGGTCGACCAACATCCCGAGATCTTGAGCGCCGCGGAGAAGCTGCCCGAGCTCGCCCAAGGGACTCCGGAGAGAAGCCAAGGCTCCGATGACTTCTACGAGGAGACAGCGTCGGTCGTTGATGAGACGCGTAACTTCTACTCGTCGGCAGAGAAGGAGAAGAGACGGGTTGGCGAGCTGTGGGTCCAAGAACTCATCGAGGCCGGCGACTGGACCCGCGCCGGCCAGATCTGCGGCAAGGTCCTGGGGTCGCCCGACAGGTGGGAAAAATGGGTCTGGACCTTTGCCGGGGCGAACAGGTTCGACGAGATTGCGAACTACATGCCGACACAGCCGCTGCACCCGCCGATACCTGGGACCATATATGAGGTCGTTCTGGGGCATTACATCCAGACGGACAAGCCGCGCTTCCGGGACCTGCTAGAGCGATGGTCCACCGAGTTGTTCGACCTCAACACCATCTCGACCGCCCTGGAGGACCAGCTCAAGTACCGCGATGTGCGGGAAGATAGCGTCGACGACGGAGAGATTGGGAGAGACTGGCGCATCGTGATGGAGAGCCTCGCGAGACTTCACGAGGCGAACGGCCGAAACAGGGAGGCTCTCAAATGCTACATCAAGCTCCAGGACGCCGACTCGGCCATGCGCCTGATCAAGCAGTCGCACCTCGCCGATGCCGCCGCCGACGACATCCCGGGCTTCTTTGCCCTGCGCGTGCCGCAGGATCGGGTCGGCAAGATGAGCAGGGCCGAGCTCGAACAAGCCACCCAGGAGGCCGTCACTCTGCTGGTAGACGAAGCCCAGCACGGGCTAGTCAAGCCGGCGGTGGTGGTCTCTCAACTGCAGGAGAAGTCGCTGAAACTCTACATCTTCTTCTACCTCCGCGGCCTGTGGAGGGGCGAGGGCATCATGGAGCACAGCGGCCAGTTCCGCGAGCGGCTCGTCTCCGACAGCAAGTCCCTGGTCGACGACTTTGCCGACTTGGCGATCCATCTGTTTGCCGTGTATGATCGGTCGTTGCTAATGGACTTTTTGAAGTCCTCGACGGCCTACGCATTCGAGAAGGTACGTTTTCTCTGCTCTCGCCGACTTGCTGCCTGCTAACCTTCTCACCAGGCCACCCAAGAATGCGAGTCCCTGAACTACATCCCCGAGCTGGTGTACCTGTACTCCAAGACGGGCCAGATGAAGCGGGCGCTGTACCTCATAATCGACCGGCTCGGCGACGTGTCGCAGGCGATCGCGTTCGCCAAGGAGCAGGGCGACCCGGACCTGTGGGAGGACCTGCTCGACTACAGCATGGATAAGCCGCGCTTCATCCGCGGGCTTCTCGAGGAGGTCGGCACGGCCATCGACCCCATCACGCTGGTGCGCCGCATTCCCGAAGGCCTCGAGGTGGCGGGACTGCGCGAGGGCCTCAAGCACATCATGAAGGAGCACGAGATCCAGTACAGCATCAGCTCGGGCGTCGCGCGCGTCCTGCGCAGCGAGGTCGCCGCCGCGCAGAACCTGCTGCGCGACGGGCAGCGCAAGGGGATCAAGTTCGAGCTCGCCATCGAGGAGCAGGAGCTTCACGCCGATGGGGCGAAGGAGCCGAAGGGCAAGGGTGATAAGCAAGGGGTTGATGAGGCCGAGACCAGCGAGGCAGGCCCCGGCACCGCAGACGGTGAGGCGGACGGCCGGGAATCCCACAAGCCCAAGCCGGCAGCGGCGCCGAGGAAGTGGCAGCCCGGCCACTGCGCGCAGTGCCTCGGGCCGTTCACGGAGTGGGAGGCCGAGACGCTCGTGGGCTTCATGTGCGGCCACGTGTTCCACCTCGCGCACCTGATGGAGAAGCTCCACCCGGGCGAGCCGGTCGACGCGGACCTCCTCGCGGGCGGGGTGGCCGGGGATGCGCCGGCGAGGGGGTATCACGTCGGGCCCAAGGTCACGAGGGCGAGGTTGCTTAGGGATCGCATACGGGGAGGGTGTCCTGCCTGTACGAGGAAGGCTTCTATACAATAACTAGATTGATCCGGGCTCAGGGGTGGATGCCCTGCTGTTTGCAGGAGCAATGCCTCTAGCAGCCCGGAGGGATCCGTCTCCTGAGACGTGCCAGCATCAACTTTGGAAGTCGAGTTACCCACCCCCCTGTATATGCCAATTTTGAACCACAACCCATGCAAGATTTTCCACGGCCAGGCATTGTGATGTCTACACCGAAGGGAAGGTATTGTGCAACTCCCAAACGAAGATGTAAAAGGCAAAGCCAACCTGCGACCCTCCCATTCCCCATCTAATTTTCCCCGAATCCGACCCCTGAAATCTATCCCAAACTCCGTCAAAAAAATTCCGCACCAGTCCCATCCGATCAACGGTATATCATCCAGACAGGGCTCAACCCTCAAGCCCCAGCAACGGGGGCACCAGGCCTCCCGTAGACAGGCTCGGACACACGGGTGCGCACCTGCTGCCACCCCACCCAGGCCCCACCACCGCCGCCGTCACCGTCGCCCGGGCCAGCGGTCGGCCGCAAAGCCCCGTTCCCGGTCCCGGTCGGGCGCAGCCCCGTCGGCCAGGGGACGGCTGTCCCGGTGGGGATGGTCGTCGGCGTGGAGTCATGGTGGTGGTGGTTGTCGCGGTTCAAGATGTAGCGGCCGCTGGCTAGGGGGCCTGCGGCGGCGAGGAGGGTGAGGATGGCGGCTGTTGCTTTCATTGTGGCGGGTGGGTTGGGTTGGGCTTTGGGGCAAAAGTAAATGTGGTGGAGTGATTGATGAATGAATGTAATCCGACTTTGGGTTGCTAAGACGGGGATGATGGAGGTGGAGGAGGAGGAGAAACTCTGGAAGAGGTTTGTGGTTGGGGTAAGGGTCGGGATTTATATGATATCTTGGTTGCTGGGCTACACATATTTTCGCAGGCTTGACATGACCGAGTCTAGACCGACAAGTTTGGTCTATGTGACGGTCGATCTCGTTGGCCCTCTATAGATCCCCACTGGATAGACATGTTTTATGGATCAATAACCATCTCGGTGGTAGTTGGCATGTCTGACGTGCTTCTAGGCCCAGAAGAATCTCCACTGAGCCCCTTTTTCGGTCAATATCGAGTCAGAATCGAGGTGGAGATTTGATGATCTATAAGTGGGAACTAGCGGTATCTGTTTGTTTGAAACGAAACTAGAGTGATGTGAGGGTGTGAGCACAATGAGGTGAAAAGAGGTTGTTGAGCCGCGCTACAAGTGCGAGTGCGAGTCAGGGGTAGGGTTCCACAGGATGCGCAATCCTCCACGTACTTCTCTGAAGGAGAGATCCAACGCCGTATGCATATCTCGTAGTAGAGGGATTTTTTTCTCGACATGTGTGGGGCGATGTCACAATTTGGAACCTGGTCAACTCCCACGTCATTGCCAGCACTAGATCTACCAGGCGTTAGGGCGGTATTCTTCAACAACGATAAGATTAAGAACTATTCGCTCCTACCTATGTAGTAGGCGTTAAAGCTTGGCCGCCTGATACGGGAAAGAGATAATAATCCTTTGCTCCAATAAACGTTTCAAATTCCCAATACGATATTGATTACTGCGCCTCTCTTCAAACCAAAGATATAATCGTGCTCTGCATTGAGTTCCTATAACGCAGTTCTGAAGGTTTTATAGAGTTTTAAGTAGTCTACCTTGTATCTGTGTATTCTAACATTCTCCCGTCAAAAACCGGAACAAATCGGTTCTACAATAACTGGCATCAATAGCACGACGCTTTGGCCAAGGTTGTTGGAACTTTCTCCTACCTGCTTTGGATCCTCTGGCCTATTAACACGACAAGGAGCAAACGTAACCTCGAGTATTCTTCAGAGTTATGGCATGTCGCTACTTACTAGATCTAAATATCGACGTTTCAATTCGGCATCGTGTTCGAAAGTAAAACAACCCTGGGCTTATGGCATGTGAATTACAGCTTCACGAGTGGCTCTATGGGAGCGGAGCAACTAGTAACTCGAAGATTGGACTAGAAGCTAGAACTAGGTAGAACACCTTATCCCGCAGTATTACGCTTGAGGAAATAAGGAATTCAGGTCAAAGATTGGCCATTGGAAGAAGAAAATAGTCGCGGAGACACTAATATATATTCGCCTGCCTTAGCCAGTTGAAGAACACAACTGGGGACCTTTGCATGAAACACCGTTTCATAAACTCTTAGGTGGTTATGCACCTGCATCTCCGGACCATGGGGCCATTTCAGCGGCAATATAATCTATACCCGTAGTCCAGAGGCTACCTGAAGTCCCTGCCATCCTGCCAACATATACTATATGTAAGGGGATATCCTGAGGTTCGAGCGGGGAGTTCTTCTGACGACTACCAACCTTCACATCCTCTGGTTGGGCAATCGCATTTTCGAGCGAGAGTCATGGGGCTTCAGGCTTCCTGCAACTTTTTCGGCATTGGAGTGCCAAGCAAGAAGGGGCCAGGTCCCAAGAGGGGTCAGTGAGAAATGCAAGATGGTTGGACAAAACGGTCGTCCTCCTCGCATCTCTTGTAACAGTCACGCTCCAAACCGGCATCGCGCTGTACAGACCCGTACTTTTGCGCTGCAATACCGGCACTAGTTCTGCAAGGCAATGGAGTCGTAGTGAGCCGTCAGCCTGTGATAGCTGCATCCCCTAAACGGTAGGCTTGCATCCGCTTGGACACTGCATGCGGTTATGCCGCTTCGGGGCCTGATCCGCGGATCTGGCATGCTGGTGGCCGGACGCTGCCCGCCCATAAATAGGTACTCGTCGGGGCGAACCGCTTCCCGCCCCTAGCTTGCCTCCTCATCATTGCTTTAAAAATTAGCTACAATGTCGCACAACGAAGCCGCTTCGAAACCCGGGGAACGAGTCCCTCCCAAGGACAAGGCGACTACTGGCATTCTTCCGCCGCATCATTGGGCTGAACAGGTAAACACTTGACCCCGTCTGAAGCACTTATTTAGGCACCTAGTTTAGTCATTGATATCTACTAGGAGGACGATGACGACAACGACTCGGCACTTGGCGACGACAAAGCTAGCTCAACCGCCTCTCTCACCTCTTCCATCATCCAGTACAGGACCATTCACGGCCGCACATTCCATAGCGGGAGAGGCAACGCACAGTACCGGTATTTGAGGTCCTCTTCTGCTTCTTACTCGCCTCGCTTAACACTCGCAAGGGCATCTAACGACGACCAACAAAATGAGTCGCAGGACATCAAGTGAGACAGCCCTGGTTAACCGCCAAGAGAGTCGCTGATATCTGTAGTCACCATGCAATGACCCTCGCGCTCGGGGGCAAGCTCTACCTAGCCCCTCTGAAGAAGGATATCAAGGTACTCTCATCTCTTCCAGCCGAGCCACAATGGGTTGCTAATCACTGATATTAGACTGCGCTCGACGTAGGGACCGGCACAGGTTCGAGAAGCACTGATAAAGCCGAATTTTATAGAGTTAACCTTGCATAGGGATCTGGGCTATGTACGAACCATTCTGGCACTGAGCAGGCAACCACTTACACATCACCAGTGACTTTGCAGATGAATTCACCCAGGCTGAGGTCATCGGCACCGACATCTCACCGATTCAGTCCCCCTGGGTCCCTCCAAACGTGAAATTGTAAGCCCCATATCTCCATTTCCCCAAAGCGCCATCAGCACTCAAAACCCACTTCTCTCCTCCCCAGTGAAATCGAAGACTGCACCCAGAGCTGGACCTTCCCACCCAACCACTTCGACTACGTCCACATGCGCTGGCTCCTGGGCAGCATCGACGACTGGAACGCCCTCTTCAGGAGCGCCTCCGCCTGCCTCCGCCCCGGCGCCTGGCTCGAGAGCTTCGAGATGTCGGCCCTGATGGAGAGCGACGACGGCTCCGTCACCGACCGGACGGCCATGGGCCAGTGGGGCAAGTTCTTTGTCGAGGGCGGGCGCAAGTGCGGGCGGTCGTTCACCGTCATCCAGGACGGGCTGCAGCGGAGGGCTATGGAGGCTGCTGGGTTTGTGGATATACAGGAGCATGATATGAAGGTAGGCCGGTTTCTTTTTTTGTGGGTGCGTGATATGTTACGGGTAAGGCAGGGTTAACAGTGCTGCAGATGCCGATTGGGAGCTGGCCCAAGGACGAGAAGAGGAAGGAGATGGGTCAGTATGCACAGCTTGTGCTGGAGCAGGATTCGGAGGGCTATGTGCTGTTTATGGCAAATACGCTGGGCTGGAGTAGGGAGGAGATCTTGGTTTATATCGCAAACCTCAGGCGCGAAGTGCGCTCGAGCAAGTATCATGGGTATTACAGACAGAAGGTCGTCTGGGGTAGGAAGCCCGAGTCGCCCTGAGCGTGGGTGCTCATGAGTATCCTCAAAGGATCGTAAGAGTTCAGCAGTGTAGTAATGGGACTGATGGGAAGATGAGAGGGTGATAGGGAAGCTATACATACTATAGTTGAACTAGAACCAACCCTCTTACCTTCTGCAAATAGATTCATCCAATTTTTGGCTATGTTATCAATACACGACTTCTCCTAAAGCCTCCACAAACCAGACCGGTACTTCGACTGATTCCACTCACACTGACATGACATGTTGGCCCTTGTGTGACTGTGCCCATCTTCCCACGCCAGAGGAGAGAAGGGATTAGTCATCACATTTCACAGCACCTATATACTTGAATAAAAGGCCTGCCGAACCCCACATTCTGCCAGTTCCTACATGCGTAGCTTCCATCCCCGTGTCTCACTTGGGAGCCAAGTTATGGAAACTATCGCCGACGAAGGAAATACCCCTGAGCAAGATGCACCAGCACCTGTACGGATATTAGTCCAGACCAGGACGCACCTCGTGCCGGGTGACAAATATCACGAAAGATGCAGGTTAATGAGAAACCTCATCTGCCAGCAACAATGGAACCGTGATTTCGACCCTCAACAAGACCGCTGGTACGATTACCGCGCCAACTTCGGATACGACAACTCGCGGTGCTACTTTCTCGTAGATCATGGCAAATCTTCAACGGAGGATGTACTTGTCTTACGGTACAAGTGGGATGGGCAATCTTTGTGAGAAAATGGCCCAGCTATTGTTGCCGATTTCTGAGCGCTAACGTCAACAAACAGCATATCTCTTAAACGAGCCTTGACCCCAGTCATACAGGCGAGGCTCAGGACATATCCATTCGCAGGGCGGCCACCAACTCAGCTTGTCCCAGGCAAGGCACCTGTGCAAATGGATGCCGCCATCCAACGTCAAATGATCCGAACGAGACTGCGGACCAACATGGAAATCCCCGAACGGGACTTCGTTCTCTTGCGAGAGTATCCCGAGGATGCGGAGTGGCTCAGAGACACCGTGGGCCCGCTGCTTTGGTCAAAACTCGAGTCCCTCTCAAAGCAGCAAGAGAATCGAGAGCAGACATGCCAAGACTGTAAAAACAAGTCGGAAGGCTGTTGATGATTGTGGAAATGTAATATTAATAATTTCAGACAGACTGGATAGCGAGATCCTTCTAGCACCGGGAATGCCTAAGCAAAGCATCGCCATGTCGTTCCAGTACGGCTGCTGACATGAAACATTAGAAAGATCTTAGATCTAATTATTTGGATACGAGAATGAGAATAAGCCGGCCAGCCGGACAACGGTCTTGCTGAGTCGTTGCGCATCACAACAAGAAGGAATTTATCAAACAGATTTCTCGTGTGACAACGTAAGGATGTGGAATCATATCACATTAAGCAAGAAAAAAAGAAGAAAATATCTGGTTCAGATCAAAGGGAAGAAACGAAACGAAAAAAAAAAAAAAAAAGAAATGATCGAACACGGGATTGAACCGGGGACCTTCGCCGTGTTAAGGCGACGTCATGACCAACTAGACCATTCGACCCATTTGATACTAGACGCAGTAGTTAATTTTACTTATCTCGCTTAGTGGCGCCTCCAAGCCACAGCGGCGAAAAGGGGCTGCGTGACAACCGTTTGCCGTGCGAGCATTTTGATGACTACCTTTCTGCGTACCAACCACGAAAACGACAATTATGGCCAAACTGGAGAAGCAGACCGAGGAGGAGGGCTGGCGAGAGCTAGCTCGTCTGCTTCCAGTTCCCGTGCAAGAAAGCCTCCAGCGTAGGCCAAGACATAATCTCGACCAGGAAGAGCTTCCACGATCCTCCTCATCCTCCTCCAATAACGCCAGTTCCATGCTTCGAGACTCCCCAGAGCCATCTGACGAGGACGAGGATATCTTGCCTTGCAAAACCTGCGTTGGCAGAATTGGTCGCGATGTAAACCATCGCTGCATTATGAAGAGCGGTATGTGTGACAGACCAACAAGGGGGAAAAAAGCACAGCGCGATTTCCAGCCGACTCATTTGTTTTCTAGGTAGGAATGCAAGACGATGCATGGCCTGCGCCAAGGGCAATCATACCTGCCCTGCACTCCCAGAGGGTGCGCGAACTGCTGTTAAGACCATGATGAGTGCAGCGATTAAGCTCCGCGCCAAAGCTATCACGGACAAAGTACGGGCAAGCCCCACTGGTAGTGCAAAAGTGGTCAGTGCGTGATTTTGACTAATCCTTTATCTAGGAGTTCAAGAAACTCTACTCAAAAACTCGAAAGGCAATTCGAGATGCAGAGGCTAAGGGGGAGGAGGATGGGGATGTGGGCTATCCTAATATTGATCGTATGAGCCAGGAGGAATTGCTCAGGGCGTTGCTGCGAGAGACTCTGCGCAAAAATCGGGAGGCAGAAAATGGCACCAAGAAGGGTGGCAAGGTAATCAAGTAAAACTTAGCAGCACCTTCTAACAAATTGGTAGAATGGCCTGGGCGGTTGGTGACGTCGGCAGGAACGAGGACTAATCGAAACACGAATTATGTTCACACCGAGGGACTCGATAGAAGAATGGGAGAGGCCTCCCGCCACCGAATGCCGCCGGCATGCGTACACATACCCTCTCATAGCCAACGTGAGGCATTTTTGTTTGGTCCGAAACTGGTTGTCGTGAGCCTTCACTGTAAGCCGGGACCAGTCGGATTAAAATTGGAGCCAAGTGCTCTTCACCGACTCAAGCCGCCGCTGCCAGCTCTTGTTTGTCCGGGGGTTGTTGTCGATCGGTCGACGGAATGAATCCTAATGGCTGGCTATCCCGCCGGATTGCCCGTTTCGGCGATGCGTCGTCCCAAAAATCTCAAAGGACGCAGCAAGCCCATGTGCTCGAATACGTTTGTGTAGATTGATTTGGGGGGGGGGGGGGGGGGGGAAGGGCCCCCGGCCCTGGCCAAATGACACAAACCGTGTTTAAAAATGCGGTGCAACCTTAATAAAAAACGTAAAAACCCGGGGGTACCGGCCCCCCCCATGCCCCCCCCCCCCCCCCCCCCCCCCCCCCCCCCCCCCCCCCCCCCCCCCCCCCCCCCCCCCCGGTCAGCCGGCCCTGTCCAAATGACTCTCACCGTGTGTAACTATGCGGTGCATCCTGAATGAAACACGTAATTACCCTGGCGTACCTGGCAAGCCCATGGGATGGCATCTGCACTCGCCATTTGTTGGCCGTGGATGCATCCGGCGACCGACGCATCTAGACGACGACATTTCAGGATATGAGCCGGATGGCCTCTTTGGACCATGTCGTCAGAGCGGAGCAATGAGGCCGCCTACAAGAAAACCCTCAATTCCAAAGTCGGGGGTTTGCTATTCTCGTGTTAGTACGTGCGCGAATATCACCATGCCAGGTTTTTCTTTCGACTAGGAGCTGCCCGGTGACTTTTGAATTTAGGTTTTAACGTAAATCTTCTTCAAGCCCGGCATCTCGTAATATATGAGCGATTTTTGTGCCACTCCCTTGGGGAATTCCGCTGTGGTATGAGCGGTATGAGAATACTTGGGAGGTGAGCATTTTTGTGCAGGCTTGTGATCGTCCATGGCTACCATGCATTTGGGAGGAGTTCGCGATCTTGGGAGGGTTCGGCAATGCAGTCAACCCAACAACACCATGTCCATGATTATGGCGCATGCATCGCCTAATTACTCAGTGTCGCTAGCAAAGTGCATTAGACGAATCCAGGGCATGGCCTCCAGGAACGAGGCCATGCTATTTACACTTCAATTACCTCACCTTGACCTGACAGTGGTTCTTCATATATAATAGGGGCTCAACTCGCCTGCAATAAACGACTCTTTACCCTCTGCTTACCACCAAAGCTTACATTCCACCAATCGTCCCCAATCCAAACATCGTGTAATTAGCAATGGCTGAGGAAAGTTCCCTGGGAGAACCGTCAGACAAGGAGGGGGATCGCGACCCCCGCGACCCCCGCGACCTCCGCATCACCTTCTTTGACGACATTCGAGATGGCCGCCAGGCTCGCGATACGGCCACTGGCCAGACCCGGGGCCCTGAATCTCGCTCTCGTTCGCACAAGCGATCCATGAGCCGCGACTCCGCATCGAGCTCCAGAAGCCGTCGTGCAACGTCGCAATATCCAGCGATTCCCATCGAGTACCGGACCCTCTCCATCCAGGCAAGCCAGAGCCGCAACGTCGAGGCCAACACCTCGGCCGACACTAAAAAGGTCAAGAAGGATGACGAGGACTACTTTGCAAACCTGACTTTCCACGAGCTCGATGTCACCCAGATTTGCCAGCAGCTGAATGTCGCGCGCGACCAGGGGTTGTCGGAAGAGGCAGCGGCCAGGCGCCTTCAGCGCGACGGCAGAAACACCCTCCCGAAGACCAAAACCAACTACTGGAAAAAAATTATCAGCTACGTTTTCGGCGGCTTCTGTTCTGTTCTCTGGGTCGGAGTCATCATCTTCTTCATCTGCTGGAAACCCCTGAGCAAACCCCCGTCTCCCACGAACCTTGCCCTTGCCATCTTGGTCCTCATCGTCATCCTCTTGCAGGCCGGGTTCTCGGCCTTTCAGGACTGGTCGACGCAGCGGACGATGAAGTCCATCACCGACCTTCTCCCCTCCGAGACGCTGGTGCTCCGGGACGGCTTGCTGCGGAAACTCCCGGCCACGGAGCTCGTCAGCGGCGATATCGTGCATCTCCAGATAGGCAACAAGGTCCCTGCAGATCTGCGCCTCCTGAGCCACTCGGGCGACATTCGTTTTGACCGCGCCGTTCTCACCGGCGAGTCGGACGAGGTCGAAGGCACCGTCGACACCACGGACCCCAACATCCTCGAGAGCCGCAATATCGCGCTGATGGGCACCCTCGTGGTAAACGGCAGCGGCACCGGGGTGGTGATCCTGACGGGCTCGCGGTCGGTCATGGGTCGCATCGCCCATGCCACTGCCACCGCCGAGACCCGCTCGACGCTGATCCAGCAGGAGATCTGGCGGTTCGTCCGGATCATCATCTGCCTCACCGTCGTTATGGCGCTGGTCATTTTCATCGCCTGGGTCGCCTGGCTGAGGCGGGATCACCCCAGATACATGAACGTGGTGGCGATGCTCAACAACGTCCTGGGTTGCGTGATAGCGTTCATCCCCGAGGGCATGCCTGTTGCCGTGGCCCTGACTCTGCTGATGGTTGCTCGCCGCATGAAGGCCGCCGACGTCCTGCCCAAGGGCCTAACGACGGTCGAGACCCTGGGCTGCGTCAACGTCATCTGCTCCGACAAGACCGGCACGTTGACAATGAACCAGATGTGCGTCAGCTCGGTTGCATTCCTCGACCAGCCCCTGACCCCCGAAGACTTCCATCACAAGCTGGAAGTCGAAGAGCCGGAACAGGGCATCCTCACGCTCCGCAAAGCTGCCCTCCTCTGCAACGACGCGTCCTTCGACCCCACTTCGCTCTCCCTCCCAGCCAGCGACCGGCCCGTGCAGGGCAACGCCACCGACGCCGCCGTCCTCCGATTCGTGGCCAGCGGCAAGGACGGCGACAGCCTGCGGGCCTCCTTCCCGCGCGCGTTTGAGATCCCCTTCAACTCGAAGAACAAGTGGATGCTCACCATGCACCGCGCGTCCGACGCCGAAGACCCATCGGGTTCGGGCTCGGGGTCGGGCCGGTACCAAGTCTTCGTCAAGGGCGCCCCGGACGTCCTCCTCCCGGCGTGCACCCGCTTCTGGTCCGGCCGATCGAACTCGACGCAGCCCCTAGACGACGCCGCGCGAGCCTCCCTCAAGGCCTACCAGGACGTCCTGTCGCGGCGGGCGGAGCGGGTGATTGTGCTCTGCGAGAAGACGGCGCGCCCGATCGGCCGCCCGGGGACCAACGCGTTCAGCGACGAGGTCACCGCGTCGGCCGGGCGCGACCTGACGGTCGTCGGGATCGTCGGGCTCGTCGACCCGGCCCGGCCCGAGGCGCGGTCCACCGTCGAGCAGTGCCGCCGCGCCGGCGCCAGGTTCTTCATGGTCACGGGGGACTACGGCCTCACGGCGGCGGCGGTCGCGCGCGGGGTCGGCATCTTCACGGGTGAGGGCGAGCCGGATAGGCTCGGGACCATGCGTCATCACCATGACGACGACGACGATATCGATCATGACGATTACGGCCACCGCGGGGCTGATGAGCCGAGACATGGCAGCCTGTTGCTCGAGGGCCCGGAGTTGGCGCGCCTGGTGGAGGCGGACTGGGACGCGGTCTGCGAGTACGAGGAGATTGTGTTCGCGCGGACGACGCCGGAGCAGAAGCTTCGCGTGGTCGAGGAGCTGCGCCAACGCGGGGGCGTCGTGGCGGTGACCGGGGACGGAGTCAACGATGCGCCGGCCCTCCGCGCGGCAGACGTGGGCATCGCCGTAGCTGCTGGCAGCGACGTTGCCGTCGAGGCCGCGGATCTGGTGCTGCTCGGCGGGATCGGGTCCATCGTCGACGCGATCCGGCTCGGCAGGCTCGTCTTCCAGAACCTGCAAAAGGTCATCGCCTATCTGCTGCCCGCCGGCAGCTGGTCCGAGATCTGGCCCGTGCTGGTCAACGTCTTTCTCGGCGTGCCGCTACCCCTCAGCTCGTTCCTCATGATCATCATCTGCGTCTTCACCGACCTGTTCCTGTCCTTGTCGCTCATCATGGAGCGCGAGGAGTTTGACCTGCTGTCGCTGCCGCCGCGCAACCACAAGCGGGATCACCTCATCAACGTGCGCATCTACATCCAGTCGTACCTCTTCATGGGCTGCATGGAGACGTGCATCGCCCACTCCATGTTCTTCCTGTACATGTTGAAGTACGCCCGCATGCCGGCCAGCCAGCTATTCTTCCTCTTCGAGGGCTACTCGGCCGGCTTCCACGGGTACACCGAGGACCAGCTGAGGGCCTTCAACGAGACGGGGCAGTGCGTCTACTTCGTGACGCTCGTCATCCTGCAGTGGGGCAACATCCTCGCCGTGCGCAACCGCCGGCTGAGCATCGTTCAGGCGGACCCCTTTACCAAGAAGCGCCGGAACCCCTGGCTGATGCTCAGCATGCTGATCAGCCTGTCCATCGCCGTCTTCGTCACCGAGGTCCGCGGCATCCAGGACCTCTTCGGTACGGCGCCCGTGCCGCTCGAGTTCTGGTTTATACCGATTCCGCTGGCCTTGGGCCTGCTCTGCATGGACGAGATGCGCAAGTTGCTCGTCCGGCTCTTCCCCAAGGGTCCTGTTGCCAAGATAGCTTGGTGATTGATATAAATGGAGACTGTGGTGGCGACGGTGACAGGAAGGGCTATTGACAGCGATAATAAATAGCTATCGATAGCGACGGCCATGACTATCGACACGAGACACATTGCCTTCCACCTCAGGAGGAGCCACCACCTCACAACACTCTGGAGAGACACTACTGCATGGAGCAGAACAACGAAAGCTGGTGGTGGAATTAGTTACTGTATATTCGGGCCACCGACCAACACGTACATAATTCTCAAATATAGCAAAGTAGCAAGTAAGACCACATTCTCACCCTGGTTTTCTCTGCTTGTCAGCAACTCTTTCCCGTCGAAACGGAAGGTTGGCCAGATGATCTCAGTGGGAGGTAGATTACTGCCACCACACGTATCTTCGCGTTCAACCACCCACCCTGCTGAACGTCCTATGGTATCTCCTCTCGCGTTTTCAGAGCAAACTCGGGTTCTCGGGACGTGAGATGGGTGGCCCAAGGCCTCAGAGCCAACCTCCCACACACTATGACAGCCTACGCAGCCCAAGTCCTCGCAACCGCACGCGCACCGCCCCCCTCCCCAAGCATCTTCCTCAGGTCCCCGACTACAGCTCCGGCCGCTCGTGCGCGGCAAAGGGGCCCCCCCGTCATGCACGGCCTCGAAAGACGACGGGCCCCAGAGTCCGGCCGTAGCACCGCGGCCAGGCGAGCAGGTCTTGCTGGAAGTACGACAGGCCCAGCCTGACGCGCGGGTTGTGCTCTCGGACCGCAGGTCGCGCGGGTGCGCGCTCTCGTAGTAGATGCGCACGCACGCTGGCGGCCGGGCCGGCCGCCAAGAACCAGTACACCGACACCCAGGTCAGGACCTCGTCGCCGGTCCACGGGTACGCGTCAGTCCAGTCGTGCAGCTTCTCGTGGATCCACGCGAGCAGCGCCACCGGCGAGTCGGCGAGCGCGTGGCTCAGGGTCGCAGGGCGCGTGCGCTTCTCTGCGCTGTGCTCGAAGAACCACTGCGTGCGGGCGAGGCCCGCGCGCTCCCGGGCGGTGCGGGGCATCCGGTTCTGGAGGTAGAGAAGCGGGTGCTTGAGCGGCGTCGGCGGGTTGGTGTGGACGTAGTTGAGGTGCGAGGCCAGGCAGTGCTCCGGGAAGAGGATCCCAATGAAGCACGTGACGGAGAAGCCCCAGTCGCCTCCCTGGGTGACTACACGCCAGGGTGTCAGCCGGTTCGTCACGAGGGGCGTGCTGGGGGAGCTATTCTCACCGTATTTGTCGTAGCCCAGCTTGAGCATCAGCTTGTGCATGCACTCGGCATACTGCGGAATCCCAAAGCCCGGCTTGGAAGGCCCCTGCGAGAACCCGAAGTTCGGGAGCGAGGGTGCCACTACATCAAACACAGGCCCGTTTTCCGGGGCAGTAAGCAGCGGAAGAATCTTTTAGCATTCGATGAAGCTGCCAGGCCCTGGGCTATGTTGTGAGCGTGACTGAAAAGGCAGATAACAATCAGATGTGCCTACACCCGTGACAGAACAGCATCGAGATGCTCCCCGGTCGGCCGCTCTTCTTGTGGGCAAAGTGTATTTGGAGCTTGCCAAACCCATCAATGGCAATGTTAGTGGTGAACTATGGCATCTTGTTTAGGTTTGCCTCCTGGGCTCGCCAGTCAAAGCCCTCCTTCCAGTGCTTGACAAGTCGCTTGATGTCTGACACCGGTGCGCCGTAGTCCCAATTGTCGGACATGGGCGTATCGTCCGTAAACTCGGCGAGACTGAGCTTCTTCTCCAGGGATTCCAACTTCGACCCCGCGACATTGATTTGGAAGGGCTTGACCGACAACTCCATGGTGTGGTTTTGTGCTGGGATGGATGTTCAGTCTAGGATGATGATAGCTTGGCGGGAGACTTGTTGTGGAACTTGTCTGGATGTGTGGGAAGGAGGGGATTGCCTTGTTGGGACAATGTGCGAGTTAAATCATCGCCGCAAAGCACCTCATACAGATTTGTCACCACCAACGTCATCTTGGTCGCCGTCGCTGTAAATTGTTGGCAGCCTTGGGACCACCTAGCGAACTCATAGACATCAGGCGCGCGCAGCAAAACCGCAATTGATGCACTTCCGCTTTGCCCATCCACCTTCACCCCAGTGCAGATGGTATCACCAAGCGCCTCCTTCAGCGCGGCCGCCGGTGAGAGACCCACCCGGGCCAGTTTGTGAGTACAATGGTGTCGGCATCGACGCCAAGGGTTCACGGTCCAGCATTGATGGCCGCGTCATGGTCGACGCATAACCCTCTTTTCGCATCAATGCTGAGGGGCTGCGGATTGTCAATCGCCTTCGCTGTCGCTGTGACTTCCGATTGCAGTTGCTGGCAGCCCATCATCTTCGATGAACCAGCTGTCAATACATTTCCTAATCAATCCCTGGGCTGTCGGAGGGGCAAGGAGGAGCTGCTCATCCGTCAGCGACGTGAGGAAGGCACGCAGACCTGCCACGCAGACCTGCCACGACATACGGCGTAGGGCGTTTCCAGCCTGCGTAAGTGTTTCTCTCGAAAAGCTCGTGATACATTCGGGCCTTGGGGTCCAGGAGGTTGGGCATGAAGAACCCTGGGCGGACGATGGTCCACTGCTCGAAGCCAGCCCGCTGCACCAGCCCGTCGATGATATTCTTGCAGAAAAGGCCCTTGCAACGAGGGCGATCCGCCGGCAACAGTGTTCGCCTCTCTGGTGCGTCGGCGATTACAACGCTGGTGTAGACGACGTGTTTGACGCCCGCGGGCTCGTCGTCCAAGTCTCTATAGTTGGAGACGAGAGTGAGAAACAGCATGTCGCAGCCGCCGACGCCGGCCGTCAGTGCAGCCTCGTCATCCCAGTCGCCGACGTTCAGTGCAACCCCGAAGTTGGTGAGCGCTTGGGCCGGGCGAGAATCGGGATTCCGCACCATGTGCCAGCCGAGCTGGTGGGAGCTGGCGGCACAGAGCTGACCCCTGAGTGCCGGTGGCAGTTACGACGAAGACGGTTGGGGTTTTGGATGGCATGATGCTATGATAGTCAGGTTGAGCGGATAAGGGTGGACATTGTTGGCTACCTATGTATAATTATCGCTGTGTTGCAGTGTCGACTCACATTGTGAAATGGTAGCTAAAGGATCAAACAGTGTGCGTGTTGTTTAGGCACTATGACAAGGCACCCGGCGGAGTTCCGCCGTCGCGTCATCTCGGAGGTTCCAGCCCCGCTCGCCGATGGACGGGGCCATGCTTCGGAGCAGAATAGCGGCCGGGCACCGTTTACTAGGCCAACCATCGGTCTGTCAATCTCATTCTCCCATCTAGCACCTGACTCTGGTCAGCCTCGGCAGTCGGCATATTCCATGTTGCAGTCCTTCTCGTCCATCGAGCGGGACAATCCGCCCCCACGGCGGAAGTCCTGTCTGGCCTGCACCAAGGCCCGCCGGCGCTGTGATTAGGCGAGTCCCGCATGCCAGAGATGTGCTCAGTGGAACATTAATTGCCAATATCCGCAGGGCGCGAGGTCCAAGAGGGGTCCGGGGTTGATTCCCACACCTGCGTCTGCCTCTCTATCCGCCCACATGTCTGGCGCCGAGCAGCAGATTGAGTCTCTGTCCGATCGTGTCGTAACACCTCAGGTGTCTTTTGACATGCTAGACACCATCCTGGAACCCCCCGAGGATTTTCTCAGCAATCTCTTTCCAACATTTCTGGAGTGTGCCGATGCCACACCCTCGCCGGATTCTAGTCTACCCTTGATAAATCCGGCGCGGCGGGTGACCGCTCAACAAGCTTTGGATAGTTCTCGATTTGTTACCGACTCTCAAGCAAGCAAGCAAGGCCATCGCGTCCCGACTTCAGTATGCCATCGACAAAATATCGGCAGCGCCCCGCCAGATGGTCCTCGAGAACCAGATGCCTTGGTGCCATGCCCATCTCTACGATGACGGCATGGCCCGGTCGATGCAATGTGTGCCTGTAGCCCCAAAATGCGCTCCTCCAAATCTGGAGCGGCTAGCTAACCGAAGCGCAGATGCGGTCTCGTCTGCCGCCCTACTCGCGGCCAAGAACGACGCCAATGCCCGGGTGATCCGCGATTGCAATGAGAGTCGACTTCAGGATCTGCTCTCTAGTCCCCCCCCAACTGCTCCCCTGGATGTCATTGCGCGCGAAGATGCCCTCTTTATCTACCAGATCCTCCGCCTGCTCGACACAGATGCCCGCGTCCGCCTCAGCTACGACGCCACCATGCCACAGCTTGAAGAAGCAGCCTATGCCCTCATCCCACACATCGCCTTTCACGAACCTGCCGCCCCAGGCCAGTCAAGTCACGGCCTCGATGTCCTGCCGCTGTATCGCATCTCGGCGGCGCGTGCCTTCTGGGGTTCGTGGGTCTTCCAGGAGTCGGTCCGGCGGACGCTGGCCATAATCTTGTTATTCCTGCTGACGTATCACTACATGAGGGGTCAGGTGTTGACACAGCAGTGCAGCAGTGACAGGTACGCGTGCAGCTCAGTGACCCTGTCGGCGCACCTGTGGCAAGCGGGAGACTCCGTTGACTTTGCCCTCGCTTGGAGGAACAAGAGGCATTTTGTCTTGCATTGCGAAGCATAAGTCGGATCGTTCTAGGAAGGTGCCGCGTGGGCAGACAGGCAGACTGACGAGACAGATTGGAACCCGTGACGGCGGTGATGGCGGACGCCAAGAGTGACGACATTGACGAATTTGGCAAGATTTTCTTGGCCGGACTGATGGGAATAGACGAGGCCAAGGCTGGCTGGCCCTGAGAGGTGTCATGCTGTGATCTGGTGTTCGGCTATGTCCTGTCTTCCTTAAGTATTTCGCCCGTCTTCCACTCGATACCTATCCTTTTCGGGACACGTCCCAGACCCGACAAATTTCACCACCAAAAACGTTGTATTCTTCAACAGTATGTGTGTCCAACCCTATTCCCATGTTGCTCCAGTTTTTCCTCGACAATCGGTATTGGTAGATAACCAACCCTTCCCCCGGTCCCTAAGGATTGTGCTTAACTTGTCTGAATAGTGTGAAGCAGGGTTGCCTTGTCAAGACAACATGAAAGTTGAATCATCCCTGCAAAACAGCTCATACAGATTGTCACTAGTATCTGTCAGTAGACCAAGGTCAAGGTGCAGTAGGTAATCTGAGGTGACAATCTGGTGGGTGGGTAGGCTACCCACCCAATGTCATCTTGGAGATTGCAGCGCATGTCAATCAGGCATGCTGACAAAAATACTAATAGGGAGGTTTGATCTACTATATAGGACAACGGATTCTAAGCAGATATCAATCTTGACAATTGTGACGGTGCATAGTTGTTAGATACAGCAGATCTGCTAAAATGTTGTTGTCTGTGGAAACTGGGTAGGCTAGGCGCGTGTGGGCTACAACAGGAAATGGGTGCACCCAACAACAGCGCCTCCCTAATCCATACATGCAAGGTCAAAACGCTGTAGTTTGCTTGCAGCTACTCTGTACTGCGTCAGCATTGAGTGTGTGTCTTCTGACTTCACAGTGTAAGGCTATATTGGTATGGTAGGTTTGTTGAAGCCTCTTTGTTAGTTGATGCTCATGCTACCAAAATACCCATAAAACCGCGCATGGGTTGAGGTTCTCTCACCACGTTCTTTCGTGTGAACTGAATCGAGGCTCATGGAGGACCAAATAAAGGGGACCAATGAGACGCCGATCGCATATGCAAAAGCGGGGCTTTGATATTTACAGCCATGGGGTCCAATTTGATCGGCGCGGCTTAGACGCGCAACCGAGAATCTCAGCTCGCCTGCGCGCCAAGCCAGGTAATGGCCCTTTTCCTGATTAAACAGAGCTAGATCGAGTATGATCTAGCGGGGGAATTGCGTACCTTGCATGCCGTTACAAATTCGGGAGCCCAGAATTTGGCGGCACGAAACCATAAACTCGGAGAGCCTCGACCCGTGATGGCCGTTTTTGTCGTGGCACCAAGACTTACCCCTGTTCCTCCCCAGTTCTCCCCACAGTTCTCCTCAGTCCGCCTCCCGCCATCCCGAAGGTATTGGACACATTTTACACATTCTACCTTGTTCGTGCCTTCGCCAATGTCCCATACCCACAATTTCGGCCAGTATAGCCGGTAGCCACGTCGGTTCTCTACTACGTCGTAGGCGAATTCCCCTTTAGTGCAATGCTTGGCGCAGGATCCGCAGCCACGGCCCTTGTCGGCGGTGCTACGATGCCCTCTACGAATAAGACGCAGGGCAGATTCGTATAAAGGCTCCCTCCCTTGGCCACTGGCTCTTGCGCCATCCGCGTTGTCGTGTTCACCATCCAACCGGTTCTCCAATACTATCTTTTGGCGGGTTCAACATAAACCAAACATGACTCGCAGTCTCCCCATCCTCGTCTCCCTGCTGGGCGCCGTCGCCGCCCAGAGCGTGGGCCAGGCCCCCGAGGTGCACCCCAAGCTCACGACCTGGACGTGCACCAAGGCCGACGGCTGCAAGCCCAAGACCTCGGCTCTCGTGCTCGATTCTCTGGCCCATCCTGTGCACCAGAAAGACGACCCAAGCAAAGGCTGCGGCAACTGGGGCTCCGGGCCCGACCCGACCGTGTGCCCGGACGCGGTCACCTGCCAGGAGAACTGCATCGTGGAGGGCGTTAGCGACTACTCGCAGTACGGAGTCACCACCGACGGCGGCGTCCTGACGATGAAGCTGCTTCGCGATGACGGCACGGTCGCCAGCCCGCGTATCTACCTACTGGACGAGACCGAGACCAAGTACGAGATGCTGCAGCTGACGGGGCGGGAGTTCACCTTCGACGTCGATGTGTCGAAGCTTCCCTGCGGCATGAACGGAGCTCTGTACCTGTCCGAGATGAAGGCGGACGGCGGAGCGAACGAGCTCAACACCGGGGGCGCTGCATATGGCAGTGGATATTGCGATGCCCAGTGCTACGTTACTCCCTTCATCAACGGCGTCGCCAACCTCGAGAAGGTAGGGGCATGCTGCCCAGAGATGGATATATGGGAAGCCAATAGAGCTTCAACACAGATTGCACCACACCCCTGCAACCAGACAAGCTTCTACGGGTGCAGCGGTGATGAATGCACTTGGGACGGCGTTTGCGATCAGTGGGGATGTGGATTTAACACATACGTCAATGATGTCAAAGGTTTCTACGGCCCAGGACCCGAATTCACGGTCGACACTACCAAGCCCTTCAGTGTGGTGACTCAGTTCCCGGCCGACCCGGAGACCGGCGACCTCGTGGAGATCCGCCGCATCTACGTACAGGACGGCAAGGTGATCCCCCAGGCAACCGTCAACATCACGGGACCGCCAGAAATCAACTTCATCAACCAGGACTACTGCGAGAAGACTTCGGCCACGCGGTATAACGACCTGGGCGGGACCAAGGAGATGGGCGAGGCGCTGAGCCGCGGCATGGTGCTCGCCATGAGCATCTGGTGGGACGAGGGCGGATTCATGAGCTGGCTCGATGGCGGCAACGCGGGCCCCTGCAATGCCACCGAGGGCGACCCGAAGGTCGTCCTGCAGGTCGAGAAGGACCCTACCGTCATCTTCAGCAACGTCAAGTGGGGCGAGCTCGACTCGACCTACCAGTCCAAGCCCCCGAGCTGCAAGCGCCGGAAGGCTTAAATGGCTACGACTCTCTTAACTGTCGCTAGCACAGCTTCCATTTTCTCGTTGGAATCATTCTCTGCAGCTTGCGCTGCCGACGAGCCTTCTTCTTCAAACATGTACATATGAAAAGGGGTAAAGGGGGTGGCCCGTGCGGGATGCCACGTGGTGGGAGCCGCACGAGTACTATGTATCACTTCAAAATATATGGCACAGTACACCAACTTTTCGAGTCTGCGGCTTACCAGTCCGCCACTACTATTCCCCTGCCTTGTTCGTGTCACGGCAGAGTTCAGTAGGTACTTTGCCCTGTTTCAATCCATAGCAGTCTCGAAGCGAGACACTTGGATGCTAATTAATATTCTTCGATGCCATGTATCATGTTCCCAGGGTTTAGCCGTAAGGCATATGTAAGCATGCCCATTGCGCCCCTGCCGCGCGAACCCGGGACTAGACCGGGGACTAGAGGTCTCATTCGGGCAGTGTGCGGGGCTTGTCGGGAGCCGAGGCCGAGCTGCACAGGCCAACGAGGTTTCACTGGATACTCGGATCGGCGCACGGCCCATGAAAATCGTTAATACAGCGGAGTTAGGAGTTCAATGCTGCTGATGCTTGCAACTACTCCGGTACAGGTGTATGCGTAGGTAGGTAGATGATAACCCCCATCATCCACATGTATGCTGTAAAGATGGGCCGGCTTCCTGACTTTATCCGCGATTTGTGGGAGGTGCTTCATCCTCCGTTCGTTCGGACAGTTGCAAAAGTAAAACAGCCCGTTCCATATGGCGGGAGATGTTGGCCTACCGCAGTAGGATGATGAACTCGGTTCCCGTCCCCCTGTTACCCCAGATTTTTCTTTGCTCTCTCATGGCGGGGTACAGGCAAGTATTTCTGCCCGATGAATATTCATTGCGGGTAACAGTCATTAAAACTCTAAACTTATTATTGATTGAAAGGCTACATAGTGACCTCCTATTCCTCGTGACCTCCTATTCCTCGGATTCAATGCCGTCAGATTCCATGCTGTCAGATTTATTTTGCGCCAGAGCCGCAGCAGCAACCTCCTAGGGAAGTGTTCGGGATCGGGCACCCCGCACTAGGAACGGGACGCATTATCACGTGAACCGACTTGTCGGTGATTCCGGGGAAATTCCATTCCTGCAGAATTTGGGTGGCAACATTGGATGAAATTTTGGGGTGGCAAGATTCTCTGCAAGATCTCTGCAGCCCCACTGTGACAAGAGGGTTATTAGCCGGCTATCCATACTGAGCATCCAATGCATATGTGTGAATTAGGCAGGGAAGAGACCAAGATTCCACAGACGACGTTGGCAGTGAATAGTAACACAAAATGCACCACCTATTGTACTTGATTAGTGCAGATGGTGAAGTATGCTTGTTGGTCTTTGGCATGGTTGTGTAGCTTTGAGATACTATAATGGACAAACAAACAAACAACCTCTGTCAAAGGTGGGTTTCACTCCAGCCAGGGCGGTGAGGTAAAGTGCCTGGGAAAATGAATCTCGAAGCCACGTGATCCCACCCAAACTGTGCAGATAAATGTAAAAAAAAAAACACTCAGCCGAAACCGGCGCGGGGTCTGGCTGTCAATGGAACCACCACGCCTCATCCTGGCTTCGTACAACCAACTTTGGTCAATTGACAGCTGTTCAGCCATTGGATAATTTCCCAACAGGTATTCGAGGTCATCATCAGGTTTGTCATCTCTCGTCATCTGCATTCCCTCTTCAATTGGAAGCCAAGAGTTGTGGGGCGTGGAAGGCTTCTTGGTGATCTTACTGCGGGGTCCATCTGCCGCCTCGCCTGCCCCTCCACCTCCCGCAAAAAATCTGATTGCTCCAATGACTCATGGTTGTTCAGGCACAAAAGGCCCATTCATAGTCGGGGCTTTTCCAATCTTTTCCCCCACCTTCACTTCCTCACATTAATTAACATTCCTCGAGGCAGCATTGTGCTCCTATATTTCGCCTTCACCTTTACCTTCACCTTCACTTTCACAATCACGATCCTGACGATTCTAGCGACAGCGCCAACTTCCCTTCCCTTGCCATATCCCCGGCTCTCTCGCCACCCCAATCTGCAACCATGTCTCCTTCCGCCGATACCAATGTCCGTCCCCATGATGCTGCCCCTTCTGCTTCCAATTGCTGAGTGTCTAACCGTGGTGATTACTTGCAGGGTACTAGCACCATGCCAGAATCTACTGCACCTGCGCCCCAGGAGGCTGAGCGGCATTCAAACCCATACCAGCCTGTAGGAGACTTCCTCTCCAACGTCTCTCGCTTCAAGATCATCGAGTCCACTCTTCGCGAGGGAGAGCAGTTCGCAAATGCCTTCTTCGATACGGGTAAGTTGCTGTTTGGCCGGGTGATTCAAGTTGGAGGGGCATGTGACTAACAGCTGTGCCCGCATTAGAAATGAAGATCAAGATGTGTGTACCCGGTTCTTCACATCTGTGCCTTTCGATATCTAACATACTCCGCCAGTGCTAAGGCCCTCGATGACTTTGGCGTCGACTACATTGAGTTGACTTCGCCCGCCGCATCAGAGCAATCGCGCAAGGATTGCGAGGCTATCTGCAAGCTAGGACTCAAGGTAAGGGCTTGAATCCCCCAGGTCCAATTGCGCCGTTGACTAACTCGCGCTCCCTTCCCGACAGGCCAAGATCTTGACCCGTGAGTCTACCTCAATTGAACCACGCTCTGGGCTCTCTATTCTCTAGGCCCATTATTTGACTTCGACCCTGACCTCTATAATCTCTCAGACATCCGGTGTACTATGGACGATGCTCGGATCGCGGTTGAGACTGGTGTGGATGGCTTGTGTGTTTTATCTTACCCAGATCTCGTCTGTTTCAAATACTGACTGACTCCCCAGGGACGTCGTCATCGGAACCTCGCATTTCCTTCGCGAGTTCTCGCACGGAAAGGACATGGCTTACATTACCAAGTCCGCCATTGAGGTTATCAACTTCATCAAGTCCAAGGGCCTCGAGGTCCGCTTCTCGTCCGAGGACTCCTTCCGCTCGGATCTTGTCGATCTTCTCTCTCTGTACCGGGCCGTCGACAAGATTGGCGTCAACCGTGTTGGTATTGCTGACACCGTTGGTTGTGCCACTCCTCGCCAAGTCTATGACTTGGTGCGGACCTTGAGAGGTGTTGTCTGTAAGTTTTGCCACCCCTATGATATACTCATCGGATGGGAGTTAATCTTTGGTTCAGCGTGCGATATCGAGGTTCATATGCACGATGACACAGGATGTGCCATCGCCAATGCCTATTGTGCCCTCGAGGCTGGCGCGACCCACGTCGACACCTCGGTACTTGGAATTGGAGAGCGAAACGGGATTACTGTGAGTTGCCCTATACAGCAAGCATTATTCATGACAGCGACTAATATATCATAGCCCCTTGGCGGGTAAGTTACTTCTCGGTTCTCTCGATTCACGATCCGCATATTGCTTCGTCCAGGCGCCGTCTCTCGATTCACGATCCGCATATTGCTTCGTCCGGGCGCCGTCTCTCGACCTCCCCTAAGTATCATGGACGGTTGGAAGATTCCATGCTAACAATATGAAGCCTCATGGCTCGCATGATAGTTTGCGATCGCGAATACGTCACCAAGAAGTACAAGCTCCATAAGCTGAAGGAGGTGAGTCACGGAATCCAACCCGAGATAAACCCTAGACGCCCCGCTAATTTTTGTAGATCGAGGATATGGTTGCCGAGGCGGTTGAGGTTAACACGCCGTTCAACAACCCCATCACTGGCTTCTGCGCTTTCACCCACAAGGCCGGCATCCACGCCAAGGCGATCCTCAACAACCCCAGTACCTACGAGATCATCAATCCTGCCGACTTCGGCATGACTCGCTACGTGCACTTCGCGTCCCGCCTGACGGGCTGGAATGCGGTCAAGACCCGAGTGGGCCAGCTCGGTCTCTCCATGACTGATGACCAGGTCAAGCTTGTGTAAGTTACCGTCGCCGAATCGATCCTCGCATATCGGATCACGCTGACAGATTTTTCACCAGAACGACCAAGATCAAGGCGTTGGCTGACGTCCGGCCCATCGCTATTGACGATGCCGACTCGATCATTCGAAGCTTCCACCTGACCCTGGAGGATAATCCGAGCACGGCTGAGAAGGGCACGGCTGACAATGCCCCGGCTACTGATGCCACGGCTACTGATGCCACGGTTGCTAATGGCACGGCTTAGCGGGCTTCTTGTATTCGTCGGGGGGACGTCGAGCCCCCATCTGGAAAATTGCACATTGGCACATTGGCACATTGGCGGCGTCTGGACAAAATCAATCTGGCTGAGCATTCGAGTAATATTACTTCGATCGGCCAGGAATACTTCATGATAAGGAGTTTAGGTGCTTAATAAAATGGGCAAATCTTTCGAGACGGTACACATTTATAACCTTGCTACAATCGTGTTGAGAGCTTGATGGAAACCGGCTAAGTCGCGAGCATGGCACATTACAAATGATCGGTCTCATGGCCATTCTGAGGTGTCTCGTGAATGAGCAGAACTGGTGTCCATGATCCGAGGCGAAGCCTAGGTTGGTTCGCAAATCGAAGCGAAGGTGGTGGTTGTTGGTTCATCTGCAAGACAAGGGAAGACACAACTAACAGCAGACACAAAGGCGGGATGGCGTCCAACAGCCCTACCCGGGCTAGCATATTCGCCGGCACACCGGCCGAGGAGCAGCAGTTTGGCCCCAAACCGGTCGGTCGCCCCGCGCCGAGTCAACGCTGAAGCCGTGTACGTGTCGTGTTACCCCAGCGCCGACAACCGGAGGTCGCAAACAGGGTCTCGACACGGCCAATGACATCAGGGCTGCCGGACTCGCCCATGCACGACGGGCCCATCTTGGAAATCCTCCTGCACTGCATGCTCCAGCTTCGCATTTCGACAGCGTGTGGATCGCGCACGCCTTTTCCCCGCCTCTTCTCGTATAGGTTGGCTTGATGCCGTGCGACATGCGCGACAGATGATCTTCGCGCTGCAGGATGGTCTTTGGCGTCATGATTGGGGTGGGACAGTAGGTTGTGCAAACAACGTGTTAGTTGACGGTGCATCTCCAGAACCTCCTGCTTCCCCATTTCCACTCCTGCATTCAGCCGGCGTCTCTGTCGGAGCCAACAGCTTATAGCTATGTATATCGAAAGAGAAGAAGAGGCCTGGTTGTTTGCCATTATTTTACTCCAACCAACCTGTCGCCTTTGCATTCTCATGTTGTTACGGTATCCCTAACTGCCTGCCGTTCGAGACGAAACTCGGGCGATGAAACGGTTGGTGATATCCACAGAAAACAATTAAGGTTAATTGCCCGAGCTAGACGATGAGATCATGGGGGAATTTATAGCTTTACAGGCTTCCATGTTACGCGACCATGACGACCTCCACCAGCTTATTCTCCCCCTCGCTTAGGTAACATCAATACGAACGTGTAATGGATGACGTCGGTCCGAGTCTGCTTGACCTACATGAAGCTGCGATGGCCAATATTCCTGGGCTCGCCTTTGCTTCTTTTTTATTTTCCCGCTGAGATTATTTTCTATATCTCGTTTTGTACTTTCAGGAGCGGAAGTAACAGATTCCAAACAACCTCTCTAATCAGAGCATCTGCTTCCAAATATAGACCAACAACAACAGTCGCCTCTAATGTTCGACGCCATGAAGACCGCCCACCCAGGGCCGGTTGACCCCATTCCCACCGTCATCCGTAAGCCCAAACATCCCCCTTAGGGGTCCCCATCCAGCTAACAAACCCCTCCCTTACCCTCAACAACAGCTACCCCACCAGAATACCAATTCGCCTCCGCCACGGGCCACCGCACCCTATGGATAGTCTTCGTCCTAATGGCTCTCACCTCCGCCACCCTCGCGGGCCTCTCCTGGAAAGTCCCCATCTCGCGCCGCCTCTACCACGTCCTAGCCACGACGGCCGCCATCATCGGCACGCTCTCGTACTTCGCGCTAGCGACCGGCCAGGGCACGACCCTGCGCTGCACGGGTGTGCGCGACCACCACAAGCACGTGCCCGACACGCCCGCGCACGCCGTCTGCCGCGCCGTCCCCTGGGCGCGCTACGTCGACTGGACGCTGGGCACGCCGCCGCTGCTGGTGGCGCTGTGCGCGCTGGCCGGCGTCGACGGCGCGCGCACGCTGCTCGCCGTCGCCGCCGATCTGGTGTTCAAGCTGGCCGGCCTGTTCGCGGCCCTGGGGAGGGAGCGCACGCCGCAGAGGTGGGGGTGGTACGCCATCGCGTGGATCGCGTACCTCGTCGTCATCTGGCACGTCGCTGTCCATGGCTCGAGGGCGGTTAGGGGGAGGGGTGCGGGGGTGTCGCGGACGTTTGGGTCGCTTGCGCTGTTTGCGCTGGTACTCTGGACGATTTATCCTATGTGAGTTCGCCAGAAATTGGCTTGGGGATGCCGTTGTGAGGTCGAATGACTGACTGACTGACTCTGCGTTAAGTGTCTGGGCCATCGCCGGTGGAGCCCGGCGGATAAATGTGGATTCGGAGATTCTCGTCTATGCTGTTCTCGATGTCCTCGCCAAGGCCGGCTTTGGCCTGTGGCTGGTCCTCAGCTTGCGTCGGGTGCCTGACGCGAACATCGAGCTTGGTGGGTATTGGACCAATGGTTTTGCCTCCCAAGGGAGAATCCGCATCGGCGACGACGACGAGGGAGCGTGAGGTGCTGTGTTTAGTGGGCAGAGGGGTATATTTATGACTATTGCATAACTGGTACACAAGGTGAAATTGGACTGGAAGGGAATCGTTCAACGGCATTGCAAGACTAGGAGGGAAATATGCTCGGGTCAAATTGAGAGAGCTAGGCAATACTAAACAGGCGTTCGTTGTGAAGAACCAGCATCAACCCATGCCATATTGAAGAGAACTCGTCATCATGGGTGCTACCTATGCGAGACTCTGGGCTAAAGATCACGCCAGGAAGGAGATCCGCCTCGTAGCAATAGGCTGCCCCGATGCTCAGGAACACGACTGTCGTGTGGGCCCACAGTCCTGGTTCAGCAAATGTCTTGTAGAAGAAGTCAACGAGAAATCAGTTAACGATGAGGGGGTTCGATATCAGCACTTGCAATACCGAACCCATGGTAAAATTTTGAAATTGGAGGATATTTGACGACCACTCTGGTGAGTCCAACCTCGCAAGAGTGGGACGGTAATCAGTTCAGGAGCCAGCTTGCGGCCTGGGTGTCAGCCAGGGTCGTCTTAGCATGTGTCATCGCGTTCCCTGCTTTTACCAACATCACCGTTTTGCCAAGTTTGGGAATTGCTGGCTCGGTCAGGCGTCAAAGAAGGGATTGGGAAACAGAGCTGTCGGGGACTTGGGCCGTGATACTACTTTGCGCGCGAGGCAGGACACGGTTAGTACGCGGTCAGTGGATGGACGGAACGGACGGAATGCTGCATGTTTTCACAACGGTGGGTTTGGAGATGTTGGACAAGATCAAGAACGATTGGTCTTGAGGGGTCGGGACAGGGAGAGACACTTAAACCCTGAACCCGAACACAACGCGTTCATTGCCCCACTTACCTAAACCGGAAATAAATAAACAAACCACCCCTTGAAAGGGGCGACCAGACAGACCCTCGGCCTTCCAACCGAATCAATCTTTCCTCTCTCAACCGACTGAGGAGGACTGAATTTTCTGAATCTGTGCTTTGAAGCATTCTCATCAGCTCTTCTGATCATTCCACGAAGGTCTCTTATCATCACCTACACTTGCCGAGGAAGTCCTCTGCAATGGCTGACGACCTGGATCTTCCCATTGCCCAACGTCGGACCCGACGAGCGGCTTCGGGGGCTCAGACCAATTCAAATTCATCCATGACCAGGCCGATGTCATCTTGCATATCCGTCTCCAGCACTCCCACCAGGAAATCCAGAAAGCCGAAACAAGTTCGGTTCTCTGACCCCGGCCCGGTTCTCAATTCACATGAAAATCAACTCTCCACGGGCCTCACGCCCATGATCCGGAGGACATTTATTACGGGCCGTCCCAAGAGGCGGCACTCTACTCCCGCGCGATCCGGGGGGTTATCCTCTGGATCGCGAGCCAGTTTTGCCGACCTGGACAACCCGCGAGCGCCCTTCAGCGGCGATGTGAACCTGCTGCCGCTGCGCCAAGTCCTCGACGGCCGCGTCAAGCGCCGCATCAGGCGGAACGGCCTGAGCGAGGAGATGAACACCATCACCTCGGAGAAGAAGCGGCGGGCTCAGGAGACCAAGGCCGAGCTCGAACGTCTAAAGGCTTCCGTGGCCGAGAAGGACGAGGAGATCTACCGGCTCCACAACGAGACGGTGGTGGTCGACACGGAACGTGTGTGGGAGCTTGAAAAGGAGGTTGAGGCTCTGAAGAAGGAGCTCGCAAACAGATCCGACGTCCAAGAGGTTAGCAGCCCAAGATACGACTGGACTATGGCGGCCCGGGATCCCTTCTCCGATGACTTTATGGAACTGGACACTGCCAACGACAATCATGTCGACGACGACGACTTTGGCGAGGCTACCATGGCAGACCTGGCATGCAGTACTCCTACTCGGAAAGCACGCACCTCCTTCCCTACTCCTCCGACAACAAGCCCCGCAGCCGCACTGGCGACTCCCTGCCGCCACCTGATGACCCCGCGATCAGATACCGGTGTGCAAGCAAGCTTGCCATATCCGGAGAAGGAGCAGCTAGAGGACGAGCTTGCCTCCCTCCAACTGGAAGTCTGCAAACTGACGAGCACTCTCGAGTCCTACTCGGCATTGACCTCTCGCCTCTCCGACAAGCTCAGCCCATTCGCGTCCGACCCGCCAGCAGACGCCACCGCCGCAGAGGAGACATCCTCGCCCCCGCAGCCCGCCATTGAGACACACCTCAACAACCTCCTCCGCACGCTATCAGACCGCACCGCAGCCCTCCTCCATCTAAACTCCTCCCTCAGCGACCTCGGCTTCCCGGGTTCAGACGCTTCCGAGATAATCACCTCCCTCTCCTCGGCCTTCCGCACCGCCCGCCTAGAGCTCGAGTACCTGACGCCCGGCGAGATCCCGCTCCCGCTGACCGCGGCCGGCGCCTCGGTCCTGGACCTCGTGCTGGCACGCCTCCGCGACCTGTCCCGCCGTGCCCGCGACGCCGACGACTCCATCGACGAGTACCACGCCCAGGAGCGGTCGCTGCGCCAGCAGCTGGGCGCCCGCGTCGCCGCCATGGACGACATGGCGGCGCAGCTGGGCCGCCGCGACGCCCGCATCGCCGACCTCGAGGTCGGCGTCGACCGCCTCAAGGGCGCCGCAAGAAGCTACGCGCGCGACGTCGCCGAGCTGGAGCAGCTGGTGGGCCGCATGGAGGGCGACCTCGCTGCTAAGGATGCCGAGCGCGCCGCCGCGGTGGAGGACCTGGAACGGAGGCTTGCGGGCGCGGCGGAGCGGACTGAGGCGCTGCGGGCGGAGGCGGAGGCGCTGAGGGGGAAGCATGCCGAGGCGCTGCGGGAGGCGGGCGAGGCGCGCCGCGCCGAGGTGGCGAGGCTGAACGGGGCGCATGGGCGGGCGCTGGCGGCGCGGGACGCGAGGGTCGCGGAGCTGAGGGGGGAGGTGGAGAGGCTTGACGGGGCGCTGGGGGCGGCGCACGAGGCGGTGCGCCTTCTTCGGCTGGAGGGCTCGAGGCTGAGGGCGGAGAATGAGGGACTTGGGGCTGCGGTGGAGGAGGGGGAGGGTAGGGCTAGGGGGGCGATTGAGTCGATGAGGGCGGAGCTGGAGAGGGTTGTTAGGATGAGCGAGGGGTTGCTTGCTACGCCAAAGAAAGTGAACGGGTCGGGGAGGAAGGTTGGTGTGGCGGAGAGTGGGAGTGAGAGGAGGGATAGCGCGCTTGGGGAGGAGGGGAGGGTGGAGGGGGAGAAAGATGAGGTGAGTATGCTCATCATCCCGACGTCGGCAGTGGCAGGGGGCTTGGCGGCTTGTGTCATGGAAACGAATGGGAGGAAGAAGAGGAGGTACGACAGTGGATTGGGATTCCTGGACGAGGAGGAGGTTGATGCCAATGCCTAATGCGTGTGATTGCGGACGAATATGCATTTCATGGGTCTTGGGGAATGTTTGCGACGTTTAGGAACTGGGTATAGATCGTTCATTTAGGTTCCTTTGTGTCTCTCTGTACGCACTACGTTCTTCAACCAGCTTCCAATCATACTCTCATTGGACGGCCAGCAAGCCATTTCCGTCTATTGTCATACTGTCTAGGGTAGCACGTGGGTCACGGTTACAGATCGGGAGTTTGAGGCGGCGAAGTCTTATTGCACGTTTACCACGACCCCTGGCGCCGGATCGTCATCCAATCCTCTTGTCCCCAATACTTATCCTTCATCGTCACCACTGACTAAGCAGTTATTACAGCGTAGTAGATCACAAGAAGCGGGCCCTTGCATTGTCCCCTGTGTCTGCACGTCGTGAGAGTGACCGGGTGGTCATGGCGAGTTGGTGAGAGGGGGGAGAAGACGAGAAGAGAGCATAAGAGGGTTGATCCCAGAGTCTGAGCACAGTCTGGCTCCAAGACGGACAGGCATGCTTCTTTTCCCTCGTGTGTGGATCCACTCCGGACCTTAGAAAGTGCGAGCCATGTTCGTAGGAAAACTCCATAACTTCGCCCTCCTTTTAGGAACCGTCGCCGCGCGAGACCCCTTTACCAATGCCACAGGTGGCCACGGAGGCAGTGCGCCCACTTACTCTCCTGCACGGCCCCCTGCGGTGCCTCTGGCAGTCAGGAGCCCGTACACCAGCGCCTGGTCCACCACGGCCAACAATTCGGCCTTGAATCGTGCCAGTGTGAGGTTCTGGAACGGTGATCCTCTCGGGTGGGAGGGGATCGTGACTGTCGATGGCGTGTTTTATGAATATCTCGGTGCGGGATCCCAGGCCACTCCGGGCCTAGCTAATATATCCCAAGCAACGCCGGAGAGCGTCAGTTATGACTCCCACTACTCAAACTTCACCTTCACCGCCGGCCCAGTCCGGATCACGGCGAGTTTCTTCTCGCCCGTCACACCCAATGATCTCTGCCGAGCCTCGATTCCACTCAGCTATCTGACGACGACGGTAGAGTCCACCGACAGTCAACCTCACGATGTGCAATTCTACTCGGACGTAGACCTTGCATGGGTCTCGCGGGATAGGAACAAGGCTGCCGTATGGGAACTGCACGGAGCACCGATGACAGGCAGATCTGGAACTGGCAATAATACTATCACCGATTCCGCCACAGAGCTGTATAGCTGGATAGCCGGTCAGGAGGCACCCGAGGTGTTCGGCGAGGATCACGACTTTCCCCAATGGGGCAACTTCAGCTACTCGACCAGCGAGGTCGGGATACGGAGCATCAGCGCCCACACCGGGTCTACCGCCGATGTGCGGTCTCACTATCTCAAGAATGGCCGGCTCGGAAATTTCACGGGGCCAAACCACCGCGGGTGGGCCAGCGGCGAGGCTGTCTTCGCGTACAGCCACGACGTTGGGACCGTGTTGCAAGCTTCAGTCAGGTACACCATCGGCTCCATCCAGACACCCGTCATCAAATACCGTACGAGCGCGGGAATATCGGCCCTCCGGCCTTGGTGGGAGAAGTGCTACGGCGACGTATACTCCATGATAAAATTCCACTGGCATGACTTCGATGCGGTCCACGCACTCGCGAATGAATTCGAGTCTCAACTGAGGACCGACATCGACACATACTATCAGCAGGATCCCACCACGGCCCGTAACACCGAACGGCCCCGAAGCTGTTCCCACGACGATGATGCCGACATCCAGCCGTACATTTTTGATCCGAGCTCGGCGTACGGGTTCCTCAACCCCGCCAACTTCAGCGGCATTGCCATCCCGGGCGTCTTCGAGTCACAGTCCTACTACTCCATCGTGGCCCTGTCGGCGCGCCAGGCCATGGGCGCCTTCGCATACGCCGCGGGGCCGACAACACAGGCAGACAGCACCGACGACGACGACAACAACCCGCTGGTATTCCAGAAGGAGCTCTCGAGCAGCGGCAACGTCAACACAGTGGACGTGCTCTTCCCCGGCCTGCCGTTCCTCCTGTGGGCGAACCCGGAGCTGCTTCGGCTGTCGCTGGAGCCGCTGCTGGCGTTCCAGGAGGCCGGGCTGTACCCCAACGGGTACGCGGCGCACGACCTGGGGGCGCGCTGGCCCGAGGCGGTGGGCCACGCGCTCGGCGACGACGAGGCCATGCCGGTCGAGGAGTCGGCCAACATGATCCTCATGTGCTACGCGTACTACCGGTTCGCGTCTCAGGCGCCTGGCTGGCTGGACGGGCACTACGCGCTGCTGCGGCGGTGGGCCGAGTACCTGGTCGAGTTCGCGCTCGTGCCGGCCGCGCAGCTGAGCACCGACGACTTCGCGGGCACGTTGGCCAACCAGACGAACCTGGCCGTCAAGGGCATCGTCGGCTTGCAGGCCATGAGCGCCGTGGCGGCTGCGACGGGGAGGGCTGCCGATGCTCAGTGGTTCGGCCGCACGGCGAGGGAGTACTATGCCCGGTGGGAGGCCTTGGCCATAGACCCGTCGGGGAGGCACACGCTGCTGTCGTACCAGTGGCGGAGCAGCTGGGGCTTGTTGTACAACGTCTACATGGACAGGCTGCTGGGCCTCGGCATCGTCGGCGAGCCCGTGTACGAGATGCAGTGCGAGTGGTACACGCAGGTCTCGCAGGTCTTCGGGGTGCCCCTGGACAGCCGGCACCACTACACCAAGAGCGACTGGATGATGTGGGCGGCGGCGACGTGCCCGCCGGGGATGAGGAGCATGTTTGTCAACGCCATCGCCTACTGGCTGAACTTGACCACGACCGAGGACCCCTTTACGGACCTATTCGAGACACTTGGCACGGGCTATTACCCGACGTCGCCCGACAGTATCCGCTTCAAGGCGAGGCCCGTGGCTGGAGGGCACTTTTCTTTGCTTGCCCTGCTCCGGGGCGGACTGAAGAGGGATGATACGACCGAAGGAGACATTCCGGAATGATGTTTAGGAGCAGGTAGCTTACAATAATACTACCGCGGATGTTTGGGGCAGTCTCGACACTTCATTGCCCGGCATGCCATTCTCAAGAAGTATATCCCTCTCCCAGCAACTTGCAGCCGGTGATAAGCAATGGACGAAGAAGAATGCACATGTCTTAGACACGATCGGGCCTAAGGAGGTCAGACTGGCTCAGTTGAGACTCGGCACCAGATCAGATGACGTGTAAACCGAGGCGACGATCTAGGGCAGTAAGTGCACCAAGGCATACCGCAATATCCCACGTCTAGACTCTAGAGCACTTTAGATAGGACCTATTGCTTAGCCGTCAACGACAGCTGGCCGCTGGCACAAGGGCAGGTCTGGCCTGGTAGGTCGGCATGGAACATGGCACCTTCATCACAGTCTCATTACTTACAATGTTGTGTGTTCTCTGTAGTCACGCACTGGCCTACTCTTCCTCGCCCGGTGAGAAGCACATGTCTCAGAGGTGAGGAGGGCGATGCTTTTGTCCGCGTGTCCCACCCCTGTACGGCAACTGGTTGGAGATCATCCTCGATCCACTTGATCCAAGGATGTCACTTGGCCTCAAGGCTGGAAGGCCTGTAGACCGAAAGACTTCCTGAGGGTAAAGAAAGGGGTCTTCGTTCTGATTCAGTGCAGATGCATCGACAGAAAAGGGGAGGCTCTAGTGCAGTTCCCCTAGGTTTTCTAAGCACAAACCGGCTTGACGCTAGGTGCACAGCCTTGCCCATAGCCAACGGCTCGGCGGTTACGGTTAATGAGGTATTGAAGCAATCTTCAAACGGGGAGAGAAATGGATCTGCATCGAATCGGTAGGGCCAGGCAAACAATGGGGGTGCGGGACGATGGGAGGTGCGGGACGATTTGGTAGGAATCCGAAACAGCACAGCCCACACACACCCGTCAATCGGTGGCGTTGTCTGTGGTCGCAATTCCATTTCGTGGTTTTTTGCCAGGGCAAGCGAGTTGGTGGGGTTGGGAGGGCGCGGAGCATTTGCAGGAGTCCAGACAATAACAAAAGAGGAGAAACTTATGCATAGTAATTTTAGCTCGTTACCTGTTGCCCAGGCCACTAGAACCTTGAATATAGGCTAAGGAATATGTGAACACAAGTATCTACAAGGACCCCAGACTTGTACCGGGCAAGGCCGTGTACGCTAGTGTGCCCTCCACGTTTCTCCTGGTGGCTTGTGATGCGTTGTGTTAGTGCAGCTTCTGTTTTGTCTTGTGCCTCCTGCAGAAATGCAGTTGGTCTACTAGCAACGCCTAGCATATCCTGCTGTGTGCATATTTAACCGCCCCACCGACAGGAACGCCAACGATGAACCCCCTGCATGAGACTTTGCCCAGTACGCGGTAGCTCCTTGGATGATATCACGCTAGTCCAACCCACGGACTTCCAGCCATGAGACATCATGGTTGATGCCCGCGAAAATCCCTGCCTCTCTCAATGCATCCCTATCAAAAGCCAGGCACCGTATGGCTCGATCAGGGCCTTATGCATGCCAAGTGGGGATAGATCCTGAGAAGCTGCAGCCACCGTCTAGCCTGTTCGAGATAACCTGCCATTTTCCTTTTTCTTTCGCTCTCCTCTCCTGCCCCTTTCCCAACCTCAACACCCATTCAAGAGCATTGCCTGCTCACAATAGCACGTCATTCTTTTACACTTATTATCAACTATTGCCCTTCATTCAGTGATTCGAGAGCTGGATTGACTCCAATCGACAATCGATAATCATCCCAAATAAACAAACCCCAGTCTCAGAAAGTGACGATCTGGCTCCCCGGCAAGTTCTGTGCGAGACATTGAAACATCGACAGCACCAGTACCAGCAGATCCCAATTGATCCTACCACGCGCCTTGTCCGATCCTTTCCACCCGGAAAGCGTCGCTCTCCACCTCGACAGGCCCTTGCCTCACAATCATAACAACAACGACCAACAACAACAAAAGACAAACACAACCCCCACCCCCGCCAACACCAAAACTCTCCAACCATGGGCGTCAACATCATTGAGCGCATCCAAGCCAAGATCGAGCTCTTCCGGCTCGAGCAGCGGTACACCCGCCGGCGCCACCGGCGCTCCACCTTCGTCTCCAACGCCATCTACGTCGACGGCGAGTACATCTACAACACCCCCAACACAACCGGCTCCTCCTCCGCCACCGCCAGCACCAATGCCAGCGCCAGCGCGGCCACCGACCCGTCCTCCAAACCCCGCGCCGGCCGTCTGAACCGCTGGTCCTCCATGACGGGCTTCGGCTCCCTGTCCAAAGTCTCGGCGCCGCAAGTCAACACCACCGCCCAGCACGACTGGCGGACGGACAGGCGCGCCAGCATCGGCCGGTAGGGGGCGGGGAAGGACTTTCGGCGATGGAACGAGACGACACGCTCGGATAAATGGCCGTTCTGTCTGTCTTGCGTGGAGACACCCACCACTTCCGCAACGGAGATGAGGGAAGGGGCTGCTGCTGCCCCGGTACATAAACGTGGAGGATACACACTTGCATACGATACAACACATTTTTTTTCTGCGATGACTGCGAAAACGCCGGATGACCTTGCGACGGGCAGGGTCCGCGGTATTCTCTTTCCCTTCTCACGGCCTTTTTTTCTTCTTCGGTATTACCTGAACCATTTGGTTTTATCTTTTCATTCGGCATCACGCGGATCTCGTCGTTCTTCAGCGTCGGCTTCTATTTTGCAACCTCTTTTTTTTATTTTTTTACTTATATCTTGGATTAATGCGACTAGATGGGATACCAACTGAGGCTCGGGGTTTTGGGGCCGGAGAGGGGTAGCAAGCCGGGCGCATCTGTGGATTTTCCTGCTTACTACCCCCCCTCCGTCCCGTCGTGCAGAGGACTGCGTCGCATGGGCGAGCATCCTGGAGAAGAGGAGAAGGAAGGAAGGAAAGGGAGGGAAGGCAAGGGAAGGGCAGTGGCTCGGCTGACGCTGTGATGTGCATGCCGTGCTACGGTTACACGTTTTGTTGGGGACTTGTACTTTTCACGAATCGGCGTGCGTATGCGGGTTAGGGAAAGAAGTATGTCTCTCCACGGGGCCGCACAGCATGAGCCCAAAATAGAGGCGTCTGCCAGGGCAGGATGCCCGCGTTAGGCAGTGTATATAACAAACGCTAGGCAAGGAACATTGTCTCCCATGTTTGGTTCGCGCTGCCGTGATTGTGTCACCAATCCGTGCATGAGATGCATCCTGGCCGGTCTTGTGTTACGGATGGGTTGTTCGCCAGCATAACCTAGACTAATACCCTCTACAGAGATTCTGCTATAGTCTCGTCTCTGCGACGTAACCTCGAAACATGATCTCGACTAAGCTTCCAGGAGTGATTGCACATCGAGTTGGGCATCGACCCGCCAAGCGGGAATAAGTACCTAGATCTGTCAGCGCCCAGTCCGCTATTAAACTCGCAGGACATGCCCACGATAAACCACGAGATACGCCGATTCCGAATTCCTTCCTTCCCTTACTCCGGCTTCCTCCCATAAACGCTCATCCTAGGATATCTATCAGTAACCAGGCACACACCACGAATAAGAGACACTTACACTATATAGTAAAAATGGATATCCTTATTCCTCAGGTCCTTCCTCACATCATCCAACAACAGCTCCACCTCCTCGACACTCATCCCATGCACCTTCGTAAACAGCCCAATAGATATCCCATGCAGCCCATCCAGGATATTAGTCATCTGCATCGTCCCAAGCACCTTCTCCCTCCGCCCCTTAGCCCAGGGGTTACCCGGCAGCGCGAACTTCCTCTCGACGACGTCGACGAACCCGGCGTCGATCATCTGGGCGCGGAACCGCGCGGCGGCCAGGCCGCTCCGGCCGGAGCGCGCGACGCCGTCGAGCAGCAGCTCGTTCCAGCGCTGCAGCGCGGTGCCGCGCAGGGACCCGTCGATGCACTGCATGCGCACGTAGTAGTCCTGGAACTCGGCCCAGCCGCCCGGGTTGAGGTGCGCGAGGCAGCGCTCGAAGGTGGTCGGGAAGGAGCCGATGGAGCCGCACATGAAGCGCGCGTGGATCAGGTCGAAGTGGTGCGGGAAGACCCATTCGTCTTCGGCGTCGTCGATCTCGAAGCGGCAGTTTGGGGGGACGCTGGTGGGCGGGGGGGTGAATATGAGGAAAGGGGGGGGAGTTGTGTGTGGGAAGGAGGGTGGAAGGAAGCCTTACTAGTCTGGTTGGATGGGGCTGAGATCTGTTCCTAGAACGTCGGATTCGGGGTGCTCGTTGGCTTGAGGTGGTTGTAAACTAGACCGTTACGGATTTCATTGATACGGGAGACCGACTTACCGAATTCTATTGCCCAGATGCCGGTGCCTACATGGGGTGAGCAGCGCTTGACCGGGACCACGGACAAAAGGGGACGCTCACCAGTGCCGATATCAAGGACGCGTCGAGGATTCTCGACTGGGGCGAGGGCCAGCTTGCCGAATAACTTACAGGCTATTGCATGTTGCAAGTCTAAACGCCGTTTAGCCAGTTGGGGTACAAAGTTGTTGAGATTGATCTCTTACCTAGTCTCTCCTGCTCCGGCTGCGAGGTTCGAGGAATTAGCTGTGCGGCGAGACTTTGCCCTTGCTAGACTCACTATATCGTTTGGCATGAAGTATTCTGGCAGCCTGTCAGTTAATTCTGCTATAGTACTGACGTGATTTAGTTCTGTTGCCTACTTCCTTCCTTGTACTTGTGGAAGGTCCGTCCATATTCTTCAACAAACTCGTACACGCTGGAGGAAGCGGAGACACTGGAAGACCTGAGCTAGGATGTCAGTAATCGATGCTGCAGGGAAAGGGTCGCCCTCTTTGGGCTTGCTTACGGCAGCTCGACACCTCCGATGGCAGAATCAGTATCATTATCGACCTTGCAGGGGGAGAATCAGCGATTTCAAATCAGTAAACCGCAGCCGGCAGATGAATTAGAGAAGAATAGAACCTCACACTCAGCGAGACGGAGAAGTTGCTTGGCGCATTTCTAGATGACGAATCGTCCGGATCTTCCAGGTGGGGACCCGGCTCCAGGGTCGGATCAGTAACGGTCTCCGAAAGCGGGTCCTCGTCAGAATCTGCGCGGCTGCAGGCTTCGGTTGTGTCGTCCGGCACCGCGGGCGGGGGTTCTGACGTCGCGGCATTATAGTGATCCATGTTTCTCGATCCCGAACCCGCTCCGTGAGACGGCCCCACTGTGGATCCTATAGGTTCAGAGGTGGATATGGGCCCGACAGACTCCGGCCTAGATATTCTTGACCAGATAATTGAGACACAACGTCGTGAAGGGAACAGAAGGCAGAGAGCAAGGGGGAGTGATCATATGAGATCTGGAAAATGCGGTAACCGCTGCTGGCGGCGCAATTGCTCGAAATAGGATCGAGCTAGCCATTGACCTGCATATACGCATTTCGTATTATTGCATGTATGTACGGATCCGTACTGTGCATATAATACATATAATACCTCTGACGCGGATTTGTATCCGGCTTTTGACAGAAATGGTCAAGATCTCGGGACCTGGCTAGAGGCATAAGGGTAGATGTTCCTCCCAAGGCACGTAGAGCCCGGCATTAGACAGCTGGAGAAACTCTTTCCAGCTCATATTGCTCAATTGTGCCTATCGATAACCATTGGTGGGGTCAAGACAATGTTGATACCTCAGGCATATTTTGCTTAGAAACCCTCGCATTGCATCATCGCTCCGATAGCTCCGTTAGCTTTGCGGCTGCCCACAGAGGTGCCTCAAACACGATAGACACGACAATTGTGACACCTCCCAGCCCCAATTAGCTTACGCTTCTCTTCTGGCTACTGCTTGACGTTCGGCGCCGTCCCATGGGTTACCCCGTCCAGCAAATACCTCAGCGAGCACCAGAGAAAATGCCACCTCGGTTGACCCATCGATTATGATCTTCAAAAGTCTCGCTCGAGCGCCGGTGCTATGCGCCAGAGGCGCCTGGACGCAGCATCCTTCCCGCCGCCTGTTCCTGCCTCGAACCGCGACTGCCTCTCGCATATTCTTCACCTCTCGGACGGGTCCTCTTCGCCGCCAGGACCTCGATAGCCCCTCCAGTCCCGCAGCGCCGAAAGATGGACCTCCCAGCTCCATATCGACCGCAGCCCCCAAAGGGGTCGTACCACCGCCCCCGCGCGCCCAAGCAGGTGACCCCCTCGCGGGCGTCGAAAAGTCGGCGCAGGACCAGCGCAAGGCCGACTGGGCCATCATGAAGGAGATGTCGCGGTACCTGTGGCCCAAGGACAGCCTCGACGCCAAGCTGCGCGTCTGCCTGGCCGTGTCGCTGCTCGTGGGCGCCAAGGTGCTCAACGTGCAGGTGCCGTTTTACTTCAAGAGCATCGTCGACGCCATGAACGTCGATATCGGGGCCATGGGCGGGACGGCGGCGACCGTGGCGGGCACCATGATATTCGCATACGGCGCGACGCGCATCGCGGCCACGCTGTTCCAGGAGCTGAGGAATGCCGTGTTCGCGAGCGTGGCGCAGAAGGCGATCCGCAAGGTTGCGTGCAACGTCTTCGACCACCTGCTCAGGCTGGATCTGGGCTTCCACCTGTCGAAGCAGACCGGGGGCTTGACAAGGGCTATCGATCGCGGCACCAAGGGCATAAGCTTCTTGCTCACCAGCATGGTGTTTCATATCTTGCCAACGGCACTGGAGATAACCATGGTCTGCGGTATCCTCACCTACCAATACGGCGGGCAGTTCGCCGCCATCACCGCCTTCACGATGACGGCCTATACAGCATTCACGATATGGACCACGGCGTGGAGGACCAAGTTTAGGAGGCAGGCCAATGCGGCGGACAACAAGGCATCCACCGTGGCGGTCGACTCGCTAATTAACTACGAGGCTGTAAAGTACTTCAACAACGAGAGGTTCGAGGTGGCACGCTATGACAAGGCGCTCCAGCAGTACGAGAAGAGCTCTATCAAGGTCGCCACCTCGCTGGCGTTCCTCAATAGCGGGCAGAGCATCATCTTCTCCTCGGCCCTGACCGCCATGATGTATCTCGGCGCGGAAGGCGTCGCCTCGGGCTCGCTGACGGTGGGAGACCTGGTCATGATCAACCAGCTCGTCTTCCAGCTCTCGGTGCCCCTCAATTTCCTCGGCTCCGTCTACCGGGAGCTGCGCCAGTCGCTGCTCGACATGGAGACGCTCTTCAACCTCCAGAAGGTCAACGTGGCCATCAAGGAACGGCCCGACGCGCAGGCCCTCTCCCTCGCGCGGGGTGGCGAGATCAAGTTCGAGAACGTCACCTTCGGGTACCACCCCGACCGACCCCTTCTCCATGACTTCAGCGTGACGATACCGGCGGGCAAGAAGGTGGCCATCGTGGGCCCGTCTGGGTGCGGCAAGTCGACGCTCCTGCGCCTCCTATTCCGGTACTACGACGTGCAGGGCGGGCGGATCCTGATCGACGACCAGGACGTGCGGTCCGTGACGCTCGACTCCCTGCGGCGGGCGATCGGCGTGGTGCCGCAGGACACGCCGCTCTTCAACGACACGGTCGAGCACAACATCCGGTACGGCGACATGTCAGCCGGGCCCGAGAGCGTCGTGGCGGCGGCGCAGCGGGCGCGCATCCACCACATCATCGACAGCTGGCCCGCGGGCTACCAGACCAAGGTCGGCGAGCGCGGCCTCATGATCAGCGGCGGCGAGAAGCAGCGCCTCGCCGTGTCGCGCGTCCTCCTCAAGGACCCGCCCTTGCTGTTCTTCGACGAGGCTACTAGCGCGCTCGACACGCACACGGAGCAGGCGCTGATGCGCGAGATCAACAGCATCCTCAAGGAGAAGCGCCGCACAAGCGTCTTTGTCGCACACCGCCTAAGGACCATCTACGACGCGGACCTGATCATCGTGCTCAGGGAGGGGTCCGTGGCCGAGACGGGCACGCATAAGGAGCTCATCGATCGGGGGGGCTTGTACTCGGAGCTGTGGAGTGCGCAGGAGACGCTCTTCAACGAGGATGGGACCGAGATGGAGGTTGGTGGGGTTGTCAGTCTCGGTGAGGCGGACGAGGGGCGCGTCAAGCAGAACGACGCTGGGGGTAAGCAGGGCCAAACCCCGAGGTAGGACGGGGGAATGCATTGCCTTTTTCTTGGATAGGGTAGATGGTTGGGCAGAGACAGGGTCATCGTCCTTGTGGCGACAAAATTAGACTTGGTTCAATAATCTGTCACCGTGTTGCCTGTCATAGAACTGCTGTCCAGAACAGCCTATCCACGATGAGGGAACACACAACGCGGGCAGTTGGCAGCATCAAGCATCCCACGACAACAGGGTAGACTGTAAATATGTGTCAATGCCAGGCTGTTCCATTACGGCCAATATGATACAGTCAAATTGACTGACCCCGGGGGGGAAATACCCGACGGCCTCACTGTCACCCCAATCACTTGCACTATGTTCAGACCAGCAAGCACATGGCAAGCCGCCAGACCAGCCAACTCTCAACCCCTCGTGCGCCGCAAACGCCACCAACGCCTCGCAATGCCAGAACGCCCCCCCAACCACGAATGCCAAGCACTCACACACAGCTCCGTCACACACCCTGAGCATCCACCAGCCCCTCATACGCCCTATCAACCGTGCGACCCCCCATACCAGGCACAAGCCTCAACTGTGCCAGCGTCTCAATGCAATCGCACCCGTCACCACCCTCGCCCTTAAGCGCGAGCAGCTCGACGAGGTCATGTGCCTTCTTGGCCCCGAACCCGCGCAGGCCCCTGATGAGCGCCAGGTCGCGCGAGTTGACGATATCGAGCAGCTTCTTTGTGCGCGGGGTAGGCGGCGGCGCGCCGAGTTCGCCGAAGCAGACGGTGGCGGGTGTCTTGCGTGTCTTACGCCCAGCCTTGACCCTGGCCCGCGGGACGTCATCATCATCATCATCGACGTCCGCCTCGCCGCCATCGTCGCGGTACTCGTCTTCATCGTCGACGTCCCGACTCGACGAAGTAGCAGCAGCAGTCTTCTTTCCCACCGCAGCGGGCCCGCCCCCGCCCACCCTCGCCCTCAGCCTCTCAATCTTCCCCACCAGCTTCGCCTGCCCCGGGAAGAACGGCAGCGCCGCCTCGTATAGCGCCAGCGCGCCCGCCTCGTCGCCGCGCTCCTTGGCCTGCCGCGCCTGCAGCAGGAGCCGCAGGCCGTCGGACCGCCCGTCCCCGGACCTGTACTGCTGCTGCTGGGACCGGCCGCGCTCCTCCTCCTCGTTGATCCGCCGCTCCAGCGCCTCCAGGCGCCGCTGCACCTCGTCGCTTATCTGGCTCTGCATCGACGACGCGGAGTCTGCGAGGGGCGCGGTTGTCGGAGGGGCTGGGGTGGGAGACGCAGGGGCAGGGGCGGCCGCGGCCGCGGTGGCGGTGCGGGAGGCGAGGATCTCGGCTACCTTGCGCTCGACCATGGCTTCGATCTGCGCCGCCGAGATGGACGGCTGCTGCTGCTGCTGCGGCTGGACGCGGACCAGGGGCTGGTGCGTCGGCCTGGCCAGCTTGGAGGCGCGCCCGCCGCCGGCCTGCGAATCAGCTGCCGGGTCCAGCGGCCGCTTGGCGGCGTTGGATCGGCGGGGCGCCGCCTGCGGCTGCGGCTTTGTCCTGTCCGTGTACACGGAGAAGGCCTTGATGGGCTTGTCCGAGGTGGAGGCGGCCCTGCTGGCGGCGAGGGCGGCGGCGCCCGTGTGCACGTTGTGCGCGTTGGCGAGGGGCCGCAGGGGCTGGCGCTGGATGCTGGCGCCGCCGATGGACGAGCTGGCCGCCCTCGGCGCCTGCTTGAAGACGACCTCGTTCTCGATCTCGCGGACCTCGATGCGCTTGGCGCGCGAGCTGACGTTGAGGCTGCTGAGGGTGTCGAGGTGGTAGCTGCGCATCGGGGCGAGGTTGAGGATCATGATGGTGATGCCGTTGTTCTGGCCCAGCGACAGGATCCGCGTCATCTTGGACTCGCGGTAGGGGATGCGCTTGTCGCCGCGCGAGATGGCGTCGATGCACTGGCTGAGCACAAACAGGCTCTTGTTGATGGCCGCCGACTCGACGAGCCGCTCCTTGCCGTTGTCGGTACGCCGGTTGTCCTCAGACCCGGCCAGGTCGATGGCCGACGCCGTGCTCTCCCGCACCGTGTCTCCCGTCGTCTGGGTGACCTTGACTCGGAGGATGGCGTGGCTCCTGCTGCTGTGCGCGTTGAGCTTCGTCGAGGCCGTCACGCGGTTGGTGTTGGCTTCGATATACAGCCGCTCAAAGTCCTTCAAGTCCTGGCAGGACCGCTCCGAGAGACCCACGACAATTGTTTTGCCATCCTTTTCCCGTAGCGGCAGCCCGGAAGGCGTCCGCTTATCTGGGGGCTCCAGGAGGTCAAAGACCTTGTCATTGTAGATCTCGTAGTACGAAAGCGCGACCTCGACCGCCGTCTCCCCGCCCGTGTCTTTGGCGATCTTCTTCCCCCTACGGAAGACACCGCTGAGCAGCCTGGGAATCACCCCACGTTCCGCCAGCTTGAGCCCCCCTCGCATCGTGTGTGTTTTGCCCGTGCCAGTGACGCCGTAAGCAAATATGGTGACATCGAGACCTTGGAAGAGAGCCTTTAGGTGAGGTGCAACTATGCGCCGTTAGCATTACCCAGCCGAGCGAATTGGTGATGGCAAGCTGTACCTTCTGCCGTAAATAGCTCCTCCTGTGATGTAGGCTGGTCGTAGACGCCATTGAAGGCGAAGGAGAACTCTTCCGTCTCGTTTTTGGGGTTGGGTATCTTTACGATGTTTGGCTTTTTTCCCTCTTCACTGCTCTGAACCGTGACGATGGTGTCTTTATCCCACTCTTTCTCGAGAAGGGGCCGTATTCTTGCAACGACTCGAACAGACATTATGGCTGTTTGGGTTCCCAGGGCATAAAAAGCACAGGACCAGCGAGTGCCGAGGTGTGTGAAGATTCCGCCCAGTGCTGAGATGGATTAATGGGGCGGAATATAGGCTTGCAAGCATATAGCAGCAACAGAAACAGCAAGAGAAACAAGGCCAGTCGAAGAAGCTTGGGCTGCTTGGTGCGTTGCTTGACTGGAAATTGGTGTTTGCTGGGGGTATCCAAGAACACTTGTGGGTCTTAGTTGGCAGAGCAACGAGTCGCCAAGCACCTGCTTGCGTGGGGTTTGGTTTTTAACATGGCCTGTGCTCCCCGACCTTCCATCGAGCCTACGACATGGAATTTCTTGGGACCGAATTCTTGTCGGTAGCTTTAAGTCGACAACAACCTTCGCCATGCGCAGGCAATCACCGCTAGTCAGGTCGGCGCGGGGCATTGGCCTGGGGATGAGGACAGTGAGGCCGTCCTATGTCTGCTGGCAATGTAGATCGATCCAGATCAGCGCATCCCCCGCTACCGAGTTGCCGAGAGTTGGCGGCGATGCCTTTGGAGCTCTCATCGAGGATTCTAGGGACTCGGCCGGTATGAGGATCCGTTCAATGCTGCGTTGCTGTTAACTAACAGCTTATGTAGACGCCCGGTTCGAAGTCCTCGGCTCCCCATACTCCCTGCTCACCGTTACTCTGTCAGCATCCCAGAAGCTCTACACTCGACGAGGGACTCTTGTGTCGGTCGCGGGCAAGGTTGAAAATGTGAGGATTGCCCGGTGGACTGCTATATTCTGGGGCGCACTGCTAATAGCTAGGTGGATTGGCCAGGCGCAATCTACTCTCTCGATCCTGTCTCCCCTGCGCCGAGCCTTCCTTGGCATGCCCTTCCTCTACCAGCGCGTCAGCTCTACAACACCGATCACCGCCCTAATTGCAACCAAATCCCCGACTACCACTTTCTCCGTCCTACACCTTGACGGCACGACCGACTGGATGGTGGCTCAGCGGAATGCGCTACTCGCCTGGACAGGCCACACACTATCCCTCTCGCCGCGCGTCCAACGGGGCCTCTCGATGGCGCATTGGGGCAGCACCCACCTGACAGGCCGCGGGCTGGCTGCACTGTCCGCTCCCGGGCAGACCTACCAAGTCACGCTTGGCGAGGGGGAGGAGTTGGTCCTGCACCCGTCACACGTGGTGGCATACTCGATAAACCGGAACCCGCCACAGCCATTCCGGCTGAAGAGCAACACTCTCCGGTTGCAGGTGCCGTCCGTGCCGGCCTCGGTGCGCTCTGCAGCGGAGCGGCTCGTACCGGAAGGCCTGTCGCGGTTCTGGAGAGCGATGCGTGATACCGACACATACAAGTTCCTCGCGCGCCTGCTCTTCGGGCTGCGTACGACGGCGCGAAGGTCTGTCTGGGGCGATAGGCTGTTCCTGCAGTTCAAGGGCCCGACGACGATAGTCATGTCGAGCAGGGGGGTCAGGGTTCGTGACGTCTTGACAAGGAACGATGTCAACGAGATCGCAGACACAGAGGCCGGCGTCGTCCCTGCCGCTGTCGAACTCGCGACCACTCCGAAGAAATTGCTGGAGCCGCAGAAGAGCGATCAACCAGTGGCCATCCATGTGGCCGCTGTCGGCAAGGATGGGAAGGTCAGGTTTGAGGATACGAAGGACTTGAAGGAATTTGTCCGATAGGCGGCTCTCAAATTATCCCTGGCCCAGCCTAACGCCTAATCGGGCCTCTCCTTTGTAATCGTAAAATAGTGTACATAATAGGAATTCAGGGGTTCGGGAATCGGCGGCTCAACTGGGGGTGATGGATGTCATCTGTATTTCGGCTGGGAACCTTCGATTAGCAGATCTATCCTCCACTTCATCTGCATAGGAGTCTCCTTTTCCCGTGAGGGATATCCGACAAAACGAAGACATGACAAACCAGCCTTGATCTCCGCGGTCTCAAGCTACCCAATCAACGATGACAGATGGGAAACCAGATTGCGGACCCGACTTGACTCTCAATGCTTTTGTGATAGTGCTACCTGATCCCCTATGAGCATCAGTGTCGAATGCCCGCGGCGTGGGCTTTTCTAGGTCAATTATTGTGTAGAGGTAAGACAGTTTAAATTGCAAGGCTGACACACACATGACCACAACGCCTCCTACCTGCTGGTGAGCCGGCAAGCAAATGGGCTGAAAAAGCAGCCCCCGAAACTGCCCGGTATAAAGTCAAAACCTCTAAGCGAAACACAATATACTGCGGTAATGACTTTACTCATGCTAGAAGGTCAGAGTGACATGCAAAAAAAAAAAAAAGGAAACAGAGCCCATCCCCAGATTACAAAACTTAACCTGCCTATCGACTGCAGGACCCCATCAAATACCCCATACGCCTTACGGGCGCTTTATTCTCAGCGTCAATATTATCATGTACTGTACTCGGCGATAACGTTCTTTCGGTTGCGAGATGATAATGGGCAGGCAACTGTGTTCGGGGGGTAACGGCTTAACACTAAACTAGCCCGATAGGGAAGGCGACGGACCGCGCCCCTGCCGATCTGCGCGGTCTGCGGCTGGGTTGCATTACGACCTGCCTCCTCGACTTAGACGGAGGCTCTGATCCTGTCAGCTTACTGGACAGCCTGTAATCCCCCAGGGATCCTACCTAAGCTTCGACCCACGGCACCTATGCAAAACGGAAGGTGCCCCGCACAACCTGGTTTGGATCTGGCTCGGGACCCAATCCTCGGATATCACGAGCAGCCTTGCACTGAACGCGGGGGAAGGTGCTTGGTTGACCGATTAAATTACACCGCGGGGCTCCGCCGCTCTCTGTTGATAGAAAAGACGTGCGACGCCCTTCCTCCTCGACATGACTGAACTCCATCCTTCTCGGCAGGGACCGCTCGCCCTGAATCAGTCGGTGAACTTGGACTCGGATCCCCAACCACCATGAGGCTAAACACAATCGCCGCAGTCGAGCTTCTGCTCTCGGGCATTGCCTCGGCCGTCTTCAACCGCGGCGCTGGCATGCTCGTTGGTCCGTTTAGCGACGACGACGACACAAATGCCCTCGGCGTCAACGGCACCAATGGTTGGGGCACATTCGACCAGCTCATCGACCACTCCAATCCCAAGCTGGGCACCTTCCCCCAGCGGTTCTGGTACGGCACCCAGTTCTGGAATGGCCCTGGCTCACCCATCTTCTTGGTGAACCCGGGCGAGCAGAGCGGGGCCAACTTCAACAAGACGTACACGACAACCCAGCGTCTGGCCGGGCTCATGGCCAAGGAGATGGGCGGTGCCGTCGTCATCCTCGAGCATCGGTACTGGGGAGAGTCGTCTCCGTTCGAGAACCTGACCAGCGAGAACCTGCAGTACCTGACCCTGGAGAACTCCATCAAGGACAACTCGTACTTTGCCAGGAATTTCGACGCGCCTTTCGACGACAGCGGCAAGACCACGCCGGACCAGGCCCCATGGGTCTTCTCTGGCGGCTCATATCCGGGAGCTCTGGCTGGCTGGATCGCCGCGCTCGACCCCGGCACCTTCTGGGCCTATCACGGGACCAGCGGCGTTGTGCAGGCCATTGGCGATTTCTGGCAATATTTCCAGCCCGTCCTGGAGGCCACGCCCAAGAACTGCACCAAGGACTTGACCGCCGTTATCGACTACATTGACGAGGTCCTGTTGCACGGCAGTGACACTCAGAAGCAGAAGTTGAAGGACAAGTTCCTGCTGAGCGACCTTGAGGATGCCGACTTTGCTTCGTAAGTTGCCCAAGCTGAATACTTTCGGCGCCGTGGCTCAAACGGGGTGACCTATGGAGACCAAGCGGACTGACATGACTCTCAGTGCAATTGAGAATGGGCCATGGACCTGGCAGTCAACGCAGTTCTATTCCGCCACAACCCTTGGCTACTCTCCGTACTACCAATTCTGCGATTATATCGAGGTATGTCACTTGTCGCTAGATCAACTCCAAACCCAAGCTTTTGAATGGCGCTGACTAGTTCGACTAGAATGTTTGGCCCAATTCCACCAACAAAGTTCCCGGGCCGGAGGGAGTCGGTCAGTGCAAGGCTCTCCAGGGATATGCCAAGTGGTTCACAGAGGTGTCCCTTCCAGGCAGTAAGCGCAACCTCTCTAACCCCAGCAACTCTTCACCCGAGCTAACCGTTGTCTCCCTCCCCATTTAAGCCTGCAAGGAGGCTGGATATGACGAGTGGCAGGACGATCTCAGCACGGGCTGTTTTGCCAACCTGAACGCCTCAAACCCAGCATACAAGGACCTGTCTCTGGACAATTGGGTAAACCGGCAGTGGATGTGGATGCTGTGCAACGAACCGTATGTCCTCGTCCCGTGTTACCCCACCTCTTACCTCACCTCCCTTGCCAAATACGCAAGTTGCTAATCCATGTTCCGCAGCTTCGGATACTGGCAGGATGGCGCGCCGAAGGACCGGCCGTCGATCGTCTCGCGGCTCGTGGACGAGGCCTACTGGCAGGCACAGTGCCCGCTCTTCTTCCCCGAGGGCGGGTACGGGATCGCCAAAGGCAAGACCCCGGCTGACGTGAACGCGTACACGGGTGGCTGGTCGGTGACCAACACAACGCGGCTGATGTACGCCAACGGCGGGCTCGACCCGTGGCGTGACTCGACGGTCAGCTCGATATTCCGTCCGGGCGGCCCGCTCGAGAGCACGCCCGAGCTGCCGGTCCGCGTCATACCCGGTGGCGTACACTGCTCGGACCTGTACGGGCAGAACTGGGACGTCAACCCCGAGGTGAAGCAGATCGCCGATGACGAGGTCGAGAACATGAAGACTTGGGTCGCCGAGTTCTACGCGGAGAAGGGGGCTAAGGGGGTGGCGGGGAGGAAGAGGTGGACTGCGTAGGTCCCCGAAGCTCCCCGTGGGACAATATGACGACGCTGGCGGGTGAGGTGGCAAGTGGATAATGTATGGATGTACCTATGTGGCGGTGGGAAACGGACACGGTAGAGATAATTGTAAATGGGCAAAGTATCCAGTAATTATCTTCGCCAAGAGTTAGCCCCTGAATACCCAGTCCCCTCCCTCCCTTTGCTCCTTCGCCGATGCCACTGCAGATTCACCATGCCAACCTTGGACGACTCAAGGATCCCGATACTCCAACTTTGCCCTGAAATGACTTGTAGAAGATGGCATAAGGTTTGTTAACTAGACGTCAACGCCTGTTTAGTTGCTTGGTCTCTATTTAAGGGGCATTGCCGCTCAGGCAGCCAGTTGCCAACGGAAGTGAGAGGGGATCTCGGTTGCAAAGTCGAGATTGTCACGGATGGACGAGAGTCCTGTTTGTTTAGATCCTTCTACTGCGCCTCGCATTCTTTTCCTCCCATCCTCTCTCCAAGCAAAGGCAGTATAATGAATCCACCTGTACTTCCTGCAGGGAATTTATGAGCCCTCGGTTAGAGTTGACGCAATCCAAACATGCTGCTGCACCGAATCATAGAGGCTTCCGGTGCCGAGATTCGGGTTGCAAAGCCATTCCTTCTGGTTGACCTATATACCTGTCTATATAGCATGCATTTTATCTAAGCCGTGTTATTTGTATCCCTGCATTACCGACTATTTACAGAGCGATGCTCGGACTCCAAGACAGACACGCTAAGCATGTCATTTATCCAGAACAGCCAAGAAGTACGGTGTATGGTTGACGGCCAGAATACGGGTGCTGACCAAGGCCAGGATATCCATTTTCCTATCTTCCCTCGGTCTTGACCTTGACAAGGCACCAATCCCAGGTGCCGAAGCATCCCGTGCAATTGCTTGCCGGCTGCAAGGTACTTACCGGAGTTCCGAGCTTATGATGGGCTCAATTACCCGGTTGACTTGGCAGGCACGGAGCGCGCACGTCTGGATGCCGGAAGAAGCAAATCGCCTTGGGGGCGCAGATCTCGATTGCGGCATTGAGGCTATTGGGGCTCTTTTTCATTACCCCAGATTAACCCAAGTGGCCGGGCTCGCGTACTATCGGAGGGCTTCGGTGTGTCGTCATGTTTGGAGGGCTTTGGACAATTCAATCTAGCAAGGGCTGCCGGTGAACCGCAATTGGTGGTGATAATTTGCGTGCAAACAACCGAGAGGGGGGCTGGCATTTGCCACGCCTTCATTATCTGATCTAGAGATGTGCCCGTGGGCGACGAGTCGTAAAGTATTTAGTCTGAGCAGGTCCCCACCTCAAGCTCCCGGTGGGCGTAGAAAAGGGGCACCAATCTAATCGTACCTATCTTGAAGCCTTGTTACTCGTCCAAGATGTTGACTTCCACCACCCTCCTCACCTGGCTGTCGGTCTGCGCTCTTGCGGTCGCGCAGGAGGGGACAACTGGCAAGCTCGGCGATGCCCCCAAAGTGACCGAGAATCCCGCGGCCGCGTACGAGGTGAAGCTCGAAGCGGGCGACATCAAGGGATGGGCCAAGGCGTCCTCGGAGGCCGGGAAGCCAGTCTCGTTTGAGATCGAGATCGAGGGTCTGCCGGCGGACAAGGGGCCTTTCAGTATGTTGGAACCGAAACATCCGATATGAGCAGCTGAGGATGAAGACCGTGGACTTGGGACTAATACTGCCCGGCGCAGAGTACCACATCCACCAGGCCGCCGTCCCCTCGGACGGTAACTGCACTGGCACCGGCGCCCACCTGGACCCGTACGAGCGGACCCAGGTACCGGACTGCGACACCCCGCACCCGGAGACCTGCGAGGTTGGCGATCTCTCGGGCAAGCACGGCCTTATCAAGGAGGCAAAGGCATCGCTGAGGTGAGAAGCTCTGGGCGTTGTCCCTCCCTCCTACCCCAAGTGGTGATGCATTTGAGATGGCTGACACGATTCGGTGTGCCCCAGCTTCGACGATGCGTACACGTCCCTCAACTCGAGCAACGTTGCCTTCTTCGGCGACCTCAGCTTTGTCATCCACGATGCCAGTGGAGGCCGCATCCTTTGCTCCAACTGGACCCTGGTCGAGCCGGCGACGGGTGGCGACGGAGATGGAGACGATGATGCGTGCGACGAATGAGAGATCCGGCAGGGAAAAAAAAGTTGTCGAAGATATAGCAGCATTCTGTTCGTTGTAAATAAGTTCTCAGCTTAAGCAAATGTGCACTTAGGTTGCCTGTCAACTCGACTCTGCTTCTCTGTTAGGCGTGTGCGTCGTACTAGCTCATGCATTTTGTCACTGCCGATTCGGTTCTGTATCCGTAGTTTAACGGTCAAAAGCTGAAGATAGGACATACAATGGCCCCCATAAGAGGATACAACCGTATTCGTTACTTGCATATATTTTCACTAAGCCCGAAGAAATTAGAGTGTGGCGCCTTAGGATTCCCACTAAACCATCCACGGCTTGGCGTCATCCTGCCCCTCGTATCGAACATGGGTCAGCCAAACCAAGTATCTGGAACTCGGAAGGCCAATTTTATACCTGCCTGATATGCTTTTGGTAACATCATCAACAGATCGTGGCCCACGATTTATCGCCCATGGCATTTAGTTTCAAGCCCGTGATGCATATGCTATCGAACAAGCGCTTCCTCAGGATATCCTTATTCGTCGGCCCACTCCTTCTCTTCTTCCTCCTGGCCGCGGCGTTCTGGGCCTCGCCCCAGCTCCGCGACAATGGGATCGGTCGGGGTATGCTGCCTTGGCTGGGGCCCGCCGAGAAACCGGTGCCCGAATTCTACCCTTTCGAGACCATCAGCCAATTTTCCCCCGTATCGCTGAGCGTCGACGAGAAGACGACGACGAAGGAGCTTTGCGACACCTTTCCCTCGTACATCACCAACCGCATCCAACCCGTGCTGAAGACGGGCCACGGCGAGAAGCGGGTCAAGATCGAGGCCCAACTCAACAGCTCGTCGGCCTGCTTCAGCAACGAGGACCTGCTCATTTTCTCCGACCTCGACGAGACCATCCTCGGCCGCCCTGTCATCGACATCCTCGCCGACCTCCCCCCATCGTTCCGCGTCGACAACCCCGACTTCGACAACTACCTGACCATGCAGGCCATGCGGCGCAACGGCACGCTCGACGTCGACGAGGCCGCCACGGCCGCCATCAATGGCTGGATCCTCGACAGGTTCAAGTTCCTGCCCATGGTCGAGCGCGCGTGGACCATGCGGCCCGGCCGCGACTGGTACGTCTTCTACGAGACCGACACATACATTGTGTGGGACAGCATGTTCCGCTTCCTGTCGACGCTCGACCCGGCCACGCCGCTGTACATGGGCAGCCCGTCGCCGGGCCGCGTCGACAAGACTCGGCCGCGCCACGAGATCAAGACGTGGTTCGCCAACGGCGGGCCGGGCTTCGTGCTCAGCCGCGCCGCCGTCGAGAGGCTGCTGGCCCGCGACGTCGGACCCGCGGGCCAGCTCCTGGACCCGCCGCTGACGACGCGCTGGCTGGACCTGCTGCGCCGCGAGTGCTGCGGCGACAGCGTCGTGGGCTGGACGCTGTGGAACGTCAGCGTCCCCGTCAGCGGATACTGGCCCATGTTCAACCCGCACCCCATGCACGGCGTCCCCTACAGTGACCTGTACTGGTGCCAGCCCGTCATCACCCTGCACAAGACGAGGCCCGAGGACATGGAGGAGCTCTGGAGGTGGGAGCACAGCAGGAGGCAGAAGGATGTAAGTGATCCCCCCGGGCAAGCCTCTATTTCCCCGCCATCTTGCTCCCGAACTCCGGTTGTCGGGACCAAGACCCGCGCGTGCATGCATAATGCTAACATGCGCCGCCGCCCCTTATCAGACCCCTCTGCTCTACCGAGACCTCTACGAGTTCCGCCACCCGGGCACGCCGGCCGTGCTGGACAACTGGGACAACGGCGACTGGGCGCGCTTCGGGCCGCCGGGCGGCGCGCGCGTCGACTCGTTCGAGACGTGCGGCAAGGCGTGCGAGGCCAGCCAGGACTGCGTGCAGTGGCTCTGGCGCGGGCTCGACGCCGGGGAGTGCGTGCTCATGCGCCAGGTCCGGTACGGCGTGCCGCGCGAGCCGGAGCCGATCCCCCAGCCGGAGCCGAAGGAGGGGGAGGAGGCGCCGAAGGAGCCGGCGCCGAAGCCCAAGGAGAAGTGGGTCAACTTCAAGAGCGGGTGGATGACGCAGCGCATCGACCGGTGGAGGGGGCAGAGGACGTGCTCGGCCGTGCAGTGGGTTGGACCGAGTATCACTAGGGTGTACTAACGGTCTCGGTGGGGGCGGGGCCCTTTGGATATCGATTTGGATCGGTTGCCTTGTATTACATATGTATGTATATATACCTTGAAGTGTTTCGGGTGTCTGATAGACTTGGCGTTGGATGGGAGGCATGAGCCACTGCAAAAAGCAGCCGATATCCCCCCGTTGGGTATTTGTGGATTATTATGAGCTTACCTAGGTCGTTACTGTTTAACTATCTTGAGGGGGTTAGACATGTGTCTGATGATACTGGCAATGCAATGAAGTTGGTCTTCTGCTCACAAAAGGGGGTTATATAGGTTATATAGATTACATAGAATAGGTAGGAATTTATTTATGTACACTGCGCAAGAGTGTTAGAAGGCTCGTCACCTCTACCCCTTCACAGCTACCTTGTCCTTCAATTCACAGCCGCTTGTCTGTATCACAAGTGACAGTGAACCCCTAGTCGCCCATCCCGTCACCTCCAAGTCCACGCCATCCTATAACAGCCAGCTATAAAGGGGGCGCAGGTAGCAGGCTTTCCCCCTGTCTCACCACAATCCCCAAGCAAGCACACTCCCCAAGCACACACACACACACACACAGAACCCTCCCAACCCGACCCTCGTACCAAGGCTCACACACACACACACTTCCCTCTCCCTCGTTGAAACCATGACCCCAAACCCCAAGCCCGAGATCAGCTAGGTGGTGCCGTGCAAGAAGTGCGGCGCCGCAATCTCGAGCACGCAGATGACGTGTCCGATCTGCGACACCAAGAAGCCGCATACCAAGAAGCCAAGGCCCACGCCGCAGCAACGTCATCATGTTCGCTGAGGCGCGGGCGGGTGGTGGGCATATGTCATCTTCGTAGTAGTAGTAGTAGTAGTAGTAGGAGGAGGAGGAGGAGGAGGAGGAGGAGGAGATGGAGAAGGACGTTGCCAGATGACCGACCCCCCTGGGTTGGTGGTCGTTGGCGTTGGGGGGTGTAGTTAGGTAGTTTGGAATAGAAAGGCAACAAACGTATAATCGTCCCCTTGCTCCCCTCCCTTGTCTACCTGCGTCTCGACTTGACGAGATGATGGGTTGACGTGGCTGATTGCCTTGCCACGGTGTTCAGCTACGATAGAGCATCTTATCAGGTCACGTTGAGCCGGCTTCAGAAACCAGAATGCAAAATCACTGCTCTCACATGTCACACGCACAGGAGGAACACACAGGTGGAGGGAACGAACAACATCAATTGTCCTAGTCTTTGCTCAGAGAAAACATCGAGACCACCGTGCCCTTAGCCACCCGAAAAAGGGGCAAGCCTGACCTAGTTCGAGATCCGCAAATGTTTCCATCCAGCGCTTCCCTCCTTTAAAAAAAAAGAAAAAAAAAAAGGTATAATATTTTTTTCTTCGGGGTTTTTTGTTGTGTTGACGCCGTCAACCCTCCGACAAGCCTCGATCCCTAGGCATCGTCAATCTTTGGCGTGGATATTGACAACTCAATCTTGGCAAGTAAATGGAGAGCAAGGTCTTGTCGGATTGAAATCTTGCGTCGGAGTTATACAGCATTATGCTGCTGGTGGCATCGTTTTGCTTGGCGGGTCGCATAGAGGTTGGTTGCGCGAAGGTCAAGCAGCTGTTGATGCCGCGGCCAAGGAATTGTCTGGTGAGCCGCACGCGGTAGAAATAGCAAAGGGCGGTTGTAGCTTGGATGTGTCAAGCTGCATCGCCCTGATGTTGATGATTGTTGTAGTGCCCCAAAACGGGGCTTCTCTGGCGGGAGAGGACTGCGAGGAGCCATTTCCCTTCCATGATTGGGTTGTCGGCCAACAGATGGCCAGGAGTCGGCCAGGAGTCGTGGGAAACAAAAAGAAATAAGCCGAGCAGAGCCCCATTCAATCCATGCACCCACCCACCCACCCGTCCCTGATTGACTCTCTTTACAGTCCGAGGCAAAACCGCAATCCCTCCTATCTCCCACCACCGGGGCAACAATAAGCACCTCGTTTCGAAAGACCGTGGCCCGTGGCAGAGGCAGTAGGTCTTCTTTTTCGGTCATCCAGCATCCTCCATGTTGGCCAGGAATCCGGGTGAAGGCCAACCGACGCCGTCGGGAGAGAGAAACCGTCTTTCCTTCCCATGCGCCAGACGCCGCCGAGATAATCGTATCCCCAAAAACGCCGATATACGCCCTTTATGTAATTCGAAACCCACGCAGAACATTCCCCAGTCTCAGATAGAGACCAGAAAAGAGAAAGAGAGAGAGAGAGCCATACGTCGTGTGGTCCCTTCCCCCGGCAGAACTTCCGGAGCAGGGTAGTCATGCAGGAGCTTGTGGGTGACCACGAGATCCAGAAGCAGGCCAAATGTAGAGAGATGAGGATGTAGAGTGGTGGAGGGTGAACTGCGGGAGTCGCAAATACTGGGTATCCGCTGCGGCCCTCGGATAAGCCCCCACTGAGACTATCATGCCATGTCTAGGTTATGTAGATGATGCAGAAGTGAGAAGTCCGCCTCATCGTATGGAAAGGGGAGGAAGGAGAGAGCGCCTGACAAATGGTGAGGGTATGTACAATCGGCTAGGCGCTGATGATAGTCTTGGGCGAGAGGTGGCGGGAGAAGGCCGACCATGTTGGGCAGCCAGAGAAGTAGTCGTATAGTTGAGAATTAGGCAGATGCAACGAGCCCGAGGCCAAGGGCGGTGGGCATCCGGGGTGGTGGTATCCGCGGCGAGGGGTGAGGTTGTCCAAGGCCCGAAAGGTTGGGAAATCGGGGGGGAGGAGAGGTATGTACAGTACACCGGACAATGATGAAGAACAAACGGTAGAGGAAAACGAAAAAGGAAACAGAGGAGGGTAACAGGAAAGATGAGTATGTCCGTCGTTACCGCCCCCAAACGACGAACTCATCAGCGGGGAAGCATGTTAAAGCTGCCCAGCGGCCTGGCCATTTTGAACTTGGTTGCGACTCCCTCGTTGGCCACCAAAATTTTGGCGCTGGCCCTGCGGTCCCTGCGGCCCCGGTTGTCCTTGCTGCCCCTGTGGCCCCTGGTAAGGGGCACGGCCGCGGCCTCCGCGACCGGGTTGTCCACGGTTACCTTGGTACTGCTGGCGCGGCTGGTTGTTTGAAGGGCCGGCGGGCCCATTCGGCCGAGCGTTTTGGTTCTGCCAGTCTCCCTGGCCGGCCGCAGTAGGCTTGGGCTGTGATGAGGAGGGCAGGCCCTGCTGTGGAGGGTTCTGGGGCTGAGTTTGCTGGGTGGACGTCTTGAAGTTTGAGATTGGGCGGGGGATCGATTCGGGATTCTCGTAGACGTAGAGACTCTTGTCGATGGTCTGGGGGATCGGCTGGATTTCAGTACCTAGGTCCCTCTCGATGTTGTACAGGTTGAAACGGTCATCCCAGTTAATGAGGTTGATCGCCAAGCCTAGGTGGCCGTATCTCCCTGACCGGCCAATGCGATGGAGATATGTCTCGGCGTTCTTGGGGAAGTCGAAGTTGATGACAACGTTGACGGCTTGAATGTCGATACCGCGGGTGAGCAAGTCGGAACAGACCAGGTTTCGGCAGACTCCGTTTCGGAAATCGTGGAACACGCGGTTCCGGGCCTGCTGTGCCATCTTGGCGTGGCTGTAGAAACAAGAGTAGCCAAGCTCGGTAATCTTCTTCGCCAGGAGCTCGACCCGGTTCGTAGAATTGCAGAAAATGATGGACTGGTTGATCTGCAGCTTGGAGAACAAGGTATTCAAGCAGTGGACCTTCTGCTTCTCCTCCACAAATGCGTAGTATTGGGTGATGCCGCGCAATGTGAGCTCGTCCATGAGGTTGATCTCGTAGGGACTAACCATGTTCTTGTCCGAAAAATCCTTGACTGAGAGGGGGAATGTGGCCGAGAAGAGCATCACCTGACGGTCCTTCGGGTGGAACTGCAAGAGCTGTTCGATGACTGGTGTGAATTCGGCGGAAAGAAGCTTGTCAGCCTCGTCCATGATGAACATGGGGCATTCGCTGAGATCGGCAACATTCTTCCCTGCCAAATCAAGGATCCTGCCTGGCGTCCCGACGATAATATGCACCGGGTCTTGCAGGCGAACGATATCGTCTCGAAGACCAGTTCCACCAGTTGTGACCATGACATTAACCCCGAGGTGCTTGCCGAGTGTTTTGCAGACTTGGGAGGTCTGCATGGCAAGCTCTCTGGTGGGGACCAGGATGAGACATTGCACCTTCGAGACTTTCGGGTTGATCTTCTCGAGGGTGGGGATGACGAAGGCGGCGGTTTTCCCTGTCCCGTTCTTGGCACGTGCGAGAATGTCTCGACCGGTAAGGGCGACGGGAATGCTCTCTTCTTGAATCGGAGACGGTTTTTCGAACCCGGCCTCAAAGATGCCCATTAGCAGATCTCGTTTCAACTTGAAATCCTCGAACTCCAGTCCTTTTGTATTCGTGACATCCTGCGCAAAGTTTGCTATTAGCCAGGCTGTCGAGGAGACAGAACCTCAGGGAGAAACAAGGGTCAGGTGTACTTCAGTCTGATGCCTAGTATCTTTGGCAGGTAGTTTGAGATTGTTCTTCCAGTCTTCCATGGCATCAGGACCGTCGCTAGAATCGTTAGCAGGGCTTCTCTCAGCCGCATAGGGCAGAGGGGCAGCCAAACCTAAGCGTCGATGCCTTCAGTTTGTCGACCAGGCTGTCTGTCATTTTAGAGGCAGATATTGGCGGGGGTGATGCTGATTGGCAACGTAGAGAGGTGAGGCGGTGGCCAAATCTAGTGGGAGGTTTGAGAGTCGAGAGGAACTTGGCGGGCGCGAAATCTGAGATTGAATATCTAGTGGCGGAAAGGTCTTGGGGTTATGGTGTCATAATCCCCAGAATGGCAAGCGGACGGGGTTTCTTTGTCGAGGGATTCTTTCCTGGTTCTTGGATTGGACTTGCTTTAGAGGAGCTCAAATATTGGGTGGTGTTTTGTGTCGTGTTCCTTCTTGGAGAGAAGAGGGTGCAGATTTTGTCTAGGTTGGTTGGACGACAAGTTAGTTTCGAATCAAGCTGCTGCGGGGGATTGCTGATGTAATTGAGTGAGCAAAAAGTAAGGTGCTCACATAAGATTTTCCAACAGAAGGTCTTTCACCTCTAGGTCGCTAGCTCTCGCTGGTTGGGATGAGTTGAAGTTTCGGGCGATATTTTACAGTTTCGAGTAGGTTGCGGCTCGATGAGTCGACTTCAGGTGAGCAGGGGAAGAGAAAGGGCAGGGCCGCATCATGTGACCCACAGGACTTGCAGCCCCGCGGCAAGGCAGCCAATAGCAGGTATCTCCCTTTGGGGGCTTGAAGGGTAGCGAGCACTGACCAGGTAATGTGACAAACCAGGTGGTGCAAGGACGACGAATTGATTTTCCGCAAGGAGCCGATAGCAGTGACAAACTTGCTCACTCTTCACAACCTATCTGTTCCCACAGCCCGCCATGAGCAACATTGCGGAGCTGGATATAAGAAACATGACTTCAAGACACCTATCATGCTCCTAAAGCAAACAGCAATTACATTATGCTCAAGCAGCCATCTCTACTCCAGCTCTGCTAGTCTTCCTTTCTTTGCAACGTCATCATGTTCCTCTAAACTGCGGGGTCCAACCTGCAGTCTGCCATCGCCATGTGGTGGCTGCACATTGCCACGCACCCGAGGCTACGCCACAACCCATTATGGACACAACCACAATGCATATAGGGCATCCCATAGAAAGAAGAGTTCACCGAATACACGGCCCCCCCTATGGCCAACCTCCTCAGAGCCTACACCCTACGAGATTTTCGACCTGCCAAAGAGTGCCCCTTACGACAAAGCTCAGTTCTACGAGCTTGTGAAGCTCTACCACCCTGATCGCCAATGGCATACCCTGCACAATGGCATTCCACATGTCACAAAACTCGAGCGCTATCGTCTGATTGTTGCTGCCAACGACATTCTCAGCAACCCCGAAAGGCGACGGCTATATGACCTGTATGGGGCTGGTTGGGCAGGGCAGTCAGATATGCAGAACAACTACCGAGCAGCCGACCGGATGTGGCGACAGGAGCCTGGAAATCCAAGCATGAATGCCACATGGGAGGATTGGGAGCGGTGGTATAATGAGCGAGACGGCAAGAAGCAGGAACCCGTATTTATATCCAATGGTGGCTTTGCTGGCATCGTTGTGCTCTTTGTGCTTATTGGCAGTGTGGCACAACTCACCAGAGCTGAAACCAACTCGACATACCTGGTCGATATGCGTGACCAGAAGAACAGCCTGATCAGCAATGACCTGCGCAGGAAGCACGTTCAGAGCATGGGATTGAGTCGACGTGACAGGGTGGAGAGCTTCTTGAAGCAACGGGAAGGCTGGGAGCATGACCGGCTGTCTAGACACAGCCCCCTATTGCATGACCCTGGCGACAATGGCGACAAATGAGAACAGAATGTTAAAGAGACGAGTCAATTCATGAGTTTGCGACAGACCAGGACATACCTTTACAGCTTCTCTTGCCTACCCACCAAGTAGCCAGTGCCCCATGACATGGCCAAGTGGTTCACGTGGCCCCCTGTGGTCCCCCCAAAACCTCTGCCACCGCCTTTGCTCATCCATATGCAAAGCCTTATTTGTCCGCCTCACCACCACATGATTCTGGCCCACAGAGATCAGAATTGAGGGTGGCCTGTAAGCAAACCAGAGAACCTATTGGGCAAGATCTCTTTCCAGCAAGTTCTGGTCTTCGGATTTGGAGCCCATCGGATGGAATGGGAATCAAGCCCCAGAAGAAGAAGCGTGGAGAGGATCAATATAGAACCCAGTTTGACGAGACATGCCTGCCTACAACCTCTTATCCCTTACCCCTTTTTATCCTGAGATAGTCAGCACTTCGGTCTCTGAGTGTGCACAATGAGGAGGTACCTCTTGAATGAGAGTAGACGATCCAGATATATGCTGCCATGGGCCATCTCAGGATTCCCAATCTTGAAAAACAAGGTCGTTGTCCACTGTTATTTGCCACAAGGGACTTTTCTCCAGCTAGGGGCGGCAGCAACACTTCGAGAAGAATCCAGAGTTTATATAAGCCTAGGCCCTTGATTAAGATCAGCAAGAGCACCCGAAGTAGAGAAAGGAGACAAAAGAGATGGATGATGGATGACCTGGAAGAAGGGGCCTTGTGGTGGCTACCGTACACAGAAACCCCCTTTTGCCCCTTTCCTAATGGCAGTGCCAGGTGGAAAAGTGCCTCTTTACTGGCAATAATACTTGAAATGCACCACTGTCAGGCATATCTAGCTCAGATATGTGGCTTTGGTGAGGGATCATTTTAGACGCGCTCTGGGAAATCTGGTTTGTTGTTCTGGCTGGTCTGCAGAGAGCAAGTACCATCTCAGATTACGGTCAGGACTTGTGCTTTGAATTCCATCCGTTCAAGTATTCTCGGTCCTTCCATCTACCCAACCTACCCTCCACCCCCAGCCCTCTACCTCCTATTGGTACCTCTGGGCGGTGAAGATCACTCACCACACACCTTACCCCTGCGCCGTCTTTTCCTTCTCCTAACCTTCATCCCAACACTATCTCATCCTTTTCCTACACTGCACTGGGTTGAAATTTCCTCTGGAAAACTCAACTGTGAAAAGACACCTCCGGCAGGTTTTTCTTTTCCCATCCCTGCTTCTCATCCCTTGCACAGCAGCATCCTATCTTCGAGACTGCAAGAGGCACAAGTCAGCAAGCCAGCAAGAAAGCCTCGCAAATATCATTCGCATGTAGGTTTTCCCTCCCTCCATTTCTCCTCCAGACTTTGCCGAGCAATATTACATCCTCCTCTTCGTCCTCGGAAAGTGCGATACGCCGATATCTGTGATTTCGCCGATCTGATCTTCCTCCTCCTCCTCCTCCTCAACCTCGGAAAGTGCAATACGCCGATTTCTGTGAACTCGCCGATCTGATAAAAAAGTCATCTCGGCGTCGTTTTCCTTTCTTTCAACCCTCCCTCTTGCATTGGACAGCTTCAGATTCCACTAACCTGATTTGATATCTTTCAGCCATGGATCCTACAGCTGGGGATCCTATGCTACAGGCTCCACAGCATGAGCTTGAGCTAGAGAACGAGAGTCTGGAGAACGAGGTTCTAGATGGCGAGACTACCGAAGACGAGATTCTAGAGGGCGAGACTCCTGAGGACGATACTCCTGAGGACGAAGAGTCCAAGCCAACCTGCTTCCAGGACCTGCCTGTGGAGATCCAGACCGCCATCTTCCAGGAAGCCCTCCAGAAACCCTCGGTCCACTGGCTTGCCGTTGTCAAGCAGAACTACACCCAGACGTGGGGGGTCAAGATTTCCCCCTTGCCCAAGAAAAATGACCCATCTGGCTACCGGTATCTCAATGGACTTAAAAGGGTTTGCAAAAGCGCCTATGCCGCTGTGAGGTTGGCTACTCTTGAATCCTTCTCTATCCGGTTCTCGATGCTCCCCAACACGGCCGATGCCATGACGGACCTCTTTGTGCTTGAGTTTCGGCGCTCGACTCGAGTCGGAACCGGCAACAACGTTGACTACATAGACAGTTGTTACTGGCATCCAATGAACACTGTGGTGAACCCCAGATGTGACGTGTTGAGCATGAGGCAGAGGTTCAGAGACATGCGCAAGGTGGCTATTACTTACAAGCCCACCCATTCGCACTCGCACCCTGGCCCTGGAGTGCCGTTCAGATGTCTCTGGATACACCCGCAAACCCAAACCTGCCTTCCTACCTTCAGGGTCTGCCCAGTCGAGCTCGCCGGCTTTATCGACTGCCTTCCCGACCTCGAGACTCTGTACATCATCGTCGTCGTCTCTGGACGCAACTTCTTCCACCAGGCCGCGGTGCACCGATACAAGCAGCACCTATTTGGTATGTATTGCCCCCTCTGCCCCCTTCCCCTCAGCCGCCATGATAGCGGTATCACGTACTGACTGCCAACCCCCACCTCGCAGGTCCTGCTCACACTCGACCAGTTCCAAATCTCGAGACCTTCTACGACTCGAAGAACACCTACATCGAGCTCCACGCCCCGACCGTCACGAACTCGAACTACGCCATCTGGGACTCCGCCACGGTGTTCGACATCCTGGCCAGGACGAAGACGTCACTGCTCCAGGGCTCGACGTGGCAGACGCCCATTGAGCAACGCCAGGCCATCAAGCTGAAGGCCCTGGTCCAGGTGCTGCCGGTATGAGGGGTTGGCAGATCTGCCGGGTTGCGATTCGGTGCTGGGGAACACACAGGACCCGGGAATCTCCATTGCTTCTTTCCCCCCCGTTTCGCTTTTGGAGGAAGGGTTGAGTTCTGGCATGGCATGACAGGGCAGGCTGGGGAGACGGATGATCAGTGCGCATTTCCCTAAATAGCTGCAATAGGGGCGGACATTATCTTCGTCATAATAGAGAATTGCTCTGCATGCAGGTGCTGTTTGCTATTTATGCAGGAGATCTGTGCGTAACAGGTGGTGCGACACCAGCCATCGCATGGCAACACCAATTGCGACGGCGACAGCAATGGCGTCGTAATGAGACAAAATGTAGTTGACTTGGAGTTTCACCCCAAACCAGCTAGCATCCGTGGCGCCGAGATCGGCATATTTCGGCTTGATCACCGATCATTTTCGGGATCCATCGTCATACTCAGCAGACTACGGAAGGATAACCAGGCATGGCCGAACAGCTCTTTCACCCCGATTCCTCGTAATTACCTGTGGCTAATCGTTCTGCCCATGATGGCGGATCAGATACCCCGTTTCGCGACGTGCGTTTCGGAGGCGTTCGCTGACGGCATTGTCGCGCTCAAGTTGGTAATTAATTATGAATTAATCAAACGCATTCGACCATCATAGGGATGAACTGACAGAAGCTCCAGACAGGCCGCGCCACGGCAGGTTCCCTGCTTCGATCATGGCTCTATGTGCCATTCGGGATCGTCCTGATGCTCCTGGTTTGCTTTGGAGCGGATTCCCTGTTCAGACTTGCATCTGTGTCTTTTCCCGCCTCGGTTGCATGTCTCATACTGCTGTTCTTAGCCCTGCTTCTATCTGAGCGGCTGCTTGGTCATAACAGAACAAGAAGAGTGGTTGCCCTCCTCGACGTGCCTGTAAGATTGGGTTTCCCCGGGATTGCTCAACCCAGATTAACCTTTCCGCAGGCTGGATGGTCTCTACGATGGATCAACGTGTTCTTCATACCCACGTTCGTCCTTTTGCCGTTGAGTCCATCGATTGGCATCGTGGAGGTCTTCAAGATTATTGCCGTATTCAGTGAGGCGACCCGGCGTCAAATCAAGACTGTGAATTGTGCTGACACTTCGACTGACTGATTAGTTTTGGGATTCGTTGCCATGATGGTCCTCACTGCGTATATGACGAGATGGCTACAGATCCTTACAGGCTCTTCCAAGAGAGCGCTGACAGAGCGGGCCGAAGAATTGGGCGTGGAGGATGATCAGATACCCGTGACAGAAGCACCGCCGAATGAGAGCGCCCCCTCGTCGGCAGTAACCTCGGCGGCAGCGTCTACCGTTGCCCTGAACACCATACAGCAGCCCCCGAGGTCTCAAGACCCTTCTCTTGTCAGACCCCAAGATGCCTTCCAGAGCTTCGACGACATAGTCGGCGGCTCCGAAACTGAGAGGCGATTTGGCCAACCGACGCAATCTCCATTAGCACCACTACGGTCCCGACAGTGGGCAGCCTTCTTGACGACAAACCTGGACTGGATAACCTACCTCTCCATCTTCTTCCTTGTGGGTATTCCCGTTTACTACGCGAAGGGTTATGCCATGCCGCTCCACCTCACAATCACAATCCTGGCATATTTCACAGCCATGATGCTCCCGCCCCAATGGAGGCAGTACCTGCACCCCGTCCTCGTCTCCGCGCTCCTCACCGTGCTCACAACCTGGGTCTTTGCCCTTACTCGGGGCCAGGACCTCCACACCGCCCTCACCGAGTACCGGACTGGCCTCAAATATCTCCAACTCTGGCAAGGCACCAAGGCCACCACCAACAGCAACAACAACCAGCAGCAGCTGCTGCCGGGCGCAGGCGACGTGTTCGGCACCGTCCTCGACGCGAGCATCGTGTCCTTGGCCCTGCCCATGTACCAGCACCGGCGCGAGCTGCGCTCGCACTTCGCCGCCATCGTCGTGCCCAACGTCGTGCTCGCCGCCGGCTCGCTGTTCGCCTACCCGCCCGCCTGCCGCGCCGCGGGCATCGGCGCCGAGCGCGCCCTCGCCTTTGCGGCCAGGAGCCTGACGCTCGCCCTGGCGATCCCCGCGACGGACAACCTCGGCGGCGACGCCAACACGGTCGCCGCCGTCGCCATCATGAGCGGCATCGTCGGCGCGCTGGTCGGGCAGAGGATGCTGGCGATGCTGAAGATCCCTGAAGGTAAGGAGGATTCCCCCCCAGATATGGCGGCCGTGCCATACAGGCTTGCAGCCGGGCATCATGTGTGTGCTTATCATGGCTGTGGCCGTAGACGACTATGTCACCCGCGGAGTGACACTTGGGGCAAACTCATCCGCCATTGCAACGGCTCTCCTGCTCAGGACCGATCCCCGCGCCGCTGCCCTATCGAGTCTTTCCATGAGTTTGTTCGGCACGGTTACCGTTTTACTCACGTCTATCCCACCGATACGAGATTTAGTCCGCTCTTCAGTCGGGCTCTAAAAAGCGCAGGAGGGCGGCGAATGGAGAGTGAATACGGCTGCGCCTGTTTGGTAGTTGTTCCTTCCTAATATTCGAGGGCCCTGGGCTGTTGAATCTGCGATGAAGGACGTCGATGGGGAGGATGTTTATTGGATACCCAACTGCGGACAGAGCGATGAATATTTGACGCTTCGCCAACGGCCAACTTTGTGTGGATCTCTCAGGGGAAAGGAAGAGGTTAGTATGCTGGATAATTAATACCCGCCATTGGTGCTTGTGTTGTCCAAAGGAACAGGACGCCTTCAATATAGAACGTGGCATATGCCATTTTGGATATGTCTACAGGAACCCTGTACATAGAAAGAGCTAGAAGATGTAATTAGATGGCGCAAGACTCGGCAACATATTGAGTTGAGGGATATTGGAACTAAAATGCCGTATCTGATGGCACCATAGGTGGTCGAGACAATTGCGACATCTGGCTACCGATAGCGCCAATGGTTCCTGACGGCTGTTTTCAGGGGAGGGAGCGTCACCAATTCAAACATCGCAACCATTGGTGTTCCTTGCACAAGAGTGACGCCATCCGAGGCGCAGCGCAGCTCACGATTCGGGCAAGCTAGCCGATAACCGACAGCTCGAAACCGCACTCACGACCAGTAGGAATGTTGATCTTGCATTTCGTATTTGTAATCCTACTCTGTACGCCAGACCGCCATCGTCGCTGGTTTTGTGTGTATCCCCTGCCTCAGCAGTCCTTTCACGGAGATATCGTGGCCGTGGCTTTTATTGACGCGCTATCAAGCATGGAGCTGATCTCGCACTGGTGGTTGAATTAGTAATGCGGCCACAAGGGATTCCATTATAAATAGGGAGTCACAGAGTCTTGCCCATTCATTGTGACCAGTAGACAGAACCTACCTCGTCACCATCCCTCAGCCTTTCCCCCATCCCCTACCCCATCCATCCACACCTCCCACGGACCCTCCCAAAATGGCCAACCTAACCCTCCACGAAGTCCTCCTCCCAACCTTCACCAACGGTCTTCTCACCCTCGACCACATCCTCACCTCGGCGGAGAAGCACGCCTCGTCCAACGGCCTCGACGCCGACGCAGAGTACCCCGACGCTCGCCTGGCCGCGGACATGCGGCCCCTCTCCTTCCAGGTGCACAACGCCGCCAGCACCGTGAAGCGGGCCCTGGAGCGCATCGGCGCCGTCCCGGCCACCGACGAGTGGGTCCCCTTCGACGAGGGAGCCGCTGCTACTACTACTACGATTGCCGACCTGCGGGCACGCGTCGACGCCGCGCTGGGCCTGGCTAGGGGGGTCGATGCTGGTGTGGTTGATGCGCGGGCGGGGGAGTTGGTGGATCTGTGAGTTGACTGCACTGCGAGGAGAAGGGGGACGGTTGACTAACCAATTGTTGGGGGATAGGCCTTTCCGTGGGGAGGTGCTGAAATTGAAGGGGAAGGATTTCATCCTCAAACAGGCCATCCCAAATTACTTCTTCCATCTGCAGACCGCGTACGCTATCCTTCGGTCTAAGGGTGTGCCTATTGGCAAGCTGGATTATATTAGCAGCTTCGTGGAGGACCACGCAGCTTCTTGAAGAGGTTTGGGTAACGATGATTGTTGGCGGGTCTGGGTCTCAGCAGGGGCATACATGCTCGGGAGATCTGGAGACCTGCCCAGCTCTATCGGGTTGTCGTGGAGGTCATTGTGTTTGTGCAACTCCATCTTGTTGTATAGGAGCCAGCAGTCACCATCGGGCAAACCAAAGGTGAGATTAAACAAATTCAAATTTTACAGATGCCCATCCCCGCAGTGAAAATTTATTTCCTTAATGAACTTCAATGGTACCCATAGTCTGTGAAAAGGACTCAAGGACACAAGATTCAACAACAGGTTGACAGTTTTATCACAATCCAGACATAATATATACATGTATCAAGGACTTATTTCTCCCGATAAAACACCATGATCTACCTGGTATATACTCCCAACAACCACGCTCAAAACCGCATCATGCCGCCGCCTCGCCCTTAATAGAAGGATCCGCATTCTCGACCAGCTTCTCGACATACTCCTCGAACCACGCACCCGCCCTCGGCGCGCCCTCCATCCCACACTCACCGTCGCTCTCACCGCCGGGCTTGATCCAGACGATGCTGTCGATGAGCGTGTTGTTGACCGGCGTGCCCGGCGCCATGCCGAACCCGGCCTCGACGTTGCACCACTCGCCCCACTCCTCGCGCCCGCCGGGGACGGCGACGCGGCCCTGGTCGATGATGAAGCGCGAGGGCAGACCCTCGGCCTCGAGGTGGGGCGCCAGAGACGTGGCGTAGTGCGACTCGTCCCACGACTTGCTGTCGATGGTGAAGTTCTCGCGCGGGTTGGCGTTGAACGGGTTGTAGTTGGACACGTTGGTCGCGAAGCCGCGGATCCGCGTGCTGTTGCCCGAGCCGCCGGTGCTGTTGCTGGCCATGCGGAACACCTTGCCGAACTCGGCGGCAGCTGGGAGGATGGTTAGCATGATTGTGTGTGACAGTGGAAGTAAGTAATAAGGGATTCTGCGAGTGGTAGACACAGAAAGAGACAACTTACCAAGAGGCAGGTTTTGGTCCCAGCCGAGCCATCCGCCGTGGGCCGCGTCGATGTACAGGTGAACGTTGTCAAACTGCAGGCTGGCGATGGCGTAGGCGATGCCCTCCTGGTAGACAGGGCCGGCCTGGGCGCAGAACTCGATGCCCTGGTTGGTGACGAGGTTGGCCAGGGAGTCAGGCTCCAGGACGATGGCGAAGGTGAGGTCCGTGGCGGCGCCGACCTTCTCGGCGTAGGGCTTGACGAACTCGTTCTTGTAGATCTCGAGGCCGTCCTTGTCGCTGCTCAGCTCGCCCGCGCTCTCGCCGGCGCTGCAGTCCCGGTCGGGCAGGTTGTAGAGCACTAGCCCGACAATCTGGTCCACGCCCGTGGCCTCCTTGGCCGCGCGCGCCTGCTCGATGGCGGTGTCGATGTTCTTCAGGCTCGCCCGGTCCGACACCCAGACGAAGGTGCCCGTCTTCTGGATGGTGCGCACCTTGGCCGCGTTCTCGGCGTCGTCCCTGGCCGTGAAGGCGTCGAACGCCCTCTCGAGCTTGGCGCCCCAGGCGGGGTTGGCGAAGAGCGTCTTCCCATCGAAGGGGTTGGGGAGGGTGGAGTTATCACGCCTCCACCTGAAGCCGCTGTTGGACCGGGCATGGGGCACCGCCGAGACGGCTCCCACCGCGGAGAGGGTGGCGATGAGTGAGCTGATACGCATGGTGTGTAGTGTGCACGACAGAGAGACTATGGAGAGGAAGAAAAGACAGCACCGGAGTTATCTGTGAACGGTCTCTGTGACTGAATCGCTGTCCAGAAAGTCCAACACCAACAGCGATGGCATCAATTATTATATACTTTTGTCGTCTCTCTCTTCTTCCTCCTCCTCTCTCTTCTGGCTCCCCGATTGATGACCCGATTTATGAACGGCTCCATGACGGTGCATCTCTCGGCGAGCCAAGCCCTCCATCTCAGGAACGGAACGAAGAGATAAATGGCGATTTGCCCCCGTTGCTGGTCCACAGGCCGGCGGAAAGCCAGGGCCGGCGGCCAAGAGCCTCAGGATTAATTTGTGTGGTATTCGCTTCCGGCAACTATATGAGCCAAGCCATAACGGTTGAGAATACCAGCCGCCGCTCTAAATTGCATTGCGCCGAGCCGCGCCCTGGGACTTCCCGAACCGGCAGCGTAGGACCCTTATCCGGGATTGGGGCCTGTCGATCGCCCCCGCCGTTGGCGATGGGGGCCATACCCTATGCTGGGAGGTGAGGGGCGCGTGGCGTCATGGATGCGCCAATCTATGTTTCCCCTGGCCAGATCCAGATTAAACAGGCCCGCATTACATCTCAGAATTCCTGGCAGTTGGATTGGGTTGGCACACAGCTACCGTAGCATTACACAGCAGACTCTCATTCATGCCTGCATGCACACATTATTTTGTCCTTCTTTCCCTTCTTTTCCATCTCCTTGCCACTCTCCGAAGATCTTGTCTTCATCCAATATTACGATCCGCCTTGACTTAATTAAGATTTCATCATTCAACTTGGGAACAGGGCAGTGATCACTCTCGGTGATGCGTCAGGGGCAATTCGAAATCCGGCCTTGACATCACGAAATGCAGGTACAACACAAGTACATACGGTGAGTGAACGGTATTGGGTGGACATGATCTCACAACCAGATCTTTTGTTCTCCCGGATTCGGTAGTTCGCTTAGCGAACTTGAGACGGACGCCTCTAAATAGATTAATGTAATCATTTCTTACCGAGCTACCGAAGAGTTAATTATTGTTGGTACTACATGATACATCACATCACTCGACCACAAAGCACAAGATGGATAACCTCAAGTTGCTACCGTAGGACTGACAAACTGAAGACTCATGTTCCAATCTTACCTCGAGAAGGAAAACAGATAGGAGAAGAAGACAAACCCAAAATGCAAACAAACCAATGTCCACAATCCAAAGCAGAATCCAATTTGAATAACCAACCACTCCCGTAAGAACTCCGTGAGACTCCACAAGACTCCCCGATCAACCCACCAAACCCGCTCCCTACTACACCAACACAAAGTTCTCCCCCGAAATCCCATACCGATGCCTCAAAATATCCCCATCCACCCTCGCATAATGAAACGTGAGCTGCCTGCCCCCGGCCCCGGCCCCATGCGGCTCGTGCAAGATAACCGACCCCGGCAAGCGCATGGCCTCAGCGGGGAGGAACTCCCACGCCGAGCCCGCCAGCTTGCGCGCCGCGAACCCGATCCCCGTCATCATGTGCAGGAACGCCGCCCACCGCACCGACCCGGGCGCCGCCCCCCCGCCGCCCCCGCCCGGCACGTGGAAGAGCATCCGCACCACCTCCCACCCTTCCGCGTCCACCTCGAACCGCAGCGGCTCCCGCGGCTGCTGCTGTGCGATGTCTCCAGGAGCGACTGTCCAAAACCCTTGGCCAGCTAGGATAAATAGCATCTTTGAAGCTTGAGAGGCTCGCATTCATGCCCGTTAAAACTCTTCCGGTAACAGGTGGTCAAGACGGTGCCAAAAATGCCCACCGTGGAGGAAGCGGACAGCGTCCTTGGCCGACCGCCCAGCCGGGGACGGAACTACATCGGGGAAGAGATCATGTTGCTCCCCAATATTAGCACCGACCGGAATAATATCTTTTGAAGAACGAATTAGGCAGTTCAGGATATCCCAAGGTGAACAGTGCATCGATGACATGAGTATCGGTTGTTACAAGCATATGCCTAGGAGGCAAACCCATGCTGCTCTAAAAGGGAGAGGTTGTGCCCATGCTCGATGTCCTCTCCGATGTCCAACTTGGAAGACCGGAAACGGCGGGTTTTGGACTGTCATGTAATGCGTTGATAAAGAGTGACTATTTATGTAAACAAAGGGTGTCGGTAGGAGTCTGGAAACGGAGGGCACTAGCTGGAAAAGGGGGTGGTGGATGCAACCTTCTGATATTTTAGCCAGTCAGCTTTGAACTTGCAACTGGGCTCGATTTTCAATGGAAGAGAGGAGGAAGGCGAGGGTGAAAGGGAAAAGCTGGAATTTTTGGGATTTCCTCCCCTTCTTTGGCAGACCACCGGCGCTTTGAGGAAGTCATTTCCCTAACGTGGCTAGACTTGTGTTCAGAAATTGGATTTGAAATGTGATGGCACTAGCGGTTTGGGCGATAGAAATACTTGCAAAAAATGACTTCCCTTGATTGCCACGTCCGCGATGACAGTGGTGGTACTTAGGGCGTGGAAATGTTGGGGGTGAATCTTGAATATTAGATTGAAGTTGCACGCTTCTATGAGCCCTTGATTGTGTCACGCCTTAGAAATCATGTCCTGCGCTGCCGAAAAGCCCTTGATTGTATCCCGCCTCAGAAATCATGTCCTGTGCTGTGCTGCCGAATAGCCCTTGCCCTTGACTGTGTCACGCCTCAGAAATCATGTCCTGCGTTGCCGAAATTTAGCACAGACGGGTCAAAGCGTAGGTGCGGTGAAATGCCAAAATTCATATCAAAGAAGGGACTCCCCTCGAGACCTTCACCAAACGATGCTCCGGGAGGCCAGTCCGTGAGCATGCCATTGTGCATGTCGGCAGAATTCGGGTCTGAATTCGGGTCTGTCACTGAGGCATCGACCGACAGCTCACTTGATTGAGGTGCCGCGGGATAGCGGCGCAGCTTATCCAGAACCTTCTCGAGACCACCCGCCATCAGGTGGACGAGATGCCATTTTCCCGTCGGTATAGATCGGAACAGTTCAACGAGCCTGGTGATAAGATCATGGACCTGGACTGGATCGACTAGCGAGGCACCGTGTTTTGTGGACACGCTGACGAGGAACATGCAGGCAAAGGCTGTCATCGAGTGTAGCCAAGACGGGATGCCATTGAGCCCGTCTATCAGGTCCGGATCCACAAGAAGCAGGTTGATGATGGCTCTTGCCTCGGTGACTGCGGTTGAAGCGAAATCCTGGAACGGAGGTGGGACAGGAGATCCGCGAAGGCCACTGAATACATGCGAGTATAGGTATAGTTTCGCGAAATGGAGGTGCAGAATAGCGCCTTTTCGAGGGAACCGGCCGAGCTGCTCGCTATGTTCTGTGGCAGTTGATTAGTCTGAGCTCGCCCGTTGGGTGCCTATGAAATCTAGGGCGCACCTTGTATCTCGCCTGTCCATTTCGTGTACCACTGCTCAAGTTGATAGTTGAAGTCGACAATGTGGCCCAGATACTCCTGTGGGATCGGGTTCCCAGTGTACGGCCCAAACACGCCCCGAATCTTGCTGAAGATGAGGAGCAGGGTTACCTGGCTGATGAGCCTTATGTCCGACACGGTTGCTGCAGAGCAGCGGAGAAAGGCCTCGCTTTTGTGCAGGGAGAAGTCTTCCTGAACAACTGGCGGCCTACCGTAAATTGTCGCGAGGTGTTGGTCGCAAACATAGAGGATGTACCACAGTCTCAAACGGTCTGCGGCCTCTTCGCTGCCTTCAGCCATGACACGGTCGAAACTGTGGCTCAGGTTGAACTCGACGGCCCTGCGGATGGCATAGCCAGACATGGTCCAGGAGATGTCGCTCAGCCAGTACGAGGCGATGCACATGGCCCTCAGAGTCTCCACGCTGATTCGACGGTCGAACATGGAGTTTGCCATTAGGCGTCGGAATTCGTGGCTGCAGATGCCGTAGATATTGTCGCTCTGGGGATCGTGTAGGGCTGCGACGGTGCAAATGCAGGCCGTCAGGATGGAGCTCCTCCTCCGCAGCTCATCCAAGGTGGCGCATGGGCAACCAATCCGATACATGAAATGGTCGATCCGGTCATTGTACAGCCGGAAGAGACGCTCTGCGCTTTCCACGCTAATGGCCCCTTTCGAGATGAAATCGACGACCACGTCACTGTCAGGATGACCTGGATGCCTTTCGACTTCCTTCGTATCGGGTGAGCGTAATGCACTTATCTTTGTAAGATGGTAGAGGGAGTGAATCGGGACATGGGGCAAGCCCTCGTCCTCCGGGTCGATATTGGGTGAGTTGTCGCAGGATAGCCCCGATTCTTGCTGCTGCTGCTGCTGCTGCTGCTGGGGTGCCGAGTTTGTAGAAGGAGGTCCCAATATGTCCTCCGAGTAACTTGTACTAGGGCCAGTGGACGAGCTGAGCTGTGCCATGGGAGGCATATTGAGGCGTGACAGAACGCCCTGGAGGGTGGAATACACCATATAGAGGTCATCTGAGTAAGCATCCGCGAATCTGTGCCACGATCATTAGAAGTCGGCCCGAGCATGGCCAGGTCAAGGGCCAAACTGGAGACTGGTTGTCCGCACTGAGTCTTCTCATCAATGATGGTTTGGAGGCTCTTGTTCAAGACACAACCAAGATTCCTCTCCGCGCATCTCCGACACGGAGGCCCCCGCTCGTCCATAAGACATTTTATCTGCGAGCATAGCAGGGTTCATCAGCATCAAGCCCCGCGTGTCGTCTAGGTCCTCCGATGCAAATTCACCTTCTGTTTCCGACATGCGGCGCAGGCCTTGACTTTCCTGGATATCCGCGGTATCGAAGCTTGCGCCGACTGCAGTTCTTGGCTTCCACTCCGTTCATCGGAGCCCTGTCGGGCAGAAGGTTTGGCGCGAACACCTGTGGCCGCAGTGGGCGGGCTGTAGGGCTGTATTATGCATCAGCATGAACTGGACTACACTGATTGAGCTTGGCAGTGAAACTTACCGGAGAGTTGGTCGGAGTGCGTATATGTTCAGACATTGTTGCGTGTTTTCATCTCTGCCAAGATGGTCTTGACTCGCCCATGAGAATTTGACGATGTTCAACGACCCCACATATGAATTCGTTGATTATCATTCGCTCCTTCCTCGCCAGCAACTAGGAACCCCCCACGATTCCTTAGCGTGGCTAGTCTCTATAACCTAACCCCTACTTAGTTAGACCTTACGGATCCGTACAGTGGGGGATGCCTCTTCATGTCGTTCAGCAATGTCGAATGGGGAGTTGGCTCCTCTAACGATACAAACACAACTTCTTGCAGATTTTGGATGCCAATCTCGATTGCTAGCAATGGGCTAGCAATCATGCCTCCTAAGCTGACTGATCAGAATATTCAGTTGCTCTCCCCATCTCAGGCGTAGACCTAATTATAGACTGCCCAAACTGTCAAAAATAATGAGAAGGCTGTGGTGAGAAGACTGTGTCCACTCTGAGATCAAGCTGGAAGTATACCTACCTACCTACCTACCCAATTATCTGCCACGTGAAAATGTTGTCGGACAAAAACACGGAGAGCGAGCATCACGACTCTTCCGGCCACAGCTGTATTAATAGAGGCAATCTCAAGATAGGATCGGAAACTGAAATGTCCGCAGATTAATTCCGTCGACGAATTTAACAATGGCAGCTGATAACAGCTGCCATGACCATGGCGTCGGTCTCCGAGCTAGATCCGGAAATTTGAGCATGCTGCAAAGTTCGACGGTCCTTCCAATCTTCCAATCATGGCTGACGAGTGGATCCACATCTCGGCCTTCGCGTTTGCGAGAGCAAATGTCTAAGTCCGAGACGTGTAATTCTGTACCACAGACCACACAAACCCGCTGAGGTGACTCGGTCGATTCTCGACGAAGGATCGAATCCGGCCGAAATCTCATGGACGCGGTCTGTAGAACCAACAATATGATTGGGCATGCCAATATCCGCTGTCAACCAGCGCGAGCCTCGCGAATACCCCTGCCTGAAGCAACCCTAGACTCCTTCTGGCCCTGGCTCGGCCTCTCCTCCGCCAATCTTAAAGCCGAGCACTGTTCGAGGCATCTTGAAACTTGACTGTTGACGCGCATGCCGTCTGGACGTATATTAGTAGAATCCCATGGCATTTTCTTCTCATGTCAAGGTGTCTCACATCTGTTAAATAGACATCATCCGTGGCCCTTGCCCAGCCTTCGTCTGCTTCCCATCGCCAATTGCCAATCCTCCTGCCAAGCTGCCACTCATTATTAACCCAAGTCCGAGGGTGTGTCACTTCTGACAGTCCACGATGGCTCGCTCAACAGGGGGCGGCTCCGATTCGTCCATGACTCTAGACGAGAAAGCACCCGACATGGCGTACGCCAAGGCGCCCTACTCGCCGTCCATGGCGCGCATCGCGTCCCAGCAGCGGGAGACCATTGCCAACGAGGCCGCCGAGCCGGAGGCCGTCGCCGAGGCCGACCTCGAGAAAACCGGGGCCCTTCCCCCACACCAGCCGGCGCCCGGCATCTTCGACCCATCCTCATTCCCGGACGGCGGCCTGCAGGCATGGCTCGTCGTCTTTGGCGGCTGGTGTGGCCTGTTCTGCACCTTCGGCCTCATCAACTGCGTCGGCGTCTTTGTCGAGTATTACGCCCGTGGCCCGCTCTCTCATTACAGCCTCCCGACCGTCAGCTGGATCACCTCGGTCCAGGTCTTCTTCATGACCTTTTCCGGCATTGTGGTATGTTGTCTCCGGTTCTTAACCTTTTCTCCTTTCACCGCGGCGATTCCTGATTCCTGATTCCTAATCCCACCCTCGCTAGTTCGGCCGTTTGTTTGACAATTTCGGGCCCCGCTGGCTCCTGGTTTTCGGCACCATCGCCTACGTCTTCGGCCTCATGATGGTCTCTCTCTCGACCCAGTACTACCAGTTCTTCCTCGCCCAGGGCGTCGTCAGCGCCATCGGGTCGTCGGCCATCTTCAACGCATGCATGGCATCGGTCGTATCGTGGTTCCACCGCCGCCGCGCGGCAGCCTTCGGCATCATGGTCAGCGGCTCATCCCTCGGCGGCGTCATCCTGCCCATCATGATGAACCACATGATTGCCAAGGTCGGCTATCCCTGGGCCATTCGCGCCGTCGCCTTCATGTTCCTCTTCCTCTGCAGCATAGCCTGCCTGACCGTCAGGTCTCGCCTGCCACCGAGGCCGAAGCCCCTGGTCATAGACGACTACCTCTCCGGCTTCAGGCAGCTGTCCTTCGTGCTGACAGTCGCGGCGGCATTCTTCTTCTTCCTGGGCATGTTCCTGCCCTTCAACTACATCATCCTGCAGGCCGAGGCCAACGGCATGGATCCCGACCTAACCGCGTATCTCCTGCCGATCATCAACGCCGTGAGGTAAGACTGCCTACTGCAATCCAAACAACGGCCCCCAAACCATAAACGCTGACCAAGCATCCCCCCCAAAAACAGCATCATCGGCCGCATCGCCCCCGGCATCGTAGCCGACAAGATCGGGCGCTTCAACGTGACCATCTTCATCACCGCGCTCTCGGGCGTGATCACGCTCGCGCTCTGGATACCGGGCAAGACCAACGGCCCCATCATCGCGTACGCGATCCTCTTCGGCTTCAGCTCGGGCGGCTTCATCGGGCTCGGCCCGACCCTGGTCGCGCAGATCTCCGACATCCGTCAGATCGGCGTCCGCACCGGCACCTCGTTCGCCGTCCAGAGCTTCGGCGCCCTCGCGGGGAGCCCCATCGCCGGCGCCATCGTCGCCGCCCAGGGCGGCAGCTTCCTCGGCCTGCAGGTGTTCTGCGGCTGCTCCATGCTGGTGAGCGTCGCGCTCTTCGTCGCCGCGAGGTGGGCTCAGGTCGGATGGGTTGTCAAGAAGAAGGTCTGATGTTTGGTGCTTCTCCGGCCGCTCCTGGCTTTTTCGTGTGTTTGCCTTGGGGGAGTACCTGGGCACACGGCCATCTGGGATGGAGTGCTTTGAGTTTGATTTTGATTTTGTCGGGAACGATCCCTTCGGGATGATCTATCTCGTCCTAGAATGGCTTGGTACCTATGGGTTTGCATCCTCTGCTGGTGGGCTAGCTTGTGTTTTTGGTTCTTATTTTGGAGTAATCTGGACAACTCTCAATTCCGCATAGATAGAACATGGGATAGAACGGAAAAGTCAAAAGGCACCGGATGGTTTGGCATCGTTTCGGGGGCAATGGGTTTCTTGCTTACCTCGTATTAATTGTCCATTACTAAATAATTCAACGTTTTGGACAACCGGAAATCCCCACCGCATCCACCGCACTTGTCCGGTGGCAGCATATGAAGACAGCTCATACTGATAGGCAATATTGGACTTGAACTGAATTGTCTCTTGATTACGACTTCAGCCCTGTCTATATATAAATCTAATGAGATCCGCCCACCCGGAGGGTTTGATATTCCAAGTCACCCCTCCCCTCCAGTCTCGGCTGGGATGGGCGATCTCGAAGAACGCGAAGGTGGTGGCGAGGCCTGAGGTGTGCGCTGCAACTCGAGGCTCAGTAACGAGGAGCCCCAAGTTTAGTGCGCACCCCAGACCTCACCGCTACCTTCGCGTTCTTCGACATCGCCCATCCCAGTCGAGATTGGGGAGGAGGGGTGCCTTGGAATGTCGTCCCCGGCGGGACCAATCTCCCACCGGAGGGGGGGCCGGGCATCCATCCATCCCTCCATTTCCCCCGTCCCCGGCCCGCCCCCCCAACCTTCCATCCACCCTTCCATCCACCCTTCCACATGGCCCCATCAGAGTGGATGAGTGGGCTGGAAGCCACACCCATCCGTCTCGTCCATCCACCTTTCATTTCACCCAGCCGCCTCCCCGCCCCGCCCAGTTACAGGGCCGGGACCCATACTCCATGCAGTAGCAGAAGAAGCATCCCGGCCCTTGAGCAGGAGCAGGAGCCAGGGCGGCACATGGGGCGAGAGAGGAGAGGGAGCCATGTCCACCCAGCCGACCATCTCACCTCCCCTTTCTCATCTCCTCCTTCCACACTCCCTCCAGGGGCGGGACCACGGGAGGCACCACGAATCCATCCAGCCCTCCATCTCTCCCGTCTGCCTCTCCGGCCCCCGCCCGGTCCCCATCATTCCTCCTCCCAAGCCGGGGCAGGCCCTATGAGGAGGGGGAGGTGTAGGGTTTCTTTTGTTTTGCCACCCCCCCACCCCCCCCCCCCAAACTTTCCATTTCCCCTTGTTCCACTCATCTTTTGTTGTTTTCATTATATATATATAAAAAAATAAAAAAATTCTCGGACCCCTGGACCAGTGAGTCGGGGCCGGGGAGAGAACAGGCCCTTGAGGGCGGCCGACGAGCTCCCTCCCGTGCCCGGTGCCAGGGGCTGCCACCCTAGGTTGGGTTCAGCATCGTCCCCCAGAGCGGTAGTGCTGGTCCTGCAGGTGAGGAGATATTGTCAGTTATCGACTATCAATCAGCAAGGAGGGAAAGGTATTGCGATGGACTTACTACGCCCCGTGAGGTCGCACTTGAATCCACCACTCGACCACCCGGTCATCCCATCTAACTCCCCCACTCGGCCACCCGGTCAACACACCACGTATCCCATGTTGAGAACCAACCTCCCGGATGATATCGCGGATCACCTTGAGGATCTCTCGGATGGTGTTGAGGACCTCTCGGATGAGAAGAAGAGAAACCCCAGAGCCCCTCTTTCGTCTCAGGGTACATCATCCGCAAGGATGCTCTCTATGACCTCATCCTAGGCGCCCACGATGCGGTATGTGGGCCCCTTCCTAAAGGGAAAACATCGTCAGTCTTCAGCCATCAACGACAAATCGGGGAGCAGTCACTCATTGATGAAGGATGGACTTACTCGCCTCACCCCACAGGCGGAACGATAATTAGGTATACCTAATTCACTCCTCCCCTCGACCCACCGGTCAAATCCAAGATTTTGTCTCGCCTTTCCCCCACTCGACCACAGGTCATCCCTCCAAAAAAATCGACCGGCCGGTCAGCCCACCCTCCCTACCCAATGACCGGCCAGGTCGATTGCACTGTCTAGTATCTCGTATACCCCAGCGGGTGGTCGCGGTAGTAATAGTAGTAGTAGAAAGGCGGCACCTCCGGGTCGTTGAGCAGCCTCCAGAGAAAGGGAAGTCGATAGTCGAAGCCGGGGTCGAAGACAGGCTCGGAGTAGACGGGGTGCTGCACGGGGGCATACCCGAAGGGGGGCCAGCCGGTGTACTGTTCGGCGTCTTCGGCGTATTGGGGGATGACGTTCTCGGCGGTTTGCTGCGGTGGAGTAACTGGGCCCCAGACGTGGTTCATGTTCGGCGTCGGCGGCGGGGGGATGCTGCCTCTTTGGTACGCACGCCACTGCTGAGCACCCGGGTTGAGGAGTCGTTGGACAAGCTCATGATATTCCAAGGCCCTGCGAGGGTTGTCGACGGGGACGGCGACGTTGCTCGCTCCTGATGGACCCCCATTGCGCTCTCCCTGGGCGGCTTGGTGGGAAAATTCTTCTCCTCGGGGGGAGGCATCGTGAGTGACTTGGCCCGTTCTTGGTGAAGTCCTGGTGGAGCCTCCCTGCGAGGCGTGCTCGCCAACTTCTTCAACGCGAGGGGAGGTATGGTGAGGGGTATTGGGTGTGGCAGGCCCATTTTCCGATGTTGCCTCGGTGGCGGTTCCCTGCTCGGCTTGCTGGCCAAACCCTTGCGAAGACATCTTTGGTTGTGATGATATTGGGTATCTTATGAGGAGAATCAGAAATGATGATGTGTCTAAAGGCGGACCTCAACAGGTCAGCACTTGGACTCAACCAGCAGCGTGGATGGGCAAAAAGGTTGAATGGGCAGTGACGGAAGATGGAGAAGGCGAGTGCCAGCAGAGAGTAACAAGTTAGGATGAAGATAAGGTGTCCGAGGGATGGGAAAGTGAAGGCTGGGAATTCATGAAGAATACCTTAGAGGAACGGAATGAGAGGTGCTTGGAGTATCAAGTGAAAGTTCGAAATGGGAAAGGAATTCAAGTGTAGCAAGCAGAGTTGCTAATGAGGCAAGATATGGAGATTGCGATGAGGGTTTAGGCTTGATGACCGAGGAAGAAAAGTAAAGAAAATGTGTGGGGAGGAGGGAATGATAGAAACCCAGGTGCAAGGCAAAACAGGTGATGGTGATATAGCCGCAGTCTTTGCTCGGGTTATGGGCCTGAGGTTTGGGAAACCGGGGAGGGGAGATGAGGGATATCTGGAGGGTATGAAGAATGTGGAAGAAAATACCGTAGATAACCCTCGAGTTCTCAAGTAGGTATGCCGGAGTGTTTGTTGTGTAGCAAGATTACTTACCCTCGGTAGACTGGAGATTATGAATTAGGAAAGATAAGGTGTGGGATGTGAATGGTGGGAGCGGGTTGGGAGACGAGGGCTGGAGGACGAGGAGTTTGGAAGTTTGATGTTGTGGGGCAGTTTGCAACGCGTGGGGAGAAGAGGAAGATACAGCAATCGGTCTGCAGACGTGTCCTGGACTGGCTACGTACCTGCCTTGGTAGAAAAGACGCGAGGCTGATGAGAAATTCGAAGGGTAATATCGACCTTCGAGGCGAGAGGCCCGGTAACGTCCCCAGAGAGGCGTATCGAAATAAATAGAGAGAGGTAGAGAGGTAGAGAGGAAATATTCTCGAGGAGTTGTCTGAGGGAAGTAAAAATATCCGATCTTGCAGGTCAAGATATGGGCAGTGTGCTGTCTGGTAGAAGTTGAAAGTAGGAAGGGCGAGGTGCTCGGAGAGGTATTTATAGGTAGAAAAAAAGGCGGTCAGGATTTGGAGGATCAATATTCAATCTTCAGTGTTGACTTGGCACCTGGTGCTTCAGAACTGAGTGAAGAGGGTTTGGTTTAGAATCAACCCTAGCTTGAGGAGATATCGCCCTCGTCTCGATATCGTACACGAGGGAATTGAATACAGATCTTGGTTAGGAGGCAACACTGCCTGTATTAGATTCCCTATAGTTCTTCATGTGTCATTCCATGGGACTTTCAGGCTTCTGGCATGTTAATTCCTCATAGCTTGACAAGTGATATTGATTAGCTTATGGCTTTTCTGGTAAATCAGAGGTCTTCTTGTGTTGATTCGATTCATGGTCAAGCTGTTCTATCTGACCTTCACTACCTTGCTTGACACGTTACTCAAATTTCGGTCTCTTCAATGGTTTTGTGAAGCCGTCTGCCGGATTTTCCTGGCTAGCCACGTACTCGACAGTAACGTGGCCAGAATCGACCTCCTGCCTTACGTAGTTGTAAGCCACTCCCGCGTGGCACTTCTGCGCAGTCATGTCGACCTTCTCAGCCCAGGCTTGGGCAATACCAGCATTTGAATGCGTGACTTGCGAGCTGTAATTGTCTCTGCCTGTGAACCCTACTTTGATAAAAGCTTTAAGTCTTGTGGATTATGTTTCGAAAGACTCCCATACAATTACAAGAAGTTCTGTGCTGACAGGACGCATTCATTTCCCTGTAACTAGTCATGGACGGAAAGGGGCAGGAAGTACGAGGATGAAGACATATATATATGATCGAGCTCGAAACCATCTCCAGCAAATCTGTTTTGGGTACAGTGTTGGTGTTGATGTTGTTACTCGTCATGTCGACAACATGGGGCAGAAAAGGCATTGGTCACGGACAGATAATTTCCACTGCTGACATCAATGAGACCATGCTTGAAGTCCAGCCAGGCTTGCGAGTATCTGGCTGATACAACCAGAAATTTCCCGACGATGACAGGCTCACCTGGCAGCATCTACCCCCGTCTTCTGGCAAGCTGGGGTGGCTTCATGGGAGACACATTATATCCTGTGACAGATGCTAAACCCCTTGGCATCAAGCGTGCAATGTGAGAATTGGAGATAAGTCAACAAGGCTGGGACAAACAATGATTAGTAGCAAATATGATGACGTCGTGCGAAAGCTACGAGCTAATCTATGGACAGTTTGCGGCAAAAAAAACCCCCCACGGATATTGTGTGTACTATTCCCTCGCGATGGTGGCATTGTTTGTTCGCTCGAGTCCCAAATCCACCTCATCCTATGGCATGCCGATACCAAAACAGCCGGTGTTCCACCCGATTCCCATCGACTTCAACCCCACAGCTACATGTATAGCGAATATCAAGCAGACCCCGACGAAGAGACAGCGGCGAAATGGGCGTGGGTGGATGGCAGCGCCCTTGGCTGTTTGCGACAACATTGCTAGCTGGTTCCGGTTGTTCCCTCGTTTTCTGCCCACTTTCAGTATCGGTTCTTAAGGGCTTCGCTTGGTAAATCGGTGTGGTAGTTGGGGCCCGCCGCAAGCAGCTTCATATAATTGCCCCGACGTCGTCCTTTGTTCTCGCGTAGTCAGTTCCTACGCGTCTCCCCAGTCTGAACCGATATTTCCACGTTACTATTATTCAGAGCTGGCACGACGTGTCCTCTTCTCCTCAACTCCGTATTGTTAGGACGCTTTGTGTATCGCTCAAGTAATAGGGTCCGAGTCCGGAGGATAATTCGTCGTTCTAACCGAGCCTCGAGCCAGGCTATTTTCGGGTTGCCAACAAAGGGGCAGACCATCGATCACTGGCGAGACCTGGCCTAGTCACTTCGACTGAATTTCTGGCTTCAGTAAGCAGTTTAGCTGGAGGGAAGTTTGAAGGGTGGAAGGGCGGAAGGGCGGAAGAGCGGAAGGGTGGAAGGACTCGTTGGTGGTAAGGGGATACACCTAGACAGCCGCCCAAAGCCCAAGCGAGCACGACCCGGAAAATACCTTCGCCTGGCTCAGAGCTGGGTGACATGGCTGGAAGCAATCAAAGAGCCTAGCAGAGGGACAACACGTGAGTGAAATTCCGAACTTCACTCTGGCACTTGGTTAAGGGCGACCCAACCTCATCCGCCAAGAACCGCATGTTGTTCCCTCGCAACAGAGCCACGACGTGCACAAAAGATGTTGCGTATCCTCGGTTGCATCTCTTGTTTACAATGATGGCATACTGCTAGTCTCGGTGCGTGTGGACGCGAGAGTCTTGACAATTCCCTCCAGGTTACTCATGGAAAAGCATCTGAAATGCAACAGTGATTTTGACTTCAGCGAGGCCAGATTCCTGTCTCTGCACCGCTGTTACAGCATCCACGAGATTTGCAACCATTGCATGCGCCGGTATATCTTCTCCTGCCTGTCCTCCCAGTGCCAACACCCTCATCAACACCCCCAAACTCCAGGTCAACACCCACCATCGACATCGCCAGGGATGGAGGGAGCTGAGTCAGGAGGTTGCATCAGGTAAGTGGGGTCTCGCGAATCTGGGAACTCATTCCATATCTAATAATTCTATGCAGATAATGAGGATGATGATGACCTGCCGACACCTGCTTCGAAGCCACGACACCCAGCGACCGTTTCCCCACGTTTACCAATTGAGATGCGTTCATACCAGAGTGTGTATATATAAGCGACCAATATTACACGGCGTTGTGGAGCAAGGCCTATAAGTCTATATATCCAACTTCTCTTTGGGCGAGCACTTGGGTTGCAGAGGGTGTGAACTAAGGCGATGTCGCAAAGTCAATGCAGGAATGCTATGGACTTGTCGACATGACAGACCTCAAAGGGGCCTACAGCCAGAAGTTAACAAGTATAGAAGACTATTGGGCACGATCGGTGCAAAGTTTGGGTTGTCTGTATCCCAGATGCCCCCGATTCGCATCGTCCTGTTGTCGATGGCTGTTGGCTTGGTAAATGTTGGACCATACCTTGCCTGAAAGTCCTTTCACACTTGCTACTGATGGTACCCAACTCTGAGGGCTCTACACATCCTTTTATGAGTCCTGTTTCGGGTGATGGGGGGATTTGTTCCAGCTCGATCCTGCCGTTGAACGACTTCCGAACACCGAACAGACCTCCACCTACATCCATGTTATCGATCCAGACTTTCCAGCCGCTCTTGTTTCCAGACCCCATAGCAGTTGTCTTGGTTATTGGTGGGCGATGGGTTTCAACATGCTGCTCGGTAATTGCCATTGCGGGTATCTGAAGGTGAAGGCGAGCTCCCAATATCGCGCCCATAGATTATAAACTCCAAAGCCATATCTAGCCCATTAACCATTATCGACGCCTTTACCCGACTCCTGAGATCAATAATCCTTTATATCGGGACAGAGACACCGTCCTGCTTGCAACCCACGCACTGGCACTCTTCAGACGCGTCTGCCATCTCTTCTCTGTATTTCTCGAATTCTTCGTCGAATTGCTTCTGTTCTTCCACTTTCCTGGCCAAAAGGGCCTCGGCAGACGGCGTGTCCTTGAAAAATTCGTCAATACGCTCGGTCATGATCTTGACGTGTTTCTCGAGATCGTGTTCGGGGTCCGTATCAAGCCCGGATATTTGGCAACTGAGAAAGTCCCAGTAGACGTGATGTATCGATTCGGGCCGGAGAAGTCCCAATGCGATGATTGTATGCGGCCACTCTTCCATCTTTTCCCATTCACCTGACAGATGGGGCGGAACCCCACGCATTTTCTCCCGCGCCTTGATAGCGTGACGGAGCACTTGCACCTCCCACATCCAGCTTGATTTCCGCACCGCCAACTCGGGGACGTCGTAAAAGCCGATCAGCCAGAGTGGAGGAACAAAGTGCTGTACTGGTACGACGTAGCTCCACTCCCAGTCGAGCACCGCACGAAGCCTGTAGTTCTCATCCCAGGCAAGGTTGCCTCCATGAAAGCTCAAGTCGCCATGCATCAGCACAAACGGGCCATGGTTGAGCGTCGGGTCAAGCCACTCCTCGGTCACAAAGCGTCTAAAATCATGTGCTCCATATATAACGTCCCGTGGGTTTCTAGTATCGAGCCACATATCCGTTGCCTTGTCAAGATTATTGTCAGCGAGCGACAACCAAGCATTGCTATATTCATTCGACGTTTTAAACGTCTTTCCACGTGGGATGATTCTTGCAGGGTCACGACCCTCGACTTCCTGCATGAGGAGCTCAACGGGCATCGGCCGGTGACAGACTGTGATGCCGGATACATCGGTTGATAATACGTTGGCCGATTCGGAATGGCTCTTAGCTTCACTGTCATTTAAGGGCCCTCCTGGCTCTGCGACGGTTGGCGATGAGGTTTTGGCCGGCAGCCCAAGAGCACCGATACTGGAAAATTCCAGGCTGCGAAGCTGAACGTATATGTCCGCAAGCTGTCTCCGGACAACATTCTTTAGCTTGCTTAGCCAGCCCTTCCATTCTGGACCGTCCGGGAATCCCAGCTAGGACAGAGGTTTGCCTTCGACGTAGTCCATGATAATACAGGCAGCATTGATGGGACTGCCTTCGACGAAGGACCAGGCATGTATCCGTGGTACGGGGATTCTTGTTTTAGCCGCGATGTAACTAGATGTCGTCAAAAACAGTGCGGCATCTATCCGCACCAGGATGACTAACCTCATCGTCGCTACTTCAACCTCTATTTTCTCGTCGATCCATGGAACCCGAGGCGAGATGGGGATCCGCACCACCCATCTATCTGGTCTAACTTGGGTGTCTCTTGAGACGGCCGTCAGATCGAATTCCACAAACCAGCACACGTTGAACGACCCATGCTTGGGTGGTCGAAACACCTTGCAATGATCCCCATTGTGGTAAGACGAGGCAAGGCGGCAGACAGCTTCGGGGTCGATGGAATTGACGAAGCGCTCACGCTCAGTGATCATCTTGTCTTGCAGAATAGGGTCCCTCATGGTGACAGCGTGTGAAGGAAACTTCCGTCCTTCAGCAAGAATTAGCGCCAAAGGGTTGAATTGTCACTGTGCCTGTGGAGGCTGGAAATGGGAAATGGGAAATGGGAAATGGGCGTGGAAAAATGGAGGGCGCGTGTGAGCGTGATATTCTTATAAAAGAGTAAGGCGTCGAGGCGATGATGAACCACTCTTTATCGAGGATTATCAGATGTCGGTGGCAACTCTACTTAACACAGCTTCGCAAGGTAATGGGAAAAATTGATATTTCTCGGAACCATGATATTCGCTTCAAGACAGACAAGACGCGCATAATTCGTGTCTCTGGCTCCCCTCTACGCGTACTGACTATGAGCATCTGTGCCCCCATATCCGTATCCCCCATAACTAGGCCTGTCCCAAGCTCCAGCATCCATGGGCCCAGACGGTCCTCCGCCCGCTGCGTCATCATCATCATCGTACCCGGCGAGATAGTCGTCTAATCCTCCAGGCTCATCCGTCGTAATATCACCCAGTATCTTTCTGATTTCCTCAACCTTCGATTCAACACTTGCAATCTTCCTGTCGACTTTCTTGAGATCCTCCCCGTATTCAACGTACTCTTCGGCCTGATATTCGCTGGTGTGTGCTAGGAATTTAGAATGGGTTTGCATGCGATCTGTCTCTTTCTTGTGCCGTTGAGCAACCGTCTCAGGGTCATGGAGATCCTCGGTCTGTCCCTCTTGCCGGAAGATCCTCGTGCTCCCCGTGGATTTCGCACCCCTGACGAGGAGCTTGCCAGAAGCTGCATCTGATCCCTCGGCATGTTTTGCGTATGTGCTCTCAAGTTGTATGTTTCAACACTGTCACGTTGAAGAGCACTCCTCGCATTTATAAGCTGAACTCTTTCGTTTCTCAACTGGTCGAGTTCTTCGAGATATTGGCTAAGCTCGTCCTCGAGCTTCTTCCTTGTTTTCTCGCTCGTGGACTTTTTGCTGTCCTTGTCTCTGCTGCCTCGCTTGTGCCCTCCCTTCTTATCTTTCCTACTAGACATTCTGTTTTCCGTTAGTCCCATTTGCGACTCATGTCCATTGAGTTTTACTTGCCTTGGAGAAAGACTTGAGGGTTTCGATAATTGGAGGCAGGAAATGGGTATGTAATCCTGCCGTCAGCTTTGGTGTTGGTGGAAGGATGGAATGGAGATGCGGTTAGGGGGCCTGTATAAGAGGTGTCTGGCCGGGCAAGAAGTGAACAGCTGTTGCCCAGCCTCGTTAATCCAGGGCGAAATACTCTCGCACACCCACTCCAATTAATCACAGCCCATTACGTATAAGATTAATTCGCTGTGAGATCACCTGAGGGGAAACCGCAGAGCTGGATTTGTCGGGGACTGCTGTTGGTTCAAGAAAAAGACAGGCGAAGTCAACAAGAGACACCACTGGTGACATTCGCGCAGCTGTCTAGAATGAGTCACACATGGCCGGTAGCCTTGAAGCACGGAGAGGTCATGATCATCGTCGATGGAAGTAGTGCCGTGAACGGACGTGAACTCGGGCCATGGAAATATACGCTAGGCCAGGGCAACCACAACCCGGATCAACGGAGAAGGGTGAACAACGGTACCAATACTACATCTCGTGGTGGAAAGGTCTCCCAGCCTTCCAATTTATCTCCCTGCCAACGTGGCAATGCATCATGCAAGAGATAAGCGAGGCTGTAGCCAACAGTGCAAGCGCTTGGCAACAGTGGGGGTTCAGGAGACAATATCCAACATTGGCCTTTTTGCTACTATAATTGTATGTGATGTATCTAGATGCAGAATAACCTCCCCCTGGCGCGAAATTGACCCTTCTCTGGCCAAAGTTGCTCATCGCCAAAGGCTTGTTGTCCCTCGATACAGTTGGCCAGAATCCAGCCAACGGCACTTTCAGAAAACGGATCGTATTTGTGACGCCTGATTTTGTTGACACGTCCTAGCCACGCCCAGCGTGTAGTTCTTGGTCCCCTCTGAAAGGCTCCCGACTGTTGCAATAATAGTCTCGTCGGAGTCATGTTGGCTAACGATGTAGACAAGAGCAGCAGAGAGGCAAGAGACGTCAGCCACCTTCCATCATTGATAGGGGACCCAATAACCCATAAGAGAGCGAGTCTAATTCGGCGGAAGAGATACTATGCATGAAATCAGCGTTCTGCAAAGACTAAGAAAAAAGCAACTGGTTTTACCTTGGATTCTTGGACCACGACCCCCCTTGGTGGATTATCATTCAACACTTTCACCCTCGTCTACTCAATCTGCCATGCAGGTGTCGAAAAGGGGAGATGATGAGATGACACAGGGTCGGAAACCTAATACCAACCCTCTTTCTTGGGTTGGCAAGATATTGGTGGAGTTCAATCGTCATGTTCTCCTGGGTGAAAGAAATGGTGTTTTCTCGAGTGGGGCTCAAAGAAACGAAAAAGAAATAGAGAAGAGAAAAAAAGGAAAAGGAGAGAAAAAAGCGTGTTAGTGGCATTTTTATTGCATTTTTTTATTTTTTATTTCAAGTTCTTTCACCTTGGGGTGTTTTCTTTCTCGCCTTTCGGATCCGTTTTCACCCCTTTAATCCGTGTTCAGCAGAACTTACCATCACTTTCTTTCAATTGGCACAACAATGAGACCTTGCATTGATAGGTACTAATCCAGCCTCAAAGGGTACTAGTCAGACTATAAAGTTTTCCTTCGTCAATGGTAAATCCGTCCAGACTAGGCAGCCACCCTCCACAGAACAGGAAGTCGCCCCTGCCTCGATACCACTCGCACCTACTGGTGCTAGAGAGATACTCTCATAGAAACCCATCTCTTCGCTCAATCCCACTATTTTTCGAAGAGTTTTGAAAAGCCACAAACCCGACGGGAGACATAGACCGCGGTAGACATGGCATCGACAACAAACACAGCTCCCGGAGCCACCCAGGCCCCTGGCCCGGCCGCCTACCACGACCCGCGCACTTTCAGCTACGAGAACTCCAACATCGAAGAGATCACCGTGCGCCAGCTCAACGAGGACACCCTAGCGTACAGGCACGACCTCGACTTCTGCCGGGAGCAGCTCGCCCAGAAAGACCTCACCCCACAGGAGACCCGCGCCCTGCAGCTGCGCGTCCTCGACCTCGGCCACCAGATCCGCCACTGCCAGCACCGCGTCGAGATCCTCCAGGCCCAGATGCGCGCCCGGAACCGCAGCGGCTGGCCCAACCCCGCCGCGGCATCCGCCTACGGACCCACCGCGGTCTCCACCCCGTATCGCTGTAGAACCTCCAACAAGCGGCCCGCGGGCGGCGGTCCGGGCATAACCCCGGCGCCCAGCAAGCGCGCCGAGGGCCATCTGCTTCCCTCGCCGGCGGACCACGAAGCCGACGGCTCGGGCGGTAGCGGCGGCGGCGGCGGCAACGCAGCAGCAGCAGCAGCAGCGACACTCACGCCCCACGCCCCAGACTCGGACAACGATTCAGACGCCGGCGCGACAATCACTGCCCTGCAGCGGCTGGGCCACTGGCGGTGCCGGCTCTGCCGGGCGGACAAGTACCTGCACGCGGGCATCGGGCGCGTGCCGGCGGCGCCGTGCAAGTGGCCGCTCAAAGACGTGGCCAAGATGATTGCGCACTTCACCGAGATGCACGCCGAGCACCTGCCGGCCGAGCGGTGCGCCGAGCTCGGCGCCGCGCTGCGCCGCAACAGGGGGCCCTTTGAGTACTGGCTGCGCCAGTCGCGCTCGCAGGATGTCGGCGCCGACGGCGCCGTCGTCAGCCACTGCGTCGACGAGCTGCTTGCTGGTCGGTTGCCGGATCTGCTGAGGAGGCTGAGTAGAGCTGCTGCTGGGTTCCCTACTGGTTGAGGGAAGACGATTTTTTCTCTCTTTTTTTTCCTTTTTCCTTCTTTTTTTGGGGGGGAGGGAGGGAGTGGGCTATTCACCCTGTTTGCATGATGATTCTTACTCTTCAATTTTTGGCCCGGAGCTGGAAGATGTGTTAATTACTGTCTGTTCTATTGCAATCAATTGTCATTCGCAGTCATAGTGACTCTCGATACTAGACAACTCCGAATTACATACCAACAAGAAGGATCTCTAAATAAGAGCTCCTCCCTCTCTACTGCGAGACTCGTGAATTTAACGGTGCAATAGCCCACCTCTGGAGCAGACAGACTATGAAAATGAGAACGGATAGAAGGTCAAAAAGGGTATTGTATTAAAACCTATATTGTTTATAACTCCATCACAGTTATACGACTTTCCCAACTTCCCTAATTGGGAATTGGTGACGGCGGTGCGTGAGGGATGTCATTTCTCTCATTAACATCAATTTACCGATATGACAGCCACCGAGGAGCATAAATGATAAATAAGCATTTTCCAACCCAACCTCTGCGGTTGGCTGTCCGGTGTTTTAGCCCCACGGCGGGCCATCCCGTGATTCCTGGCAGCTTGTGGCTAGTTTGATCCACTCAGAATGCCTCTGGAACTTGATCGGGAATGAGGCCGGCCTTGAGTATGATGCATCCCCGGAAGTGTGCTTGTAGGTGGATATAGGTTGTAGCCGTCTATCTTTGGCTCCTCGACGACTACAGCAAGGTCAGTAGCATTTGCCTCGTCGGCCGAATTGAACGTGGGATAGGAGCGAGAAGAATCTTACAATAACCTCATTCATCCAACACTGCGCATTGTAGCCTCCAGTTCGGGTATAAATAAGTAGGTGAGCATTGGTAGATAAGTGAATCTTGCTCGCACCAACCGTGAGTGCAGACATGTCCGATAGCTTGAGTGGAAGGGTGCTTCTAGTAGATTCGCCATGACAACGCGCTTCTCCAAACCACTCTCCGCCACGTAGTTCACCAAGCGCATCCATCCCCCCGTCCACTTCGTCTGGACTCTACGTAAGTAGCATACAAGAACCGCAACCACGTCCCCAATGCCGATTGTCCCCAAAAATTCCGATACAGGGCTATTCCCTTTACCCGACTCCCACCCAACTCCCTGCCAAAAGGGGGAAGAAATAGACAAAAAAAGAAAACAGAAACGCTTCTGCCAGTTGCGCCAAACATATCCCCGAGACGGTATAAAAGATCATATACTCCCCATGCTCGACCTCAACGCCGGGTCCGACCTCGTCCCGCCCACGCCCACGAGCGGCTTGTTCCGGTGTCCATACCACCCGCTCTCCGCCTCGGAGCTGCGCAGCCTCCGGCCCTCCTCGTCGTGCGTGACGGTGTAGTCGGTCGTGCGCATGATGCCGTTGTACGCCATGATCTCCTCCTCCGACTCGTTGGGCGTGTAGTGCCTGATCTCGGTGTGGCCCCTCGCGCCGTCCCCCCTCATGTTCTTGGTGGTCGGCACAAACGAGCTCCCGCCGATGCTGTGGTTGGTGTGGATGCCCGCCCCGCCGCCTCTCCCGCTCCTGACGCTCCGAGCCCCCGTCCCTTGGCTCCTCCTACCGCCGCCGCCGCCGAGCAGGCCGAGCCCGAAGCTGCCGCGCCGCTTGGACTTCCTCGACGAGCTCCCGCCGCTCACCTCCTTGGCCGTCATCTCGATGTCGGGGATGTCGCCCTGGTAGCCGCGCGTCAGGCCGAGGTTGTCGAAGGCGCGCGGGAACCAGCGCCGCGCGAGTGGCCAGAGGGCCGGGCCCGACGCCGCGATGACGGCGAGGTTAGTCTCGAGCGCGTTGGTGACGAAGCCGATGCTGAAGTTCGAGTCCTCCTCCTTGGGGACGTAGTTGTTCCGATAGAGGAAGTACAGACGGACGGCACCGACGGCGGTGACGCTGCGGTTGGGGAGCGTGAGCATTGGGGATGAAAAAGGAAGGGGGGGAGGAGATAGATGGTGGGGGAAGCTCATATAAGCCAGAACTTGTCACTCACATGAACCCCAGGGCAAAGACGCCCAGAAGGGCCACCTTTACTCGCCGCGGCATTCTGAGACCGAGGAATATCCAGAAGGGGAGGGCGAGGGTCAAGAGGTCGGTGAAGATGGTGACGGCGCCAGTCCACATGGTGAACGGTTTCTTGTCGAAGCAGGTACCGCCTTCTATCGAGCGGTCCCAGTTGTACGCCACCGGACTGCAGACAAAGATGACACAGAAGAAGATGGCAATCATGAGGCAGATAGTGAAGACCATGAGGACCCAGATGGTGAACCTGACGGCAGGCCTCGTACCGGCGAGCCGTAGCAAAAATAGCAGGATGGAGACCTTGACCATGGACAGAATCGGGTTATAGATGAGTCCATTGACGTATGCGATGAGGCCAGCAGCAACGGTATCGTGAGGAGGTATCTCGGCGTTGTGGATGCCTATATAGGTCCATTTGATATCTGGTATCGAGGGTCAGAATAACTGGACCATGTGAATGTGAATGAATCGCAAGGGACTTTGCTTCACACTAACAAATAATCGAGATGGGTGTCTGGGCAATGCATAGCAGCCCTGCACCAAATATCCAGTAATCATCTATGACGGGAAGTTGTTAGAGATGGTTGATCCGAGTCTAGAGGGGGGGCAATTAGAGACGCAGGCGAGTCGCGGCAATCCCAGTTGACATACCCCAGCCGAGATTCCTGGTGACTATCCTGATGTAGGCACGCATGAGGCAGATTGTGACGGAGAGGACAGCGGCGAAGATCTCGATGCCGATTGCTAGGTTCTGCAGCCATAGCGTCCGGGGGACGGGGGCGGGGTCCGTCGTCAAGTCGGACGAAGTTGAGTTGATTGCATTTGCCAGCCCCATAAGCAACAGGGCCGCGGCGGGCTCAGCACCGGCTCCTGTCGCCATTGCCAGGGCAATTGCGGGTGCTGCTACTGTACGGAGCAGAAACCCTACAGGTAGCTCGCGTCGCCGAGAAGCTCATGAGCAAACCAGAACCTCGAAGAGATCCTCGTGGGAATGCAATGGCGAGGTGTCATGGCAGATGGAGCTGGGAGAGCGATCGGCAGGCCTGCTGAGCACACACCTTGGGAAGGCCCCGGGATTTATGACTTTGTCCGTAAGCGAGCGGGTTTGGCTGGTGCCAAGCGGAGCGAGAAGTCGATATTATGACTGACATCTAGGTACATATAAAAGGGGGGACAATGTGGACCCGGATGGCGCATTGACGAGGAAGCAGCCCCAAGTGGCTTCCCCGGACGACGGCGCCTCTCTGGCTGCAAGCACTCCAGCAAATAGGTAGGCACGGGTTACTACCATCCATCAATGACAAAGGCATTTTCCTTCAAGATAAGTGGAGCGGGGTCGGCTCTTGCCGCATCGTGACAGCAAACAAACTGCCTGCCACACCTGTCAAATCAAATCTCGGCCCGTTGAGGGTGTCGTTGGTTCAATTCCTCCTTTATTGGTGCATATTGGGTAGTCTGTGCATGAGGACGAATTGCATCCAACGGCATCAGGCAAATAGGCAGAATTGACAACGGTCCGGAGTGGTTCCGTTCCCGTCCATAACTGGACGCGCTTCCTTCCTTTCCTCTTCCCCTTCATCTTCACCTGCCTCAACGGTTCTCGCGGACAAGTTTTCTTCCCGACAATTGGCGAGGCGATAGGCGGTGGCGGCGGCGGCGGCTTGTTGGAACTTCACCAGGAGCGTCGCCACGGTCGGTGAGCCGGGGATCGCATAATCTGTAAGAAACTATGTGCGCCAACAACCCAACAGCACGGAAGATGGGGAAATGGAAAAAGAGAGAAGACCTTGGCGACTTATTCGCAGTCGAACAGTAGTGATAGACAATGGAGAAAACACAAAAGCTCGGGACAGAGAGCTTTCAGACTAAACCTTCAAGTTTTGAGGTTAACTTATGCTCGTCGGATTTCAAGACCATCGATTGCTGTGAAACAACAGTTCCGAGAGGTTGGCTGAGGTCGTTGGCCGGGACAGGGGAAATCGTAAGCTAAGCCTAAACCGGTGCACGTGGAAGTGGGTCTCCACAGAGTCCAGACTCCAGATTCTTGATCTGACTTCAACTGACACACTTCAAATGACAACCTACCTTGCCTTCCCTAGGTAGGCATCCGTATTTACTATCAAGATACTTCTCCTTACTTGTTGGAGGCATTCCCAATCAACTTCCTATCCTGATAAGCCGCGATCTCTCAGCTTGCCCCCAAGCTGAGTCGTACCTGGCGTGCTGGGTTTGAGCAGCCGCCTTAGCGCGTTCCCGGCACTGCATATCGCATCCCACCTTACTACCCCCCCAGGTCGAAGCATCCGCGTGTTCGCTAGAACGGACTGCCATGATTGGCCCTTCTCCCATTAAATGATGGAACGAACAGGGGACAATTGTGGCGCGCTGGCTGGGGGAGGCTCTGGTGGCGGCATTGGTAGGTACATTCTCTAGTTCTACACTACCCGTCTGTGTCCCTTCTTTCTCCCGACTCCAAGATGAAAGAAAAGGGTGGGAAAGGAAGGGAATGAGGGAAAAGGGAAGAAAAGAAAATAGGGGGCACCCCTCGGCCTGTGCCCCTTGACCTTGGAGGATCTATCAATGTCGATCACGACTGTGCCCTTCCCAACTTCCAACTTCCCAACCTCCCGTGCCTCCCGCCCATCCTCACCTCTGCAGATCCGCAGTCTTGTAAATCCATCTCCGCCAGCTTGGTCTTCGCCAATTCGCAACCAATATAACCGACCATCCAGACGAGCAGTGGGGTAATTATGGATTATCCCGCCCGAACCTTCAGCTGCTCCAGAGCCTCTGCAATCTTTAATCTACCCACATAGTAGGAGGGTTGAGAAATTCCTGGGAATGCAGCTTCCCAGAGGATCGAGATGCTGGTCACTTTGGAAAAGGGGGCAGTTCAAGTCGGCCAGTTTGTCTTCCCGTTCCTGGGCCTTACCCCTCCCCCGCCACCGCCAATGGATATTAATCCGATGCGAGTCAGGTTGCACAGCAAGAGGGGCAGGGCGGGGAAGGTGACGGCGAGGCTCCCTGACTGTAGTTGTGATTGGGGACGGCACGAATCCTTCGGCCGCCCTGCCCGCAGTTAAAGGCAGGATTCCGATCACGGCCACCTCCCGGCAGCCGGTCCATTGGCTGTTGGCGACTGCCCCCACGGGCTTGACGTGGGCTTGACATCTCCTCCTTCAGGAAACATTCCAGAAGCTCAACGCTTTCTATAGTGCTTCTGCGTTTAACGGCAACAAGATATGGCTGCAGGTTGGCGACACCCTCGACCGACGGGACATTCAACCGCAGGATGAAGTGGTCTGGAACCGGCCTCAGAACCGGGCACGAAGACGAGCCAACCGCCAACCGCCCCCGAGCCGCGGCAACATGGCACCATTCGACGTCCTCCAGCCGCTGGAATGCCCGTGGATGGCATGTTTACACTCTCGCAGCTCGCCTGCCGCGCCATACATATCCACGTACATACATCAACATGCTGGTAGCTTGGCTCCCATACCACCGTGCTTGATGTACCGATCCTTCCCTCTCCACACAGATAATTCACTTCCCAGACCGGTCCTCGTATCGTTGCTACTTCTGCAGGAGCAACGCACCTCTTTAATAGTTGGTGCGGAGAGTGCAGAATGCGGTCACTTGAGCCTATTCATGACATGGATGGAGGTCACCTTGAGGGCCTGTCTTGGACCCACAACGTCCATCCTGCTTATTCCTTGCTCTCCGACTTTCTTCCCAACTCTCCGTTGCCCAATATTCTACCTATATAAAGTGATATAGATGTGGCTTATGGCGATCGTCTCTTCCCCGGTTTGATCCATCACCTCACCCAGAGTCTCTGACGCTCCGGGTTCCCATTTCACCAAGATATATCAGGGGTCTTAACTAGAAGGTTGGCTTGTGGAGACAACCCAAGATGCCTCCAATGATCCAGAAACTCTTCTTGGCGGCCGCCTTCCCTCTGGCCGAGTTGGCACTGGGTCAGACCATTGAGGTCGGCGGCAAGTCCATTGGTACGTATCTACAGACAATGCTTCTCCACAGATAACGAATAACCGCTCATTGACTCTTCATCACAGACGCCAATGAAAGAATGGTGGCACCGGCAGTCTCGATCGTCCCGGCCGACTCGTCGGCTTCGGGCTTTGACTATTTCGACTCTGAAGTTGCACAGTTGACGAGCGAAGTCATAGCGAATCTCACAACTCTACGCCTGTCAAACATCTCTCTGTTCGATTTTGCTCCCTCTGGCGCTAAGTGTCGGAAAATGGGGGAAGCACCATCCTGCAGGGCCTTCCCCGGGACAGAGGATTGGCCTTCGGATGTTGTCTGGAGGGTCCTCGATCTCCTGGCGGGCGGCACGCTCATCAAGAATGCACCCCTAGCTGCTCCATGTTTCAACAGCTGGCCCGAACTGAGGGACAACGAGACATGCGATTATATCAAGGCCCACTGGAACGAACCAAGATTCCAGTGAGCCCTCCCTAGGCGTCATCACTTCAAGCCACGATGCATGCTGACACACTTGACCCCCTCCAACAGAGTCGACTCGCCCGGCAGCATCAACTTCCACCTCTACGAGGGGAGGACCTGCCTGGTCTCGGACAACCCCGATGGCGAGTGCACGCTCGGGGGCTTCCCGAGCTACGTCGTCAACGCCACCAACGTCGCCCAGATCCAGCTGGCCGTCAACTTCGCCCGCAACGCGAACCTGCGCCTGGTCATCAAGAACAAGGGCCACGACTTCAACGCAAAGTCCTCGGGCGCCGGCGCCGTGTCCGTCTACACCAACTACCTCCGCGAGATCCGCCACATCCCCGACGTCGCCGTCGGGCCCTATTCCGGCCCCGCCTTCAAGGTTGGCGCCGGCGTCGAGGTCAGCACCCTGTACGAGGAGGCGGATAAGCTGGGCCTCAGCGTCGTCGGCGGAATCGGAAGGGTAGGTCGCCATTTCCCGAGCTTTCCCGGAGCGTGTATGGAAGAAGAGAATGCCTGAGAATGCCTCAACTTACAACCAATGCAGACCGTCGGTCTCGCGGGCGGATATTCGCTGGGCGGCGGCCACTCGCCGCTGATGAGCCTCTACGGCATGGCGACGGACCAGATCCTGTCGATGGAGGTGGTTCTCCCGAGCGGGCGCTTCGTCACGGTCAGCGAGGACAGCCACCCGGACCTGTACTGGGGCATGCGCGGGGCGGGCGGGTGCACGTTCGGCGTCGTCGTCTCGGCCGTCGTGGCGGCGTACCCCAGGCTCCCCGTCGCGACGCTGACGTACGCCATCAGCACGCCGCAGCCGGGCGACGCCGCGGCCGTGGACGCGTGGTGGGCCGGGGTGCGCGCCTTCTGGGAGACGTTCGTCCCCAACGCCGACGCGGGCCACTACGTCTACTTCAGGCTGACGTGCGCGACGCCCGACGACGCCGGGAACTGCACCCTGCAGCTGATGCCGTACTGGGCCAACAACATGACGGCCGCCGACCTCCGCGCCTGGAACGACCCCTTCTTCGCCCGCCTCGCCGACCTCGGCATCCCCGTTATCAACCCGGTCTACAAAGAATACCCGTCCCTCCTCGCCGCCTTCGACGGCACCTTCCCCCCGGGGACCGAGTCCGCCGGCACGGCGACGACGCATGTCTCGTCGCGCCTCTTCCCGCGCTCCAGCTGGGAGGACCCGGAGCGCCTGGACCGGACGGCGGCGGCGATCCGCGCGACGCTCGAGGCTGGCGGCAAGATGCTGGCGTACAACTACCGGGCGCGGCCCAACGGGCGCGTCAGCCAGGCCAACGCGGCGCACCCGGCGTGGCGGCGGGCCGTCATGTTCGCCATGATGGCGAACCCGACGTTCGGCCCGGGCGCGTCCGCCGAGGACGTCGCCGCCAGCAGTAAGGGGTTGGTCGAGCTGTCGCGGCCGTGGAGGGACGTGACGCCCGGCTCCGGGTCGTACCTCAACGAGGGGGACATCAACGAGCCGGACTTCCAGCGGGCGTTTTATGGGGAGGGGTATGAGCGCCTGAGGCGGATCAAGGGGCGGTATGATCCTGAGGGGGTGTTCTACACGTATAATGGCGTCGGCAGCGAGGATTGGGAGGTCACGGGGCAGGTGGAGTATTACCCCACCACGAATGGGAGGCTGTGTCGGAGGACCTAGGATTAATGGGTGGAAGGGGGGAAGGGGAAAGGAAAGGATTGGCCCCGGGAGAGCAGGGAATTATGAGTTACGGTCGATTCGCTTTGTGTGATCCACGAAACTGCATGTCTAGATCATGATCATGATGATGAGTTAATTTTATCTTTAAATCTCCGATTCTGTCCCTGGTATGGGCCGTCATCAACGATATGAGAGAGGCGGGGACAATAATGAAGCGGGGACTATGACTGGCTGGAGTGATGGAACAGGTGCGAGGGCTATATCGACCTCGGGATATGTATGCCCCGTCTTATCGGCAAGGAGAGGTAGACTCTCGAGAATGCAAAGTACAGCAAAGTATATTCGATTCCGTATTAATATTACCCAAGAGGCTAGAAACAGTATGTACCAGCTTGAAAGAGTGACAGAGTGAGCTGAAAAGACAGCTTGAATCAAGGCATTCCCCTATTGTCCATCCGTCCCCTGAAGTGGTATCTCAAGAAATAAAATGAAATATTTTTAGAAAATTTGGGGATATGAAAGATCACGCGTGGACACCGACATATCTGGCCCAAGGCCCTTTGCCGGGATTGTCCACCTTGCCGTCGACCAGTATCCAGACCGATGGGTATCACATTACTGAGGGTAGGGGGTTTGCTGCTGGGGCGGGGGATACGGCGCCTGTCCCTGATACGGGGACGGCTCCTGGGCCGGATACTGCTGGTTCTGAACCGGGTACTGCTGCTGTTGCTGCTGCTGCTGCTGTTGCTGCTGCTCGACGGGGTACTGCTGCTGCTCGACGGGGTACTGCTGCGGCTCGACGGGGTACTGCTGCTGCGGCTGTCCGTACTGGCCCTGGGGATACCCCTCTGCCGGCGCCGGCGTCTGCTGGTACACCTCCGACGGCGCCTCGGCCGGCGACGGCTGGTAGGGCTGCTGCTGGTAGGGCTGCTGCTGATACGCCTGCTGCGGATACGTGGGCGCCACCTGCTCAGCCCCCCCGGTGGCGTTGATGTTGGTCATTGGGGCTGTGACAGGCGCCGCGACAGGGGCCGCGCCAGCCTCGGCCTTGCGGTGGTTGAGCAGCGAGAGGACTGAGCGCGCCGGTCAGCCGTTGCGAATTCTTGCAATGCGACTTGCATGGCGCATGATGGAAAGAGGAAAGGGGGAAGGGGGAAACACGGCACATACCGAAGAAGACCAGAGTAACGAGGAACAGGAGCCAGACCAGCGCGCCGAGGCCGGCCGAAGCCTTGACACAGTCGACCGCAGACGAGAAGCTGTTATGGAAGCCGAAGATGAATGCCGAGTTGAGGGCAGAGGCGTCGCTGGCTAGCACAGCCCATGTGCAGAGCCACCAGATCACGCTGAGGATCTCGAGACCGCTGGATGGCGCATGTCAGAAAAGGCAAGCTCTGAGGTTGGGTGGCAGTCGCGACATGTCGCAATACAGTTGCGATGTCGGAGCAAGTGGGAGTGGAACTTACAGGTGCACCCAGTAGTGGTAGAAAGCGGTCACGAAAAAGATAGTGACAGCGAGATAGACGAAGTATCCAACGGTCCAGATGAAGGAGAACCAAGCGAGACCTGTTAGACGGCGAATATGGTCAGTCGATGACGGTCTCTTCAAGATCGCGCTGCAACAGCGGCATAACAGCGACAGCGATTACATACCGAAACCGGCGAACTATGCATGTTAGTGTTCAGAGTCCTCATCATCCAACAATAACCAGACCTTGCGATCTACGAGCTTGGGTGACTTACACCGCTAAAGTGGAACTGTCCAGCAGCATAGGCCGTCAAGACCAAGATGATGAACGCGAGCACGAGCTGCGCGACGCGAATGATGGCAATCCAGAGGGGTTGGGTGGGGATGTGGGATCGCTTCAGGCCATCCTGACCGCGAAAGGCCCAGGCGTTATCGGCGAAGTCGACCATGTTGGTGATGGTGGGCGAAGCTTGGACGACTCGAGTTCTGGTTTGGTGTGTGTATATCTCGCTGATCCAACTCGTAACGTGGATGAAAAATGGTTGGATTGGTGGACGAGTCTGGAACAAGGTGGAAAGACGAGGGAAAATAGACAAGAAGGGAAAAGAAGAAAAAAAGATCCCTCCCTCAGTGGCCAAAGGAAAGTTTGCAGTTCCTGATCAACACCACCTCATTTGCGGGGCCGCGACGTGCTGGGGTCTGGCTCTGAATAGCTCTGTTGGTACGTACCAGAGTACGTGCTTCCGTGCTACCACAAAGCCACAAAGACCGGTTCAAAGTCGGGTCAAGACCGGGGTCTTGGCGCCGAGTGTCGCGATCGGATGCTGTGTTTGCCAAAACGGTATGTGTCAGGGCTCATGTGCGCATTGTCAAACATGACGTGAGAAGCTGATTAGTGCAACCACAGATTGAGTTGCTATGTATGAGTCAGGCTCCACAACACAAACTTTGGTACCTGCCGCCTGCTGTTCCTGTTGGGGACCTGAAGGAAGAGCAGAGATATTAATTATTTCAGCTCCATTCTCAACATTCCGGTTCCGTAGCATGGGCTTTCCATTCCATTCAACATTCCTCGTTGCTTCGTTGGAGGCTTCGACCTGAGCCTGGGCGCTTTGGCTTTTCTGTGCCGTCATTCCGACTGACCCAAGTCGTAGAACGATCGCGTTTCTTGGCATCCAGCCACAAGTCGCTCGCTTACGTGGTAAAAAAAAGGTCGATCCCTTCAATCTCCCCACCCATGCCGAGGTCACACCAGCCCTGATAAGCGTCTGGGCTTGCAGGAGCCATGCGCAAGAATAGCACCTTTCCAAGGCTTGCGGGTACACTAGCTAACCTGCCGACCCCACCGCGTGGAAGTATTCCTCCCTTGGGATCAATGTCCAAAACAGAGCTTCCGTGGATTTCCGTGGATGTCATCCAATAATTGCAACCCCTCCAACAGTCGCTCCTCGCCGACGCCGGCCCGTCACTCCAGCGCATGCCCCGTGCAAACCCCCGGCAACCCCCTCTCCCCCTCCTCCTTTCCCCCCTTCCCACCTAGGCTCATCCCCTCCATCGCCCCGTTCAGCGCAACGCTGCAGTTGACGGCCTGTGTGCTAGGCGGCACATCAATGGCCGGGTTCCTATCGAAGAAGTTCGCCGGCCGGAACGCGACGCGGACCGTCTCGCACGGCATGACGGGGAAGTCCTCGACGCGGGGCACATGCCCGATGGCGAACTGGACCCACACGACCGGGTCCCCGGCGGCGAGGCTGTCGCGCCTGCCGGCCCAGCCGCGCACGCCGTCGCCGCCGCGGCTCTGGTTCGTGTATGTGCCCCCCGCGAACAGCTCGCCGTCGGCGTGCCGCGTCACGTACACAGCGCGGTCGGCGAACTCGGCCCGCCGGCTGTGGAAGCTCTCGGCGTCCGCCAGCATCGGCTGCATCGCCGGCGCCACCACCGAGTAGCCCACTGCCGCGCCGTTGACCGCGTTGGCCACGGCCGGGTTGACGATCTTGAAGGTGCGCCCCCGCGACGCGTCCCGGTCGTATCCGCCCGAGGTCTCGATGGTCGTGCGCGCCACGCCGTAGCCGACGCCGTGCGGGTTCAGCACCGGGTCGCGCGGCAGCGGCACGGCGTCGTCGTACACGACAGCGTTGCCGTGGCCGGCGATCATGGGGTCGACGCGCAGCGAGAAGAAGTGCTGGTGGTATCCAGCCAGCACGCCCGGGTGCACAACGGTGCCGTACGGGTGCGGCGTGCGCGTCAGGGCCAGGTCCACCGGCTGGGTCGAGAGGATGCCCGTGGCGCGCACCTCGTAGGCCAGGTCGGCGGCAGTGTTGAAAACAAACTGCAGCACGTACTCGTAGTTGGACACGGTCAGGATCGTCTGCAGCACCAGCTCGCGGCTGCGCGCCACGCACGCCCGCCCCGTCCGGTAGTTGGTGTGCTTCCACGCGATGCCCGCGTCCTGCTCGTGCACGCAGATCACGTTGGGCATTGCCAGCGGCCCGCCCGAGCTGTCCGACACCACCCCGTCGATATAGTAGATGCTGCCCAGGCAGTCGCACCCCAGCTCGAGGTTGTTGGCCATGATCCCTGCGCCCGCGTCGCCGAGATCGAACGCCTGCTTGCGGTGGAACGGGTGCCGCGGGTCGGCATATGGGATCGCCATGTCCGACAGGCTGAGCCGGTAGAAGAGCGGCTTGTTGTCGTAGTGCACGTCGTAGAGCACCATGCCCTCGCGCTGGTTGAAGCCCACCTTGAAATCCCACTTCTGCCACCGGATCAGCCTGCCCATCTCCGAGAAGTTCTCCACCGTGAACGACGCCCCTTCCGGCTGGACGACGTGCAACGGCTTCAGGTCCGTGCGGAGCGTGTTCGCCTCGGGGATGTATTCGTTCGGCCCAACCGGCTGCCACGGGCCGAGGGGCTTGACCTTCTCGTCAAGCCCCGTGGGGAGAATGTCGATGCGGATGATCTCCATCGTGATGGTATCTACGACCGGGGATATCGGCAAGGGGAAGGCATAGTGGCAACTGTCCGGCTCGGTTGGGTTATTCGGATCCCGCATGTAGAGAAAGCACTGCATGATGCGCTTATCGTCGTAGAATTTCCCCTCCTTGACGCCGTCCGAGCCTGGAAAATGGTCAGCCGTGCTGGCCACACCACATAACGGCAGCGGTACGGCGACTTACCGTAGATCCAGGGATCGGCTACCACGACCGCCCCCTCCGGGAGCTCCAGCTTGGCTATCTCGGCCAGAACACCAGGATCGGCCAACAGGGCCTTCTCGATGGCAATAATCTCTTCCCCATCGCCATTGGCATGCTGGTGAGGGCCCAAGAGGATATTGCTCTCGACCTTACCCTGAGTCAAGTTGACGATGGCCTCGTGGAGTTTATCCTGAAATAGCTCAGCATATTGAACAGTCTGGGAATGTCGAGGATCTGGCTCACAGTGTTTCTGATGTAGTAAAGCACATCGGCCCTCCTGTCAATTGAAGGAAGGCTCCCGCCCGCCCTCTCCGCCGTCAGGTATGGGACCAGTTCCTTCTTCGCTGGCTCGCGCAGCTTCACAGACTTGAACTGGAACAAGGTGCCCTCGGGCCAAGACTCGGTTACCAGGCGGGACGACTGTGTGATCTCTACGCCACTCAACGGCCCCAGGGGATGTGAGGGGTAAGTCGCCGGCCCTTTCGTCCCCTTGGCGCTGTTGATGCTGTTGACACCGGCATTCACGTCGCCTCCCACAGATTGTACTCTCGGTTGGATAGTCATGGCCTGGACTTGATATTCAGAAGATAATCGACAGAGCCCAGTCTAACAGCGGGCGGGAATTCCCATGTATGACCCGGAAACGGAGTCACCTAACATTACCTGACAAATCTCAGGTCGGGGTTGGACAAGTCGGAAGTGTCCACATGGAGAAGCTGACAGGCTAGTCTGTTAGTCGTCGGTGATTGGACCATGCAGCCTCCTGCAGTAGGCAAGTTGAGGAGACCGACGATATTCCCTAGCCAGCCCGATGATAGCCGGAGTGAGCACGCCAGCACTGTGTTTGCGTTTGGTATTTTAACTTGCCGATTGGAATCGCCTCTGGGCTGCATCTTGATAAAGTAAACAGCCCAATTCAACGCCTAATCATGCATGAAGTGGGGAGTTTGTCTGTCCCCTTGATATACACACTCAGCCTCAACAGCCTCAACAGCCTCGACGTCGGCGTGTGACGCCTAACAAAGTAGTCCGCCAGCCACAGCCACTATTTCTTCCGATCCGCCCTCTCCTCCAAGCGAGCCTCCCTACCGCATCACTCTCCAGGAACCCGTCGCCAGCCAAAGCCGCGAATACCACGCGTGAAGCGCCTCCATCCACGCCGGCATCGGGCTAGCGATGCCCTCGACCTTGCGGGCGCTAGTGTAGAAGCAGCTCTTGAGCCCCAGCACGGCCTCCCCGCGCTCCCGGTCTATCTCGGCGCTGATGATGAAAAGCCCGTCGGAATCCCTCGGGCCCGGGTTACGGGGCGAGTCGCCGCATCGCACGGTGATCTCGGTCGGCGTCTTCTCGACGACCTCGAAGTGGTCCGTGATCTTGGTCCCGGGCTCGTAGGTCGAGCTCGACAGCTGGTCGACCGTCCACAGCTGGTCCGACGTCGCCGGGCCCTGGTACTTGCGGGCGAGATAGGCTCGTTGGACACGGTAGCCTGCAGCAGCAGCGGATCGCCCGTCAGCTCATTTGGTTCGCGGCTAGAGGACGAGGGGCACGCCGGTAATCGGGAACAAGGAAACTGCTGCACCTACCCAGGCTGGACCAGACCCCTCGGCAGAACTCGACCGCCAGGTCGCCCTCGTGCTGCAGCAACTCGGGATTGATCTTGTCGAGGGGGATTGTCTTTGTGACTATATCCTGTGTTGACGGGTTGCGGTATTTGTTGTGCTTGGCGAAGGCTTTCGAGCTCCAGAGGGGGTCATCGCGAGGGAGGGGGCAGGTAAGCGTCGTTGACAGTCCAAGGTACCCCACCAGGCTGGCGCCGGTGAGGACGCCTGTGTAGAGAGTTTTCCTGATGATGCCCATGACGTCGAAAAAGGTACAGTACCACTCGTGGCGCGGGCGGAAGAACGGTGTTAGAGCAATGGGTTCGACGAGTCTCGGAAGCGGAGATCGGATGATCGGCTGTTTACGGTTGTTGGCACAGTGGGGCTACTACGGGCGAACCGCCGGCAATCGGGGAACTGCGACCTTGCGTACTTGCTGGAACAGGGGTCCGTCCCACCACTGCATCTTCCCCAAAAATTCAAGGGGTGCTGGCGAAGCCACTGAATGACGTTCAAGGGGCAGGCACCAATACATTCCAAGTCCATAGGATTCTCCTTCTTTGGTGATCATAAGGAGCATCGCCTCGTCTCGTAGGTCCAGAGTGTTTCAATCGACGACCTTACCCCCTTGCTCAATGATGATGGGCATGCCTTGCCGTCCCGATTTGTGGTTCTGGATCTGTGCGCCTCTAACAGGAGTTGTCTCAGCTTGGCGTGTAAGATGCCCAGCTCCAGGAGATGTGACGAAAGCTCTCGAGCTTCTGATCTCTTAAAATTCCATGATAGATCGATCTTTGTTGACAATTATTCTGGTGTATTCTTTTGCTTCTTGTCATATTGGTCTTGGATTTCTCGCCTCAACGGTTGCGCCCAAGTACACGGGTTTTGCTAGATAACAGCAAGGCGACTCTCTCGGCCTCGTTGTATTAATTACCAGTCATAATGGGTGCACACAGTCGCCGCCAGCTGCGCGCCGCGCTTTCTTTCGTTCTCCGTCCCCTGGGCCTTGCCGTCCTTCTCACCGTGTTCGTTCGCATGCTCTTCTCCTCTCCCTCACAGCCCAAGAAGGCGCCAGTTCCCAAAGAGACCAAGGCCCTGGTGATCGCCTCGACCAGCGACCTCGGAGAGGACCAGACCAGCTGGATCTCCCAGGTCCCCGCCGAGTGGACCGTCTACAACTACGTCGCCGACGCGCCGACGTCGCCGGAGCTCTCGGTGCCCGTCAACAAGGGCAACGAGGCCATGGTGTACCTGACCTACATCATCAGCCACTACGACCACCTCCCGGACATCGTCTTCTTCCACCACGGCCACCCCAAGGCCTGGCACCAGGCCCTCGACTCGCTGACCGAGGTGACCAGCCTGCGCACCTCGTACGTCGCGCGCCGCGGCTACGTCGCGGCCCGGTGCCTCCCGGGCTGCGAGAACCTGATCCCGCTGGCCGACCACAGCGTCGACGCCGACAAGCTCGTCTACGTCGGCCGCGACGTCCACCTGACCACGCTGCTCGACGAGTTCCTCGACCGCGCCCGCGGCGAGCGCGTCCCGCCCCGCCTGGCCGCGCCCTGCTGCGCCCAGTTCGCCGCCAGCAGGGCCGCCATCACGGCGAGGCCGAGGGAGTGGTGGGTCCGCCTGCGCCAGTGGCTGATCGACACGGAGCTGGACAGCATGACCAGCGGGAGGCTGATGGAACATACCTGGCATATATGGCTGGGGGAGAGGGCTGAGTAGTGAGTTCCGCGCCGGGGGGGCGCCCCCCCCCGGCCGCGGGCGCGGCGGGGGGGGGGGGGGGGGGGGGGGGGGGGGGGGGGGGGGGGGGGGGGGGGGGTGGGCGCCTGAGCTGGCCCCGAGCCCCCCGGGCCGGCGGTTGGTAGTTTCCTCCTAACTGGGGTGGTGGGGGGGGGGGGGTTGGTGTGGGGGGGGGCCCCCCCCCCCCCCCCCCCCCCCCTTTCACGCGGCCGGATCGTGCCTGTTGGATATGCTGCTGACGAATGCTTTCTTGTAGTTGCCCGGATTACGAGGCCTGCAGATGCAATGTGTTTGGTATTGGTGATTGCCAGCAGTATTTCGACCAGGAGGGGACCGCACAGTGAGGAAGGCGACATGAATATGCAGGATTGGACGGGAGGAAGCACCTATCCACAGGGCCCGGACATGGAAGTCTACAACGTCTGGGACGTCATCGAGGTCCCTGGTGGGCGTGGATTATTCCTGAAGATCGACCCACCCCCCAACAAACCTTGAGCTGCATGCGCGTCGCCAGCCGAGTCTTCAACGGTATCGGCACGGCAGGGATGGAAATTTCGAGGGCCTTCTACGGCTTGCATTTGGGGGACCGTATTATTTCCTTGATGAATCGCTCGGCGGTACAATTCATGAGAAAACGGGACTTTTGGAGTTCAGTGAGTGCAATGGGCGTTTCTCGGTTTACGGAAGGCATTTGAGGGTTATACCGGTATCGTTCTATGTATAGCGCAATACATCGGCCCATATAGACAGCTAGAATGGTACCCCATTGATTGTGATATGCTTGATTGTGACTAGATTGCTACCGACCCCATTCTTCCTGCCATACTGCCAGACCTCCTGCTCTAGGCGGGCCCGGAGGCAAGAAGATGCGGCGTACCAGCTACTCCGCGACGACACCCGTCAGACTACAGAAACACCCCAAGCCTGGGCTTGCACGCCGAGAGGTCGTACAGCCCCATTCCACCAAGATGTCCCTTCCTCGACTTGCGTCTGCGCTTGGGGTCCGGCATGATGAAGGGCTGGCCGGCGGCGCGGGCGGCGCGGGTGGCGGCGGCGTGGGCAGAGGCGTGGGCGTCGATGTGGCGCAGCAGCGAGCGGAAGACGTCCATGAGATCGAGAGGATCGGCGTCCATCCACATGGTTGCGAGCGACTCGGGCACTCCCGGCCTGAGGTCCGTCTCCAGCAAGTCGGATGTGGTGGTGGCGCGGGGGAGGTTGAGGTAGAGCTCATCGAAGGGAAAATTTTCGCAGTATGACAGCTGGCCCTGTGGGAGTTTCTTGTGGGTGAATATGATGCTCTTCTGGCTGCGGAGGATGTCTGCCATTGCCCCGTGGTCTGGCATGGGCCAATCTTGAGTTGAGGTGTTAGTTTGGGCTTGCGACGGCTTGCACGGGGATGGTTGGGATAGGTTGATCTCCGGCTTACCTTTGAGCCAGCGGCAGCCATGCGCCTCGATCTTCTCTAGGACCGTGGGACTCACGACCCAGTGGGCGAGGCCGACGCCCTTCGGGTCGTACGCTCTCATGTCCCAGAGAAAATCGAGGACGTCCGGTGGCGTTCTCCAGTCGAGTTGGACTTGGTCCGACTCGGGTTGAGGTAGATGGTCGGGTTCGTCCGGGTCTTGGCGGGGATCATGATGTAATAGAACTCGAGGGCCATCCTCCTGGCCTCGAAGTTCACCGTCATCAGGGGCGGGGCAAAACGCCCCAAATCCGGGCTGGCCGGGGAGGTGAGGGTGTAAATCTGGCCGCTGACAACCTTCCCGAGGTGGTTGCGGTTTTTGTAGGCGTCACTGTAGTACCTGCTCCCCGCCCATGGGCGTCCTCCAGTCCCCAAATAGGTCGACCAATCGGCGTTTCTCGAGGGCCAGTTCATATCATCATCCGCAACTCGGACGGCAGCCGTTGGAAGCAGGTAAATGTCCTACCAGTAGAAGATTGGGTCAGGTCCCTGAGGGTGCCTATCAGCACCGGAACAACTATGAGAGCCGGCTCTATTAGCTATAGGTTTATTCTGCCTTGACTCGGGGGTCTTCTCTTCCATACTCTGATTTGCTTCAGGAATTGTTAGGCCTTCTGAGGTCCGCCAGGAGCCGCCCCAGCGTCCCCCCCCCTCTGCCAGGTCCAGTGTCCGTGCCAACAATGTTGAGAACATGGCGGCTGATTTGACTGCAGCGATGGGTATCAAGCTGAAAATAATTACGTCCAGAGGGATATGAGGCAATAAAAGGCTGGTTGAAAGGGGAAATAAGTTGAATATGGGATGGAGTTGGGAAGAGACAGTCACCAAGCTTTGGGTTTTAAGCTGTCTTGTAAGGCTGAAGAAGTTTATCGGAGGTAATAGGGTTCATTTCCTCTCTAGTCCGAATCAATAGGGTTCAACAACAAATTGGCACACGAAAGTAAAACAGGGGCGAGGAACCTTGAGCAATTCAGCTGCTCCTTCGTAGGTAGGTTGCTCCCAGAATCATCGGTTTCTATTTATTGTCTAATTAGCAGGTTGTAATAGTTCCAAGGCCTCGCAATCTGCGCTGTCTTGGAGCAATGAGAGAGTCATCATCTTGTGAAACTATATATACCGAGGCAGGTAGTGGAAGTAGATTCTGAGAAAAATCAAAGCTAAAGCATAGGTACCTTGGTAGGTAAGTAGGTACTTACCTACGCATTCTATCCCCTACTTTCGTGTCCGATTGGCATAACCTAAAAGATTCCTGGTATTACACATGACTGAAGAACATGGAAGATACGAAAAGTACTACTCATACCTCACTCAGCCAGCAGACAGGAGCCTGTAATTCCCATGAAACGGACTTGACAGTGCAGCGCTCGATTTCCACAAGCATACATTGTAGTGGATGGGAGCTGCATCGGAGGAGCACTTTGCAGGAAGTCTCAAGCAGGCGATATGATGCTTCAGAAAAAGGCTCAGTAAGTAATGAGAATGGAGGGCGGGGCGCGAGGGCTGTATTTACCATCAGATAAGCTTGGTTGGTAATAGGTGGTGAAATTTGGTGGGAACGTGAGGACAAACGTGAGAGAGCAAACTGAAGAGCAAACTGGAGAGGACAACCTGAGCTTGGGAAGGGACGAGGGAGTGACAAGGTGGGGCCAACTCTCATCAGATCTGGGCTCACCTGGTACCTAACCAGGTACCTTCGAATATTCAATTTCCTGGCTTGAAGGACTTCGAGCTGGCGAGTGAATATAATTCTCGACTCACTGTATGAGAGATCAAAAAGTGACCATCTATTCACTCGACTGCATGGTTAGAGAGCACTTAAGAGAAGCCGCGGCAAAGAGTCAAAAGAGAGGACATCAAGAATCCCAAGGTAAGTCTCTGTTGATATTCCTACGGAGGCAAGTAGGCCCTTTTTGCTTCCATAGACTATCTCAATACACGCACCCCAGATTTCTCCAACATTCCGATATCGAGCCGTCCTACCTAGGGGGATGGACGAGGTCTCGGCATTTTGGTTCCCAATTCTCCACCACTTGACCCTTGTTGACTCCTGAGAAGCAAAGATCACAACCACATCTGCGATATTCATTCTGTACAAGTCGACGTCAGCAATGTTTGTATATTCCGAGGTCAACTCAGAGGGGATCCTTACTGACTCTTATGCGTAGACCAGCCGTCTTCGACACTCGTGCATTTCGCACTCTGCCTCTTACCCAACTCTTGGTTACCCACCTCACAAAACACCACAACGACGCTTGCGACATACCTACATAGTCCCATCTTTCTGTTTGTCCCGAGCAGGACGGTAAAACTCTCTCGGGCCGTTTGGGCGTGAGACCGAGGAGAAGACCCAATGGGTCGGGCCACTTTGGTGCCATCCGTCCGAAACAGGACCCTGAAGGGCTCTTAACCGTTGGTCGTGCTATTCCGCGCCGGGGTGAGCCGATGAAGAAGAGGATCGCACCCACCGGGCTGCACCACAATCAGTCTTCGACCTTTGGTCGAGTTGGATTACCGGTGGGTGGGAGGAGTGGTGGAGGAGTCGACGGTGGCCGCAATTAGTGCAACGAACGTGCCCAGAAGGCGCAGAAGAGGCAGCATACGCGGGAGGAGCGCAAGACGCACGGGGTGGTAGCAGGTCTCGGAGGTCTCTGAAGGAGACACCACTCATGGCTGAGGAGTCATGGGACTTGTGAGGGATTGTGTTTGAGGTGTGCTACGATGCTTGGAGAAAACATATTGAGAAGAGAAGGTAGGTCTCTCTGGTATCTACAAACCTGATATCATCCTTGAACACTGGCACGGCGTGAATCTTCATGAAGAGAGGCTTGTATAATCTACCGACCTGAATACAAATTAAAAATACACTCCTTATTCTGTCATCTGTGTGCTTATATGAACCCCGAGCTGAGAACCCAATTGGCAGCAACATGTGCGTTGGCAAATATTCTGGCTTCCGGATCTGCTGAAGATGTTTATGGTTTATGTAGCTGCTGGCGGCGAAGTAGGAAAGCACACAAATCTCCCCCGGGAGAGGGGGGGGGGGGGGGGGGGGTAGCTCGATGAGACAATGGCGATGATGACTCGAGATATAATGTCATTCGGAATAGGGGTCCTATCAATTGAGTTGTATGTCCCGAGTTACCTTTACAGGAACCACATCTTCTTATCGGGAGCACTTAGTCTGGTTTCTCAGAGTGAAATCCCCCTGAGTATGTCGGATCCAGGCTAGGCTATTGACCAGGAGGAGAGGCCACGACGGACCCTAGATGACGCAGGAAAGAATGAAAGACGTTCCCCAATCTAAGGTATGTTTCTCGCCACAAGAAAGTCCTCAGGAATTAAGGGAAGTCAACACCAATGAAACAGAAGAAGTCAGGGGTTGTGCACAGTGTCTTTTGGAAAATGACACGGAAGTGCACTGTGGTCATGCCATCCCCTCTTCTGCCACCATTTCATGACCTCAGCGCTGCTTCCCAGTCATGAACATCAACTTCTGTAAAGATTCATCTGTACGCTGTTGAACAACAAAATCACATCTGCGTCTGACTTGGAAAGACAGGAAGATGAGCATCATACACGTTGTCATGTTTGATTTCAAGCCACTGGCAACCCCAGAAGAGGTCCAGATGGTGGGTCTCATTGTGCTCCCATGTCGTTTCGTTCGTTGCACAGCAACCTGGGCACTAGTCTGACATAGAATGGCAGGTATGCGACCAGATGCTGGCACTCAAGGACAATTGTGTCCATCCCCAGACAAAGAAACCATACCTGAAGATGGCCATGGGTGGTATAGACAACAGCCCAGAGGGGAAGCAGGTAAGCTGCCTAGACCATCTATCTATACCAGTCGGGAATGGAAGCTGTGGTGGCACTCCCCAGCTGTCATGGACTCATAGTACTGCCCCTTTTTGACCTTTGTATTTTCACGGCAGAATGGCATCACACACGTGTTTGTCAGCGAGTTCGATAGCGAGGAAGATCGACAGTATTATCTTGAGGAGGATCCAGCTCATCTTGCATTTGTCAAGGACATTGCTGGCATTGTTGGAAAGGGGCAGGTTGTTGACTTTACTCCGGGTGTATTCTTGAGGGCTCGTCATCGCCACAGTGTGGGGTAGGACAACGGGCAGAATCAGGCCAGCCCAGGCAAAAGTAAAAAGCAAAAAGCACAGCTAGGGTATGGAACTCTGGGCAGAGTACGGAAATATATAAGGGGATACACTCAGATAACTACAGATACCTAGCTCTAATAATTATTTTCATTCCTCTGGAGAATCCACAAGCACCGATGTAAGGACTCTTCATGCCCCGCACCACTTTTGCACCACTACACCACTGCACCGCGTCGCGTCACTCAAACCATAGTGGCACAGTTAGGGAGCTACCTACGTCATCGCTCCACACTGTGACAAACAGCCAATAGCTGCCCAGGGATTCGGTACAAAGGTACACATAATTCAGGGGACCCAAGGCGCCGATACTTTTGAGCACCGCTTTCACCATCACCAGATCAACCCCCGATTGTCAAGCCACGCGCAGCGGAGGTTAGGAGATTGAGAGAGAGAAGAGAGTTGTTCGTCAGAGGTTATTGCCTATCCATATTTTGATATCCTCATATCTTCCAACTGCCTGAAACAGCAGTGTCGCTATTGAATAGCTGCCCCGCCAGGGTCAATCTCGGCGCGCCAACAGCAACAGATAGCCACATCACAGATCCATCAATAGGCGCCGACAAGTATCACGGCCATTCGCATGCCGCCCTAATGGAGCAGCCTCAGCCACAGTCTAGCCCGGGCACTCCGTCTAAGATGCCGTAAGTCCTCCCACTTCAGCCCCGCCAAGCCCCTCACCGGGTCTGCGGCTACTACTGTTTGCCTGCAAATATATTACGTCGCAAACATCACCTGTATCTATCCGACTTCCGGCAGCTATACTAATCATCCCCTCTCCGACTCTCAGTGGCACCCCGACGAGCACTACCACCTCCCTCTCGGCCCTATCCACCACCGCCACGAAAGATGGCCATCGCGGGCAGTCGCTTTCCGGCCACCTCCATCGCCGCGACGGCCACCCCCAAAATGCGACCACTAATAGTCTCGAGGCCGAGCGCGCCGACCGCATCTCCCGCCTGACCGGCTTATCATCTGTCTCCACCCAGCGCGGTCCCGCCCCACACGGCGCATATGGCGGCGGGCCCGGCGGTGGGTCCCCCCACGCCTCCCCGCAGACGACGCCGACCTCGAGCGGCTTCCCCGCCAACGTCATTGCCCAGATCACCGCCGCGGGGCTCACCCCTGCCTACTTCGACGCCGCCGGCCAGCCCTTCGCTGTTACTAAGATGAGCACCGTGGGTACCGCCTCAGCGACCGAGAGCGTGGGCGGCCGGACTACAATTGGGACGGGTATCGGCGACGACCACGACATGGGCGACGCTGACGGCGACGAGGACATGGCCTCGACCGATACAAATTTCCGGGGCACCGAGGCGGATTCCGTCAGCGGTTACTTTGGCGGCGGCGGGTCTGGCGGCGATTTCGACCCCATGGACGAGGACATGGCCAACCGGAGCGTTGGCGGATTCGAGGATCGCATGTCGGACGACGGCAACGCGAGCCTGGTCGGCTTTGGCGAGGGCGCCGGCAGCACTGTATCTGGCCCCATCTACCACCGCCGACTGCCGCCGGGACAGGGGGGGCCGGCCAGCTCGCCCGGCCACATGAGCATCTGGGGACTGGAGAGGAGCGCTTCGGGGCTGAGTGAGGCCATGGGAGCGGGCGCTAGACGCGATACCGTCCGTGGACCTACAAGCCAAGAAGGCGTCAGCGGCGAGACCCCGCTCAGCACGTCGGCCGCCCTAGAGCGGCGCGACGCTCGCATGGTCGACGGTGTCGCCACGGACGGCGCCGGTATCGAGTCGGTGCCTGCGCGGGCCGCCGACGACGACCCGTACGTGGACACCACCAACAGGGGACCCGTCCCCGTGCGGGCGAACATGAGTGCGATCCGGGAGACACAGCAGCCGCACTCGCATCAGCAGCAGACGCAGGCCCACTCACAGTTCCGGGGCTCCACCTCGCGAGAGGCGGCCGAGCGGATCATTAGGGAGAGACTCGACAATGGCGAGGCTAGGGCCGGGAACGCGGCCCTCGGGAGCCCCAAGGGCGATGGAAAACTCGGACGGTTCTACTTCGAGGACCGGAAGTGAGAGTCTCCTATCAGGGTTGGTTGGGGTCGAGGTTGGAGTATCCGGCGTTGGAATTTTCCCACCCCCGAATTTGCTTTTTTGGTCTTCTTGTTTTTTTGCAGGAATGGCTTTGTGAGTTTCTCATTGATATCACTCGGGGCGTTTGCTTCTTCCCACCCTTCGGGCGTTTTCCCCTGGTTTTTCCCTGGTTTGGAATTGCCGTCGCGGAGAGAGGGGGTTGGCTGGATCTGGCTCGGCCTGGTAGGCATGTACGATGTGGAACTTCTGCTCTCGCGGCTTCTTTGTGCGGCAATAGGGCCGCTCCAACTTGTACTCTCAAGGGAGCAAAATACCAATGGAAAAAGGAGTTTTTCGCGCCATTTCGGGGATAAGTCAAGTTTGCAGGGTGCGCTTCAATGGCAGTGGCTAGCAGCTTAGGAACTTATTGGGCCCCTGGAATCTTGATGTCTCACCCACCAACCTCATGGCTCGCAATAATTCGACACCCGCTCACACCTCTGGGAATTTGGCAAGCTAGGACCCGCCATCTATATTCTTCAACATTCTTCAGGGTGGTTCCAGAACCACAGGAATTGTTCTAACCACGACAATGCGGCTGCAAGACGGCAATCGGTTCCCGAATACCTCCACCACCCCCTCGCAGGAGCGCGCATCCCCCGATCAACCGCCTGCCGCAGGAATCTGCACTTACTCGACTAATCATCCACCACAGTATGTTCCAGATTCAGCGCTTCCGATGGAGGCCTGGATCTCGCGGCGGGTGGCGGGGGACAACGCAGATCCCTGTCTGCCCATATGTGAGAGAGAGTCTTTAGGTTCCAGTCCTTCGCAATGGCTGGCGCGGCGTGCCAATTCACGCGTTCGGTATTCGTGGGCCTTGTTTAAATAGGACAGCCCGTCTCCTTCGGGGTCTCTTCACCTCTCTTGATTTTTACCTCGTCTGGACATTTGCCGAGCTCTCTCAACGCTCGAGTTCACAAGTTTCGCCAACAAGTGAACTTTACCACACTCTTCGCCGATATGGGACGAGCAAATATCTCGTATCTCTCAGCCGCCGCGGCTCTGCTGCTCGCCGGGGCCAGGGGCCAACTACAACCTCAGGGCTGTGCCTCTCTGGACGTAACGGCAGCAGCAGACAGCAACGCACTCGAACCCAACTCCTCTGAACTCTGCGCCGACTACTGCAACAGCAATGGCTACCCATACATCGCGTTATTCTTACAGTACATCCATCTGCCCTCTTTCTCTCGCAATGGTGGAACTAACCCTGCCTCTCTTCAGATTTTGCACCTGTTGGGAAACCGCACCGCCGGTTATAAGTACATACCCAGATGTTGGGAACTCGGACTGCTACTACAACTGCCAACCGCCGTACAACCTCGAGTACTGCGGCGGTATGGACCAGGACACGGGAGACTCCCTCTTCAACCTCTATCTGTCGCCCCTCGACGCTGCGGGCTCGTCAACTAGCATCGCCTCAGCTAGCACCACCGTCGCCCCTCCCGCGACTACTTCACTCCCTGAAGCAGAAGCTTCATCGACTAGCTCGCCCTCGCTCTCCTCAACCGCGGCAGCGGACCCCACGACGTCCGCGGCAGCGGCACTCGACGTGACCCCGTTCCTGGACCCCACCACAGAAGTGGTAGCCGCCGTCTCCACCACAATCCCATCCATCCCGACCTCGGATCCGGCAACCATCCCCAGCTCAGACCCCTTGCCCATCCCCACCTCCTCATCCGACCCAGACACCACCACCACATCCACCACCCCCACCATCCCCACCACCTCCGCACCCGCCGCCGCCGACCCCGACCTCGCAGTCAGCAGCACAGTGACCATAACAACCACCCAGCGAGTCTGCCCCGCCTGCCTTGAAGGCGCCATGGGCCCTGCCGGCCCGGCTCCGGGCCCGGGCTCGTACCGCACCCTCGTGTCGGTCATGACCGTCGTCACCACGTCGTGCCGCGGCACCCACGTGCCGTCACCGCCGGCTCCGGCTCCGGCTCCGGCTCCCACGGGGGCGTTCCGGCCGTGGGACGGCACTGTTGTTGTTGTCGGCGGCGGGGAGGGCGGGGTCGCGAGCGCGAGCGCGGTTAGTAGTGTCGGGAATGGGGTGTGGCTTGGGGGGGCTGGTGGTGGTGCTAGTGCTAGTGGGGCTGCGGCTGCGGCTGGGGATGAGTCTGGGAGTGAATCCGGGAGTGAGGCTGGGGATGAGGCTGGTGCTGGGTCCGAGACTGGCTCCGAGCCCGGCGCTGGGTCTGAGTGGGGGGACACTGGTGCCGACAGTGGGAGTGGCACCGACACTGGTGGTAGTGACGAGAGCAGCGGTGCCGGCAGCCCCGAGGGCGGTGCTGACGGTGGAGCAACAACGACTATGGGGGGCCCCGTCTTTGCGGCGGGTGCCTCGTTCCGGGAGGAGGGATGGGCGAGGACGGCCTTGGCCCTGGGGCTGGTCTTCGCAACGGCTGCATTTATACTGTGAGAAGGAAAGAGGGGGGGGTATAATGGGAGAAGGAACTTTGCCAGCCATGGTTCTTTGGCTGTCAATACGATTTACGAATTAAATATAGTAGTTTCGCAGAATATATAGATAGGTACAACGTATTTCGACTTTATACATTCTTGCTCATGTCTCGAGAGACCGTCCCCGGGAGACCAGTTGTTTGCGAGCGTAAAATCAGCCTAGATATCTGGTAAGTTGAAGCTTTTAGGTCAAGTACCGAGCATTGTCCAAGAATATATCATGTCCTCCTAGTCCTCTTTTCCTTCATCTCACTACACAACTTGTGCAAAACAGACGATATTCGTCTCCTCCTTGTGCGTTGACACCCACTTCTTCATCCAACAGCGGGTCCTCTTAGCAAATAAAGTACGCGTGTATGCATACAATATAAATGACCAGTTGTGTGGCGCAGAAGACCTGTGCAATCCGCTGAGAATGCATCCGTACCTGAAATCCATATATACATCGGGGTCCTGCAACATAGAAGACACCCAAGCCACAGTCATCGTCATGAGACAGCCATAGCTCGGCATATGCATCAGCCCCTAAAACCAAGCCAATACGCCATAAATGAATCATCAACAGTGCCCGGACGCCTGAAAATAAAAAACTGTAACCTCGGATCTCGTGGTATAAAGAAGTTGCCCCGTTCACTCCGTCCTCCTCTCCAAAATCGCCTCCCCGACCGGCTCCCCCCCAACAAACCCCTCATTCTCCCCCCCGAGCGCAAACACCCTCCTCCCGCGCAGCCACGTCTCGACGACCCTGCCCTCGAACCGGCACCCCTCCCACGGCGAGCAGCGGTTCCGCCACCGCATGTCCGCCGCCCGCAGCGTCCAGGCCGCGCCGTCGTCGAACACGCACACGTCGCCGTCGAGCCCGGGCCTCAGGCCCCCCTTCCGGCCCGCGAGCCCCACCTGCCGCGCCGTCGCCTGGCTGCACAGCCGGACCGTGTCGACGATCGAGAGCGGGGAGGAGCGTGCCGTAGATGCCGTGTGGAGGATCGGCAGCCCCAGACCGACCGACGAGATGCCGCCCCACGCCGCGAAGAAGTCGCCCCGCCCGGATGCCTGGGCTGCATCGTCGTCGTTGACGACGGTGGTGTCCTGCGTGGGTAGCGTGACGTCGATGCCCGAGTCCGAGAATTCCGTGCGAGGCAGCGGCCCACTGCCGAAGGCGTGGTGGGTGTTCTGAGCCTGCCGGATGCGATCCGGCAGGAGCTTCAGCTCGGGCGTGCAGGGGGAGTGGTCCGACACGATGGTGCGGATGCAGCTGTCCTCGGCGGCGAGCTCGGCCCACAGGCCGTCCTGGTTGGCGCGGCTGCGGATCGGGGGGCAGCACTTGTGCCGGGTGTCGCCGTCCTCGATGCCGTCGGACGCCAGGCCGAGGTAATGGAAGCACGTCTCGGCTGTGATGTTGACGCCACGGCTGCGGGCGGCCTTGAGGATTGGGATGCATTCCGTGGCTGAGAGGTGGACGATGTGTAGATGGAGCTGCGGGGCGAGGTGTGCGAGTGAGAGGATCTCCTCCACTGCGTATGTCTCGAAGGCAGGCGGGCGGGATTCCAAGAAGGTGTTGTACGAGGTAAGCTCACCGTGAGGGGCGAGGGGCGGTTCCGACGCCTGGACGCCATCGCCCACGGAATCCGTAATGGGCGGAATCATCTCCGCGTGAAACATGAGTGTGGTCGGGCTGTCCTTGAGGGTTGTCATTGCGAGTGCAATATCCTTAGACGAGACGGCAGGGAACTCTTCGACCTGTGTCTCTGGTCAGCTCTGACCACGTCCAGGGTTGTTTGGACTTGATAGGCGCAGACTTACTCCCGATTCGATGAGAAACCCCTTGAAACCACGAACCCCGGCTTCCGCAAGTGGGAGCAACTCGTCGGCATTGCCCGGGACGATGCCGCCATAGAAGCCGACGTCAACCCAGCATTGTCCCTTGCTGGCGGCAAGCTTCTCCTTGAAGCCAGCGAGGGTGGTTGTCGGCGGGATAGCATTTAAAGGCATGTCCACGACGGTGGTGACTCCGCCCGAGGCAGCCGCCCGGGTTCCGGTGTAGAAGCCCTCCCATTCTGTCCGACCTGGCTCGTTGAGATGAACGTGCGCGTCGACCAAACCTGGGAGCAGGACCTTCGGGCTGTGGTCGATGTATGCTGTTCCAGGAGGGAACAGGGTCTCCGGGAGGATCTCGGGGACAGCAGAAAGAATCTTGCCCGTAACAGGAGAGAGTGAGATGGTTGCTGGCGTGAGAAGTAACGAATCGTCGGCGAGAGTGAGCACGGCTCTCGTCGAGACTAACACGACCAGAGGTGCGGCAGTGGTAGATGAGGAAAGAGTCATCTTAGACATGGAAATCGGGGCTTGAAAGAGCACGAATACGTCTCTCAAGCAGCGCTGCCACCGAGGTGTCGGCTTATCGTTGGAAATGGAAGTGTTGCGGGGCAGGCCTGATAAGGGGGCTATCGTCGGATCGGGCCAACAGAGACATAAGGGGAAGATGCAACGGCTAGGCAGGGTAAACTTAGGTAGGTAGGTACCCCAGCTTGGATGATGATGGCTAACGGGAGATGCGGGGGAGAGTGAGTGCAGGAAGAGACGCAAGTAGAAAGACCAACCGTCCTCCTTCCGCACTATGGGAGTTCAGTCGGGCGGGGAGTTGTCTAGGCGAAGAGTTCACGATCGCAAGACGTCCAGACCCTCTGTCGCAGCTGTTCTCGTCAACGGTCAGTTTCCACACGCATAATCAGGTCTACACTGGTTGTTGGTTGTTGGAGCCAGAGCCGTGAAGAGAGGCAGAAATGAGTTGATGTTGGTACGAGTTGCTCTCTTATCAAGTGTGCTCATACCACGCGGCGAAAATCCTTATCGGAGATGTCCGGTTCTAGCCAGGCCACTTGACCCCGACATTAGTGCAGTGCGCCCCGAGTCATTGGGCAGAATCCATTCCATACCTAGTCCATACGTTGTGCTTGGATAAGTGGGAATTCTAAGCCTAGGATTTGCTGATCCAATGCCCGCCAGCCACCAGGAAGGCTGAGGGCAGGGATTGAGAGACTCCACCAAAATCAACACAGCACTGTTATGGAGAACCCAGGCCAAAGACCATCGTCCATTTTGAGGGGGCCAACAAAAAAAGGAAGAAAAAAAGCGAGATAGGGGTGGCAGGAGACAGGTTTCCATTCCATCATCAAATCATGTATCCGCGAAGCTTTCTTAGGTTTGCATCAGAGCCTGTTGTTCTGTCCTCGGACATGTATTGTAGTGTAGCTCCACCCCAGGTTCGAACCCCCTTGAAACCCCCCACCCCCCCCTTTTTTTTTCTGGGCATTTGCGGCGCAAAGCGAAGCACCTTTCATGTAGAGTGATTTATTCTCTTATCGTATAACCCCAACCCATTTTTTTAACTTCCTCCACCAGTTAGGATCTCGTCTGGGCTCACTATCTGCGGGCGAGGGAGCTCAATGGCGCATCAAATTGCTGGTGTAGAAACTGTCGTGGTTCCTCTCTCCTCCACACAAATACCCAACCTTCTGGAGAAACCGGTGGGTGCATATGTATGTCCATTTCCTTATGCCATAGAGAAGGGTATCTCAGCTCTGGCGCTCCCAACTGGCCGTCCATACTCTCAGAAACCTTCCGGGCTGGTATAGTTTGACCGATGAGCCTCAACCAACGTTGGAGACATTTCGTGGCCTTCGGAAACTTGGCTAGCCCAACTCTGCATCGGTTTTGTCATGCCTTTTGCTGATACTTAACCCAGGTGAAAGGTTCCGTTTCTCGATCAAAGATATGGAAATTTGTGATGTGAGATCAAGTCGAGGTTGTCTTCATAAATAGGGGCCTTCAGTGAATATATGAACTCTGTCAGCAGGAACTTCCCACACTCCGCTTGGTGCTAACTTACGTTATTAACACACTCGATTCCTAAGAGAAATACGATATGCCGAAACGATGAACAATATTCGAGATTTCCAATGTCGCCGGGTCCAAGACGGCAATCGAGAGCGTTTCTGATTGTTCCCGAAACGTATCTCAGCTTTATATGCTCTCGAACACGGCTGTGATATTACTCGGACGTTTCGGTTGACATGTCGATACTGGGAGAACTAGTAACGTGGGATGTGTTAGCCTCTCTTCCGTCGTACTCGATGTTCCAAAATATCCTCCTTCTATTGCCAGGGAGACAGATATACAGAGCTGCTGACCCCATACCCGCCATAGGTCATCAGAATCGGGTGTCTGAACAGCTCTCCTTCCCTGTGTTAGAGCAAGTGGTTGTGTTAAAGATCAGGGCTCGTTGTAGGATCGTCTGGGGAAAGCAGAGCACACCTGAATCCTGCTCTTCTCGCCGCAACGGGTATTTTTCGACTTGTCATGGTAAGAAGACCTCTAGGATACCGAAGAGAGATGGATTGCGTAACTCATCATCCAATAGTTGATTCATGAACACCTACTTCTTTTCATCAAGTTCCTGTGCCCTCAAGTTCGGCTTGGGTAACATCCCAGCCGTATATGGGACTGAGGACTGGGGTGACTGTTCTTTACGAGGAGCTAGCAGCATGGCGTTCTTCGTGCAGCGTCCCAGGCTCTTTAGGGCGCCTAGTAGACGATGACGCGTGCTGGGATTAGACACGGCGCCATTTTTATGGTCGTAGTGGGTGGTGATGATGAGTAAGAGGTCGTCTTCGATCTGTAATGGCATCCCTCTGTTTCGGGAATCGATCGTATGGAGCTGCTGGGCCAGATAAGGAGTGGGAGGAGCACGAAATGCTTTAAGGATATTCTACTTCACTCTCAAGGGACGGCACTGTTGATAGGAAGTTACTGATAAGAAAACGAATACGCTGTCTGGAGGGGAGGTGTATGCCTCATTCTCGAGGTACCCCTGGGGATACTGCTCCCGTAAACAGCGGGCTCACTTTGATCCTGGGGAGGTCCTTTTATGAAGGTGAGTGGAAACGTCTACTGGTAAATAGTACGTACTCGCCAATAGTAGGTGGTCGTTTGTTTTCTTCAGGATATCCGAGCTGATCGAGGCCCGCCCGAAGAATCAACACTTGACACCCACTTCTTCATCCAGACAACTTCCACGAGCTCTAGGATTCCTTTCTCTCAGGAAGATAAACGGGAACCTAGTAGCAGTTTTCTGAGCAAAGTTGAGAGATTAACTACAGACTACGGCGGCTGACTTTCTCCCTTCTGGTTGCTCCGGGGATCCTAATCCTTTCACCTCCACGCGACTTTCTCACCTCAAGAGACCTACTTCGATTTTGTTTTCCTTCGTCGATATCAGCAGCCATAGATAGCCACGTTCTCGACGCGTCTCGCTTGCCGGTAGGTAACTCTGGGAATCTTCCGTTCTCACTGACCTTTTCCTCCAACTAATTTATCTCTCTTCTCCTTCGTCCCTCTCAGGCTCCTCCTTCACTTTTTTCTCCCACGGGCAGGGCACTACTAGATTCCCTTCCACGCCCAACCTTACCCTATTTGCTGGCTCGCCGGGAAGTATTAATATTATTTATTGCTCTCGAGGTAATCCACACTTAATTCCCTATCATATAACGAAAAGGAGCTCATACTAACACCCCGCAAGATCTGCCAAAGACACCATGCTCCGTGCCTAGTCACCCCTTTGACCAAGAGAAAAATAAACAGAGAAAATATGGCAGAACAAGACTTCATTGTCGTCACCTACAAGGGCCAGCGCCTCCTGGTCGCGAAGCCCAAAACCTACTGGGCCCTCATCGAGCTGGTCGAGGATGAGTTTAACATCCCGCGTGGCCACACCCTCCACGCCAACATTGACTGCCCCTGGGGCAGGTACCATGAGATCGGCCTGCATTGCTCTGGATATCCTACGGTATCTCATGGTATGGAGATCCGCTTTGAGGACAAGTCTCCTCGTATCCCGCGAGCTTCCGCCTCGAGCACCGACAAAGTCATGGGAGAATCGCGTTCCTCGTTCGCCGCTCGCATGAACATGCACCGGGATGTGAGCGATAACAATAGCTGGGGCATCGAGTCTGAGGCCTCATGGAACGGTCCCGTAAGTCCAACCCAACAAAGACGCCGACGCAAGACAAGACATCTCCAGTTCTAACCCTGTCCACCCCATTACCAGATGCCTCTAGGCCTCACCGCGCAGGCCCTGCACCTGGGACTCCCTCAGACCCAGAAGATGACCATCCTAGGACCGGGCCCCAACGACTCCCCGCCCTCGTCCCCCAGCTCCTTCGCGATCCCCAACCACGGGATCAACCGCCCCGCCCACGCAGGCCCATCCACGGAGCACCAGCAGCAGCGCCCCGCCCAGCCGGCCACCACCACCTCGGCCCCGCAGCCCACCGGCCCGGTCCTCGGCCCCGGCGGCCACGGCCTCCGACGCGTCCGCTTCCTGCCCCGCGTCCGCAGCCGCACCCTCCGCCGCCGCCGCAGCAACCGGCTGTTCTTCCCGGCGTCCGCCTCGGGGGGAGTGGGGCCCTCCAACGAGAACGACGACGACAACAACAACAGCAGCAGCAGAAGCCCACCATCGTCGCCGGGTTCCGTCGTCCGAGTCGCTGTGCCCCACAACAGCCACGCCGACTCCGACGACGATTACGACGACGACAGCGTGCGCGGCGGCGGCGACGCCACCAGCAGCGGCTGGGAGGTCGGCTCCGAGAGCCCCGACGTCCCCTTGCCCACCGGGGCAGCCTGCAAGCAGAAGAAGGCGGTTCGTCCTTGGGCTGGCATGTCTAGCCTCTTTTAAGGGGGTCGTTATTTGGTTTGGTTCTTCGGTTCTGGCTGCCTGCATGGAGACGTCGTGAACCCTTTCTCTTTTTGCTTTTTTGCTATGGACAGATCGCGGCCTGACGTGGGATGATGGATTTCCCTTTTCCAGGCATGGGAACGACGTTTGGTTTCGTTAGGCTACGTAGCCAAGGCAGAACAAATACAGATCATAAAACAACGATGGTTGGCGCCCAGGCACGACCATGGCTCGCCGATGGCCCTAGTAGACACCTTGATGCGTAGGCATAGAATGGTTTCTTGAGCACCCTGACCATGCCCTTGGATGGAATGAGGTTGAACGGCAACGGCCGTTGCGTATGAACACTTTGGACTTCGATTATATTCGTACGAGACATGAACCCCCATGAACTGACAATCCATGCCGCATGCGTGGGTAAAGAAAAGAAAGAACCGTTTCCAAGCAAGTAGCCAACATTCGCCTGCCCAGGTCAGGGCATCAGTGATGCTAAGCGGCCTTCTCTGTGCAAAAGATGAGGCCGTACTGTCAGGTTTCCATCTCAGCTGCGCCCAGAATATCTAATTCAATCCAACGTCGAAATGCCGCTGAAGAGGGGGGAGACAGAGAAAGAAAAAAGAAGAAAAAAAAGCCAAAAACTAGTAGCATCTCTTTGAGATTGCGTGTCCTGGGCAAAGCCAGTAATTTGCAAATAACTTTTCGTCAGGACGGGAGTTGAACTCACATCCTTAGTCAAGATATATAGGTTAGCTCTACGCCTTGCGTCGTCTATCCAATTCACCTCTTGACGTCCTACCCTCAACTTCCTGCCCTCAATGCCTTCAAATCAATGGCGACCTCAACACCTAGTTCCAGCCTTCCGGACCCCAGCTCCAGCTCCGGGCCCGGCCCTAGAACCTCCGCCTTAACTCGTCGGTATAGGCTTTCTGCAACTGGGCCTTCTTCTCTACAACACTCTTTTGCTCCTCTGGGGAGAGTGGATTCCCCTTATCAGTCCGATCCTTGATGCTCTGATCCAACTTCGCCATATTCTGCCGGGTCGACTCCATCATCAATAGACCCCGTGTATATTTCGTCCTCATTTCCACGGCTCACGTGGCTTTGTCGGTGGCCTGTACCGGGGCCAGGATATGGAAGGTCATCTGGCTGAGGTGGTTGACAATATGGTCGGGGACCTTTGTTTGCTGTGGAGGTGCTTGGCTGGCTCCAACGCCGGCATTGGTGCTCATTGTCGGGGAGATGGAAACCAGACAACCAAGGTCCACCAGGAGGCCGAATTCCTACGTCCACAGGAGGAAGCCAAGGCCCGTCTCGGTCGCCGGGATTTGCGCTCCACCGTCGCCAGGAGCGTATCCGCTGGTGGGCACGTCAATGGCTCAAACTCCACAACGCCAGGCCATCTAGAAGCAGAGGGGGGTCTCGGCCCGTGAAGTCCCCTCGGCACCGCAGAGTGAGAAACGTGAGGCCATTGAGCGAGCGTTGTGGTAGCAACTCGGGGAAAATCGATACGTCGAGCTGGAAGCGATAAAGCAGCAATATTGCTCCTCTCAATCCACCCAAACAAACCGAGTCTCGACCAAGAAAAACAACCAACACGGGGGACGCTCCATGAAGAAGGCCGAAGAAGGCCTAACACCGAAGAGGAAGCAAGGCGGGATATCGAAAGATAGAGAGGTCGGGAAACGAAGAAGCACTGGTGTGTCCTCAGCCCAGAATGTTGACTGACATATCGAGCACGGAAACACTCAACCAGCTCCCCTGTACCAACCTCGCCATATACTTCCAGATGACTCCTCGATAGCTCTCGATGCGCAAGGAAGTTGGGCAAATATATATAAGGGACAAAGCAAGTTAGCGGAAGTCCTTAGGGGCAGGTTAGAACAGCCTCCATTTAAGGTGGCCTTGGCTAACCAAGACACAGGCAACCACACATGTATGTATGTGTGTACATACAACGCCTGTGCCTTCCTGGGATGGCCGGGTACGCCCAACAGCCCTTCAACGACGGGGGTTTAAGAAGTCACGATAGCATAAGAGGGGAACCGAGTGTGACGGGATGTCTCGTGAGCCCAGAAAGCTCGCTTCTGTATTGAGGGAGGAATAAACGAGCCTGGTGGCTGGGCAATCAGGGGTATAGACCACCGAAGCTACCATTCCGCCTCCGTTTCCCCAGTGGTCATGATTGATATCCCAGAAGAGGCAAACTCCAACAAGAGGCAAACAAAGATCACCGGATCCCACCCTCTCACAGGTCCCTGACCCCGCCAAGTCACGATCCATGCGCTTGTCAAAACACCCCAAGACCTCTTTAGAGTTCAACCCGTCCGATGGGATGACATGCCCGCTATTCAAAGGATATAGCAGCAAGATGGAAAAAATACGAAACGCCACCGTGATCCAACCCCTCTCCCCATGTCCAGTCCAACAAGGCCCTTGTGATTTTCCATGACTGGCAACCATCCGCCCTCCGGCCGGTTTCCGCTAACGAACGCCGAGAATGATGGAAAAAGAGGTATGTGTGATATAATGTGGTCTGGTGGGTATATGCCACGCCACTTTCGTCCACACCAGCCAAGACTGAATATGCATCCAGAGGGACGCCCGAACTCCGCAGCAGCCGACTGAATATGCAAAGGTAAGCCAAAGAAACCACAAAATAACAGCGAAAGTACAAGACAAGATGATAATATAGCTGACGCCTCGCGTCGTGAAATTCCAAGAAATGACAATATAAGAAGCGAAACGAGAGGAACGAAGGGACCAAGGGGCTCCTATGGGCATGCGCTGCATGTCATATCTTCCAGATACGGTGTATCTTGTGGAGAGTCGTATGATAAAGAATACCAGGTAACGGGGTATCATGAGTGGCTTTGCCACCGAAGCGAACGTCAGCTGTGAGTGGTAAATCGAGTGGGTCTGGGTGCTGCAAGGACGATATCAAGCACAGACAAAGTCGAGGCCCGAGTTTCTCGCCACTCTCTGCCAATCCCAGACGGCAACCCAGTCGCCGGAATCCATGAGGCGCCAGACCTCCTCCAGGAGCTCAGTCACCCGGTCCGTGTTGCGGAGTCCAGTGTAGCCTCGGACTGTCCGCACGGCAGCCTGTACCCGCTCTTGTTGCGAAGGCGAGAAACACGAGGTACCGATGAGGAGACAAGGGATTAGAAGGAGCGTCTGACTCGGGTCGCTGGGCTTGAAGCTCTCCAGAATCGCAAGGGATTCCTCTATGGCTATAGTAATTCGGGGGTCGTGGTCGGGTGGATGACGGATAGGCTGCGGAGAGTCTGCTCTGGTGTCGGCCGGCTGCGCTTGTTGCTGTTCTGGGCTCATGGTAGGGGCGTTGACAGAGCTCGACTTCCGAGACGGAGGATTTGAGCGACTGGAAGTGCTGCTATAGTCCGACGAAGCCGAGATCCGCGGCGAAGAGGAGCAGCTGGTCGACACCGAATGTGGTGGGGTGTTGACGATTGCTGGCCTTCCAGCACAGGTCGGGGTCGGAAACATGGGCAGTGAAGCCGAAGATGAGGACAAGGATGAGGGGGATGAGGGCGGATAGATGGTCCGGAAGAGATAGATCCACATCATTTGTTTGTAGAGCAGCCCTACCCGGTCCCGGCTATCGCCTGGTAGCCAGCTAGGCGTCCATTCCCGGATGGCTGCGTCTATTTCGGCCGCCTGGTAGAGGCTGGTGTAATCAACAACAGGGTCGATTTGGTTGTCCATGTTCGAGCGGATTGTGTTACGGATTGTTGTGATGTGGGACATGTAATTGAAGAGGCCGTCGGCGACACCGAGTAGACGTGGGGGGTGGATCGGCGAAACAGGCAGCCAATTCCCCGAGGCTGGCCTCTGGGTATCGCCTTCGGGGAAGCAGATCAACTCGTCGGCAAAGATGTGGTACTGGAAGAACTCGGTGATGAACGACAAGAAGGCCGGGTCCTCAGGGGGTGACTGCTGTATCAAGTTCCGGTAAGCTTGTAGGTGGACCCGGTGGTCTCCAGTGGGGTTTCCCTCGGCGATGGACTCAAGCAACAGGCAGAGCATCTGGCCGTATCGAGCTGAAAGGATGTCCCTGTATTCGGGACTCGACCTGTCGTGTTCACGGTTCAGATCGGCGTACAGCTTCTCCATCGCCGCCTCGTGGTGGAAATCAGAGCGCTGCTGGAGCATCTCGACACTGGTGCCTGGGTTGTTCCGGAGAAGGTTAAGGCCGTAGGGCGTATCATAATCGATATGTTTGCTCGCCAGAGAGAGGATGGAGTGCATGAGTCCTTCGTGGCTGACCGCAATAGGCACAATCATGTCCTTGAACGCATTCTTGTGCTCTCCTTCCACAGTCAGCACATTGCTGAGATGTTCGTTATAATGCTTCCAGAAGATGCGGTCTTCAACCGTCTCTAGCCCATGGAAAATGGGCTGCATGGTGATAGAAGGGAGTCGCTGGCACTTGAGTCGCTCTGCAGTCCATTTAGTTAGGACCCGGGTCTCGAAAGAGCGGGAGGATTCAGAATCGGTACCTTCTTCAGCCCTTTCTTTGCCGCTCTTCCAGATTTGCTTCTCCGGATATCCCTCGCAGACGACCGCATTCTTGTCGCAGTTCATGCCTAGACCGGTCAGTATACCCACCGGGGCCCGCAGAGAACGCCTGCTACTCACATCGTGGTTTAGCTTCGTCGCACTTCTTCTTCCGCTTGCGGCAAGTCAGACATCCCGTCTTCGACCGGCCCTTGGTAACTTTGTTGGTCGTCACGACTGGGGTGAGCGGGTGCTTCCTTGGCCGTCCCCTCGGCCGCTTTGCTTTCGGTTGAGCAGCTGCCGGGTCATTTGTGCCCGGGAGAGTCGACGCAGGGGCTTCTTTGACGTCATCGAGGCGGAAGTCGTCGTCGTCCAAGGGCTCCAGTTTTGTCACGGTCAGAATATGGTCTGATCCCTGCTCCCAGTGCATGTCGGCACCGTCGCTGCTGCAGCTGGTGCCTGGTGCATCATCTAGCTCCGCATAGCCGATACTCCATGAGTCGGTGCAGGAGGACGAGGCTGAGTGGATCAAGGTTGGGGTCGATGATGGCCCCGAGGCGCCAGAAATGGAGGCGCCGTGGTCGAGATGGGACCCGGGGATGTCCATGCCGGTGCTGATGGGCGACAGCTGCCCGGTGTGTGAAATGCTAATGGTTGAGGATACGGACGCCGCTCCAGAGCTCGTCTGGAGGTGGTCTATCCACGAAGGTGAGTGTGGGAGGTTGATAGAATGGCTATCATCCGAGTCCATGCTGTGGCTATCGGACCACGGGAGGTCCCCGTCGTCCGCCACGACAGGAAAAGAGCAGTCCATAGCTCGTCAATAACGAGACCATACCAACCAGGTACGCTAATTGGTATCTTCAGAGGCGTGGTAGCCGGGGGGAGGGGACGCGGGAGACAGCGGGGTTCTTAAAGAGGAAGAAACGCAGGCCCGGCAGAAGTGGGTTTCGGGACCAGCACGGAGCAGGCAGTGGTTGGCCAGTCGATCAGCGACCTCGGCGGCCGGCCATAGGTTATAAATATGGCAGCTACTGTAGAGGTGGGGGAGAGAAAGAGAGACGAGAGATGGAAGGAGAGGGGGGGAGGCAGGGAGAACTTGGCGGGGCGATCAACTCCCCAAGCGCTTGTGGAGCGTTCTACGTGCCAAAGCTCCTGTTGATCGTCGAGAAGCGAGAATCGTGAAGGAGACAAATCGTGGACTGAGTATGAATATTCTCTTGCATGTTATAAAGAGGTTTCTTAGCTGCCGTCTGATTATTTGGAGGGAGGAAGGGGGAGGGATGATGCGCTGGTTCAATGACGGGAAAGGCGGGAGGGGCAAATCGATTTGTACCTGTACAACGTGCTCCAAGTCTCGCGATCAAATGCTGTAAATTGTTAGTGACTTACCCCAGATAGGGGCAGTAAACCGCAACGGAAAAAGAAAACCAAAGACAACCATGCTGTTTGTTAACCCCACGCCAGAGCACTGGTCTAGCTGATTATCGTACCAGACCATGGGCCATGTACACATACATGGGTTACCTGGCAGTCTAGCTGAACCCTAGCAGGGGTCGTGTGCATGGTTTAACTTGGAAACAAGATGCTCGCTCGGGACCCGCATAGGGATATCTGGGTATCTCTCAACATCTCCACCTGTTACTGTGCCCTTTGCTGAGTATTGGTAAAATACCTTTGCTAAGAACAAGGAGAAGCGTGGGAAGTATGGTAGGTTGTTTAGGATAACCGTCCATTATACCGAGATACTGGCAGTATGCTGCCATCTCCTTGGTGACTGGCGCATCAAGTTAGGTACCTACACCGTGGGGGTTGATTGGAAAAGGTGATGAAAAACGGGGAAAGACGGCCAACTGAGCCTTGCTGGCGCTTGCGAGTGGTTGGCGACCTTTTTGGATTACTCCGTAGTACCATAGTAACTGGGGCATAAGGCTTGGCAGAGCTGCGGACTCGGATGGCGCATGTTCCCTCGATGTTCCCTGGCGGATGCGGGCAAGCCAATCCCACGTTGGAGACGGCCTCCAGATACTCGAGTGTGACGCAATCTTATGTGCTTCCGCACGGATCAGCTCTAGCCCCCTTTTCACTTGTAATCCGTAGATTCACGTTGCTTTTCCTTGACAGGGATCCGTGCAGACCATGACCGGGGTAGATGCCCCCCGGCCACTAGCTCTGCACCGTGCGACATGGGCCGCTCCTAGCCAGACATCCGACCCCAGGTCCGGATACATTCCAGTCCTGTTCGTACTATGGTCAGTCAACCCCACAACAGGTTTCTCTCGCCGGCCGTGTTTATGATTTTCAAATCCAAATAAGGCACGGGCGAAAGCGCAGTTTGAGAACTCGACATAACGGAGAGTAAGACAGAGTAAGACAGAGTGACAGAGGCTGAGGCTGAAGATCCCGACACGCGGCATTGAGAAGCAGCAGGCTGAGCGCAGCCTCTTGTTAACTCTAGCAGACAAAATGTCGATCAAGGCAGCCTTGGCGGTTGGGCTTGATTGAGAATTGAGATACGTGCCGCGCAGGAGAGGTCAGGCCAATCTCTTTTATTCCCCCTGCTTTGCCGTCGTTCTAGCCGTCGCTATGGACCTCGATCAACAAGCCGGAATTCCCATATTCTATCCATTTGAGTGAGTTGTCGGGCCTCGGCAGGCTGTATGCCCACTACGAACTACCTAGAAACATAACATTCTTCTCACGGTATCATCCCGCCACGGAGGCACGTACCTACTACCTGAGGCAGTCGATGACTCCGGCAGGTTGGTCTCATCATCCATCCATCCAGCCGACCACCCACAGTTACTCAACTTCCAACTTCCCGTTGCAATGAGATCATGCCCTTCCCAGATTGCATCTCGTTTGCGAGTGTGGCCGTTGGACATGGGCCGGGAAGGGTGGTGCAGCTCCCGGAGGCTCCTCAGCCCAATATTACCCCAGCTCCTCACATGTGGCGCATTCAGGGGATATCTATCGGGTGAGAACACTCTACGCATATAAGGTACGTTAAAGGAACCTGGAACGCTGGCCCCATGTGGTGTGGATGGGACGTCGTGTTACCATGCCAGCATCGAGCGCTTCGGTCCTCAGGGCAATGTGTGGCTTTGGGCACAGATGCATGCCAGCGCCGCCTTGTTTGCGATGCGACACCTGGAGGAATCCTACTACGTAGACTCGTATCATGGACGATGTTGGCCGATCTTCGGTGCTGGTGAGGTGTGGCAGATGTTATTTCCAATTTCCAATGCCCTGCCCCACCCTACCTCTCCCCCCAGCTGCCCCGGCCCCCAACTTTCGTGAGATGGCGTGCGTCATTAATGAATTCAGCCAGTGCTGTTGCAAGATGGGATCGTGGACAAGCGGGAGTGATACCTAGTAGCTAGGTTCCTGCCTCGCGTGCAGAAATGATTCCCCGCCTTGTCACATAAAGTAATGAATGGCCCGGCCCTTCAGCCCTCGCAGGCCCGCCTTCTCCTCCGCCGCCGGCCCGTGCCAGGTATATACTTATCCAACGGGCGAAGAATAAGATCCCATATACTACACATTAGCCAAAGCGGGAACTGTCGTTGTTGCTATTACGCTGTGGCTCCAGCAGAGCCCAGTCTACCTCAAGTTGAGTCCAGTTGGGTCCAGCTCAGGTGGCGACTTGCGGCCAGCTCGAGCCCCTCCTTGTTCAGCTCCCGCCCTCGAGACTGGGTGAATCTCACGATGGTCCGCCCGTTGACAAATTTTATTGATTCAGAGGCACACGCACACCCCAACGGTTTGGGCGCCGAGCCCGGAGCCAATCGAAACTCTTCCAATTGCCTGAACTCATTCGAAGCCTCTCGCCAATGAAGAGCCACAATTGGCTTCCCCTCTTTCCTACTTAGCCTACAAGCTGCAGGCCCCCCCTACTGCAAGCCTGCAGTAGAGCCTATGTACATGATGATACACAGGAGATGCATGCACGCACGCGCATTGTCCCTCGCTCTTTGGAAGAAGGGTTGACCAGGGCCGCGTAGATTTATCATTCCCCCGTTGTCCGCTGGCCAGATCCAAATTGTACACGTTCTCTTGCATCGTAGCCTTCCGTTGCCGGCCTTCGAGAGACACCTAGAACCCATGTTGCGAAGAATAAGGTAGACCTGTGGTCTAGGCCTGTGGGCCTCTGTATCCACTTCTTCCTCAGGAAATTAAGTTGTGTTTTCGCTTTTCCGAGTGGAAATACTCCACGCCGTGCTATTATGTATACTATGCCCTGGCTCTGTTCTAAAAATGGAGACAATGCTTGCTCTTCAGCTGGGACCAGGAAGTGTGCATCTGTGACATATCTCGGTAGGCAGTGCAATCCGTCCTTGACCTAGGTAAGGTCGACTTCATTCTAGGTTGTATGACACAGGTATCCGCTCCGTCACCTATGGAGTCGAAGCGATTGCGGTCCCTGGTCAACTGGTACGTAATGAAACAGGCTGTTGAGCACGGCACAGGCCCGAAAATCATCGTGAGCACGTCAAATCCTGGGAGCCCATCTCGATGGACCCCCACGCTGCACCGCATGTCATCCCTGCGATTTTGGAGGGATAGTAGCGCCGATATACCTACATGCGCATGTACTAATGAGACTCGTCATATGTCGTCTGTAGCCTTCCTGCTTCACGACGCCTCAGATTGCTTTTTGCGGCCTTTCCCCTCATTCTCAAGAACTCGTTGCCAATGGGGGAACTGGCAATGGCAACATCAACCGGGGACAGGAAAAAGCCAAGGAGCCAAAGACCGAAGGAAGCCAGCTGGCTGGCTGTGATGGTCCTCATTTTGTCCCTGTTTTCCATCCCTTTGGTGCTTTTTTTTTTTTTTTTTTTTTTTTTTTTTGAATCACCAACCTCCACAATACGAACCCCTCGCAATCCTCTTATCGTGCCAGGTTGCGAAAATACAACCTGGAACCTAGGTACCAACCTGCCCGGACACCTAAGGATAGGAACATAGGTACCTTAGGTAGGTACCTGGGTACCTCTATGTAGTGCTGTAGTGTATATGGGGCCATTTCTGTTCAACAGTTGCAAGTCAGACCATACCCCACACTAATGCGTGCAGCTTGTATGTACAAGTACAGATCTTCCCGTCTGGCTTGAGCGAACAATTCGTCTGATCCATCGGGGTACTGTAGGTACGTGCCTTCTTAGGTACGTAATGTCGGGCTGCTCCTGATCCCCGCCGGCTTGCTAAACTGGGAAATCCCTCAAGTGACCCCTCGTCCCTGCCAGAACACATGGATCGGGCTCGTTTCCGGAAAAGGGGGAAGCTGCACATTTCCATTCCAGAAACCACATAATCGAAAAGGCAAATCCCCGAGCCTACCAACCTAATTCAAACCAGGTAAACAGCCCAATGCAATCCTGCCTATGCACTTGGTGTAGATACGTGGTACGCAGCACAGTAGGTAGGTATGTATGTACAGTACCTAGGCGTGCTAGGGCATGGAGAATCTGTGGAGACCCAGCTTGGCCTACCCAAGCCTCGGATGGTCAGGGTCGGAAATAGAAGGCCACTTTCTTCACGCGGTGCGTTCCGTGGCCCCCTCCAAGCCCGTCCCTCCCGCGAGTCCGCGACACATGGTATGATGTTACCTTAGGTATGTACCTAGGTAGTTACTTAGGTAGGTTCCTACCCATACGCGCAACTTTTCCTGGGCCAGTTGGAATGGATCCTCCGGCCACACTGGCATGCAGCACCCCCCGCGTTGACTCGTCTCTGTGCAGGCGGGGGGAAGGTAAGGGGGTCGGTCCTTGTTTCTTCCATGTACGGGACCAATCTGTACATGCACAGCTTTATGTACGACGTTAAATCAACGACCAATCCAGCCCAAGCTCCGTCGCTGCTTTATTAGCCACTATGAGGCTAATGCAGAGGACCAAGGGCTAGGGATTGCAAGTCCCCGACCTTTCCCCGTCGCCTTGCGTGCCCACTGCCCAGCCGGGTAGCCGGCAGTCGGGCAGGGCCTTCACTTTGGGAAACCTTGGAGGCACGATGATTGTTAGCTAGCAAGCAAAAGGGAAGGCAGGGGAATACGACAAGAGGCAACGAGGGCGATCATGTTTCATTAGCAGCAATGGCCGCCGTTGCAACTCGCGAAACTCAGAACACGGATGGATCTTGGCGCCGAGCTCACCTCCTCAACTCGGTTTCTCGGCTAAGGAGAGAAGGCGATGGCTCCCTCGTGCTTTTTTCGCTGCTGGCTGACATCATCTTCCATCTCCATCCGATCCACTTGGCGCAAGAAGGGTCCAATGCAAGCGAAATCGAAACTCTAATCTTACTAGTCGCGCGCGCAACCTTGGAGGGCGACACACCGCCGGTCTGTCTACACCGCCATCCACAAGTTCAAGCCTACTTTCCTTGGAATTCCCCTCGGCCTCACAAAGCAGCTCACTCTGTCGACCACGGATGCTTGTCTTCCCCAAAGCTGGCTGGAATGTCTAGACCGAACACGAACGCTTTTACTCACCTGCCGTCGCTTATTGCGCATTGGGATTCGTCCCAAAATGTCCTGGGCGCCGGCCACCAGCATTTCGTTGTGTAAGCCTCGAAGGAGTCATACCCTCCTCCATCTGTTATCCAAGCTCCCAAGCTCCCAAGCTCCCAAGGAAGGCTAGCACTCACCCACGTCTGTGCCTCTCGGAAATCTCACTCAGCCTCGATCGACGCATATGGGGAATGGGATACCGCATGCGGAATCGGCAAAAGCTACTACTACACGCAGGGTCTTTCGTGCATCACAAATCCGGATGGATGAGCGGCAGCTGCGCCAACAGGACCGGTGTGTTCCTCATCACGGCAAACTTAACCATTTGTTTTAGCCGTCCGTCCTCCCAAGCGCTTGAATCCCACCGTCCCACCATCCCGCCCACCTCGTCAAACTTGTTAGCTACCGACAATCGGGGTTCAATCGGTCCCGCAAGCATGTCAGTGTCAGTCAGGTGGAGGTGTTTGGTGGTCGATAGTGGTGTTGTGATTTGCATATCCATCCAGATCTAACTCTCGATGACCATCCCTTGCCGTCTGCAAATGGGCTACGGAGCAATTACACCGAGTCCAAGCGTTGAAGCCAACCTTTGACTTGGCCAGGCCGCCTTCCTCTTCCGCGAATGTCCTCTAACCCCCTTGCGGTGACTAGTGACGAGGCGTGGGATAGTTTCTCGTGGGGTGAGACCACGACGCCATGTCATTCGCGTCGGTGAGGGGCTTGCGACATGGTTGGGTTGCTCAGGCATGGATTGCGCCTGCAAAAAACAAGCTGCAAACCTCGTCTGCTTGTGCGCCCATTGCCTAGAACACCATGTCCCAAGCCATCTCGTCCTTAGGCCCATCCGATCCACCCTAATACTCACCGCTACCTTATCTTGAAAAAGCAAACTTTGTTGGAATCGACTCGTCGCCTCTCCATGAGTCAATGGTTTTCAAGCTGCCAGGTGTGGGCAGATCGTGGGGGCTCAGCGGTTCAGCTCCCGGAAGATGGGAGGCTGGGTTCCTTGATTTGGAATCTTCTAATGCATGTTGGGTGGACAAATCCGATGCATCATGTACGGGGCCAATACTTGCCTTCATTGCGGGGTTAGGTCCTCACTCACATGTGAAATGCAATGCCTCAAGCCTCAAGCCACAGCGATGGCCAGCGCCTGATCTCCGGTACCTGTCCAGCAGCACTGGGATTATCTTACTCTTCCACCTGGGTGTGCCATGTCTCACAACAGCCACTCTGATTCGCACCATCCAGTCCAAGACATGGATGTCGTGCCACCAACTGCGACCCCTCCCCCAGAACGCGGCTTTAAGCGATCACACACAGCTGGTCAATCACCCTGCTAGCGTTCCCGGCGATCGCGGCCTTTCCACTAGTCTCGTTGCTGCCAGTCGAGCTCCGAATCATCGATCGATATTACTGGCCGACGTCCAATACCCGCGACGCCATGACCGATTTCTCCGTCACGAGAAACCCCGTCGGACTAGATACCTCCTGGCTAGCCTCGGCCCGGGGACACACCTTCGCCGGATGTGGTTGCTATCTGCGTTCCTTTCATCATGGTGGCGGTGAGACACTGGAGTACACTCGAGTTTGGTCACACCTCTCCTGCAGATGCCTGCATTTACTGTAAGCCCTCCTTCGTACCTGCCAACCAACCTCCTGACCAGGATGCCCTCGTCGCCATCAGGCCCTTCCAGAGCCGCCTCCTCCCCCGCACCAGCCCTCTTCCGGCTCCCCTGTCAATGTTGCATCCCTGCTGGGCTGGTCGTTCCGACCAGGCTGCATCACATCACCTCCCGCCTCGCTGTCACCCGCCCGCCGAGAGTGGATGGGATCATAAGCCACATGCGGACCAGGTCGCGATCGGCCCCCCTGGCTGAGATGTAATATCTCCGCGGGCAGAGCAAGACATAGCCGGTTCCCGTGATGTACCAAGTCACGGTACGGAGGCCGGGCGACACCCCATTCCAAGCTCCCTGGCGTTGGCTGTTGCCACGATCGAAATGGTGCTGGTGGTCTCTATCCTGACTGACTGGTTGGCCCTGAATTCTGAGGGGCACCTCAAGCTAATGGTGCCGGTTGGCAACGCGACCCTGTAGACGGCGGTTGGGCCGGCCAGTGATACCCCTGAGCGGGTCTTACGAAGGTGTTGTCATGTTGGTAGGAAGTTTGTAACAAGATATGCCCTCGACTACTAGTGTAATCTTTCGTTCTCCTATGACGGGGATGGCTGCGAGGTTTATACAGGCCGAACGAAATCCAGCCAAGACAACAGAGCGATGTAGGCGTAGAACGACCTCTACAGTGGTCAGTAGCAAGCAATATACTTGGTATTTTCTATTAACGAACCTAGTACAAGTGGTTCTGTTGTTTTACAACGTTCATACAAGACACAAATGAGAAGCATGCAGACGATGCCAGATAACGCCATGGTACCCTGTGCCTCAGAACACAAGGGCCCATTCATGACTTCTTCCCCTCGTCCTCCTCGTCCTCCTCCTTCTCCCTCAACGTAACCTCCACCCCACCGCCCCTGCCCAGCTTCCGGATTTCGTACCTGCCCCCGAGCACCAGATCCTTGGCCACCAGCTCCCTCGTGCGCCCGAGGCTCTCGATGGCGTTGATGCGGTCGAGCGTGTCCTCCAGGTGGCGCCTGAAGCCCGGCGCGCCGACAATGTCGCGCACGGCGCGGTGCATGGGCACCGAGGAGGCGCGCACGCGCGCCGCGCTGGTGATGCTGAAGAGGTTGAGGCGGTCGAGCGTGCGCACGAAGTCGGCGCGCGTCATCACCTGCTGCGCCTCATGTAGCGCCAGAGAGGGGAGCACGTGGCCCAGCTCCTCGTCGTAGGTCGTTGCCATCTCGGACTCTTTGTCGACTAGGGCGGTGGCGAGGACGAGGGTGGCGGACTAGTGGGAGGGGGTCCTGTGTGAGCAGGGGGTTGGAAAAAAGGGGGAGGTAGTAACTGAGAAAGAGAGAAACGGGAAGAGGGAAGAGGAAAAGAACTTACGGCCCACTTCTGCTGGTCCATCACGTCGTCGTCCATCTCGGACCCGAGGATCCAGCACTGGTTCAGGAGCCAGGTCTTCTCCACCTCGAGGATCTTGTCGCAAGTTTCCAGCATGTCGTGGCTCTTGGCGACGCGGTTGAGGAAGGTGAGGCGCCCGCCGACACGGTTGTAGACCTCCTCGAGGATCTCGCGCGGCGACTCCTCGTGGAAGTACCGCTTCCTGTACTTGCGCAGCGCGGTAATGGCCTGGGCCTTGTGCAGGTCCACGACGCTGAGCACCTCCATCCGGTTGGCGAGCTGCTTCAGCCGCTCGTAGACCCAGTAGTTGTCGCTGTTGAACACCATTGTCACCAGGTTCGCGGCCGCCCACTGCTCGGCCCGCTGCTGCAGCAGCTCGATCAGGTCCTTGCCGTCCTCGTCGTCCCGGATGAGGTGCATCTGGTTGATGATCACCACCAGCGGCCTGCCCACCTCCACCCGCCGCCGCAGCGCCACCTTCTCCAGCTTGTTCAGCGCCCGCTCAATGTCCAGCAGCGCCGTCGTGTCCCTAGGCCCGCGCTCGCTGAAGTAGCCCCCGATGTAGTCCTCGTGGAACTCGTAGTCGAGCGCCTTGCCGAGGCGGATCCGGAAGATCTCCAGGTCCGAGTGCGCCTCAAACATGGCCACGCCGTCACCGTCGATCTTGCGCATCGCCTCCAGCAGCATGCTGCTCTTTCCCGTCCCCTTCTCGCCCAGAAGCAGGTGGTAGTGGCCGACCTCGCGCCCGGCCACGATCGCGTCGACCACGGTCTGCTCGGGACGCTGGACCCAATTGGTCGCGGGGGCCGTGTCGGACGGGGGCAGGTTCTTGCCTATGGCGGCGAGGACGAGCACGGGGTCGCCGGGCTCGAATGCGTTGATCATTTTCTTCAGGACAAGGTATTTGTATGACTTGTGGTAGGCATAGCCCGCGATGGCAAAGCCGGTGCCGAGGACGAGGATCGAGGCGAAGGAGGTCGCGGCTGCCTCAACCATCTTGGTGAAGAGGGAGGGGTTGGCATCTTGATTGGGGGGTGGATGCTTAGACTTGGGCTCTGCTGTATCTTCTTGGCGGGTTGTCTCTTCGGTTGTCTCTTGGGTTTTCTCTTCCTTCGTCTTCTGAGCTGGTAGATGTTTGTTAGCAACTACGTCCTCGGAAATGTTAAGGATACTATCAAATTGGGCTCTCTAGGAATGCACCAATGCCAAACAGACCGCGTAGCCAGGCAGCAACAATTTAAAAGATGACTCGTACCAAGTGACGAACTACTTGGGAAACAACAAGCCAGAAGCGCAGAAGACCCTTGGGTAGTCCTGATATATACGCCGCTTGGCTATATACCAGCCCCTGAAAAGGAGTGTTACTCTCTTGAATCATCTAGGGATGAATGGGCTGGCGTGGATGGACCCAGCAGCTGAGCCTGGGGATTGGTCCTGGCTGTATCTCTGCTTGTAGTACCCTGAAGACTGGTGAGCTCTTTCAGACCAAGCGCACTTGCCTGATCTGATCAAGACAAGCACAAGCCAAGCACAAGCCAAGCAAACATGGACCAATGTCCCAGGATAAATTGCTGCAATCCTGCCACTTCCTTCCAGACACTTTGGTCTTGTTTGGTCTTTACCATGCCTGGAATTGCGTCGCTCATTATAAGAGGGTGCCTGTCAAAAATCCTTTCAGTTGAACATACCACTTGGCCTCCACAGACACACTTTAACACCTGCCTACCCACCTTCTCTAGACATCATAGAGCTTCCTTGAGCACCCTGCACCTCTGGCTTGAGCCAACTGTAACTGCCTTGCAGATCTCAGCAATGCCCAAGGAAGGCAACAGGGACGCGTTGGAACCGACACCAACATCACCATCCTTCAGATACCGGCGATATATCCACGAGGATATCCCTATATATATGCCGGCAATATCTTCTCTGCCACAAATCCCAGCAGTAGGACGTGCTGTGCAAATATAGGCAAGTGCATGCAAGGGATACGCCTCTAAGCGAACGCTGAACAAGACAAAGCCCTGCTACTCGAGCCCTTCTACTCTTCTCTGTGGATGGAGCTTGAGTTACGCTCTGCATGTCATGGCCTGCTTTAACCAAAGCCGCACTTGCAATCAATGGCAATACTCTAAACAGGGGATCTACCACTAGGTAACCCCCAGCCCCTTGTTCCCCAACAGGTACTTGGTTGGTGCGTGCTTCAGCATGTTCAAAACTGCCAGAACGGAGGGAGACAAAGCCAAAAAAGATACAGACTTGACAAGTTGAAGCATAAAACATACCAGACTGTTGAGGAGACCTAGTCGAAAAGCATCTTCCTCTCCTGTATGCTGGCAGAGGAGTTGCTATTCTATGGTGCCAAAGATCATATTGCTGACGACGCGTTGCTGTGGTCAGCATGCGCCACCACCTATTTCGGACCACCATAAACTTCATCTTTGAGGCGCAGCTGCCATCATCGATGTCAACAAAGAGACAACCATAGGATTAGCGACAAAACAAATGTGCATCCAAGCAAGCAAAATCTTTGCATTGCTCACAGAGCGACCAAGAAGAAGTTTTTGGTTTGTCGTCCAAAGGACGCGTCAGGTCTTGGCAACTTGACCGTTTAATGATGGCGCGTGGCTTAGACTAGCAGCTGCTTGACAGCTGGCAAGCCAACCCCTGAACCCCTTTCCATTGTATGGCAACAGAACAAGCTGACTTCCAACAGGCCTATCTATAGCAGGAACTTCATGCCTATTCACAGTTCTATATATCAAAGCTTTTCAATTACCTATGACTATGTGTGCAATATCAGTTATCAACATAGAGCAGGTCTTGGGAGTCTACCCAGCTTCCAAACAAAAACAGCAGCTCTCACCTTTCTCTCGGTTATTGTATGGCACTAATAACTCACATTCACTCCCCTTGTTCTCGATCACACTATCCTCAGTTCTGCTCCAGGCTTCTCCTCGTCATTGAAATTTTCAGCAGTCCTCAAGGTCAAGATCGTATCTCTCTATCTTTCCCTTCCAACCTTCCGTCCTTGTCCAAAACTTCATGCTCTAGCAGTGAGATACTCGCACTCAAATTCTTCCGCAGACAAAGAACCATAGATTTTATAGTCTCTCTTATTCACAAGCGTAGAAGTCATTCTACGTTTCCCGCTCCTTTACTTTGTCATCTGCGCTTCCCTATCTGCCCTTTCTTTCTTTCCTTCTATCCCAAGCATACCATATAAGCAAGGTAAAGCGAGGTTCTTTGCTGCCTTTTTCTACAGTAAGTAAGCCGGCCTTCACTACAGCTGCCTCCTCGCATCTTTGCCTCTAATCAATGAACGCCATAGAATCCATTGCAGCCATGAACCAAGAAAGGGGTCAAGGAGCTGCCACCGGCCAGAATAGCACAGGCCAGAACGAGCCAGGAGGACGTCGATTCCACGAGACGTCGCACCCCCTAGTCCACGATGGGACTATACTGCGGGAGGTTTGCCCTGCCCTTCGTGGCCCTGCCTTTCGTGTCCCGTCCCCAAGCGGCTCGCATACTACCGAAAGCAAGGAACCCTCGCAACGGGTCATCGAGGTGGCAGGTCAGACCTTTCCAGTCCCAGAGTCCTCCGGCCAGCAGTATCTGCAATATCCCGAAGTCACCGCCACACAGTTCGGCCCTCTCCCTCCCATTCCAACCCTGCCGGCGATAGAATTGCCCCTGCGGAGTGATTACAACCTTGAGCTTCCACCTGGCGCTGTGGCCTTGGTAGGAGGTAGGAGGAGGACCCTGGTGCCAGCAGCTGTAGCGGCAGCACTAGACCCAGAACCTGAGGCATCCCAGGACAGCGGGAGCCACTATTCACTGGGCAATGGGAGCTCTAGAGTGGACAGTGATTCTGGGCTGGTGCAGAATCTGTTGCCGGCACAGCAATATCCCAGCATGATGCGAGGCCCCCCACCAAGCCAGCCATTACCTCCCCTACCTGTCAGGCCGTTACGGACCTCTCGTGGGCCCCAAAGGGGTTCTGTAAGGTCCCGGCTCAATATACGGGGTGCTTCAGAGCGCAATCACCAAGGTGGGGAGTCGTTACCATGGAGCTGGACATCCCGACGAAGCTCCCAGCGTTCCTGGTGTCCCAGAGCACTTCCGACCATCGCCTGCGAACGCCCAGGCGCCGCGCACGGGAAGAGAGGAACGGGCGGCCGATTGCGAGAGAGAGATGCAGACTTCAACTCCCGTCTCCACACAAAGCAATAGTGGGCACCAATATTTCGACACGCCCATCTCTCTGTCCCCGCCCCCTTCCGAGCCCGCCCACCCTTCTACTTCGTCGAGCAAGAAGAGGGTTACTTTCGCGGAAAGGCCTAAGTACGGCTCGCTACGGACCAATCTGCTTTTCCCTCTCCGGGCAAAACGGTCCTGGTTAGGCACCGGGGGGAGGCAGCCGGAGGGATCGGTGCCCATGGAGCCACCGAGGTCGCCAACTGACCAGCAGCTGGTCAAGAGGCAACAAGTGAATTCCCAGTCGCCGACTGAATCCCTGCCAGCCACACCGGGGCCAGTTACCCCTCGACAGCCACCATCTCGGCCGCCGAGGCCAGAATCCTTCTTCTCTGACCCAGCGGATGACCTGCTGGTTGTCACGTCCCAGCGGCCCTCAACCGGGACACCCCTGCCATCGCCCTCGTCGCCCGCCTACGGCCGGGCAAACAACCCCCTCCGTCTCCGCCGACCCTCAGCCCTCTCCGCGCGGGCAAGCCAACAGGGCCAGCCAGACGACCCTCCACGGCCGGCAACACCCGTTGTGGTGGGCAGGCAGTCCAGGTGGAGCCCGGACTCGTCGCCGGAGAAGCAGCGGAACCCCGTCCGGCGCGTGATCGGGTCGCTGACCCACACCGCCGCCGAGCGCATCCCCCCCATCAGGGGGGTGCGGTCGTCCAGCAACATGCGCGGGACGGCCGAGTCGCCGACGCCCGCTGCCCCGCAGCCCGAAACGGATGCCCACCCAGCAGTTGAGCAGCAGCAGCGGCGGACGTTGAGGCATAAGTCATCGACGCTGCTACTTCGTCTTATGGGGAGGGGCGTGGAGAAGGAGCGCAAGGATGGGAAGGGGAGCGATAGGGGTGGTGGACAGGGGAGGGGTGGGGAGGGAGGCATGGCTTGATATGTTTCTAGGGGATATGGACATTGGAAGTGGGACTGGACTGGCTGGCAAGAAAGGCAAGAAAGGCAATTTGGCGTTCAGGTATGGTTCTAGAGCTGGCCATTACAGGAGTGAGGAGATACCCAAGGCCTAGGCGTTTCAAAATGCGCAGGAGTTGGTAGAGGATGGATTATATTTGGCCATCTGGTTTGCTTTCTCTAGACTTCATATAATTTGAAAGGGTTCTATGGCCCCGAAAATGGCAGATATAGGCGACTTTCTAAGATTCTCAATATCGCATCAAAAGGGACCAAGATAGAAAAGTACGTACCTCTGTGCGGCTCTGCTGAAAGAGGGTCAAAAAGCTTAAACCACTAGATGATCCGAGCAGAATTCGAAGCTCCAAAGATCAGTCGCGTCAACTGATTAATTTTGTGACACCCCGCGCCTTGACATTTTGCGATTCGTCTGATAGCTGCCTTCGCGCCTTCCCGCCTTATCCCAATTGCAAGCTGATTTTGATGCTGATGGGTAAGACGAGGCCGAGCTTGCTTTTAGCTTGACGCCAAAACTAGGAGCACGATGGGCTCGCAGTCCAGCTTACCGGAAAGGCCTGACGGCTCCGACCGGTCCCCGTCACCTCTCTCAGGAATCGGCGATGGGTTCGATGGTCTGCCGAGAATGTCCTCCACCATGCCCAACTTCGCAGGAGACGACATGGATCTGCCCGACGGGCTACCTCGCTACTCCACGCAGCCAAAACTCGGGAAGAAAAAGAAGAGGAAGAAGAGGAAGTCGCGCACCGAAAACACATCACCAACATCAGCAAATCAATACGGGGATCCGCAAGATGATGGGATAACTAGAGGGGACGAAGAACCTCTGAAGTTTGAACGGACGAGTTTCAATGCACGTCAGGAAGGAGAGAGTGGCTATGGCGTAAAGGCCGAAGCCCTGGACGACAACCAGACAAAAGCCGAGCCCGGAAATGCAGATGCTGAGCTCGAATCTCCTTCCAGGTCTAGGAAGGGAAGGCGGTCCAGAGCGAGCCAGGCGCAAGCTCCAGGGGATGAGCTGGACCAGCTTCCAAACGGTCCTCCCGTCTCGAGCCCTGAATTGGATCGAGCCCAGATCGGAGGAGCTGCCATCTCCTCACCGAGCGGACCAACCTCGTCGCGCAAGAAACAAAAGAAGGACAAGAGGATCTGGCCCAAGGACAAAGCCCTCGATCTCCCCGAGGATCCAATCGCCGGATCCGATGAAGAGCATATCATCCCATCGAGCGCACCAAGGAAACGCCTCTCGATTGAAGGCAATGACGGAGGTAGCAGCAGGAAGAAGAATAAGCGGGGCCCAAGATCCGGCTCGATCGATCCAGTCGAAGAATTCGAGTCGGCGCAAAACATTGGTACATCCGGTCACGAGGATGTCATCGAAAATACCCAGGGAGGCAACGCTTCCGCGGGTCAAGATTCCGTTAATCAAGAGCACGTGACAACTCCTACACGGGGAACGGTACCACCGACGACCAATGGCGCCGCGCATTATATCGACGACGACGACGTTCGAGAGAATGGCGAACGCGGAACGCGCGTCTCCCCTTCCGAACTTGGAGACGGCGAGATCCAGCACGAAACTGGGCAGCCAGATGCTGATCTGGACGAGGACGCTATGGACGTGGATGAACAGCCTGCTGCGCGTGAGGAGGACCGAGATATGCAAGGCAGCAACGGGGACGATGAATCTATACGATCCGGCGGGGAGGCGCATGAAGAGGCATCTGCCATCGGTGCCCAGGCTAGCCAGAGCAACGGAAGGGTTGGCCTACCCGCTGATGAGACTGACAACGTATCAGAGGCCGATCACAATATGGCTGCTCAGGAGATTTCCGACGCTCAACAACAAACCGACGATGATCACGACATGCTTAACCCATCAAGCGATGGGGAGGATGGGCCTAATAAGGACTCATTCTCTAATGCTAGTGAAGCCATAGAGGATATCGACGGCAGTGAGGCCAGCTCTGTGAGCGGTGTTCAGGAAATAGTTCAGCAAACTATCAAATCCGCCGAGTCTCGAAAAAAAGCCACGAAGTCCCCCGGAAAGGCAAATAAAGTCCTCCAGGCCGCCGAAAGCGCCGAGGTCTCTGCTGACCGGCAATTAAGCGAGCCCGATCAGGCCGATCTAACCGCAAATGGACAACACCCACCCGACAGGACGGACATGGAAAATGGCACAAATCAAGAATCTGGGGAGGAAGAGGCAAGGATGAACGGCGCACAAAGCGAAGCGTCATCAATTGTGGGCGACCCTTCTACCCCCAATGGTCCACATGCCATGCATAGCCCATCAACACTTGGGAGCAAGAAGACCCGCAGATATGCCAAGCGACAGCCGAAGCCGTCATTCTTTGCGCGTGAAGCAGAATCGAATGCCCGGGCCTTTGCCGAGCTACCTTCGAACGAAATAGAAACGTCGGCTGGGAAATCGAGGGCCAAGCGAAGGCTACCAATTCACGTGGAGGTTGAAGCCGGACCCTCCAGCTCTGCTAGCAACAAGAAGGCGAAGAAGGGCAAGTCGGCCAAGGATAGCAACACGGAAGGTCAAGGACTGGTGCTGAATGGCCTCGGAGGATACCGACGAGGCCCCTTAATGCCATCCGAGATCGCGCAGGTCACCGAAGCCATCGAGCAATTCCAAAGCGAGCGCAGGATGGAGCAGTATGCCCTTAATGTCATGATCCATGAAAATCCCAAACACGGGAGGCCCCTTCATCGGGAGCTATGGCAACGGGTCCAGAATGCCTGCCCAACCCGTCCGCGAAAGAAGCTGATAAACTGGAGTCGTCTCCAGTTCCACAACTTTGTCGGTCGTGGAAGGTGGACAGCTGAGCAGGACGAAGAACTTCGACAGATGGTGAAGATTCACGGCAAGAAGTGGAGTGTTATCGGCGGCCTCATCAACCGACACCCGAACGACGCCCGAGACCGCTGGAGGAATTACCTCGTTTGCAGCGACAACTGGAAGACGAATATGTGGTCCGAAGAAGAGTCGACGAAATTCATCAGCATCGTATCCGAGTCCCTCCGGGTAGCCCAGAACATGCGAGAGGAGGACCCTCATAACGAGAGCCTGAGGGTTCTTTCAAACGAGCAGCTGATTGATTGGGGGTTCGTCAGCGAGAGCATGGCCTTCACTCGCAGTCGTCTGCAATGCCAGGAGAAGTGGAAGCGGATCCGCGAGAGTGGCAAGCTAGATAAGAATTTGGCCTCTCTGCTCCCATCTGAATCCTCGTCGCGTAAACGCAAGACCCCTAAGAAGCCCCGCAAGGTGTCTTCCGGGGACGACCAAGTCAGCGACGCGGAGGAGACCGCCACTCCAAACGTCTTGACGTCTCCATCGACGACCAAGAGGAAGGGCAAGGGTAAGGCCGTGCTACAGCTACCGTCGGTCGACAAGGAAGCGGCCGACGGCTCGGATTCTGATGTCGTGCCGGAATCCGAACCCGAAGAGGAACCGGACCACGATGGCGACTCCAGCCGCGCGAACCGTAACGAGGATTCCGACCGGCAGGACCGCTCCCCATCACCAGATCAAGAGGGCCCCCAGGAGGAGGATCAGGAACACGAGCACGCACCGGGCTCAGAGCACCAAGGCTCAGAGCGCGGACGCGACGAGAGAGAAGTCAGCGTCGACCTCTCCATGAACGTGGACGCAGATGAACAACAGGACGAGCACGTCCGCAGCCCGGGCGGCAAGTCCGGAAAGGGGAAGGAGAAGCTTAAACGGATGGGGAAGGGAGACAAGGGCAAAGTCGACACACCCCGCACCGCGGGCAAATTGCGGGAGAGCCGCAAGAGATCCCGGGCCGACCGTAGCCCGGAGACGATCCGGCTCGCGAGGAGGAGCAAGAAGGCCAAGCGGGATCCCGTGCCTGCGCCCGAGGACGCGAGCGATATCAGCAGCAGCATGGACGATATGGAAGATATCCCGGCGCGGGTGCGCGTCTCTTCTGAAGGTGGGGACGAGTAAATCTGGCTGCGTTTGGTTTGGGAGCCGTATGAGTTTGCGGTTTGCGGGTACGGCAAGTATGGTCAGGGGTATTGTGTGTATATTTCATTAGGGGGATTTGCTTTCGTACTCATGGAGCTTCGGGGCTGGCCAGGCTGGTCAGAGGGCTTTGTTAGTTTTACCGCAAGGTGACGATGGGCTTGCGTTAGCTGATACCCATCGCCGATAGGGCGGCTCGCTGTGAGAAGCTCCCGGTCATGAAGATAATCTGGAAGCTTGTACTGATGCTACCTTGTATTGGGCTCCTTGTTCCAACATTGGCATGACCTTTCTCCTAGCCAAGCCTGCTCATCTGGGACAAATCCAATTGCCACAACCCGCCCAATTATAGGCAGCATCCCAAACCGCGACGCATACTTCGCCCGGTCTCCCTATAGCTCTTTAAAGACCGAGGATATTCCCGCGGCCTTCCCAGTGTAACGGCGCCACCTCGGCCATCATTCCCCAAATCCCAGCCAAGTCAGGCATCAACGCCGTCGACCTTCCCCCCAACCGTCCCGTCGAGCGGCGGGCCGTCGTTGCCCCCCGTCGCGGCCTTCTCTCTCTCCCACTCCTCGGGTGTCTGGCACTTTGCGCTCCAGGCGTGGATCAGCGCGATCTCCTCCTTCAGCGCCCCGTTGACTAGCCGGTGTCGCTTGAGGCTGTTCTTGCCGGCGAAGTCGGGCGACACGATTAGCGTCGTGAAGGATTGGCCGCAGCCACCTGTTGGGGAGGGGGAGGATGTTAGATAACCGGGTTGGTGATCGCGATGTCGCGGGGCAGGGAAGGCGGGATGATGATGACGTCGTGGAGGGGAAAAGGGACGAACCAGACATGTCTGTGACCTCAACGTGGGTCGCCTTTAGGCGCTCTGTGAGCGCAGACTTTAGAGACTCCTCTGTTATTGATGTCTGTGCCATGGTTGTGGTTGTCGTCGCAAATCGACCGAGCAAAATGGAAGGTGCGCGATGGGGGGGTAATCCTGAAGCTACCGCAGCCGATGATCGGTGGGGTCCTCTGATGGTGTGTGCTTTTGTCAGCAAATGATGCTGGCGCAACGCGCACGGCCCACTGTAGCAACAGCTGGCGGAGCTCCATGGCTGGTCACAATGGATCTTCTGTATTGGTGGTCCCTAGAACCTGCCACTTGAAATGAAGATACTGTAGCTCGAGTACTCACATTGTCTATCATCTCCATCTAATGCTCGAGCACCTAGTCTCCAACTTAGCCAAGGCCTTGAGATATTCCCAAAAGTCAGACCTTGTGACATCCTTACTGCCCAGGACTGTTGGATCACGCACCTTATCCCGTCCACTTTGCTCCTCCCACTCACGTCGCCAGCACCAGCGACAGCAAAGGCATATTACCACAGCTATGGCCCAACCTCCTCTTGAGAGCCCAGCTTTTACTGGCAAAGTCGTTAGTGCAATGAGATCACTGTAAGCCTCACATGCGCGGCAAGGCACCTTATTCATCAGCAATGCCGTGCCAAACCACCTATACTTTACTCGGTTCTACCTCAAATGCATCTACACACGAAGACACTCACGTATATGTACAATATATGATACTAACTGACAAGCTATAGCTACCCCGAAGAACTAGCCGACCGATCATGGGATAATGTCGGACTTCTCCTGGAGAATATCAACCGTCCACAGGAGCCTGAACAACCCACAGTGCTTGTCACCAATGACCTAACAATCAAAGTGGCAGAAGAAGCCATTCGAAGGAAGGCCTCTGTCATTGTCAGCTACCGTATGCACTCAACACAATGCTGTTCACACCCCTTCCCTTCCACGACCACCGCTGACTCGTTGCCCAGACCCTTTCATCTTCAGACCCATGAAGGCTGTTGGCCTCAGTGATCCCCACCAGAGGATCCTCCTCCAGTTGGCCCAACACAACATCGCTGTCTACTGCCCCCACACGGCCGTGGATGCCGCTCCAGGAGGCATGAATGACTGGCTAGCAGACATGCTAAACGGCCGTTTCGATGTGGCCCGGCGATCGGTTGTACAATCCATCACCAGCCCCCTACCCCAGGGTTTCGAGGGTGCAGGCTACGGTAGGCTGGTCGAGCTCGCCCGTCCGGTCTCCCTCAGCGAAATCGTCAAGGCGTATTCGGAGGGACTCGGAATGCGGTATTTGATGGTGGCCCGGCCAAAGACGGTCGGGCAGCAGATGAACCCGGTGAGGTCGGTGGCTGTCTGTGCCGGCTCTGGCTATGACGTCCTCAAGAATAGCCCAGCGGACTTGCTGGTGACCGGGGAGATGACCCACCATAATGCCCTCAAGGCGACGATGGAGGGGAAGTGCGTCATCACTGTCTTTCACAGTAATTCTGAGAGGAAGTTCCTGCGGGACCGGCTGCAGCCACAGCTACAGGAATTGCTGAGGAGGGATATCCAGGCGGCGGAGGTACTGGTCAGTGAGGAGGACGAGGACCCGTTCGAGATCTGGGATGTCCGTGACCTTGCCATTTGACCATGCGTAGGTATCAGGGATTTAGTACAGTGGACAGGTCAGACCAATAGGCAAGATAATATGGGCGGCCCATCTCTAGACTGCCAAATTCCGTCTCGGCGTGAAAATAATATGGGTATATTGGTGTGTGAGTCTCGGTCCCCAGGCTTTGCTCATAACACCCGACCTCTTCCTCCTAGGCCAGCAATTATTCCGTACTATCTCCCTCGTCATCCCTGAAAGCCTCATCCCCCCTGAGAGCCGCATCCCCTTCTCTTATACACACATCCACATCCTCACCCCCAAATCCCTTCTCTTTCCACGTCTCCAGCAACCTTCTCGGCATCTCCCACTCCCTCCTCGCCTCCTCCACCCTCCCCTCCGCAACCAACCCCCGCAACCTCTCCGGCACCCCCAACACCTCAACCGCCAACTCCCTAGTCCGCCTCCTCCTCCTCCACCTCTCCTCCTCCTCCTCCCCGTCGGCCCCCTCCCCCTGCCCCTGCCCCCCCCTAACCAACCCCCTCGCCCCGCTGGCAAGCTCGCACACCCTCGCCACCGCGGGGTCCAGCGTGGCGGCCACGGGGTCCAGCGGATCCATGCCGGCGCGCATGCGGCGTATCGTCTCGGTCGCGCTGATCAGGCGGCTGTAGTTGTCGTAGACGAGCGCCTTGCGCTCCGCCCCCAGCGCCCGCATCTCCCCCAGCACCCGCGCCTGCAGCGCCAGCACCTCGGCCAGCCCGCCCGTCCCCAGCGCCCGCGCCGCGAACGCGGGCGCGTCGAGCCCGGGCCTGTCCAGCTCTGACGGGAGGGGCGAGGGTGGGGATCCGTCGCCGCCACCGCCGTTGTTGTTGGGGTCCGGGGGGTAGTCGGTTACTTCGAGGGTCGGTGGTGTTGGGGCCGGGCTGGTCTTGCGGATGTTGTAGTACTCGCGTAGGGCGGCGCGGTTGTTTCGCTTGCCTGCCGTTGGGGTTCCGGCGTTGGGCGATCCGGCTGCCGAGAGAGGGGCGTCGAGGCTGGGCCGCGAGGAGGAGGTCGGCGTCGTCACTGTCTGAGAAGAGTTCATGCGTCGCGGGAAGGGCGCCGAGGGGTCGCGCGGCGAGGCGATGGTGGACATGGTGGTATGCGTCCGTGGGCGGATGGGTGTGGTCTAGGCGGGGATGCTATTTCGGGTATGTAGACGACGTCAACCAACCGAGTTGCGTTTCTTTCAACTGCCTATGCGAGGGTCGCAAGCTGTGACAAGATATCGATGGACAAGGCTGGAGGTTGGAGGTTAGCTGACGAGGCGCGCTGTTGTCAAGGAGGTCCCGGCAGCTTGGGACATAGCTAAATTTAGTGGCCGTGCAGGGGCTCCGAGCAGCCAATTGAGAGGCAAGGTCCCACTGCTTGCATAATTAGAGTAATTAGAACCCAAACTTGACATCAAGATATCTTTCCAACCACTCGATAGAATCTTGAGATAAAGAATCGAGAAAGACGTGAGTCAATTAGGGCTTCAAGAGGATGCAAAGTCCGACAAAATAATCTTCTGCTCTCGGGTCAAATCGGCGGGTTTATCGTATTTTGCGTTTTCAACCTTCAATGTTAGTCGACGGCCAGCAGAGAGCACAACTGTGAGAGCGAGCGAGCCAATGAGAGTCTGGACCCTCACCCCAGCTTCTTAAACGTCCAACAAAGTCCTCGCTATCGGCGCCTATTTACGCCGTATAGAGTCGTCCCGGGGTTAGATATAAACGGTTCCAAGCAGCAACATACTTTCCATACCCCTTTCCAAACACACCACCCAAAAGGCCAGGCCACCACCCAACAACCATGGACCTCCCAACCCAACTCCTCACCTCCCTCCAAGCCCAAGACCTCCCCCTCCCCTCCCCAACCTGGCTCGCCTCCCTAATCGCAGCCCGCAACCCCCCTCCCCCACTCGCCTCCCTCGTCGCCACCGCCCGCGCCCGCCTCCTAGCCTCAGACCTGACGACCCCAGGCCTCCTGGACGCCTCCTACGCCACCTCGCACAGCCTCCCGCCCGCCGCCACCGCCGCGGCGGTCGCAGTCGTCCTACCCCGCGCCGTGGTCGTCCAGGTTCTCGACCTCGAGGACGTCTCCCGCAGCCGCTGGGAGCAGGTCGAGGAGCTCGAGGCCATCGAGCGCGGCGAGGGCACCCGGGGGCGGCGGGTCGTGCGGCTGCCTGTTGGGGGTGACGGCGAGGGCGAGCAGGGGGAGGGGGAGGAGGGAAACGACCGGCAGGGGCAGGGGCGGGGCCCGGGTTCCGGGCCTGTGGCGGCGGAGCCCGGCGCTGGTGGTGCGAGGAATGCGACGCACAAGCTTGTCTTGCAGGATGCTAGGGGCCAGAAGGTGTTTGCGCTGGAGCTCAAGCGGGTCGGGAGGATCGGCGTGGGCACGACGAATATCGGGGAGAAGATACTTCTCAAGAGAGGGGCTACTCTTGCTCGGGGGGTCGTCATGCTGGAACCGTCGACCTGTACCGTTTTGGGCGGCAAGGTGGATGCATGGCAGAAGCCCTGGCTCGAAGGTCGTCTTGCTCGGTTAAGGGAGGCGGCCCTGGCCAATGGGCCGGAGTGAAGCCTGGTAGACGGATGATGGACTTGGGACAGCATTGATACCCCTTGATTTGTTTTACGTTTTCATTTTCTCCGGCTCCTCAGACATCTACGATCAACAACACGCTATGGCTTGCATTGATGGACTTCAAGGACATCAAATCCTATTTCGAATCCGGACCTTTCACGCCGCCACAGCATCACCTAACGCCAGCCACCCTTCCACAGCCCACGGCGCAACCATGATCGCCACCTGCCCATCTGCAGCTCTACCCGTGTCGGCATACGCCACCGCGAGTTCCTCCGCGCTCAGATCCCCGCGCGGAGGAACCGCCTTCCGTGCGACTCGGAGGGCCATCTCGGCTGCCGACTCCGCCTCATCCCCGTCACCAACGGCCGCGATCTCGGTCCATCCATGCGGCAGGAACGGATGCAGCATGACATCCGTCTGTATATGCCCAAGCACATCCTCCTCGGAGCCATTCTCTCCCACCGAAACAATGGCCCTCAGCACCTCGCCGATCTGGCCGTGTTCTGTTAGCGTGACACTCTTGTCACTCGCCCTCAAGACTTCCAATTCGGCCACCACTGCCTCGAGGCTCTCGTCGTCGCCGTCCAGCAGTGCGATTACCCCGAGCAACAACACGGATTGCACGTGTTCGGGGGTCTTCTCAATGGCCTCGAACAGCACCTCTCTAGCCCTGTCTCGTGACTCTCCGCTCCCAGTTGCCCAAAGAACTTGAGCAAGGACACAAACGGCGTCAGGATTCCCGTCGGATTCCTCAAGGGCGCCCTCAAAACACGCAACGGCTTCGTCGACATGGTCATTGTAATAGTTTGCCAGGCCTACCGTGAGGTGTGCGCTCAGCCGAGCCTTCCTTCGCTCATCGGCGCTGAGTTTGCTCTCCGAGTCATCGCTGCTGAGCTGGAGTGCCAGCTCGCCGGCTTCTATTGCTTGCGAATATGAACCAGATGCCAGGTAAGAACGCGCAAGATCGGCCTTTGCGAGGGAGAAGCGTTTTAAGGCTTGTGCAGACTCTGCTGCCTCATACTCGGCTTCGACGGCGGCGCAAATGCCTTCGAGAGTTGCGACAGCGAGATCATTGTCGTGCGTCCGTTCCCTGAAGAGGGTGGCGAGGTGGCCGTAAGCTAGATCCTGCGGCTTCAGGCCCTGGAGCTGGCTTAGCGCGAAGATGGGTTGGATGAGAGAGGTGATGGGCAAGTTTGGAGGGGCGGTTATGATGTGGTCGAATAAGGACACCGAGTACAGTCTCCTGGTTAGAATAGAGGAAGAGTCTGAAATGTCCATCGCGTGCGTAAAGAGCCCGCGCGCTTCTCGAGGGTCGCCGTATAAAAGAGCGACGAGGCCTTGCCCGAGCCAAGCATGGGCGTAGTCAGGATCGGTGGACTGTGCCTTGGTAAAGGCTTCGTTGGCAAGGCTGAGATCGTTCTCGAGCAATGCCAGAGTTCCGAGATTCGTCCATGCTTGTGCGCTCCTTTCGTTCAAGTACAGACTCCGCACAAATGCGTGTTGCGAGACTGCCGAGTTCACTCCGCTTGTCGCCACTCCAAGCGCATTCCAGAACTCGGAATTGCCCGCTTCGAGCTCAATAGCCCGCTTGAAGCACATGATGGCAGCTTTGAGGTACCTGCTCGATTTATTCCTCATGGATTCAGGGAGGCAGGTGTGCGCCATGTGCTCAGCCCAACCCAGGTTGTAGTACGCCACCGCGTGGGCATGCGCATCACTCGCCGAAACATGGAGGGCACGCTTGTGAGAGAGGATCGAGGCATGGAGACACCTTGTTAGATCAACTCCGATCTTCTCGTCGGCTGGGAAGATGCCCTTGGCGAAAATAACGTTGTTCCCGACTCCGTCCACTTCCTCCAGCACCTGATATTCCGGGATCGCGTCATCATCGCCAAGGAGCTGTCGCACTGTTACTTCTGGGAAGTCGCCGACGTGGCTCTGGATACAAGAGAATATAGAGCAAGAGTCTGCCACGGCTCTCCAAAAGTTGAACGTTTCCACAACACTCCGAGGCGCTTGTACCGCAGAGGCGAGCGTTTCGCCCGCAAGCTTGATCGACTTCCCCAAGAAGCCCTTGTCCAGACAATCGAACGCGTTTTCCACCGAGGCTTGCATGAGTGCGATAATGACTCCCTCTTCCTGGGGTCGAACGTCGATGACCTCGCGATAGAGTCCGATAGCCTCGTCAAAGCCGCCGAGTTCGCGCTTGATGTTAGCGAGCAAGAACTTGGTAAACCACGTGTCGCCAGTAATGTGCGCCCCGGGCGCCTCTTCCAGCTTCTGTGCGTTGACGGTTGCTTTTGTTGCGGCAACGTATCGCCCAGAGCGGTAATAGCTTTCGCCCAGTCCAACCCACGAGTGATAGTCGTCGGGGGCTAGTCTTAGGGCAGACTGGAAAGAGACGATTGCCTTGTGATAATCTTGCTTGTTCAGCTCGGCAACACCCAGCGCCGCAAACGGCCAGCTGATCCCCTTCCTCTTGGACCCAGGAGGCGGCTTCACCTTCCCAGAGTCGACTACCCTCTGGGCAACCAGTTCAACACGATCCCAATCGCCATCGTCGGCAAAGATCCTGGCAAGTCGCTCCGCCGCTACGACCTCTGACGAGGACAGCTCGATAGCCTTTTGAAAGCACTTCCTCGCTCGCTTCTTGTCTTTCGCGTAGTCGGCGTAGTACACGCCAAGGATCGAGTACGCGGGTGCGTAGTTGAGGTTGTTCTTGAGAGCATCCAAGAAAAGTGCGTAAGCGCCTCCCCGGTTTCTCCTCGCCGATTTGGACGTGTCGAGGTTCCAAATACAGGATCCAAGTCGGTACTGTGTCTGCGCGAGGAGTTCCTTCGCAGGTTGGCCCTTCTCGACAATCAGGGGGATGCAAGCCTCAAGCTCTGCCTTGCCCTTCGCATAATCCCCCTTCAAGGCCTTCACCCATGCTGCTTCGGCCCTGACCCGCAGATTCGATGCATCACGGCCAATTGCTCGCTCGAGAAAGTCGATTGCTTGGTCATACTCTTCTTCCTCTTCCCATATCAACCCGACCCCAATAAGGGCAGGTGTGGAAAAGGGATCGTTGGCAAGCACGTCGTCAAAAAGACTTTTGGCCTCCTGGTGGTGCCGTGGAGTTTGGTAGAAGACAAGTGCCGTACCCAGGTACAGAGAAAACACGTCAGACGTATGTCGAAACGGCAGTCCTGTTTTCTTCTGTTCGCCCCGGAGGTGCTCCTTTGCCTTCCGCATCAGCTCCGCGTTACTCTCATGCTCCTCGAGATACTGGTAGTACTCGCCCATCAGCCGATATGCAAAGAGCGAGTTCGCTGAACTGATGCCCTCGGTCATTATCAGCAAACGGTCCTCCTCTGTCGTGGGTACATAGGCAGTTGGCACGCCTCCATCCTCGTCGTCCTCGCTCTCATCCTCCTGATCGCCAGGGGAAGTAGATGCACTAGTATCCTCCTCCACCTTAGGAAAAGGCGACACCAAACTGCTGAGGAAGCCCAGAAGTACCCTAGTAAGGTCACTATCTGGGAAGAAGGTGCAGTATTCCCTTAGCACTCCCACATCCCAGTCTTTGATCTCCTTCTGATCCTTCCAGTCGATGGCGATGTCCCATGCGATTTTGAAGGGGTGCTTAATAATAACCATGTCTTTCGCAAGCTTCAGTACCGTCTCGAGCTCTCGTGCTTTCTCATCTCCAGGCGGGAAGGCAAGAAGACGCTCGTAGCAGTATTGAAGCAGCTTCTCCTCGTAAACACGACGAACATCGTCATCCGTTGACCAGTCGATAAGCTGTCGGTAGATATATCCCAGCCTGCTTTGGCCGAAGACCTCGCGCTTAACCTCAAGGGTTACTTCGTTGACTCTCGCACCTATCCTCGTCCGCCGCTCTCCAATCAGTGTGTTGATGCGTTTCTTCTCATCCGTCTCTGTTATCTGGGCGACGATCTCATATGTCTTGGATGGATGAGGAACTCGGCCTTCAAGAGCCGGATAAATTGGGCTTCCTGGCAAGATGAGATCAAGAGCCTCGACATACTGCTGGCGATCACCATGAGTCCGGGCGAAATCGATGAACTTGTCAATCACGTCTTGACACCTGTACATCTCGTCCGCATCACGGTAGATTTCTGCCAGCTTAAGAGCAGCGTGCTGGTACTCACGCAGCTTCCTGGGGCGCAGATTTGGGTACAGCTTGACCAAGCCCTGCCAGGCTTGAGAGTCTGTCGGCTTGGTATTCGCGGCTGCCAAGTATGTGCTCTCAGCCTCTTCGAGCTGATTCTTCTTGTCCAGGGAAAATGCCAAAAATATGAGACTACCTAGGTCAGTTAACAAATCATTATGTATACATATGGGGCGGCTGTCTTACGCTTGATAACTTTTCGGGTCTCGCCCCAGGACTTCGTTGGCCTTTTGGATGGCATCGTCGAATTTCGACTGACGTATAGCCTCCCCCACCGCCTTCAGCAAGGTTTTCGTAGACATATCGAAAGCTGAGCTGGGCTAAATTCCATGGGTGCTTGTAGGTTGTAGAATGAAATTTCAATTCACCATCTAGAAGTCGAGCCTTGAATGCCCGTTTCCTTGCTTTGTACTGATGAAAGATAAGGTGGACTCGCGATGCTCAGCACGGTTCGCACAGTCCACATTCGTGTCAATCGACACTGTCCTTATCCATCACCCCGCCGGTGCGCATCAACATTCTTACGACTTATCGGGGTCCAGGGTCAGAAAAAAAAGTAAAAGAGCACAGCAGAGGCATCATCGCCCACGACGATCACAGGCTACTTGCCCTCAATTCTTCGACGTTTGAAGCGATCGCAGCCTGGAAACCATGGACGTCAACCCAGCAAAACGACGGAAGGTCGAACACATGAATGGGGCCTCTTTCGAATCCGCCATCACTGCTGGGATCCAACAACCAACGTCGTTTGTCTTGGAGACGGAAGAGCTCCTGAGGGAGGTCAGACTAGACCACGAAAAGGCTTTCGAAGGCGCCGATGACCTTCTTCACAGGTTAAAAGGCTCAATTGAAGCCATCGAACCACATGGACCTATCCCTGTAAATAATATGCAGAACCTCTCTTTGGAAGTGCTAGGACTGACTTGCAGCAGATTACAGAAGCAACCTCGAAACTCGAGAAAGCCCACGGAATAAAAATACCTTTCCCGGACCCAAGGCCGCCGAAGGAATGTTCCTACAAGGTGTCTTTTGCAAAGCCAGCGCAATTGAACGTGGTTGGCAGCTATGTCTCCAAGACAATGGTCGAGTCCCAAGCAGACCGCGCAGTCGACATGATATTGGTGATCCCGGAGGAGGTCCTTCAAGAAAAGGACTACTTGAATCTTCGATACTTCTACAAGAGGGCCTACTACCTGTCAAAGGTCGCGGTATCCTTGAAGCAAGAGCTTGGGGCTAGTATTGGAGACCTGACATACGAGTATCTCAATGGCAACCCGTTGCTGCCAGTGCTGGCAGTCGCACCAAAGGTGGCAGGTGGAACGAAACAGAGTGCTGAGAAGCCGGGCAAGGGAGCAGATTCAATGGCCTCCCCGTTGGGTTATCGGATACGCTTGATACCTTGTGCTCCGGACGGATATTTCCCAGCGCAGAAACTCTCTTCGGTCTCCTGTCTGATCCGCAGTGGCGGGGACGAAGACAAAAAAAAATCATCAGCTCCAACGCCATTTTATAACTCGACGCTCAAAGCCGAAAGTGCCTTCATACCTTACCTACGCCTTCTCCGACAAGCCGAGAAGGCATGTCCTTCCTTCCAGGATGCCTGTATCTTGGGGAGGGTTTTTCTGCAACAGCGGGGACTTGGAGGCTCGGTTTCTCTGGGTGGCTTTGGGCATTTTGAATGGGCTGTCCTCACGGCTCTTCTACTACAGACTGGGGGTCGGAAGGGACAGGCATTGCTCTCAGCTTCCTTGAACAGCACGCAGCTATTCAAAGCCATGATCCAATATTTGGCCGAGACTAACTTTCTGAAGAAGCCATGCATCTTAGGCCCCAGCAAGGAGCAGGCAGAGGCTATCCGAGAAGCCGGCCCTGTGGTCTACGACTCGGCGCGTCATCTCAATATTGCCTTCAAGATGAGCTCTTGGTCCGCAGCCTTGCTCCATCAGCATGCTAAATGGACGCATGCACTCTTAAGCGACAGCCATGCCGACCACTTCACGCCGACCTTCATCACCAGAGTTGACCATCCCGCTCACATATTCGACCTGACTGTCAAGCTGCGCTTACGTGAAGGGTTTGACCAGTCTGCATACGAATCTCGAGGACAGGGATGGACCTTCAGTGCCAAGGTTTACAGCACTGTCAAGAGAGCGCTGGGAAATAGAGCTCGGCTCGTCTATATAGGGAACAGCCAAGCCGCCTCGTCGTGGCCGTTGACTGGTTCTCCTGCGTCTCCGATAGACGCAGATATTCTGGTTGGGGTGATCTTCGACTCGGCCCACGTGGGTCGGCAGGTTGACCATGGCCCTCCTGCTGAAGACAAGAAGGAGGCCCAGAAATTCCAGCAGTTTTGGGGTGACAAAGCCGAGCTTAGACGCTTCAAGGATGGAAGCATTCTCGAGACCCTGATCTGGACCTCGACCTCTCCGGCCGAGCTCTGCGAGGAGATTATCCGATATATCCTTGGGCGTCACCTTCGCCAGGAGGCCGATGTAGAAGACCTCAGCTTCTATGGCAAAGGATTGCCGTCTCTTCTGCCGGTCCAGCCCACCGATGGCCCAGCGTTTAGTGAAGCACGACAGGCCTTCGAGACTTTCGAGCGTGACGTCCGTGATCTCGAGGACTTGCCTCTTCATGTTAGACAACTGGCACCCATCTGCCCCGAACTCCGGTTTGCGTCCGTCACACCCCCTTCGTTCGCCTCCACGAAATACGCCCCGCGCCCTATGGACGTCATTATTTTCTTCGAGGCGTCGGGGAAATGGCCGGACAACCTGGCGGCCATTCAACGAGCAAAGATCGCCTTCTTGTTGAAGATTGGCAGTCTCCTCGAGGAGGCCAAGCCACACGTTACAACCCATCTCGGGGTCGAGAATGTTCGTCTCGATATTGAGAATCTAGCCCACCTCGATATTGTCTACGAATCTGGGGCTGCATTCCGGCTACGCGTCCACAGCGACTTGGAAGAGACGCTCCTCGACCGCCGAACCAAGGACAAGACGCTGGAACAGTATGTCCGCACCGAGAGTGCCAGTCTCCTGTCCACGTTCCGCCGTCTATATACCTACCTACCCTTGCACACCCAGACCATCCGGACCTACGCGACCCGGTTCCCCGCCCTATCGCCGACCATCCGCCTCTTGAAGTCCTGGTTCGACGGGCACAAACTCTCCATCCACTTCGCCCCGGACTTGATCGAGCTCTTCGCCCTCCACGTCTTCCTCACCCCCTATCCCTGGGACGCCCCGTCCAGCGCCACCACCGGCTTCCTCCGCACCCTTCTCTTCCTCGCCCGCTGGGACTGGCGGACCGAGCCCCTCGTCATCGACACCACCTCGTCCACCGACCCCGACGACCCCACAATCACCGCTCCGCCCACCGCTGTCGACCGCGCCGCCGTCGCCACTCGACTCGAAGCCTGGCGCAAGATCGACCCGGCCATGAACCGTACCGTCCTCTTCGTCGCGACCAACCATGACGGCGGCGGAAGCGGCACCGGCACCGCGCACACCTCCCTCGCCGGCGAACCCACGCCCCCCAAGGTCGTCGCCACGCGCATGACCACCCTCGCCCGCAGCGCCACCCGCCTCGTCCGGGACTGCGGCGCAGAGATCGGCCTCGCCCCCGTCGCCCGCGCGCTCTTCGCCCCCGCCCTCGGCGACTACGACGTCCTCATCCGCCTCGACCGCAAGGCCCTCAAGGCCTGCGCGAGGACGTACGCCGCCGATCCCGACAGCGACGGAGAAGAAGACGGGGAAGAGGAAGGGGGCGCGAGGCACCACCACCGCGCCCCGCGTTTCAAGAACCTCGACCGGCGCACGGGGCAGGTCCCCCTCCCACAGGGGACGCACCCGGCACGGCTCCTCGTCGAGCGCCTCGGGCTCGTCGTCGGCGGGCCGCTGCTCTTCTTCCACGGCGCCGAGGACGACGCCGTCGTCGCGGCCGTCTGGGACCCGCAGGCGCGGAGGCGCGCCTTCAGGCCGAACCTGCCGTGCTCGTACCGGCCCGTCGCTGCTTCTGGGTCGGGCGACGGCGATGACGACGAGGCTGTGGAGGTGGAGGTCAACCGGGAGGGGATCCTGGCCGAGATTGCTAGGATAGGAGGGGATCTGATTGCCGAGATCGAGGTCAAGGGGTCGTCTTAAATTTTGCTTCCTGTCTCCTGCCCAATTTTACAGGCGCACCTACCTTTTTTCCCTCCTTCCATCGAGTAGAGGTGCAATACGCGAAGAGCCGTTAGACAAGATATCCTAAGCATGCGAATAGGCCATGCAGGTTCTCACGACGACGAAGGGTACATAGGAGAGAGAGTAGATATAGTAATCGAGAATTTCCTCTTTTCCTACGTGACTACCAATTCACTCTAGCCTCTCGCGTAAGCCATCAAACGTGTCTGCCAACCATTATCCTCCCTCGAGACTAGCGAATATATTGTTGTCGTCCTGTGAGGACAAGTGGAGAGAAAACACGCAAGGAAACGTAGTAGATCCCATTATTCATGTCAAACACTAGGCGCAAAGAAACCCCGCGAGAAGCTGCCGGCCGTTGAGACGGAGGCGGGAGATAGTAGCAACCACCAACGACCAAAATAAAAACTGAAAGCAACCGCAGCCGCCGGACCAGCCGAAGCAAACGCAAAGAACCCAGCAACACAGCAACATCAAACCACCATCTGCCTCATCCAGGCCATGTCCCAATTCTCTGCCGGGCAGGCCAAACCTTGACGACACGGTGTAAAAATCTATCAAGCCGACTGGAGCGCACTGCTTCCTTCCCTGCCTTTTATATCTCAGGCCCGGCATTCTTCTGTACCTCTCATTCGTCTGCTTCAGAAGAGATCATATTAGGTTGAAAGTGATTGTTCGATTGGTCAAGATGTCCACAGCCGCGCCCATTTCCGTTTTCCGTATTCCACGAGAAGGCGAGGGAAGATCGAACTGAAGGACGGACGCAAAATCTGCCCAAGCGGAGGGGAGAAAAGAGAAAGAAAACGAAAAATATGAAATATGAAATAAGCAGGTGGGAGAGATATGTCCCCACTTGTCAAGCCGAAAGTAAAGAACAAGGCCTCTCCTTTTCGGTTTTGGATCGACCTAGGACAGAGGTCGGTCGGATGAAACGTTCCAGTCTTGCAGTGTCCATAACGCAGGCAGGCTAGATCCGAAGGGCATCGGAGGCGAAAAGGTAGCGACGAAATTCCGTAGGTTGCTGTATACATAACCCGCAATGAGACAAAAGGAAAGGAAGGAAACGTGACAATTGGTATCAAGATTTGCCCTGTAGACAGAACGCCAGAACTCCAACCTGGAAGCAGATGAATGTCGAGGATGCGCGTAAGGAGTCGTTCATCTTGGTATCCACCACCGGTTTTACCAGCCCTTCTTTCGAGCGAACCGCTTGTTGAGGAGAGCGAGGACTTTCGGAACGTTAAACTGGACGTACTCCAGATCCAGATCATCCTGGTTGTCCTTCTGCATCTCCAGCAAATCGTCGAGCTTGAGATCGAGCTCGAGCAAGCCGCGATTCCGTCCTGCAGGTCGAATTAGCGCAAGCCCATAGAACATTTTAAGCCAAGATGGGGGACAAAATAAATACCCTTGTAATGCAGCGAGATGACAAATGTCCCCGGCAGCGGACTGGTAAAGTTGAAGTATATGTTCGCCCTCCGGTTATCGGGAACATTGCTCTTCTGGATGACGCCCTCCTTCTCGAGTTGCTGGTGCGTGAACTTGTAAGGGCCCAACACCTGTTGCTTCTGCTGTTTCCGGCGGGTGCCCTCGCTCTGGCTTCGAACATTGTGCAGGTAGCTCTTGTACGTTTCAAGCTGTCCGACCAGATACGAGTTATGATCGCGGATTGTCTTGTAGACCTCCTCAAGCTTTGCCGTTTCCACGATAACACCGTCTTTGAGGCTGCCCAGATGCTGCAGCTCCTGCTCAACTTCATCGCGGAGCAGGCTGAATTGGTCACTCTTATCGATCACCTTGAGCTCTTGCAGCTGACTCAACAGCTCCATCGCCCGGATGCCCTTGCGGACCATGACCGCATCATTACGAGATGTTGCCGCGGCGTCGGCGACGCGCTCCAGGCGGAGTGGCCTCTTCGAAACCGCCACGTTTTGCGGGATGGACCGCATAATCTGCACAAAGATGGACTTGGCCTCCATGAAGAAGACCTCTTCCTGCGTGATGTCGAGTGCCGCCGTGAGGCCGTCGAGGGCAGTCTCCCATCGACTGAAGAGGGGAAGGTTGATGACTCTGTTTTCCTTCCGAGGGACTTGTGGAGGGCTTGAGCCGAGTTCCGAGATGATAATAGACAGATGCGAGTTGTCGTCCTTGCAGAGCTCGCCCGTATGTTTCTCGATGAGGCCATGCATGGCATAGATTTCGTTCAGGGTGATGGATAGCTCGAGGTCCTTTTTCGACAGCGCAACATAGTTGTCCATCTCGAGGCTCTCGTAGAAGTCCTGGACTTCACAAAGATCCAGCATGAACTTGTTGACCCGGTCCTTGTTCCCGTGGACGAAGGGCTGCAGCTTGGCCATATATGGCTCCTTCGCATACGAGGGTTTATTAGCCAAGTTCTGCAACATCTTGGCGATCAGGGTCAGGGTCCTGCGCGGTTTCTCGGCTGGGGTTCCATCAATGAGCATGTAGGACTTGGGCGTGACAATGGCCGGGTTGATAAAGCGAAGGAAGAAGAAGCCCCCGATCAGTGTGCAAATAACCTGATCGTTGGCGTCAGGGTACTTTCTCTTGGTCAGGCTCCGAATCTGCTTGCAGATCCACCTGATCCCGTAGGGCGCCTCGTCCAAGCCGTCGATGATGGTCGCCAGGAACCCATTGGCTATCTCGGTCAGCATCGTCAGTCGGGGTTCGATGATGGCCTGGACCTGAGGATTATCGGCCGCCTGCTCCTGTGTTATGCCCTTAGGCATCGAAGCCGGGAGACTGCCGGTATCTTCCTCGATCTGCTCGATCATGCGCTCATAGACCTTCAGCGGGTTGATCTCCAGATCGAGGTCCTTCAGTTCGATCAGGCTGTTAATTCTGTCATGAAGGATCGTCTTCAGGAAACTCTGGCCGGGACCTCGTCTTGTGTAGGTAGTCATCATTCGCGAGACGGGGGTGTTCGCGCGTAGGAGAGAGGAGTATTCAGGGGTATTGTCGAATTGGTAGGTCAGGACGGACTGTCATCCAGCGTCAGTCATATCTATCAATGATGCGAATCGAGTCAGATCACCTACTTGGAACATGGTAAGGAGAAGATGCTCTTCGCGGCTCTCGTATTGGTTTCCGTAGATGGTGAACATGACCGTCTGCAACAGCGAGTCGATCTCGGACATTGACACCAAGCGACAGAGATGCGCAATATGTCTTGGCTCGGATTGCAGCAGGAACATCAAGTTGCCATACTTTTGCGTCTTGTCGTCGTTGGGGAACACGCCTTCCTGCATTTCAGTGGCATCTTCAAGGTGGCTTGCGACTTCGTTTTGCTGCGAGAACAGGTGAGCAAGAGGCCTCGAAGGCAGAAAATGTACAGCAACGCACCTCCTCGAGAGCCATGCGATTCTGGATCAGCAAGGCAATTCGCGAATCCAAGTACCGGACGTCCTTCTCGAGGACGAAATTCTTTTTTGACTGCGAGGAGATTTTAGACTTCAAGTCCCGCAGAATCTTTTGCGCTATGTAGAAGGTCAGTATCACACACACACACGCACACACACATACACAAGTGAAGGGCAGGGGCCTTCGCTGGGAACAACATACCCTTAGCAAGCTCATCCTCGATGACCATGTCCGAGTCATTCGCAGACATGGACATGTACAGCGCCGACATGGAGTATCTCTTAGACTGGCGGGCGGACCGCGAGCCATCGTAAGACGACATGGTGTTCTGTCGGGAGATTGGTTGGAAGGAGGACGAGGAGGCAGTCGAGGCTCGCGAAGGGGTCTGCAACATGACAGACATATTCGCGATGCCGTATCGAAGACCAAGTGAGGGTCAGGCTTCAGAGCCCGATGCTCCAGCGATGTGGGGCAATGCTGCACACCAGATTGAGTTGAGAAGCGCAAAAGGTATCAGAATTCGAGGGGCGCGACAAAGGTCGTCGGGTAGGTCGAAGAGTAGAAAGCGCCTTCAGGGAGCCGGTTCGATGCTGCGTCGAATCCCAATCCCAATACCGATAGGGAGCGAACGCGAACGCGGTGCGAAGACGAAAAAGAAGGTTATATACGGCTCGGCGGGAGAATCACGGCGCTATGGGGCAGGTGTTGGTCGCACAACGTGGCTCCTGGTCGGTGTCGGTGTAGCCAGGGGAAGAGGGCAAGAGGGTAAGAGTGTGTGTGAATGGCCCTCTGTCGCACGAGAAATCGCTGAGGTCAAGATAAGTAGCCCAGTTGGCAATGGGGCGGCTAGATTGTGAGAGTTAATCTCGCTGGCGCCTGACGGACGGGACGAAAAAATGCTGATACTGCCGCCGATGCAGTTAAAGGCTTGCCCCGATGTCTGAACGGCGTCTTTGTCTTAATTGTCAGGTCGGCGTGTTGATTGTCTTGGAGAGGGGTCCTGGTACCCTGTCTCAGGTGTGGGTGGGCATGCGTCGCATCGGCTGGCTGTCTCTGTGGCTGGGAGAAGGCCCGCCCTGGGAGCTGTGAATGGCGCAGAACAGAATTGCAGGATTGATGGGCCGCCTTCTGTGCGTGTGATAGGCAAAAAATAAAAACACAGACAAGAAGATTGAAAGGATAACAGAAAAGGTGGTTGCAGATGTGTAGGAGGTCGGAATAGAACCGAATGCTCAATGAGAATGGACGATGTGGATAGGGATGAGACTGATGGGGGTCAAACACGGCCTGTCAGGTGAGGGGGGTACCTGATTAGAAGGACTGACTCTTCGGGGCTTTTTTTTTTTTTAGATTCGTTTTTGGTTCCTGTCTTGAAGGATGGATGCGAGTTGGGGGAGGTGGGGTATGAGGTCTGAGCTCTCCTCTCTTCCGTCTTTCAACCTTCAGACGGAATTACGAAAGTGGTTTACTTGGCTGCGTGGTGCGGCAGGTGGTATGGAGAGGTACCGTAGGGTACAGATTACATACATAGCAACCTACCTCCCTATGATACCTACCTATATCTCTTCCACCTTCATAATGCCCGTCTCCCTCCTTCACCACCGGTCCAACAAAGAAAGGGGTCCGGGAGAGGCGGTGGGGATGATGGGATGGTCCTGGTACACTAGAGGAGAAGGCGCAACCGATGATAGTCAAGCCTGCCCTAATAAGACGGTTTACGGTATGTACGGATGTACAGTTCCAGCCTCATCCATTTGGGCAGGGACATACAATGAAGAGAAGAAAGAAATACGAACCTCGAGGTCTTGAAACATCGCAGACACCAAAACAGGGGAGGCACAGCTGAGAATTATTGGGAGCGATCGCCATCGAAAAGTACCTAACTGCGCTGTTTGAGACTTCTGCAGGGGTTTGGATGAGGGAGAGAGGTGTTGCTCTGTCACTGGTCAGGCCAGAGACACCATGGATAACCCGGGTATAATGACAGGGGCAGGAGCATCCGGATTGGAGGACATTTGGAGGCCCCAATTGGGCCCGCTCACCGCCTTACCAAGTTTGCCACCCCACCCCATGACCCCCCTCTCCCAATGTATCCATTACCTATACATTGATATCATGCGTGTGCGGGAGAAAAGGAGCATTTTCTAAAAAGAATCGGAAAATTGGAAGCAAAAGAGGGTGCATTCGGTCTGCCTAGGTTTTGCGCCGAATTAATTTACGATACTCCCGAGAAGGGACACAGGCCTCGTCAAACTGATCAATCTGAAGAGAACCCACAATCTACACATTACTGTCTGTGGACGGATATGTCCGTGCGAATAGTAGCAGCCCGTACTGCCAGCCCGTAGTGCCAGCCCGCTACGGCTGCCCAAACTGGCACGAGGCCAGCCCCACTACTCCCGCCCTCACATCCAGGGCAGCGCGCATGTCTCACATCGTTACGTTAGCACTGATATCGGGAAGAAGCTGGGCGCTCTTAAGCTGATGAATCTCTTCTCGGTGGAGAGGCAAAATGGCTGACATGCATGATCCTGTCTGTAATTAGGTAGGGCATTTGTCAAATCTCAGACCCGCGGCAAACTAAGACCCGCAGCAAAGAGACAAAGGGAAAGGGGGAATGACAACCGGAAATGAATATTTCGTCATGACTCAGAGTTGCCAACTTAAATTTTCAGTGTCAGATCAGATTCGCTGTGAAAGAGCTAGAGATGGAAACATGCGACTTGTCAGCTTCATGCAAATATCGAGACGTTGGTTATGCACACTACTAGTTACAACGTGGGAAGCAATCCATTGCCCATGCCGATCGGCAGACACATGGAGATCTCAACCTTCAGATGGTCCAATTTTGAGAGGGATTCTCGATTGCAGTCCTCAGCCCACCTTCGTCACCGTCTTGCTCAATTTCCCGATTTAGCTTGTCAGGCGGCACGGGATGGAAGATCAATCATCAATTCTTCCCATTTAGAACTGCATCACACCAGCCTGTCACCACTCACGCACCAGGTTCATCAGCTTCAGATCGGGCGCATATCAAATCGCCTTGGCTATCGAAACAACCATAACGTCACCACTACCCGGCAGACTGCAGGACGTTGCCCTAGTGATCATAACTGTCATGCACAAGTCGGTGCGGGCTAGACTTGGGGGAAACTGAGAAACTTTATGCCACCAACAACCCAAGCTCGGCAGTTCCGAGCTGTCTCCAAGTGAAGCCCCAATTTTTCACGGCCAGAGAGAGGGGAGCGCGCTTCGGTGGCGTCCGCTAATTAGCGCTCGGTCCGCCTCAGGGGTGCCGTAGCACCTTGTGACGCCAGTGGTTGTTGGCCCGGGCCGGACGACCGGACAAAAGAGACTTGACCCACATGGTGTGTGAGCCAACGCAGGTTGAACGCGCATATCCTCGGAACCGGTCCCTCGGGGCGGAAGCGTTCCTCGATCTTCGCCCGATTGGATTCGACTCAATGTGTCCCTCCGAAATCCAGCGTGGCGGCGAAAGCGAAAAGTAGCACCTGGACTGGTTAAGGAACATATTTACAGCGTCTGCAGGATCGCATATACAGCGTCTACCCTTACTGCACTGGCACCAACAGGCGGTCAACATCCGGCCCCCAACCACCATCGATCCCCTCGAAGACGACCGTGTTCTCACTCCCGGCCTTTAGCTCCACATTCAGCGTGCTGATACTCGGATTCCCGCTATTCGGCTCGAACGCCAGCTTGACCGGACTACCCCCGTTGACGATGACGTTGGCATACCTGGGGCTGCTATCCCCATTGTTGTACTTGATCTTCACCGTCGTCAACCCTCCGGCGTCGCTCTTAACCCCGCTGAAGCTGAGCTTGCCCGGGTTGTCCGTACCCCCGAGGTATCCCGCCGCCTTCCCGCCACTGCACCCGGAGCAGCTGACGTCCCTCGCCCCGCCCGAGTAGGCCGCCTTCTCGCCCTCGTACGACGTGTCGGCCGGCGGCTGGGACCACGCGCCGGCCCCCCCAGAGCTGCTGCTCAGGTTGGGCACCCAGGCCTCGGCGTTCTTCATCGTCACCTTGGCGCCCGAGATGGTCAGCGGTAGCCACATGTACGTCGACGCCTGCAAGTTCGAGGACACCCAGCGGTCGCCCATGTACACGACGTTGCCATCACCGTAGTCCAGGATGTAGGCCGCCTGCGAGCTGTACGTGTTCGACCCGGAGTCGGCGAACGTCTGCCAGGAGGACCAACCCGATGTTAGGGAGGTGGAGGTGCTATAGATCTATTGTTTTGCTCGTGTTAGGGGGTGTTTATCTTCCCTACGGATACAAGTTCGGAGACTTGGTCGGCTTCAAGCCTCTTTGGACCGTGGTATACGCACGTTATCGTTGGGGTCCCACCCTGTCAGGTGGCTCCCGAACATGTAGTACCGCCCCTGGATCTTGACCATGGCTGGCGACTCGATATGGTCTTTCCATAGGTAGGTCGAGGTCGAGCCCGCGATGTCGAGGTAATCGTCCGTGAGCTTGTTGATGCGAAGGCCGTTGTCTCTCTGCCAGAGGGCTGCCCATCAGCGAATGCTTACTTCAAGAGAGCACGGGCGCTTAGCCGTCCAGAGCCTCTCCAGAAGGGGCGCGGGGCGGGAGCCTACGTCTTCAGTCAGGAGGTAGCCTGTCCCGTCGTCATCCTTGAAGAGCCCCATATCTCGGCTTTGGAAGCCGAGCGGCCGGAAGCTGCGCAGGTAGGCTGCCATAGAAACGTCCTCGTGTCAGCCATCATACCAACTCGATGCGCACACTAGCCGGTCCTACACCACACGACGACAGGCAGGCGGTCGTACTATACTTCCCGCAGACCGAATCCCCCGTCGCAACACCGACCTTCGCGTCGCCGTAGTTGCTGCTGTCGGCGTGCATCCACAAGACGTACTTGCCCGTCTTGTCGTTATACAGCACCTTCGGCCTCTCGACGATGCGGTTAGGACCCAAATCACCGCTGGCTGTGCGCGACAGCAGTGCGCCCTCGTACTTCCAGCGGACCAGGTCGGTCGACGAGTAGCAGTTGACGTTCTGGAAGGCCGAGCCGCCGCTCTTGTCCTCGCCGATGATATAGTAGGTCCCGTTGACGCGGATCGCGCCCGTGCCGTGGGCGTTGAGGTGCTCGCCGTTGGACTGTGTGCCGCAGGGAGATATTCAGCTGCTGGCCTCTTGAGATTGAGCTTAGGACAACGGGATCCGCTCTATTCGTACCGCCGTCCAGGTGCCCCCAGGCACGACCTGCAATGAGGCATAAACCTGAGAGGCCGAACCTGCTAGCAAGGCTAGCAGGCACGAGAGGTGGAGGGGTCCAAGCATTGTCGCTGGCTTAATTAAGCTGGCCACTCACGAAAAGGACATGAGATCACGGTGGGAATATCAAACACTCCCAGAGCGAGGGTCGTGTTGCAGCAGCACCGTGATGCCTCGACGGGGCATCTGATATATCACTTTCAGTGGGATCTTTCCAAGCGGGGATGTGGGAACGGTAAATATGACGTTTAAATTAAGCCTTGTTCCATTGCCATATTAAAGATCCGGACTATCTTCCGCATCCATCACATGAAGGAACGGATGAGGGACCTGAAAATTAACAACGACCCCGAATTTTTGATCCTGGGTGTTGAGATGTTGCAATGGTCTTCCGCTCCACTTTTGCTATGGCCGCGATCCGCCTGAGATGGTTTGACGCATGCCGGAAGCTCTTTAAGTATGAGGCTTACTCGGGAGAGGATCTGAAGCTGGGTTTTGGTTGTCGGTGGCGGCTAAAGAGCTCTCTGGCAAATACGCATCTTCTCCCGGATCGGATGGACCTCATCAGATCTTGACCCATGAATGGAACGGCTTTCTCGTCAACTATGGTTCTCAGTTCGCCAACTTTTACATCTGCGACACTGGGTCTGGGGGTACACCTTCGGCAGCTACTCAACAGACAACAGTGTTGGCCTGATGATGTGTTGGCCAAGTCAAAGCTGTCTGACCCTCGGTCTCTCCAATTGCATCGAGTGTCAAGAGTCTGATTGGATAGGCAGCAGGGCGATGGGTGAGGGCTTCTAGGCTGGATACCGAGATCTGATTTCCTACTGTACCCCTGATTAATAAAGGAGCTGGTCACTTTCATTATCTGATCATGGTCTCTCTTGCCGACTGTTCTATATGGGAATGTTCCCTTCACTCTCTCTATCAAGCTGTCCGTCCTGTCTGTCCTACACCTGCGGTTCACTGGCTGTCAAAAACGGTGCTCTTTCGCCTCGCTGATGCCTATCCTGACATTCACTAATGCTGGGACTCTCAGAAGACCCACAGGAGGTCAGTTGAATCAATGTTCAGGTTGACACTGGGTATCTAGGTACTTATTTACCAAATTCACCAGCCCCTTTATTCACCAAGAGTCAGGCCTGACTCGGTTGACAACAAACTCACATCGAACTCACAAGTAGCACCTTCACCAAGGTGAATGAATTTTGAGTAAACATACCATTATTTGAATGTGACCTTGAATTCACTTTCACCTTGCCCTCAAGTATAAAAAGCCCAGAGGTCAGCCTGAAAAAAAATCTAAACCAAACCTCAGTCCTGACAATTCTAAAAAAGACAACACCAATCTTGACAATAGGGTTACTCGCAACAATAACAACAAAACTGCAGTCATGGCATCGCCCTTGCCGTCAGCAGGCCCAAGTCTGAACACCTCGGCCAACACAACCAATGAAGATATTACCGAGATCCTCCTGAACAAGCTGAGAGGCAAGAAGGTCGTGATCCCCAGCCTGTTCTCCATCTTCGTTGGCTGGCCGCACGAGGTCAACGCCAGTTACCCGAGGCTGAAGGTTGCGGTGGAAAACAAGCTGTCAAAGTAAGGATTCCTCTGAAGTCACCCCTTGCAAGAAGTCTGCTTCAAAAGTAGTTTGTTGGTGATCAAATGGACTCTAACACAAAGGGTGTGGAATAGGTTGCTTCCCAGTGAGAACCTCAGGAACAAGGTCCGAGATGCCGACCCGGCCATGGTCGTCTCAATGTAGAGCCACTCCCTCCCCAACCGCCCCGCCACCATTTTCTCGAGGCTTCCGGCCAGTCTAACTGATAGCCTTGTCCAGGTTCTGGCCCCACGTGGACTACTCCCAGCTCCGAATCCTCTGCTACATGGTGATTTGGCAGGGCATCTTCGACGACCTGGTCGAGCTGTACAACCGCCGCGACCCGCAGCAGTCCGTGATGCTCCGCCGCGACATGAAGATGTTTATCAACAAGTCGCTCGGCATCGGCGCCTACCCTAACCTACCCGAGACCTTTTGTGAGCTGTCCTTCGCCAAGAACTTCCTCGTCGTCGCCGATGCCGTCTGGTCGACGTATAACGAGGGTCTGTAAGCCCCGAGATCCGACTTGATAGGGCCCCTGAGGCTGACGGGAAACAATTCTAGAGCAACGCCGCCGCCTTCGTGACTGTATGCACCAGTACATCGATGCCACGGCCGAGGAGAAGGTCATGATCGAGGCGGGGCGCACTCCGCAGTGGCTCGAGTACTGGGAGCTGCGAGCCCGCGTCGGCGGTGTTGGGCCCCTGATCGGCATGCTCGAGTAAGCCATCCCTTCACGATTTTTTTCGGGGACGTAGTTGACTGACCATGAAATAGATTTGCCGCTGGAGGATACCTCCCAGCACACTTCATCGAGTCAACGGAGTACAAGACGGCATGCAAATCGCTAGACATCATTGTCAGCATGTGGGTTAACTTCCCAGCCCTAGGTGCTTGACCTCCAGGCTAACATCCTTGCAGGACCAACGACTTGGTGTCCGTCAAGAAGGAGATCGTGAGCAGCATTGCAGCCCCAACGCACCCCCCAACCCCTCGAATTAACGAACGCTAACCTTGAAGCAGAAAGCAGGGTTCGTCTTCAGCGCTCTCCCGATCCTGTACAGCGGCCTCGCCAACGGACGCATGGACATGGCGGTCGACCACGTCACGTTCCGTATCAAAGAGGCGGCCGCGTCGCTCGGGCAGGCTCTGGATACCTTGTCGGTTCGCTTCAGCTCCAGGAACGTGGGCCCCGAGACGTCGAACATTGCCAAACGGGTGATTCTGAGCTTCCGACATATCGCGACCGGCAGCCTCTTCTGGTCGTCAGTATCCCCCGCACGTCATTGAATACATTTGGGAGAGAGTTGGTGTGAGCTAATCATGAACGACTGTCACAGGTTGCAATGCAAGCGTTACGGCATGGCCGAGCATTTGATGGAGGACGACTCGTTGGAGTTCACGCTGGAGTAGGCAGAAGAAGAAACAGGGGGATGGGTACCGCAAGCAGAGATTCACTCAGTTTAGGCATGGGCCTCGAAAGGTTGCTGCAAGTGTGTAGTCCAAGTTGCTACCTACCCACCTAGTTAGTGATTAGCACACCGGAATGAATGACTCCCCCACATCATTTCTCACTCCCGGCAGCATCATTTCCCGTTGCTTCCCCCAAAACACCGGCCTCGTCACGATCACCTGTATCACCGCCGGCCGCCTTCTCCCTCTGTGCCTTCCTCTCCAACCTCAGCACCTGCTTGGCCAGCCTGCTCTCGTTCTTGGCCTGGTCCTCCCTCATCTGCCGGATCACCCTGCTCTTGGACCGAATCTTCTCGCCGTACCGGTAGAAGATGAACGGGATCGGGATGAGGCACACCTCTAGCAGGCCGAGCAGCGTGCCCGCCCACTGCGGCGTGAGCCGCTCGTACATGGCCGGCCCGGCGAGGGGCAGCGTGGCGCCGAAGATCGAGCGCGCCACCGTGTTGCCCGCCAGCGCCGACGCGGCGTAGATGCCGTAGGCGCCGGCGAGGTAGTTGGAGCCGTAGATGAACGCAAGGGTATTTCTTTTTGAGGGAAGGTCAGCATCTCTGTCTGTCAGAAGGAGGACTGTGCTGTGGGTTTCTCACCCTAGGCCGAAGGGGATACCAAAGGCGATGGGGATCGCCCAGTGGATGGTGGCCGGAAGACACGTCCAGGAGAAGACAATCTGCCCGATCGGTGTCAAGATAGCAGATATGCACATGATAGATGCCGTCGCTTCTGGGCGAGCTCTTCCTGTCTCCGGGTCTTTCGCGTGCGAGTTGATGATGTGCCGCCAGAGTGGCTCGCACGCAATCGCGATCACGGTGCCGATTCCGATGCCGACGAAGGCAAGGCCGGAAATCCCCGGACCCCATCCACGGTGCTGGGAGAACACAATCGGATATGCGACGAAGCATAGATACCTGGGAGTCGACACAGTCAGTCATTCATCGGGTTTCCATACTTTGGTTGGGTGGAGATGCCTACAAAATGCCATAAAGGAGAGATATCCTGTAATTTGGTTTCGCGTTAGAGAAAGTCCGATGCCGTAATCCATATGTATTTATATATATATAGGTTTATACTCACCAGACATTGAAGAACCACAGGATCGGCTCGGTAAAGCTCAAAACGAATGGTCGGCTGAGGTTGATCTTGATAAGCTCAAGTGTCGAGATCTTTTGCTCGTAACGGCACCACCATCGGTCGTCGTCAAGCTCCTTCCGCATCTGGGCAGCCTTTTTCATCAGGATTGCGGGTGCATATGTCTCCTTGACCGTAGTCATGATCAAGGTGACGACGCCGCCTAGGATCAGGACAAGCCAATTATCCCATCTCCATCCGAGATACTGGAAGACGAAGCCGCCAATGACGGGGCCACTGACGGGGCCATTCATGGGCGCGATGCTGAACAGGGACATGCCCAGGGCGCGGTACTCTTCAGTTGAAATGTCCACCACGGTTCCGGGGCTGTTCGATACCATGACAGATCCGAATATGGCCCTGCACCACCAAGTCAGGACATGGCTATTCAGGAGGGGGGGCCGAGGGGGTTTGCGCCAAGTCTTACCCGAAGAATCTCACGATCAGGATCTCGGTCAAAGATGTCGCCAGGCAACAGGGGAGGACAAGCAGCGTGAAAGCAAAGAGACATATAAGATATACGGGTCGGCGTCCATACTGCTCACTCATGGGGGCAACGATCAGACTACCGACAGCGAGGCCGAGAAGGTAAGTCGTGACGCCAAGGGTGACGGTGGTTGAGCTCTTTATGTTGAACTCTTCCATCAGCCCTGGTATTGACGCGGTATAGCTGGTGCTGTACAGAACAACGACCCAACATGAGATGGACACGGAGAAGAGTGTCCACCCGCGGTATGCCAGAGACCAGTTTCTGGGGTTCAAGGGGTCATCAGGCTCGAAAACGACTTCAAAGTCGGGATGTCTCGAGGCGGTGCTGCCAAAACTCGTCCCCGTCCGGGCACGAGATATCGGCTCATGGCCGGCGTGCTCGGCCTCTATCTCTAGATCCGGGCTGAAGGCTCTTTCGAGAGCCTCATACGGATCTGAGTCATATGGGTCGGAGTGGGCTGCCTGGCTTCGACGGCTGTGACGACTCGCCGTCTCTTTCAACGGGCGGAGCTGAGGTGATTCCTCCCCTGACTCGGTCAAGTTCTCATTTATCGTTGTCTCTGAACCACCGACTTGGGCCTCCTTCTCCAAGTCTTTGAGGTCAGTCATGGCTCCAGCCTTCTGCTCGGTTTGCTGGCTGGCAGGGTGTCTCGGTTCCGATGTTCGGAGGCGCGGACTGTGGAGCTCAAGGGAAATGAATGGCAACGGCACCTTCGGCCTACCGCTTCAGAACGAATGGTTAAGAATCGAGGAAGGATCAATTTTCATTATATTGATGCAACTGAACTTGGGGGATTTCTTCAAGCCAAGGAAGGAAAGATTTGTAATCCCCCCAAAATATCAAGACAGTCCCCCCTCATAGTACCTGCCAAAAGTGCCTAGCGTGTGAGACGAAAAAATAAAGATGCGATGCCTGCCCAGTTAAGAACGTTGATTTGAGGGTGGGGCCTGTGCAGGCTGCTGCTTTCATCATTCGTTGCTTCGACACTGATGTTTCCCAACGAGCCTGGGAGTGGAAAAGTCTTGTTATTTCCGGCATCACAGGTCTGCAGTAAGGCCGCATTCGGGGACCCACTTCCGTCTCTAGGTAGGTAGCCAGGCAAGGGCCTCGGTACGAATGTGCCGAGTTCCGCACCCGCGGAACGGTCTCGACTCCAACTGGCCAAAGCTGTCGAAAAAGTTCGAGACAGTCGAAGGGAGTGCTCTCCGATTCTCGGCTGGGAGATGAGCACTGGGTGTTCCAACATACTTACCATGATGCTGTCCACATCCAGAGATCAGATGTCGAGTCTCTGCAACGAACTTCCAATAAGTCGGCATTGGACTTACCTGACCTTGTAACCCTATCGCGGCATTCCTGAGAGCTGTGTGTCAATCAAGGGCCGGTGGCCACCCAATCATGTCACTGGTGGCTGACATGGTCCAAAAAGCGTTAAGCGTGCGGGAATGCCCGCAGTGCTGCATCTTCCACATAAGTTCCGACGCCGCCAAGACTGTATCATCAGGGCCCGTACATAACCGTTCAATGACCGGACAGTCTTGGCTGATGAGCCTCCTAGTCGTTGCCTCAGCACAAACAGTAGTGTACTATAGTATGCGGTTGATGCAGTTCGGTTGCTCACATTCCCCGACAGCTCAGGATATACCGTTGGTTGGAACTGGCAGCAGAATGTTGGTTGTCCCTTTGTCGCTCACACTCATGCTGCTCTTCGAGGTTGATGAAATGATGATTTTGCCATTGATGATTATCGTTTTAACTGTCCTTTCCTTCTATCCTAATGCTGATGATATTGCCCTTCCATATGCCTGCCATTTCCTCCTGAATTTCATAGAAGCCTCATCTAGGGTCTCACACTCATCCATGCCTGCTTGGAATTCCATGTACCATGACGCTGAAATGGCATATTCCTCGAACTCCTATCCAGCCAACTCGTCATAAAACAAAATGGCCCTGCTGAACCTAAACCAAACGTTATACCGAGCAAGTGATCCCCTCACGCGCCCTCACACTCTCCTCCATAGGCACCCCGTTCCAATCCGCCCACCTCCTCGCAATCACCTGCGGCACCGGCCTCGTACCCACGATCTCGATATCCACCCCGGACTTCCACGCCGACCCGCGCAGCCCCTCAAACACGGCGAGCAGCTCCCCGGCCCACATCGTTTTCCGCACGGCGAGCCGCGCCCACCACGCCACCACGGGGTTCACCGACGTCAGCCTCTCCACGCGCCGCGCGAGCTCCCCGTTCAGCCACCACCGCAGCCTGCCCGCCCTCCTCCGCCTGGCAAACGCCGCGGCCGGGAACGCCATCGACACCGACGCGTGGTCCCTTCACAGCGGCATCCCCGTCCTCGCCGTGCCCGCAAGCGTCTCCTCCGCCGCCAGCGCGACGAACAGGCGCAGCCTCGGCCTCGTGCAACCCCGACAACCGGGCGGCGCAGATCCGCAGTACTCGGAGCCAGGTCCCAGTGCAGCAGCGGCCCTCCTCCTCTCGGTAGGTGGCGGCGGCGCATCTGCTGGTCCGGCGCGGACCGGGTGGTACAGACCCAGCCCGCGGCCCAGCCTGTCGTCGGAGCGCATGCACAGTGCCGTCTTGAGCGACACCAGGGCCGCCGGGAGGGTGCAGGCGCCGGCCTTGTGGTACGCGTCCAGCACGCCCTGGACCTTCGGGCACCACCTGCGCGCCGTGGCCTGGGCCGCCTGGCACGTGTGCGGCGGGAGGACCGCCACGTCCCTGTCGCGGAGGATCAGGACGTCTCGGGCGCCGGGGTCGGGCGCGACCTGGCCCGTCGCGCTGACGGGTCGGAAGCAGTGCCGAGATGTGAGCGACGCCGTCGAGTAGCGGCTCATCGCGAACTCCCTCGTCTCGTAGCTGACACCAAGCAGGGGGGTTGCCCACCGTCGGCGGAGGTTGTATATCTCGGTGCTTGGGGCGCAGTTGGCGTCGTGCGATCCGGGAATGCACACCCTCAGCAGGAGGGCCCGGTTCTCGGGGCACTGGTCGAAGGCGAATCCCCAGATCTTAAGCCGGAGCTCCGCGGGGAGACTCATGATGGGCGGGCAAGACGGCGGGTCGGATCCGCCCCACAGATCGCCGAGGCGGGTCCACGCAAGTCGGACCTTCCGACGCTTGGCGGCTATGGAGCGAACGGAGTTCTCGATCCCTGCGGTGAAGGCGGCGTATATTCTGTCCCAGCGAACGGGGTTTCCGACCCTTGCGGCCAGGGTGGTGTAAAACCTGTCCCAAACGCTGGCCCAAACCTTGGCCCAGCGATCCCAGCAATCTCAGCGAAAGATGTGGTGGTTCAAGCACGGGCAGCGACTTTGAAGGAGGTAATGCATCACGCTGTGACCTGCCCAGAGCCCAGCGCACACAACGAGGGTGAATACCAACCCAGGCAGGGCGTCGATTAAGGCCCAGACCATTGTGTGCTCCTGTCCTAGGCCCTTGAATGTCGTGAGCCCTGAATATTTGCCAGACGGAATGAGACCGTGAAGGCGGAGCAAAATAACCTCAGGGGACGGCATTCTCCGAGGCCAAAGTGTGTATAGAAGACACTTTAGGGCGGTGACAATAAATTTGGTGGGTATTGAGGATGAAGATATGGCAACAGGGCCTCTCAAGTTGTGTTCATCAAATCCGTCGAAGATCCTAGGGAGAGAAGAAGCCCGGTGCTCCTAAAGTATCAGCGTCGATTAAATAGAGCACATGTTGGAGGACTAGGTAGATTCAAGAACCGGGCAAAGCTCCTGAGCTTACAAGAATGCCGTACCCCCATCCTCATGGATTGGCACTGTTGGCAAACTAAGTATAAGCTTCCAACCTTGATATACCAAATCGAGGGCGCGCTGCAGGGATACATTGGGAAGCAACAAGGGCACAGTAAAGTCAAAATCACCTTAGCTTTGTATGGGATATTGGGTGTGGGCCCGGGGAGGAGGCGAGGTGGAACGCGTCAACACTTCTTTCACTAAGCAGCCGCGAAGACCTTCATGGATGAGCAATTGTTCTTTCCGATGTCTTCTACCACTTAATCCTAAGTATACAGGAACGCCTGGCGAGCTTGTCTCAGTGCTTCTGCCAAGCAAAAAGGGCCATATCCCAAGGCATACAGGCCTCAGTGAACTTAAGAGCCCGTTTCTCTGTTTCGAATCCGTCTTGAGTGGTATCTGGTATCACAACACCTTTGGCCATCAAGAAAATAGCAAACTGCCTTAGCGCCTCCTTATCCGTCCAACCAACCGTCACCGTGACGGCCCACCGGTGTTCTAAGTGAGTGCCCCTAAAATCAACACCAAACTCCGCTATGCGTGCCGCCAGAATTGCAGAGCCAAAAGCAAAGTACAGGGTAGTTGAACGCCGCTAAGCCCAGCGTCTGGGAAGAACCCGTGAGACATTACCAGGGGCGTTACTATGCCCAGACAGAAAGGAAATCGCTAGGGTTAAGTAGTGGCGAGAGGATGATTCGGCAATAGATGGACGGCGCCGATTAGCCAGCGACCCCGGCGGCATTGCTCTGATCAGCACTGGCACCGACCTGAAGCAAGGGGTGTGTCCCGGAACCAGCGCCAGACTTGGAGGCTGCTTGCGCGAGCTTCTCCCGTTCGGCTTTCTCGCGATCTCGCTGCTCCTTCTCGAGCTTTGTGATACGGGGCTTGCGAGCGACGGCGCCTCCGCGGGATCCCGGACCACCACCGCGGCCGCGACCCGTACCCTCGCCTCGAGCTGTGGCGCCACCTCTCGCACCTCCACGACTTCCGCGTCCGCCCCGGCCACGTTTTGGCGGAGCCTCGCTGCTGCAGTAGAGTTAGTATGCGGCGGGTTCCCGAGGCAAAACAAAAAGGAAACAGGTAAGAGGGAAATAGACATACCCAGCGACAGGTTTCTCGACCTCCGGGATGAGTGGTCCGCTGTAGACGAAAAAGCCGTCTCGGCTGGCAGCCGCCTGCTGCTCCCACAAGAGCTCGGAATCGTCAACGAAATCGTCGGCCTTGTCGTACTCATCTTCCTTGAAGTTGCGCTTCTTCCGCGCCGGCTTCGCAGGGGCACCGTCGGGCCCACTGGTCCCACCTGCGCCGTTGCCCATGCCACCCATCTCTGCGTTGCTGCCTTCTCCATCGGACTGCAGGTCGACTGACATCTCGTCGCCTGATTCTCGCCCGCTGCCGTTCTTTTCGAGGGCCGCGCTCGCCGCCGCGATGCGCGCCTTGCGCTCGCGGTGTGCGGCAAGCCGGGGATGAAGAGCATCCCAACCGTACCGTTCCTCGGCCATCCGCATGAAGTTGACATACTTGTTGGTCTCGCCGTTGAGCGGGATATGGAGTACAATGCTTGGTGCCTGAAGTTCCTCGCCGGGATTGGCCTTGCCGAAATCCAGGATAGACCGGCCTGAGCCCGCGGAAACGGCAGGAAGGGTGTCCTTGGGCCCGCTGCTGTTGGGCGAAGATGATGCCGTGCTTGATTTCTGGTGTTTCTCCCGGTCCTGCTGGGCGACAGCGGCGACTTTCCTGCTCTGGGCCGGAGCTGGCGCAGCATTTGCCGCCAAGGTAACCGCAGAAGGTATGGAGGTCATGGAGGTGAAGGTGTTCTTCGGGGGCTCCGGCTTGGTTTGGGCTGACGCAGGCGGAGGTGGAGGCGGACGCTTGATATCGGTGGTGGGAGGTTTGGCAGGGGCTTGGGTGTTGCTCCGACTAGGATGAGGCGGAGACGGCGGCAGCGACGTCGACTCATGGAAGCGAGATGGGCTAGCCGCACTATTGCTGTACGACTGGTGAGACGGCCTAGGAGACATGGTGTTGGTAGAAGGGGGGTCAACGAGGCTGGCGATCGACGGCGATGCACTCGCCCGGTTGACCACTTGGGAGGGTGCACGAGGTGATCCCAGCACGCCCGTGCCATAAGGGTCGCGAGCAACCATGGTTTCGCGAACAGGATCGTAATTACCTCTGACGGGGTCGAATATCTGCCTGGTGGTGGTGGTGACAGGCGCTGGAGGCTGTGGTCGGGGGGCGGGCTCGTCATTAAGAATGCTCATCATGGACTTGGGAGGAGCTTCACGCTTGGGTGGGTTCTGGGCTGCAGGGGGCTCATCCAGCGCCATCCTCATAGACGTCAACTCAGTGATTCTGGGCTGGCGGCTTTGAACCGGACCAGTACGTGAATCAGAGTCGATCTGCATAGGTTCCTCTGCATTTTCGGCAGCAATTGCTGCAGCCTTTCGCTTCCTTTGAATGGGAGGTGCGTTGGGATCCCGTGGCTTCCTCGGGCGGCGCTGTTTGGGTTCAGTGTTTGTCGAGCTGGTATCAGTTGCTGCTTTGGGTTTGACAGTGCTGCCCGGCTTCCGGCCAGGCTTTTTGCGGGGAAGGCCAGCTGCAGTCAATTGAACTCCGGGAGGTGCAGGGGGTCGTTGCTGGCTGGTTACCCCAAATCGGTTGGCGGAGCCGGGATCAACGACAATTTCATCCATCTCAATATTGGCGCGGCCCTGGCTGAGTAGTCTTGTTGGAGATCCGGGCTCCGACAGGGCCGACGGGGGCGACGACAGCGATGTTGGCGATGAGCTGTAGTTGCGCATCTCCGTGTCTCTTCCTTCTGCCGCCATGACCGGTCTTTGTGTGCCAGAAATGGTTACAAAAAGGATGGGAAAACTTCCAGAAATAGCTGGTTATGTTCTTTCAGTTGTCTGTCATTTCAATTTCCAGATAACCTCGTCAATTGGCTAATTTGTGAACAGCCGTTCCTAACCCAAGTCGTGGTGGCCAAGGATGTGTCTGTAAGCCGGCCAGAAATTTGAGGTAACGTGACCGTGGCGGAGGCGCGGTGGTGGTGGTCGGGGCTTGGCGGAACTCTCCAGTTGCGAATATCCTCAATCAAAAAGCTGCCTGACGGCGACAAGATTTAAAGAATTGAAGAAAGAAAAGAGGGGCGAGTATTGCAGAGAGCCGCAATCAGGTAGATGTAGGCGATCAAGTGGGACAAGTTGCACCAAATGATGGCAATTCAGAGATGCAGTCGATGGAGGTAGAGGGCGAAATGGATAAATCGAGACTCAACACTACAACTTTTGGTGGTTGTTGGGTGGTGAAAAGAGAGGAGAGAAAGGGAGAAATTTTGGAAAGGGCGGAGGGCGGGGAGCTGGAAAAGAGAGAGACTACGGGGTGCGGATGGCTACAAAATGTTTTGGCAATGGGCAAGGGAAAAACGGGGCCGTGACCACCTGGATAGAGTCAACGGCTTTTTTTTGTTATTAAAACCCGAATCAGCAGTGCTAGGCTAGCAAGGGGGGGTGAGTGAAGACGAAGGGAAGAGAGGGAAAGGAAATGGGAACAAGCTTCATGGGTGACCAGCACTGACACCACAGCCCAAACCTGTGGCCTGTGGCCGGTGACCTGTGCGGGCGATGGGATGTGGATGGGCAGCCGAAGATGGGGAATGCAGCATCAAGATCCAGATTGGAACCTGGGCATGACATCCTGGAGCTGGCCGGAGCTAGAGACCACGTACTGCGTAGACGCAGGGCTGCAGGAGCCGAGCTTTGGATGGGGAACCAAACACAAGGCAAGTAATAAAAGAAGAGAACAGCACACGGATGCAAGAGAACCAGAAATGGAACATGTAAATTCGGCACTACTGCATGGTAGTCAGCAAAGGTACAGTACGGGCCCAACTGGCTTATACGGTACCTATACCTGGCACCTGCGTGACATCGAAAGGGAAGCCGCCCTGTGGAACCGGCCCAGAGCTTAAACGCGCTCAAAATGGATTAGCGCCCCACTGCCGAACATCAGGGGCAGCGACACCACATGAAGTAGGTAGGTACCTACGTACCTCATGCAGCGATTTAATCAGATCACCCAGATCCAGTGGATGCTGACTGTACATCAGTACCATGTACACATAGCTTGGTATGTACCGTCGGGTGTTGCCTCAAGAATCTGAACCTTACCACAGTAGCTTGCGTTTCATTAAAACCAGAAGAACCTATGCTTGGCCGGCTTGAAAATTAGGATACACCTGTTCACTAACAAAAGCCGAGACTGCACATCTACTACTGTGGTATATACAGACAAAACAGAGCAAGGAAGGATAGTCAGTCAGTCAATTCTAACCTCGACAAACCCAATCAGACAGAAGCCCAACCTGATTGACGGCATACCAATCCATAATCTGTACCTACGTATGTAGGTTATCCATGCTGGTGTCATTCATTAAAAAGGGGGCGAGCAAATGAAGTTGGGAAGATTGATCCGAGGCTTTTCCGTGGAGACCCACCTCCCGAGCGAGCGATCGGCGCTTGTCATGCAGAGAAGAAGGGTGGCTTGCTTGATATTACGTAGCTAAACCCGACCGAGGGGTTGAGACTGGGGTTTTGCAGGCTGGCAGGATCCTCCACCAAAAATAAAGTGCTGAAAACGACTGTCCCTGCGCTCCGAGGCTCACACAACTTCAACTCCGACCCGACGTCTTTACGCACCCTTTATTCCGAGCGGAAGATGGATCCCACTCAACTCGTCCTCGATGTCAAAGAAAAGGCTGTCGACAACGTCAAGCCGCCAACATTCCCTGCTCCCAGCTCTGGCACGACGGGCTTCCCGGCCCACAAGAAACGGGCGAGAGTATCTGCCTTCAAACAACAGAGGCAACAGAAGCAGTCTACAGCCGAGGCAACACCCACATACTCAAGCCATGACAGGCAACCATTAGGATCCTCATCGTCAGCCGCACCAAGCGAAGAAAATGCAAGACCGACCGACCAGTCGCAGTCAGGCCTCGCCGCAGAAGATAAGAGGAGAATAGACCGAGAAAACCAGACACGGCTAGAGACAATGTCTCAAGCTGAGATTGAAGAAGCCCAGAAGGAGCTGTTGAAGGAGCTAGATCCGTCGATACTGCAAATGCTCTTAAAGCGCGCCAACATAAGCGAGCCAAGAGATTCGTCTCCGTTCGACAATCCTCGTGCCCCAAACACACCTCAGCCCCCCACGGTCACGGTAGAAGACACCTCAGCGGCAAAACAGGCACGACTTGATAATACTGAGAACGGGCAGATTCCATCTATAGAATCACAAAAGATAGAAGCACCCGGTAAACTCACCAAGAAGGTCACCTTTGACGAAGATGCCGCGCCTCCAGCACCACCAGGCGATCTCTTCCCGCTGTCGACACAACCGTCTCAAGCGGCCAATAAGCCAGCAGACGTGCCATCGGCGAGGACAACGCACTTCCCCTCAGCGCCCCCCGTTCCGGACCTCAACCCGTCCGACCCAGACTTCCTCGCGAACCTACACTCCAAATTCTTCCCCAACCTCCCAGCCGACCCCTCCAAGCTAGCGTGGATGGCCCCGATCCCGACCACCGACTCCCCGGCCGACCGCGACTCCCCCTACCACCCTTCACAGTCCTCCCTCCCCGTCTCGGCCCTCCGCTTCGACTTCCGCGGCTCCCTCCTCCCGCCCCGCCTCAGTCGCTCCATTCCGGCCTCCATGGGCCTGCACCACCACGGCGAGGCCCCCGAGGCGGCCGGCTACACCGTCCCCGAGCTCGCCCGCCTCGCCCGCAGCGCCGTCCCCGCCCAGCGCTGCGTCGCCTTCCAGACCCTCGGCCGCATCCTCTTCCGCCTTGGCGACGGCGAGTGGGGCGCCGGCGAGGGCGGCCGCGTCGGCGACGAGGACGACCTCGCCTTCGCCATCTGGAGGCTCTTCCGCCAGGGCCGCGTGCTCGAGACCCTTGAGGAGGCCGCCGCCGTCGAGGAGGGCGCCGGGCACAGGGGCGCCAGGGTGTATGCCATCGAGGCGCTGTGGCTGTTCGAGAAGGGCGGCTGGAAGGAGAAGTGGAGGGGTTTGTGAGGAGGCTATGGGCGATGGCGAGGAGAACGCCGGGTACATTAGATACTGTTTCTCGCCGGGAATGCTGTGGATGCTGGGAATGTGGTTGTATTCTAGATCGCACTTCTCGAGGTAACCCAGGTTCAGCGACGAGCATCGGTGCGTATGTGCTTCGATGGTAAGTTGAGGCGGCTGGCCATGGCCCAAGCGGATGGAAAATCGCTATGTCAGACATATCCCATGGCTGCAGCGCGACATCCGGGGTCGACCTTCACTGGTGCGGTAGAACAAATCTAGAAACGGAGAAAGTAAAGTCGATAATATCACGAGGCATATATGTTCCGATTCATTCATTACTACAAGTTGGTTACCTCCTGAACCTTGCCTGGCTAGGAAATCACAGTCATGATAGGGAATCCCCGAAGCCAAAACGACCCTCATCCTATCCCATCCTCATCCAAAAAAAAAAAAAAAAAAAAACCAGGAGACATGAAAGGGTGGAGGAAAACAGTCTCAGACTCCTCATCTCAAGGGCAGCTGGGCAACCTGGCCGCCTTGCTGCTGCTGCTGCTGGCCCCTCCGAGAAATGTAATCCTTGTTATCGATGGTGACGCTCTTGGTCATGTGGTTGACCTTGTACACGCCGACCAACCGCGCCGCCAACTCGAACATGTTGTTGCGCAGGGAGATGACGATGAACTGCGCGTTCTTGGTCCGCTCCTTGATATAGCTGGCCACAATCGAGACCTGTTTTCAAGCGCGTCCCGTTAGTTTGATCCGTCCTCCGGTAGCACGGGGTAGCACGCAGGGCATGGTATATAACTCACATTTCTGAAGTCCAACGCGGCGTCGATCTCATCCATGACGTACAGCGGCGTCGGCTTGTAGTGATGCAGGGCAAACACTAGCGCCAGCGAGCTGAGCGTCTTCTCGCCGCCCGACAGGTTGCCAATGTTCTTCCAGCTCTTCTTGGGCGGCATGACGCTGAACAGGATGCCCTCGCTGAAGGGGTCCAGCGAGTCGACCAGCTCGAGCTCGGCGTTGCCGCCCATGGTGATCATCTGGTACATCTCCTTCAGCCGCAGCGAGATGATGCTGAAGCCTTCCATGAATCCTTCGAGCCGCAGCCGGCGCAGGTCGTCGCACCGCTTCTTGGCCGCGTCGCGCTGCGCTACCGTGGTGGCGAGGTCCGACGACCGAGCCGCATGCTCCTCTACGCGGCGGCGGTACTCGGCCAAGACGCCGAGGTCGACGTTGACGTTCTGTGTCTTCTCCTCGAGCGCCGCAATCTCGCCCTTGAGCGCCTCCTTGCTCATGTCGGCAAGCTCGTCCTTGGTGTATCGAGGCAGCTCCAGCGGGCTGGATCGGCCCGGCCCCCTGATAGTCTCGTCGGCCTCGGTGCTTGTGTCGGCCTCCGCTTCGGCTTGGAGCTGGGCTTCCGGATCAGCCTCTCCCTCGGCCTCGCTCTTTGAAGGCTTGCTGCCCTGCTCAAGGTCCTCGATGTTCTGGAGGACCAGTTTCGAAAGCTTGTCCTCCCAGTATCGCAACCGTTTCTGATTTTCGGAGAAGACTTTCTGATTCTCCTCGAGCTTGTTCCGCATCTCAATTTCGACGGCACGGGTTGCATTGAGCTCTGCCGTCTTCTCGTCCAGCTCCGCTTTCAGTTCCGAAAGCTCCTCCTTCTTGACAGCCAAGGCCTCGCGGGCCTCCTCGACCCTTGTCTCGTAGGACTCGGCAGTGTCGCCTTGGTTTTGGATCTCCTCCTCAAGCTTGTCCATATCACGAATGGCGCCCTCAAGCTCCTTGGTAGCCTTCGCATAGTCCTTCTCGAGCTTGATCTTCTGCTTCTCGGTCTTGGCTTTCTTGACCTCGGCATTGGACATCTCCTCGCTCTGGGACGAGATCTCCTCCTTCAGTGAGTCGACCTTGGCTCTCTGGGCACGAAGCTTTTCACCACCAACTTCCATGATCTTGTCCTGCAACACTTTGATCTCTTCTTCCACGCTTGAAGTCTCCCCATGAAGCTTGTCGACCTCCTTGCCCAGCTTTGCGATCTCCTTTTGTAGAACAGCAACCCTGTTGTCATCCGACTGTGACGGCTGATGCTCCTTGCCGAGCTCCTTGATGCGGCGTTGGGCATCTGCCAGGTTCTTGGCAGCACTTTCTATCTCGAGGTTGATCTTCTGCATCTTGGTCTCGAGTTCGGGAATCTGGTCCTTGAGATCGCGGAGGCGAGATTCAAGTTCGCGCTGACGGTCTTGGAACTCTTGGAACTTCTGTTCAAGGGCATCACGGTCAACCTCAAGCCTGGACACCTGCTCCTTGGTAGTGTCGGCAACCAGTTTGGACGACATCAGCCCTCTCTTAACCGTGGAGCCACCGCCAGACATGGTGCCGGACTTGTCGATCAACTCGCCGTCAAGCGTGACAACTCGCCATCTCCTGGCACCATAGGCAATGCGGTTGGCCTGTGCCAGGTCCCTGGCCACAATGGTGTCCTGGAGTGCATGATAGAATGCAGGATGGAATCTTTCATCCTTGGCTTGGACAAGATCGAAGAGGCGCGGCGCGTTCTCCGGAGTCTGGATGGGAGACATATCGCGAACCCGCAGCTTGTCAAGGCAGATGAAGTTACCCCGACCGAGGTTTGTCTTTCGCAGGTACTCGATGCATTGCTGGCCTGCTTCGACGGTATCTGTGACAAAGTTGTCAAGGGCTCCACAGGCAGTGGAGATGGCAACGTCGTATTTCTGGTCGATCGCTCCGAGATTCCCAAGCCTGCCGTGGAAGCCATCGATACGGCCAGACTCCTTCATCCGCATAAGAGCAGTGAGGACATTTCCCCGTGTCTGGGTCGCTGACAGACTAGATCGGGCCTCGTCAGCCTTCTGCCTGGCATTGGAGAGTTGCGATCGGAGTTTTGGCTCGTCCTGCGCAATCTTTTGCAGCTCGGCGCCAACTTCCTTGGCTGCTCTCTCGAGTCTTGCCTTCTCGGCTTGACATCCCTTGAGTTCCTCCAACTTCGCGTCACGGCCCTCCTCTATGGCAGCGATCTTGGCCTGCAGCTCTTCAAGAGCCACGGCGCCGGAATTTGCCTTCTCTTGCAGGATTGTCAGCTCGCTCTCTGCAACGGCTATGGCTGACTGCTTCTGGTTGATCTTCTCCTTCCAGGGCTCGAGAGACTTCTGCTTTGCCGCAATCTTGTCGGAGAATGTCTGGGTTTTCCCCTTGAGGCCGTCCCGGATCCTGGTTAGCTCAGCCTCCTCCACCTTGACCTGCTCTTCAAGCGCGGCAATTTCCTGGGCTCGAGACTCGACCTCCTCGGTACATTGCTCGACCGTCTGGTCCGCCTCTGCAGCCGAGTTCTCAGCATTGGCGATTGTCTTCTCGAGCTTCTTCCGCTTGTCGTTGAGGAATTTCCGTTTCTCTTCGAACTTGACGCGCTCTTGGTCAAACTTGGCCATCTCCTTAATCAAGCCCTGCGTCTCCTTGTGCTGTGCCTCCAGATCCTTGTTGCCTTTGGAGTATGCCTTCTCGAGTTTCTTGATGATCTGCTCACTGCCGTTGTGGTTTTCCAGCTCTGTTTCAAGCTGTGCCTGCATCTGCTCGATCACCTCCTTGGTGACAGCAAGGTTATCGTCGCACTCGGCAATATACAGCTGGTACAGAGCAGCCTGCTTCATAGCTAGCTCGTTCTCGTCCCGCACGTAGGCGAGGGCTTTGTTCTTCTTGTCCTCGAGGCTATTCCTCTCCTTCTCAACGTGTTGGACCCGGCCGCTCTTCTCCAGGCAGACTTCGTTAAAGGTGTCAACCTCGGCAGCTGATTCTTCAATCGGCGCCTTGTATTTTGAGGTACCGATGATGTCCTCGAGATACTCAAGGAGCCCATCCTCGTGCTCGTTTCCTGCTTTGGCCTTCATTTGAGCGATCGATTCAACCTCGCCCTGCAAGATCAAGAATCGCTTGTGATCCAGATCGACGCCACGATCCCGCAGAAGTGTGGTGACCGTGGTGAAGTTGGAATTTTTGCCATTGATGAAGTACTGGCTGGAGTTGTTCTTGAAGGCCTTCCGCGAAATGACGAGGTCGGAGTCGGGAATAACTTCGTGTCCACCGCCAGGCTGTCCAGGTATTAGAAGTATTCATATATGAGACGAGCCGAGCCGAGCAGGCAGAAGCTGGTGCAACTCACGAGGTCCATTACTTCCTGGAAATGCACGGCGACTTCACAATACTCCAGGTCTGGATATTGCGCAGAGTTGTGAATAAGGGCCGAGATCTTGCCTTGCCGCATCTTGCTCGCACGGAAGCCGAAGACGAACAAAAGAGAGTCGATGACGTTGGACTTCCCCGAACCGTTGGGCCCGACAACAGACGAGAAAGACGAATGGAATGGTCCGACTTCTTGCCTTCCCGCATAACTCTTGAAGTTGGTCAGGATGAGGTAGGTGATGACGATGCGCGGCATCGGTCCCCTGTCCTCGACCATCGGTATAGTCGTGGTACGCGACTTCAAGACAATGTCCATGGGCTTTTCGAGGATTGTGTCCATCGCCCTGATCGGCTTGACTGCCGCTAGGAGTGTCTCATCTATCGGCCGCCGCTGCTCGTTGATCGTTGAAGATGTAATATCAGCCAATGGAGTGCTCTGCAGGAGTTCTGAAGGCTCTGGCGACGCCGAAGGCTTCGGGGTGGGAAGAGAAGCCTCGAGCTCTGGCGTTGCCATCTTTGCTGCTCTTGGAGCCACGCTCTTGCGCTTCCGTGGCGATGCCTTCTTCAAGGGTTCGTCTTGGTCCACAATCGATGTCTGGTCGGGATCGAAGATCTCGCTAGCTGCAGTGGGAGCAATGCTCTTCTTCGCACGACCCCCTCTTTTGGGGGTTGCTGGGACCTCCATGGTCTTGCGCCTACTCTGCCGGCGCGGGCTGCTCGGTGCAACAGGGTTGAAGTCATCCTCGCTATCGTCGGCTAACTTCTGGGTCGTGTCGGCGATATCATCATCGGAGTCGATGACGGCGGTCCTCCTTGCCGCTGCGCGGCGGGACGGTCGCGTCGAGGACATGGCAGTTGTATGGTGCGCAATGGGAAGACAAGAGTGAGAAACGACGAAAATGGGGTTTGAGAATCAAGAACAGTAGAATGGCGGCTTGCAATTCTAGGCCGTTGATCTTGAGAGAACTGGTTGCTTCGCGATACCCCACTGTTGACTTTTGGAAGTTTGTAAACAAAGCCAAGCCACAATTTGAGCCACAGGGGTTTTGGCGCGTCGCGTCATCAAGCACACCTGGTAGGTACATGTACATTCGGGTGTGCAGTACCTAGTTTAACGATACATCCTATTTTATTCCATATGGTATCGCAATATTCACCAAACGAGTGCTCACTTCAATACGCTCCCACCCAAGCATTGAAGCTCCTTCAGCATCGCGAACAGCGTCCCTACCACCTAGGTTCAAATACCAACTGATCACATTCCCTAACATGCTCGACTACAACCGTCTCCATGCTGTTTTCCCGTCCGATGGAGCGGTGCCTTATGACCAAAGAGGCATTCAAGAAATCGAGACGCTCCGAAAAACCTTGGATGGAGTCCTGTTCATAGACCGTGTATTGAAAGCCCTGGGTATTGGCGAAGGTAAGGAAGAAGATTTGCTTGTCTATTTAAGGTCTCGTTGAGGTTGCTAATCATCCGAATGTTCAGCCAAGGCTTACCCTCCCAAGGGCGAAAACGGTCTCCGCAGCCTTCATCAGCAAGTGTGCGACAGCAAGGCCTCGGCGCATCATAAACTCTCCGTCTTCTATTACTTCTTGCTCGATTATGATGGCGTCCGCGGCTCCAGGTCACAAGTTTCCGAGGACTTTGCTATCAAATCCGGCCTGCCCAAGAAGTACCAGATCCTCATGAGGGGTCTTTGGCATATGGACCGGAAAGAGTTCAAGGTTTGGGCTATTTTCGGTAGTATGAAGTTCCTCGGCCACTAACAGGGACGTCTAGTTTGCACTGGAGCACCTCGCACATCCTTCACTCCCCCCTGAGTTTGCCGATGAGATTGTCATAATCCTCGTCCGCCATGCGAAGGCCAATGATTACAGCCTCCCCTTGGCATATTACCACACCACCCAGCCGGTCTTCAAGAAGTCGGAGGCCCTGGACCTCCTGTTCGGTGCGTTAGCGAGAACAAGCGTTACGGAGGCTCTTTACTTCTCTCGTACACATGCGGAATCGACTCGCCGGCTTCTATTCGAGAAGCTGATCCTCTCCGTGGTCGATGACCGGACAGCAGGCAGCGCAAGGAACAGGGAACTTGTCAGCCTACCACTGGACGGTGCTGAGGAAGCCTGGTTCAACGAATACCTGACCAGCGGCGAAGGGAACAAGCTCAAACTGGCTGCGACGACAGTCGAGACAAGACGGATCATCACGGGCCGACACCGTGGCCAGATCCGCGCCAGGGGGTTAGACGACAGCACCGCGACCGCAAGGCCAGCACGGTCGAGGCCCAGCCGTTAAGCTTCCAGTCTTGGAATTTCTAAAGTGGTCGGAGTAATTTTCTTTGGTTTTTCCAGGCATAGCGAAGGCGTTGGGATTCGGCCATTACAACGATTCAGAGAATCTACCAGGGCCGGGATGTTGACTGGCTACATGAGGAAGCCACCTGTAGCAGCCACATAGTGTCATGACAAGTTTACACCAAAGACAGACCCCTGCGATCTCTTCTTCCGTTGCAAAAATTCTCCTCCCAGTAACTAACCCGACGTCACCGATGCAGATTGGCTTCTCCCAGTGAATATAGTCTCGTACGGTTGCAAGATGGATCTCCCCTGGATTATCCGCTTCCCTACAAGACCATGTTCTTTGATCAACCATCTCTATCTGCCCCTGCACCAGACATCTCCTTCATCCTCTTTTACCATCAGAAACAGCCTGTCTCTTTCGACTAGGTACATCAAATGCTGCTGTCAAAGGATGCCAGGTCTGTCAGTATGACCAGTCGATTATGTCCGCCTCTTCGGCCTTTGAGCACAAGAGACAAAGACGGCAACAGAAAATGGCCTTGTAATTTGGGACCATTGGCCTACTCCTGACGCAGTATATAGATTCCCCCCATCTACTGTCTCTCTCGGAAACTCGGACTTTCCCAGCATCACTCCGACCTTGTCCAGCCTAGTACACCTCTACATCATCCAGGATCTCTAGATATCCGCCCTCGCTCTCGCCTTCAAAACAACTCCACGTTCACAGATCAACGACAGCAATGTCTTCTGCCTCCGAGCCCTGCGCTTGCAGTCTAGACGGCCCCTTCAAAGTCGCCTTCATCATCGCCACGATAGGCCTGGGCCTTGTGTCTCTGGGTATGCTCGGCTGCGTGGCTATCCTGAAGAACCAATGCCATGTCTACGCCGACAAGTACTACGCCTCCCGCCGCCTGTACGATTTTGCCGTCCACCGCGAACACTGTCAAGCGAGCGAAGTCATGCGGTTGAAGCGCGAGCTGCAGTGGCTGGTCGGGGACTGGCCTCCAGCGGGGACCGGGCTGCCTCCCCTCGAGCCTATCGAGGTTGGCGAGGAGCCCTTCGCCATCGCCGACGACGATACCAGCAAGTCGGATCCGGACGAGGACAATTTCATGCCCAAGGATAACGCCGTCGCCGAGAATGCCCCGACCCCTGATCCGGCCGCAGACGCGAGAGAGTGGCCACTCCGCCCTTCCATGCCACCGAGTCCGCGTGGCCCACATGACAGCTTCCTCCCACCGTACCGGACCCTGATGTATGAACTTAACTTGGCCCTAGCCGACGAGAGCGACGGGGCGATGGGTGATGACGAGAGCGACGCGGTTAATTCCCAAGCTGGTGGAGAGGAAACCGAGGATGACGAAGATTGGAGCCCCCGGACGCCAGAATCGGAGAGGTCCTCTGGGCCCCCAATCCAAGCTCCCGGGCCACTCCCGGGTCGCAAGGCGTCAAGGCCAGGTTTGGAGACGGGGGATGCCGAGGGCCCAAAGGCGAAAAAAGACGATGATGTTGTCTCGGCGGCGTCTGCCGTGGCCTCTTCTTGTGATGCATCGAGATCGGAAGCTGCGCTATGGAGTATGAGATCTAGCAGCATCTAGAGGTGATTTCCTCACGCGGGCGAAGGAGGGCTGCTTGGACAGTGTTACCAGCTTCCCCAAGTAGCAACAGAATAGATATTTATTATTCACAGCCAACCCCCCTCCCCTGCCCTGCCTACATGTAGACTGTCCTTTAGTTTTTCGTTTATAGACTTACCATCTTCTCTGACCATTGGCAAACTGAGCTAGGAAAAAGCGAAATGGCATGGCTTCTATGGAGGCAGGAACTCTTTCAAGGGCGGACGTTGGAACATGCCCGATTCGCATTTCGAGGTGATGTGCCTCCAGTGCCGCGACGGCTTCACTCGAGCACCTAAGGGTGGGATTGTATTCTGCCACACACAGCCTTGCCATGTAAAACTGAAACCGGCAGCATGATGCATAGTTTAGCCGACTCATATCACAACATTGGCAACAATGTTTTGTTGGGGGTAACCAGGATTGCCGGTGGGCTCGTCATATCAAGAACTAGACGAGGATTAGACACTCATTTGCCACTGCGATCATCGACCTTGTCCTGAATTATCCTGCCACTCTGCCTCCATCTCTCCACCACACCCATCTTAGAGACCGCAAATGCTCTGTAGCATCCCTGCTTTGTAGTGTTGAGCTGATTAGGTCAGTCAACTGACCGTGAGAGAGGGTACAGGAGATAAAAACTAACCATCCTTGGGAGTAGGAAAGACTTCTGCAGCGCCTGGTGAGGAACGAGGGGATTTAGCAAACTCTCCAAGTAGAGGGGAAAAGGGAAAGGAGGTTTTGGGCATTAACCTTGCTACCTAATATTTAGGCGCGGGTAGACGTGCGCTATACCCAGACAACGGCAACCAAGAGCAGCACAAGGATGGTAACGACAAGGATAGTAACGACAGGGATGGCAACGAGAAGGATGGCGAGACCTGTGGAGATGCTGCCACACCGAATGCTGGGCTGGAAGAAGTAACAAGCATTGTTGCCCCGGCGCACATAGTTGGCCTGGTCAGCGTGGTAAGAGGTCCGGGTATGCTTCTTCGGGATCTGCGGCACCGTATTGTCCCGAGGAGCAGGCTCCTGCTCTGGGTCGACTTTTTTTGGAGGTGGCATGGTGGATGCAGATGAATCTTCAAGCAGAAACAATGACAGCTCTGTGTAATTTTTACGTTAGCTTTCCCTTACAGATTCCATCTTGTCTTTAGTTTGCTTACCAGTTGGATCGTTCAAGGAGTCGGCGGGAGTATCTCCAGAGGCGGATGGAGAAACGGGAATGGGGGAACAGTTGCCTTTAGAGGATTGTCTGGCAGCCATGATGAAATTTTCTTTTCAAGTCTTTGTGCTTGTCAAGTTTGGCGTTGTTTTTGTTTAATCGCGTAGAGCACCGCAGGCTACGCAGTAGTTGTGGATAATGCGGATAGTGGAAGGCGCGAGGTATGGGACCAGCAGCCCAGAGAGTAGGTCCGGTGAGCTTGGTGACCAGAGTCACCTTTTCCCACAAAGACCATTGGCTGAGAGTTGTAGTCCAAGGTGCTGGCTGAGGCCCTACTTGTCTTCACTAACTTTCATAAAACAGCATATGCGATGAGCCATGTCTGGCGTAGGCCGGGGAAAACAGGGCCTGGGAAGCGAGGGAAGTGAATTTTGTTCTTTGCCACAAAGCTAGCTATAGGTGAATGAGATAGACAAGTGAATATAGAACATTGCTATCTTTGACAAGACTCGAAGGTTTGATTTGCCGCGTTTTGGTCGCGTGCTGACGCGACACACTCGCGATATCACGTGCCATCAGGTAGGAAGGACGGAAGGTAGGTTACCTTAGGGAGGTAGGTACCTACCTACCAAGAACCAGTTCCTTCATGTAAGGAACCTAATGTATTCTGCCTTTGACCCAGCAAAATGCAACCAGTATCGTGATACATAGGTATTCCAGCTAATTCGTGCCCTAATACTGTCACCGCGTTTTGTGTACCTGGTAGCTGGAAGGCGTCTGTACGCCGGGCATCTGCCATGGACCAGACGAGGGTTGAACACTCACCTCCCCCTATAAAAGCACGTTTACGGTACATAGCTATCACATACGACCATACCCACTGGAAAACTCGGGATCCCGTCCGCTCTCCCATAGATAAGCCAGTGAGGGCCAGACTAGTAGTTGGGTCGGTGACGACCAGCGAATCCCTGGTGTTGTATGTTTTTTTTTCTCTTTTTTTTTTTTTTTTTTTTTTTTTTTTTTTTTGATATATCTCTGTCCCTTTCTCTCTTCATTATGTACCTTCCCTCCGAACATTTTTGCCCCTTTCCATCTCTATGTGGTGATCTAGTCCCCCTGTATTCGGCTTTAGTATGGGGGCCTTGCTAAACCCTACCGGAAGCGCCCGCCTGCATGCCTTGTTCGGCATGTTGAATACTCTACATGTAGAAGGCTTAAGAATTATGTTAGTGGTGGTGCAATTAAGTTCATCTCGACCTACCGTTTCTACATTTAAGCGTCCAAGAAGCTTCCAGACTCCATTCCCCTGGGCATGCAAAGTCGGGAACTGTGGCCTGACCTACCGCTGTCTACCTTGCTCCCACGACGCCTCCCATGAGCAGCCATTGGTACAAGATTCAACGGTCATAAGCACGTAGATAGAGAGAAACTGCAGATATACATTACTCGAGCAATACACATTACTCGAGCAATACTAAAACATCACAACACACAGACAAACAAGGTATTTCCCAACTTTCCAAGACCATAAACGCCCCAAGCCACATTCCACAAAAGAGTATCAGACTCACACCCTCCTCCTCCTGACCCTAAGAGTCTCGCGCATGGGTGGAGCCATACTGCCGGCAAACCACTTGTTCGCCGGACGGCGTGTGATGGGCTCGATCTCGTAGTGAAGGGCGATATGAGCTAGGGTCAGCTTCAGCTGGTTGGCGGCGAAGAAGCGGCCAGGGCTACAAGTGGGCGACGTGTTAGCCTTTCAAAAAGAAAAAGAAAAAAAGAAGAAAAAAAGGAAGAGTCCCGGGGAAGCAGACACCCCGGCCCCTGATGCGTGGGTGGAGGGATGGTCGACACGACCACTCACCATGCATTAGGTCCATGGCTGAAGGCCAGGAATGTCGGGCTGGTCGATACCAGAGCTTGGGGTTGCCGTGGTCCCCGGCCCCTTGCCCCACTCCCGATCGTGTCGTGCCCGCCGCTATCCTCGTTGTCGCTCCCGGTCGCACGAGCCCTTTCACCCATCCCACTGTCGCTGTCGTGGTGGTTGGTCCTTCGTTCAATGGCCCCAGGTACGAAGCGGAAAGCATTGTATATCTCTGCTTCCCAAAACAGCTCCTCGTCGCGGTGGACACTGTACGCCTGGATGCCGACCTTAGTCCCCTGGGGGATGTGTGAGCCGCAGGGGAGTGTGACGCCACCAGGGGCGGTTACCATCTTCATGATGCCGCGAGCGACGAACCCATTTAGCCTCATACTCTCGCGCAGAGTCGAGTCTACGTGGACCATCCGGGCAAGGGCAGCTTTGCCCCATGACGAAGTGGATTTTGTGAGGCCGCTGTTCGACGGAAGGGCGGGTTCCATCGAGTTCCCCGGGGTAGTAACCACTGATGTCGACTCGGCATCCGTGACCGACATTGCTTGGGGGTTTAAACCCGACTCTGCAAGGACTTCATCTCGCATGGTGTTGAGATACTCCGCACAGTTTGGGGAAGAGGCGATGTCGAAAAGGGTGTTTGTGATGCTTATGACGGAGGACTGGATTGCCGCAAAGCAAAGACATGCGAGACGGCGAGCGATAACAGTGGCTGTAAGTTCTAGAGGATCCCAATGCGCAAGAGCATGGCCAATTGCCCATTGGATATAGTCATTCTAAGCCAGCGTTAGCCCCAAGAGAAGAGATTGAGCGAGCACAGCAAGCAATTATGACTAACATGTTCCTCTCCATCAAACCTCGGCAACTGCTCCTTGCCGAGCTGTTCGAGTTGTTCTAGGCGCTGGCTGATGCTAGGCAGTACGAATTTGGCCAGTGTGAGGTATTGGGCGTGATCATACGCGGTAAGTATTGGAGCCAGCAATCTGTTTTTGCGCGTCTTGTTAACCTCGTGGAAGGAGGCGGGTAGTACAACAAAGGGAGAAGGACGCAAATGGTAACAGGATCGATGGAAAGTGTAGCTCACGTCTTGAGAAACCCAGGGATGATGTTCAATGCTGCGGCTGACAATACAACATTCTTGTCAAACATGCGTGCGCTGTGGAGAAACTCCTTGTTGCGGGAAAGCGGTAATCCGACGAAGACTCTTGTGGAGAGTCGTGAGATGACATCGAGCATGGTATCGTATACCTCGACTTCCCTCCAGTTCTCCGTGTCGGTGCCCCAGTTCTCCTCCAGACACGACTGCAGTTCATCCACGATGTCACCCGAGAAGCTACTCAGCTTGTGCGTAAGTTCTCGCTTGATGACTTCAGGATGAACGGGCTCCCGAACAATGTTTGGATGGAGGAAGGTGTGGTCAGCCTCGAGGAACTGGCGGTTGACCTCAGTCTGGTTCAGGAGGCTATCCGGCTGTTCTACAAGCCATCGAACCTGAGACAACGGAAGGACGACTTCGGGCCCTGTAAGGAGGTGGGGGAGTACATATACTTGACCATGCTTGGAGTACTAGATAATCGTCAGTGTTGCTGCGACGGGGCCACCATGTCCCGAACCAATAACTGCTATATCGATATCAGAAACATTGCGCATGTACTCGCCTCGTTGTACCCCTCATCCAGTAGGGTCTTCATATGGAACAGGCTGGTCAAGTTTGCCCTGAGACGGCCGAGTCTACCACCATTGGCAGGGACGCCTGCCCACGGAAGAGATGCCGGAAGTGCCGCATCCGACGTCCAGCGGTAAATGAGGTTGACGGTGATGATTGCCGGTATGACGGCGAAAGAGACACACAATAAGCCGAGCAGTGCCGCTGGGGCATTCTCTCGTAAGATGGTCATTGTGCTGTCCTGAATCGGTGTACGCTCAACAACGCTGCTGGGAGGCGTCTCCCTAAAAACACCAAGGCTCAAGGGAGTGGTCAGAGTCAAGGTACATTCAAGACCAAGGAGACTCCTGTAATAGTTCTCGGGTCACGCCTAGGTAGGCGGGCGGGGTCGGACAACTGGTAGCAGGCTCTTATGGCGAGGGCTTTGGGCCACGTTTGACTGGCTACCTTCGAAGGTGGTCGAAATGGGTGACAGGTTTTGCATATCAGATTTGATGGCGGCGAAGCGGGCAACAAAGAGGAGTACACCAAGTCTCAGACAAACTGGCAAAGGGGAATTGAGAGCCACTTGCTCTTTCTCCTGGCAAAGGTTTGGACCTCGCCTACAATGAGGATGCCAGACAACGATGTAGCCGAAATCCGTACCCAGAGGAGAGCAAATGGTTAGGAAGTATTGATGTTTGCTAGGCTTCCGAGATCCAGCCTACACCCTTGCCTGCCAATGGGAAGCAGGGTGAGTGGTTATGGTGTGTGGATGTTGGACACCACCAACATAGACAACGACAACGGTAGCTTACGGCCTGGTGTATGAGGGCTTGGTAAGCGGCGAACTATTGATCGTGACAAACAGCAGTCTCTAGCGAGCAGGAAGTCCATCCGTTGGATGTCAAGCCTCGAGATGTAATCAGGGGCTTCTCGTGTGATTAAATTCGCGTGGGACAGATGTCGTTGGTACGTAGGTAGAGTGCATATGGGAGCAGGTCCAGGCCACAAACAAAGAGAAGACGACACTCATGTCCAAGGCTGAGAACCGAGGGCGATGGATGTCTCGGTCGTAGTCCTTTTCTGGCAACCGTTGCAGGTCTGGACCACAGTCTAGCGTTGGCGCTGGCGTTGGGAGGCACATCGTGGAGCAGATGTCGTTGAATTTCCTTCAGGCGAGGTACCTACTAGTATTCGTAGGATCCATCATATTTGCTTCTTCCACGCCAGTCACCAAGGCATGGCCTCCATGGTATGGATCAAAGGGGTCTAGCCTCGCCAATCGGCACCCAGTCCGCAGAATCGCAGCAATAATTAATCAACAATCGGGGACATTGCATCCATTGCATCCATTGCATCATGCCGCATTCGTGTTGGCCCGGAAGCGCTCCTCGGGGATTACAGCGTAGTATCCGTAGGGCAGGTGTAACCAACCTCCCACGCAAGGGCCATATCCAGCGGATCCAGCGGCCAGCTAACAACCCCCCGAAGTCACCCTCCCTTGCTTCTTTTGGCCGCATCTCAGCTACTATGGTCCCGAAAGCCCCAACCAACTTAGCCATGCACCCTCCTCTCGATCGTGGTGGTTGGGGAAATCTCGCGTATTGCTTATTGCCTCATTACGTTTGGTCACAACTCACAACTCACAATCACAAACATGCCGGGGCACACATCCCGGCCCAAGCCATCACCCAAGTTGCCGCATGGCAGCAGCACGCTAGCATCCCAGCACTTATCTGGGGAATGAATTGACGTATCTGCGTACTGCGTTTCTGCCCAAACTCGTAGCAAACACGGGATATCGGCGTGTCGTGCTGAGGCGTGAACCTCTAGCTCGTGCTCGGATATCGAAGGTCGACGTGTAAGCCGGGGGAGAGATGATGACCTGATGACCTCTCGGCTCGACTTGCCCTTGACAACCTGAACTTGCTTCTTTCGATAACATGTATTTAATAGTACATACCCACACCTCAGCCGCTCAAGACCCCATAACGTCCGTAGTCAGTTGCCCGGTAGAGCCTCGAATTAGTACTTGAAGCCGGACCTATATCCCACTCTGTCACAACCTACCTACCGAAGGATTGCCCAACCGCCCGACTCGGCTTGCTTCGTTTTGCAATATCCAACCCCATCGCCAGCCACCATGCTCACCATTCGCAGCTTCCTCGCCCTCCCCCTCCTCCCCCTCCTCGCTCTCCTCCTCCCCCTCGTGTCCGCCGACCCCGTCCCGGGCCTGCTGCCCAAGATCCCCATCCTGGACGCCCTGCTCGCCCTCGGCGCCAGCCCGCCGCCGCCCATCCTGCGGACCACGCACCCGTCGCCGCAGTGCGCCGCCATCAACCAGGGCCAGCTGATGTGCTGCCGCGCCACCGTCGCGGGTGACATCCAGCTGGTCGTCTGGCTCGCCGAGCTGTACGGCTACAACCTGAACCCCAACGACATCAACGGCCTGAACTGTGAGTTTTCTGGGCATTTGTTTCGCTTGGCGAAGGACCCATGGTTGACAAGGGGGTGTGCGTGTGTGTGCCCTTCTAGGTGATACCAATATTGACACCTGCCCGGGCGTCAAGGTTTGCTGCCAGGTCACCGGATTGGTAAGTGTCTTGAAGTTCTTGATGAACTGACCACCACATCGAAGTACATTTGCTGATTGTTCACTTTTCATCAGACCCCGCTGCTGGCACTGTGGTGTCACGACTATCCGTAAGACCGGATACCAGGTCGCTTGGGGAAAGTCGAAGAGCTACGGCATGGGGATGGCCCAAGAGAGTTCCAAAGAGATATAATGTCCATTGATGATGGCATGACCTCCCTCCTAGTCACTGTAGTGAGCTAATGAGAAAGATGAGGAACCATGACTGTAGGAATCGGTATATCCAGGTAGAAGAATTTATAGGGGATGAACCCCCCGAGATCACAATGTCAGTTCCCGTAGAAACGATACGATGGGGCACCTCGTAGTAGTGAGCTGGAATGCCTGTCTATTGCTTGACTTGACCACCCCCTCTTGCGCCGCCGAAAATGCGATTCAAAACCCAAATGCGAGCTCTTCTGTTTTGGTACACGGGGCCATCTCCCTAAAGTGTCTAGATCACCAGTACTTACACATTGGTTCTCACGATATTCCCATATCTATCCGCAATCGTACATCAGTCTCTCTCTTATTCTCTTCCGGATTTTGACAGCACCCCGGCTTGAGCCAGGTGCAGGTGGGCGCACCGCTAGATGGAATCACCGACGTCCCTCATTCACTTCTGTCGTTTGAGGGTCTTGACTGCCATCTCGATCAGCCCGTCCTTAGCCTCGCTATCCGGGAACGGACTAATTGCTGCAATGGCCTTCTCGGCATAGTCCTCTGCGAGAGCCCGCGTCTGCGCAATTCCATCGCTCTGCATGACTAGAGCGCGTGCCTACAGTAAAATGTTAGCAATTATCTCCCCGGTCAGGGGGAGAGGATTCAAACTCACCCTCTCCACGTCGCCCTCCCTCTCAAACTTCCTCCCCACCAGCGCCCCCAGCTCGGGCATCGTCTTCCACGCGAAAAGCAGCGGCGCTGTCGCCAGCCCCAGCTCCAGGTCCGCGCCCGCCGGCTTGCCCAGCTCCCTCCCGCTCCTCGTGTAGTCGAGCATGTCGTCGACGAGCTGGAACGCCAGCCCAAGGTTCTTCCCGTACGCGTACGCCGCCTCGACGCTCGGGGCGTCGGCGCCCCCGAGCAGGGCGGCGGCGCGGCAGCTCTTGCTGATGAGCGACGCCGTCTTGAGGTACGTCTTCTGGAGGTAGTACGTGAGGGCGTCCTCGCTCCAGACCGGGTTGGCCTCGTCGCGGGCCGTGTTCTTGAGCTGCATGAACTCGCCCTCGACTAGGTTGGCGATCACGGTCGCCAGCAGCTCGATGACTTCGGCGTTGCGCAGCCGCGCCAGCGCCACCGACGCCCGCCCAAGCAGGAAGTCGCCCGCCAGCACCGCCATCTTGTTGCCGAACTCGAGGTTGGCCGACGGCGCCCCCCGCCGCGAGACGCTGTGGTCGATCACATCGTCGTGCAGCAGCGACGCCGTATGGATCAGCTCGGTGATCTCGGCTAGGCGCCGCTGCGTTGGGAGGATGTCGGGCTCGGTGGTGGATTCGAGGTCGGGTTTGGTCGTCGACGACGAAGACGAGGGGTTGAAGTCTGAGAGGATCGAGAGGGGAGATAACGACGTGTCGATGCCGGCAGAGGCTTGGAGGGTCGACTGTTGCCGCTGGGGCCCCTTTGGGCAGAGCGACGTTGCCCGGGACATGAGCAGCACGATCAGCGGCCTGACATGCTTGCCTTCAGCCTGTGTGTAGTATTTCGCTGCCCGGTCCAGGGAGGGGTGGCCCGATCCTAGCAGCTTCCTGATATTGCCGGTCAGGAACTTCATCTCCTTCGCCACGATCCTGAGGGGGTCGACGGGCATGTCGCCCTTTGTTGCCCGTGTGATTGCATTGGAGACGATGTTCCCTGCCACCGAGACGGCTGCCGCCCAGGCCGAGGACTTCCTGCGCGTGGTATGATATAGCGCCCTCGACTGCCGTATCCGGACATTCGGTGTAGCAACTCTTTGGCACTCCAAGCACGCTGACGCCTGCAAGGATCGGGTGATGGTACGAGGGGCGCGAAGCATCGAAGCTCCCGCTCGGGGCTGCATTTCCTCGAAGCCTCCTCGAGGAGAGCCAATTAAGCTAGGGTTGAGAATATACGGTGCTCTCTGGCATCTGGATATCAAACAAAGGCTGGATTTGTCGTGCGCCGTTCAATGCTCGGTGCTGACAGTCCATACAAGGTTCGATTCCTAAATCTTCCTTTCGCGTATTCGCTCGCATGAGAATTTTTGGACCGAGCTTACTGAGCTAGGTACCTACCTAGGTACCTAGGTACCTATGCAGCACAGGGGAGGCAGGCAAAGTGGGGGCCACACAGTGCACGGTCCACACATGCTGCAATCATATGAGCTTACCTATGTGGATCCAGGCATCGCGAATCATGCAGTATTAGGACTTGCTTGTCATAGGGCTTGTATTGCTACTCATAACGGTCTTTCATGACTTCACATACCTGTCAAGGTCTGTCGAGAACCTCTAAGGGTACTCTAACCTGACAATGCTTCAAATTTAACTCCCTAACAATGGTATTACTCACGATGACACCCTCCATTGTGGAGGGGCTAAAGAAGCGAAACCCAACCTTGGACGATATCGCAAAGGAGACACTTCCAGATGGAGAGCCCAGCCTTGAGAACCCAGTCGTTGGGAACCCAATCTCCCATGGCCAGATTATCGATCTCTGGACGAGCCTCAGATGCCACAGCCAGCAGAACTACAGATTGGAAACCCTCCTTCGCGGTGCCAAAGTCTACGTGCCTCCCCCGCCACCAAAACCAGAGCCCGTAGGTGCCGCTGTCGTGGGAACCCTTTACCAGGAGATGCTAAATCACCTTACAGTCAGACGAATTCAAGGCGCTCATGGCACGCCTCCGCCGCGAGGAGGAGCAGCGGGCGTACGAACGCATGACCAATCCGGTGCCGCCCGCCGAGACCTTCTCCCACCTCTTCCCGAACGCTTCCATGGCCCGCGCATTTGCCGAAGTCAACCGGCCAAGCCGGGCGGCCGACATGGGTGACGACGACATCACATACAATGACGTGCAGCGGCAAGTGATTCTTATCATCAACTTCCTGGCGAGCATCGTCGGCGTAGCGGGCGCCCTGTGGGCTCTAGCTAGGTGGTGGAGCACACCGGCGAGGCTATTCCTTGCCATGGGCGGAGGCATTCTGGTTGGAATTATAGAGGTTGTTCTCTATTCGGGTTACATATGGCATCTCGGCGAGGCGAAGAAAAACGATGCAAAGTTGCGAGAGACTAAAGAAGTTGTACAGACTTGGGCTGTTGGTGGGGACGAGGATAAGGGCGGAGATGGCGACGAGACTATCATTTCAGATCGTCCAGACCTTCCCGAGGAGAGCAGTTTAAGGAGAAGGAAGCAGAAGGAAGCCGGGTGAAGAAAAGTAGACAGGCCGAGCGGCTTTCAGAATAGAGAAATGAGTCATGGTAAGCAGCGATGTGTGTAGTTTTAAACCTGCATATGCGGCTGCCAAACCCCAGGTCGTCCACCTTCTAAGTAAGTCCTCCTTCCTTCAACCTGCCAGCTTCCAAGGCGCACTTCGACCTGTTCACTTGGAAATCCATATAATTCCCTTGTGCAACTTTGCACGCCCATGAGAGCATGACTGAAACCCTATTCGAAGCTCGGCCTGCCGTTCTAGCCCAAGGCCCGTGGGATCCAGCCAAGTTCCCGATCTCGACCGAGGGAACAAGAGCATTACCGATGCCCGTGGCTGTTGCTGACGCCGAATCCCTGAAGCCATTCTTCGGCCACCTGGAGATTGGCGGTACTCACCTTGTATCGGAGGGCTCGCTGGGCCAGCCCCTCGAGAGTGGTAAGGGCGAGCCTTACTACGGCACTCCGGGAATCGAGTTCGAGAAGGGTGTACTATACGAGGACCGGCGGATGGACTTGTGCAAAATGGTCGTGGGACCTGATCACATTGGCCGCCTGATGCGAAGCTTGCGGACAAACGAGTTTGTCAGGCACTTCCTTCTGGGAAACAATATCATCGGGCCCGTTGGCGCCCGGGAGATCGCGAGATTCGTCGACGAATTCCCAGACCGGATAGATACCTGGTACCTCGCGGGGAACTGCATCGACGGGCCAAGCTTCAGGATACTGGTTGACGGTCTGGCCAAATCGGAAGCCGTCACCAACGTGTGGCTGAAGCGCAACCCTCTCTCATCCGAAGCCTCAACCGACGTCTCCCGGTTGATAACCACGGCCCGAAACTTGCGGACCCTCGATCTCGACCAGACCGAGCTGGGCGATGCTGGGGTTGCTGCGGCATTCCGGCACCTTCGCGACCACGTCCCAGCAGCGGGTGGCAAGCTGGCTCTCGAGAACATCTATCTCAACGGAACAGGGGTCTCCGTCAACGCAGCCAAAGCCATCGGCGCCTTCCTGTCAGAGCCGCATTGCCAGCTGACATCCCTATACCTGAGCTGCAACCCGATCGGGGACGACGGCGCAACCGCCCTCAGCGCCCACCTTGCCTCATCCGGGACCCTGGCCCGCCTCATCCTCACCTCCACAGGCCTGACAACCAAGGGCGCAATCGCCCTCTGCGCGAGCTTGAAAGGGCACCCCGCGCTCCGCGTCCTCGACCTGAGCCAGGCGTTTACGACCCAGGACCTGGGACAGGCATACAACTACATCGAGGACGGCGCGGTCCCTTACATCGTCGACCTGATCGAGTCGTCCCGCTCGCTCGAGTACCTGGCCCTGGGCCACTGCGCCGTCACGCCGGCGGGGCTGCGGACCATCTCGGCTGCCGTGGCGCGTAGCGACTCGCTGCTCTTCTACATCGCGACGTCCATCCTTCCGGATACGACGACGGCGACACAACCCGCGTCCGTCATCCTGGCCCCCAGCGACGCGCCCCCGCGCCCAGAGGCGCCGCCCCGCAACGCGCAGGAGCAGGCGGACGGGCTGGCGCGCGCCCGGCTGGAGGCGAACATCAAGAAGAGGTACGGCGAGGAGATGGGGTACTCGGAGTTCCTGGCCGGCGAGCGGCGCTGGCTGGTCAGCGACAGGGACGACGTGCGCAAGATCGACTCGGTCTACCGGAACCGCGACGCCAGGCTCGCCCGGCGCCAGCTGGTGACGTTGGTCAAGGACTGGGAGGAGGGGGACGACACGTTGCGGAGAGTCATGGGTGCCCAGGGACCGGCCTGCCCCATGCGCCAGGGAGCTTAGAGTTCGGCTGAGATGTCGCGGGACATGGGTGTTTCGCTTTCATTTAGCTGCAGCCGCGGCGATCGACTAGTATGCCCACTTTCTGCGTGGCGACTAGGGTTTGTCTCCCTCGAGCGTGCATGACATTCACGCATCATCTGGCACTGGTCATCTCCGGTGATGTCGCCGAAAGTAGGGGCAACGTCGGCGCGGGTCGCTAGCAAAACCCCTGACTATGGTGGTCTTCAACAACAGCCCTGCTGTGTCGTTCCGATTTTTCTTTCTATTGTCGCCTGATTAGCCACATCACGTCGCATCTCTAGGATACGCGGCTGGTGCGCACTTCGTGGTCGTTAGCCCAGCCCATGGATGTCGGTAGAGAACTTCTGGCGCAGTGTATGAGCGCACTACGCCGGAGACACCGTCCCAGAAACAAAGGTATTCTATTACGAGATTAATATTTGACTCGAGTGTTAGATTCTTGACCCCTAATGAACCCCTCGCCGGTTCCTATACCGCTATAAGATAGCAAGTGTTGATATTGCCAATGCAGGCTCCTCGCATGGTAGCAGCTTTGACAGCTGCTCTCCTCCCCTCTCCCTTGGCTTGGGTTAGCATCTTGGAGAAGCTACCGAGTTTCTGGGTCCCAGTAAACTCTATCCCCCGTGATGAGAAGCAGGGGTCATATCATATAGCCCATTAGATCTATCTTCACCAGGGCCGGGGCCAGACGCTGCAAAGCGATGTCTCCATGCCGTTATGCAGGGCATAGCAGACCTGAAGTCAGGTCGGCATTCGACGGACATGCCTCTTTTCGTAAACTAATGGCGGTTGAGGGTCATCGAATCCCCCGACCTCTAGGTCTAGCCAGACCACTAGTCCGACCTCCCCGAGCGCCAGCGCCACCCCGAGCACCTCTTCCGGCCCCGGCGCCTCGACCCGGGGGTGCCGGAACGCGGGATGCGCGAGGTTTTGGAGTGGCGAACTTAGGTGTTGTCGTCTTGGAGGAAGTAGGTGGGTTCTCGACAAACGAAGTGTCCGTCGTCCTAAGCCCTCGTTAGAACGTCCTGAGTGGCGCGGGATCCATGGGGACGCACATGAAGGTTGTTTCACCGTCTATCTCGCCAGCCCTTTCAGAGAGTCGAGGATTGCCTACTATACGCTCTTTGGTAAGTCGTTAATAACGACGCCCGAAGCATATATCTCTCTCCCCGCCCACTCACCACTTTGGTCTTCCTGAAGCCTTGCTCTCCGAAACGATTCAGCGATCGGTCCCTGCCAACCCATCAGCACGTGTATCAATGCGCAAGACTGGCCGATAAGCGCACCTCGGGGAAGTCGACGCAAAATGCGTTCATGTTTAGCCCATACAGAAAGCTGGCGAAGCTCTCGCTGAACCGAGCGAGGCTCTCGTGCATCAGCTGGAAGTGCATCATGTTCGCCTCGAGGTCGGCCATGGCGTCGGAAAGCTCGGCAAAGGCCGGCTCGAAAGTGTTCAGAGGGAACGGCGCATCGCCAGAGACGCTGTCGCGTGCCGAATCTCGAAACGATGATCGCGACGACGGACGTAGCGGGGTAGTGGGACGCGATGTTCGAGTTCGGGAGCTCGATCGCTTTGTGCTGGAGTCATAACCCTCGCCGGAAGACATTGTACAGGTTCTGGTGCTTCCGTCTGTCGAAGGAGATGGGGGGTAGACCGCTAGAGGCTGGAAATATTTCGTGTCCGATGAATGCGACGAATGCGACGGTTTTGTTTTGGAGATCGCAAACAAATGACTAAATCACTTCCCGCCCCACCACAACCACAACCTTGCGGCGCGTTTCGCATGGGCACGTGCCCTCCTACGTAATCCCGCAACCCTAGGACAGTGTCGTACGTCAACGGGTCCCGGTCATTACTGTATACGTACGCATTACAGGCACTGCCACCTAACTTACCTACTATAGTACAGTATAAGCTAAGTAGGTAGCAATCTACTGGACAGAGAAAGAACGAACCTACCTGGCGAGCTAACGGAGCCCGAGGTCGCCAATAACGATAATTGCGACCATTCTTTGAAAAGTGAGACTTTCAGGAGCTGACTCGCCTCTTGGCACAATCCCTATCTTGACATATTGATATATATTTTGCTCTCCCACTCTCCTTGTTCCATACAGACCACGCTGGGACGACTTTGCATTGTTCTGTGTCTATTATTATATATCATATACATACACTTCCTATACAGTCTCTCCTTCCACCTCTCCTGCTCCGAGTCTTTGTGTGCTCCCTGACACCGAAGCGCATTCAGCTGGTTGACAACCTCAAACCTGAGGTTAGCGACCCCGACTGTGTGAATCGAAGCTGTCCCGGCATAGAAAAGGGTTAATTCTGCGCCTGTTGTTTTAATACAACTCTCCCGGGCCTTGTCACTTGGATCTGACCGATTCCGGGTAGATCCGCAACTTCCTATGGTGTAGGATCACTTTATTGGCGCCCTGTTTTATATCGCTCTCTTTGGGCTTCCCATGCGCTTCCAGCCTTACCTGATAACCCGAGCTTCACGCCCTCACCCGTCAACATCGCTGCCACTGTGCAGGAGACTTCATTGCGCAACCTACGGCCCCTTTAGAGATAGACCCGGCCGTTCCTGTATAGACAGAAACCGTTCGAGCCTCACCCTATCCCATACCCCTTCAGGAGTTCCCTTTTCGGGTTTCCTACTATCTTTCTCAACTGCTGGCACCTGCTCGAGAACCACCCCGAGGGCCAACTCTCGGAACATTTCCCATTGCTCACCTTTGGAGGCCTCAGCAAGGACCGGGCACCGACATCATCTCCGCTCGGGTCTATCCCTCTCGCTTGTTGCGGGCTTCATCTGTCTCGGTCTCGTTGTCTGCCTGCTACGACCGTCCCAGCCCGAACCTCTAGACGCTGTCGAGGACCCCCCCGAATTCGCTGTCGCCATGCCTGCTGAAGTCCTTCCCGGCCGGCCGGGGAATCTGACCCCCGACCAGGAGGAGAAGCTCCGTCAGCTATGGAACCTAATCTTCCAAGTGTGTGCCGTCCGGCCGGACGGAACCGCGGCTGACGTACCTGGCGACGCCAACGTTGCGGCTGACAAGGCCGAATCGGTCAAGGGGGAAAAACCTAAGAAGAAGGGGCGCTCCGTTTTCTCCCGGAAGGGCAAAAAGGATGCCGAGGGCGATTCGGTCGCCTCAGGCCTCTCTAATGGAGCCATCACCCCGATTAAGGATAGCGAGGACGACAAATACGGCCAGATCAAACACTTCTACGAGACAATTGCCAGTCAATCTCCCGAGTCCATCAGAGCTACGATTTGGAGCATGGTCAAGCATGACCATCCCGATGCTCTTGTTCTTCGATTCCTCAGGGCTCGGAAATGGGACGTCGAGAAGGCCCTCGTCATGCTGATCTCAACCATGAACTGGCGAGCCCAGGAGATGCATGTTGACGACGACATCATGAAGAACGGGGAGGCTGCCGCAGCCGAGGCCGAGAAGGGCAATGATGCCGCCGCAGCCAAGCTCTCGCAGGACTTCCTCGCCCAGATCAGGATGGGAAAGAGCTTCCTACACGGTGTCGACAAAAACGGGAGGCCGGTCTGCGTTGTCCGAGTCCGGCTGCACAAGCAGGGCGAGCAGGCCGAGGAGAGCTTGGAGAGGTACACCGTCTACATCATTGAGACAGCACGGATGCTCCTGCACCCCCCGGTTGATACGGCCGTGAGTATTCCCTTAGCTTCTGCTTGGTATTTGCTAATTTAAATTGCTAGACCATTGTATTCGACATGACTGGGTTCTCAATGGCAAATATGGTGAGTTGCTGTCCGAAATCCACCTCATTTGTCTTGTTGACTCACCTGATATCAAACAGGACTACACCCCGGTGAAGTTTATGGTCAAGTGCTTCGAGGCGAACTACCCAGAGTCGCTAGGTGCCGTTCTCGTGCACAAAGCACCCTGGATTTTCCAAGGTCTGTACCCTTTTATAGGCTTGGCTAGATTCGACCTGCTAACACAGTACAGGTATCTGGAAGATCATTAAGGGTTGGCTAGATCCTGTTGTCGCGGGGAAGGTGCACTTCACGAACAACCGGAAGGACATGGAGGAGTTCATCGCTCCCAATCACATATTGAAAGAATTGGACGGAGATGAGGACTGGCAATACAAGTACCTCGAGCCCGTGCCGGGCGAGAACGACAAGATGAAGGACACCGAGACCAGAGACCGTCTTTTGGCCACCAGAGAGCAGCTGTACGCGGACTACGAGGCGGCCACCATAGAATGGATCCAGACCTCCGAGGATGAACAGAGCCATAAGATCAAGGCGCGACGCGAAGCTATCGCGGCCAAACTACGAGAGGACTACTGGATCCTTGACCCGTACCTGCGGGCACGGTCATTATATGACAGAACTGGAGTCCTGCAGCTAGGCGGCAAGCTCGACTACTATCCCAAGCCGGAGGAGGTCGAAATCGTACAGTTGAATGGGAAAATGGCGTCCGCAGTGGTCACTTCGGCAGAGGAATCTTCGGCGGTGGACACGTCGGCGGATGACGTAGACTAGAACTCAGAACTCGCCTGCAATCACCTGTATCATTAGTTTTTATATCGCATAGAACCCCGACAAAGGCGCTCAATCGGCGGTCCCTTTCCCACTGAGTACAGTTATAGGCGTTCCCGAGGAGAGAAATAGGAGCGCTGATTCCTCTGCTCGTCCTTCCGAACTATCTGCCAATGGGATCACATCTTCGCCTTGATCTCCTCAAAGAGCGCCTTTAGCTTGTCCATGTCGGTCTCCTGTTGAGGCCAGCCAATTCCCAACCCTTCCTCGGTGTTCGGCTTCGGGATCTGAGAGGTGTGTAAGTAAGACTGCTAGCAACATAACCAGGCTGTGTGAGTTCGGTGGGTTCCAGTACCATGTGGAAATGAACCTGTTCAGAGGAGGGTTCATCGTTAGTCTGCGACCGACGAAGAATCGATTTGAGTTGCGGGAAGACGGGAGAACTGCTTGCTTACATGTGGAACGACCTGGTGGGCCGTAGTCCCGTTGTTCTGAAGGATGTTGTATTCCGTGGCGCCGGTGGCCCGCACCAGCTTCTTCGCCAGGGGCTGGATGAAGGGAATGCGAGTTAGAAAGACAGGGCGTTGCCCCTTCCCCGTTATGACGCGCGGCGCTATCGGACAGCAGACGTACCAGAATCTCGCTCAGTTGATCGTCCGGGATGTCGACTAGCTTCTCGCCGTGGAACTTGGGAATGATCAACTAGTTGCGTGTCGCGCAATGCGTCAGCTGGGGGGTATCTCGCCGCCATTCTACCCCGGCGGGGAGAGAAAGGATCTGGCCTTCAACGTACCGCATGGCCACGGCTCAGAGGGTTGATGTCGAGGAAGGCGAGAGTCTTGTCGCTCTCAAAGAGCTTGAAGCAGGGAATGTCTCCTGATGGTGTGGCGCGTGGTGCCGGAGCTTTGGTGTTAGTGTTGCCCATCCGGGTGCGCAATAGGGGGAGCAGGAGCCTTGGGTAGGGAGGTAGCGCATGCTGTGGACGTACGAACCCTTGATGATCTTACAGAAGATGCAGGCCATTCTGTTTGACATGGTAGACAGACGTCCTTATTTGCGATATATGGTTCAATTGTAAACAGAGAAACCCCTCTGAAGCTCCATGGTGATTGAGTTGAAGAGGGGTAGGTATTTACTACAAATGTGGGGCTCCAAATGGAACGCCCACAGCGGCGTCACTCGCGGCGCATCACTCTACGCTTGCGGTGTTCTGAAGATCCAGATTCAAATCCATTTTGACATTTAGGTACTCTTCAACCCCTTCCCCCCTCGATAGTAGCGATTTAAATGGATCAGCAGTTATTACCTTAAACTTTTCCTAATACAGAATATTCGCTGCGATTTCATATGCCAAGTTTGTTGACTTGCTTGTCTTAATAATCAGGTTCGGCGACATCATCGGCCAATCACTCAGAGAAGTAGGTACTGTACCTAAACACAACCTGGGAGTCATCTTGAGGAAGCTCCTTGGCTCCGTACTGTCACCTGTTCAAGCCAGATTTTGCAGGTTCCTTATTCCCTCCTAGGCAAACACATATCCATATACAACGCCATTCAACTAGATACCTACTCAGCATCATGGGCACAACTTTCGAAAGTACCCCGCTCTTCGGCGGGGCACTGGTCTGCGACCTGCCCAAGAAGTTCGCAGATGTCAGGTAGGATGCCTTGTCGCTGGCCGCCTCTTGCCCTCCAACAAGTCGCTAACGTTGCCATCACCTTTAGCAAGCTTCGCCAAGTTCCAGATAACCAGGAGGTCTACATCGACAAGAATGGCTTCACCAGTATCATCATCGAAATCACCGAGCGCGTTGGGCCGCCGGGCGGCGGGGTTGAGGTTGATGGGCGGGCGCTGACGACGCACCTCGAGGAGCTGGTCGGCAGCGACGTCGACACCGTCAAGGTGTGGAACACGACCGAGACAGAGTTTAGTCACCTATCGTAAGCACCGTCCCCGTCAAAACCTCCTTGCCCAACTTTCTCCCAGGGGCCCAGGTTCGCTAACCGTCGCAAAAATCTCCGCCAACAGCGAGGACATTCCGGCCTACACCCTGATCGCGACGCAGACCCCCCAGATCGACCCGAGGGAGCGGTCGTCGGCGCCTGACTTCACCGCCATCATCCTGACGCTGCTGCGGCTCGAGAAGGAGTCGACCGACATCCTGGTCACCATCAACGTGCCCCACATCAAGGGCGAGTACGACGAGGACGAGGTCGACCTAGCGCTCGGGAAGCAGGGCGAGCTCATCGGCGACGCCGTCGAGTTCGCAGCCAGGATCTGGGAGTCGTTCAAGGTTAGGGACTGGGGTCTGTTCAACGAGGTTTGAGCTAGGTAGTCAGCTAGTCGAGGTTGCGCTGTAGGGTTGTTCAATCCTGGTGGTTATTTCTTCCCCCCTAATGAGATATGACAAGTACGTAGATAGCTGAAATGGCACGGCGTTTGGGGAAATGGTTCATTTGGGGGTCATCAACCCATCTCGCCAGCCGAGAACACGGTCGATTACATAGGTAGGTACATATCAAGACTCATTGGGTATCAATGCGGACATCTCTCTACAACGATGATCACTTCCCCTCTCCCAGACTTAATGCATCGAGCCCGTCTGCAACATCATCGACGATATCGACCCCCTTACCCGCCTTCTTGGAGTCTCCCTTCTTCTCCTGGCGCGACCACTTGTCGGCGACGAGTTTCATGATGTCCTTCTGGGGGCTCTTGGGATTCTCCTCCCTGAGCAGCTTCATGTGCTCCTTCATGAACTTCTGATACTCGCTCTCCCGCCCCTGGCCCCTGGGCACGGGCTTCGTCTGCCTCAGCTCGCCCTTGCAGCTGCCGCACCGGTGGCGCTCCGGGTTGATGCTCTTGGAGTGCCTCTTGAACTCGGCGGCGCAGATAACACACGCCCAGACGTACTTGAAGTCGATGTCGTACGAGTGCTTGGTCGTCACCTCGATGCCGCGGCCGGCGAATGCGCGCGAGCACTTTGCCGCCCATGCCTTGAACTCCTTGCCGTGCGGGTTCCCCGTCACGCCGTTGACCATGAAGTTGGCGAGGTGGCAGAACTCGTGCGCCACCACGTTGAGCAGCCGGTGCTCGTCGTCAATCACCTTCTCCGCCAGCTCGATCGACGCACGGTGCCGGTGGCTGACCGTCACCACCTCGGCCCCGCCGTCCGCCGACGACGTCCGCGTCCGCACCGTCTCCCGCTTCCAGTTCGCCCTCCCGGCCGTCGTGTTGAGCTTGTTCGTCCACGTCACCTGGATCCCACCCGTCGAGGCCGCGAGCTCGCCCAGCTGGCCCTGTGTGATGGTTGCGTCGAGCTCGTGTAGGAACTTGGCCGCCAGTTCGTGCTTCGTCTTCTCGAACGCCTTCTTCGCCTCCCGCGCCGAGACGGCCGGCTTGGCTGGGTTTTTGGTCTTCTTCTTCGATGGGCTCGCCTTGGATGGGCTCTTGGCGGCGTCGGGGAACAGCTGCTTCCTGGGCGAGTGCTCGTCGTTCCAGTCATCCACAAACTCCCGACTCCAGAACATGTCCATGCTTGGGCGGTGGGGTGTCATCGGAATTCGGGCTAGCTTCTTGACGGGCGACACCAGACCTGTCGCGCGGGGCTTTGGGGGTGTTGATGGCGGCGTGGTCGGCCTGTCCGTTGTCGCCCCTTTTTTATCTCCGACGGGTGGAAGTAGCAGGTCGTCATTATCTCTGCTTGCTAACATTAGTGAAACCACTCGGTATAATACGCGCCCACGATGCCCCCCGTCCCCCTTCTCAGAACCTACATGGGGAGGTTGGCCATTTCCCTGGGAATGCCACCATCTTGGCATTTATTTTCCATGGCATGGCCCTGTCCTTTCCCGGTCTTTTCGCTGCGCTTTCTTGCCGTCCTTCGGGTGTCGACATTAAGTTCCTCGGACTCGAAGCTCTCAAGGCCATGCCTCGAGGCCCTGCATTCCGTAGCAGAAGTTACCCGGCTAGTTGGTTGAGGTAGTCTCGCTTTCGCTGGGGAGGCCTTCGCTCTCCGGGTGTGCGTATTTTGGTTGGCCAGGGACTTGGGGAATATGTTGTCGAACGTGTCGTCGTCGTCGTCGTCATCGTCATTGGAATCGAAACGCGCGGTGTCATAAAATTCCGACGAGTCGTCGACCGAGACCCCTACTGAGATTTCTTCAACAGGGGGGATATCCGCCTCTGTAAGTTCGTCTGGCTGGGCCTCTGCAGCCGGCTTCTGCTTCCTTGCCCTCAACTGAACCCCCGGGCGATTTATCCTCTCGGTATCCCCAGGCAAACGGGACCCGCCGTTGTCACTGGAAATCCTTTCATCTTTGGCCCATGGTCGCAAGAGTGCGCTGTCCTCCAGCTTGACGAGCTTGCGGCGCCTCAACGGCGTCTTCCCTGGTGATTTTGGTGCTGGCGCTGCTCTAGCTTCCTTCTCGAGTCGTACGGCTGCACCAGCCAGGCCCGTCTTCGCCTTGTTTCGGCCAACCAAGGAGTTTAGATCGGGAAACTCGTCGTCGCTGGAATCGCCAAGTTCACTGCATGCCCTCGCCATGATCGTATGGTGGTGCCGGTGCTGGCCGCCCTGTCTGTTATCTCCCGTGGTTTGCAATTTTGATACCAAAAACCATAATACATGGGCTGAATTATACTGCTCTAATCCTGGGGAAGAATGCTGAAGTACTTCGACTGAAGGTATGTATTCCAACGGCAAAGTCAAAAGCACTGCGACTTTGTTGAATGTCACGACTCCATAGTAGGTACACAAGCCCCACCCACCTACGGTTGCCACGGACAACGACCAAGGAGGCTTAGGTAATCATAGTCATAAGCATTACGGTTCCTGGTGCGAAATTACGGACAACAATTCCAACCTCACCACGGTATCACTCTTCCTAATTAACTTCGTCGCTCTCTTTCACTACCGAGATACCTCTCGGGTAGAGAAGTAAACAGGTCGGCAGATGCAGGTGATCACGCAGGAATGTACGGAGTAACAGAGAATGTAGTTTGACGCAAGTAAGGTGGGGGGACTCCACGAATGAGGCTGGGGAGTTGCATAACCTACATATCAATAAAGGCAGAATGATAGCAGAATGGGGTTAGTTGGTTTCCGTTCCCCCTTCATCCAGGTATAGAAGCAGGGCGGAGTTTTGAGCTTATGATGTCAAGTTGGTTGTATCGGGACCGCGATTTCTCATTTTGGAAGTGCTGGACGGTTGTGTCCTGCATATAGTCCAAATTAAGCCAAATGCCTGGCTAAACTTAAGCCTGCACCTCTTCAATGACAACCTCCAACCTGCCTCGACTCGTCTTGTATTTGGCGAATGTCGTATGAATGGACGGGATGGTATCATGGTGCAGCCCCTGTTGCTGGATATCTAAATTGCATCAAGGAAGGAGAGAACGACCACCAGGACGAGATATATTGCAACATCGTCATCGATGTGAACGGTGCAATCAGCATCTTGGAAGCCGTCCGTACCTTGCAGGAGACTATATCGGCAGAATTTGCCAGCGGCCGGTTGTGTTGCGACACGGCAACTAGCTAATTAATCCTTCGTATGCATGTATGAAGTGGCAACCAACAAGTGTTGTACTGCGTCGCCTGTAACAAGTCTCGTCTCTCAACTTCTGGGGAGAAGGGACGGGGAACATTAATAAGAACTTGGAATTGCAGGACTTCGGTCGTCTCCAGAAAAAAAGGAGGAAAACAAGGCCCAAGACGTGTGGAGGGCCGGAGACAATGTGGTCGAGTACAGTGTGCACTGTGTTCGGTGGGAAAGAGGCAGGACCTCTCAAGCCAAGGCCGCTTCCGGGTTTCTTAAAAGCCCAAATCCAAATGTATAAAATGCCTCCCGATTTGTAATGATTTTGTAGCGATCCATGTTACCTTATATGGGAGGATACCTGAAGGATTCGAGGAATCGTTTATTGCCAAAAGTTCGTGATGGGATGATCCGCCGCAATTAGCTAGTGGTGGATACGATGGTTTTTTTTCTCGTATGTGGGCAACGACGCCTGGCATGCCAGATCCCATCGTCCCGGCGCCCACACAGTCGAAGTCGGGAAGACAGGCTGAATCGACTAGTATGTACGCATAGGGCCCGGGATATCAGGGTATGCACGCATGTAGTCATTGCGACGAAAATTTCCTTGGATTGCCAGGTTTTCCTGTGCGCACGTCGTCATGGAGTCGAAACCGCCATTGTAATTCGGGAACAAGCACCAAGCAGCGATGATCGATGGTTCCGCAAATAGCAGGTACCTTGGAGATACTCTGCCTCATTGCGAGTCCCAGCAGAAGCGGGTACGGCGTGTGGCGAAACTGCCCTACCTGACGCACTGTAATTTCAGCTGATGGACCAACTGTCGGTGCTGAGGCTACTGGCACTGGGAAGGTGGACCACTCTCATCGCAGAGCCATTGGACAAACAGCTGCTCTAGCGTCGTTGTTGACTCGAGGTGGGATAAAGTCTCCTGTATGTACCCCGTGCCTGCATCCTCGGGATACACTGGTGACATGATGTGGATCGAGCCAAACTTGGCAGATCCTGGACTTATTATCCCTGTCCCGGCGATGACCTTGCTTCCAGGCCCAGTGAATGCGGGTCTCCACCCTCCCTTCCCAGCCCGACTGTTCGCTGTGCAGAACCGCGACGTGGCGTTCTGGAAGAGAGTGAAGACAGTGTAGGGAAATTATGTTCCACACAGTGGATGACCAACCAACCAGCCAGTGTTTCTTGACTTGGCCTTCCTAGCTCAGGCACTGGCTCCTGGCCGGGCTCAGGTACGGAGGTACTGGCGTACTGGCGTGTCCCTGCTTGAGACTCCCCCTTCTCCTTTTCACTCCGCCCCAGTCAATCCCAATCCAGACCACCCAGACCCAGACCACCCAGACACACGCCGGTTTCTGCGTTTCTGCATTTTCATCCCTCTCGTCCTTTCCCTCCCCGCTCGCTTTTCTTCCTGCCTTCATCTTCTCTCGTTTACCTCGCCGACCGACTGAATCCCCGTGGTGTCTTTGCTTTCTGACGGGGTTTGAGTGGTGAATGCAAGGCCTACCAATAGCATTGCCTGACCGGTGATCCCCTTCCTTCTCGACTGGAACGAATTCGATCCGGAGAAAGGACGACGGCTTGTCACGACAAGCTAACCTGAGGCAACTCGCTGTCAATCGTTCAGCATTTCAGCAATACCCGACCACGATTTCGAACCGCAAGCATAGGATCTAGTGTGCTGTTCGACTTGCAGCTACGAGTTATTGAAAGAGTTGGGCAGAGTTTCCGACCCTCTTTCCTCCCCCAACCCCCGGACAAGGCAACCTTGACGCCAACCTCCACCACCCTGCGCTGCAGCAGTGCCAATCGCTTACGTCGTTTGACTCCCCGCGCGGAACCACAACAATTCACTCGTTCATCAGCAACAAAACATCAGTCTACCTTTTCTTTCTCTCTTGTGGCCGGCCACCGACAAACAAAGTGCCGTCCCTTGCAATCGTCTATTTCTTCCGGTACCTCTGTCTCAGCATCGTGTTCCTGTGCCCACAGCCTTCTTCATGAGCCTATAATTCGGTAAGTACCTGACCACGACGAATACCTAGTCTTGACGCGCAAATATGGAAACCTTCGGCTCCCAAGACCTGACACTTTCTCACCCAGATATCCGTCTTGAAAATGTCCGGATATCCCGGTCACCACGATTACGATGATGGCTACGGCCATCATCAGGGGAACACGGATTCCTATTACCAGGATGACCAGCAGCAGTACTACGACTCGAACGGCTACGGTGCCCCAGGTGCCCACGGCGCCCAGGCCGCCCACGGCGCCCAGGCCGCCCACGGTGGTCATGGTGCCCACGGTGCTCAGCCCGGAGGCGATGGATACTACGATGAGTCGTACGTTTTCAATCTCAAATCCATTGTTGTGCCAGCATCGGTCGCTAACCTAGAATCTTGTCACGCAGTGGCTACTACAATGCCGACCCTAATGACCCAAATCACCAAGATGGCGGGTACTATGACAACCACGACCAGTACCAGGATGGCTACTATGACAACGGTTATTACGACCAAGGCTACGACCAGGGCAATAACCGAGCCCGACGTGGGGGTTCAGAAGAAGACTCGGAGACGTTCAGCGACTTCACCATGAGGTCGGACATGGCTCGAGCTGCCGATATGGACTATTACGGCCGGGGTGACGAGCGTTACAACAGCTACAACGATGGACAGCCCGGTGGAAGAGGCTACCGACCACCGTCATCTCAGATTTCATACGGCGGCAATCGCTCTTCCGGCGCCTCCACCCCAAACTATGGTATGGATTACGGGAACGTCCTGCCTGCTGGTCAGCGCTCGCGTGAACCCTACCCGGCTTGGACTTCTGATGCTCAGATCCCCTTGTCCAAGGAGGAAGTAGAGGACATATTCCTTGACCTGACGGCCAAATTTGGTTTCCAGAGAGACAGCATGCGGAACATGTACGACCACCTCATGACTCTACTCGACTCGAGAGCCTCGCGCATGACTCCCAATCAGGCACTGCTCTCGATCCATGCCGATTACATTGGTGGAGACAACGCAAACTACCGGAAATGGTACTTTGCCGCCCATCTCGACCTCGATGATGCCGTTGGTTTCGCCAACATGAAGGGCAAGGGCTTGCGTCGGAGCCGGAAGAACAAGAAGAACAAGAAGAAGGAGAACGCGAATGACGAGCAGGCGTTGGAGGATCTTGAGGGCGACGACTCTCTGGAAGCTGCCGAGTTCCGCTGGAAGACGCGTATGAACCGCATGTCCCAGCATGACCGTATACGGCAGATCGCCCTTTACCTGCTCTGCTGGGGTGAGGCGAATCAAGTTCGCTTCATGCCCGAGTGCTTGTGCTTCATCTTCAAGTGCGCCGACGACTTCCTCAACTCTCCCACCTGCCAGAACATGGTGGAACCAGTCGACGAGTTTACCTTCCTCAACAACGTCATCACTCCCCTCTACCAGTACATCAGGGACCAGGGTTACGAGATTCTTGACGGCGTCTATGTCCGGCGTGAGAGGGATCACAACCAGATCATTGGTTATGATGACTGCAACCAGTTGTTCTGGTATCCCGAGGGTATCGAGCGCATCGTTCTCCAGGATAAGACCAAGCTCGTTGAGATTCCACCCGCTGAGCGCTACCTGAAGCTCCAGGACGTCAACTGGAAGAAGTGCTTCTTCAAGACGTACAAGGAAACCCGCTCCTGGTTCCATCTCCTTGTCAACTTCAACAGAATCTGGATCATCCACTTGACCATGTTCTGGTTCTACACCGCTCACAACGCGCCCAGCTTACTCGTGAAGAACTACGAGCAGCAGGTCAACCAGTCGCCTCCCGCATCCGCCCAATGGTCCATCGTCGGTTTCGGTGGAGGCATTGCCGCCCTCATCCAGGTCCTCGCCACGGTGGCTGAATGGGCCTATGTTCCCCGTAAGTGGGCGGGCGCTCAGCACCTGACAAAACGTCTGCTCTTCTTGATCGTCATCTTCATCATCAACGTCGGCCCGGGCGTTTACGTCTTCATGCCGGAGAAGGATGACGAGGCATTCGAGGCAAAGCAGAGGAGCCAGGTCGCCAAAATTCTCGGCATCGTGCAGTTCTTCATTGCCCTCGTCACCTTCGTCTTTTTCTCCGTCATGCCCCTGGGTGGTCTGTTCGGCAGCTATCTCACCAAGAACTCGCGGAGATATGTTGCCAGTCAGACCTTCACGGCAAGCTACCCTCGTCTCCGAGGTAATGACATGATGATGTCCTACGGCCTCTGGATCACCGTGTTTGGTGCCAAGTTCGGAGAATCCTACGTCTACCTGACTCTGTCTTTCCGTGACCCGATCAGGTATCTCGCCATGATGAAAACCGACAGCTGCCTAGGCGATACGATCGTGAAGCAATATCTATGCAAATATCATCCTCAGATTCTTCTTGGACTGATGACCTTCACCGACATGATCTTCTTCTTCCTCGATACTTACCTCTGGTATGTTCTGACCAACACGGTCTTCTCGATCGCCCGGTCCTTCTACCTTGGTTCGTCCATTTGGACGCCGTGGAGGAACATCTTCTCGCGTCTGCCCAAGCGCATCTACTCCAAAATCTTGGCCACGACGGACATGGAGATTAAGTACAAACCCAAGGTCCTGATCTCCCAGATCTGGAATGCCATCGTCATCTCCATGTACCGCGAGCATCTCCTGGCCATCGACCACGTCCAGAAGCTTCTGTATCACCAGGTCCCATCCGAGCAGGAGGGTAAGCGCACTCTTCGCGCGCCGACCTTCTTCGTGTCCCAGGAGGACCACTCGTTCAAGACCGAGTTCTTCCCGTCCCATAGCGAAGCCGAGCGCAGAATATCGTTCTTCGCACAGTCGCTGTCCACCCCGATCCCAGAGCCCCTACCGGTGGACAACATGCCCACCTTCACAGTCATGATTCCTCACTACAGCGAGAAGATCCTCCTATCGCTGCGCGAAATCATCCGCGAGGACGAGCCGTACTCCCGTGTTACTCTTCTGGAATATCTGAAGCAGCTGCACCCCCATGAGTGGGACTGCTTCGTCAAGGACACCAAAATCCTGGCCGACGAGACGTCTCAGTTCAATGGCGATGAGAAGAACGAGAAGGACACGGCGAAGAGCAAGATCGACGATCTCCCCTTCTACTGCATTGGCTTCAAGTCGTCTGCTCCCGAATACACTCTCCGTACCCGTATCTGGGCCTCGCTGCGTTCCCAGACCCTCTACCGCACCGTCTCCGGTTTCATGAACTACAGCCGTGCCATCAAGCTACTCTACCGCGTGGAGAACCCCGAAGTCGTGCAGATGTTTGGCGGCAACTCAGACAAGCTGGAGCGTGAGCTGGAGCGCATGGCCCGCCGCAAGTTCAAGCTCGTCGTCTCGATGCAGCGCTATGCCAAGTTCAAGAAAGAGGAGATGGAGAACGCCGAATTCTTGCTCAGGGCGTACCCGGACCTGCAAATCGCCTATCTTGACGAGGAGCCGCCCCTGGTCGAGGGTGAGGAACCCCGCCTGTACTCGGCACTGATTGACGGCCACTCGGAAATCATGGAGAACGGCATGAGGCGGCCCAAATTCCGCGTCCAGCTCTCTGGCAACCCAGTCCTCGGCGACGGCAAGTCGGATAACCAGAACCACGCGCTCATCTTCTATCGTGGCGAATACATCCAGCTCATCGATGCCAACCAGGACAACTATCTCGAGGAGTGTCTCAAGATCCGCAGCGTGCTTGCCGAATTCGAGGAGATGAAGGCAGAAACCGCCTCTCCCTACACGCCCGGCGTGAAGAACGCGGTCAAGGCCCCTGTGGCCATTCTCGGCGCTCGCGAATACATCTTCTCGGAGAATATTGGTATCCTCGGTGATGTTGCTGCTGGTAAGGAACAGACTTTCGGCACCCTCTTCGCCAGGACTCTCGCCCAGATTGGCGGCAAGCTGCACTATGGCCATCCCGATTTCCTCAACGGCATCTTCATGACCACTCGCGGTGGTGTCTCGAAGGCGCAGAAGGGCTTGCATCTGAACGAAGACATCTACGCCGGCATGACCGCCGTCCTACGTGGCGGCCGCATCAAGCATTGCGAGTACTACCAGTGTGGCAAGGGTCGTGATCTCGGCTTTGGCTCCATTCTCAACTTCACCACCAAGATCGGCACCGGCATGGGCGAACAGATGCTTTCCAGAGAATACTACTACCTCGGGACCCAGTTGCCACTGGATCGATTCCTGTCGTTCTACTATGCCCACCCTGGCTTCCACCTGAACAACATGTTCATCATGCTTTCGGTGCAGCTGTTCATGATCACCCTGATCAACCTGGGAGCCCTGCGGCACGAGACGATCCCCTGCGACTACAACCGCAATGTTCCCATCACCGACCCCTTGTACCCGACCGGCTGCCAGAACACTGATTCGATAATGGATTGGGTCTATCGATGCGTCCTGTCCATCTTCTTCGTCTTCTTCCTGTCCTACGTACCTCTCATCGTCCAGGAACTGACCGAGCGTGGCTTGTTCCGCGCCGCCACTCGATTCCTGAAGCAGTTCTTCTCCCTCTCGCCATTCTTTGAGGTCTTCGTGTGCCAGATCTACGCCAACTCGGTGCAGCAGGATCTCTCGTTTGGCGGAGCCAGGTACATCGGCACCGGTCGTGGCTTCGCCACGGCTCGCATCCCCTTCGGCGTCTTGTACTCGCGCTTTGCTGGGCCGTCCATCTACTTTGGAGCTCGCCTGCTCATGATGTTGCTCTTTGCCACCTTGACTGTCTGGCAGGCCTCGCTGACGTACTTCTACATCTCCCTCCTCGCCCTCGTCATCTCGCCCTTCTTCTTCAACCCTCATCAGTTTGCCTGGAATGATTTCTTCATCGACTACCGCGACTTCCTGCGGTGGCTGTCCCGTGGCAATTCGCGGTCGCATGCCTCGTCGTGGATCGCCTTCTGTCGCCTGTCTCGGACACGGATCACCGGCTACAAGCGCAAGGCTCTAGGAGACCCGTCCAGCAAGCTCTCTGCCGATGTGCCACGCGCTGCCATCACCAACATCGTGTGGGGGGAGATCATCACACCGCTGCTGCTTGTCGCCCTGACCCTGATCCCTTATCTGTTCATCAATGCGCAGACTGGCGTTGACGGCCCCAATAATCACAACGACCCCGATGCTAAGCCTACTGCATCGCTTCTGAGAATCGGCATTATAGCCTTCGGGCCCATTGCCGTCAACGCCGGTGTTCTGGCAGCGTTCTTCGGCATGGCTTGCTGCATGGGCCCGCTCCTCAGCATGTGCTGCAAGAAATTCGGCAGCGTCCTCGCCGCCATTGCCCACGGCATTGCCGTGGTCATGCTCCTGGTTTTCTTCGAAGTCCTGTTCTTCCTCGAGGGGTTCAATTTCACAAAGACTTTCCTGGGCATGATTGCGGTAGTTGCTATCCAGCGATTCGTCTTCAAGCTGATCATCTCGCTCAGTCTCACGAGGGAGTTCAAGACGGATCAGTCCAATATCGCCTTCTGGACCGGCAAGTGGTATTCCATGGGCTGGCATTCCGTCTCGCAGCCTGCTCGAGAATACCTCTGCAAGATCACTGAACTGAGCATGTTCGCGGCCGACTTTATTCTCGGACACGTTCTCCTGTTCATCATGCTGCCGGTCATTGTCATCCCTCAGGTTGACAAGCTGCATTCCATGATACTCTTCTGGCTCCGACCTAGGTACGTCTCGTCGACAGACTCTCTTTTCGTGTCTTGATTCCCCCCCCGCTAACATGCCTCGTCCTTGTAGCCGCCAAATCCGACCGCCAATCTACTCAATGAAGCAGTCGAAGCTAAGGCGGAGACGAGTCTTCCGCTATGCCATCCTTTACTTCGTCATGTTGGTTGTATTTGTGGGGTTGATTGTCGGACCGATCGTTGCCGGCAAGCATATTCCTGCTAGTATCACCGACAGCCTGAGCTCCACCAGCCTCGTCCAGCCCACGGGTCAGGACAATGATGACACGATAGGCACGGAAGAGACGGGTGTTCGTGCTGACGGCTATACGGGCGCCGGCCTGAAGACGATGACAGCGACGGCGGACTCTGCACGGAAGACGAAGTCATCTTCAGACAACGATCGACTCCGCCTTTTCTAGAGGCAAACGGAGACATTGCTTGTATAATAATCGATTCCCCATCATGTGAACAGAGCCTCTCAAAGGCCACAAGGGATTCGCCGCTTCCGGTCATGCCATGGAGAAGCCTCATGAGTATTACGTGTCTGGGGCGCTCTGTGTTGTCTTTTCTTTTTCATACTACTACATACATCCGGGCGGTAGGCGTGGTCATTGGCTTTTTAGACTCGTCGTTAGGATTTCCTTAGTCGCCCCCCTTCAGCTTAGTCGTGCGATTGGAGAGGCAATAATAACTATAAGTAGTCTTGTCAAACGCTCGACTCCTGCGAAGATGGATGGCCTGGATGTCAAGGTATATATGTATCTCTCTTAACGAGCACATTTGCATCGCCCCTCCCACTTCAAATAGGGACAGAGTAGAACCGCTGTTGGGCAATAATGGCGGAATTATATATATATAAAAAACAAGAGAAATTAGATTGATTGTACAGTGCAGGGCATGAATACAAAGACTGGACTGACCTTCATTGTACAGTTGAGCTGCACTGAACGTGATTATCTTGCATATTTTGGACGGGACACTAATTCTGCATATCCGTGCGGATTACATACATGCATAAAGCCGTCCTGGATTATGTAATAATAAGGTTCGAAATACCCGGTCTTCCCCTGAACGGAAAAGGTTGGTGCTTACAATTTCGCGTCACCTATTCCCTCCCGGCATCCGGTGGCACATTTTACACAGCTTGACAACGACCTCCTTCCAGAGCCAAGCAAGCTGCGAAAATGGATCTTCACGAGCTGCAAAGCCAGCTAGCGCTATGGTTGGACGAGGCCTCGTATATCTTCCAGAAAGTACCTGGCTCCGCGGTCCTTATCCGCTACGTGCGATCCAGCTATCAGAATGACCCTGTCCGCTCGGCCATCGAGTTGGTGCTTGTCATCTTCTTCATTCGATACCTGCTCTCGCCGTCGTACTCCACCTCGAAACAAAACTTCATCAAACTGCGCGAAGATGTGAGCTTCACACCCTGCCTCTGATGAGGTTCTGTGCGCTAACGCGGGACTCTCTAGGAAATCGACGAACTGGTCGACGAGTGGGTTCCCGAGCCCTTGGTCGCGCCCCAGACGGCGATGGAGGAGCTAGAGGCCGAGAGACTGCCTGTTATCGCCGGGTAAGTGCATCCTCTATTACTAGAGCGGCCAGTCCCAGTCGCTCTGTCGCCACCTTCCAAGGCCTAACTTGTCCTGTTCCAATGTGTGCAGACCAACCGGACCCAAGACGAAACTAGTGAACGGCAGAACCGTCACAAACCTTGCGTCGTACAATTTCTACAACTTCAACGCGAACGACGAGATCAAGAAAAAGGCTATCCAAACCCTGCGGACTTACGGCGTCGGGCCCTGCGGGCCGCCGCAGTTCTACGGCACACAAGACGTCCACATGAAGACCGAGGCAGACATCGCATCGTACCTTGGGACTGAGGCCTGCATCGTCTACGCGCAGGCATTCTCCACCATCTCGAGCGTCATCCCGGCCTTCTGCAAGAGAGGCGACATCATCGTGGCAGACAAGGCCGTCAACTACTCGATCCGCAAGGGGCTGGAGGGGTCGCGCAGCAACATCAAGTGGTATGATCATGGCGATATGGAGGACCTAGAGCGCATAATGCAGAGGGTGGTCCGTGAGCAGGGCAGGAAGAAGCTGACCCGGAGGTTCATCGTGACCGAGGCTCTGTTCGAGACGACCGGCGACTCCATCGATCTTCCGAAGCTGGTGAGTACAGAAAGCTAAAGAAAGCACTGTACATTCCGTCTCGGGAGTGTGTGTCTCTGTGTGTGTCTCTTTGCTGACGATGGTGCGCAGATCGAACTCAAGGAGAAATACAAGTTCCGGATGATGCTGGATGAGACGTGGTCCTTTGGCGTGCTCGGGCGGACCGGTCGTGGTCTTACCGAGGCTCAGAACGTCGATGCGTCGCAGGTTGATATGATTATCGGCTCACTGGCCGGCCCGCTGTGTGCTGGAGGCGGGTTCTGTGCCGGCGCTACTGACGTGGTCGAGCACCAGCGCCTCATGGCTGCCTCGTACACCTTCTCCGCCGCTCTGCCAGCTATGATGGCCGTCGTCGCCAGCGAGACGCTGAATCTTCTGCAATCGAACCCCGAGATGTTGCTCCAGTGCCGCGAGAACATCAAGTCGATGAAGGCGCAGCTGGATCCGCGAAGCGATTGGGTCATGTGCACAAGCGCGCCTGAGAATCCCATCATAATCTTGGTCCTGAAGCCCGAAATTGTGAGGAGTCGGAGGCTCAGCATCGAGGACCAGGAACGACTGTTGCAGGAGTCCGTGGACGAGGTATGTTTTGAGCCCTTCATCCTCCTTTGTGTCGCCGTGTTCGGGCTATGATTGGGTACTAACAGAGGCGGCCAGGCCCTCGCAAACGGTGTCATGATCACCCGTCTAAAGCGGTCGCCGATCGCAGAGAGCATTGGTCCGAAAGACGGCTCGTGGGTGATCCAGCCGGCATTGAAAGTCTGCGTCACATCCGGCTTGTCCAAGAAGGACATCGAAAAGGCCGGCGTGACCATCCGCCATGCCATCACCAAGGTGATAACGCGAAAGGCAAACAGCAAGAAACTAACATTGCCGCCCGTGGCGTGAAAGCGAACCACTTGGCGATTATAGCTGCCTTGGCAGCTGGTTTTGGACTTGAAGGTGTGGTGTTTTCCGCACCTGGCGTTGACGAAGGGCCTTAGAAAATGGCACGGTGGTTCCCTGTACCAGTATAGATAAGACTTCCAGCATTTTGGTGTGGGATCAGGGCTTTATACATAGCCATCTATGTCGATAACACAGTTAATGCTTAATACTTTTTTAAATAATCCGACTGAGTGGCTTGTCACTCGATGGAGGGTGGAGGAGCGAGAAGCTGTCGCTGGCACCACCACTGGTGCAACTCTGTATCACTTGCATATATTTCTGATGTCTCTGTATACGTCAGCCATTGCTTCAATACTAGCGAGGCTTTTCGTTTTGTAGGATAGACAAGGCGACGCTGTTCTGCATACTCGCTCTGTCCAGGATTATCACTATCTAGACCCGGGGTCTACTGTCCGTTCTCCGCCATTTCTTGTGATTAGCTTGACCTTCTAGCACTTACTTATTTGTGTTCGCGTTTTCGTGCCCCATTCCTCGAACACCATCAACCTTGAAGCCTCTACCAGCAAGCCACGCTTCCTCACCTACACACATTGGTAGCACTTATAGTAGCCAATAGAAATATACATGGGAAACTATCCCCGTAACTGGCAAATATGACTAGGACCTGTGGACTGGGTGCAAAGGACCAAATGCTAACTTGGGGACCTAAGTTAGTACCTTGACTACGTATAGGTCACGATACATGTTAAATAATACACGGCGTGTGGTCATGACGATAAATTGATACACATTAGTACTATCCCCTCCGTATTTTAAACCTATTTCATTTTCTCCTTCTTTTCGGGATACAGTATTGACCACGACCATAACACAGAGATTAGAAGCAGGCACAATAGCCACCGAACAGGCCAGCTTTGCGAGACCCCTTTTCAACCCGTCACCACGGCGAGCTTGCTCCTGACAGGGACATTGTTGTGGTTGCCCGGGGCCGGGAACCCGTCGATCTTGACGCGCTTCTGGAACAAGAGGCAGTGCGACGAGCCGCCAAAGTGGAACATGCCGAGTTCGTCACCCTTGCGGACATGCTGGCCCTCGGCGACGGTGATGTCGCAGGTGCTGACCTCGTCCATGCCGACGCCGACGAAGGCCATCAGGCCGATGGCCGGGTTGTCGGCCTCGAGGAAGATGACGGCGCGCGTGGCCAGCGCGGTCAGGTACCCCTGGGCGGTGGTGATGCCGTCGGCGTTGATGCCCGCGCCGGCGGCGGCGTCGGCGAGCGGCTCGCTGAAGTAGGTGCCGTCGCGCACAAAGGCGCGGCGCACGGTGCCCGAGACGGGGGCGTGCCAGCGGTGGTAGGATAAGGCCGACAGGAAGGCCTGGTAGACGGTGCCGCCGCCGAAGTGGCGCGCCAGAGGGTCGTGGCCCAGCACGTCGAGGATCGAGTACGGCTGGCCCTTGACCCAGAACTTGTCACGCAGCTTGGCGTCGCGCGCGAGGTTGTACGTCTTGGACTCGCACGCGTTGGCGACCACGCTGTCGTCGTCTGGCGAGGCAATAGGGCGGACCGAGTCGTGGACCCGGCGGGTGAAGAAGTCTGGTTTCGTTCGTGATGGGTTAGTTGGGGGCGGGCTGTTGGGCGGCAAGGGAGGGAGGGGGGAAGGGGGAAGGAGTGCTATTACCATCCCACGACTTGAAGCCATAATATTTCTTTGACGGGTCGCAGATGTACATGTCCTCGAACTTGTATGAAGTCTTATAAGGAGCATTGGCGACCTCCATGACGTCTTTCTTGCCGGTCGGGCCAAACCAGCCAGTGGCTTCTTCGCCTAGGACCTCAGCGGACTCCGGAGTCTTCCCATGAGAAACCAGTCAGCGCGTTCCCGTATGGATCAAGTTAGGAATAACTGCCTTGCACTGACCTGCAGGTACTTCCCCCATTCATTCAACACCCTCTTCAGCATCCGGTTGACGTCGGGATCCAAGAAGGCCGCATGGCCACTCGCCGTTCCCATGGCGTAGTCGAAGATGGCGCACATCGGCACGCCGACCATACCCACGCTCTGGGCGGCGTCGGTCCACTCGGGTGCTCTGGAGAAGACATGATTCAGAACAGCCAGCATGTGCTTGTAGTCCCTGATCTGGCTCTTGCCGGTTGGGTCCTTGTTATATGGCGGCTTCCGAGGGATGTCATCCCACATCTCACGGAAATACATGTAGATGCGCTCATTGCCCTCAATGAACTCCTTGAACTCCTGGAGCACCGGGATCAGCTTCCTGTCCGGATGCTTATCCGTGTGCTCGACAGCTCGGCGAAGCCATTCTCGGTGCACGCGGTGGTCCGCAGGAAGCCAGGCACCGTGTCTGATACCAGACTGTTAGCCGTAGCCCACGTATGATCTATGAAGGAGGATGGTACCATACTTGTTTACCTTGTCCTTCTCCGGGATGTGATGCTCGTCGCCGTATTGAGTGACCATCTTGATGAAGCTGAAGTAATGAAGTAGCAGAAAAGTTCTGGCTTGAGAGAAACCTAGGTATCACTTCATGGGGATTCCTTCGGGATCTGCCAGGAGATCGCCAGGAACGTCATACGAGGGGGATATATGTCCTGCCCGCGAACGCTGCGGTGAGACAATGACGTTGCGTTAACGTCATCCTGATTTTGCAAGCCTACTATGCAGTAGGTATGCCTTCAGATTTACGCGTATACTAAGGTGGGAATAAGCTTTATCTGACGGACGTCCTGCTGCGAGCACTGAAGGAGGGCCCGATGACGGCACCCGAACGGAACCACTTGTAGGTATATTTTGGCACCAAAAGCTTATTCATGTGGGGAGCGGAGCAGCAAATGCACGCCCAAGCTTACAAAAGTCATCATCCGCCCCAAGATACGCAATCCTGATCGCCTGCTCTCAAGGCACGATCTGCCTGTATGCAATCATGTCCTAATCGTGGCCTAACCATGGCCTTGATCATTCCCAAATGCTATTCCTGAATGCCATTGTTGTATCCAGTGGGTAGTCCCGCATTTCTCTTCCGCAGAGATGCGGCATGCCGGCGTGCATGGTCCTTCCTATCCTTCTCGTTTAGAGGGTTATACAACATCCCACAATCGTTACATATCCTAAACCCAGGTTCGTCCTTGAGGGACAGGCTTAGAGTAGTCTGCACCTTGGCTTGGTTTGCGCGCCACCTAGCCCGACGTTTTGTCGTTCCGGAGCCGTCCTTGGCATCAGTCAATGCTTCTTCCGCACTCAAAGACCCTGGTTTTGTTTCCCGTAGGGCGATCTGCTCTCCCTTCGTGGGTCCGAGATTGGGACCCCTCTCCACTATACCATCCTTCGCCTGATCTGTCCGGCTGCCCCGGGAGAGGCGAGCATCACCACATGCAGCAGGGACGGCCCGGTCTGAATGATTGTCCTCTCCACCTCCTGGATCATCAGGTGCAGATCCTGGCCCTTCAGAAGTATCGCTAGTTTCCAGGCCCGGACGGGTGGTGAGCCGCCTTCGTTTTCGCGCCTTTGCAAGCACGGGCGGTGATGAGGGGGGAGTAGACACAGGGTCTGTCGGGTCGGAGGTGGTGCATGGAGTCGCGGCGCTGGAGCTCGAATTGAGTGGCTTGAAGAAAGACAGTATCGACCCGCGCTTCGCTGGCTCTGGCTTAGGAAGCTCTGGAAGACGAGGCGGATCAGATCCGGCTGGCAGCCTGACAGCGTCTGATTCAGACTGCTCTATTTTCCGCCTCTTTGTTGGCGCATCGGGCACCGTTTCTAGTTGCACGCGCCGCGAGTAAGTCCGCAACGGATGTTTGCGCTCTGGTCTCATGGTGGGCGGTCCGAGTTCAAGACTATAACATGAGTCAGAGACATTGGCTCGTGAAACAGTCTGGAGCACTTACGGATGCTCCATCTATTCCGTGGCTAGGCGGCTCTTTATGTGCTTTGTGTGGACTGTTGTAGAAGTCGTGTTCTGCAGACCACACACATGGGTCTATTTCGCCGTTGAATGCATCGCCAGTGGTAGGGTAACAAGACGATCATACACCGAAGATGATATAATAATATGTGTTTTCAATCGACTTGAGAAGAGGATTAAATATTGCTTTGGAAGACGCGTCGCAATGGCGTGGACCGCGTTCGCATAAGTATGCAGGTATCGAGGCACAGAGATAAGATAAGCAAAGCCTGCACCCTGGTAAAGAAGCCCTTACTGCGTCATAGCAGCTTTTCTCTTTTTGGTCTCGACAGCAGCTTGACAACCGCCTACACTTGACCCCTAGTCAGCGATTGAATCTGGTACTTCCTCTCACTCCCACTCCGCCCCAGTAAGCCTTCAATGGCGCCGGCACATATACCATGCGACTTTCCCACAAGAAAATAGCGAGCTCGATCCATCGCTCAATCCACACCATTCACCCGAGTCCGAGCTCCCTGACAGGGACACGCAGACCTGGTCCTGCTCAACGGCACTTTCACCTGACCCCGACGGCATATCTCCCGCGAAAACGAAGCTTCTTCACATCCAATGTCCTACTACAACAGGACGGCAGCAGCGAACCGTCGGCGGGTCGCAATAGAGCCCCCGCAGAGGACGGCTGGTCGGGAGACAAGGGCCCTTCGGCGCGGGCTGCCGCGGCCCAGAAGCCACCGGCGACACGGCGCAAGCCGCCGCTGAAGAACTCGCTCCGGCGAGTCGCCGTGGTTGCGCAGAAAGGCGTCCCCTCGCGGGCGTCCCCGGCGGCGGCCGAGATGGGCGAGGACGGCAGCTCGACCATCAGCGCCGTCTGCGTGGCCGAGTCGTTCGACATGGACGCCGTGGCGAGCGCGCTCGAGGTGCACGGGTTCCTGCTGGACCCGGACGGCACGGGGTTCGAGGTGCACGAGGTGGTGCACGCGCGGGGCGCCAACAACGGCGACATCTTCGTCTTCCCCTCGGGCACCGTCGTCACCTGGTCGCTGCCGCCGGACGTGGTCACGACGCTGGCCACGAAGCACCTGCTCCCGGCGGCCGAGGACCCGCACGTCGACCGCAAGGAGGTCGAGGACCTCGAGTACGTCGTTGACCCGGAGCGGGACCAGAGCGCCGTCAACGGCGACGTGGTGGTGCTGGGGGCCCGGCAGGAGGCCCGCGACGGCGACCGGCTCAACACGACGCTGGCCAAGATCGCCTTCTCGTCGGGGCTCGCGCGCAGCACCAAGCTGGCCGTGCTTGAGAGCTCGCTCAACCGCTACTTTGAGAGCACGCGGCGCATCCCCGCCCTCCTGTCGCGCGGCTCCCGCCTCGCGCTGTCGCGCAAGTTCATCCTCCAGAAGACGGGCGAGCTGCTCGGCCTGCGCGCCCAGCTCAACCATTACAATGAGCTGACTGACTCGCTGCCCGACATCTTCTGGGACAGCAAGAGCGAGCTCCGCTTAGAGACCTACTATGACCGCGTAGGCAGGGCCCTCGACGTCGGCGTGCGCATCAAGACGCTGAACGAGAAGATGAACTACGCCCAGGAGGTCGTCGACGTGCTGAGGGAGACGTCGAGCGACAAGCACAGCACCCGCCTCGAGTGGATCATCATCGCCCTCATCGCCGTCGAGGTCCTGTTCGAACTGAGGAGGGTGTACATGGAGAAGCACGAGGAGAACGATGAGGCGAAAGAAGCCGCCACCGCGACCCAGTTGTGATGCAAAGCGAGGTTAGGTGTTGGCGATGATGCGAGTGTGTACTCCCTTTCCTATCCCGGGGAAATGAAAGATTAGGTACTAAGTACATGGGAGAGAGATGATACCCTACTCAATACTACGAGATTCAGCAAAGTTTGCCAGACGACTGTCACCATTGGATCCCGTCTATGCCCTTCTATAAGTCAAGGCAGGTTGCCCAGCTCGTTTTTGTGTGTTCTGCACTCCGATCATGCACGTAATCGATCACGATGTTATTTTCGTGTAACATCTTGGGGGGGGGGAATAATCCTTTGGTTCCGTATGAATGAATTACCTCGACGTTTTGGGCATCTATAAAGCCCGACGGTAGATGAACCCTTTACTACTCAGAACGCTTGGTCAGAGCCTTATCCCGTTGACCTGACCCACGCTTAAACGTCCACATCCTTGCAGAAGAAAAGAAAAAACCAACTCCTGAATCTACCACGATTCACTTTTCCCTCCTTATCATTATACACGCCTTGGCTCCCACAAGGACAAATCCCTTCCTGGTCAGTATTGTCTCGTCTCAGCCATGCTCTCTGCCCGGGATACAGCCCCTGTCCGGCACACCGGATGGTTCAATGCCAAGCCCGGCAATCCCAGAATGACTGGCGTATTGAATTGACCCCCGGCCCCTCCCTCCTTAACCTGCTTAGCATCGAACTCGGCCTGCGTCCGGAAATCTGACTGCTACCTAAAGCGTAGAATTGAAGCACAAAGTCTCTAAAATGATCTCTCCAGTTCAAGAAGGATGGCTGAACCCGCCCGCGGGAACCGGGCTCCCATCACTGCCTTGTGCCGGCGAATCTGATGTGGCAGGAGGGACTGCACCAGCCCCGTTTATGCCCCCGGGCCTCGGACTCGGGGACGTGCTGTTGTTACCCATGACCGCCCCCCTCGCTCGCGCGGCGGCCAGCTTCTGGTAATCAACGTTGCCGGTGAGACCGATCCCTGCGAGGCCCGCGATTTCCCCCTGTGGGGCTTTGGTGCCGTAGCCAATTGTCCGCGCCTGGGCTTCATGACGTGCCTGGGCCTGCTGGCGAGCCTGCTCCAGTACCTGCTGCTGCTGTGCATCACCCATGACTGTATGGTAGCCCGTGATGCCAACGACGGAACGATTACCAACCTGCTGTCCCGCCTGCTGCCCTGTCTGTTCACCTGCCTGCTGTCCTGCCTGTTGTCCTGCCTGTTGTCCTGCCTGTTGTCCTGCCTGTTGTCCTGCCTGTTGTCCTGCCTGTTGTCCTGCTTGCTGTGGTATGCCCGGCGAAGCGGAGTTGTAGTGGCGGACATTAGGGGGGATTACTTGGGCTGGGGTTCCGTAGGCAGGACGGCTGATCTGCTGATGCTGCTGAGGAGGTGTTGGAGACTGGCTGTACGTATGCGCCTGAGTAGGGACTTGTGGCGACATTGTCCGCTGGGGCATCTGAGCAGCACCGTTCATATACTGAGGAGGGTATTGCCTCTGTTGAGCGTGAGGCTGTGGGTGCATTTGCTGCTGTTGAGGGTATCCTGCCGGGTAGCTCGGTGTGTACCGGTGGTTTGGCGTAGCGGCCTGACCCATGTTCGGGTAACCTTGATGAGGGTGCATTCGCGGCTGGCCTGATACGCCACCGGCATACTGAGGCATGTTGGAGTGCCCGTACGGGGTTTGGGATTTTGCGAGTTGTGGGGCCAATCCACCATAGCCACTGGGTGTCCGATATGGCTGTTGTTGCGGCGGTGGCCGGGCTTGGGCCTGGTGCGGCTGCGGTATGGACACCGTTGACGCCGACCTCTGGTACATGTTGGGTTGCGACCGGATTGGCGTCTGAGGGAAGTGCGGCGTGTTGGGCATCGGTGAGCGGCTTGTCGGCCCATACTGGCCACCATATTGATGGTTTGCGTATGGTACGCCCGCAGGGACGCTTGGCGTCCGGTGGGGCGCTCGCTGACCGGAACCCGAGGCTTGAGCCGCTGCCTGCCTGGCGCGAGCTGCTGGCTCGTCCTCCTCCATCACTCCCTTGTATTCGTTGGTACGAATCTGGATCTTCGTGCTGATGTTCAGTTCTTCCAGCTTGTTGGAATTGATCCGAGCCACAGCAAATGGAGGCAAGGTCTGAATGATCAGGGAAAGCTGGGACTTTAGTGCCTCATACGTCAGCATCTCTTCTTCGGTGGGCTGGTGAGCAAGGGAACCGTTCCGGAGCATGTCGCCATTAGGGGGGTCAGTCGAGTTCCGGTCCTGGCTCGTTGGCAGCGTCAGGTTTCTGTTGCGTTGGTAGGACGCAAGCGTTTCAATTAGATTCGAAACTTCTTCGAGAAGGTCGTCCACTTCTTTGTCCTGGTCAGACTTCTCTCCCATGACGTGCGCTAAGCTGGGGTCAACCGCGGCATCATCCCAGTTGTCAATGGCTTCCTGAATGAGTTCTTCGTCGATGTCTATGGCCAGATCGTCGGGGCCGTCGGCATCCTCGTCACCGGGCACCTCGGACTCGATCATTCGCTGGAGATTCCTCCGGCCCCATTGTTGCCAGTACATATGGCTTAGCTGGCCGGACGAGACCATGGCCGCCGTGTCGTCCTTACAAGGAGCGAAGCTGGAGAAAGCTCCTCGGAACAGGGCCTCCATCTCCGACATCTCAAGCTCGGTCGAGGAAGGTTTGTGCCCAGCAAGACTTTGGGCTCTTTGCCGTTGCTTTGTCTTGATATGCGATGACGGTGTCGCGTTGCTGTAATCCAACCACTGTCCCGTCGACAGATTTTGCGAGAAATATGTACCAGATCGAAATTTCGACTGGTTGGTGAGTTCGGGATGGTAGAACGTCAGCACGTTGTTCTTGATCGTACTCTTGGCGGGTTTGTGGGGTTGAAGAGGAGGCAGGTTTCGAGGAGATGGGAAGAGTTCGCCCAATGTGAGTGACCGGCCAGGCTTCTCACTTGCCGACAGCTCGGGGCCCGGTTGCGCCACGTACACGCCGTCCGGCAAGTTGGTATTGGAGATGGTCGCCGGGGTCCCTTCTCCTTCGTACTCGGGACCAGGACGCTGTTGGAGGCTGGTAAGCAGAGGCCTCCTCCCAGCGCTCGTGTTAGAATAGATCATGAGGGACACAGGCCCCTTGCCATTTTGATCATCCTTCGGCCCGGCCATGTCTGGCTGGAACGGGTCGAGCTGGGGATAAGCAAGTTCGCGCCTGAACAGCTGGTGGGCCTTGTCCTTGAACTTGACGGCTTTGGCAATCATCTCTTCGGACACGAGAGAGTCGTCGCCAGATTCCGCTGATTTTGGTGTTGCCAGCAGAGTTTTGACCACCTGTGTGATGTCTAAGACAAGGTCTTCTAGAGTGTTGTAGCCACCCTGCTTGACTTTGCCCTCAATCGTGGTGACAACGGCGGTCTCGTCGGACTTCTGTCGCTTGGCCCGAGGCTCATCGACCGGGTCGCTTTCGTGCAGGGGACGTTTGAGAATGGCAATATCCGTGTCGTATCTAAGTATGGGTTAGCGAATGGAATAGGCACTTCGGTCGCGCTCATTGCTTTAGAAAAGAAGATAGCAACGCAGAACCGACGGCGAGGGATGATGAGAAATTCGCGCATACGTTCTTAAGATATCAAAGTAATCTTGGACAAGGGCTTTTTGATCTGGCTGTCTATAGGTGCTATTGGTGGTTTCTTCGCTCGCATGGTTGCGGTCGAGTCCGGCCGCGGAGTCTTCGCTCTCGTTGCGTTTTCGCTTTGTTGACGAATTGATTGACGAGGGCGAGTCGGCGCGGGGCATTGAAGTGGTGCCGTTCACTGGGAGAGCTGCGACGGCAGGGGAGGCCATGGTGGGCAGGAAGACAAATGTGGCTGCCGAGGATCGGGTTTGGAGGGTTTGGTGGTTTGGTGGTTTGCGGTCCCTACCTAGCTCGGATTGTCGCGCGCTTCGCGTGTTCGCGATGGACAAGAGGTTCGCCTGGGTGCAACTCCAAAATCTTTGTCGTCGGCAACCAGCAGGTTGGCAGGGCAAAAGTCATCCAAAACCACCGCCTGAACTCGTAAGACAATCCCAAGGGCCAGTACTGACTCGTCTCGGGTCTTCATACGACGTTTTGGATTTATATTCTCGATACACGGTTGTGTGCAAGGGGGAAAACCAGAGGGCTGTCGCTCATCCAGCAAGTGTCTTGTTCTGCTACGGGAAGCCAGGCAAGGTTAAATTTGGCGCTAAACCCCTTCCGGCCGTGACATGGAGCCACCAATTAGTGACCTAGCACGTGATCTCAGTTACACTTTCTGGCGTGACGGGACAGGGGCCACACGGGCCCAGACAAGCACAGCAGGCTGAAGACAGGCCCGACCTTTCCAGGTTTCGTACAACCCAGAGCAGGAAGTATCTAATTAATAGCAGCCATGGGCAGCACTTATCGGTGGGGAAGCATTTAATTTGTTCGGTCTTCAATGCCAAACTAAAAGCCGGGCAATGCTGTGGTTACAAACTGGAGAGTACTGTACTGTACAAGACCAAAAAGGAAACCTCTGGCTAGGTAGGGTACGTAATTGTATGCTTAGGAACTCCGAAGGGAGGGATTCGAATCTTAGGGACACCCTGGCTGGCTGCACAGCCTCTCAACCACGGCGCAACAAGGAAACTACCTCCAAAAAGAAAAACTAGTACGGATAGGCTCCCGCCATCTCCTTGATCCCTCATATGCCCTGTTTCTCGGTTTCACTCTCGCTGTCGAGCTGAAAACAAGTGCAAGACTTGGCTTTCTATTTCTTCGCCTTGGCAAGACCAACAGTGCCGGCGCCGTGGTCGTAGATAGAATACCATCTCCGGAGGAACGAGTCGCCCAGAATGGCGAGGGGACCAACTGGTTCGGGGAAGTCCATGCCGAAGAACGATGAAACACAGCTCCCCGAAACCTCGAGAATGTAGTCGTAAGGTCCAATGGTGAAGTTGTAGCCGCTGAGGCCGAAGGTGACGTCCTTGAGGCTGTCCCGCTTGCTGCATTCGATTGAGTATTGTCCATTAAACCCCTTCTTGGCGCCAATCTCTGCGTTCAGCATCTCGGCAAGCTGGCTGGGGAGGGCAATCAAAGATGTGCCAGTGTCGAGGATGACACCGGTACCCTCGAGGTCGGCAACGTCCTTGCCATAAGAGACCGAGTCAAGGTCAACCTCCCAGTACGCCTTCCTCCTAAGAGGAATCGTGGTGATCTTGCCTTCGTAGCGATCCTTGTTGATACCGCCAAAGACGACCTCCGAGTCGTCGCCTTCCTCGTTAGCATCGCCAAGGTAGAAGGCGAAAACGGGCTCATCGATGAGCTTCTGGTTGATCATGTTGTAGAAGGGCGGAACGACACGGTTGACGGAGATTGTGTCATAGCCGAGGCCTAGAATGCCATCAAACCGGCCGAAAGCAAAAGCAAGTCCTGGCTCGCTTGTTGCCTCGCCAAAGTCTTGGTCCTTAATCTTGAGGTCGCCGATGGTCAAGACATCCTGGGAGATGTAGCCACTGACACTGCCAGACCCGTACCTAATGTCGAAAGACGAGCCGTTCTTCTTGAAGCTGGAAGATTCGGACGAGTCGTACTTGGCGTGGAGGTAGCAGGCGATAGAACCGCATTCTGATGACGGAACCCACAGGTTGGAGCTGCCCGTGTCCAGAACGACCTTGAAGGTCTGCGGAGGTGTCCCGAGGGTGATCTCAGAGAAGTCTAGGAAAAGAGTCGGAGTCAGCAAAAGGAGCGCCGCAGGAAGGTGATGGAAGCTTCTTACACTGAGCATTCATGAAGTTGGTAATCGGGACGGGATGGTTGCCATCGACGTGAACAGACGTGTCTTGGAAGACAGCCTGGGCGTGATGGTCAGGTCGAACGCCCATATACTTTTGGCCAAGATGCTCCATCTGCGTGTGAAGAGGGACACTCTCGAGTTGCTCGGATAGGGGGATCTTCTTGAGCTTCAGCTTGTGGATTCCGGCCTCGGCCGAACCCAGCAGCACAGCTGCGGTCAACAGAGCGGACTTCATGGTGGGCAACTCTGCGTCTGGAGTACCGGAGTCAAGGAAAAGAAATAGGAAGAAAAGAGGGAACGAGGGAACGTTAGAGAGAGTCGAGAGTCGATGTTTGACGATGGGTGCAATAGGGAGATGCGGTCGATAGGGTTGGTGATGTGTGTTGTGATGATGAAAGGGGAGGAGAGGCGGACAGCAGGTGTGAGGTCACAGGTGGGCGGGTGGCGACTGTTAGGTGGGACCAGACGCTTGCATTGAGGGGGGTGGTAGTGTAAGCCGTAGTTGCCTGGGCAAGGTAGAGAGAGGTACCTCTATGAGCCAGCAACCCTGGAACCTTTACGACCGAATGAGGGGCGACGTAGGTGCCAGGTCATGTGGCCCAAAAAATCGTGTGGCTGGGAGCTTGTGTTGTTATGTAAGGTACCAAACGGCCTGACCGGGCAGAAATGCTAGGTAGCCGTCATCTGGACGAACCGGAATAACACTCCTTGTATTGCTGCAAAATGTAGGGACACAATACGGAGCACGGAGTAAGCGGAAGCTGAGGTTACAGAGCCAACCCAATCCCCCTTTTGTGTACTAATCAATGCCAAGGTAGGTTGCTGTCATATTCGTCCTCGAGTTGTGGATTTGTTGTAGCTCCGTGATGTGCCTCCCTCTCTAGCTATGTGCCCGGCTTGAGAGATACCTAGGTTTGGATTCGGTATCTTTGTTGACTTGGGCGTAACCGGGTTGGTCAATTGCGTATACATAGAGCTACGTATTAGCTACCTTGGTAGATAAGGGAGCTGTCTGCGGGGAGACGAATTGGAGATAGAAGCGAGGAAGCCCACCAAAGGCCATCCATCCACCCCCGCGGAGCTCTCCTGCCCCGCTTGCCGCCTACTTAGTGCATTGGGAAATTTTTCTCTCTCGCTTCCTCCCTCAACTCGATACCAGGACAAGCCTTCTGCCACCAACTCCCACGACACCTACTCCTACACAAAGAAGAAAGCAGCTGGTTCGTTTGCCACGATCGCTACCATGGCTTCCAATGGCAACAACGGGGCAGAGCCCAGCTACGCGCTCTCCAACACTCACAAGGAGGTTCGTCTACTTCCCAGCCATGCTGAGTGGCTGAAGCTGGCAAGTCTGACTCACCGCCCCTAGATGCTCGAGAAGTCTCTGGTCGATTCCGACCCTCAGGTTGCCGAGATCATGGTAAGTGTTCCATATTCGACGCTGATCCCGTCCTGGTTCTTGTTGTTGTTCTTGTCTGACTCTGGTCCAAAACAGACAAGGGAGATCCAGCGCCAGCGCGAGTCCATCATCCTGATTGCCTCCGAGAATGTCACCTCGCGTGCCGTCTTCGACGCCTTGGGATCGCCCATGTCCAACAAGTACTCGGAGGGCTACCCTGGTGCTCGCTACTATGGAGGAAATCAGCACATTGACGAGATCGAGCTCCTCTGCCAGAAGCGTGCCCTCGAGGCATTCCACCTCGACTCCGCGAGGTGGGGTGTCAACGTCCAGTGCCTGAGTGGCAGCCCTGCCAACCTGCAGGTCTATCAGGCCATCATGCCCCCTCATGGCAGGCTGATGGGCTTGGACCTGCCCCATGGCGGCCACTTGAGCCACGGCTACCAGACCCCCCAGCGCAAGTAAGCATAGGTCCCAAATAACCATGTCATAGGTTCTGCCTGCTCACCGTTGCCACAGGATCTCCGCGGTTTCCACTTACTTCGAGACTATGCCCTACCGTGTCAACCTTGACACTGGCATCATCGACTACGATCAGCTTGAGGCGAACGCCCAGCTGTACCGCCCCAAGATCCTGGTCGCTGGTACCTCGGCCTACTGCCGCCTGATCGACTATGAGCGCATGCGCAAGATTGCCGACTCTGTTGGTGCCTTCCTGGTTGTCGACATTGCACATATCTCTGGTCTCGTCGCCGCCGAGGTTATCCCATCGCCCTTCCTGTACGCTGATGTGGTCACTACGACGACCCACAAGTCGCTCCGTGGTCCGCGTGGAGCCATGATCTTCTTCCGGAAGGGCGTTCGGTCGACCGACCCCAAGACCGGCAAAGAGACTCTGTATGACCTGGAGGGCCCCATCAACTTCTCTGTCTTCCCGGGCCATCAGGGCGGTCCCCACAACCACACCATCACTGCCCTGGCCGTTGCCCTGAAGCAGGCAGCCACCCCCGACTTCAAGGCCTACCAGCAGAAGGTCGTTTCCAACGCCAAGGCGCTGGAGAACAAGCTCAAGTCCCTCGGCCACAAGCTCGTCTCCGACGGCACCGACTCGCACATGGTCCTCCTCGACCTGCGCGCCTTCCACCTTGACGGTGCCCGCGTCGAGGCCGTGCTCGAGCAGATCAACATTGCCTGCAACAAGAACAGCATCCCCGGCGACAAGAGCGCCCTGACGCCGTGCGGCCTGCGCATCGGCACCCCGGCCATGACGAGCCGCGGGTTCGGCGAGGCCGACTTTGAGAGAGTCGCTGCCTACATCGACGAGAGCATCAAGATCTGCAAGCAAGTCCAGGGAGCCCTGCCCAAGGAGGCCAACAAGCTCAAGGACTTCAAGGTCAAGGTTGCCAGCGGCGAGGTTCCCAGGATCAACGAGCTCAAGAGTGAGATTGCCGCCTGGTGCCATACCTTCCCGCTGCCCGTTGAGGGCTGGCGGACGGATGCCGGCATGTAAGGCCGCGGCTAGCATTTCGGCCATGGCGAGATGAGATATATGCAGGGGGACACGAAGATGAGGCATGGTTCAACAAGAGGTATAGAGAAAAACAAAAAGAAGGGAAATTTGGGACCTTTTCAACTGGACCTGGGGATACACAAGTTGTGTGTGCAATTGGGATTGGGCTATTTTCAACATCTGGCATGAGAGAATGTTGGGATCAACCCCTTGGGAGGAAACATCCGCGTATTCACTCAACGAAAACTGATCGGAAATGGGAAACGGGAGAATCGTTCTCGTCAGGGGCATATCTCATATGGCGTTGCAATTACCATGGGGGAGGGGGGTTCAATCATGGGCACACTTTAGCTCGGGGGCCATGTGGAGTTTGATTTTTTTGGCCTCCTGTTTTTGAGTTGGACTGCTTCAACGCAGCGTCGCGCTCTATTTGATAACAATCCTCATATACATTGGAACTTCCTTTCCAGGCTCGTGATCGTGACAGACAACATTCATCAGGCATACCTGAAGAGACAAAGGGGTTTATTGAAACAGGTAAAAATAGTAGTGCGGGACTCGGCATTAGGGTCAAGGTAACGCTTCAGCGTGCGTTCAACGTTCAATGCTCTCCGGGCTCATCATGCTGACAGGATCGTCCTTATCAGTCTGACTGGCATTGCCCTGGCTCTGCATGCTCTCAAGCCTTTCCATCGGGGGTGCTCGTGGCAGGTGATTTGGGCCCACACCGTTGGCAATAGTGACATTCTTCAGCCTCTTTGAAGGCGTGTTGCCCTTTTCTGGAGAGGCATTGACAGCGTTTTTGCCATCCGTGACTTGGGCCTGCCCAGACTCGAGCTTCTTCTTCTTCTTGGCTAGCGCGATTTGCTCCTTTGGCGGCCGTTTCTGCGGCGAGACAATTTTGCCAGTCGCGCCAAGGCGAGGCCGAGGTCGCCGTTGCTTGACCGGCAGATCTTCGTCCTCCACTAGCGGCTGATCGCCATTGGCGTGCAGCTTGGCGAGGAAGAAATTCTTGACCAGGCCGATTTGTTCCTGGATGTTCTCCCTCGTGACAGGTTCCAACGGCGGCGGCGCTTCGAACAGGTCCGAGGTTGTGGTCCCGACTGTCTGGGTCTGCATCTGGAACTGGCTCCGCACACGCGACTGAAGCAGATGGAGGGGGACTGACATCATGTCGAGACCCATCTCCTTGTCGAGGCCCAACGCTTTGAACCCGAAGAAATCCTCTCCGAGCTCCTCTGCAAAGTCACCCCCGATAAACTGTTCGCTACCGTCGTTGAAGGCACCAGCACCGTCCGGCCCAACGTCGGTGAGAGCGGGTCGTAGCAGGTCAGCCAAGTGAGCCTTCATCCGCTCGTGGATGACGCCGAGTCTCGACCCTAGTCTGTCGACATCGTCTCTCGCATAAGTTTCAAGTGCCTCGACATCATAACCATTCTCTGCGAGAGCGTGCAAGAGGATCTCCTCAGATGTAAATCTTGGTTGGAACCGGGTGCGTTTATCAGTACTCGCCCCTGGGGCAACAATCTTTTCGGCCTCGCCGTAGACATTGCAGGACCGAGACAGCTTCATCAGATAATCGCCGGCAATCTCGGTGATCGCGTCGAGGGCGGAGGGCTGAAGCTCCTCAAAGCCGGCGTGGTAGAAAACTTTAGCGACGGAGCGTTGCATGGCTGACCTGCAGACCTCCGGGGCCATAACTGGTCCCTCTCCGCATAAGAAATGAGGCTCAATATCAGCCTCTACGAAAGGCTCCGGATTACACTTGGGGAATTGATTCGAGTACACCTAGTTGATGATTGTCAGCATGCGGATCTACACGACACGGCATGTCAAGACAAGGGCTACAAACCTGTGTTTGAATCTGCATCTGCTTGATGACACCGATCTTGGAACAGAGCTTGCGGGTCTCCTGCATCTGTCGGATATTGTCGTCGAACTTCTTCGTCAGTCGGCTGGAGGGCGCGACAAATGATCTCTCGGGAACTAGCCGGAGGAACTCCTCGTGCTGGTTGATCACTTGGCCCTCTCCGTCCTCTATCCAGCGGAGCTTGGGAGGGATATCCGGGACCACGGTCTGCGGTTCATAGTAATCTGGGACTGTCCTCTCGACCTGGTCCTCCATGCCCTCGGCAAGGGTCTCTGCCGCTTTCCCAGAGGCGACCGACGCTTCGGTTTGGACACCGCTCAACACGCCAGCCTCCTCGGCCTCCCTCCTGGCCTTTAGGAACCGGCGCATTCCTGCCTTGTTCCGCAACAGAGCGGGTTCATCTACATTAAGTCTGTTGTTGTTGAAGATTTGGAATCGCTCTTTAGCGAGCAGGGCTCGGTCCTTCTTGGTGACCTGCTTCCAGATTTTGTATTCCTCGTCCTCGTATACTTGCTCCGCTGCGTCGCCCAGAGCCTGGCCCAAGGCGATTCCATTCAGGGAGGGCCCATCGATGTCCATAGCGTCAACATTGCTGATTCCGGAGTGACCATTCACTGCGCTGGGGGTGATGGATCCACCAACGGGAGGAGTCGCAAAGCCATTGCTCCCCTCGACTTCGGAGCCCTCTCGATGCGACTTGAGGAGGCCGTTGAGTTGGGGCAATGGCTTCTGCTCAACGTTTGGGCTTCCCTCCTTCTGGTCTGAAGGCGCTTTCCGAGACTTATTGGCCCCCTTCGTGCCGGCTTTCCGGCCGCGTGATGACATAATCGGCTCGTCGTCACTGTCGTCGCCGCCATCGTCATCTCCGCCGTTTTGTTTCCGGCGCTCCTCGGCCTCAACTTCGGCCCTAGGACGGATCACGAGATCTGGTATTAACGGAATGAGCTTTTCCGCTTCCTTCCGCATACCGTTGGCCATCCGTCGAAGTGGGTGACCCATGTCTTGGTTGTACTTGAGACAGTTATCCCAGATCAAGTTCAGGTCGGTGACGAATTCCGCCTTTGACTTGTACTGAAGTCCCTTGAGCTTCTTGGTCATGGAACCAAGATCCATAGGGTGCTTGATGACTGCCAACCATGTCAGCCGGGGGTCACAAATCAAGGCGCGCAAATTCACTTTAGTCACTTACAGTTGTGGTAATCTGGCGCATCCCTCTTGTTTACTCGGTTGAGGAAGGGGGTTGAATACTCCGTGTGCGCTTTCAGTTCGCTGAGGACCTTCTCCAGCGCTTCGTAGAGCTCCTCCTGTCCAACGTTCTCCTCACTCGCCCACTTGCTCCTATTCTTCCGCACTTCATTCATGAGAGATCGTAGCTCTGCATCGGATGCCCGGACTAGGTTGCGCTTGATGTCGATCCTCGCAATAAGATGTTTCAAGGTCAGGCTCGAGGCGCCGAGGTTCGCGTTACTAAGGGAACCGTGGTTCTGTCCAGGACCATTGTTCGCAGCATTATTGTTCGTCTTGTCCATCTCGGCTTGGAGCTGTTTTTCGGACTCCTCCAGCTGTTGCTGCTCCAGCATCGCCGTTCGGTCGTTCTCGAGTGTGTAAAAGAGGGTGTGGAAACTCCGCTTCGCAGCCTCCTCGGTGGCATTCCTCGCCTCCTCCAGCTCCTTCCGCGCATCTTCCGAGGTCTTCACATGCCCTTGTGGCCCATCCTCTTTAGCCTTGTCGGTCGTCTTGTCAGGCGACGAGACAGAATGGACCGGAGAGCTGCCGGACTTGGACGGCGAGAGAAGGAACTTGGTGGCGGAACCATCCGCATTCTTATACTTGTGGGGAGAAGCGTGGGCATTCCCTTCGTCTTCATCTTCTTCATCCTCGTCATCATCGTCGCCGTAATCATCCTCGTCGATGACACGCTTCGCCCTTTTGCGCGGCGGTTCCTGGATCGGCGCATGGTCGGTGGGGGCGGGTAATGATGCGGGGGAGACGGGCGATGGGCGCTTCAAATTTGATATCGCAGAGTAATCATAGCCTCCTTCCTCAGTAAACATCAACGCGATCTTTGCTTCGCTTTTGCGAAAGAGATCCGAGAAGTGGGCGCGGCGGGTCTCTTCCTCGAGGTCAGATGATGCCTCAGGCATCAACGCCAGGGAATGATCGATGGGGGTCTGCGTCGGCACTGGACCATCGCCAAGGAGGTGATTCATCCTATTTCCGTTGACATGATTAATAGGAGGCGGCGGCCAGGCATGCTGGCCGTTTGCGAAGGACATTTTCGGTCCGGATCGATGGCGTTGGCGAATGTCGGCGGGTCGCCATGCGCAGGGGCAATGCGCTCGCGGACAACCGACACCAGGGCGTTTTGGGCGGCCAAGGTCACATGGGAAGAACGAGTGGCATCCGCAGAGATGATTGACGAAGTTTCTAAGCGATCGCGTTTGTTTTGGCGGCGCCTTGATGGATTTCGGTATGGGGGATTTCTTGGGGAGATGAACGTGAGGTCAAGTTTAGAGCAGGGTCGTGCCGCTTGCTGGTGGTCGAGCCAATCTTCTGCGTCGGTAAGGTCCCTTAGCAGTTCGAAGGGCGAGGGGGACATTGACCGCAGCACGTAATGACCGTCGCCCATCCGCGAGACCTTTCCAAAAGAACTCAAAGTCTATATTCCAATCCTACCCAAAAGTGAAAACCCAGAAACAACTTTTCGCACCTCATAGCACTGAATTGGATCCTGTCCCTCGCCGTGGAAGAGAGATTCAGAAGTACATGCTGGGAGGCTCACGTGCGCGATTCGAGGCCTGATCACGTGCAGTTCCATGTGGCTTCCTGGGTATCAGTTTGAAGCTGACGCAACCGTCAATGGCAAAATAATGATATTTACAAGACGAGAAATGGAAATGTCCCATGTTTAAATACCAGGCCCTCCCAAATGCTGGAAATGAATGATTTATAGCTTATGGCCCTGCCTCATTGATGCGTACCAACAGTTTGGTGTTTTGCAAGCACCCCCACTCTCTGTTGGCCTGCGCCACAGGTGACACTTGCATCTCCAGCCTCGAACCAGACGTCAGCCAAGGCTCTCCCTCAGCTCCGACAACTCCCAATCCCATCCCAGAATACAACTCGAGAAGCAATATAAGGATGGTGCCGATCATACAGTAACATAACAAAAAACCCCTGTGATCAAGGCAAAGACAACTTGCTACGCAACCTGGTGAACGATGAGGATACGCCTCCCTTTCGCAGGCAAGTTTATCCAAAGAGAGCATCCCCCCAGCACAGACTACGTATTAACATCCCTGTTTTGTGTAGCCGTCTTCTTCCTGCTCCTTCTCCTCGCCGGATACGCCGGTCTGACCTCACTTCAGATCGATGTCTACGTCAACGACAAGGTGCTGCACCTCTTCACCTTCTTTGCGCTAACGGTGGCCTTCTACTGGATCGTGGACACGAACCGGCGGCGCACCCTCAACCTGACACTCATCATATGCACGATTTGCCTGGGTGTCGGCTCCGAGTTCCTACAGAACTTCCTGCCTAACGGGCGCGATTTTGATCTCTACGACATCCTCGCCAACGTCGTCGGTAGTCTCGCAGCGCTCGGCCTGTGTTCCTGGTATCACAAGCGCATGGTAGACAGGAAGAGGCAGCGTAAACAATACAATGCGGTGCCTGGAGAAGATACGGGGGAAGACCTTGAACTCGGCGAGGGCGTGGGCGGAGGGCACGAGGAAGGCGTCATCGAGTCGAGCGGACCTGCTGGTGGAGGCCATGGGGAGAGGGCGGGGATGACAGAGGAAGACGTTGATAACTGGGATGAGCCCAGTGTCGATGTATGGAACGAGAATGACCTCGGCGATGTCGGCACCTCAAAGAATGTTACGTAGGTAGCCTGATACATGGCAGCGGCCCTTGAATATGGTGTCCAAGCTGGAGTTGCTCTACTGCGCACTGCTGTGGATGCTATCAAAGCGAGGATCCTGGAGCTTGTAAGCGTGATGTATCGGTTATGATAATGGGCAGCGTAACTGGTAGCAATATATGTAGGATATTTTAGTTGCAGCACAATATTGAGATACATAGCTGGCTAACTGGCTAGGTACCTAGGTGCCTCCTTTTCGAGATGCCCCTTTCTACAGGTGCGGTCCGGTGTCCGAAGACAACCAACTCTGCCGTCACAGTCAGGTCTCACATACTTTACCTATCCATTATGCAATGCACAATTCCCAGTCTACGCTTCAGAAGACTCGAAGCAATGGCAGTGAAAGAGTACATATCTCAAGTGGCCAATCACATGACCTGGGCACTTTCGCAATGCCGAGGCTAGCTCACTCCGGCAGGGAACCCGGCAGAGCTCCCCGCTTCCAGCGTATTTAGATAGAGCCCTCTCCTCTTGAAGTCCGCACGCCTTTGTTGGGAGAATTGCCACCTGGAAGTTTCACAGACAATGTCCAGACTTTTGTATCGCCAGTGCCCACGGCGGGTTCATCCCCGTTTCCCTCGGGCGTCCCTAGTTCGCAGTTATACTTCTGCGTCGCCCATCTCACAGTTCGACTGGGAGGATCCTCTGGCATCTAAGAACCTGTTGACTGAGGAGGAATTGGCTATATCTCAGACAGCCGAGCGGTACTGCCAGGAGCATATGCTTCCTCGCGTTTTACGTACGACCAATTGAACAGTTTGCAAGCTCGACCCTTCGTGCCTTCCTGGCCCGGCCAGGTCACGCTAACACCAACAAACCACACTCCAGAAGCTTATCGTGATGAACATTACGATGCCAAGATTCTCGAAGAGATGGGCGAGATTGGACTCCTCGGGGCTACGATTGACGGTTACGGTTGTGCCGGCGTCTCGACAGTTGCCAGCGGGCTGATTACTCAGGCGGTCGAGCGGGTGGACAGCGGTTACCGCAGCGGCATGTCTGTGCAGTCCTCACTTGTCATGGGCGGTATCAACGACTTTGGGACGGCTGAGCAGAAGGAGAAGTATCTTCCGCCAATGGCAAAAGGGAAGCTCCTTGGTGCCTTTGGCCTGACCGAGCCCAACCATGGCAGTGATCCTGGGTCCATGGAAACCACTGCCAGACCTCATCCGCAGAAGAAAGGCTACTACCTCGTTAACGGATCGAAGACATGGATCACAAACTCTCCCATTGCGCATGTCCTCCTCGTCTGGGCAAAACTGAAGGAAACCGGGAAGATCCGTGGCTTCCTCGTAGACAGGAGGGACTGCCCTGCCGGAACGCTAGAAACACCGGCCATCAAGAACAAGACTGGGTTGAGGGCGTCGATGACGGGTATGATCCAGATGGACGATTGCCCCGTCCCAGAAGCGAACATGTTTCCGGATGTCGAGGGGCTAAGAGGTCCCTTCACCTGTCTTAACAGTGCCAGGTATGGGATTGCCTTCGGCACGATGGGGGCCCTGGAAGACTGCATCTCCCGGGCCAGGGAATATGCTCTGGAGCGAAAGCAATTCAAGGGCAATCCCATCGCCAAGTACCAGCTGGTCCAGAAGAAGCTGGCGGATGCTATTACAGACGCAGCGTTTGGGGTGCTCGCGGCCATCCAGGTTGGCCGGCTGAAGGACGAGGGGAAGGCCACTGCCGAAATGATCAGTATGATCAAACGCCAGAACTGTGATACAGCGCTACGGAACGCTCGAGTGCTCCAGGAGATACTCGGAGGAAATGCGGTCAGCGACGAGTATGGAATCGGCCGCCATGTGGCAAACCTCTTCGTCACTCAGACATACGAGGGTCAGAGTGACATCCATAGTACGTTCCCAAGAATATCACCCCAGCTAACTTGAAGCGGAAACTTGACAGATTCTAGGCCTCATACTCGGACGAGCTGTTACTGGGCTACAGGCCTTCGTTTAAAAGCCCTTGCACGGCCCAGACGGCCGGTCACCTCTACCGCCAACTATCCAACCCGGCATTTGCAACAAGCAGGCGCCTTGACGAAGGTATGGCAAGTGTTGATAGACCCGGTGACAGTGTTTGTATAAATGTTGGTATAAATATAATATGGTGTGGTGACTGCGCTAGTTAACTGCGGTGCAAGGCGTGAGTGGCGAGAGAGGCGTGAGAGGCGTGAGAGGCCAATAAGAATAAGTTACTGTGTGCCTCGGATCCAGTACAACAAGGCTGTATCGCGTGTAGGCTGCGCACCCGCCTCTGTGGATATAGATTTGGTGAGGGCCATGTTCGGAAGCAGCCGGAGTGAAGCCACAGGTATTTGGAGGCTGCTTGGGAAAAGGAGGCTCAGCTTGGCTGCTTGGTTAGGTAATCCCGGGAACTTCCATCTTCTATATGATAGGAGGCAAACTGAGCTGAGCAGCTGAGTAAACAGCCAGTAAGGCTCATCAGCCATGTCATTGATGTTTGGTCAGATCGGATGCTAGAGCTAGATTATATAAGGTGGCAATGATGGTTGAGAATTGCCCGACCAGGGCAGTGGCCAGTGAGTGACCAGTGTGACCCATGCGCCTGGTCCACAAGCGCTACCCCACCGGCTGCTGGTTTTAACTCTAGCATGTCCTCAGGCAAACGCTGCCCTTTGTCATGTCTGTCCTGCTTTGGGCTGGCGCTACAATTTCCCGCCTGCCATCCATCCTTCATCCACTGCATTCCACCCTCACTTCCCCATCATTCTTCATTCTCATCTTGGCGACTACCTATCAACGGCAGACCTGCCTGACTGGAATATCCCTTGCTCCTGGTCAGTTTCCCCCCAAAAGCAGTCCCATATCCACATCCATTTTTGTGCTGGTCACCCAGCTATACCTGACTGTGCAGCCTGATCTATTGATTCACTCGTATTCTTCCGCCTTCCACGCTGACCCGGCGCTCTTTTAAATCCAGCCCGTCGCCTCCTGACTTCCACCTTCGACGCACCCAAAAAAAAAGAAAAAACCTCTTCAACACCCACACCCGACATCCACATCTCGAAATGGCGTTGAAGCGCATTAACAAGGAGCTCACTGACCTCGGCCGGTAAGTTCCTTCATTTCCGGTGCCCCCTTCACGAGTTGGAACACCCCCTAGTCTCCGTCATTTTGGGCTGCAAACATGGTGGGGTGCTCCTGGGGCGGGGTCAGAATTGGAGCCTGCCCATCTGGCTGTCCATCAAGCGCCAGACAACCTCATATCGGCCACCAATATTTTTCAAGATGCTAACAAGTCGTTTTCCTCTCGCAGTGACCCTCCTTCATCATGCTCAGCTGGTCCTGTCGGCGAAGACCTGGTACGCAAAACAGCCCCACTCTCGACAAGCATTGGTCTCATTTGAGCATGAGACCTTGCCTCTGGCGCAGATCTGAGATATGTATGGACATGGTACTGATATATAGAGTGCACAGTTCCACTGGCAAGCCACAATCATGGGACCGGTAGGCACTTCTCCCATTTGTTTACCCTCCTTGCAACTGCAATTTTCGAACGTGTTGCTGTCGCGCCCCCCTGGCCTGATCATGGCGAGGGTCGAGGAGGGCAGGATACGGACCAACGGGATTAGGTGTTGAAGTGGACTTGTTAAATCAACAGGCTAACCATTGTGTGAACAGGGTGACTCACCTTACTCTGGCGGTGTCTTCTTCCTAGCCATCCACTTCCCGACAGATTACCCCTTCAAGCCCCCCAAGGTCAACTTCACCACCCGGATCTACCACCCGAACATCAACTCCAATGGCAGCATCTGCCTAGACATCCTCCGAGACCAATGGAGCCCAGCGTTGACCATTTCCAAAGGTAGCCCTCCCCTACTTCTCTTCTTCCACGGCATATTATCCGAGACTACGTCATACTAATTGGTGCTGCCAGTGTTGCTCTCAATCTGCTCAATGCTGACGGACCCCAACCCCGATGACCCCCTGGTCCCTGAGATTGCCCACGTGTACAAGACCGATCGCGCTAGATACGAGGCGACAGCCAGGGAGTGGACTCGCAAGTATGCCATCTAAGGACATTGTTGACCAGGAGACCTGGATGCATTTGGTGGTGCGTAATGCCTCGGCGGATTTGATCGATCGTTTCGCTTTCCGCGATTTTTACGGGCATCCGCGATGATCGTTATTCTGCCATTCGGGGAATCTCTTTCAATTGAGAGAACTCTTAGCTGGGGACACTTTACATGGAAGGCCCTGCTCTTGGTTCATGAGGGACGGTAACGGTTGCAGGAAGCAGTGAGGGGGGAAGCAAGGCATTCATGAGAGGCAGCAGCCCGGTACACTAAACTACTACTACCACTACTACATCATGAAATTATGGACTTGGAAGGGTCTCGGTGATTGTATCGCACTTTGTTTGCTCCAATCCTATTTGTCTTTGACCGCAGCGTTGTTGAGAGATTCTATTTACACGCACATGACAAAATTGCAGTTAGCCTACTTAAATTCACCTTGGTATCAAGGTCAGCGTCGTTGCGGGTTAACCCCCCTGAATGGCGTCCTTGTGTTCTGTGTTCATTTGCCCCCGTGCTTCCTCAACAGAGGCAATATATGTGAATAAAACGACCGTAACCATTATCCCGAACTTTGTCGGTTACTTGTTTGGTACTTTGGGTGCCTGAACGAGAGCTTATTCTTCATCGATCCCGAATCTTGGGCAGCCAGGGGGGTTGACATCGTCCCCGCGCCATCCTAGATCACCCTGAAGGAAAGCCACTGTGTAAACCAGTGCTCACGCGCCGGATCCTACGAGGCATAGTTATCGAGCAGTGTATTTAGGGGAAGAATATCAGGCCTTGGCCTTAGATAGATCTGTGGATCGAGGCCAGCAAATTTGGTCATTCCCGGCAGAGACCTACTCCCGGCAGATTTTGTTTGCGTCAGGGCGGCCAGCACGGGATGCCTCGCGACAAAACCGCCATTAGATAGATAGATGTCCTGAAGTCGGGGCTTGGACAGGGGAAGGATCGTAGGAGGAGGGGGGGAAGAGGGCAAGATAGAAAGAAAAGATAGAACGGAACAATGAAAAAAGGAACAGAGAAAAAGGCCTTAGAAAAAAAAGGAAAAGAGCGTAAAACACGGTATGTGTGGAATCGGGACCCCCGTTTCCCTCCGTTTGCAGTATCAAAAAGACTTCTCTGCCATCCATCGCCCTGCCTGCTCCATAGGCTGGAAGGCGATCGAGGTGGCATTGTATTGTATATATTGGTGTTGAGGCTGAGTTGAGGCGGGATCAACGTACATGTACATCTCCACTTGAGATGCATGTCGATCTCGAGAGATCTACGACCACTTCTAGGTGCCAGGAGGGAGGGGAAAGTTAACGATACTTCACAACCCATTCTGTTATCAGACACTCTTCCAACATCCTCCTCAAAGGAGTACCTATCTCATACGCAAAGTTATTGGGCAACGAACGGGACTCAATTCTTCAACAAGCCCACAGAAGGCCAGGATGGCGTAAACCCGCCGAGGCTCAGCGAGGACGATGTCTCCGGGGCACAATAGGGGGTAAAGGAGGGGCATAGCTTCTAACGTCGCACGACACGGAAGCTTGCATTTCGTCTCGTTGCCGATGAGGCTCCAAAACCTACACATGTACGTTAGGTACCTGGTACTGGTGCAGCATTGTAGATGAAGGAGTCGTTTCTTCAACATGGGTCCCGTAAATGTGATAGGAAACCTTTGACTTGTTTCTGCCAGGTTCTCTATATTTGGACCCTGCGGCTTCCAGATGAAGGGTGATAGCACATGGTTGTTTGGGTGGTAAGATCGCTCCAGGGGATGCAGGTGGGCGAGGGCGATCCTTCCAGTGTATGTAGTCAGCGTGCAGATTGCCCGCCCACGGCGCCACTGGGCGGCACTGGCAGTCGGGCACGGACTGGGAGATGGTGACTGGTGAGAGAGAGTCCAGGCTTCAGGCACTAGAAAAGAGTTGCTACTTATTTGGACAAACGGGGACACTGATCACGGTATTGGTGTGAATCGCGATAAAACGGGACTCCTGTAGGAGGGGAGGCAATCCGTATGGGGACATCCGTTCGTACGGATAGAGGTAAGTTAGGTGCAGTACATGTATGGACATAGGTACTGTACCCTGCCCAGGCAAGCTGAACGGGCCTTGGGGAAGAAGGGAAAACCGAAAGGAGGGCAAAAAGGATAGGATATGGTAGAATTTGCCCAAAGACACATCCAGCAAATGCCCAAAAAGGGTCGTTGACTTGAGAGAGGGAAAGGGGAAAACTGAAGTGCGCGTGCCTGCAATGCCTCAGCCAATCTCCGCTCTTGTATCAGAATGCCCCCTGACGAAACAGGCTGCGACACGGGCTTAAGCGACTGGGTGGGACCAGGACGAGACAGGCCTACTGGGAACCCTGCAAGCTGGCCTTGTCCAATGGTTGTTCGGCTCTCACACCAAACCCCTGCACAACTCTCGGACGTCAAGTGTAACACACAGATGGTGAAGAAGAAGCCTTGACCAGCCGCCTTGGACTTGTGAAGCAGATGAGGCCAGGAGAAGGTCGCCAATATTCGAAAGTGGTTCGATTACCCACTCTCGATCACCCTGTCTGCCGGGGTGATCACCCCTTAGCGTCGTTATCACAACCACCAAAGGTAGGTTTGCATCGTGGACGCGTGGGAAAAACGGCATCGTCAACGAGCTGGTCAAACAGGTGGGCTTCTGTTCCGAGGTTTCTGAGGATGCTGGCCATCTGGGCATCGAGCGTCGGCAGACGGCACCGTCGCCGTGATTTGATGTGAGTCTCTCTGGCCAAGCCAGTACAGGATGCCGGTGCTACCCTTTGCTATATTGGGTACGATACGGGTGCTGGCCCTACTTTTGTTTGCGGAGTCCCAGGTGAGCGACTGCCTTCTACACGTGTATGGCAGCAACAAGAACGCAGTGGATTTCTATTCCGTAGTCGTAAACCACAGTAACATTCCAGGGAACCGTAACAACTGTTGCGGTTGCCAGCTAGCATCGTGGGACACGTCCTGATTAGTCGATTCTTGGGCCTTCTTTCGTTTCAACAACGTGCCCAGGACCCACCGGCCAAGTTCCAGTATTGGTACCCTTCGTACGAGGGCATCCTCCTCCTTCTTCTTCGCGCCTCTCCCATCCATTCTGCCGTCCCAGCAGTTCACCCATCCCCCACCCCTGCTCCCCAGTGCAGGCATTTGTGTGCAGGTATGATTGATCTACAAGAAATCGCCTTGCATTGTCTGGCCCGCCAGCCTCTTGGCATCGCTCATAACCACCCGCCCTCCCGCTCCTCCTGCCCGGCCTCTTCCCACCCACCTTTCCTACTTCTCCCAGGTGTCCTCCGAGTTGTGTGTGTGAAGAGCTGCGCGATTGCTGACCAACTTGCCTCGTCGCCGTGGCATCTGCAGGCTCTCTTTCCATTCTCTCTCTTTTTCTTACCCTTTGCATCAAGCCTGGCGTTTCTTCACTATCGGCTTCAATACGTCCCCTTCATTTCGATGCATCCCTCCGCCCGGTTCAGCAGGCTCTGAATACGACTTTTCTTTTCGGCTTATCGACTCGTGATTGAGAAGGTTGGGAGGGAAAGGAGACCCGTTGCATTCAAGAGGAGGCCTAAAGAGAACGGCACGACAAGAACAGGAGAATTGACTTGGGTTGGCAGGCGGCCATTAGAGGCGCCCCCGTGTGGACAAATCGCCTGGAACATCGCCACTGCCTCAACCGGCCACCGCGATGGCGAGCTACGGCGGTTACAGCAATAGGAGTAGCCTTGGGTCTCCGAAACAGCAGTCTGAGAGGTCAAGATGGACGCCTCTCACGAGGATGCTGCTGTCGGGCGAGATGACCCAAGAGCGACAGAAGGACCTGAGTTCTCGAGAGAAGTTCGATCGGTGGATGATCAATGAGGGCTACCGGAGGATGTAGGTCGCCCGTGCTCCCTGCTGTTCGCCCTTGTTATAGATCGCTGACGAGAAGCAGATTCGTCACCGTGTTCGTGCTGCTGCACGCCGCTGTCTTCGCCTTCGCCTTCGTCAACTTCGCTGTCAAGGAAAATCTACAAATAGCTCGGGACACGTTTGGTGTGACTTACAGCATTGCTAGGGCAGCAGCACTCGTGCTCCACGTTGACGTAGCCCTGGTCCTCTTCCCGGTCTGCCGGACACTTATCTCGCTCGCCAGACAGACGCCGCTCAATGGCATCATCCAGTTCGACAAGAACATCACCTTCCACATCACCACAGCGTGGTCCATTGTCTTCTGGTCCTGGGTGCACACCATTGCCCACTGGAACAACTTCGCCCAGATCGCAGCCAAGAACAACCTCGGCTTCTACGGCTTCCTCCTCGCCAACCTTGTGTCAGGCCCGGGCTGGACGGGTTACGTGATGCTGATTGCGCTGATGGGGATGGTTTTCACGTCGGTTGAAAAGCCCCGAAGGGCGAACTACGAGCGTTTCTGGTACACGCACCACATGTTCATCATCTTCTTTTTCTTCTGGTCCCTGCACGGAGCATTCTGCATGATCCAGCCCGACTTTGCCCCCTTCTGCGTCTCGGTCGGCACCCAGGCTATCGGGGTCTTTTGGCAGTACTGGATGTACTCGGGCTTTGCCTACCTCGCCGAGCGTGTCGCCCGCGAGATCCGCGGCAGGCACAAGACGTACATATCGAAAGTCATCCAGCACCCCAGCAATGTGTGTGAGATTCAGATCAAGAAGGAGAACACCAAGACAAGAGCCGGCCAGTACATCTTCTTCTGCTGCCCGGCCGTCTCTCTTTGGCAGTATCACCCCTTCACCCTGACCAGCGCCCCCGAGGAAGATTACATCTCCATCCACATGCGCGTGGTTGGCGACTTCACGAGGGCAGTCGCGACGGCCATGGGCTGCGAGTTCGAGAAGAGGGGTGAGGCGTCCAAGGTCGTGGGCGTCGATCAGGCCAACGGTGATGTCGACCCGGCTCTCCGGAGGGTGCTGCCTAGGGTCTACGTCGATGGACCGTTCGGTTCCGCGTCCGAAGATGTCTTCAAATACGAAATCTCCATCCTCTGCGGCGCCGGTATCGGTGTCACGCCCTTCGCGTCAATCCTCAAGTCCATCTGGTACCGGATGAACTATCCACAGCAGAAGACGCGGCTAAGCAAGGTCTACTTCTTCTGGATTTGCCGAGACTTTGGCTCTTTCGAGTGGTTCCGCTCCCTCCTTCTCGCCATTGAGGCACAGGATGTCGACAATCGCATCGAGATCCACACATACCTGACGGCCAAGATCAAGGCCGACGACGCGACGAACATCATGATCAACGACGCCAACGCCGACAAGGATACCATCACGGGCCTGCGATCCCCGACCAACTTTGGCCGTCCGAACTGGGATATGATCTTCCGTGGCATCAGGAAACTACACACCCCGGCCGAGGCGGGTGTGTTCTTCTGTGGGCCGAAAGGTCTTGGAAGCTCGTTGCATATTTTCTGCAACAAGTATAGTGAACCTGGGTAAGTCATATATCCATCCTCCGCGATCCTCCTCACCACCCGCATGCTAACAATTCGCTACAGCTTCAGTTTCGTCTGGGGCAAGGAGAATTTCTAGACCTGGATATCGCCCGCCTCTTGCTTTCTACTTTGCCTTCTTCCCCTCGCTGGGAAGACGAGGAACGAGATCTACTTGGATTTTCGATCGAGTTTTCCCATCGGCGCGCCGGACGCAAAAACCCGTGTCTTGTGTGTTTGTGTTTGTGCGTGTGTGTGTGTGTGTGTGTGTGCGCGCGCGCGCGCGCGCGATCTCTCGACCATTCTACCCACGTTTGAGGCATATTGTGGGTATAAGCCGAACGTCCAAGGTGGCCCACGAAACAGCGCGACAAGTACGCGGACCCGGTTGGGTAGGGGAAACGGTTGCAAGGTTGGGTCTGTTAGGAGGGGGGCGAGGCTTCCTGGATTCTTTTGACATGTCTATCCTCGAGCAGAAACCGTCGTGTCCCCGGTAGACGTCGCACACACTCCTATCACCCTCTCCCACCACACGTACGTGGAGGGTGAGATAATTGCTATGGTAGCTCAAATTTGGATCATCCGGGGGAAGCAGAAAACACACACACACACACACAAGACTCTTGTTACATATCATATCATACTCATACATGTATCTAGCGAACATAGCATTACTATCTAGACTTCGATACTGTTGACGCAGCACGCACTCTGTTCCCACCTTCACCAGTCGCCAGGACCAGGATCCGTCACTGTACGTAGTAATGCCGATGCAGCCCTGCAAGTCCGTACCCAGTGGATGTACCCGAGCCCGCAACGTGGATCGACGGGGCGCGCCGGGGTTCCAAACGCGAGAGGTAAGGGAAAGGATCCACACTGCGGTTTACCAGTCGAAACGAGCGTCGAATGCCCCAGAAATCGTACCATTTTCACGTAATTGTTGCCGATGGCGCGACGAAACAACCGGAGAATGGTATGCATCATGCTTCGAACTTCGAGAAGCAACCCTGTGGGCCGGGTGGTTGGACCAGGTCGATTTAAACACCCCCCGGCTTTTACCATGTTTACTCGTTTCCCATTTTATTCTCCTCTCCCCTCCTGTTGGCTGAGCTGGACCTTGCGCATCGGCTCCCCTTCGTTGATTATCGTTGTCTGAGGCCTGCCTTCTAGTTTTCCTTCTTCAGCTCGTTTTTGAAACCGCGAAACAGCGGCCAAGAACCTTGGCCCCCCTCAACTGCTCACCAAGTACCTATCAGAGCTTCTTTTTATAAACCGCATTTTCGTCCAATCTGGCGAGTTGCGGGGTGACAAAGATCTCTTGGCGTCCGCTTGGTTGATCTACGACCCCTGATTCAGAAGTGTGCAAAGCGATGAATGCCGAGTTGCGCAGGCCCTTCCGTATTAGGTAGAGTTGATCCCCAGCTTGACGTGCTATGTAGAAGAAGACGTTGACTATATATCCAACATCAAAGCCTCTACAAATCCTTTGTTTTGCGACCAAGTGATCCGTTATCCCTTGCTTCAGAGAGCCCAGACAAGTTCGTCTCTCAAGTTGTTCCTTATCAAACACCTCGTCTTGATTAGATCGCCGCCAGGGCATGGTTTCGGCGCTCAGAGTTCGAATATTTTCGACGGCTGGAACTGGCAAACATAGGTGTCGGTAGCCGGGGCAGAACCGTAACGAAAAGAAGTTGTCTTACCCCTGTCGTGGCAGCCAGTCGCGGCCTCGTCAGGTCAAGAGGACAGCAAGCACCTAGAAATCATAGAAATTTCATTATGCCTTTTGAGGGAGAGTAATCACAGACAGGCTGCCCTTCGTTTTGCCCAGACTCTATGTCCATGTCAGGCCTCGCAACGGCCTTCCCGCTGAAAACGACGCACGGGTATACAAAATATTACGTCCCTGAGCCTTCTGGCAACCATTTTGACAGTCGCTCCTTCCCGTGTAGAAGTCGTGACCCAAAATACCTAGAGGAAATAGGGCAAAGGCTTTATGCTTCCGTAGTTAGAGTACCTAATTCAGAAGGAACGGATCAGACCTAAGTCGCGTAAAGTGCCCCACTCCAGAGCGCCCAAAACGCGTCTATCAGCGCGTCAGAGCTTCCAGAGCTTTCGCCTCTTGACATCACGACCTTTGCCTACCTTCTCAATCACCAGATTCCACGGCACCCGCTCCGATAAACTCTTGCACGGGGGGTACACGAAGACACTTACACAAGTAATTATTTACAAGCTGGCATAATGGGAATCAAGCAGCTTTTCCAGATTGTCAAGGAGGAGGCTCCTGACGCCATCAAGGAAGGCGAGATCAAGAATCAGTTTGGTCGCAAAGTCGCGATTGTAGGTTTCTGTCTCTAGAACAATTTTGCGCAATGCTAATACTTAATTTTTGTTTTCTCCAGGATGCGTAGGCACCCCTCCAGTGACTATTTTGTTTCGTTCCTCGTCTAACAAGTCCTCACTTCAGGTCCATGAGCATCTACAGCTTCCTCATTGCAGTTAGATCCGACGGCCAACAGCTCACGAACGAGAGTGGCGAAACTACATCACATCTCATGGGAATGTTCTATCGTACATTGCGCATCGTCGAAAATGGCATCAAGCCTGTCTATGTCTTCGACGGCGCCCCGCCAAAGCTCAAATCCGGCGAGCTTGCCAAACGGTTTCAGCGAAAGCAGGAGGCAACCGAGGGTCTAGAGGAAGCAAAGGAGACGGGCACAGCCGAGGATGTGGAGAAGTTCTCACGACGGACTGTTAGAGTCACAAGGGAACACAACGCCGAGTGCCAGCGACTGCTTAAGTTGATGGGCGTCCCATACATCATTGCCCCCACCGAGGCCGAGGCGCAGTGTGCAGTGCTCGCGAGAGCCGGCAAGGTCTATGCTGCTGCGAGCGAGGATATGGATACCCTCTGCTTCGATACCCCCATCCTCCTCCGCCATCTCACGTTCAGTGAGCAGAGGAAGGAACCGATCCAGGAGATCCACCTGGAGAGAGTCCTCGAGGGCCTGAACATGGAACGGAAACAGGTACGATCCCACAACTACATTTATCCTCAGATTATCGCACTTGCTTACCTATCTATGTTCAGTTTGTCGACCTTTGCATTTTGCTCGGCTGTGACTACCTCGACCCGATCCCCAAGGTTGGCCCGCACACGGCCTTGAAGCTGATTCGCGAGCACGGCACGCTTGAGGAGGTAGTCGAATTCATGAAGAAAGATGCCAAGGGACGCTACGTGATCCCTGATGACTGGCCTTTCGAGGATGCACGAGATCTATTCTTCTCGCCCGACGTCCGCTCGGCAGACGATCCCGAGTGTGACTTCAAGTGGGATAAACCAGATATCGAGGGCCTAGTGCAATTTCTCGTGAAGGACAAGGGCTTCTCCGAAGATCGAGTTCGAGCCGGCGGCGCCCGTCTGGAGAAGAACCTCAAGAGCTCCCAACAGTCTCGACTCGAGGGGTTCTTCAAAATCGTCCCCAAGACCGAAGAAGAACGAAAGGCGCATAAGCGGAAGCTCGAGGAGCAGAACGAGGCCAAGAAGAAGAAGCTCAAGGAAGAGAAGAAGGAGAAGGCTAAGCTCAAGGCGAAACCTCGTGGTGCCGCTTGAGATGCTACATTTCTCTTTTTCTTTCTCTGTTCTTCTTTTTGCTCTTACTGGCACATTCAGGGGTGGGGATCATTGCTTATCAGGGGCAGGAGTTCTGATGATAGCCGTGCCTCTGGACTATCGCCTATCTGGGTTCACGCATGGCGTTGCTGGAGTCTGAGGCACTGGAAGGGCGTGACTAAAAGATGCAAGCTTGGAAATGGGTATTTGGCTACCTAGGTAATCACCCTCACCTGCCAAACTTAGCTAGGCATTGTGATATTGTAAAATCTTATGCGAATTTTGCCTATATTCGCAATTTGCGAACCTACCTAGGGACCCATCTCTCGCTGCGTTGTCGCATGCCACCAGATCAGTGATCGTGAGGCCGTTATTTGAGTCTGGGACGCCGAGATGTAAAGTTACCTCGGCATGTTCTTCAGTTACCAATGCACCCCACAGTATTGGTCCGCCGATTCCGGGCACTCCCCTTTATTAGGTGGTCCCTGCAGTGACATCAGCATGGCGACTCAGGATTGAATCACATGTCCGGGCGCAGTAAAAAGTAACCCACCTTGGCCATCCAATTATATGCTCTCCGATACAGACTGCGAGGCAAATGAGAGTAGAAGTCTACCTAATAAGTGAAGGTTCTTCAAGTGGAGGGTTGGAATAGGGTCCTTCCTAAATACCTATCTGTCTATAGAAAGCAAGCACGTCTGCACCATCTCTCTGAGTGTTATTAGTCGTCTCGCCAACTCAACATTTCCAAGCGTCCTTTAAAGTGCACTAGACCGCAGTTCTCGTGGCTCCTCGGCCCCTCGAAATCTTGGGAAAGTTAGTGTGGGGTAATTAAGCCCCACGGAGTCAAGCTGAAGCACATGCCTTGAGTTGCGCCCACTATGTCATTCGCTGCATTGCAACTCTAACACTGGTCCTCTCCCGTCTAGCATGTGATTGTCATCCTTAGCCGACCTTGGCCGGTCCTGTTTTAAGAGCAGCATCCAGCAGGAATGTTATTCAAAGGAATGCAGTATCTCTCAGTCTATTCTATTCCTTCTCTTCTCCGCCCATAGAGACATCATTCCCGTTGCACTTGTCCCCTTTCCTCCCACTTCCTCGACTCCCTAGTAAAACCACACCAACAAGATGTCAAAGACTTTCAGTCAGAGCGATGTGTCGTCGCATAACAAACCCGATTCGTTGTGGATTGTTGTCGATGGCGACGTTTACGACCTAACCAAATTCCAGGAGGACCATCCAGGTACGTAAGACCAACGCAAGCCCAGGCTGGGCCACCATGGCATATTTCAGACAATGAGTAGTCCGCTGATCGCATCCGACACCCACAGGCGGCAAGAAGATCCTCCAGAGGGTTGCCGGCAAGGATGCCTCCAAGCAGTTCTGGAAATACCACAGCGAGGGCGTCCTCAAGAAATACAAGCCGCAGCTGCAGGTTGGCTCTCTAGACACCAAGCCCAAGGCCAAGCCGGCAGCAGAGCCAGCACCCGTTGCGGTGCCGAAAAAGGAAACGCCACGAAAGAAGGCCGCGCCCGCCGCAGTCACCCAGCCAGCCGAAGAGTCAGAGGCCCTGGAGCCATTTGGCCAGCAGATTCCCTTCGGTGACCCGAGCTGGTACCAGAGCGTAAGTGCCCAAGAATCCGTTTCTAGGAGGAAGTATAAGGCAGTTCGCTAACTCTCTGGCTCTCTCTCTCTCTTTTTACAGTACCACTCGCCATATTTCAACGATACACACGCGGCCCTGCGCGCCGAGATCAGAGAGTGGATTGACACGGAGATCGAACCCAACGTCACAGAATGGGACGAGAAGAAGGAGGTCCCCGCCGAGGTCTACAAGGAGATGGGTCGGCGAGGCTATCTGGCGGGCCTGTTGGGCACACACTACCAGAAGGATCACAGCAACAACGTGATCAAGTCGGTGCCGCCCGAGAAGTGGGATCTCTTCCACGAGATGTTACTCACGGACGAGCTCTCGCGCACCGCCAGCGGTGGTTTCGTCTGGAACGTCATTGGCGGCTTCGGCATCGGCTGCCCGCCGCTGGTCAAGTTCGGCAAGAAGAGCCTTGTCGACCGCATCCTCCCGGGCATCCTGAACGGCGACAAGCGCGTCTGCCTGGCCATCACGGAGCCGGATGCCGGTAGCGACGTGGCGAACCTGACGTGCGAGGCGAAGCTGAGCGAGGACGGGAAGCACTACATCGTCAACGGCGAGAAGAAGTGGATCACCAACGGCATCTGGTGCGACTACTTCACGACAGCGGTGCGCACGGGCGGGCCGGGCATGAACGGGGTCAGCCTCCTGCTGATCGAGCGCGACTTTGGCGGCGTCTCGACGAGGCGGATGGACTGCCAGGGCGTCTGGTCCAGCGGCACGACATACATCACGTTCGAGGACGTCAAGGTGCCTGTCGAGAACCTGCTCGGGAAGGAGAACCAGGGGTTCAGGGTGATCATGACCAACTTCAACCACGAGCGCATCGGCATCATCATCCAGTGCCTGCGCTTCTCCCGGGTCTGCTACGAGGAGTCGGTCAAGTACGCCAACAAGCGCAAGACGTTTGGCAAGAAGCTGATCGAGCACCCCGTCATCCGGCTCAAGCTGGCCCATATGGCCCGCCAGATCGAGGCCTCGTACAACTGGCTCGAGAACATGATCTACCAGTGCCAGAAGATGGATGAGACAGAGGCCATGCTGCGCCTCGGCGGGCCCATCGCCAGCCTCAAGGCCCAGGCCACCGTGACGTTTGAGTTCTGCGCCCGCGAGGCGAGCCAGATCTTTGGCGGTCTGAGTTACTCGCGCGGCGGCCAGGGCGGCAAGGTTGAGAGGCTGTACCGGGATGTGAGGGCGTATGCCATCCCCGGTGGCAGCGAGGAGATCATGCTCGACCTGAGCATACGGCAGAGCATGAGGGTGGCCAAGATGCTGGGCATGAAATTGTAAGGGAGGCTAAAGGGGGGATTAAACAGTTGTATTTGTACCGCGATCGTATTTCCATATGTTTTTTTGTTATACCATTCGTGTAGGTAGTTGGTGTCATGGGAGTGGGGGGGACAGGGGAATTAGATCTAAATAAGATTGTTTCAATCTGCATCTGTACAGCATGTGCAGCACATATGCGTAGGTATGCGCAGCATACATGCGCCGGAAGCAGACCTACCTAGGCGGGGAGCCAACCACCCAAACACGTTTGTCTACTACAGCAGAAATGATGTCACATGAAAAGTAGTTGTCGCCATCGACAAACGAAGAAAAGGCAGTGGTTTGTGGAAGCCTCCCGAAACCGGCAATCAGAGTCACTCGCTTCGACCCCGGGCGTTGGGCTGAGCTAGGTGGGACCGAAGGAGCAAACGCATCATCATCCAGCTGCAGTCCTGTGACCATCCACCTCATCCATATGTACCCCTGCAAGCACAAAAACCATCGCCATGGGCGAGTTGGTCAAGGCTGCGAGCCGTCTATCGGAGCAGATAATGGCGATCTAAGGCGAATCCGCCAACCCCCCACTCATAACAGTCCGGCACTGATGCAGAACCCCGAGAAGCCTCGGTGTCGCTCTCGGTCATCATGAGGCGAACCATGGCATTGGACGAGAGAGAGCGAGCTCCCAGAGTGGAAGCTAGTGAGGCACTACCAAACGGCCACCGCGCCAGTGTTCTCATTGGGCAGCCGGTCAGCCTCATTGAGTCAACCGCAGCTGCCTAGATGGGGGTTGTGCAGCGGGATTAGCAATTATTAGTTGATCAGAATCCCCGGAGAGGGACAGCGATCACCGATATGAAGCGCCCCTCCAACTTCTTTAGTTGCGTGGGTTCGGGCACTGGGCATATGGTGTGCTTGATTCGCTCTCCGTTGTCGTCGAGCCTCACTGCCGTCGTTGCTATCTCCGTTTCCCCCGCGTGAGGCTGTGCTTCGGTCAGGAAACAGGCACGAGTGACAAATGCAACTCGGAAAAATAAACAGGCTCGATGGAAGCTCGATGGAAGCAAGGAAATAAATAAAGCTTTATTTCCTGCACTTGACCCTCCCAGTCCCGTCTTCTGCCCCCTATCTATTCTTCTCTCTCTCGGCTTCTTTGTCCGTGTGTTGGCCCGCTACTTCAGTTCCTCTTAAGTTCTCAACGCTCCAGGTATATTGCACGAGGCTGCCCTTCCCACCGCAAGTGCTCAGCCTCCAGGGCTACGATGGAGCGAATCCCGAGCAGCGACGGCGCTCCCTCGCCTCTTGCCAGACCAGTCACGTTCGGCACGGATTTGCCCCGAGCCATGACTCTGGCCAGCGACACGACGGCATCGACACTGTCTGGTGGTAACCCACGTGGCCGGAGGCTCACTGGTGAGCTCCCAGACCCAGCACGGTTGTTGGCTCATGCCAACGGACGAGGGGAGGGGCCACGTTCCGTCCTCGAGCAGGAATCCGATTCCGAGAACGACATCGAATTCCTACCCTTGACGTCGCCAGCGTCAGGCTACCTCCCCCGGCCGCACCCTGAATATGCAGCTCCGTGCGTCCAGGAGCTGTTGCCTCACGAGTTCTTCACCGAGCAGGATCTAGTTGGGCATCTCAGGCAATTAGATGAGTCCAAGGTAGCAACGGCCACGGCCCTCGATGATCTATGGGACCAGAGGAGCGAGCTAGACCCGACGAATGTGATCAATTCGCTGGAGAGTTACGAGGACGAGCCCAACCCCTACACCAACGCCACCTATGAGGTGTTCGAGGTCCTGAAGGATGGCACAGCGGTGAGACAACACGACAAGCGAGATGATTCTGATGATGACATCCTAGAAGCAGCAACAGTATGGGGGACTATAAAGGTAAGTAAGGGGTCAGTCAACCCTGGACGTGGGCCTCCAGCTTCCAACTAACCCCACCCCCGCTCCTTGAATATGAATACGGCGTGCTCATGCTCAGAGTTGGCTGACAAGAAGACTCTCAGGAGGTCAACCCTAGGAGAAATGCTGTTGGCAGGATGACGTAAGGAATCCCAGAACTCATCATCGCTTCCCCTTTGCACGGCCTAGTAGTCCTGACAGTTTGCAGGTTCCTCCAAGAACCATCGCCACTCATGCTAGGTGCGGCTCATATGACAATGGCCAAGCATTTCGACATGGATGAGCTATTCCAGCAACTTGTCGGCACGGACGGCAACAAGGGCAAGACAAAGGTGCATATATATTCCGCGCGGTTTCTTTCGAGGGTGGCCGTGGCTGACTGCTTCCAGGCATTCGTGAACCGAGCCTTTGAGAAGGACGAGCTGCACAGGCGGACCTTCTTCTTCGTTTTCAAATACTACACAGTAGTCGGGGAGGGCCTGAAACCGGCACCCTGGCAGCAATACGATAACCGGCCGTCGGACAACAGGTCCCCTGACCACATCGACCTTGCAGAGTGCAGCTCCATCCTCGGCCTCTCCCTTCAGGGGCCTCATATGAAGGTGGTCGAGGGCCGGAATCGCCGAACCAGACGGAACACCCGGAAAGGATATGTCTATGATCCCTTCGCTCCCTGGCACCTCCTCAGCATCCAGTGCTTCCCGGATGACGAGCACACCATGCGCGGGGAGGAGGACGACAGCAAGCGCTTCATCAACGGGCCCTACGCCTTCCTCGATGCTCTGGTTACAGAATATAGGGATGCAGTGAAGCGTTATACAGGGCTCAACGAGATGATCACCAAGCTGATCACGCCTCCTGTAGGTGCCCAGCCAGCCCCGGAGACAGCTGAATAAGCTAGGCTAACGCGTGTCTAGAGTGAGTTCATGTTTAACCGCAAGCTGCGCGATAAGCTTCTATTCGAGGATCAAGACTTCACCTACTCCCGCCGATATTTCTGGGCCTACAACACCCTCGGGGTCATCAATGAAGGCATCAAGTCGATGATCTCGGCCTATCTCGACACCTTCAACAACGATTTCTGGGCTGGCCGCCACCAGACCCTCTGGCCGCATCCGAGAGCCGACTCGGCCGAGGGGCGCAGTTACGAGTTCAGGATGTCTTCCCTCAGACAGGATCTCGAGAGGGCTGTGTTGGATCTGCACAACATGCACGCCAAGAACGGGAGGACCCGCGCGGAGATCAGATCGCTGCGGGAACAGCTCTTCAGCGGGAGCAGCGTCAAGGAGAGCAGGCGCGCAATAGAGCAGGGAGATAACATCAAGATACTGACGGGTGTCTCGATGGTCTTCCTGCCCCTCACCTTTGTCACCGTACGTCCAGTCTACCTACCCTTTCCCCCTCTTGCCTCGTCTTTCTCGTGGCCAGGCGACTAACCCTCGTGCAGTCTGTCTTCGGAATAACCGAGTTCACCATCTCAGCAAGTGACTGGCGCTTCCCCGTCACTATGGTGTGCGTGTGCGTGCCCTTCTTCATCATCATCTTTATACTACAGACGAGGGGCGGCATGCACGCCTTCAAGAAGTGCGGCAACTTCCTCGGACGGCACTTGAACCGCTACCTTCGCGCCGGGAGCACACGCCAGCACCAAGTCCAGCACCAGGGCGGGCAATATCACCCGTCCGCTGGGAAGAGGATGCTGAAGAGGACGCAATCCGGGATACCGAACGGACATGCAGCCACGACGGACCCGGAGAAGAATGCGAGGTCGCCGTGGCCATTCCTGGGCAAAAGGCGAAGAAGGGCTGGCGACCTAGAGGTTGGAAGATAATCGGCATTGAACGCGTATTTTGCTTTATCTCAGCTTGTTGGGCGTTTGTATCCGAGAGTTTTGCTGCGTCAAGCGAGCCAAGCGATTAACTGGAATTAGCACTGGATTCATGTGCGCCATCTAATATGGCTATTTTGCTCATCATACACGGAGGTTATGGCTGGTTGGTGTTGGCAAATGTCTAATCTAGGTCCCTACTCGGTATTCATAGAGAAGCGCCGAAGGCCACTTGAGATTATCGGTGTGCCTCACTTCCCCAACTCGAACGATATTTATTTGGCTTAGTAGTTCAATGGTATAAAAACGTGACTCGGTTCCCAAGGCAGGTAGGTATGTATCCATGCATCAGCTCCCTCCCGCCGCTGTGCGAAAGCAAATCTAGAAAGCAACCAAAGAAACAAGAACTGCAAGCCTCGCCATCACCAAATAACAAGCGCCAGCCGAATAACAAGGCCCAACTATAGGGCCGTGACTTCGGCAGGCTTCGCCGTAACAGCAGGTTTATCGGTGTCGAGTTCCATCTCATCACCCTCTGCAGCCTCACCCTCGCCCTCCTCCTCCTCCTCGATCTCCTCGTCGCTCTCGCCCTCAATGTCAACGCTACCGTCGTCCGACATCTCGTCCTCCTCCACGCCGTTCTCGGCCTCGGCCTCGACCTCGGCGTCTCCATCGCCGTTCTCCACGCCCTGCATCTCCGCGTCCTTGTCGCCGGCATCTTCGCCGTTAGGTCCCGATGGGCCGGCCTCGGTCTCTACCAGCTCCTCTTCCTCATCCTCGGCCAGCTCCTCGGCGCCGTACTCATCCTCATCGGCGACGAGGTCGGCCTCCGGTTGCTCGGGCGGGAACTCGGCCGGTGCAGATGCTTCCGAATCCCTGTTGAAAGACGGCGCAGGTCAGCAAAACACGGCGTCGTCTACGGGGTAGGTACAACAGGCAATTCAATGCGACTCAAGGGGGACCAGGTAGGCAAAACGTACCACTTGATCGCGAACCGAGTGACCCTTGGCTTCTCGGCCAGGACATTCCGGCGCATCCTCTCGATGATGGGTTTGGCTGGGGGGTCGGCATTCAGCTCGTCGCTGTCATACTCGTTGTTCACGTAATAGCCGACGCGGACAAACTCCCGGCCGTCGTAGGCGCACGTCAGAAGGATCACCGTCACTCCTAGGATCTCGGCATCGGGGATGCGCTTTGTGTCTGGGGCCTCGGCCTCGAAGACGAACTTGTTTACGCCTACCGGGATGGGCCCCACAAGCAGGCTGTCGAGCTCCTGGTCATGCTGGTCCGAGGTGGCGGAGCCGACATAGGTGAGTTTCCATTCGAGGTCTATGGGAGCAACAGGATGGCGAGTTAGAAATGGCGCGTTACATGAGTCGGGGGTGAAGGTGAGGGAAGCGCACCTTTTTGCAGAGTCTCTAGGCACTCGAACGTGATCTCGAACTCATACTTGTCGGTGAACTTTGCGGGGTTGTTGGTCACATTGACCCCGAGCAGCGAGACAACAGACATGTTGAGAAAGAAGAGATGCTGCGAGTCTGTAATGGAGGAAGGCTGTTTGCTTCCGAGGTTTCAAACCTGAGGTATGATGGGGGCTGTCTGGAGGTCTGATGAATTTGGTGTGAGGTTGACTTTAAGAGAGAGTGACCAGGTGAGGATATTGGTGAGGATAATGGGGGCAGGTGTTGGTGGTCCAAATGGACGCGCTTTCCCAAGACCCTGGAGAAAATCAAATGTTGACGCGTGAACAGGGGACGCGTTAAGTGATCACACAAGACCTCGGTGCCTTATACCGGATAGGCGAACGCGATTGGGATTTCCCAAAGTATCCCTCCTCCCTCCAGATGTCCCCACAATTTGCATAATTCACTAGCTGGTCAGAGCTTCTTTTATCAGTCAGAATGAAAATACCTGACATGCATACAACAAACACCTGGACAATAGGTATTACTCAATACCTTAGACAATAAGGGAGGGAGAAACGCATCCTACAACTCTGTGCTTAATAAAGACTTGTCGCCTTCTTCAAACTCTCGCTCACCTTTTTTCTTTCTTCTTCTTCTTCTTCTCCTCCCTAATATACGTATCTTCTCCCAGATCTTCGGCCAGTGATCGAATTCGGATTCAGTTTTGCGACGCCAACCTTGCCGCATGCCACCTTATTAGCAGTCTTTCCCATCATCTCCCACGGTCCCAACCCACATCTCCAATGCGTGGTTAACCCGTTTTCCGCATCGCAGAATCGTTCTCGCAGTCATCCTCCCTCATCTATTGCCGCCGACTTGATCCCAGAACCTTCCATCCCCTGTTGGCGACAATCACTATCGAACCTCACCTTTGCTCCCCAGACACGACCAGCCTCCTACTTACCACGCGCGATGGCGGACGAATACGATCCCGAAAACCAAGGAAATGCTTGGGAAGACGATGAAGGTTATGGTGTTGCAGATGACATTCAACAATCAGAAAATACACAGCATAGCGCCCATCAAGATCAAGCTTTATCTGTTGACCAAGCCCCTCGTGCTTCTGGTGATACCCCATCGAACGATGGCGCCTCAGATGTAGGCGACTATGACCCAGAGGCGGTCACGTCTAGCATGGACCATACTCCACAGATTGTTGAGCCGAAGGCTCCCCTCAAGCCTTTGCCCCAACCCGCGTCGAAGAAGCCCAAGACAGCCGGAGGCTTCCTAGTGGGAGACTCGGATTCTGAAGATGATGCACCTACACCTACATCCAATGGTCTTCCTGTCCCGGGTCCCAGCCCTCAGGCCAAACCCCGGGCCCGTTCACCATTGCAGCATTCCATGGCAGCGGAAGAGGCCGGGCACAGCACTCCTAACACAGCCTTCCCTCACCAGTCCAATGAGACTGCTCCTGCTCCCGGCAACGGACCCGGCGCCGGTCCCAGAGCTGCTGCCTCCACGTCGAGCCCCAAGTCAAAACCCCCTCATGACAAGATAGCCATCCTAGAGGGCCGAGTTCGCGAAGATCCTCGTGGTGCAATGGATTCTTGGATGGCACTCATTGCCGAATACCGTGCGCGGAACAAGGTTGATGAAGCAAGGGATGTGTACGAGCGCTTTTTGGCAGTCTTTCCGCAAGCAGTGAGTCGCGTGTCCCTATCTCGCCCAGTGTCCTGGATGCTAACCTGCCGCACAGGCCGATGTTTGGGCCGCTTATCTTGAGATGGAGCTGGGCATGAATAACTTTGTCGAGACCGAGCGTATCTTCAGCATGTGCCTCATGGGAACACAGAACGTGAACCTGTGGACTAAATACCTCGACTACATCCGCCGACGGAACGATCTGAACGATAGCACTGGACATGCCAGACAAGTTGTGGCCCAAGCGTACGAGTTCGTCATCGACAACATCGGGCTCGATAAGGACTCCGGGAGGATCTGGACCGAGTACATCCAGTTCATCAAGTTCGGTCCCGGCCAGGTTGGTGGGAGCAGTTGGCAAGATCAGCAGAAGATGGATCAGCTGCGCAAGGCGTACCAGCGAGCCATCTGCGTGCCGATCCAGAACGTCAACACTCTGTGGAAGGAGTACGACCAGTTTGAGATGGGCTTGAACAAGACCACGGGTCGCAAATTCTTGGCCGAGCGCTCGCCTGCGTACATGTCGGCCAAGAGCGCCAACACGGCGTTGGAAAACATCACCCGGGGACTGCAGCGGACCAATCTACCGCGCTTGCCGCCTGCTCCCGGATTCGACGGAGACCAGGAATACATGGAGCAAGTCGACATCTGGAAGAAATGGATCGCCTTTGAGAAGTCGGACCCGCTTGATATCAAGACCGATGAGCCTGAACTTCTCAAGAAACGCATCTTATATGCCTACAAGCAGGCCTTGATGGCCTTGCGATTCTGGCCCGAGATGTGGGTCGATGCTGCCGAGTGGGCGTTCGAGAACAACGTGGCTACGAACGGCACCGATGTCGGCTTGGACCTCCTCCGGCAAGGCATCGCGGCCAACCCCGAGAGTGTCCTGCTCGCCTTGAAGCACGCCGACCGCATCGAGATGACCTTCCCCGTAGAGGAGAATGACGAGGCCAAGACTGCAAGAGGCCGGGCCGTACGAGAACCGTACAACAAGGTTCTCGATACCTTGTACGATATGATCAAGAGTCTGAAGGAGCGGGAGAAGATCGAGATTACCAGGATCGAGGAGGCTGCAGGCCGAGAGGCGTCTGTCGCGCCCAGGGTCGACGATGACGACGACGACGATGATGATGATGGCGACGTTGGTGCGTCGGACAGAGCGGCGAGGGAGAGGGTGAAGGAGGAGCAGGTCAAGGCTGTGCAACAGGGCTTTGCCGCGCAAACGCAGCTTCTCTCCAGAACAATCTCTTTCGTCTGGATCGCACTGGCACGAGCAATGCGCCGAATCCAGGGCAAGGGGAAGCCCGGCACATCTCTTGGAGGGCTGCGGCAGGTATTCACGGATGCCCGCCAACGAGGCCGGCTGACGAGCGATGTCTATGTTGCAATCGCCCAGCTCGAGTGGACCGTGTATAAAGAACCCGCCGGCGCCAAGATCTTTGAGCGAGGCTCGAAGCTCTTCCCTGAAGACGAAAACTTCACCGTCGAGTACCTCAAGTTCCTTCATTCGCGGGACGACTTCACGAGTAAGTGCTGTGCCCTCCTGGTCCAGGGCGATTCGCTCCCTCAGGATTACAAGCTGATAACCGTGTCCAGACGCCCGCGTGGTATTCGAAACCTGTGTCAACAGGCTCACCCAGAAGCCCGAACTAGTCCACAAAGCAAAGCCGCTCTATGCCTATTTCCACAGGTACGAGTCTCGCTTTGGTGAGCTTACTCAGGTTGCCAAGCTCGAGAAGCGGATGGCGGAGCTCTTCCCCGAGGATCCAACGCTCTCCCACTTTAGTGCGCGCTTCTCGACAACCAAGTTTGATCCCATCGCTGCACGTGTCATCGTCTCGCCCGCCACGCAGCTGAGGCCGAAGTTCCCCGTCATGCCGTCAATCGAGCAACGGGCGGTCTCTGCTCAGGCCTCGCCACGGCCGCAGGCCCCGAGGGCACAGCACAACTCGCCACGTCCACAGCATCATCATCTCCAGGCTACCAACTCCCCCAAGAGACCCTTCCCCGGCGACGACTTTGAGGACCTGAACCCCCCTCGCAAGATGTTGCGAGGTGAAGAATTCCAGCGTGGCGCCTCGCCTCTGAAGGGCGCTGCTGGCCGTAGACTGGACCAGCAACGCCGCCAAGGTGTGACATCTCACAACACCGCAGCCCCCAGCATTCCGCGAGACATCACCTTCTTGCTCGGCCTGATTCCTGCGGCGAATACATACAACTCGCAGCGCTTCAGTGCTCGAGGAATGGTCAAGTTGCTGCAGGACACGACAATCCCGGATTATGCTACCTGGAAAAACCGAGACCAGGGCAGCCAGCGACACAATGCCCAACCCGGCTCCCACGCCCGCCATACATCATCCTCCGAGTATACCAATCAATACGGCTTCCAGAGCCGAGATTCGCCCAACCCTCAGGGCCGACCGATAAGCCCATACACGGGGGTCGGAGCGGACCGCGGTCGTTTGGCGGGCGCGACTGCTCCTTATCAGCAATCCTCACTGCGACCCAGCTCGAGCGGCGGAGCCTACGAGCACCCCCCAGCCGCGTACTCACAGCCCCCTCCTCTTCAACCACCACCCTCCTATGGACAAGGCGTACCACCACCCGCTCAGACACCCTACGACGGTGGGGCCTGGCCGCCTTACGGCGCGGCTCCCCCTCCAATGGCCCCTCAAGGCTATCCTCCCCCACCTACGAGCTATACCCAGGGTCCACCCCAAACCCAGCCACCGTATGGGCGGTATCCATACTAAACAAAATACAAAAGAAGGCCGGCTTTGCGGTGCACATGTGGCTGGCGATGGCGGGATCACCTGGATCACGCCACCCACGCCCGGAAACTTCACTCGCCGTTCTTGATTCACGCTGTACTAGCCTAGTCACACGTGCCATCTCGAGTTTCTATTTTCCCTGGTCGCTTTCAGGCTGTTACACCGAGGTACGACGTCATTTATTAGAACCCGGGGGTTTTCGCAGCTGGCGACCAAAACTGGCCCAACTTCCGGTTTTGCACCTAGAGGTGGCAGTCGCTCGTGTATGTAGGATAGAGGGAGGCCACTTGCAATTTTCTAGAACACTGGCCAGCGGGCCACTGAGGCGTTCCGGCTGGAGGCAAAGGATAAGCGCTGCATCGCCCCCTCTGCACGTTTGAGGATGGTCGGAACGGGTTACAATCCAGGCTGTTAATGTCACGCATCTGAGCTGAAGTAAAGAGCGAGGAAAGAAGAAGCGACATCTATCAGAAATTTGTCGTCCTTATTCTGGTAATGACACGCGGTGCATCGTATCCCTCCCCAGTCCCCGAACCTTAACATACTGATATGTAAGGCATGCATCCTGTTGTCCACTTGCCGTGATGTCCTAAATTGTTTGTCACGGATTGTTCTACGTGGTATTCTGTTTCACCCCTTTCCCCTAGTTTTGAGGCAGCGCTTCTAGGTATCCCGGGTCTGCTAGCGAGTTCTTCGCCCGCAGAACTTGGCTGATGATCCATCAGTCGTATGACCCTTCAGATGAGAGTTGGTCCAAGTTGCGATTGAAAAGGGGTAAAAGGGGGTGAGCCGTGCGCAGTCGGTCACGTGAGGTTCTTCGTTTGTTTGTAGCTCGTTCTCCAACGTCAGATGTATCGTTTGCAAACGACTACGGATCATTAAACTCTACTATAGAGTGGCACCGGGCTTTTATCTTCGAACTTTCCAGTGATTGATCGCCTTGATTGACCAGACCAGGTATTCTCCGCTTTACCTCATTTCGCCTTCTTTGTTTGTGTCTGCTTTCCCTAGGTCTGGGAGTTTCCCTCACTCTCACTCCTAGTACCTTCCCGCATACCTAAGGGGAGAAGCGACCTGGTTTGTCACTGGGAAGTGACGGGAGTGCATCACCAGCTACCTAACTAAGGTCGCTTTTATGTGCTCCAGGGGTGTGGCAGTGAGGATATGAGGGGATGGGACTGTGATCCCCTCGAAACCTTCCTGCATGCTTCCGTATGTTCCTACCTACTCTGGGTGGCATGGGACAGCACCCGGGTGTTTAGGTCCAGGTGAGCAGATAAGTAGGTAGGTAGGTAGGTAAGTTGGAGGGCCTTTGGGTGGCAGACTCAGAAATTGTAAGGAGAGTAGGTGCTTTGAGAACCATATTCCAGATCACGGACGGCAGGCAGGTTACGGAAGGATAGGTAGGTACCTCGGGGCTGATGATTGGTTTTGAGTGCCTTGGGTACCTAGATAGGTTCCTTCCTCTCTCGAGAACAGAGTGGGCGAGCCAGGCTGCTTTCCAACCCCCCTGCGGCAGGTTGAGTACCTAGGTACCAAGATACCTGGTAGTAGACAAAAGATAAAATAGGGAAGTACATACCCAGGTCTCTACCTACCTCTGCAGGCAAGTATCCGTCAACTTCCACAAACCTACAAGTTTACAGTACCTAGGTAACTTTCGCCTTGTCCACACTTGGGTACCAATACCTACCTTACTTCCTCTGAGTCTGGAAGGCACCTCGCCTCCGTTTGCTCACTACCCGTTTTGCCTGCCTCGATCTGAACGCATCCCTCTTTTCTCTGCCACTTTGAAGCCACCCTTCAGCACCCTTTCTCTTAGGTAGGAGGTAGGTACCTAGGCACCTCACCTTTTACCACCCTTTGAGCGGATAAATACCCACCCGCCTAGGTAACAGGGCTACCACCTCAAGGCCAGGACCCGGCAGCATTGTATCCGTTGAGATCCTTCCTTCCTTCCACATTTATTCCCCTACGTCGCCACAATAGGTAGGTACCTAGGTCCTTGACCCTTGCTCCCCACCCTCCCCTCTCCTCCATCTTCCCGGCTTTAACTCTATTCTCTCTTCCATCTTCCATCTTCACCACAACACACATTCTCTCTGCTTCGCCACTCTAACTTTAGGTAGGTAGGGGCCCGAGTATTTAGGTACCTCTATCCCTCCCATCCTTCATACTCCTCTCTTCCACTTATTCCATCCCACCCAGAGCCATTTCTCCCGAGGTAAGTGAGAGGTTGACGTCTCTGTACACCATCTCACCCTCCTCCCGTCCCTCATATCCATATCTTCACTTTGCCCCCCTCCATCCCGCCAGCAGGAACTCGGCCCCAGGTAGGTACCTAGCTAGGTAGACACCTAGTGTCAAGGAAGGCGCTCAAACACAGTCCTACCCTCCCGGTGCCTGCCCAGTTTTCTACTTTACTACCCAGCCTCACAGTGGAAAATCTTGGATGGAGCAAACACCACATAGCGTTTCCCTTGACACGCATTCACTCACGCACCTCCCCTGTCACCCTCCTTCTATTCGGCAGACAAACCTGCAATTCACCTGGCCCAAATCCAAATTTCGATTGTCCAGGAGACTTCCTCTACCCACAAATACTCCATCCATCGTCCTACCTCCCTAGGTACCCCATCATCCTCCCCCATAATCTTCAAGTCCTATCTCCCTACACTATCTACCCCGAGTCCCATATTGGGCACTTCTTTTGCCCTTCAACCACCGCCACCACCTTTCCCCCTCCGTCACTGGAAAAGTTCGGTCCTTTGACCCCGAATTACCTGGCACCCAGGTACCTAGGTAGCCAGGACTAATTTGGCCATATAGGTACACACGGTCTCCGAAGCAACCATACTCATTCTGGCCAACTCACTTCAACCCACTATTACCATACCCGTTCCCACCCTCCGTCTTCCCAAACTCTGGCCGGGAACGTAGGTACTGACCATCTACCTCACAAGCGAACTTAGTCCCCGGTCTACCTACCTACCTAACAGTTGGTTGACTATTTTGACGAGGTAGGCACCACCCCGATCCCTTCCTCCCCTGATTGTCACCAACCCTTCAACACCAAATAGCCTCTCCAACCGCCCGTTTTGAATCACCTATCCCCCACAACATCTATTTCCCGGTACTTCTCGCGTCCTCATTTATCCTACCCCATCCAACTACTTGTTCCCGTTCAGCTTCAGGCTTTCCTTGACATCTGCACCTAAGGGAAGACGACTAACACTTGCTTCCCGTCAGCAGTTTTCCTTCCAGCCATCTAGGGCTAACGCGAAGACGAGTACCTAGTCTTGGGCTCTCGTTTTGCAAGGTAGGTCGCGTCATCCACCTGACACTCACCCTGCCACTCCACCTCTCACTTCACGGATCACCATCCCACATCCCCCCAGCCTACTTGCTACTTCCCTGAAAATTTACTTGCACCCTTGTGTGTTCATTTTCCCATACACTCGGATACGTCAGCCATCAAAGTTTACTCCTCCCGCCACTTTTCTCCCGAAGTCCACGAGGTAGGAGGTCTCGCGCTGCGAGTTTCCCGTCGGATACTGCGAGGCATATAATAAATCACCCGACCTCTTCGTCTTTCACCATGAACCACCTTCTTTCTACCCCAGTCAACAGAGCAAGAGCCACCCAAATCCCGGTCACCCAAGACGCTGACCTTGGACATATTCTAGCATTTATCGCCACCGGCTTCAAAAGATCATCGAACCATACTGAATCTGACAGCCCGGGTAAGCACACTGGATTCCACTCACTTTCTTCTCTCACTCCTCAATTTATCTGGCTACTGTCTCCCACAGCATCCTTGGCAAGGATCTGCTTCTTCATTCCCCATCAACTTACTCTCGACACATCCTCAACCTTCGGTTCCTTGCAATTATCCAGTTACACGGAAGTCTAATTTGGGGGACAGAATTGACAAGCGCCAGAATGGACCTTTCTGACCAGAAGGGCCAGAACGACAAAAAGCACCCCGGAATTGATTCCGCCAAGAAGACCATCGACTCGGTCAATATGAACATGGACGGCCCATCTGACCAGGGCGGCTCACCGCGTCGCAACCCTCCTAGTGGCGCCTCCCAGTCTAGCCACTCTCGGGCTGGCTCTACGTCTGGCAATGCCCAGACGCGCGCCGCCCCGTTGGGTTATGACCCTGCTATTGACCCCTTGAAGCCCATCGAGGGCATCAACTCGCGACTCGACCTGCCCCCCGAGGCTTATGTCCGAGTAAGTATCGACATCATGTCGTGTCCGACTTCACTGACAAGGATCTTTAGGTTCAAGGCCGGACCCCCTTTGCGCGTCGACCTGGGTTCAACACCACGGGAAAGCCCATCAATGTTATGGTCAACCAATTTCGGGTTACCAGCATCGGAAATGCGGATGCATATCAGTTCGATGTGGGTTCTTTGATCATCCCAAGTGACTAGGTTGTCCGACTAACTCCTCCAAGGTCTCCGTCAGCCCGATCCCCCCCAGACCGCACATGATCTCGAAGATTTGGGATACCCCAAAAGTCCAGTCCATGCTGAAGACCCACCCCAAGCCGTGGATTCACGATGGCCGCAATCTCGCATGGTCTACCAACAAGGTAGAGGAGCTGCGCATTACAGTGAACATCGACGAGGAGAAGGGCAAGCCGGCGGACGAAAAGAACACCTACTACGTCATCATCCGTAACACTGGGACGATTCGTCTCCATGCGCTCCGATCGTACTTGGAGGGCAAGATGGACTGGGATAATTCCGTGTTGGAATGCATGAGTGAGTGGCCGGCCCCCCTCCGCCCCCCCTTCTTCTGCCACGGCAGGGCAAGTTGACACATATACAGACTTCCTCGATCATGTCCTTCGGCAGGGTCCATCGACTAAAATGCGCCTGATTAGACGCACTTTCTTTCCGCCAGACGCCAAGCGACAGGACCTGAACATGGCAACTGAGGTGATCAAGGGCATGTACGCCTCCATCCGCATGAATCAGTCCATCCAGCAAGGTGGCACCGGTCTCGGAATCAACGTCAGCGTTTCTAACTGCGCCTTCTGGCTCGCCCAGAACTTTGAGCAGCTGGTTCGCGAGTTCATCAGCTGCTATCATTCCAAGTGGGAGAACAGTAAGTCTTTCATGCTGCCTTGTTAAGATCCATGCTAACTGAGTTGAGTGCAATACAACCGACTCGTTGAGGAGCTCAAGCCCGTCATTACCACCAATGCATCTGGCAACGAAGTCTACTCGATGTCCGAGGCCTTCAAGGTCCTTCGTAAGCTTCACCGCATTAGGTTCCGCGTCTTTCACCGAGGTAAGACCAATGACGACAAGGAGTACGTCTTGAAGTCGTTTGCCTGGAGTCCCAGCTATGGCAGGGAGGGTGGCAATGCCAAAAATGTCGTATTCGACAAGAAGGAAGATGGCGGCATGACTCGGAAGATCTCGGTCTTCGATTATTTCCACGAGCGCTACAATATACGCCTGGAACAATGGCGCCTCCCTGTCATGGAGACGGCCCGCGGTGGATTCTTCCCAATGGAGGTCTGCACCATGCCCCGATATAATCGTTATCCCTTCAAGCTGGATCCTTGGCAGGTAAGTCGCTGGAAGCTTCTCCTCTAACTTTATCGCACAACTGACAAGCTTGCGTTTTCCAGACTTCTCAGATGATCAAGTTTGCAGTGCAGCGCCCGACGGAGCGCCGCCAGGACATCATGGCCAATGTTCAAGCCCTTGCTTGGAGCACGGACAAGTACCTCCAAGAGTTTGGGATCAAGGTCCAAACTGGCATGCCAGTAGTTCAGGCTAGACTGATCCCCAACCCTGAAGTCCAGTACGCCAATGGCAAGGTCAACCCAGGGACATCTGGACGCTGGGATCTTCGAGGGAAGAAATTCACTCTTCCCAACCCTCAGCCCCTGAAATCCTGGGCATTCGTCGCGGTCGACGAGTGCGTCGACAAGAAGACCCTTGACAACTTCGTCAAGGTGTTCGAGCAGACCTACAAGAACCATGGCGGCAAGATCGAAGTCAAGCCCCAGGTGTACATGGGGCCCCGAGGCAAGCAGCATCACGAGCTGGTGGAGCAAGTCTACAAGCAGACGGGTATTGCCAACAAGGCGACACCGCAAATCATCTTCTACGTACTGAAAGATCGCACTGCCTGGATTTATGACAGGCTGAAGAAGAATGCCGACTGCCGCTGGGCGTATCTCACGCAGATGATCCTGCTTGAGCACGTCCGCCGTGCTCAGCCACAGTACTGCTCCAACGTGTGCATGAAGGTCAACGCGAAGCTCGGAGGTCAGACGTCGCGTATCCCTGGCGCAGGTGCCGCCACAGCATTCTTCAAGGTGCCAACCATGATGATCGGGGTCGATGTCTCGCACGCGTCACCCGGCTCCGCCAGTGCCTCCATGGCGGCCATGTGTGTCTCGATGGATAAGGATGCAGCGACTTATGCTGCGGCCTGCGAGACAAATGGCCATCGAGTCGAGATCCTGACCCCCGCGAACACCCGGTCTATGCTGCCGAACATCATCAAGCTGTGGTGCCAGAAGAACGGCACGGCCCCGCAGCATGTGTTCTACTTCCGCGACGGTGTCTCGGAGGGCCAATTCGCCCACGTCATGGAGTACGAGGTAGAGGAGATACGCCGCGCCTTCAAGGAGGTGACCCAGAGCGTGCCCAAAATCACCGTCATTGTTGCGACCAAGCGGCATCATATCCGCTTCTTCCCTGAGAAGGGTGACAAGCATGGCAACCCCCTGCCTGGCACTATCGTTGAGCGAGAGGTCACTCATCCGTTCCACTACGACTTCTACCTCTGCTCGCACGTGGCCATCCAGGGCACTGCTCGTCCGGTCCATTATCACGTCATCCACGACGAGATCAAGATGAAGCAGGACGATCTACAGAAGATGATTTATCACCAGTGCTATCAATATGCTCGCTCGACGACTCCGGTGTCGCTGCACCCTGCGGTTTACTACGCCCATCTGGCTGGTGCCCGCGCGCGCTCTCACGAAAACGCCCCGACCAGCGATCAGGTTCCCGACTACGCCAAGCATTTTGTCACGGGCAAGGTCCCAGGGGCGTTGGCCAAGCATCCGGACTCCTCCACGAGCAAGCGGAGCGGCTCAGCTGAGGCGATGCCACTACTTCCGATGGGCGGTTCGGAAGCCCGCGAGGACTCCAAGCAGACCTTCAGGTCGACCATGTGGTACATCTGAAGGCCTCTCGGCTCTGGCCATTGCTTCCTGGTCGTCGTCGACCTGGAAGCTCTTGGCTTTCGGCATGGCCACCCTTTTTTTCACAGTCACTCTGACATACTGCAGGTGACTCGTCTACGATTTGGCTTTTGATGATGCGTTTGTGTGACTGGGTTCCTGCCACATTTCTTGCCTGGGATCTATGAGGAAGGATGGGCAACCGGCGCTCCTAAACAACTTTAGGTAGACACAGGACTCAGTTGCATGGAAAATACAAGGGAAAAGAGGTTTCCGTACGTGTCTTGAATTCAGTGACTCGCTAGCGACGTGACTTCGTTAAAGTAACCCCGCTAGATTGGACGCAGGTGATAAAGTGGGGGGGCTTTGGTTGGGTTTGGAAATTGTTAGTAGGACAACCTAAGCAGAGCCCCCACCAACAACACCATAAACCGAAGGCTCCCATCGCTTGCAATGACTCTCGCCTCAAGGCCAGGCCCAATCTATCACAATGGCTAGCTTTCTACGCGGGAAGCAGGCAGGCATGCAGAATGACCTGTCGGCTGGTATACTCCCTGGGAGCTTTTCGCCCGATGAACAATCGCGCTATGGCATCAACTCGCAGCTCAGGTTCGTTCAACAGTCCCGCATCTTCCTCTGCCCGTAGAAGTTCGGGATATCCGGAACGAAGAGCTGACCCAGTGCCTGACCCCAACAGCTGTCTCACCTACGAACCCGTCCAGTCTCTCCTTGCCGTCGGCACAAACGAAACGAAGTTTGGCCCTGGCAAGATATACGTCTTCGGGCAGAACCGCGTCCAGAAGTTCATCCAGCCCTCGCGTCCTGATTCTATCCGCCAGCTGCAGTTCGTCGCGAACCGCCTGGTCAGCCTCGACAGCAAGGGCGAATTGACGGTATGGGACCTCGACACGGCCGAGCGCGTTGCTGGGTTCGTGGCCGGAGGCGCCGTCACCTGCCTCTTGACAGATCCCATGTTGGATTGGGCTTTTCTGGGCATGGCGAGCGGGGACATCGTTGCCTATGACCTCGACAGGGAACGTGTGTCACCCTTCCGGATCCCGAACTTCTGGAGGAAAAAGGACCCCGAGGCCAGGTCCATCAGTCTAGTGGGCATGCAGCTTCATCCTCGAGATATCGGGAAGCTCTTGATCGCCTACTCGCATGGCGCCGTCATCTATTCGTTCAAGCAAAACCAGCCGGTAAAATTCCTCGAATATCAAGTGCCTCCAGGAGCCCGGGGAGGTAACTCGGAAGGCTTAGATACTCTACGGAAGCCGAGACTGTCGCACGCCGTCTGGCATCCAACCGGCACTTTTGTTCTCACTGCTCACAATGACGGGAGCCTCGTCTTCTGGGATCCAAAGGACGGAAGGGTCGTCATGGCAAGGTCGCTCTCTGAACTGAGAGTCGACCAGGTGACCCCGCAGCCAGGCCATCCAACCCTAGTCGAACCTTTTGTCAAGGTTGCCTGGTGTTGCAAGGAGAACCCCGATGATACCGGGCTTCTCATTGCCGGGGGCCATGCGGTGGATGCTCCTCAGAAGGGTCTAACCTTTCTTGAACTCGGCCAGACGCCCATATATGCGACGGCGTCGTGGGAAGTGCTCGCGAATCATTTCCAGGGAAAGCGCCGCCTCACCCTTCAAACCCCGCTTGGTGCCCAGGTAACTGACTTCTGCCTGGCTCCCCGCACAACCCCTCATTTTGCGGGCGCACAGGACCCTATTGCCATCTTCGCCATGCTTTCTTCGGGAGAAATGATCACCATGAGCTTCCCTTCCGGATACCCGATCAGCCCTACCAATCAGCTTCCCCCCTCCCTCTCCTTTGTTCACCCATTCGTCACCAAGGTTGCTGTTTCGACGCTAGATCGCGGCCGATGGCTTGGCATGATCGAGACCAGGAGCCAAGGAGAAAAGTTGCTCAAGGGAGGTGCGGAGGCAGTGAAGCCTCGCAGGAGATACGAGGGCCGCAACGTCATTCAAGTTGCGCATGCAGATAGCACCGTCCGCATATGGGACGTGGGGCACGCAGATGAGATAGAAAACCAGAATCAACTCCAGGTGGACATTGCGCGGGCTCTCAACAGATACGAGGACGTCGACATCACGGCCATGGATATGGCCGAGCTGACAGGCGAGTTCGCGGCTGGGACACGGTCCGGCGAAGTCGTCATCTACCGTTGGGGACCGAATAAGTACTACGGCCGGGACGGGCCCAAGCAGCTTGATCCTAATCCCGGCGGCCTCTCGGATATCAGCTCGCGCGCCGAACCATCACTGAAGGATGGCCTCCAACCGTTCGTCCTTTACGAGATGATGCAGGGACCGGTCAGCGTAATATCCGTCTCAGACGTTGGCTTCGTTGCTGTCGGTTCCGAGACGGGTTTCTTCAGCATTGTCGACCTCAGAGGGCCGGCTGTTATATACCAGGCATCCATGGCAGACTTTGCCAGGCGGGAGAAACGGACGTCTTTCCTGAAGAGCCACTCGAGTGCTTCTGCATCGAAGGAGTGGCCTGTCGTCATCGAGTTTGGAGTTATGACTCTCGAGGGGGACAGCTACTCCAGCATAGCTTGCTTCGTGGGCACAAACCAAGGCCGGATTGCTACCTTCAAACTCCTACCGTCCGCGCAAGGTTACAGTGTGAAACTCGCCGGAATCGCGCAGCTGAATGATAAGGTTGTCGCCATTTGCCCGATTGTCGCGGAGACAGGCTCTCCGGCTGCCGCTACTGGCCCAATCGTTGCTGGCCTTCGCAATGGCCAGCATGTCAACGGTATCCTCGTTGCCGGTGAGTACCCTCCCCGTCGTAGCCTGGATGGCACCCAGACCTCGCTAACTTAAGTCGGGTTCTAGTGACGCAGACCGAGGTCCGCATTTTCAAGCCTGCTGCGGCAAAAGGAGCCTCAAAGTCCTTCGACGACGTCTTCTGCGACGCAGCTGCCGTGACCGAGTTTGAGCTTCACGGCTTTGCCGTCGTCGGGGTCTTTGGCGACCGGACCGCTCGGGCCTATTCTCTACCAGGGCTGAAGGAGCTCGGCCGTGCTCCACTCCCCATGCTCGACGCTTCACGAACTACTGCTTCCATCGTGGCCCAAACGGGGGACATCTTCGGCTGGACGGGCCCGAGTGAGCTGGCCATCCTGCCTGTTTGGGGTGGCACAGGCAAAGGGTTGCAGACCCCCCAAGACACGATGATCAACCCCGAGCTGGCGGTACCGCCACGCCCGACAATCAGTAACTTCCAGTGGGTCAGCGGAACGCAGTACGTCAGCCCAACGGACCTCGACCTGCTTATTGGCGGCCCAGGCCGCCCACCTAGCAAGCGAATGATGGCTGCGGCTGCGGCCGAGCAACGACTAGCCCGGGGAGGGGCGGGCAGCTCCTCGGCCGGGGGAAGCCAGGAGGGCTGGGGAGACTACCTCACCAGACAGTTGAATGAGCGGACCGAAAAGCTGAACATCATGTCCGACAACATGGATAATCTCCAAGAGCAGAGCGCAGGCTGGGCCGATGATGTGAGCAAGTACGTCAATCGGCAGAAGAGGAATGTGCTGCTCGGTGGTATCACAGGGAAGTTTTTCTAGCCGGCATTCCTTTTCTTTTTTTCCCTCTCGAGCGCCACTGGTGGGTAGCCGGGGATATACCTAGGTAGGGAGACTTTTATGGGCTCGCACTCGTGAGTTAAGTAAACTCAGCCTGGTTTCAGAGATAGCCGCTACATCGAGCCTCTCTTTCCCTACCTACCTATGCAGAGGGCGACCGCCAGGTGCAAGTTGGTGACCGGAGCCCCGAGATGTGACGACCAGCGGGTAATGTATGCGCCTGAGGTGTTGTCGGGTATTATAGAGCAGTGCTGACATGCAGCTTTTTCTCCGTAGGGACGTGACGATTAATCGCTGATCAGCAGATAATATGGCTAAAGTGGCAATATGCCAGGTCGCAGATGTGGACAAGCCATCATACCCATACTACTACCCGCGGAAGCTGGTGGGACGCTGGCGATCAAGCCTTTCGATTGCCGTGAGGGTGTTAGTTTCCCGCGTGCCGCCATACTTTAGTATCCCTACAGATATATGGTGATGTGTATTTCCTGCGGGGATTTAGATTGAGACCAGGCGGTCCGACTCCTGTTCCTTGCTCTCGAATGCAGGTACTATTTCAATCAAAAGCTAGCACCTACTCGCAACTTCTCCTTTGTCCTGTCCCGTCCCCTCGCCTGTGCAAACCGCAAGATGGCCGAGTGATCCACGATCGCTCCCCTGACCTCCACCTCCGGACCTTGTTTAAGCAGCTCCTTCCTTGCTCAACCTCGCTAAGATGCGGGCGGCGCTCTTGCTCGGTGCACTGGCAACCGGGGCCGTCCTGGCGGCCGATACCCCATTTGCAGGCTTCCCATCCCCATGGGCTACAGGGGGCCCGGGTTGGGACGAGGCATATGCAAAGGCGAAGGCATTCGTCGGCAACCTGACCCTCGTCGAGAAGGTGAATCTTACCACCGGCACCGGGTGGGAGGCCGATGTCTGCGTGGGCATGACCGGCTCCGTGCCACGCCTCGGATTCCGGGGATTCTGCTTGCAGGATGGCCCACTGGGCGTCCGCTATAGTTTGTGAACCCTCTCTCCTGTGTCTCCCCCACCCATTCACCCGATTTGGAGAGATATCCGAAGAGGAAGGGGGTGCTCCGCTAACCCGGTACTACTGGGCAGCCGAGGGCAACTCGGCCTTTCCGGCAGGCATCAACGTTGCGGCGACGTTCAGCCGGGACCTCATGCGCCGGCGCGGAATTGCAATGGGAGAGGAGTTCCGCGGGAAGGGCATCGACGTTCAGCTAGGCCCGGTAGCCGGGCCCCTCGGGCGGGTTCCCGCTGGCGGAAGAAACTGGGAGGGGTTCAGCCCGGACCCGTACTTGACCGGCGTGGCTATCGCCGAGACCGTTGAGGGCATTCAGAGTCGTGGCGTCATTGCCTGCGCGAAGCACTATATCCTGAATGAGCAGGAGCATTACAGGACGTCCATCGACGTTCGGATCGACGACAGGACCATGCACGAGGTATACCTATGGTGAGTCTACCGCCTTGCTTCCACAACCAGTCTAGTGGCGGCCCGTGGACAATTGAAGGAGGAAGGAGGCTGACAAGGACGGGCCAAGGCCATTTGCAGACGCCGTGAGAGCCGGAGTGGGCTCAGTCATGTGCTCGTACAACAAGATCAACGGCTCGTGGAGTTGCGAGAATGAGTGGACCACGAACTACCTCCTCAAGAATGAGCTCAATTTCCAGGGGTTCGGTATGTTGGACCCCAGCGGTTGCCCCTTCAATAGCCCGGACGGGGAGCGTTAACCTCTGATCCAAGTCGTGTCCGATTGGGGTGGCCAACACACTGGGCCATTGTCTGCCCTTGCCGGACTAGACATGGCCATGCCTGGCGATGGCGGCCGACCTCCATATGGCTCGTTGTGGGGAGGCGCATTGACTGAGGCAGTTCTCAGCGGTTCGGTGCCCCAGTGGCGACTGGACGATATGGTCATCCGCATCATGGCCGCGCATTTCAAGGTGAACGCAGGCAACTTCTCCGAACGCCCGGAAATCAACTTTTCGGCTTGGACGAACGAGACTACCGGCCCCCTACACCCTTCTTCTAACCAGTCCTGGGCCGTGGTGAACAAGCGCGTCGATGTCCAGGGTGATCACGGGGAACTTATCCGCGAAATCGGCGCCAAGTCGATCGTCCTGCTGAAGAATATCCGCAACGCCCTTCCGCTCGCCCAACCCCTTAGCCTTGCCGTCATCGGCGAGGATGCCCAGGACACGCCAGGCGGGCCCAACGCCTGCCCCGAACGTGGCTGCGATAATGGCACCCTCGCCATGGGATGGGGATCCGGGACGGCCGAGTTCCCATACCTTGTCTCACCAGCCACTGCCCTGAAAATCCGGGCCGAGAGAGACGGTACAGCCTTTACCAATATATCCGGCAATGGAGACCTCGCTGCGGCGCAGGCAGCCGCGAGGAATGTCAGCACTGCCATTGTCTTTGCAAATGCCGATGCGGGCGAGAATTTTATCACACTGGCCGGTAATGCCGGCGACAGAAACAATCTAACCCTCTGGGGCGGTGGTGAGGAGTTGATACGTGCTGTTGCAGCCGTGAATAACAACACCATCGTCGTGTTACACACCGTGGGACCCGTAATCATCGAATTTGCACGGGAGCACCCCAATATCACTGCCTTGCTATGGGCCGGCCTGCCAGGACAAGAATCCGGCAACGCGCTGGTGGATGTCCTGTACGGGGAAGTCAACCCCCAGGGCCGGAGTCCATTCACCTGGGGGGAGAAGGCGGAGGATTGGGGTCCAATGGAGTTGCTGTACCAGGCCCCGGATCCAAGGGCTCCGAACCAGACCTTCTCGGAGGGCGTGTTTGTGGATTACAGATACTTCAACCACGCCGGCATTGGACCAAGCTATGAGTTTGGACTTGGTCTGAGTTACACATCGTTCCAGTATACCAACCTATCGATTGTGGCCCACGGAGAAACGGCTTATCAGGCGGCCAGAGGAGAGACGCAGCCGGCGCCGAAATTCGGGACAATCAATCCGGACCTTGCCGCAAATACACCTCCCGATGGATTCAAGAAGATATCCCCGTATATCTATCCTTGGTTGGATAGCGCCACCAGTGTGTTGGGTGGCAATGACACGTTGACCAGTCCCCCGGGGTCACTGAACGGCTCTGCCCAGCCACTTCTCCCAGCCAGCGGTGCACCGGGGGGCAACCCGGGTCTCTATGACGTGGTTTACACCATATCCACAGCTATCCAGAACACCGGGGAAGTTTTTGGCACTGAGATACCTCAATTGGTAGTCCACCCATTCTCATACTGACTCCGATGCAACTCTCGCGAGCTCGCTTTATCGGACAAGGCCGTCGTATTTTAACTAATTCATCATGCAGTATCTTCAACTTGGCGGCAAAGACAACCCGTTCGCAGTCCTTCGAGGGTTCGACGAAGTCCCCTTGGTGCCCGGCGAGGCGAAAACGGTTGTTTTCAACGTGACTAGGAGAGACATCAGCAACTGGAATACAGCAACTCAAGACTGGGAGATTAACAAGGAGGACAAGGTTATGTTTATTGGGAGCAGCTCGCGGCTACTCCATCTGAATTCCACCTTACCTCCTTTAGGCTAGGGGCTGGAGACGCTGGCATAGGTCAAGTCAAACAATTGCGTGTTTGACGCTTTAACCCTGACTTGGCGGAGTCGAGGGTATCCATAAGACAGTCAAGTGTACGGATCCGTAAATAGGCTCTACTTATACTAGGGAAACATGCTAGACACAGTAAAAAGGCTAGGATGTAAGGACGATCCGAAATGGAAAGTGCTAAATGCCCCAGCAGTCCAGGAACCGGGATACAGGGTGCCCAGTCGTCCTGGACTGTGGCATGCGGGCGTACGGGATGCGCCACGAAACACCGTGAAAGAGGACGCGGAGTTCGCGAACGATGAGCCTGAATCCGGAAATCTGGCACCGACAGTAGCCACGCCAGACTGGCGCGCTCTCTGGCTACTGGTAGCCATGCCCCTAACGTGTAATCAGATATAAACTCTCAGAAGGTCAATTCTGTCGTGATTAGTTCTCTTGGAAAATCTCAAGTCGTGAACAGCATCCTGGTCAATGCTGCCATAACCTCGTCGGACTTGCTGACAACCATGCTGATATGACCGTCGTCTTCTGAAACCCTCAATTCTGCTCCGTCGATCAATTCACTAGCCTTGCGGGCCATCGCAACCGGAATGTTCACGTCCAGGCCGCCGTGCCACAAAACCAGGCCGCCGGAGTCAACGGCAAGATCGTTCAGTTTGAACCCCCAGTCAGTCCCGAAGATGCCAGTTTCCTGGGCTGCGCCCCGGGATCCATCACACAACGCCTCCCGCTTGCTTTCGGTAATAGCTGTTCGAATACCCCTCTCGTTGTGCTCCCATACCGTTCGATCAATACCAGGCTTGTTCTTGAAGCTGTCGCTAAGCGTCTTCTCGAGCCTCTCAGGATGCTCTGTGTCTCGGGCTACACCACCCATTAAGAAGTCCGAAGCCTTCTCTACAACCCATGGAAACCAGGCGGCACAGCTAAACGCGAGTCGATTTTGAAGCATCATTCCTGCAAGTCCAAGATTGACTGGGTACATGCCTGCGACAATAGCGCCCCCAACACATCGAGATGTTGGGATCTGGTGCAGGCATGCCAGTACGTAGGGTCCGCCGCCTGAGAGCCCAAGCACGGCGAATCGGTCAACGTTCAGATGGTCGGCTAACGCTAGCAAGTCGGTGGGCCAGTCGAGCAGGCGCCGGTTGGGTTGGAAAGTTGAACGGCCCATACCGGGACGGTCCACGCCGACCAATCGAATATTGCTCTGGCGGGCCACCTGGTCGTATGCAGAGGCTTCCACTCGGCTAGCAGGCAATCCATGGTGATAAAAGACGGTTGCATTGGCATAAGCGTCTCCGTAGATCTCGTAACAGAGATGGCGACCGTCGAGCAAAACGAGAAAGTCTCGAGTTGATGTGACGCTAGTCATCTCCAAGGAGCAACACTTGTGACTATAGCTCAAGTTTTGTCCTAGCCTCTTACGCGGAAGTCTTAACTTTTGTAACAAGAGAAACGACGCCAGTTCCAACTGTATGGATAAAGGCAAAGAAGAGGTGGGAAACCAGATAGGCAGAAGGTGTGAATGTTTGTAGTAGAGCGTGTGTTGACGGAGAACCTGAAGTAAATATTGCCTCAGGCCATTAGGATGGAGGACTTGCGACTCCACAAATTCGACCTCGGGGTCCCTCCCCTTTCTAGCAACTGGAGGGCCTTAGGTCCGACACAAAAGCAGCTGTTTCAGCGGGTGGCTGACTTCATCTCACATGCCAAGAGACAGCGTCGTGGTAATACGGGCAGCTCCAATCCAAGGCGTTACTCCCTGCAATGCGATCTGTTTATCATGAACCAGTTCATGGGGCGGCTGGGTACTGCTTAATCATCAAGCTGTCGTGGGCGGGGTCAAAGAACATCCTCCCGTGAGCCGCTACTACATGCACGGCCACCCCCTTTCACCCCCTTTTCAGGTACTAAATAACCATAGACGGTTTCCTGACTACCTATAGAATGTCTGACGAAACAACAACACAGGTAGGTATCCCGACTTAGACGCCATAAACTGACAACCTATTTCCTGCACCACAGAATTCCAAATAATTTCCCGAGCACAGCATGTTGCAGTCGGACGCCGGGGCTATGACCGATCCGGCATTGAAACTATTCCCACAGTAACACTCTCTCCCATACTCGACACCAAAGTAAGTATATCCCTCGCAGTAATAGGAACAGAACTCCAGCGACATGGAGACGTCGAGATCTATGGTATCCGCACTCAGAGCACGCGCGTCCGTCGCCTCGGTCATGCAGCCATACCACGGATGGCCATTCACCTCGGCGGGCTGTGACGGCTGCTCGTCCGGCGGCTGCGTGCTCGAACTGTACAGCACGAGGTGTCCGCCCGAGCCGCAGTACTCGCCGGGATTGCCCGGGCACACAAAGCCGCAGTTGTCGACGTTGAGATCCTCTTGGGCTGCGCCGATGTCCAGCTGGAACCCATACCAGCACTCCGTGCCGTACTCGATGCCGGCCCATGCGTACGTCGACGCCTTGTCGAGGCACTTCTCAACCGTCATCTCCTCGTCGAAATAGAGATTGGCCAGAGCGCGCTTGCCCTCCGGTTCGCGGTAGCACCCCGCGAGCGTGAAGGGCCCGTAGCTTGGCACGAACATGGGGTCGCCGGTGGCCGTGGGGGTGGATCCCGGTGAGGTTGGACTGGTCGGGTCGTCTGTCGGCGTGGGCGTAGGGGTAGCCGAGGTCTTAGTCACCCCATCGCACATGCCAAAATTCGGCTGGCTGTGGCGACGCAGTAAGTATTTTGTCTTTCTAATAAAAACTCAGCGCTTCCCTGTGAGGGGGGAACTCACCAGCCCGTTCCACAGTCGCTTTGCCGAGAGCCACACACGCCGTCCTCGTTGCAGCAATTACCGAAGACAACATCACATGTATAGCCCATAGCGCCACCGCATGACCCATCAGGAGTGGTGCCTGTCTGCCACGGAATTTCGGTAGGCATGGTTGGCGTGGCCGGGTTCGTGCAGGCCCCGGATTCACAATTGCTGGGACCGCAGAAGTCCGGCCCCGTGCCGCACACGCCGTCGATCGAACAGCAGTCTCCCCACTTACCTCCGCACTTGAGGCCGCCATTGTCGGGACCACAGTTGCCGTCGAGGCTGTACCCTGTACCTCCCAGGCACAGGCCAGAGTAGCATGTTCCCGGGGCACAGTCGTCGCTACGTGGAGGTGGTTAGTACATGTGAGAACGCTGGTTGAATCCTCTTACCTCGTGTCACCGCACTGCCAGGTTTCTGAGTTACAGCAGGGCGTGGCATCCGGACAGGCGATATCACCGTGGCTTGGCCCGCACGATCCGTCGGTCGACACCAGCGGCTCCGCATCTGCCGTGGCCTTTCTTTAGCATGGCAATGTTTGTTTGGTTTTTGGGCAGGAAAGAACTGACATCCTCTCACACAGTAGTCTGTGTTTGGCTGGATTGTTTCACAGTCCCTGTCCATGGTGGGGTTGAGGAAGAAGAAGTCCTCGACGGTCTCTTCGTACTTTAGCGCGAGCTGGGTGCATGTGTAGTAGTTTACCTCGGCCGGAGACGTTGCCCAGTACCGACAGACGATGTCGTCGACATCACGCTTCCATTGATGCGGCTGGCAGTCATCGGACTTCACGCCCGGTAGGAAGGGCCTAGCCAGGAGAAAGAGAAGGAAGCGCCAGGACTGCATCGTGTGTTTCTGTGTTGCTACGAACATGCAAAATCATTTGGACGGCCGTAGGATCTTGGGTAATATGCAGCGCATGCCCGGGAGGATTCAACAAGCCGAGACAAGCGCCGACTCACTCGACAGGGAAGATTGCAACCCCCCCCCCCCTTTCCTTGCAGCAATGGCTCAGTCTTATGACCACATCTCGGGTCTTTACGGGGAACTTGACGAGACTATTGACCATGATGCGGTGGTAGACATGGCAACTATTGATCATGATGCGGTGACAGACATGGTACAATTACATGAGGAGATTGATAGCCTAAAGTGGTCACTGCTATACATAGTATAAGAAATGGTACCGCCAAGGAATCCTAACCCGTTTGAAGGGGGAGCACAGAGCCTCCTGGAGCTCGTTTGACCTAAGTTGACAATGTCCCCGGACCGGCCCGTCAGGGATATGCGGTAACCAGTCCAATCAAACGTCCTCCACCCCTGGCCAGCGTCGTTGAATGTGATATCCGCCACTGGTGGTTGCGAACTCCAGGGTCGCAATATTGAGTCTTGGCGATAATGTATGTGCCGTTCATCCGCCTGTGTGAAATCATTCGACGCTTCTCAGGGTCTGGTGCCAGCCCGCCAGATAGCAGGTGTTGAGGTCTGGACGCAGATGATATGAATAGACGGATAGGGAGCATCATGTATGTGTCCACGCAATAGAAGCCATCCGGAGCTCTGCAGCAGCTCTCCTATAGTCCGAACACCTTTTCTTCCCTTGTGTCCATTGTTGGCCAAGCAAGTTCACGATGGCGGGAGGCTTCCGCCTCCTCTCGTTTCTCCTCGTCATCGTCTCATACCTAGCCCTTCTTCCTCAATCCGGCCATGCCCAGTTCATTCAGAGCTGGCAAAGGCAGACGGTCAACCAAATGACGATGTTCTTCTGGAGACCGACGACGAGCAGCCCGCTGAAGGAGGTGATTAATCCCCAGGCCGGCACCTTCCTCGAGTATAATTGCTTTTACATGCCGGCTATCTGCCAGAATGCCCGGAACTATATCAACTCGGCGGTCGGCAAAGCCCGGACATTCCAAACCATCTTCTCATATGATTTTGACTCGACCCGCGGCAAGAAACGGCGCAGAAGGGCATGCCCGTCGGGCAGGCAGGGATGGAAATCGCACCATGCGTGCCCGGAGCCGAACCAGCCCAAGGCATGGCGGAGCGACGGCCAGTGGCCCGAGACCAAGCTCGAGGCCAACCCCCTCAACGCCAACTTCCGCGAGGTCAGCGGGTACACAGATAACACCGGGCAGTACCAACGGTCGGGGTTGCAGTACAGCTGCGACGAGTTCCCGCCTGCCCAATGGGTCGAGGGTGGCGTCGGTACACCAGGCCAGAGCGTCCAACCCGAGGGCGACGGTGCAGCATCCCAGACGATATGTGCTGCCATACGCATCTGTATCAAGGGCCAGGGTACGGCCAGCGAGCAGAACTGGCAGGGCGCTCTTCACTCCAGGCTATCCCACTTGCTGGTCCAGCAATTCACGAATTCCAGAAACACGGCCCCTGTCAGTGGTGACGCTGCCATGTTCGGTATCCGCTTGGTCAACGACCCCAATAACGGCATAGCCGGGCGCGTCACCTATTTCGGCCCCAATGGTGCAATAGTGGGTCCTGAGCAGGCCCTGTTTCGACGCGACGGCTCCAACGGAGACCTTGACTACCTCCACTGGCTGAATACGGTGCGTCTGGACGAGCTCGAGGGTCTCCACGAGGACGTGGTCTACGCCAATGCAACGCTTCCCGACGATGAATTTGAATTCATGGACGAGGACGATGACGACGACCAGACCCTCGATGCCGCGGACGCTTTCGGATCGCATCTTCGGGCAGCGGGCAACGCCTCGTCGCTCTACTCCGCAGCCCCTGCAGCCTCTGAGCCTGCGCTCGCCGCTGCATCTACCCCGCCCCCAGTCCAGTTCTGGAACGCAGGCGGTCTGAAGAAGGTGGTACGGCGCAACTCGACCGAACCCATCGGCGGCGACGGCGACGGGCCCCTGCTGAAGAACGCCACGCAGGCCGACATCGAGCGCGCGCGCAAGCTCGTGGCCGGCGCCATCGTCCAGATGGCCAAGCATAACAAAGCGCGCATCGAAAACCCGGCTCGCAATCAGTACAAGCTTGCGCCTGGGACCAGTTTCGGCGGGTCCAGGAGCGCGAAGCAGAAGTTTGCTCGCCCGGCCGCGGGCTCGGATGACCCGGCTCCGCCGCCGCTGTTCGATGTCACGGCCGAGATCGCAGCGGCAGCAGCCCTCGTGGCCGAAGCTGACGCGGCGGGTGTCGGGTCCGGGCTCTCGAATCTGACGCGGCGAGCCTTGCCGCACCCCATCCGGAAGCGTGGCACGTTCTGGATGGAGGGCATCACGCGGCGGGGAACGGTGCCTTGGGGTGGCGACCCAAGCTACAAGGTGTTCCGCAACGTGCGCGACTATGGTGCCGCGGGAGACGGCGTGAGGGACGACACGGCCGCGATCCGAGGGGCCATGATGGACGGCAGCCGATGCGGCGAGAACTGCAACGGCGCGACGGTCAATAACGCGGTCGTGTACTTCCCGCCAGGCACGTACCTCGTGTCGGGGACGATCCAGGTGGTTTACGGCACGCAGATGATTGGCGATGCCAATGACCGACCGACCATCCTGGCGGCCGCTAGCTTTGTCGGACTCGGCGTGCTCTCAACAGACGAGTATGTTCCCGGGGGCGGCATTGGGGCCGATGGTAAGGATATGGAGTGGTACATCAACACGGCGAGCTTCTATCGCCAGATTCGCAACTTCAAGATTGACGTAACGCGCACGGCGCCGAACGCACAGGTATGCGGCATTCACTACCAGATTGCGCAGGCCACGAGTCTGCAGTTTGTCGAGATCGTGGCCCAAACTGGGACGACGCAGCAGGGGATGTGTAAGTGGTTCACACCCCCGCCCCGCCCCGTGTAATCATGCGCAAAGAATGAGTACCCATGCTGACAACCCATTGTAACCGATAGTCTCTGAGAATGGTAGTGGCGGTGTCATGGCTGATGTGACCTTCACGGGGGGCAAGTTTGGGTTCTGTAAGTCGCAGCGGCCCCCCCCCCCCCCCTTTTTTTTCCCCCAAGATATTTGGCATGACTCTGTGATGGCTGACCTCTGCTTTTCTCCATTTCCCTCCCCTTCCAGACGGTGGAAACCAGCAATTTACAGCTCAGCGCCTGACCTTTAACGGCTGCGAGACGGCCGTCCACATCAACTGGGACTGGGGCTGGGTGTGGAAGTCCATCACCGTGACCGACGCTCAGACGGGCTTCAACTTGCTCAACGACGGCGGTGACGGCAACATCGGTTCATGCTCGTTCCTGGACTCCCAGTTCACCAATGTCGGCACGGCCATCCAAATCGCACCCCCATCGTCAACGCCCGGGTCCGGTACAACGGGGCTCATCCTGGAGAACGTCGGCCTCAGTGGCGTCACCAAGGCAGTCGCCGACAGCAGTGGCAACACGCTCTTGTTTGGCGTTGCCCATGTCGAGGCCTGGGCTATTGGTCCTGTGCATGACGGCTCTGGCCGAACCTTTGCCATGGGCCGTGATGTCACGCCGTACCCGCGTGTTGAGGCTCTGCTTGACACGAGGAATGGACTTGCGAATGCGCCGTACTTTGAGCGGCCGAAGCCGCAGTACGAGGGCAATTCGGTGTCGGATTTTGTGTCGCTTAAGGCGTCGGGGGCAATGGGTTCGTTGATCCAGTCTTTATTTATTTATTGGGGGGGGGGGGGGGGGGGGGGGGGGGGGGGGGGGGGGGGGGGGGGGGGGGGGGGGGGGGGGGGGGGGGGGGGGGCGGGG